TAATATATACGTAAGTCTCGTACTAGAAAGACTTAAGGAATACGATCTATATACGAAACTCTCGAAATACGAGTTCTTTATATAGGAAGTAAGCTTTCTAGGGTTTCGCGTAAGAGCCGTAGGCGTCTCGATAAAATCTAGTAGGGTTTTCGCGATCGAGAAGTAGCCTATTTCTAAATCTTTCCAAGATATTTAGGTGTTTTTAGGATTCGCGAACTTCTATAGAGAGTTTATCTAACGATACTCTATAGTTGTCGCCCCTATTACTAACCTACTCTAAGAGATAAAGACTAGGAAAAAGACTAGGCTATTTACTTAGATCTCGAAGACTAATGATACGTTTTATACACTTAAAACGTACTTTATATAAGAGCCTATACTAGTACACTTTAACCCTAAGAGGCAAAGTAGACTAGAGGTAAACGCTTTAGGCGATACTATTAGTAAGATTATATTTTAAGCGTATGAGTCGTAAGAGAGTCGTACGTATTAAAGATCTATAGCCTTTTTCTTAAGAAAGCTTACTATAGCTAAGAAAAACTACAATACGAGAGATAGCGAGATACTAGCTATTATATACGCATTTAAGGAGTAGCGCTACTATCTTAAATCGCCTACGATTAATACGCTAGTCCTAATCGACTATAAGGCGTTATAAAGCTTTATAACTAAAAAAGTGTTAAATCGAAGATAAATGCGCTAGATAGAAATGCTAGCTATATATAACTTTTATATTAAGTGGCGTAAGGGAAAGAATAATCTAGCGAATAGGCTTTCTAGACGTCTAGATTATATAAAGAAGAATGAGACTCCTTTCGAAAACACTTTACGTAAGATCTTATAATTATATATATCTATCGTAGATAATACGTAGAAAGGTCGTATAAGACTCGATAACGAAGTATTTATCGAAGTTATAACTCGAGTCGAGACTCGAAGAGGTTAGGCTTAAAGGGAGAGCGATTATAATGTTATAATACTCCTAACTCCTCGAGAGGAGAGAAGAGCTAACTTAAGCGAAGTCGAGACGAATCTTGTGCGAAAACGTAGAGAGACGCTTACGACCCGCCTTAAAAAACTTTAGTCACTAGATAAATAGTGTTAGGAGGCTTTGTAAAAGAAGTTCCCGAATAACTATATTACTAGTGGTAAGTTTAAGGGCACCTAGAGTGTTAATAATACTAGTCTTATACGTCGCGAGTGTTGTGTATATATATCGTATAATTCTACTACGAGAGGAGAAATCCTCTAGATAAATCACGATAATTCGTAATAAGGCGAATATTTTAGCGAATATCGAACTACTAAGAGTATTATACGATACTACTAGTAGCTATATATTAGACGCGATATAATCGAGTATATTAAATTATATGCGATATGTTAGAGAATAAAGATATTGAGATATAAACTATACGAGAAGCTTAAACCCTTACCTATATCGAAAGGTCCCTAGAAGAATATATTAATAGACTTTATCGTTAGTTTATCGCCGTTATTATACTGAAAAGTCGTATACGACTCGATTCTCGTTATTATAAATAGATTCTCTAAAATAGTGATTTTCATACCTTATATAAATACTATTACGATATAAGGCCTAGGAGAAATAGTTCTAGAAAAGGTTATAATAAAATACGAAGCTTCTCGCTTAATTATTAGTAACTAGAGTTCGCTTTTTACGTCGATATAGTTTAGGACTATATACGAGTACCTTACGACTCGTAAATTATTCTTAACTACCTTCTATTTGTAGACTAATAGATAGATAGAAAGAATAAACTAGATACTTAAGATATATCTTAGGTACTATATTAACTATAAGTAGTCGAATTAAGTCGAGCTACTTATAGGCGTAGAGTATGCGATAAACGTAATATCTAGTGCTACTATAGGTATATCTCCCTTCTTATAAGTACTAAAGTTTAAACTAGATATATATATAAATTTCGACGGCGAGTCGCATACGAATATATCGAATAGATTAGTAAAGGGAAAAGCAAAGGCTATTACGTAAGCCCTACTATATATAAGCGAATCGCGTAATATAGTAGAGGAATAGATAGCGAAAATAGTAGCGAATTATAATAAGAAGAGAAAAGAAATATTCTTTAATATTAGAGATAAGATTATACTCTTAGTAAAGAATATTCGTATACTACGCGTAAGTAAGAAGCTAGCGAACTAGTATATTAGACCCTTTAGGATCCTCGAGAGGATTGGAAGGAATGCGTATAAACTAGACCTACCTCCTAAGTATAAAAGACTTTACTATATATTTTACGTCTCCTTACTATAAGTGTACTATAGGAGAGACGAAGAGGAAACGCCTAAACTAATAGATATTAATTAGAAAGAGGAATAAGAGATAGAGTAAGTACTAAATATTTGTTAACAACGAGATTAGCTTAAATTCTACGTTTAATGGAAAGGTTTTAGTAAAGCTTATAATAGCTAGAAGTCTAAGTAATATATACGAAACGTATAGGACCTAATCGAAGAGTTTAAGAGAAAAAAAAGATTGGTATAGTAATAGATTTAATTAAATCGTCTTATACTAGCGTAGAATGTAACCCTTACGAGTTGTATACGACTTAAACACGACTTTACTATATATAAAAAAAAGAAGGAAAACTATAAATAAAGAAAAGTATCGACTTACGTCTAAATTCCTATAGTCTCTTACGAGACGCGAGCTAAAGTACTACGATTCGCCTATCTAACTCTTCCCTAGCTACTAGGCTTTACTAAACTTTCGAGGGTCATACCTTTATAGCTAGAGATAGAAAGAATAAAAGAAAGAGCTAGAGCTACCACTATAAGAAATAAGCGGTTTAATAGCAATACTAGCCTATATTCTAACTAATTATCTAACGATATAATTATATTATTTAGAGTTCGAGTCTTCTCCTTCCTTAGAGTCGAAAGAAGCCTCTTTAGGCTAAGAGCGAGACTTAAGACCGTACTATACGCGATTAGTATACGAAAAGTAGAAGTAGAGCTTAACTTACGACTTTACGAAGAGTGTCCACTAACATACGTTAGGTATTTAAAAGGAACTCGAGAATAGAAGTAAGCTCTAATATAGACGCGCCACCTATAGAATCTAACGAATCGTGTATAGAACGTATATAACCGCTAACGGTACGACTATCGAAGGTTCTACGAGCGGCCTTAGTATTGACGAGCTTTAGCTCTTAATTAAGAGTATCGACCTCGATCTCGATATTCTCCTTAGTCTCGGCGTCCTTATCGCGATATGTAAGCGAGATGTTAGCGTCCTAGAGGTTATTAGTATACGAGATAAGAGAGGTAGAGACCTACGCAAAATGAGTGAGACTCGTATACGAAAAGAATAAGACTTATAGAGATATAGTCGAAGCGACTAGTATACTTACTCTTAGCGTAGTACTAGTAGTTAATAGAGATATTACCCTTAGGCGTCTCGAATTTACACTCGATACGAGTACTGGCCGTACCGCCGGCGGAAGTTAGGCGGCGAAGGTAGCGATAGTAGCACTTAGCCTTATAAGTACCCTTAGCTCTCTTACTACAAGAGGGGGTGGGAGCATCGTCGGGAACTACTGCGAGTTAGCTGCGAAACGATAGCGAGACTTATACTACCTATGTTTACACTTATTATCTTTACTAGAAGAAGAGTTAGGGGGGGCGAGACTAGACGAAATAACGATTCCAATAGCGGTAGACACTATATACGATTAGTATATATCTCGTAAAGATAATCTTACAAATCTTACTATTTAATTAATTGAAGCTATTATAACTTAGTTAGTATATACTCGATTCTTATGCGAATCTCAATAGCAACACTTATAGTTATTGATAATAATAATAATAATAATAATAATAATGATAGTAATAATAATAATACTATACTATAAGTTAGTAAAAGCTTATAGACTAAGAGTCTTATACATATAGTATATATAGTTAATATATAACTAGTATAAAAAAGGTTAAGGTTAGAGAGAGAGTAGAAGGAGATATATATATACTACGATTCTATAGATCTACGATAAGATTTACTACTTAGTATTTACGTATACTATTTATAGGAGCAAAACTAATAGTCGAATAGGCTAAATGGGATAAGAGTAAAGTAGATGAATAGGCCATAAGAATAATAGTAAGAATATTTACTACACGAGAAAACGTATACACTATATAAGAGGAAACGTAGTGCGAGGAATAAATGAATGGGATGAATAGGATAAATAGGATGAATAAGAATAGTGAAGGAATCTAAGGTATATAAGATGAATGCTGTAAGATTCACTTCGCTAGAAACTCATACGTACCGTAGGAGGTTAGCGCAACTAAGATAATACAGCCTTACATAGGGATTCCCCAACAAGGCCGGAACTCATAGAATTTAAGGTATACGACGCGTATACGATACGCTTCTCGAGGACGAGAAGCCTAGGGGAAGGGGATAATTATTATGAACGTCGATTCAGACAACCCCTAAACCAAACAAACAAGCTAAGACTCGAGAACCTAGTTCGAGTAGAAGGCTTACCGCACGCTCACCGCATGAGAGGAGCTTCCCTCCTCTCTATGCTTTGAGTCTTAGTTAAGATATACGTCAAGGAACAATCTATAACCCATTGAACTACCCTAATCGTCGTACTCTGCCTATCCCTATAGGTCCGTTCCTAACACTATAGATATATATTCTATTAATTAAATACTTTAGTTATAAATAGTTATTACTATATCATTATATTTAAGAAGTAGTTACTAGGCCTATAGGGAGGTCGTAGTCTTGGCAGCGTTCTTTCTCGTTTAATTATAAATTGATTAGCTAATTATTAATCTCTTTTGCTCTGTTATTTCATTCTTTGAACACCACCACTTTCCTTAATACGTCTAAAAGTACTTACAAAGCGTTTCTAAAGTGATATCAGTCCTCTTCAATCCGCTTAAAACGATTAAACGATTTTAAAGCCCTTTTCTAAGTACGCGATGCTTAGGGTACAATGGCCCTAAGTGCTTTTAAAAGAAAGCATGACGTTCCTCCTGGGTTTGAGGTAAGTTCACATTTGTTTTCTCCCTCCTACAGGAAGCTTGCATCGTTATATTGCCCTGTGCTGTTTGTTGAAGACACAAATGCCGTTGTTGTGGTTCAATCGTCTGGCTTCAAACGAGGGAACGGCGAGCTGCTGGGAGGCGGGCAGCTACGCGCGACGCGACCTGCGTGGGCAAATAGGGCACTCTAAGAACATCGCCAACCAATCCAAACGACCCAACAAATGTTACCATGTCAAAATGATCAATTATTCCACTGAAACTGATAGCTAATCATTATTGTTCTAGATTGATCGGATCGTGATCGACATTTTATCGGATGAAGAGGATGTACGTGCTTCCCAAGTTCACATGACCACCTGCCTAACTTTCATCCTCCTTTCACTCATCCTAATGACAACCCTTCACCACATGAAAATTCGCACTTAAAGCTCTGGCTTTAAACTAATATATCCCTAGGTTACAATTGTACCGCCTCCACCTAAGAGGCATAAATCAGCAACTCCAGTTCTGGATGGTGGTTCACGTCCTCAGTCACGTGATGGTTCCCGTGACTCGAATTCCACTCTTGCTTCGGTTTCCAAGTTGATATCTCCAAGTCCAGCGCGTGCTCTTGGTTTCCAGAAACCAACAGTTCCACCACCACTCCCCAAACAACGACTGTCCACCTCTCATCAAAACTTGTTTCGACCTCGAGAAAAAATTCACTCATCCGTCCACGCTCTCAGCCCCGCTACCACCACAAATGGTGCTGTTCGTACAAATTCTTTCAATGGATATCGAAAATCGGAAAACACAAAGCCTTCACCCTCTCACTCAACATCTGTGGCTTCACCATCCAACGGCTCTGGTGGTCGCTTCCTCTCGTCGGTAAATCTACCTACGCGTCAGACTTCGGTGCCTCAGCCAGTCTTGAAGACCATTGACAAGTTTCAAGTTGCCCCCAAACCTTTGGGTCGACCGAGGCTGGTGCAGCACAGTACTCCACCACCCAAACTAAAGGCACCTAGCCAACCTCCGACACCTTTACAGGCGAACATTGAACTTGTGATAGAAAATACGCTGCGACAATGGACAGGGCCCCCTCCCAAGTCTGCTGCAACCTTGAATGCCGAGAGAAAGGCAGAGAGAAAAGCACTCTTGAAAGACTTGAAGGTCAGCACAGAAGTTGCCAAGAAGAGACCAGATGATGTTGAACGCCATTTTGGTCAGACGGGCTTCTCCAAGGCCTTCAGTACCGAGATCACTGAGAACGAACTCGCGTTGCGAACCAGATTAGCGTCACAGAAGAAGAAAAAGCAGTCAGTCACGGCGGTGGATCGACATTTAGATATCGATAGCGAGCTCGCCAAGTCTCTTGACAATCTCATCATTTCCGACAAGTCCTCGATAATTACACCTGAGCAGTCGACTCGAGTCCTTCTGACTAATAGATTCAACGAGGAAGTCAATCCGCCCTTGTCCTTTGCCAACAACGTCAATGAAAAGCTCTTGCACGGCAAGTTTCAATTCACTGATCGATACATTCTTCGACCTGGTATCAAGGAGGCCGCGCTAAATACAAACTTCGGATGTACTTGTGGCGGAGAATGTGGTCTTGACTCGTGCCAATGCTTCACCAGAACAGCCACGGATGTAACCAGCAAGAAACCGATCTCAATTGGTCAGCGACAAACTTATTTTCGAAGACCGGATGGAATTATTGTGTTGACAAACAACTATATCGCACAGGAGCTTCAGGATGAAGTCCAACATTTCGAAATTACGGAGTGTAACGACTGTTGTTCTTGTGGTGATGACTGCACAAACAAAGTTGTCAGCAAGGGGCGAACCGTTCCACTCGAGATATTCCAAACTGCAAAGTGCGGATTCGGTGTGCGTTCTTCCGTTGACATTGTGAAAGGTCAATTCATCGAACTCTACCTTGGCGAAGTTATTACCGAAACTGAACTAGAGCGAAGAGAGCAAGCAGCCGATGAAGGTTCACCCTCCTACATTTACTCGCTCGATTGGTTCACTGGTGTCGACAATCGCTGCTACCATGTCGATGGGGAAATCTTCGGCACCGCAATGCGGTTTGTTAATCACTGTTGCGCACCAAACGCCCGGTGCTTTACTGTCACGACGCATAAACGTGATGAGAAACTCTACTATCTCGCTTTTTTCGCGATTGAGAACATCCCGGCAGGAGTCGAAATCAGAATCGACTACCATGGTGGTGGTAGAAAACTGGTTGGAGAAGACGGCCTTCCTGTCAGCAGCCAAGAAAAAGGAGACCCAACTTCCGATGATCCAGAACTAGTCCCTTGCTACTGCGGTGCAAAGAAATGCAGAAAAATTCTCTGGAATCCTACCAAACAGAAACGCGCTGGGCGACGTAGCAAACGACACGAATAAGCGGACCAAAATTATCTCGTTTCAGCGAAATTGATTGGTCGAGCGTGCATAAATGGATGATTGAGCGTGCATGACGAATGAATGATTAAACGAATCAAATGAACGACGACTGGGTTGACGGCGTTGCAATGGGCGTGAAGACAACTTCAACGACAACGACTGGGCGTTTTCTTGTTGGAGTTTTGCTAATAGCATTGAATCCACTTGAGTGGGGACTTTTTGCCTCTTGCTGGCGCCAGAGCAGACAGGCAGGCAGCACAAATACGAACCGAGAGATCCTCTAGTTGATTGAGGTATGAAAGGCAGTGTAGGATCAGCCTCTATCGACCCAGACAGAGAGAATCCTACCTGAGACGCGTGGGGCTTGAATACTAGCTACGAGTTCCGATTTCGGGGCACGATCAAGGCAGACACGGGTTATATATGACTTGTGTACCTCGTCTTTACCTATTAAACTAGGTATTCATCGGTCGCCATCTCATCGACCTCCGCTCATGTTCGAAATGAAATTCAGATTTCAAAACGTGATTCTGCTGATACTCGTTTCTTCTCTTCTCCATGCCAGAAATAAGCAGAAAAACTCCCGTCTTGAATAATAATGTAGATCAGTATCTCTGTCGCCGAGAGTCCTTCAGAGGCAAGCCAAAATCGCAAACTTACTTACCTACCCGCATCGTATAGTTTCTGATTTCCGTCTTCTCGACAGGTGCGCTGTTCATCAAGGGTGGGTGTGGGAGGGGCTGAGGGCATTAATTTTCTTTCTTTCTTGGATAGATAAAGGGGGGGACTCAAGACTCAGTAAGAGTAGATAAAGGAAGACGATGTGACGATGTTTATCGATGATGGCCCGGAGAAGTTTTAATAACTTAGGTAGTTAGGGTAGAGCGGAAGCCTCGTGACTACCACACCAATCGTACTAGTTTTAATATACATATATATATCTACAAATTCTAGAGTTCTAGTAGAATGTTATTTTGTTTTAAAAATCTACTATAGTATTGCAGCTTTGATTACTGTCCTCGACTACCTAAGAAGGTAGTGCTTAAGGACTGTTCCTTTTAATTCTAGTTTTTCCTATGGACCGTAAGACTTGTATAAAGAAATGAATTGCTCCGACCTAGAGTTATGTATATATGTTCAATGTACAGCTTCATTGATCCCTGGTTTTATATATCTTCCCATCATCACTCGAAGAACTCCCCTCCCTTTTTCCGACCTGTCTTCTCCAGAAAACAGAGTCAAGTCATCAAATTCAGAGTATTAATCATCGGTATGCAGAAGCCACTAGAGATACTTTTTCAATTCGATCTCCCTCCAAGCCTCCAAGCCCCTATGTTTGGCGCGTGGGAGAGAATGACATGTCGTGAGAACAATATTCTAGAAGACAGACTCCTGCACGCTCAGTCTCAGCGCATCATCGATGGCCGTCTTTCTGAATCCCGGTGCGCGGCCGAGACATGCACTGTGTTCGATCATGCGCTCGAGGAACATGTCGACGTCGAACGTCACGGGACCCTGTGCGTGGCGCCCGAGGAAGTCCTGATAGAGGTTTCCCGGGGTGAAGGGTTCGGAGAGCTGTGGGGCGAAGAAGTTGGTGGGGAATGGTGATGTCGCATTATTTGTATCATTGGTGTCGGTGTTGAAGACGGAGTCGAGGTTGTTGGCGGGCTGCTTCTTGGATGCGTTGCGGAGAGGGTTGGGTGGGTTGTTGTGGGTGGGAGGGAAGAGGGAGGAATTGTTGGCGTAGATGTCGCCTAGCTCTCGGGCGATGAATGGATCGGCCATGTTGTCGAGTAGTGGTGATGGGGTACGAATGCTCAGCTCATGTGGGCTGCGAGAGATGCTGGAACTGTCGCTCAGGGAGGCATTGCTGTTGGAGTTACCGGTGCTCGATTTGATCAGCAGGAGGACACTCGGGTCAACTTCGACGAAGCTGCTCTGGCCGTCGAGGTAGATACCCTTGGTCTTCAGGTACTCTTCAACGTCGTGGGAATCGAACCATTCACCGCCAAAACCGATGTTTTCGAGCATTTCTTGTGTGGTTGTCTCCAGTCGAGGGGTCTCGACTTCAATCCAGGGTTGTGGACCGAATGCTTTGGCCGGGCTGACCATGTTTGGAGGATAGATGGGCTTCCCGTCCTCATCACGTCGGGGGAAGTGCGTGCCTGCGCCACCAATTCGAAAGAAAGGCACGCTCCAATTCTCAAGGCTTTCTCCAGCGCGGCGTTTGAGCATCTCCTGAAAGCGATGAAGCATTCGTTTCCGATTGGAGAAGCAGAATGTAAATCGAAACGCTCGCTTGATATATGCTGGGTCGATTTGTGGATTGGTCAGGTTTCGGAAGGCTCGTTCGAGACACATACGATGGAGACGGCGGGCGAAGGTGGTTTCTTGAAAGCTGTAAGTATATGAGCCCTGGGCCTGATAGGATGGTTTAATGGGACGTTCAATGCTCAGGGCATCGCTCAATTCTGGGTAGTTAAATGAAGTCTCCTCCGGGATTTGGGCGTTAAACTGCATCAACTCATTCAGTCCATGCAGGTTCGAAGTATCGATGAAGCTCGTCTGCGAGATTGCAGCAAGGAATCCGTCGTCATCGTTGTCATCGGTAAGGTTGGTCTTGGTGGAGTTCAGGGGTTTTGCTTTTACATCTGCTTCTACGTCGGTAGAGCTCGGATCAAAACTAGTACCACGTACATTGACTCTTTTGGCTGTGCGGGAGGATGGCTTCGGGATCCTCTTCTGACCACCTCCACCACTCCATTTTTCAACATCTTGAACAGTTGGTCGCTTGACTTTGGCGACTGTCTCTGTGCGATCTGCCTCCGTCTCGCCGTTTGTGATTTTGGCTATCTTTTCATCTTCGTCGTCGGACTCGTTGGCAGTGATCTTCGAAAATGCCACAAAAGCTTCTGTTGCGTTCTTCAATTGTCGACCAAGAGCATAATGAGAATTCAAGATGCCGGCATCTACCATGTTATCGTGTAGGTCTAAGAAAGTCTTGTTCATCTGATCGATGGTGTCGTGGAGTGCAGCTACCTTATTCTTCAAGGCAGAAATGGTGGTCTCTTTCCGGTGACGATATGCTCTCTGAGCGAGGCGGATCTGTGTTCGTCGGCGGTCTGCGGCGGTCTCGTCTTGGGTGTCCAGTCTAGGTCGACCGCGTTGTTTCTTTGGGTCTGACTGATCATCTTGATCACCACCAGCAGGCTGTCTTCCGGATCGCTTCTTTTTCGAGGGTAGGATAGGGTCTGTTTCACCAGAAGATGAGTTGTTGGCATCGCTTGCAGAGGCTCCTCGCAAGACTATTCCACCATAGTACTGGTCTTCGTCGACGACTTTTCTCTTGCGCGAGGTGTGCTCTGTTCCCCTGTAAGGCTCCATGAGAGCCTGAGGATAGCGGGCAGCAGAGAGGATGTTCAGATCCCCACCAAGAGGGGCCTGAGTTGTTCCGGAAACGCTTGAAGACATGAGAAGATGAGTGGGGTCAGAGACGATTGATTGAAGGGAGGTATATGTTCGCTCTCCATAGTGGTATTCTACAGGAGGTAGTTCCATTGAAGTGGCCATGGTCCACGAGAAGACCAGGATGTGATTAGTGAACGCGTACGAAGTAACGTTCTATAGAGTGCCTGATGAAAAGAAACCAGTTAATGGTGAATAGGCGATGGCCGAGGCCGAGGGGCCTAGCGATTACTGACTGTTGGTAAAGGTAGGAAAGGAGGTACCCAACCAGGACAGACAGTGGCGCTGGGTAGTGTCAATGAACCTGTTATAAGAGGTCCTGATATTCGATAAACGAGGACGCCTCCTTCTTCCAACATTAACAAAAACTCGATAACATGGAGAGGTGGGTAGCAACCAGAAATCGAAAGGAATATGGCTGCTTGAGAAGGGGAGAAAGTGTCCAAGCAGCGGGAGATGGTCTAATACTATGGGCGTGAGAAACCGATTGCTGCTTTAATAGCGCCTTTCCGGATATTTCAACAATTAGTCAGAGCAGGTAAAAGGTGGAATTATCACTATAAAGCTGAAGCTCCGGACACAGTGTTAGGAGGCAGACAATTTGTGTTGTTTGAGATTCGACAGTGTCAATCCGAGTGAGATGAGATCAGAGAAGCCCGAAGGACGTCGACGGGAAAGGCAAGATTCAGATGCTTTGAGTCTGCTTAGGTGACCCGTCCGGATCGGGCAGTGAGAGTCATCGTGTTGCATGAAGGTTGAGAAGGGGATCAGTCCCCAATGGGGATCAAGCCATGTCAGCTGGTGGAAGGAAAGAATTGGATTGAATAGTAATCATGTCGGTGATGGAGTTCTGAATGAGTGGGGTGATTGTACGTCCGTAAAGCCGAGGCTCTAGCCCGTAAGGCGGCGAGCGGTATTGGCAATGGAAAATCAATCTGCCGGATGTCCGTGGGGCGTCTGACAGTAATAACGTGATTTGACCAGAATTAAATCTCGCTATTTTGACTCGGCTTGACTAATCAGCCACAGACTAGAGGCTACTTTAATGTGTCATATATCATCCATTGGAAGCAAGTACGAGTACGAGTCACCATGTTCAATTACTCACAGTCCGATAGCCTAGGCATAGATCAAGGTGCACGAGTGACAAGGACGGGGTAACTCTTTCATCCGTGGAACAGCCCCCCATTTACAAGACCAGGAGAGGATGACTATGTGGATGCTTCTGTTTCCATTTCGAGGTGAACCAGCACAAGTCGGTCCGTCAGAATCCGAGGCCACCTCACAAAGGAAACAAGAGTGGTCTTTAACCCTATAGTCGATCGCTCGACATTGTATTAGTTGGAATATATATGTGCCTAGGTAACCTATTTTGCCCTATGCCATGCCATCCATGATCGGAAACCCGTGGTCAATTCACGAGACTCCCCGACCCCTTTCCATTCCATACCCCACTGCTGCTGGGAAAATAAACCGCCCTTTAAAAATCTGACACATGTACTCGTAAATTTCGTTTGTTGAATTGAAAACGCCCTCCTCGCGAAGGGTCCTGATTGTGGAGTTGCCGTAGCTCTGACATGCGTTGGAGCAGGAGATCCATGTGGGATAGCATTGGTTCCAAATGATTTCGAGACCCGATGTTCTTCCCTCTGAATCTCCTCGGCAGGTGACCATGGGAGAACGCTCTAGACTCGGGCACGCTCCATTACTTCGAAAATGCCATCCAGGATGACGGGGGTTTGCATGGTCTCGGTCATGAATTCCATCATGGAGCACTGGCTAGTGGTGCTCTGGGTAGAGATCGACGAGACTGTGTTGGCACGTGGTCTTGGTTCAAGCAGACCGAGTCCAATACTCTCGGCGTGATCAGCCATCTGTTCTTCCTCTAGGGCGAGGTCGATTGCGGAGGGCTGCCGCCTGATCTGGCTTTGGGATCTGTTGTGGATGATGGGGGACAGAGTATGTTCGATGTCATTGCCCCGGTGGCTTTTGTTTCGGAAACTGCTGAAGGAGGAGCTTGGAGACGAGCTTAGGAAGGGAGAGGATGTGGCCGACATTTTCTTGGAGACCTTGGGTGACGATCGGTGGAGAGGATTATGACTGAAGATAGTCTGTAGCGACAGACGCACTCGAGATGTAGATGACTGGGTTCGGAAGCTGCTGGTTATGGGTTCAATGGATGTTCTTTCTCTTTGGTGGTCGAGACCTTCGAAGAGGGAAACTAACTGTGCAACGGCCATTTCTCCTCTTTGAATAAGAAGACGGATGGATGAAATCTTAAGTAGAATATCGGTATTGAGGAGGACGGAATAACGTTTTTTCAAGAGGCAATAGCTCGTAGGCCCGAACTTGCCAGCAAGTCGAGATTGGTTGTAATGAGAGATCAGCCAACGGCTCTGGGATATACAAGGCTCGAGTACTTCGTAGTGGGAGACACGACGAGTTGCCTTGGAAATCAGTCGTGCACTGGCCCTGTACTGGTAAACGGAAGTGAAGAAGAAAATTAGAGGGTCAAAAGAAGGTCATAGACAAGGCCAAATGATGCTAGTCAGAGAAAAGAGCACGAAGCTGCGAGGTCAGTGAGACATGATCCTATCAAAAGACGAAAAGATGAAAGGGACGTGTCAAAGGTGTCTCCGGAGCACTGGCAGTTAAATGTATACTGAGACCACCACTGAGGAGGAGTAACCGGGGACCAGGGTATGAGATATCAGTGCCATGGCAATAGTTTCGCCCACCACCTGGGAAACACAAATTGGGCCGTGTCTTGTACGCTCATAAAACGTCGATGCTTTCCGCAAAGACCAGGTGTTGGTGGGGAGAAGCAAAGAAATGTTCGTTTGGGGACAATTGATCAAAGGGAGGACGAACAAGCTTCAGGTCAAAACACGAGTGTCTTGCAGGAAGGGGGTGGGTCTGCTGGGTGACGCGACACCAGCATCAAGTCCGATTGGTACTGCGCGTCTCTGGGGGTCCATTTCCATCCGAACCAGGGGCCGACTCAGGGATTCTTCGCTTGTCTCGTCGAGGTTGATGCGAAAAACAATACAGTCATGCCAGGGAATGAAACACACGCGCATCAGAGAGAATCTCATCTCGTCAAAACTCTCAACGGGAGTTATTCTCCTACTGGCTTAGTTCTCGACTGATTGTTTCAGGAGGCCCTTGGGCTGCCCTTCCACCACCATCCGCCTATGGGCCACAGGGGCAGATGAGAGCCTCGCGTACCTGGGTACACGGTACATGATCAGAGTTTAGAGTGTCACAAGGATCCCGAGATCCAATATTAAATTACGAACCAAGACGTTCTAAGATTCCCATGTTCTGCTCATGTCCGTATTGCTACTCCTCACCTTGTTCAGGCCCGTGTCCTCAATGACACAATGGTGCATCACGAACAACTAGCACCGAAACGTAGACGAGACCAGACTACTCGTATCTCACAACTTGCTCCATCACATGATGAAAATGAACCTGACCAGAGTATGCCCAGACCGGGATCAACTCATTTGAGGCAGGCTGTAGCCTGTAGCCCAGTTCAGCCCAGTTCAGCTCAGCTCACAACCTCAACATGGGGGCGCTTGGTATCTGGTGATCGAGGGGTGATGGTGATGATGATTGATGATGATCGCAATCAAAAACGACCCTTAGGATCTACATTGGCACTTCAAGGGAGACTCAAAATAGTAAGATTGGTGTTTATTCACAAAGGACAAATAGTGCAATTGTCTATCTATCACGCATAATTCGTGCCCCTCCCGTTGCACATATCGCTCATACCAAGCTCGAACGCTCATCCTACGAGGTGACATAAAATGTGAATGTCGCTCGTCCATACCTAGTAATAAGAACCCCAGACTCATACATACAGAACGCTTCAAGTATTTTTGGTATCTCAAACCAATCTCGCAGCAAAACCCCCCCCTCATCTTGTGGAAACTCCCTCGCTATGCTTGAACCCTCAGACCATCTTTTCTGCTCAGGCCCCAATATTTACAACAAGAATAACATAGATTCATCCACCTTCATTTCGATCATTAAGTGTGTCATCTGCTTTCTCGGCTAGGCCTCCTCGTCGTAAAACTCCTGCGTATGCTTTCTCCCCATGCTGAGCTATCAAAGCTTTCCATGACCCCTAGATTATTCACACCACTTACGTTACTGCCATGTCGACTGTGACCAAGTGTGGGAGTGGTGGGTGACGATCTCGTTGGTCCCGGGTACGACGTATCCACTGATCCCAGTCTCGTCGCCCTCATTATGGGGCTGCTCACTGGTGATTCTCCGTACTTGATCGATGCTGGACTGCGAAGTGAATCTCGGTATTGAACGGACGTATCAATTGGTGGTAGATTTGGTGATGGTTTCTTTGCACGGTATGCTGGTGTCGATGATGTGAAATCTTGTGGCTCAACACCACTGCTGCTTTCGTCAATGTGATCATCTGGATCTTCAATGAAAATCTCCGGCACTGCGAGGTGGGGCGGAGATGCAAGTCGCGAATAGCGACGTCGATTGATGGCTTGTCGGAATTTCCGTGACCAGTGTAGAGTATCAAAGAATCCAACCACCGTGTTTCTTCGAATCGTTTCGTTCACCCGTTGCAGTCGCGCTCTTCGCCTGAGGAACTCTTCCAATCGCAGACTTCGCGAGTCCACAATCACATTGTAATGGGTCAAGAGAAATAGAACAGCAGTAAATGGTATCCCTCGATCCGGTTCCGCCGTCAAAAGCACTTCCTGATAGAAAACGTTCATGCGTTCCCGTCGTTGTCGAATCTCGGCCACCGGAATTTGACTGATACGTTCGGCTAGCTTATCGAGATCAATTCCGTCGACGACGCGTCGCTTGGGATTTGGAGGATCATCAAGCTGAACAGCACAATCTTCCTTGATACGACCAACTGTAAAGTCGCCATCATAGATGCGCATCTGAAATACTCCAGAAAGCTCCTGTCAATGGTTAGCATGGAATGTCATCCATTGGTTCGAAACACTTACCCCGAGTAGCCGTGGGAACTGCTGTTTGGATATAAATCCTGAACCTTGAGGATCAAACTCCGCCCATGCTTGTTTAAAGCGCCTAATCTCATCTCGGCTCACGGCAGACATGCCACTGCTTTGCTGATACACGTACGAGAAGCTCTCGAAGATCATCGAAACAAACAGAGATACAAAGATGTACATGCTGATAATGTTCCAAGAGATGAATAGCGGCCTGGCCCATTTCGAGCTACCACAGTCGCTATCGAAGAAACTAGCTTCTTTGACACAGAATGGTGGCTCGATGCCTGAATAATCTTCCATAACTTGATTCCACCCTTCTCCGATGCTGATGCGAAAGAGAAGAATCAGAGCTTTGGGGACCGTCCGGAAATTGACGTTGTTGTTCTCATTCTCACCAAAACGGGTCAGAGCGAAGGCTTGTGTGAATGCAATGGCGTAGACCAGGAAAAGCACAAACCAGGTCGCCAACAAGTTCAAAATGAGGGGGAGTGACGCTGCGGCTGTCTTGAAAAGCTGATCGAGCTGATTGTTGCGAGGTATTAGCAAAAACACCACAGACACCAGGAAGAGCTTGTGAAGCGTGTCAAATGTCCTGAGTTGGACTTGCGCCAAGCTCATCACTGATGTCACGAAAATTCCCGAGACAGAGATAACTGAATAAACGTCCCATGATCTTCGTCGAAATCGGTGCCAGGAGAGTCCGACAATCTTAACCCCTATGTTGATCATGAGGATGAGAGTGAAGGCTAGGAAGATGTACTCGCGCATCCTTTGCCACCATTTCGGTTCTGGGTAGAAATCGACTATGAGAAGTGCAAGGTGTGACAAGAGTATTCCGGTAATAAACCGTTGCCATTTGCCTCGTTTTTGAATCGAAGATTCATAACACCATTTCTTCCAAGAAGCACTCTTATCCCTGGTAGAGCGCTTTGAAGGCGATATTTGCTTCAGCAGCTTCCGCAACTCCAACCAGGACCGCTGTTCTGCAGTCAAGTAGGCGACCCCTGTCTGCTCCGTATAGTTGCGCATGAAGACAGAGATGAACAATGTCAGCACGAAGACGGCTCCAAGTAGGTTGAAGACGATGAAATAGACCGCGTTGCCCTGGGACGCGAATTCTTGTGGCTGCAAACCGCGTCCTGCAATGTTCATTCCTGCCGACAAGACTCCTGTCCAGCCTTCTTGAGATACAATCTGAAAGAGGATGAATAGCGAATCTCCAAAGGTATCGAAATTGAACCAGGGATTGGATACCTGCCTCGGGGCAAGCACAGGCCAGTTGAACGGAGTAGAGTTAAATTCGCCCACACAATTGGTCAGTAAGCCATCAAAATCCCCGTCATTGCATGCCTGCATCTGGCCATTGAATAAATTGAGGCCAAGTATTGCAAATGGGATGAGCAAACTTAGGGAGACGAAAGCCGCCGCCATAATCTTGTAGATGCCGATGACAATGACAGAATAAAAGGTTTCTCGTGCCGTATCACTGATGTTGAGAAGGCGCAAGGCTCTCAATGCCTTAAAAGCACCAACAGCGCGTGAAACTCCATCATCCCGAACCAAAGCCGTGCCAACATTGATCCAAAGTGTAATAAGGACGATTGCATCAATCACACCCCAGATGCTTCGAAAGTATGCGTGAGGAGTGAAAAACAGACCGTCGGCAATGGTCTTGATCAGAGCTTCAACCAAGAAGAGCACCGCGAAGCCTAAGTCAGTCCAGATGAACCATGTCTTGATGCTTAGCTCGTTTGCCAGGTAGTAGTCTCTCTGGTAAAGCGGCGTAGTAATGCATGCGAGTATAACCATCGCCACGATGGCGGCGTACGTAAATGCCGAGAAGGCGTACCATGCTGGACGGTATGGGGAAACACCTTCCACGCGTTCGCTCCCTCGACCTGGTCCCACAACATATTGACACATCCTTCGAATAGGGTTGTGCGGCTTGAAGATGAATAGAGACACGTTATATTTGGGGTGATTCTGAAGATATTGTCGTTGTGCACGACGACGATTTTCTGTAGTATTGACCACTCTTTTAGCAACCGCTCGCGGATCAAACTCCTCATTCGCCCTGGTGGACGACGTGTTGGTATAAAACGGGTTGGGCTCTCTGTGGGTGTTCAGACCCGCAATCTTTCCCCATATTCTGGATAGAAACCCTGGATTTACTGCTGCTATCTCTGGGAGATGCATCGAAGTTGGGCGACGATTGATACTCTCCGGTTGCTCATCAAGAAAGTCCTTTACGACAGCGTCTTTCAGAAGTTGTTCGACAGTTGAGGTTCCATACTCGAGTGCGTCACGGTGTCTTATGGAATCTCGTCCCATCTTGAAGACAGCCGCCAAAGATAAGTTACCACTAGCAGGACCGGCAACCTCCTTCTGCTTCAAAAATGCTTTTACTTGCTGAAGCCGCTTTTCATCCTCTGAAACATCGAAACTCTCCTGGATGACAGCAATAAACATGTTCAAGACAATCAAGTTTGCGACCACGAACCACAAAATGAAAAACATGGCGCTGAGCCAGGCTGTATCCCAGCGAAGATTGAATTGGGTCGAGTTATACATTATCCCCGTCCAATTTTCACTGGAGAATATAATATACATGCCAATGAAGGAATTCCAGATGTCGAAAAACGTAGTTTGTATTGAATCGCCAGCAGGATCGACAGCTGGGAAATCGCCACGAAACAGCTGTGATGCCATAATGGCGGCGAGGAAGGTGAATAGAAAGACAAATAGAATCAAGTTCAGCAATCCCACAATATTTCCAAAGACAATCATGATGAGCTCCCTGGTGACTCGGATAGCGAGAACGACCCGGTAGATGCGAGCGATTTGAAAGGTGGTTAGCCATGCATATGCCTTTTCGGAGTTCCGAATTGCTGGTATTTGGGTGATGGAAGTAACGACTGCAAGGAACAAGTCCACCCAATTTCGTTTACCGCGGAAGAAGTTTCTCCAGTCGCAAAGAAATCGAAGAATAATCTCCACCAATAGCAATAGCGTCACACAACTCTCCGAGTTCATGATGAATTGTTCTTGTTCCCTGCTCATGTCGGCCTCTCTAAGAGCTTGGACAATGAGAGAGTAGGCAATGACAACGACCCAAAAGATGTGGGTTTTGTCGTAGAGGGCTTTAAGACGACTTCTTTTGGCCTTTGTTTCATCCTCCAGGACAGGCTCATCGATCTTTTCGGCTGTAAATGCGCTTTGTCTGCTCTCTTCGCGGATGATCTGAAACGATGAAGTAATAACCGCAACCAGTAAATTGACCAACCACAAACTCAAGACCACGATACCTGCGGCAAAAAACAACGCGGCTGCCAGATAGTCTGTATCGGTCAGATAATAGAGCAAATCAGAAAACGTGTTTGAGCTGATGATGACAAAGACTAGCTCCAGCGACTGCAGAATGTTATCGAAGCTCACTGTCCCATTATAAGGACCTTGGGAGCCCTCAACACATAAGGAGCCTTGAGGACAAAGGTAGCCCTTGGACTCGCTGGTTCCATTTCGGCCGTCACTGAACAGCCATGGCATGGCAGCGCCACTCACAGCATCCAGGTAGCCACCACAGAATTGTATGTTCTCAGGCGCAATGTTGAGGGTGTAATTGCTTCCTGAGCCATCATCTCCCACCCATACACAGGTACGGCGCAAGCTAGACTTGAAGCTCTGAACTCCCACAATGCCAAATATAAGCCAGAAAAAGCATATCAAGAATGCGACATGAACCAAGAGGGGTGCAGCCTTCTTTAAGCTTCTCAGGATGATCGAAGTACCCGCAGTCAGACCGAGTAAGCGCAATATCCGGAGACAACTCAACATATTGAACACATAGACGTGACTAGAGTCTTCGAAGCCAGTCAACTGCAGGGACATTGATATCCAGTAAGACACAACAGCTAAGAAGTCGAGTCGATTAAATGAGTGCCTAAGAAAGGCTCGTCGGGCTAGGCGTATTCTCTGTTGTTGTTTACTGTGACCCGGACCTCCCGGTGCTGGGACACCCGTAAGAGTTCTCACAATTGAAGGTTGGCTTGGGCCATCGAATTGATCGGTTGGGACTCTCTCTGGCATATGACGATCATGTGCAGGTGCAAACAGGGTTTCGGCTTTCTGAAGAACGGCCTTTCGTAAGCCAACTGACCGATTGATAGTACTATGTTCTCGAGGGTTTGAGATGAACCCGGAAACAATGGTACGTGCAATCAGCTCTAGAGTGTATATCACAAACAGACCTAAGATGGCATAGTCGAAGCCTGTGCCCCACTTCTTGTTCCGTGTCTCCAGATATGTCGCTTTTGAGGCAGCATTCGTGGCGAGTAGAACGGTCTGGGCCACGATCAATCCTAAGATGGTAGGCTCCGTCAAAGGATGAACAAGGATTTCACAAAGCCATTTTCGAAGAGGGTTTTGCGGGCCAAAAACACCCCAAGTCTTTCCAAGAAGTGGGTTTGGATGATAGGCTGGCGGGAAAGGGTTTGCGATTGGAGAGACTTCGTAGGAGGCAACTTTCTCCAAGGGAGAGCTGACGGCAGGAGTATCCTCAATGTCAGGTATGGGCGGGATTGTGCCCGAAGCACTGGGCCGGCGATGGTCGCGGATGGACGACTTGCGACGCATAGTTTGTTCAACGACTTCGGAATCGTTACTCAGGTTCACTACACGCTGAGAGATACCACGGAGGATTGAATTTGCCCTGGCCATCGGAGATGGGGAAGGTGAAAGAGACCTAGAGCGTTCCGCAGATGGATCTCGAGATGAACTCAGACGGTGAATCCCACTGGCACTACTCGGCTCGCGTTGTAAACCAATACCTGTATCAAGAGTTGGGAGGTCATCCCCGAGGCGTGAGATGCGGCCTGGTCGGAGAGATGGGGATTCTCGATCGGTCCAGTGTACACTGGATCTCTTCCTTGATCCATCGTTCCTTTGTCCTCTCGATATTGAACTGGAAGCCTTCAGAGAGGAATTGAAACCTCGGCTCTCATTCAGAGGTGTCGTGTCGGAGTCAGGAGGGGAGAACAGGTTCTCGATTTCGCCCGAATCTCCATCGGCAGGAGTTGTGATGATGGTCGGTCGAGAGAGACCGGCATGCGGAGGGGTAGACGGAGGGCCAAAGTCCAAGCCAACAGTGGCAGCGGCAAAGCCATCGAGGTTTTCGATGGGGGAGTGATCCCTATAGGGATCTTGTGTTCTAGCATGTTCACCTGCTCTTGTGGGAGATTCCTCGTCCAGTCGAGCGTAGTCTGGGGTTCGGCGCCCCGTCAACAATGATCTCGTACGACTGTGACGGTGGACATGGCCAGTGATACCACCTCCATCCCACCCTTGTCCTTGGGATGGCACGCCGTCATCCGGTGGTCTGGCTAAATCTTGAAGTGGTATCGATTGCGGCGTGATGGGTTTCGGGGGTGTTCTATCGTGGAAAGACATGGCGCAAGGGTCGGTCCTGCAGAAACCAAGGCATGCTATCTCGATGCGAACCTCATGGTATTACTGTGAAGACTGGTGGCACGCGAAATTGTTGAAGTTGGACGGCGGGCCAGGACAGGGAGGGGGCAGGGAAAAGAGTGAGCAACGCAACGTTCGCGCCGGTACCTGCAGCAGTGTTGACCAAGAACCGAATTTCGGAGGAACGAATGAAGCGTAGTGGATACGTCAATGGTGAAGAAGTCGTACGGGTTCGTGCAAAATCGTATTAGTAGTGATCGTAAGTTGGTCGTCTGTAAAATCAAGGTGGGCGGTGCAAGTCAAGTAAGAGAATGCGTTGAGATTCGGACTCGTCCTGGAGAATTGAGATCTGTGCTGTTAAGCTGTAGCGCTGCATGGAACATGTGGAACTGTTCTCCCAGGGCCAGCGCCGCATCCTGCTTAGTGGCCACTGGCCCCAGGAGTCTTACGCGGCAAGGAAACCACCGGACCGGACCCCTCGGGCACCTAACGACCTTAATTGCTCCGTACCCTAGGTAGGTAATCAACCCTGAACGACTTCAAGTTAGGTACAAATTTAGGTGTCTGGCACCTGCGAATGAGTGGTCCTGGATCTACATTAGGTAACCATGGGTGCGCGCGACCACCAGCAGTGGCCACCTACCACTGCAAGGGCGGACCTCTGAAGCCTTGGCCGGGCTTAGAATTCTTCAGTTGAGAGCAGAGAGGACGCACTCCGTCTTACCCAGGTAAGCTTAGGTAGAGTTGCTCCCTGTTTGTGGTGACTTATTGCGGTGCATCCGGCTGGTACCCTTTTTGGACTCCAAGGCTGACTCCAAGCCAGTCAAGAGACAAAACTCCTCCCTGGACCAAGCTCGCAGCGCTTTGTTTTTAGTGCTTGCTTTACCCAATGCGGCCCTGGATACGGATACAAGGTAGCGTTTGTCTCCTTTACTTGAGGACGAGATACTCGGTAGCTACTTTTCCCTAATCAATTGGCAGCTGCCTGCTGTATTCGTACCCTTCAAAATCCTAGCCCAGGTTCGCTAGCCTCACCTACCCCTAAATCGCCTTTTTGGACCCCACGATTATAACTCAGCTTGAAGGTTGAACTTGATTTCCTACTTTAAGTATCTATCTGTGTCATAAGCATAACGCGTCAGCTGAATCCACCCAAAGCTATTGGCAGAAAATAACGAGATAAGACGTCGAAAACTGCCATTATCTTGACTCACCTCTGAAACCATTCCGCAGTTAGTGATGGTTAACATTCAGAAACCAGGCCCTGCCGCCACCTAGGTAGGTAGGTACTGCTATTCGCTTGATCATACATGTTTCATACATCTCTTCTTAGCTCGCGGACATCAAAACCATGAGCCCAGACTCTGCCACACCTCAGTGTTTCTACCTGGCATGCAGCGCACTTTTTCTGTAGATGATTATCTGTCAGATAATCGGCCTATCTGGAGATGAATGTTTGTTGACGGGAAACCCCCAAAAAGGTTGTCTGGTCGATGGATACCATTGAGGCAATCAATGTGTCTTATGCCTAGGCCGCTCCTCTAAGGATCAACAAGGTAGGCGTCAAATACGTACCTCGTCACTGAGATGTGGGGATCATCTCTATCGTCTACAGGTTGCTTCTCATTCCAGCTGTTGGCTGTTCTGGATGGCGAGGTACCAGTTGAATCTGATAGAGGCCACCAGGTGCTTCTAATGACCGCCTCGCACTTCATCGGCTGGAATAGGTGTCCATTTTCGATACCATAGCTACTGGAAGGCAGCTCCTGGCGAGCTGATCGACAATGCAATCACCACGAGGCTGGACGGTGTTTTCCGTTCTCAGAATTTGTACAATTTTTATTGGTGCGGAATGAATGACCTATATCAGCCTCCCACATCCTCTTTAGCCGAATGCATGTGGCGACAATCGTTTCCCCATGTTTGCAAGCAGGATCACGATGTTGTCCTGGAGCTACACCCAGCACTTGACAAAAGACTCCACACGTGGTCTCCATACTGACGATACGCTGCATTATCTGTGGCAATCCCTCAGAATATTTCGCGTCGGTTGACTGCTCCAAGAGAACAGACTAAGATGACGACCACCTTCTAATAAGCTGTGCAACTTTGCAGGAAAATAAACTACAAGAACTCTGCTTGCTGTCTCATATATACACTTTACATATCTTCTTCAATTTTCCAATACCGAAGCCTCACTACTCAACTTTACACTATCTGAAAACAATATGAAGACCGCAGAAAACCATTCCGACTTCCAGAATTGGAAAGAAGGTCAGACCGCAAGGGTCGAGTTACTAGACACACCTTTCAACGTCTATCGAAGACGACAGACGAACCGTCTGATTCGTCACATCGAGTACAAACAAGCCAAAGTCGACCAAATACCTCGTTTACAACACCTGGTATCCGATCGCCTAAGAAGAGCTTGCCCCTGTTCAAACTGTCAGAGGCATGACAAGCAGGCGACACCACCCCCTTGACGGCACATCTTTGAATCAACTAGGCCAACACGCCGGTCATAGTAACGTGCGACGAATTGTGACACACAACTATAATACCTCTCGAGCCTGAGCCCTGGCAGCACTTAACGACCCACCGTCAGATCGGTATTGGCGGAGGGACAAGTTCGACAAGTTCAGAAGCACAACATACACCAAGGTGGCTCAGAATCAACCAGAATAGACGGGACACATGCATCCTGTGCACAGAGGCGGCCCGTCATCACTGCGAAATCGGGACCTCGGGAATCTTGTAGAGCACTAGCTCTTTGTGAATGTGAGAGACTGGAAGCTCTGGGCTTCTATGGCGATCCCTCCGTCGGGTCAAGAAACAGCTGGCCCTAGTAGAAGCTTCATCATCAGACGGGCGGTCATAGATGGATACATCCATAACGATCCGAAGGTTATCAGGTGGTGTAGACATGAATCTGACTTTCACACAAGCTACAGCGGAGGCAGAATCGCAAGCTAGAAAGGCCGAAGTCTGACTGAAGTCAAACATAAACTTGACAAATTTATGCAGCATGTTTTGGCCATTATCACATTCTATCAATCATCAACACCCATCTACCCTCTGTCTTACGAGTCACAGCTAATCAAGCTCATTCCTCATTTCTTCTTCGTAACACCCCCATCAACGACTAGATTCTGCCCGGTGACAAATCCAGCACCCAGTAGATACTCCAAAGCCTCAGTGATATCCTCGGGCATTCCAGCACGATTCGTTAAATGTGTGTCGATGTCGTCATCCGCAGCTTCCCACTCCGCACCGTTCTGGTCCGCTTCTGCGTTCTCGTGTGTAACTTTGATCCGGCCTGGAGAGACCTGGTTGACACGGATGCCGAACTGCTTCATCGACACAGCCATGCTATGGGTCAGGCCTAGTAACGCCGCTGTTTGTCACTGTTAGCACTTGCATATCTCCAAAGTGTGTGGGAAATCCCAGCTTTCCCGCTGAGAGAGGTAAGAAGGGGTTGAGATGCATGCCTTTGGTGCTAGCATAGCCCTCCTGGTTGGGATCGGAAACCAGAGCACGAAAGCTCCCAACGTGAATGATACACGGCCCAGCGGTGCCAACCTGAGAACCAGGGAGTTTCTGCTTATCCTCGTGACTTTCGACCTTCATGTATGGGATGCAGGCCTGGGACATGACAAACGTGCCCGTCAGGTTGGTCTCAACATATGCTTGCCACTGATCTAGGGTCGATTCGTCCTCCATCGTCTTTCCGTCAGACCAGTACGGGGTAGAGATTCCGGCGTTGTTGATGAGAAAATCTATACGATTGCCCAGAAACTGTGCAGCCTTGCGCACCGTTTGCCGTATCTCGTCCACCGATCGCAGATTACACACTGCCCAGCCGACATTCTTGGAATGTTCTTTCAAGTGAACTTCTGCAGTGTGTCTGATGTTGTCCTCGTTGATGTCGAGGATAAATATCTTGTGTCCTTTCTCTGCGAAGTGTCGTGCTACCGCCCTGCCCAACCCTGGGGAGTCATTTTGTCAGCATCACGGTAGTCAGCCCAAATTTCGGGCCGTGAACACACTTTCTCGTGGTCTTTAACACCTACCTTGACCAGCGCCACTAATCACGATCCTGGCGGTCCCTTGTATCATCGTGAATGAATTCAATCACTGAGGAGCTGCAATGTTGATTGTGTCGCTCAATAGATTCCAGGAATAGATTGCAGACACAGGTACTTCTGCCCTTGGAGATGTCCCAATATCATGCGCACAACACCAACACGTCGAGATCCAATCACGACGGAACGACATCCCACCATACAGAAGGCCGTGCTACTCGTACTGTGCCTGCTACGTGCCATGATGGAAACTTCCACGGGCATGCCGTGCAGTCCTACAAATCGTCATACCGTATCAGATCATAATCAGATGCCATAAGTCCATCAAAACACTATATGTGAGGTACAGTGGTCCGGGGTCAAATTCCGAACGACTGCCAGTCCATGTTGGGTGACGTAAAAGTGGTCCCACGAAAGATCATCTCCTAGATTTCCAGGTACGACTGTACTCGTCGGCTTGGTCTTCACATCGTTAAGGGTACTTGGCTCGGCCATGATAACAGCAAACTGTCGCAGCACAGGGAATCACCTGACGAAAAGGCAGCCGTGGCAGACTCACGTAGTAATGGAAGGTGTAGATTTTATCAGGAGTGTGAAGGGAATGGCAGCCGCGTCAACAAAAAATAATCTATTCGTATCTTCGGATGTCGGACGTCGGTGACCGTAACCACCGACATGCATTGAGAAACGGAGGTTGAATTAGATAGTCGATCTCTCTCTCTTGGTCATTTACCCATCTGCTGGTAATAGCTTCGAGTTCAACCACCGTAGGCTTTGAAACCCATCTAACGATCTTGATTTGTACCAAGATCACGTTAAATAACAAGGTCGGGAAATGCAGACCCTCATCCTTAACGGCCAAGTCCTCGTCTTGCGTCAAGGTATCTCCGTGATATTATCTGTTGGAAGCCAGCAATGAGCACCATGATTCATGATTGCTAATAGAAGGACATTCACACGCGGTTGAATCCTCGTTCCGAGCACAAGTACGGCCAGATCCTGCCCCTCGTGACGTTGTGCCTAAATCCATCAAATGAACAACGTGCATTGACATGGCCAGGAAAGGATTTCCGGAGTATGTTGTCATCAAGTCTTGCACTTCCCCAGAAGCACCACAACGCGTCTTACGCCTACATATGGCGGTTAGGAAGATTCATCCGTAATGTTGAATCCAGCATTGGCCCCGCGAAATGATTGACACCTTTATCCAGCATGATTTCCACAAGTTGTGCCCTCGATATCGAGCCGAGAGATATCTCTGCTACACTGGCAGACTGAGCCATGAGTTTTACCATTGCTACAGAGATACTCTTGCCACGCTCAATCTCACGATTCTGCTCGTTCTCAAGAACAGCTGTATCTCGTCCATTGCGTCAAAGTCTTCTGATTCCTGCATCAAACAGATTTGACATCCGCAGAACACCGAGAAACGGTGCCACGAACATCAGCTGTCGACCCATCAGCATGGCAACCGATCCCCAGCAGTTTATGAGAACATCGGGAAAGAATGACCCGGTATGGATTCACACCGAGCCATACTCCAAGAGACCGCAATTTCCATCGCTGGACAAAGATCTGGAAACAGATGTCTGTGTCATCGGGTCCGGCATCGCGGGCATTTCGGTTTCGGAGCAGCTTGTACGAAGGGGGTTGAACGTGGTGATGGTGGAAGCTCGAGACATCTTATCGGGTAAGTCAACAGCCGCCTCCTCTTTCTAGCTCGAAACAGCGCGACGAAAACCCAATACTGATCAACCCTCCTCTCACAGGAGAAACCGGCCGTACCTCAGGCCATCTATCGTCCGATCTCGACGACGGATATCCCGAGATAGCAAAACTCTTCGGCGATGAGGGCGCCAAAGCGGCCGCCGAATCGCACGACTGGGCACTGAAGCACGTTGGCAACATTGCGTCGCAATTGGGCATCGACTGCGAGTACCGGCAACTCAAGGCATATGACGTATCTCAATATGCGAAGGGCAGCAAGGAGCACGACAATGACATCAACCAGATGCGAGAGGAGGCCGATGGAGCTAGACGAGCAGGCCTCGATGCGAAGTGGGTCGACAACCTGACCATCAAGGGCTGGGACGGCAAGCCCGACCAGCGCGACGGCTATGTGGTCGACACACAGGCGACGTTCCACCCAACGAAATACCTACTCGGCGTGCTGAAGTGGCTGAAAGAGCAGGCGAACTTCCAGTGCTACACTCACACGCGCGTGACTTCGTGCTCTGAGAGCGGCGTTACGGTCCCGGTGGTCGACGTGCACCTGGGTGCTAAGAACGTGAAGGTGTCGACCATGAACGGCCATACCATCACGTGTAGCCACGCCGTGCAAGCGACGTGTATACCGCTGCAGAAGCTGAGTGTGGTGGCGGAGTTGGAATACTACCGCACGTACTGCATCGCGATCCGGATCCCCAAGAACTCGTATGAGGATTGCCTCATCTACGACTCTGCAGAAGCATACAAATACGTACGCTTCACCGCCTGCGACGCCGACTCGGACTACATGGTCGTTGGTGGATGCGATCACAAAGTCGGGCAGGAGGCGGAGTGGGACCAGCGCTACCAGGAGCTCGAGACCTGGGCGCGCGAGCGCTTCACACAGGTCGGTAGCGTCGACTACAAATGGTCGGGCCAGATCTTTGAGCCGAAGGATATGATGGCGTTCATCGGCAAGAATTCCGGGAACGACAGGGTCTACATCGTGACGGGTGACTCTGGCAACGGGCTGACGCACGGAGTGCTCGCGGGCCGCTTGATCGCAGATGAGATCCAGGGGATCGAGAACCCATGGGCGAGGTTCTACGATCCGAAGCGGAAAGCAACGCTTCTGAAGAAAATGCCTAGCATCATTCAGCATGATGTCCAAATCAACGCGCAGTATAAGCGTTTCCTGCAGTCAGACATCACAGACGTCGAGGATCTGGGCAAGGGTCAGGGCGGGGTCTTGAACCCGACCGGTGGAAAGCCGCAGGCTGTATACAAGGATGAAAATGGGAAGGTTCATCGGATGAGTGCGCTGTGTCCGCATTTGAAGGGCGTGGTGTGTTGGAATAACGACGAGAAGTCTTGGGACTGCCCTATCCATGGAAGCCGCTTCAGCGCTGAGGGCATTCAGCTCATTGGCCCTGCGAAAGGGGGCCTAGAGCCGTTTGATGACAACACTAAGCAGCGACAGGAGATTGCCATTGAGTCCTGAGACGGGGAACCTAGTTTGATTGAAGTTATGTGTTGCTCGACATTTTATCCCGTAAACCGGAGGACGGGTAGAAGAAAAAACGAGATTCGGTTATGAGCAGCCATTGGATGATCATCCTTTCCCTTTGGTCCCGATATCAAGGTATTCAAAGAGCTGCTTATAAAGCTACAGACATATCAACCCTTGCTCTACACGATCCATCCCAGCGAACCCAAGAGACAAGTTTGGCTACTGTGATGGAATTCAGAGGATTATACAGAAGGTGTTTGACTACCTCTGAGGAGTGCAAAGTAGTAAAAATGTGAATTGTATTGCAATTCGTAGGCCTTACCGACCTGGTAGCAGTAGCCAGAGCCGGGCCGCCAAATGAAGGCTATAAGTTAAGCTATTTTCTAAAGATTGTGTCTTCAACGGACGTAAAAGGATCCAAGAATAGTAGCAAGATCAAAATGTTCATAGAAGCCCGCAACCAAAATGAAAGCTTGCTCGCAAGGTCAAAAGACGATGGCTTCGCCGAACTTTTCATCAATGCCATGCGACTCTCGCCGAGCGTAGGAGCTTCCTCACTTGCTGGGGAACCATGTCCTTGGTCCGCAAGCTGACCTTCCGGAGGGCCTGCAAATGTCGGCTTTTGCGAAATACATCGTCCCACATTGGTTCGTTGACGCAATCGATCAGCTCAGTTTTCTCATCAACTGGACTCAGCATGATCGGGACGTCCATGACCTCTTCTTGCTTGGGCTTTAGACCCTTCCATGCTTTAGACTTTGCCATGTGGGTCAAAGGCAGTAGCGCATCGTCCCAAGTACCGGATCTTAGCTCGCATTTCTCAAACTCGAATTCATGCAACACTTTTCGGTGGGACATGATAAAAGCAGACGCTTGGTCCGCATCGAGACTGGCATTGGTGAGATGCATGGTCTTCAGATGACGAAACTTGAGAGGGCGGAACGCAGACTTTGCGCTCGAGTCTGGACAGGCATTGAAACAATCCAGGGCGACTGGCCGAGCTGTGCACGGCTCGATGTGAAGAGAAAGGGGACAAGGGCCTTTGGCCCCTTTCCACCGGAATTTGAGATTTTCCAGGGCCCGCAGCGAGCCCAGGTAGCTATGAAGGATCTTGAGATGGTCGGAAGGTTGATCACGACCATACTCAAAGGATTCCATTTCGATGTGGAGAGTTTTTATACGTCTCCACACACGTGTAGAAGCAGGTGACGAGCCAATGCTCGTCTGCGGTCGTAGATGGAGCATTGCTCCAGGATGTATCGGTGCAAGAGTGAGAGATTCAAGCTGCACTGGGTTGGCCGTCTCAATTGCCAACCTTAGTGAGACCAAGGCATAGTCTACAATGTCTCTCCTATACCGCTGACCGGATGGCTGGTCTGGACATGAGATATGAAAATGCTCAAGATTTGGCATTGCAATAAAAGCCCTGAGAAAGGACTCGACATCGGTAGCGGCATGAAACAGAGGTGGATAATGTTTGACCAACAAGTCATTCATCTCCCATGTTCCATATTTAGAAGACGAAGTCGATGAGTAGTTGGAGTAGCATGAGGAAGTGGTCGAGCTGGAAGAGGAAGAAGGTCTTGACGTGCTAAGACGAGGCTCGTAAACAAACTTGACTTCCTCTAGAGTGCCTGGAAACAGAAGAGGTGGAAGAAAAGTGTCGGCATGGTGCGGCATATTGAACACCACCGTCCGTACATGAATGCCGATACGATCGAGAGCCGACATTCGCGCCCGACGGGTAAATGTATTGGTGCTGAAGTGGACAGAGAGAGATTTGAAAAGGATGGGAGCGACGTTCCTGGCGACTTCTTTGCAGACTAGTCGCATTGACCGAAGATCAACCTGCTGAACCTGGCTCAAGATGCACTGTCGAACTCGATCGTTGCGCCAAAGATTGGCGAAGGCATTTGAAGGCATGTTGGTACTGCTGCATTGCTTGCGTGATTATGTAAAGTTGAAAGTGTGGGAAATGGGTGCGAAGTAACCCGATAGTCGTACACAAAGAGATAGATGTTTCCGAGGCACGTTCCAAAAAAAGAAACAAGAGTGGAGAGTTTGTGAAGAACACAGTGAATGAAAATGAGGCTACCTTCGTACAGGCATGTCGGAGCCAGGCAGATGGAAAATATGTCACAAGTGTATATGGAGGGAAGCCTTGGATGGAAGAGGTATACAAGGCAGTAAGAGGGGAAATTACAAACATACTTAATGGTGGGAGAGCGTAGAGATATAGAGTGAGTCATTTTCGAACGAAGGGGAATGGCAGTCAACCCTCGCTGCTGCATATGTTTTGTCGTGCTATCTCGCGAGTTTGGCACGGTTATGAACACGCGAAAATGGGAGAAGAGAAGATCATAGGTTGTTAAGTGGAAGTTAAGGCACGAGAAGGAGGTTGGAGACGCACGAGGTGCATTAGACGCAAATCTCGTGTGGCGCACGCGACAAACGCCGGACCCTTCCAGAACTATGCCTTCCTCACCCTTTGAAGGCTTCTATGGTCCTTGGGTTGTTGTGGCTGGTATACGATCATGCAGGGAACCAAATGATTGTTGTGATGGTACGGTAGATCCCCCGGTTTCAAAAGACTGGGTGGGCTTCAAATCGTTGGTGTTTGTCATGTGTGATGAGATCAATCACGGTCCGTGCCTACCACACACACGTGCAACGCGTCGAGAATCGCGATACATGATCGTCTGGGGGCGAGGCGGTTTTCTCCGCACTCATCCCTCATACTGCAGAATCAGGTTTACGAACAGTCTATCTTCGGCATTCAGGAATGCACACGTGAAGGTCCATGCCTGAGCCTACAAAGCAACGGCGGGAGTGAGACTCACGTACAGAATAGGAAGTTTCATAACCGCCGCTATGCCCATTATCTTAGGCGGAACTCGAAGTCCTGCTGCGATATCTTGAGGAGAATATAGCTGAGGCCTCCATTAACCTCTCTCGGTGGCACATTCCATTCTATCTGATCTTGATGTCTCGGCAAGCAGAATCCTCAAACCCATCACCGTACATTATCTCCAAGACGAAAGCTTCTCCAACCAGTGTATGGTATCCTCCACCTTGATCGCGGATTACCAGGGGTACACGCCCACCACGAAACAGGGCAATCTCATCCCCGACTTGAGCTGACGCTGGTACAAGGCATAGGTAACCTCCCTTGGTACGCCCAAGCCGTCGATGCGTCAAATGTTTCATCAAGTGACCGAAATCGGGATACTTCTGCCAGGTTGATCGGAGATACGCCGCAAGGCCGACTGGTTTGAAGATGCTCGGGGCTAAGCCCACGCGCCAGCGTAACAAGCTCCGAATCGGGGCTAGCGATCCGTACCATTCGCGGTATTGGCGTTGAGTCTCTGTGTAGCCTTCTGGCATCTGATCCGTGCAGAGGGTACGCCAGTATACCTCTTCGTGTGACACTCCGGTCCGAACAGGCGTCGGATCCTGAATCGCTCCAAGCTTCTCCCAGTTGATGAACGTAGAAAGGTACGGAACAAGGGCAAAGAAGTTCGAAGATATATCTGAAATCATCTGCCCTGCGTGTCTAAAGTCCTTTCCTGCTTCTCGAAGGTCGGCAAACCAGCCTTTCTCCGTCGTGTTGTCGCAAGGTTCGTCTTCTTCGAGGTCGGACACCTCCCAGTTTAGTTCTGCCATGTCTGGAAGTGAATCGCCAAGTTCAGTGATCTCATCAAATACATTGCCTGACAAAATAATCGTTTGGCTGTAGTCTGTGAACCGTGGTGAGGCGCGAGAGTCCTTCGCTGCGGCGAACTTTCTACGTTGGCCTTTGGCGTCCTTCCCCAGCGGGAGTGCAATGCTGCCTTGGGTACTCCAGTCCGGCACCCAAGATGGTACCTTCAACACGCTCTCGTTCCGCTGATTAACCGAGCAGACACCAAGAAGGTCCAGATTTCCTGAACATGTCATGATTGCTTTGGTCGCATTGATGTAGACGTGCTCGGTCGAACTTTGATAGTCTGGCACGATAGCTAAGTCGATACTTGTATCATTCACCAAGCCCAGGCATGCAAATATCTTGTCCCTATGATCCGTGGCACTGCGCTGTCGCAGCTCAAAGAGGAGATCCAGAAAGCGGTCCGCAACGGAGTCAAGTTTGTCGACCTCCTTCATGGTCATGAACGACTGGAGCTCTTCGAACTGGCCGCTTTCGATCAAACCTAGAACGTGCGTCTCCCACACACCTTTAGCGAAGCCTATGTCAATCGCTGTCGTGAAGGTATCCCAACTCATTGTATTCCATCCGCAGACGATAGTAACATCTCGAGCGAGGATTACTTCTTGTACAACCCAACAGCGCGACCTGTCAAAGCACTCGTCAGTCAAAAGTCATGAGACATATCGTAGCCACCAGATAATGGGAAAAGGAGATAAGATATAGCAGGTCTTGGCTGGGCTCGAGTCTTGTACGCGAGCTCAGGGAAGCCAGCATTCGCCCCTCCTGCTCACTTACCACCAAGGCTTCTCCACAAGGTCCTCAACTGATGTATCATTGCTGTCGAACTCCTCTTTCATAGCATCTGCGGCGACGTTCTCGCCCTCCAAGCTGTCAGTCCCAGCATAATTGGCCAGGCGTGCACAGGTGGCAAATGCCCGCGCTGTGCTGTCGTCTGGCGGTCCAAGCCAAATCACAGTCCTGACAGCGGAGCGGTAGATGTCACCCATGATCGAGACTTGTTGAGCGCGCTCAACTAAGTCCTGTTGATTAATGCATATGGCGTCTGCCCAGATCAACCTGGGCTCACCCGGTGTGCGAAGGTGGAAGAGCGCGGACCGCAAACTCCGGGTGATGTTGAGATTGAAGCCATCGATATCAATTGGAGTTACATCATTTGAGTCGCCCCAGCAGTAAGATAGGGCTTCGTACGGAGGTACGTTAGAGAGAGGATACTCGTGTAGTGTGCAAGAAATGTCGTCTTGCCGTGTTCCAGGCTGGAGTTCAAGAATGCGCAACCTTCTCTCGTTTCCGGACACATGTAGAGATGAATATTGATAGGTTATGTCTCTCGCGACGTTATTCTCATTGTCCTTGGTCAACAAGTCAGCGCACCTCGGAAACATCATAAGTGCGTAACCGTACCGGCGGTACGTCTGGCTTGGACTGCTCAGGCTCTTCCCAGGGCGCAAGCAGAGGCCGCGGCTCTCTAAGTCCTAATCCCTCGGCGAGCCCACCCCACAAGGCATCATACAGGAAATACTTGGGTGCGTCATAGGCAACGAACTTCGCTGCTCGCGCCACCGACGGTGTCCGGCCAGATGGAACTCCCAATACGCTGCCCAAGGCGGTGTCCAGGACAAATTTCTTGCTGGACATGAAGACAGCCTTACCAGACGTTCTCAGGGCGAGGATCAACTCAGTCAAGGTAGCCTTGAAGTTGCGCTGAGACGTTTCTTGAGCGGAGATAAGCCTGGCACCCAACTGGTGGGTGCCTGGCAAGCGAAGTGAGAAAGCGAGCTGGACACACTGGCGAGTTTGGTCTAACTAGGCCATAAATCATCGTCACGTGGCGCTAACAGTTCGCTTTAAATAGGTACCTACGTACTTTACTTGCGTCACTCAAATACCTACCTAGGTAGGTAGTAACTACATCTCGAAATACCTGGAGATGAGACATGTCGCAAAGAGGCGTTAGGCTCTCGGAATGCTTGCAAATATTCACAAGATGTGTCACCACGGCCTCAGTAATGCTGTTGTAGGATCGTGCTGCTCCAGGATTGGGACTCGTTTGTGGTTCCTACAAGCACCAACCCTCTGATGGCCCGATTTTAGTAATAAAGCCAACACTTGATGAGTTGAATTGCGAACCACCACTACAGCGAGGCTCGGGTCTGAGTGTCAGGCATCTGAGGAATCGGACGTTGAGAGCGTCATTCTAAGCTATTTCAGCCCGATCTCATGCAGCCCGCTACCAAGAGGCCAGGCCCTCTGACCCAGCTTGAGACTTTGTCCTCTCAGATCTAGAGCCTGAAGCGTACTCGATCCCATTGGCTACCGAATTTAGCATCTGTTTAATCGCTCCACGGACTTCTGAGTCGTCTGAGTTAGTCGAGGAGAAACAACAGAGCCCTGCCTTGCTGAGACTCTTCCACAAGGGCTGGGTTGGGCTGAAACTTTGGTTCCAAGCCTGACAAATTCGACTACAGCAGCGACTGATTTGATTTCTGAGAGGGTGAGGTAAGAGCCCCCTCTTCACGGCGACAAATTCTGTCCAGATGTTTCAGCCTAATGCCAAAGCTCACTTCCTCGCAGTCAACGTTGGCATATGTGCTTCTATCCAAACTTACCATTCCACATCTAGTTGAAGTTTGTTGGTGGAACGATCTCCCTCAAGCATGGCAGTCTTTAACAGTTCTCGAATCCACTCGGTCAAGAACTTTTGTACCATTACTGGCTCTAATCTCCAGCAAATATTCAGTGTGAAGGAGGATCGACTATGCTGCGATCAGGACAAGATAGTGGCTCTCAAGCTTACAGGGAATCACAGCACGCGCAACACTATTCCGATAAAAGTGGATGTCACATTTTCCGTTGATAGAGCTGGGGAATATTTTGTTGCCGCATGGGATTCCGATGGTGGGTTTCGGTTCGAGAGCGACACATTCACAGTTTTAGGGGGAGACCATGTCCTACAGCTTGGCCCCTTCTATGCCAGTTGCCAAGTCGATTGTCCTTTCCGAGCAGCAATTGACAACTGGGCAATTTACGATCGTGAGAGACGAAAATTAGACGAAACTAATTCCGGGAGCATTGAAATGTACATTTTTCTAGGCTCTACTGCCCTGCCTCTGGAGGAGTATGTTGGTCAAGATGTTCACGTTCGCGAACTCATCTGGCGGACAATTCCCCGCTACTTCGAAGTGGCAGCTCATAGTTTTGCCCAAGTAAGGCAAAAAGTGGTTACGGACGTCATGTTTCGCTTCTGGCACGGTGGCGGCCAGGATTTTGAGTATGATATGAGGAGTGGGGCATCCTCATTCCTAAAGGGTAATTGGGTATTGAACGAGAACCGATTCGAGCTTGGGCGGATGCTGCTGAAGCAAAGCCAGCATTGCAATTGCGACGATCTTGCAGCACTAATGTACGCAGCTTTCAAGTCCTTTGGCAAGAAGCAAACAGCGGAGTCAAACGGAAACGAGACCGACGTACGTGTGCCCTTCTTCTCGTGGACGAGTTCCCCACCTTGAAAATTGCAGACGGCGTAGAAGGGTCAATGCTGACTGAGAGTGGCAGATATTCGACATAGAGATCTTCAACGTGAACAATTGGGGCTACATCTATCCATGCACGCTCTTTGGGACAGGGGCCTCGAGCGCGGAGCCTTGCAATAACCCCTTCTTCCTCTCTAGTCCCGAAGGTGTGCCGCTGATGGACTCTCATGATCCAAATCGTCACCCATTTGGAAGGCACTGCTTCGCTCTAATGCGGAATTCAGGGTCGGATATCAAAGTCATCGACTTGTGTGTGGCTCTACAAAACCCTGATCCTAAGTCAGACTATCACGAACGTCAGCACATTCTTATAGCCGGAGGCAGCAATTTGGAAAACTACTTGGCTTATACAGACACGGGCGCAGTGCCGATGAAGCAAGACGATCTACAACGTACGTCTACCAGCTCCTCTCTGCCTGTCTAGGATCGCTAACAGCGAAAACTGTAGATAAACCTCTGACATCAGTCTCAGCTCGGCTCTCGGATCTGGACCGAAACTGCCGTCAGATCATTCGCGACATTAAAACGGTTGCGACTATCAACATGGGACCAGTGGAAGGAAGCCTTCATAAATTCCCGGAGCTTCCTCATCATGCATTCCGTCCGCAAGATGCTCGAGAAGTTCACGGGAAGATCCAGGTCTTGAAAGCCTTTGGGAGGCTCCCGATTTTTGATTGGGATGTGTGACTTGCCGGCTTCCTGCACTCCAAAACGCTAGTTGGTACAACACCAAATATGAGTATCTGCGGTACTATAGTAACCATTATTAATGAGAAACACACTATCACGGTCTTATTCAAAGGTATAGTGGATAGTATCAAGTCGTAGCACCGAAGCTAAGTAGAACAGATATAGGAAGCGAGAATAGAGTAGTCTAAACCGACGTTAGTGTAAGAATCCGTGACACGAGATCATAAATACCCCTACTCCGTATGAGTTGAATCATTTCCTACCTGGGTAGGTAGGGGCCTAGCCGCCTAGGTAAGGTACTCCGTGGAGCGTACTCTTAGGTGCCCAGGTCCTGAACGTGGTTAAGATTGTTACCGAGGTATCTGGAAGGATGACACCTGAGACGGAGCCCCCAAGCCCGGCGAGCCCGATCCCATTGGAGTCTTTTCATCGTGTTCCCTTTACACTTCGCCACACCAACATTCACAATTTTTCTCATGTCCTGAGACGCCCACGAATGAGCTCCTTTGACCTCCAAGGCTCCTTTCCAAGGCAGTGGATCAAGCTTTTTCGGGTCACCTCCACGCCGAAGAACATGACATCAGGGAACATGAATATTCTCAGCAGGGAATTTCTTCCACATGGGAGGCACGCGACTGTTTGCCTCTCTTATAAATGTATACCTACGCCTTGTAGCCTCGTCTTAAATTGTTGATGCACAAACCTACGCACTATATCCGGACAATCAGTCCCCTTTGGCTCTGTCCTGCATAGGTTCGACCATATACCGGTACATCTGAAAGACTTGTCCCGTGAAATTGCTGCACGAGACCACTTGCCCTACCGGCGATTCACACCAAGATGATCTCTTATTTGAACCCCATACCGTCGCTACCAAACCCTCTGGGACCTCACAAGGTTGGTACTTCTGAATGGGAAATTCCAGTTTCAGAGATCACTTCATCATCACAATCACCCGATCCAATCATCTCAACAATTAAATTCCGCCTCTACTACCCAACTCCACCCACAGAGACCTCAGGCTCAATAAAATGGCTACCTCCACCACAAAATCAATGGATTGAGGCATACTCATCCTTTCTGGGTGCTGGTGCTCGCCTGTCATCCTTCATCTCAGCACTGCCATCTCTCATCAAGTACACAACCATTCCTGCCGTTCCAGACTCTCCACTTCTTCCCCGGACAGTCTCCTCCAAGTATCCCCTACTGGTATTCTCACACGGTTTGGGAGGAAACTTCAATACGTACAGTTCAGTTTGCACTGCGTTGGCAAGTTTCGGTATCGTCTGTGCCGCCCCTGAACATCGAGATGGCAGTGCACCAATCTCCCTCATCCGATCCTCACCCACCCAGCAGACGGTATCGATTCCCTATCAAAAGCATGCCCATTCTCCAACTCCTGAGGTTATTAATGCTCGAAATGCTCAACTTCGGATCCGTTTGTGGGAACTTGACCAACTGTCCACTGTCCTGATCGGCCTCAACAGAGGAGAAACGTTCACAAATTATGCCGCGTCCAAGAATCAACGGGAATCAGTACCTGCCCTGTCAAACGTCCTCGATCTCCGACCAGGCCACATCACCTGGGCGGGCCATTCTTTCGGTGCAGCAACAACAGTGCAGTTTGTCAAGTCGATCTACTACCGTCAACACCTACCTTCGCTGAAGGGAACTCAGTACGAGAACGACCAAGATTGGAAGCCTCTGTATACTCCAGCAGAGAATGGCGAGCTCGTGAAACAAATCACACCTGAATCTCCTGTTGCCTTGCTCGATCTCTGGACAATGCCGTTGAGAGGAGATACCACAGAATGGCTCTGGCAAAAGCCTCTGCCATGCTATGACCGCCAGTCCTCGTCTGGGACAGACAACACAAACGCCGTCGCGATAATGTCTGCCGAGTTCCACAGATGGGCCGAACTCTTGAACCGCACCAAGGCAGCCCTATCGCCTCGACCCGCCGAGGCGATCAAAGAGCTGGAGCGGAGGAGATCCGAGTCTTCTTCGACATCGTCGCAAGACTCATCCACGAGCTCCAAATCAGCAGCAGACATCAAAGCACCCATCCCCTTCCCCGACGAAGCCACACCACCATCATCAACCGTCTCCTCCAACGAACCCAGCCGAACATCCACTCCCATCCCAACCTCCACATCATCCTCACCACCAGCTCCACCATCCTGCACTCCCAAGCAAAACTCACCATCCCTCTATCTAATCCCTCACTCGGCACACCTCTCGCAATCAGACTTCGGCCTCCTCTTCCCAAACCTGACGCGATATCTGATGAAGGCACAAGACCCGCAGAAGACCATCGAGCTGAACGTACGAGCCATCCTGGCCGTCATGCGCGGCAGAGGTCTCGAGATCGAACATTTTCAACCAAAGACTTCTCCTGCCAAGTCAAAGCAACAGCAACAGCAACAGCAACCTCAGCAGACTGAGAAAGCCGAGAATCTCCTCGACGCGATTCTCAGCCAGGAGGGCATTGAGGATCGCTTCGTGAAGTTGTCGCTCAATTAGTAGAGCGAGCACAAGGGGCTCGGGGCCTTGTTTTGCTTTTTCTCTTTCGCATTATAGTCGCTTCTCCTTACCTGCTTTCACATTTTAGGCTTGGCTGGTTCGAGCAGGCTGCTGAAGAGAGGTCCGATGCGGCCTTGAATACCCATTCAGTACTTTTGACGGACTTTTCATACAAGTCAATTCTTATGATTACATATATTACTACATATTTGTATAAATCTAAAATAGGACCGAGGATCCGCTCTTAAAGGCAGCGAATGTTCCGAGGTGGGGTTTGTTTGGAGGGGAACCTGAACTGGGTTTGCAATAATGGAACCTTTTTTCACCCCTCCAACTTGGGGATTGAATGGCATTCCGGATAAATCATCCGTTTCCGGTAGGAGTGGAAAGATAGAACAAGACGATTCTGCACTTGCAGCTCTTTGGGTTGAATATTCTCGCTATGCTATTGGAATCTGTAGTCTAGAGTGCCGGAAAGAAGAAAAGGAAAGCAGTACTTTGCATGAGGGCTTTTAGCTCCATGTTCGAGGTTTCTCTGAGCACCCCAATCGATGGAGAGCCAGATCGCTTTCCTTCAAACCCCCTTCCGTTTTCGTATTCTCGTCATAATTCGAGGTTGAGATGGGAGATTGAGACCATGCAGCCTTGTGTGAAAAACAGTCAAGCTGTAACGTTGTCTCTGGTCTCCCCCGAATCTCCTGATCTCACCACGTTGAATCTCACCACAGGTTTGGGAAGTTCTAATCATCATCGACCTTCTTTATGTCGTCTCGCTAAACCCATCCAATGTTTGCTGATGATAGAATCCTGATTCACCACACGGCTGGTCGATGCAAGTGGGAAATTAGAAAGGTGGCCCGCTTACAAATCGGGGTCCTCCTCGTCGGGCAGAGGCATGGCTGCGGCTTCGGTCATTTCCTTGTGGTATTGATCAAGCAATTGCTGGTTGACTGTGACCTCTGGAGGGGCAAGCGCGGGAGCGGCGACAAAGTCAAGCTGGGGGTTGCCGACCAATTTGCGAGCTAACCAGAGGAAAGGCTTCTCGAAGTTGTAGTTGGACTTTGCGCTGATATCGTAGTATTGGAGATTCTTCTTGCGGTGGAAGGTGATGGTCTTTGCCTTGACTTTTCGCTCCTTGACATCGACTTTATTTCCGCAAAGAACAATTGGGACATTCTCACAGACACGGACCAAGTCACCTGGTGGGAGAAAATTAGCTGGGGATACTAGGAGACTCAAGAGGCTGGGAATTCTTACGATGCCAGTTGGGAACGTTCTTGTAGGTAATTCTGGAAGTAACATCGAACATGATGATACCGCATTGGCCATTGATGTAGTATCCGTCTCTTAGACCGCCGAATTTCTCTTGACCAGCGGTGTCCCAGACATCGAATTGGATTTGACCGAGGTTCTGCAATCTTGATGAGTGACGACAGAGGCGATTGTAGACACGGTACTTACAGTCGAGAAGCCCAACGGGTGAACCTCGACACCAAGAGTGGCGATGTATTTCTTTTCGAACTCACCCGTTAGATGGCGCTTGACGAAGGTTGTCTGTTGAGAGAGAGGGGTCAGTGAGTGTAACTACAAGCAGATGGATCTGCGCCTGAATGTCATCAGCGAGAGGCCTACCTTTCCAGTACCACCGTCACCAACAAGGACGAGCTTGAAGGTTGGTGGGCCTTGTGCAGCTTCCGCCATGATGAATTGATGTGGTTTGGAGATAAGATATCGGGATGGAGGGTTTCAGGAAGGGCGGATGGTCCTTTCAGCACAGGCAGTTCGATGATGGGGTTGAACGGTCGTGCAAGATACACAGAAAAGAAGGAAGAAGAGGTTGGTGAGTGGTATTGGGCAGGATGAAGATATGATGAGGGTAGGCGCAGATTTGTTTTCAGAAAGCGCCGCAATGCCAAGACACCAAATCCAAGTTGCTGGGGTCGGCAGCTGCCATCACCAGTGACTGCCTGTTGGAAGAGGTACGGCATTGGTACTACGTTCACCTCTCAGTTTACTACCGTAACGAAGTACCTTGCAAGTACCCACTAAGTTTTCGCAGTTCGACGTCACTGCCTACGGATTTGACTTTGGAGTCAGTTCCTTCCTTCTCACCCACGCTGGCCAATACAATGTCGCCTTAAGAAATCTTCCAGGGTTCTCTTCACAGTGGAAATTCATCTGTATTTGACTGTATGTAGTTCTACAAGTGATTGTGAAAGGTTCGCGACGTCGCGCAGTCAACATTGTTGTACAATCGTTCATCTTCTTGCCGATGGTTGCCTGTTGGAGATAACCGTCTGCGTGCACTTGCAGTGTGACTCTTTCTCCTTAACCTCATCGACATCGCGCTCGAGTGATATCTCGGATCTTCGGCCCAGGAGTACCCCAGTGCAGTACGAGCTTGTTGCAACCCATTTCGGCATTGAGCATGCATCAAAGTCTGCAATCCTGATGTAGAGACTGTGAATTTCTGGTCGATTCATTGGCATGCTCCTGTCTCGATCAAACCTCCTCCATGTGTCATTGCCATGGCTGACTGACTGGTTTTTCGCATGCCTTGGTCTCTTTTCTCCCTCCAACGGGGCTCAATTCTGTTCAGATGGGTACAATGTGACACCCCAGTGACCCTCGGCCACCCCAATTCTGTCGTGGTGTTAACTTCAGATCCAGCTCTTGGCCGTCTGTCGCACCTCCACGGGAAACCACAACCTGTATTGGTCGACCCAGATTTTGGCCAACAACCTCACCAACCTTGCGCAGTCTTTCATGGTTCGACCATACGACGCTGCCAAATCGTCGGATCAGATCACCTGCCTTCAGACCGGCCTCATGCGCTGGACTGCTAGGCTCGACGCTGTTGACTTTGGCAAAGGGAGTTTCTGGAGTGGGTAGCTGCTGTTGGGGCGCAGGTGTGGGAGTGGGATTTGATTGTGGTTGTAGGAGAGATTGCTTGTATTCATCTGAAGCCTGGTATTTAGCATGATGTTCATGAAGGCCTTTCTCAATTCTGTCCATAAGATCTTTCCAGTCATTCCGCAGACTGATGATCCTGGCTCGTGTCACCCGGACTTGGGCCACATCGATGTCAGATCGAGGGAAACCATCAAAGGTAGTAAGAGTGGTCTGCATCGTCACGCCATGGCTATCCAGGACCGCACCCAATGCCTTTAGCTCGGCTTCCAGGTTGTCCTTTCGAACGATGAGTTGCTGGAGTGTCAATCCCTCAAAGGACTGGGCTTGATTGACGGAGGTTGGACCACTGGGGACATGAATCTCTGCTAAATTAGAATCCATTGGAAGTCCCATGGTCATTGACCATGAAAACGTAGATAGGATTGCGTCTTGACTTGGCTACTACACGCAGTTTGTACTCTCAGAATTTAGGAATCACCCGTTGACGACGACTTTGGCGCAGCCTGAGCGGGCAATAATGACTAAGCCAAAGAGGCTACTGCGGGGATTCTATTGCCAAGCCGAGCTAACCATAACGATCATCTTGAGTTTGCCAGTACTAGGTCTGGCATTTGGAAGCAATCCTTGGACTTGCATTTCGAGTACTCCCACCACTTCGATAATAGAGCAACCTTTACTCCGGTGCTTATTTAAGAGGCAGCTGCGGTCTTGATAGCCTCAAACCGCCGCTGAAACCACGCAACGGCCTGTTTCTCTGCCTCCTCCGCCTGCTTGGTCTCCTTCGCATCAGGCTCCGTTCGACTAGCACGAACCGCAAAGCCATGTTGCGCTCCTGGATAGATGACAACTTCCGAGTCAACGTTTTCCTTACGCGCCAGTATTTCCTGCAACTGGCGGACCTGCTGCATATTCATCACCGCATCGTCGTCGCCTATTGCATATGACAGATTCATGGTGATTGCCTCCATGTCCCCCGGAACAGTGACGCTGCTGGCATGGGCGGCAAAGAATGCATCTGCCAAAGGCCGACCGTCTTTCGTCTTCGCATCGGGTCGATCGTGGTTCAGGATGAATGGATACAGCCCACCCCAGCAGAAGCCTGCAATCCCGACTGGGAGTGTGGTACTCTTGTCCTCACGCAGGGCCCGGAGGAAGGATGTCACTCTCGGCCAGCATACTCCGAACCTGTTCCTGATCAAATGCGGGACGAAATCGATGACAACTTTGATGAAATAGTAGCTACAGATTTGTGAGTATGTTCCCAGGTTCACGACAGGAGTTTGTTTCTTTGCACCTACGGAGTCGAGAGCCAGGATGTTTTCTTATCCCACAGGTAAGCCATATTGATCATCGTGCTGACCTGAGCCGCCTTTCCTGGAGGGTCAGAAGGTTAGCCGTAAAGCACCGTCATCAAAATCACTAAAGCCCCGAAAAGTGGTGCTCGAGTCAAACGTGAGGAATAGTTAGTGAACCCACCATCCATAAAGTCTGGAAGGTACACTCGATACTGTCCCATCGAAGCATAATGATCAGCCAAGATCTGATTGTTGACGAATTCTTGCCCAAAGGCATCAGGGATGATCACAATGATCCCCTTCGGCGCTTTCCCGTCCGGAGGATTTGCGATGTACGTCGATCGACCATATACATCCTCAATGCGTCCCAGTGGTGTTCCAGGGTTTATATGGCCAGAGAAACACTGTGGACAGGACATTGTTACTTTCGCGAGGGTCGAGAGATACGCTTGGGGTGAGGATCTAGATGAGCAGGAGGTGGTAGATGCAGGTCGGAAACGGATTGAGATCAAGGACAGGCGAGATCGAGGATCAAAAGGCCCTTTTAGCAGAGTTCAGACCCTGAGCACAAATGCACATGTCTTGCATGTCTGTTATACTCCGTGCCGCTGGTGGAGTGTGAGCACTGCCAATGAAACGTTGGTTGAGATCGACCGCGGCTAAGCTAAACCTCTTTCGGTCCCAATGCATCTATTTGAGTGTCTTTCAAGACCAAGCGAAGATCGAGACGCGTATAATCGTGGCAATCACACGAATTAGGCTTTTCGATATCGTTGAGTAGCTGACCTGAGTTCTTTCGATAGTTCTGGCGATGATTCATCACTCGGTGTCCTGTATGATCATTGGGTGACTGCCCGGAGCAAATTGGGGCGTTGATAAGAAGCATTGCGGGTGGCTCGAATACGAAGCTTGACCATGCTTGGATGTCATAAAATGATACTCCAGTGGGAGGGGAAGTGTAATTTCAGAACGCCGACAAGTCAAAGCCAATTCGAGGATCCTTGATGGGAGGACTAGGCACCGAACCAGGTCTGTTGGCCTCAAATAAGCAATACTCTTGCACCGAGACTGTCCATAGCCTCTCTCCACCCGATTCTCAAACTTCTGTGCTTATGTTGCAGCCTCCAACATTCCTCCATCACCATCAGACCTTTCCATGACATGCCAGGAGGTTCCGACTGTTGCATAGTTCGACTGACTATCCGACGAAACCTTCCGTGGTGCTCGCCTGTTGACATGCACCCTGCAATCGTATAGGGCCAACAAACTCGGATGACAAGACGTGTAGGCAATTTCTCCAGTTTTTGGAGACAGGATTCAACGAGAGCATGAACCAAACCTGATTGTGTTCCTTTTGTTTCCAAGATTGCGACTTGCAGAAGGATCTGCGCAGCGCAGGCCCAGATGCTACTTACAAGTCTAATATCCTCGTCAAGATTGGAAACAGCTGGCCCATTGAACTGATCCCTTTCCTTTTCGAGTTTCTCTAGGCCAGATTTCAGTTCTTCTGCTAGCTGGAGTCCTCGTTGCGTCACGTCCACCATGGGATGGATTGTAGTGCCCTGGGTACATTGCGTCGACTTCGCTGGTTCCAGTCTCGCAATTGCCACAATCATCGCCATTATCCATCCTTGACACCCCATGGCACGCTGTGTCTCGATCACACCGTTTTTAAGAAGAGAAAGATAGTCGAAAGCGCAGGGAGAATAAGCGGTGACCCCAAAGGTAGATATAGCGATGACATCAATCCATACGAAGTTCATAATGCAGAACTCCATGGACCGTTTCTGCTGATCGTCGATTGACGATGATGACAGGAGAGAGCCTATGGGAGAATCATTCAGTTTGGTCGAACTATCCACTTTCGATAGCGATCTCAATTCAATGTCGTTCAATAGCAGTCTTGCAGCCTGGTAGTGGATCTCCCAGTACCCCTGAAGCATGCTGAATATTTCGAGATTGATCAGGTTGAGAACGACATCAAGGAGTGATAGCCCCAGGCAGATCAGTTCTTCCAGAGATTGGTTTTCCTCGGTCACGAATTTGTGGATTCTGGGGTGCAACTGCGCAATAGCTCGATTTTGCAATCTCCTGACCTGGGGACAGATCCCAATACTATCGGTCTTCGGTGGTTCAGTCAATGAGTGATCAAAACAAGCACTGACGCTCAAGGCAATATTGTATAGAGCTTCGTCACCGACCAGGCGAGCGAGAAGCCAGCTTCGATCTTTGTTTGATGGGAGTTGGTAAAAGCCATGTGTGATTGGATGAATGACTTCCAAGAACATCGTAAGTAGTCGTGTGTTTTGTCGATGAGAACATGAGCTTCCTGGCACTAGATTGTTGATAGCACTGTCCCACCAGATACTCTCTGGATAAAGCTGCCATATGTTCGGGGTGACCACAGTCCTTGAACATGATATCGTAACTGTACTAGTGGTGGTCTCTGTAAGTTTTGCCGTTGCCTGGGCAAGGTGATTCCCACCAAAGTCACTCCCTTGGGCGTCTCTGAGAAGAGCGGTAGCAGGAAGAACATTGCCTTTCTTCAACCCAAATTTCCTCCGTATTTTATACCGAGTCGCAGCAAGATTTCGGAGAGCTTTAGCCTCGGCAGAATCCTTCACCTCTTCCCAGCTCGCTTTGGTGGTAAACCAGGCTGGTAGAGGTGCATTGTAGCCAAAACAAGTCACTTCAATTGAATGGCATGTCTGACATGCTGGTCGCTGCTCATCACATTTCTTCTTTCTTATTCGGCATGTGAGGCATCCTGTTCGGCTTCGTGAACCAACCGACATTGCCTTTCTCAACAGGGTCTGTTATTTAGCCGTTGGAGAGTACGGAAAAAGGATGCGGGATAGTGCCGTCAAGACTTCAACCACATCATGTAGAACATCCCTCGGAAAGAGTTTCATATCCAAGGCATGACTGTTTTGCTGTTGCCCTTGAGGATGCGTGCGTAGTCGCTGTGCGCCTGGCCATCTGAGTTCTGTGGCTGTTGCCAGGGATCAGTATTAGTTGAGCAAGTGTACCACCCCGTTAACGATCCAAAGCACAGTGAATTCCAGCCGCTGAAGTGTCTGATCCAAAACACCGTGTATAAAGTTAGGTCATGGACCGACATACGAACGATTGATGAAACAGAAGGTGGTGATGACGTTGCGCTTAGGCACTCGTAGAGAAGGAAAGAGCCCGAAGGGGGCCCGAGGCTAGGTGCCATTAGTGTTGGCGGGTTATCCGCCAAGACTTTCACGCGTTTCACGACAATAACAGCCTCTCCTATTGTCTAGAGTGACACTCTTTTATTAGCATTTCTCATAGTAAAATTGGTATCATTAGAAATGGGAAGAAAACGTTGTCGTGCTGAGGCTATATCATTGCCAGAGAGTAATTTGGCGTCACGGAAAAGGCGGTCAATTATTGACACTCCACTCAAAAATCGCATTATTAACGAGGTCGAAGTTCTACAAGGTCAGGTTACTCAACGCGCTATTTTCCAACGCCACGGAGTGTCACAACGCTCAGGAGAGAGGATCCTGGCTAGTAATGATGCCCGATCAGCCTCAGGGCATCAAAACCAACCAAAACGCCTCCTAACGGAACGAGATCTCGCTGCCATTGAGACCTATAAAAATACCTCCTTTTTCCTCGGTACTCAGACACATTTTACGATCGCAAATTAGTTAGGAATACGCCATGCCTCTAAGCGTACAATACAACGAAGAATGGCTGAATACGGAGTATTTACATATACTGCCGCTCAACGAAAGGCTCTCACGCCTGAGCGAGCTCGAATGCGCCTCGAGGAGCTTCAAAGTCAACATTACTATATTCAAAAGGCCTATTGGCGTCGACTGGCATCCTCTGATGAAGCTCACTGGGGCTTAGGACCTGCTAAAAGAGCTAGGCTACATCGCAGGAAAGGAAACAAGGCACGTTTTCACCCAAATAAAATGCAAAATCGCAGGAAACGATGTACTCAGCAAATCCACGTTTTTGGCGCAGTTTGGCATTCTGATAATCTTGATAAACCTGGTAAATCTCGCCTTGTTTTCTATACTGGATCAGGTAAAAGGGGTGCTATAATACAGCCAGATTATAAAAGGATCCTCAGGGAGTGTATTGCCGTAGATATGCCAACAGGACCTTCAGGAAAAGTCCTTCTAGAGGACAATCATCATGCTCATAGGCATAAACCAAAGTCACCAATACGCCAGGTAAAGGAGCAATTAGGTATTCGCTGACAGGCGAATATACCTACTAGTCATGATCTCAGTATTATCGAGAAGATATAGAGGACAATGAAACAACGGATAAAGGTCCGTGGTCCACCTAAAGGACTCGATGAATTAAGGCAATAGATACAGCAGGAATGGGATACAATTGATCAAGATATGATTAATAGATATATTGACGATATGCCAGATAGAGTCCTAGATATCATTGCGCGAGAAGGAGCTCTCCTTACATACTAAATTATATACAAAATAGACTAGGTTTGGCTAAATGGTAGTAATTTTACTATGGGGGTGAGGAGGAGGCATAACCCGCCAACACTAATGGCACCGAGCCTCGGCCCTTGAGTGCCCCTTTAGGCTTTAAAGGCGGCAAGGCCTGCCAACTTCGGCCGAGTCCGTAATGCAATGCCAAGAACCAACGGAAGGACATCAACACAAGTTTCAAGCCTCCCCATAAATCTGACCTCCTGTTACCCGTCCCACCTCTATGATATATCACATCTTTCACGCTGCTACCTTTATTTCGCCGTGTAAATAATTGCAGAGGTCGTGATCCAAATCACGTCATGCAGATCACAATATCAAGCAGGTCCGAAAGATGCCGGACATCCTTCGAAGACAGGGAGATTTTGTTCCTCCTTGACTCGCGGCGTAGTAGGCTTCAACGCCCATGTTTCACAGGACAATCTCATTACATGCTGCGTCCTCATGTCAGTCGGCACCTGAGTTGATTGCTTTATTCCCAAGCCGGTCGGAAGTCAACAAAGTTGAACTTGTTGACCTCTTCACTCAACAGGTCGCAAAAACGCCATGATCGTAACTGCTGCCCATTCTCGTGGTAAACACCGGCCTTGCTCTTTCCCAACCACAACAACACCTGCAGCTGGACTTCCTTTTCCTGAAGTTGATTGACTGCTAACATCTAGCTGCTCATCTTTCGCTTTTTTCTTCATTGTTGCAATGCTCTATTGCTCAGCTTTTGGAACTCCTTCAGACTTGGTCTCTTGGTCCTCTCCATGGGAATTTTGACCGTTGGCTTTCCTCTTTTATACATTGTTACACCTTCATCTCTCAAGCCTTTTCATTCCTGTTTATTGTTAAACCATGACTGCTCATATCTTGTGTCCTTCTTTCGCAGGTCCGATCATGAGACACCTCGACACAACACCGCAGTACCTCAATGCCTCCAATTTAGCTTGTGCTAACCGCCCAAATAATTCGTCCTTGATTGCCAATCTTTTCCCTCTCCATCAAGATGATCAGACTTCCACTGCATCGGCATTCTCTGTTGCATCAGCACCGCCCATGGTTGCAAATGAAAATGTCGACCCAATCGAGGTGGAAGTTGAAGCATTATCAACACCGTCTAGAGCGAGGCCCGTCTCAAAAGATGTCACCGTTTTGAAATACCCAAGCCAGACCAAAAGATCCATGAGCTGCAGTCAGAACGAGAGGAAAGTGAATCCCCAAAACAGCCCTCGTACTGCTCTAAAGGCAATTCATGTTCGACAGCCTCTGGCAGAACTGGGTGAACAGAAACGGAAGCCACAACCCCTGCACAGACGTATCAGGCCAATGTTCGGAATGAATTTACCTGCAGCCCTGTCCTCGAACGCAGACCTGCACGTCGGCACCTATGCTCAAGAAGCAAAGTCGACAGATGCCAGTATCGATGGCCATGACGTATCTCAATCCTTACAGTCTCCTCATGGCACAAGTCAGCCAACAACTTCAGTCAACACCGAGGCAGACACACATGCAAATTTAGAATGTACACCCAAGTTGCACCACAGAAAGCGGCTTTCAACAGCATCTTCGGGCTTTGTGCACACCATCAAAACGGCAAGTCTCAGCAATGCCAGCTTCAGTCTCGCGCCCTTGTCCACGAGGATCGGTCGGTCTACTGACAGCTATCTTGCTCCTGGATCTCATCACCGCCCATCTATAGACAGCGATAGACCTGCGACGAACTCGTCAATGGACGATGCTGCTTTTCGCAGAGGTTTGAGGCGACGCCAGATTATCGGAGAGCTGGTCCGGACAGAAGAGAGCTACGTCGCTGACTTAAAATCACTTATTTACGTTTACTCCACACTTCTGGCAACATCAATGAGCTTCCCAAGCGAACTTCGAACTACAGTCCAACGAAATTTCCATGAACTGCTTCACATTCACGAAAGGCTACTTGACCGTCTTCATCAGGTGGGATATGAAGCAGCGGTCAGAAAATGGGCCGACACAAGTTCGCCACTTCGTCTTGGGTCTGCACGTCAGCATAGGCGCTGGCTAAGCTTGGAGACTAATTTGGTGAGCAAGTTTGGCCATGCTCAACGACATCGACAGAACTCAGTAGACTCTGGGGAAATGATTCACGGTCGAGCGGAACTGGGATGTTCTGAACCACGAGACGTTTCCGACATTGCAATCCTGTTCAAAGAATTTTTGAACGACTTCTCTGCGTATGAAGAATATTGCGCGAATCATAGCATTGTGGCACACGAACTTCAGAAGCAGGTAACCACATTGTGGTCGACCTACGAATCTGGCATGGAGTCCCTCGCAAAATCTCTCGTTGCAATTGATCATCGAAAGCGCGATGAGCGCAGAGGTGGAACGGTGGGCGACCTTCTCATCAAGCCAATACAACGTTTGACCAAGTATCCTTTGCTTTTCGAGGATTTACTCCGACAGACGCCAGTCTCGGATTGCCCATCCACTCACGTCGAGGTTGAAGCAACAATCCAATGTTTGAGAGAGTTGGTTCGCGCTGTCAATGGAGCGACGAATAATAGCGAAGCTCGCGCTCAAGTTCTGCGTCGCCAGGCATTGCAATCAAGGCTCAACTACGAAAGAGTGACGCTCCAATCAGACAACTATCGGCTCTTGGGCGATGTTCACCTATGTGGTGTTCTGTATGTAACATGGCAAACCAAAAGAAGGATTGATGGCGCTTACGCGGTATGTGTGCTGTTCGACTTCAGCTTGTTGATCGCGCTGCCAGCAGGAACAACACCTCGACTGGACCTTGTTGCATTTTTGCACCTTTCCGACCTCAAGATTGAATCGGCCAGCGATGGCCAGGGTCTTCAGTGCCATTCAACACTTCATACGTGGAAAATATGTGCCCGAGTCGGTGGTAATCTAAGTGAACTCATCTTGAGCGCCTGCTCCTCAAACGAGGAAGCCGTGTGGAAGGACGGTCTACGCGGAAGATATGCTCCAAAGAACAGAGTGGAAGACGTTTCGACGCAGATTCCCAGCAGTGTCAGTTTGGATCTGAGATCAGTTGGAGCAGTTTATGGTCCACAGAGTACAACTTTGGATCGGAACCCTTCACGATCAGCGACAGTGGGAAACCGAGCCAACGTCTATCAGGTTATCATCCGAAACACGCACAATCCTCAGGACCTTCACGAGTATCGTCAGACGACTTCGTCATCGATCAACAGATCACAGTCTCACATGACGTCAAACCGTATCGTTATCTTGTCGCCAAAAAGATCTGAACGAGCGAGATTGGAGTCAAGTTTGGCAGACATATGGACAAAGGACAAACTGCCTTTTCCGGGAATGATTGGCTCGCGAGGCGGTCAGATCATTCGAGCTTCTGCCGGCTCTTTAGCACGAAAGCTAAGTTTGGCATCAATTCATGCTCCTTTCTCACGGCGCACAGGGAGCATTTCTGTAGCCTCGAGAAAATCCTATGATACCATGACTGATGGGAGTCGAAGTAAAAGGAAGGTATCACCTCCAGTCTTTGAAGTTCGCAAAGAAAGTTTCGAAGAATTGACGTCTGGACCTGCCAGGAAGAAGTCTCACGAAGTGCCAGAAATTGATACAATGGATAATCTCGTCAGTCGCATGATTGGAAACAGTGGAAGCAAGAAATCGGGCTTCTCACAAGGTATTGGGGACTTGACACCATCACACACAAGCAACAATGTTCTACCAGAAGATCCCGCCGATATAGTCTGTTCCGAAGAAAAGGAAAAGAGTGAGAAGGACGAAGTGATTGAGCAGAGCTTTGGAGGCAAAAGGAAACGATGGAGCAATCCAATTGGAATACTGAAGGGGTTATCCAGCGAAGGACTTCGCCACATGTTGTATTCAAGCAAGTAATAGTTGTTAAAATTAGACAGCACAGATGTCAAACTAGTTGCATCTTGATGGTAGGACAGTAAATTAATCGAGCCATCGAATCAACCCTTCATGCCTTGCGAAAAGCCAAAGACGTTGTGTCCTGGTGAGGCTTCGGATTGATTTTCAACTTTGCCTGTGTGCGATTATTATCAACATGTATCACACAGACTCTAAACTTGACGACCATGTGTTCAGCTTGAGGTTTCTTTGGCGATGAAGAACTTGATACAAAGCGCATGTAGGTACTCGTACTCGGTACGGATTGTCGAGTGTGAAATTACTCATATGCCGCCCGCTTATCAACAATGTGTCTCCGTCCAGTGGACTGCCCCGGTGCATATCGCACGCGTACTTTGTACGAGGCACCTCCTCCGTACCTGCAGTAGCCCGGTTAACTAACCAAGCTTAGCTCAAACTTAGCGGGCGGCAAGCTTTCTGTCCAGGCGGGTCGTGGCGTTGCTCGGGCTCGGGCTTTTTGCTTGTTGTGTTTGATCTCTTCTTTCTTCCATTTCTTGGGGATAGTAAGAGTACTCGGTACACGGGTCCTCGTTGTACGTACGGAGAATGTTTGTACTACGCTGCGCTACCTAATTAGCTTGAGCTATGAGTACTCGGCGATCTAGTCCTTGGCGAGGACCGGAGACAAGTGGTTTGATTCTCTCGTTCAATCTCGAGGATGCCACTTTTAATTCGGCCCATGCGGGTGGTCTGCAGTAGTGGTGGGGCTCCGACATCTGGGCTGAGACAAGCATTGTCACGGAAAAAGCTCAGAGGCGTTTTTGTTAACCTTGATCTTGATCGGGGGACGCGAATCTTGATTTTGCTTTGCCTTTACCTTTGCTTTTTGGAGCGAGTGACATGTTCTGTTCAATGGGTTTGTGACTCTTGACACTCTGAGTGCTCTGGTGGTTCTCATTATTATTGGCATAAGTGATGTTTTATCTCCTAGGTTGACTTTCAATGCTGTCATCAAAGTAGTGGGAGATGGGTGTTTGTTAGGACAGAAGGAACTTCTCAAGCGGTTTCTAGTCTCTTGCATATAATAATCGCGAGTGCTAGGGTCACAAAGAGCCGTTCGTTCAGTTCTCAGAAGATATGTACAGATTGCAAGATATTAAGTAGTGTGTTTCTCAGAAACTAGATTGAACTATACGTATTCTTGATTGTTCTGGCGTCTGCTTAGATTTCTCTCGTGCCTCGAAAACGTTCAAAGACATGGATGGCTCGATGGTCCCCCCCCTTGATTTCTGACTCCTGTGACCATTCTGTGCGAGGAGAAATGAACCCAATATTCGGAGACAGTCAAGCATCCACTGTCAAGGAATCGTCTTTGACTTAAAAAGCTCCCAAGGGGAGGCTTTACAGAACCAAAGCCAAACCAGCCATCGCCACGGCACCGACACCAGCCATCTTGCCGTTGACGTTGGCAGCACCAGTGAAGGTGGAAGCGGGAGGCTTGGAGACGGTCGAAGAAGTTGCTGGCTTAGCGGTTGTAGCAGGGGCAGTGGTTGCTGGGGCGGGGATCATGCTGGTCCAGCCGGAGGCGATCGAGTATGAGACCGTGGTTGGGATGCCCCAGGTCGAGCTGCCGCTGCTGTAGGTCGCGGTGTAGCTGGTGTAGGAAGTCCAGTTCTCTAGGCCGGTCCACGCGCTGGTCGAGGCCGGTGCGACGGGGATGGTTGGGTTGGCTGTTGCCTCTGTCACCGATGTCCATGTGCTGTGTCCATCGCTGTATGTGAACGTGAAGTCCCAGGCGGGCTCGGCGACGGCCATGGCCGCGGCGGCGAAGAGTGGGATGGCAAAGAATGATTTCATTTTTGCTGGGTTTGTGTTTGGTGGGGTTTGGGAGGTGTTTTTGTTGGAAGCGAGTGAATTGCAAGTTGGTTGGTAGAGAGAGAGATATCTACTATCTATGCAGGTTGAACGAGTGTATGTGTGAAGTGAGCGAAAATGTGTGTTCACGAGAGAGACAACACAAGCCGATATATACTTCAAATGAGAGAGTGTCTGTGCTGTTTGAGGAAAACAAGCAACGTCGGTGCGTTTGTCAATAATACAAGCGTTGAGAGGGGAAAAGGCCAAGTGCGAAGTATCCCAACTGGGCAACACGAGTTGCTATATACGATCACATCGTGCTTGAGATTCGAAGAGAACAAAGGGGAAAGCTAGCTTGTCGCTCGACTGCCATGGTGTGGGTAAGGACGTGTCAAGCTAGGACAGCCTTGCGCAATTTGTTATCGTGGATTGGTTGTGGTGGAGAGGATCGACCAGGGTATGAAATTGGCATCGGTTGCAAGCGACTCCGTTTGCCCCCAACAACCCACTTAATTGGATTGGTGCTGTCGAAGCAATGCGTTCAAGCTTTCCAGTGCTTGGGATCCTGGATATCGGGCACGGCACAGGTACGGATCAGCCAGAATTGAAACATCAATGGCGTCTGGACCGTTGGGTCATGGGTTCATTCGAACGATGCCAACTCTATCAATTCATTGTCGCACTCCCGTGCAACAATGGAGGCGACGCATTGAAATTGAACCACTCGGTGTCTTGATGTGACCGATTGGGCTTGAGGGATCCTTCCTGATTGATGCATCTCGTTCAAGCAAAGCAGAAATGGTCAAGGCGACCTGAAGGATACAGGTAACCTGCTCAATAGCATTGAACTGTGTTTAGTGGTCGGTGAGTGACCAGTTCCTGGACTAGATGATGTAATTTATCGGAGGCACATTTAAAATTGAACGTTGGTGTTCAAACGATCCGAAACACGAGATCTGGAGTTCAAAGGTCTCCCAGTCCACCAGGTGCCCAGTCCCAGTCTGCCCAAGGGGATTTGCCTAAACTTGGCGAGACAAGCACTCTGCTAAGACAAAGAACGATCTGCTATCCAGCACGTGGTGTTCAAAGAGGATGGTACTCGTACAGATAGATATATTGATATGGTATAGTACAACGGATGAGTGTTTCGTTGAGGCTCTACACTCCGCGCGTGGAGTAGTCAGTGTTGCTTAGCAGAACCCTTCTAATAATGCATCAGTATGAGCTATTGTATATTAAGAAAGCTACACCAAGTAGTTTTGGGAGTGTGAGAAGCATACTGGAACGTGCCAGTGGGACATGAAGGACGTCAAAGGGCGAAATATTGTCGTTGAGCAGCGTCCCAGAGCCCGAGTCTTGCTGCTGAAATCACAGTACACCGTTGTTGCTAGCAGAACTCAGCCCGGCATCGTGTCGCAAGTATTGACCGCACCACGGCTTGCGACCATGCAGTTTTCATGCCAACACACCGGTCGAGCTGTTCTCGTGCCACTGGAAGCGGGCTTCACGGTTCTCTGCGAGTATATGCACTTTCCGCAATCGAACCGGGCGGACCTTACAGTAGAACTGGGAGGCACGTGGTCCCATCGAAATCGAGCTTTAATTGTTTGTGTCAATGGTTCGATTCTTGTTCGTTCCCCGCGAATATGGCGTTCACGGGCCTTCATTGCGTAAGCCATGGTCCTTGCTCTCCGAAATCAATGTCTGCCGTAGCTCATTGCCAGCACGGCCATGGCCACCGGTTACCCAGTACCAGAGAAGTTGTCAGGTCGACGAAAGCCACGGGCAACTAACTTTTCGGGGGGCTCACGGTTGCCTCAGCGGGAGGGCACTGGGAGGCAGAGCCTAGTGTTGTGGGCATTTCACCTTCGCTTGACGATTCTGTGCTCGGAGTTTCCAGTGGTATGTGCCTGTTGCAGCATGTGCGACGAGTTCCATACAATGGTACTCCGTGTGTCCCAACAAAGACTTTCCTCTCCTGCTGGCCGGCAGGTTTGATTTGGTTGAAGGCTGATCAAAGGTATGTCGGAGTGTGGCGCGCTCACTGGTATGCTGAAGAGTGACCAAACCCGTCATGATATGTCTATTTCATGCACGCGTACTACCGCGTGTCGCGATTTCGTGAGAGGTGCAAGACTTCAATGGGAGTTGAGCATTGCGATTGACGACACGCGGTACGGGTAGACGAAGGCTCCCACGACCTGGGGAGTCAGGGTTCGCATTCTGATATCATGTCGCGGTGAGGATTGGGTTGAGAATACATGGTCGTTCGGGCAGACGGCCTAGAAAGAGACATAACCTGTGAGAACTGTGAGAACTGATACTGAGGAGATGATAAATGCAGGTGTGGCACATTCACGTTCTTTTATTACAAGTGGCACACAACCGCAGCTTCTGCTGTGGACGACCTCGTGGAGCGCATCCATGGCTGGTCAAAATCCTTCAGGAAGCAAGCTGCAGCGACCCGCTCTCGAAGTGGTGAAAGCGTGTGACTAACGCGCCATGGATGTGGCGAGTACTCGTATGCACAACATTTCGGCATGGGCTTTCGCTAGTGATTTGGGGGCGAGAGGAAGTGCCTGGAGAGCTTGCCGTCCTAGCCTAATTACTACTTAGTTCAGGCACCCGCCACGAACTTCAGTCAACGACGAGCATCAACTCGCGATAACATGAATGCAACAAGAACAACGTGAGAAGACAAAAATTGTTTTCGGATTCCCAAAAATGTGGGTAAAGTATCTACAATAAATTGGTGTTGCAACTAGGGTAGACGGAAGATCTTGCCTCTCGTCCCTGATGCCCCAAGAGAGTCATTTGACGCGTATCCAACGATCCAGCATTGTTCCAGATTCATTTCACCCGTCAACCCTGATATATAAAAGTTTCATTTGACCAGTAATGCTGGTTTATACTTTGCCCGGTCTGGCACCTCCTCTCTTGGGAACGGTCCAAGGTTCTGCACATACGGTCTGCGAGACCAAGTCAGCCAAGGCCAGTGAGTAACTAGAGCAGAACGACTTACCTCGCCTTCCGAGTACGCCCAAAAGTAAACAATAACTCCAATAAGGTAATACAAAGCAGCGTTCGTCCCTTGGTATATGATGGCAGCGGCGAGTGCTGCCACCGGATATATCACCAATCTCGCTTCCATACTCCGGTGCATGCCAGGAAGCATCGAGACGATAGGCTTCACAGGCCATTCCCAGGCGAAAGCGATTATCCCAAATACCACATTGAGTATTTGCAGGGCGGGAAATGGTTTGACAGCTTGGTCGAGGTTCTTGGTGAGGAAGTCCCATAACACCTTGGGCCAGAAAAAGCCATGTACGCCTGCCGCGACTTGATATGCGGCGGCAGTGAGGACGATGAGGCGAGCCCAGTGGTTCTTGATGAGTTTGCCCATGGTGATGATAGTGTTGAGAAGAAGTTGAATAGACGAAAAAAGGTTGAATTGCTAGGATAAGAACAGAAAGCCGAGAAGAGAATGAAAGTGGTCTTGGTTGAAGAACTGAAAAGAATGGGAGCGCACAAGTGAATGACGTCCGGCGCCTGGCTCTCAGCGAAGTTGGATGAGGGCTTCTGGCGGTATAAGAGGCAGTTGTCGACCAGGTGGACCAGGGATGACCGATGACCGTTTCTGTCGATGGAGACACAGATGATCTCGGTGATGGGGTGGCCCGGGCAGCAGAGGTTTCAAAATCGGGCAGTGGTGTGGTGTCGTGGCAGTAGCAGTCGCAGAAGGGCCTTAGAGTGCGTGAGGATGCTTGTTCTGCGACTCCCTGAGGTCTGAGCGCAGTGAGCGGCGATAGTCGTTATGGGCACCCAAGTATTGGCGCGTATGAGGCTGTTGCAAGTGTCGTCTCGTCCTGTGACCGATGGTGTTTCGAAGTGGAGTTGGGACTGGCGTACCACGTCAAAGGGTTGGACCACCGAGAATTACTGCTGGAACGTATTTTCGACGGTCGTGACGATGTTACTTTGGACTTGGAATGGAGATGATGAATGTAGGAATTGTCGAAATGTCAAAATGTCAAAATGTAGCTCATGGTGGGATTATCATTCCTGAGCTCTGGCACGGTGAACCTACATCGGTACATGGAAACATCGGGTTCACGAGCCAATGCATGGATTGCCCACACCCCACTGCATCCAGAAATCAATAGTTGCAATCTACAGTCGCCAGATCTCGAGGTTCGGGCCATGGCGAGCACGGGTTTACGGTGAAGAATCACGAAGTCGCCATGAGGTTGGACGAGATAGAGAGGTGATTGGGCCTGGCGAGAGGAGAGAAAGGCTCAGAAAGGTACAATAAGCGCCTGAAAATAGAAGCAGGCCAGGTCACCTGCATTAGATCCTTGGAAATCGATGAATTGTCTGGCTGTGCTGGCCTCTGGGTGGTTGAGGAGCAGCTCTGGAATATAGGAGTGATGGCGAATCGAAGGGCAGACAACAGGTGACAGATGAAGTAGCGCAACCCGGCTACATGGCTCTTTCCCCAAAACGGTGGCCAGCGTTTAACTGTGCCTTCCCTGTGGCTCATGGGCTCCCACTTTCCTCTTGCAGTTACCACCGTCCGCCTTCCACTTCCGATAGTCTGACGGACACTCGAACTCCAGGCTTCACAGTCCAGAGACGACCGTTCACAGTTCACAATGTGATGATTGAATCATCACGGTCAGAACACTTGTACAATCCATTGATACAGACACACGGCACACACGGGACAGATGTATCTATCGGACCATCCAGTCCACCCCAGGCACGCCACCTCCATCCCTTCCCCCAAGACTCTTGTCATTCAACCCAACTGGCCAACAAAGTGATGCTCACAACCCAATAAGCGCCCGTGAGTCCAGAGACCGACCAAATGCTGTGCATGGAAACAAAGTTGACAGGGATCAACCACTCGCCACGCTGTCTGCCCTGAGGCTATCACTCATCTGGCACCAAAGAAGCCAACCCTACCACTTCAACTTCTCCACTCATGCATGGCCCACTGCATCACCAACTTGAAGTGTATCTCATCTCGACTTGGGACCATTTTCTGTATTTCTTCTACTAGGACCATCATATTCCCAATTCGACATATGATCCTGCGCACGTCCTCTGTTTAGTCTTTCCCCGTTATCCTTTCTCCCTGAATGCATGCCTGGCTGATCCGTACCCTTCTGCAAAACGATCTGATCGACCCACTTGGATCTCAACCGTCGGATTCGAAACACCCGCCAACTCCTTATTGTTCCAGTTGCTGTCGCAGTCTTCGGCCCAGCATTTACTTTAATAGCTTTGGCCGCTCGCTCAACTGTCGGTTGTTTGAACTCCTGCTTCACCTTGAACTCTTGCTCCCCCAGACCAAGACAGTCTCAAACATCTCATGCCACCCTGATCTCACTCCATCCAATTTTAACATTTAGGGGAGATCGCATGATCGTCTTCGGATACCCAACCTCCGGTATCCTAGATCTTTCTCATAAACACCAACTCTCGGCTTGATTCCTCGAGTGCCTCTCCTCATCAGCGGGCTGCACATCTGTCGTTATTACTGCTGGCTCGGAATTCGACATTCATTTCTTTCTTGGTTTTCTTTCTTGGAAGTACATCTCCACCGTCCTGGTCATCCACCTAAATTACACATCACCACATAACAGGATCCCTCTCAGAAGAAATCATTTCACCACTCTTTGTTTGCAAATCTCAACCGCAACCATGGCTACTCTCAAATCTCATTTTGCCCCAAGCAAACTCGTCTTTTACTTCTTCTGGTGGGGCTTTCATTGGGGTGCTTTCGCTTTTGGATGGTGAGTCGACTAATTTCATCCTCGGTGCTCCAAGACTAACAATACCCCAGGTGGAAGCAATATTCTGATCCAAAGCTAGCTGGTCTCAATACTTTGACATTTTCAGTCTGGATGTCGCGTGGTGCTGGCCTGGTCTTGTCATTCGATGTCTTGTTCATCCTATTACCCATGTGCCGGAATTTGATGCGCTTCATCCGACCAAAGTTCAAGTTTCTTCCTCTCGATGAGACCATCTGGTTCCACAGACAGTGTGCATATGCAATGCTCGTCTTCACTATGATCCACGTTCTTGCCCACTATGTCAACTTCTTCAACGTCGAGAAAACACAGATTCGACCCGTCACAGCAGTCCAGATCCACTACGCCCAAGCAGGAGGCGTGACTGGTCATGTCATGCTGCTTTGCATGTTGCTCATGTACACGACAGCCCACCAGAAGATTCGACAACAGTCTTTCGAAACTTTCTGGTACACTCACCATCTATTCATTCCATTCTTCCTCGCCATGTACACCCACGCTGTTGGCTGCTTCGTCCGTGATACCGCTGAGCCTTTCTCGCCATTCGCTGGCAAGGACTTCTGGGGCCATTGCATCGGCTACCAAGGTTGGCGTTGGGAGTTATGGGCCGGTGGTCTTTACCTCTTCGAGCGTCTATGGAGAGAAGTTCGTGCCCGACGAGACACCAAGATTTACAAGGTCATCCGACACCCTTATGATGCAATGGAAATTCAATTCCAGAAGCCCAGCATGAAATACAAGGCGGGCCAATGGCTCTTCATCCAGGTTCCATCGGTATCTGGCCAGCAATGGCATCCATTTACCATTACATCTTGCCCCTTCGACCCTTATATTTCCATCCACGTTCGTCAAGTCGGTGATTGGACAAAGGCTGTGGGAGATGCTCTTGGATGCGGTCCTTCACAAGCCAAGCAATTCGACGATCTCGATAACAATGGAATCTACGAAATTGCTCTACAACACGGTCAAGAGATGCCTGCCATTCGTATTGATGGTCCTTATGGTGCCCCTGCCGAGGATGTGTTTGACAATGAAATTGCTGTTCTCATTGGCACTGGTATTGGTGTCACCCCATGGGCATCTGTCCTGAAGCATATCTACAACATTCGTGCTGGACCTAACCCTCCTCGTCGTCTCAAGCGTGTTGAGTTTCTGTGGGTTACCCGATCCATCGAATCCTTTGAATGGTTTCAGACCCTGCTCTCCTCCCTCGAAGCACAGTCCGCACAGGCAGCCGAGACCGTGGGTGGACCAGAATTCTTGCGCATCCATACTTATCTCACCCAGCGTGTGGACGCAAACACTGCTGCCAACATTTATCTCAATACCGTCGGCAATGCCGTTGATCCTCTGACCGAACTGCGAACCAAAACTCAGTATGGTCGACCTGATTTCCACCGCCTGTTCGGCGCCATGCGAGATGGGTTGATGGACAACTCATACCTTGACGTTGGAAAGGAGGGCTCTCTCACCGCTGGAACCAAGGCAACTGTTGGTGTCTATTTCTGTGGCCCCAGTGCTGCAGCTCGCGAAATAAAGACCGCTGCAAAAGCCACCAGCAATGATCTGGTCAAGTTCAGGTTCTGGAAAGAACACTTCTAGATCAACGGAAGTTCCTGCACTGGCAGGTTTTCGTCGACCACAATTGATGATCTTGTGGGAGGCCTCTGTTCCCATCTTGCACAAGATATGAATATTTATACTTCACTTCCAGACCCCAGATATTATATCGAGAGAAGCACCTTTCACGTCGACGAACTTGGTTTCTCGTTGTACAGATTTTTTGATTTTTTTTTGAGCGACTTTGTTACAAGCATCCTCTACATCCCTCTCCACCCAAGCCACCGAGGCGAAAATCCAATTCCCCGTTGTCATACATCATCAGTTTCCCTTACCCCAATCACAACGCAGAATGTGGTTGGGAAAGGGTGTTCGGCGTTATGACTTGAAAGAAAGGCGAGGAAGATGGGAATAGAATACTTCCCCAACCATCCATTCCAACTAACATACATATCTGTATGTCTGTGTGTACAGTACGACCAAAGGAAATTTACAGCTCATTTTGACTCGATGGAGAAGATCTCGAGAGCGTTGATACCCCAACCCTATCTGCAAGAGCAGTGAAATGGCTATGAAAGAGATGAGTAAGGGAAACCACTCTCTCTAACGAAGGAGAAGAAAGAAAAGAAAATTTTCTTGATAAAACACTTTCTCTCATTTTTCCGGTGTCCATCGTGCTTTGGATGGTCACCCATAGGAATTTTTTTCTTTTTTGGCAGATTGGGAATCTTGGATGAGACGGTCAGGGAGTTAACAGTCGTGATGCTTGGATCGACTTTCTTTCATGCTTAGATATCTCGTCAAAATAAGACATCCATTCTCTCTACTGCCAAAACTTGTGTATCCGCTTTTACTCAGAACATGAGTCGATCCTCTCCGAGTCAAGAACAGCCCAAAACACCCTGATAGTCCATCACTCATCTTTCAAGTCCAAGCAGCCCACATTTTCACCCAGCTACAACGGCGCTGGCGCTTTTCTCTCCCACGAGCAGTACTTGGCCAACTGCAACGAAAGGCCACCGCCCATGCAGTTAGGTATACACTCTTCAGTCCAGCCCGTTCACTAGTTAGTTACTGCAGCCCTTCCGCCCAGTCACAGGAGACTTCAGCATCAGCATCCAACGGAACGCGAAGCAAGCAAGCGCATTGTTAAATTGCAACCTCCACCGTTCATCAGAGTTGGTTCGTCCGAGGGCAATAAAAGAACATAAGTATACATATATATCCTTCAACATGTTTAATTTTCCCGCACTGCTGCTGCACCACTGCAGGTATTACTCGTGATTGACCGCAGTGGTGGTGGTGGTGGTTTGGACGCTTCTCCTTGTGCCTCTGCTTGGAGTGCAGAAATCCGGGGAATATTTATTCCCTCACTGTTTAGAGTTCTGGCAGCAAACTTGGTGGGATGCACTATATACCCGTACTGTTTTACCCCGCGTTATTGTTCCCTGTAGTGATGGTCGTGTGGTCTAACTAGGTCACTTGCTTTGCCCCTCGATTGTCGTTCTTTTGAGTCGTCGTTGTGCCGTGTTGCACAGGTACAGTACTCGGTCTACTTGAGTAGGTACCTTAGATGGTGAGTGGAAATGCTGAGCTGAGTTCTTGTGTTTGTACTGTTGGGTTCAGAGACATCTACATGATCCCATGTCGTTGGTCTCTAGGTGCTTTGGGGAGTCAAATTGTATGAACTAGGTACTTTCTGAGGATTTCGCAATGCGGTTGGATTTAATTCATTGGAATTATTTTCTGAACTAATTACCCGGAGCCATCCAGGGTTCTAGTAACACATTTCATGTCATGATTTGAGGCTCTTGTCTCCATACCATCGCTAGCACTTTGATGTAGACGGTAGACTAGACGCAAGGGCCATCATTAAACCCCATCACTGGCGACATGTCAAGGAATGACAAAATGACCAGCTTCTGAGAGCTTTAGCGGTTGAGCTGAGCGTACCATTCTCACCCTCTAGGAGGTACCGTGGGCTTGTCTTGGACCCATTGTCTCATTGCGGACACCGGTTCGTTGGGAGGTCTGGAAAAGTAACACATTAGCTATCCACATAGTCAACTAGGATATTGGGCTTCCTGGAGTATTTACAGATGAGGTCTGGATCTGGCCCTCTTCAAGAATCTTCTTCACGATATCATCTTCGTTGGTGGTTCCGAACTCGTTCTCAAGGCTGGCCTTGCTGGCAGTGTCTAGCTCTCCCTGAGCACCATGTTTGTGTGACACAAGAATCTTGAAGCTGTCGACGACCTGTACAAGAGGGATAGACTTGTCCTTCTTCCATGCCTCTAGATCTTCGGGAGATTCGACGAAGACGATAAAGTCATCAGAGTTGCCCTTGAAATGGACTTTGGAGGCAGGACCGTTTCCACGAGGCATGATGTTGGAGAGATGGATTGATTGATGTAAGTGTTGGTGTTATGAGGAGAGATGAGAAAGAGAATCGAAGGTGTTGATGGTGTGGTGAAGTGATCACACGATCGAATTGCGTCTTTGGAGGAGGTATGAAGTGTCAAGTCAGGGTTTCGTATTGCTGTGAGGGGTCAGATTACACTGGGGGCTGTGAGGTTGTTGAGTCACAATTACCTGGGAGAAAGCTTAGATGAGATATTTGTGAGATTGAATTTATGTGATAGAAGTCGGTTGGATTGGTTTTATTGTGAATTGAAGATTGAATAACAAAGTACTTCTACTTCTTGAGAGAGTGCTGTTTGCTGCCTTTTTAGCTCAGTGAAGGCAATGACGTCAATGGGACGTTAGGCAGGGGCGCCCACAACTGCCTTACCGCTTTAAGACTAAGCCTCCCTTGGTCACCCCTCCAAAGCCAACATTGCCAATTGCCATGCCCTGACATCGTCACCTGGAAAATTCCAGCATCAACCAAGGCAACGTACGTACTACCTTAGATCCACCATTGCTTCATCGATGATCACTCCCCTTTGTGATCACATTGCATTTCGGTGTGAACCGCAGAGCCTCGCTACACAAACCGGACTCTAATCCTTGCCGAGCTCAATGGCTTCAGGTACCATCTGTAGTGGCATCAGCCCCCCTGAATCAGTGACGTCGTGGCACCAGCTACCTAGATGTTGGTATCTGCGCAACTACCACCAGGCATCCCAGGCGTCTTTAGACAACGCCGATCCCAGGATTGTGCTCGAAACTATCATGAATATCCTGTATGCATATCATTACTTCACCCCAGCAAGCGACAGCAAAGGCTGTATTGCCCAGAGTAGCTCGACCAGGCACGGCACCCCTAGGAGCACCCCGCGCGTATCCTCGACACAGTCCCTGAGCGACGCGTTGTTCTCGTTTAGCAGCAATGACCTTGGGTCCTGAAGGCTTGAATAGGAGATCGCTGAAGCTTCAGTGGTCAAGGGCAGGTACGAGCAAGTATCGATGGTCAAATGCCAAGTCGGGATGTCCTTCGTATGGTGAGTCGCAAGGCTAGCTTGTGCCAAATACCCACCCTTTCGGGACCAGCCGTATGCTTCGCAGTAGTCAGTCTCCATGAAACAGGAGACCAACTCCCTTTTTTCGACACATCTACAGTTTCCATCTGGAGCCCCATCGCGTTGTCGCTCCTGTACTCGGTACTGGCTGAGTCTATTTCGAAGGGGGCTGTCCTGATAATCTCACAACGGTCCCCTTCTCCTCTCCCTTCAATCTCCCACGAACTGGCAGTCTCCTGAACGAGGACGACAAGGTTCTGCGAGGTACCGATGAGATCATTCGTCTTGGTAAGTTCTTAGTATCAACAACCATACAAGCCAAGGTCTTTGAGATACGGGATGGAGGCATGTCTGCCCTGGATCGGCGATGATGACTCAAGCAATCGTGAGTCCCAGCGGATCATCACTCACCATGCCCACTTGACGGTAAGCTTTACCCCGGACGATAACGTGTTAGCATTTCTTGCGTCCTTCATAATCGGTGTATTTGTTCGGCCTAGCAGCATGCCATCCCAAGGCTTGAAAGCATCTCTCTTGCGCTCCTGCTGAACGGGAATGACACAAACACCATGCAAATTGTGTCTACCTTGTTACCACCCGTTCTTCCCGACACCCGTAAAGAGATTATAAGTGCAGCACAAATGCCTTTCCTATTGATCACCGAGGATGTGACGATGGCCAGCATGTGAATATATTGCGAGTCTTTCAATTGAGAATAATCGAGACAGACCATAGTATTCCACTATGTTTTCAAGTCGAGAAGACGAAAGGTACATCGACAAGGCATCTCGAGGACCATACGACTCGAGCAGAAGTCATTCAAAGGCTAGCCCGGTATTGTCTCCGAGTAATGCTTCAGTATCATCCACAGCATCTGCAACGTCTGCCGATATACCGAAGCAGTCAATCCAATCAGTCTCTACACCACAGCCCGCAAACGTCAGCTTGTTCCTAGTTTGGAAAAGTTCCTTCTGGACTGTAGTCGACGTCCACACATCAGTGCTATGCCATGGATTTGTCGATAGTAGCTTTACATAAGGGCGCGAGTCCTGAACGTGAAATAACGCACCACCCACCTTAATATATAGATATCGAAGCATAAGTGATGCTCCTAATGGATGGCGGCTACCTGCAAGGTCCTTCTGAAGAAGCACTCTTCTCGATCATGACTTTCAATCTGACTGCTACAAATTCACTAGTGCCTGGTGAGCTCGTCGCGATACAATTTTGATTCCCTTGGACCTCGGAACCACAATTGCCGTTTCCCCACATTTCGTCACCACCTTCCGATGGACTAGCATTTAACCAACGACGAACGGTACCTATCATTGGTATTGTTATCGCTCGCAGGCAGAGAAGGCGAAGGAAACAAAGCATTAGAGCTCGGGATAAACCCGTCGTGGCAAGTCTGCGGTAAGCACTTGAAGAGAGGAAGCGCGAATCTTACGTTTATTATTCTTATTTTGGAATAATCCGATCGATCGGGCCCCCATGCCTGCGTCGACATTAGACAATATATCTTTGTGAGGTTCAGCAACTGCAAATCTTGGAGATCTCCAAGCTTGTGCTGCGAAGAAGAGAATAAAGCCTGAAAACCTCATGGACACCAAATCCGCCATCATCACCGTCGTTGGGACACACGAGCATGGATCCGCCTCATTATTGACACTCGCAGCCCGGTATCTGTGCTGTGGAGTGTTGATTCTCGTCACGATACAGATGGCAGTGTTCATGTACCAAGCACTCAGCAGTCCGCTGCGCAGCGTCCCCGGCCCGTTCTGGGCGCGCTTCAGCCGACTGTACTACTTCATCAAAGTTGCGCAGGGCCGGTGGGAGCACGAGAACATCGCCCTGCATCGACGCTACGGCCCTGTCGTGCGCGTCGCCCCAGACATGTACAGCGTCGACGCGCCCGAGGTGGTCAAGAGTGTCTACGCGATCAACTCCAAATTCCCCAAGGGCGACTGGTACGATGCGTGGAAACACCCGGATCCGCAGCGCTTCTCGCTCTTTCCCGAGCGCGATATGACGAGGCACGCCGAGACGAGGAAGAAATTCCAGGCCATGTATTCCATGTCGAGTCTGGTCAACTATGAGGGTTATGTGGATGAATGTGCGGACATCTTCCGGGAGAGGTTGACCGAGTTTGCTGCGGGTGGGGACATTATCAATATGGGAGATTGGTTTCAGTTGTATGCTTTTGGTGAGTCTATTTCCTCTGATGTTGGCTAACAGGATAAATTGCCAATATCATGTCACCTCAGATGTAATTGGAGATATCACCTACTCCCAACGATTTGGGTTTCTAGATAAAGGTGAAGATATTGCCGGGCTTCTAAAGGCTTTACATGGTGTCTTAAGATACGGAACGCTGGCAGGCATTTTCGCTCGATTTCATCCCATTTTGTTTTCGATCATGGCACGGCTTGGTCTCGGAGGTGCAGCAGGTCGAAATTATCTAATCAACTATGTGAATTCGAGGATACAGCAGAGGAAGGCAGAGAAAGCAAAAGGTAAGGATGTTGGGAACAGGGGCGATCAAGACGGGGCCGCACCAATGGACTTTCTCGAAAAGTTACTGTTGGCGAATGAGAAGGACCCAGAGAAGGTGACGCCATACCATGTATTCATGATGGGCCAGAGTAACGTGATTGCGGGAAGTGACACTACAGCGGTCAGCCTGAGTTCGATCCTGTACAACCTACTTAAACATCCGAACACGATGGTCAAGCTTCGAGATGAAATCCGTCAATTCGAGAACGAGGGTCGTTGTGGTAGCGCGAACGTGTCATTCAAGGAAAGCCAAGAGATGCTTTATCTCCAGGCTATTATGAAAGAAGCACTCAGGATGCATCCAGCAACCGGACTACCTATGTGGAGAGTGGTCACGGAAGGAGGAGTCGAGGTTTGTGGACGCTTCTTCCCGGAAGGGACAGTGGTAGGTATCAATACCTGGTGTGCGCACTATAACGAGGATGTGTTCGGTCGAGATGCCCATATTTTCCGGCCCGAAAGATGGATTGAAGCACAGACTGAAGGAGGTGAAAACCTGAAGCGCATGGAGGCATATTGGATGCCTTTTGGACTTGGGAGTAGGACCTGTATAGGGCGACATATTTCGTTCCTTGAGATGTCAAAGCTCATTCCACAGATTGTCAGACAGTTTGATTTTGAACTGGCACATCCGGACAAGCCGTGGAAGACTGAGAACAATTGGTTTGTGAAACCAGTTGATTTTGAGGTCAGGGTTAGCCTTCGAAAACCCTGAGGGCTCTTTCGCCTGAAGCGAATACTGTATATATCATGAACACATGATAGCAATGAGAGCTAGCAGTCCAAGTTGATTATTATGTCTGATATTGGTCTGCGCCAATTCTCGGGTTGACATAGCAGGTTGGAGAGTGATGCATCCACACAGCTTTTCCATACATTGGATGCAATAGGCTGAGTCATCGAGTTCTTGCGTCCGGAAATCCGATCAGTAACACCTGGCGGAGCGATAATACAATCGGTCTTCGACACCGTGAATTCAGAAACATTTGAGACAAAAACGATATCATTGAGGGCTCGTTCCTCATGCGAATGACATCCGGCCGTGTATGGATATGAGTCTTCATCATTCTGCGTACGAGGTACTCGGTACTTGCATGATATTGTTTCCATGCTGTGTTTCCCCAGTGGAGAAGATGTGAAAGCGTGCAGAAGAACAAGGGAGGGCGGCTAATTGGGGTGTAAAAGCAGTCCATCACAAACTAGTAGGCCTTTTAGCGTGGGGAGCGATCAAGGTTTGAGGATCACGATTGACGGACACTGCAACGGGGGCTCGAAAGTTGAACGGAAGTCTGGTGCTGGTGCCAAATCTCCATCTTTGCCAAAGAGTGAGACCTAGCGAGTGTGTGCTGTTCGCATTATCCTCGGCCTGCCATTCGCAGGAAAAGGCGAGGCGACAATCCACTGGGGGTTGCTCAATTTCCCGTCCGAGCTCTGAGTTGAGCTCTGGCACTTTAGTCTAGAAGTCTAGTGAGCTCATAGTACCATCCAGGTCCGCTCGCCTGACTAGTGGAGAGTGTGAATGTTCCACCATGTTGATTCTGTGCTTGAGCAGTGGAACAGATTTGAGGGAATGAGGAGAATGTCTCCATCACTGGTAGATGAGAGCGTTGGAATAAGGGACCTGCGCCAGGGAATCAGGCTGAATGAGATACCTCCTACGTGACTGGTAGAACCGCTGGGAATGATCGCGAATGGGACGATTGCACACGAAACAACTGGGACATGCCAGACGGACCTCACCTCCAGCGGCAGCGGCTGTTGCCTCCAAACGTTCCTCGGTATTCGCTAGCACTTCATGGGCTGCTCCAGCTGCAGTTAGTAGCCTTAGGCATCAACTAAGCGTGGCCTTTCCATGGATTGCGCCCACAGGAGGAGCGCCTAATCAGGTAGTAGTTGCCCAGGCTTGACCCCCCATTCATCCACCAAGTGTGCCTGGACTGCACTGGTGCCCACTTCCACTTAAGCAGCCGCCCGATGCCAGAGCTCGCGAGTCGCCAGTGCTTTGGCAGAGGCTTGGGGAGCGAGGAAGGGAGACCATCCAAGCTGAACTTCCAAGGTGAAGGTGCCTCCCACTCCTGCATCTCAGTCTGTGAATCCTCGATTCGGGCAATCTACTCGCCCACTTCAAGTTGCATCTACAACTGACCTGTATTTGCCAGTCTCGTACTTTTCTGCACCCTCGACATTCATCTGGAATCGCTCGTTTGCCCCTTTCTGTTTCCTCGAATTCGTCCTCTTGTTGATAGAAACCATCCCCAGTAATTCTATTTTGTGGCATTATTATTGGTCTTAGTTGCACTTCGTTCGAACCCACTGCACCCAAACTCCGCTTGCCTCTCTGTCTCTGTGCGGAGGGACTCGTCCGGGTAGCTACCCTGAGCCCCAGGCCTTAAAGATCCCTCCCAGCCACACACACCCACTGCAACTCAGACGGCTCGATCAACTCGCCGCCCATCTCATCTCGTCTCGGCTCGCCGAGTCTCGTCATCTTCACTGCTACTACCGTCCAGCTACCCAGTTCACCTTTCCTTCGCGACCTCATCCATTTCATCACCGCCATCAATCTCTACCCCAGTGTCGACTCTTGCGCATCATCACCCATCTGACGGCGGTACACTTTCGAGCGCACAGAGATAGATTGGGCCTCTGCAGGCCATCAATCGCCCCACATGAGTGGCAGCGCTGCCACTCAACCTTCGACCGGTATGGCCTGACCCTCCCGACCTACGTCGAACATCGAGATCTATTTTCTAGCTCATTACCGCGTTGGCGCACACCCTGAACTAACCTGTCTCTTTTTAGGCCCCGTTGTCCCAGATCAAAAGCCGAGTGATACCTTAACCCCCGAGCTCAACTTTGTTCCACGATCCAATAATGCCACAATGACAGAACCATCATCCAACGTACAGCCTGTTGTGGTCAGCATCCCCTCTCGAACTTCCTCAAATCAGAAACCTTCCGATCTTAATTCCACTTTACCCTCGCCTCCCGCCGTTCCCAATGAACCTCCTCCATCACCAAGACGTGGTTCTAAACGCAGCCTTCTGAGCAGAAGTCGGAATAACAGTAGAAGTAGTCGGAAATCAGCAAGAGCCGCTCGCACTACGGATCCTTCAAAAGAACCTATTTCGACTCCCCCACAAAATGAAGCTCCTCGTTCTGAAAAGAAAACTCGTTCTGGTTTCTTAGCCTTTCTCAGTTGTTGCAGTCCATCAGAGGAGCTCGATGGTTCCAAGTCTGATGATCCAGATGTGGCGGCGAAGAAGATCAAAATCCAGCCAACAGCGCAGCGCGCGCCCCGTCCGCAGGAGCAGACTGAAGTTATGGAGAACGAAAAACCTCTAGAAGAAAAGGTGGCTGTCGAAGGAAAATCCTCTGAGGCTACTGCCGCTGCAGATGAGCAGAAGGGTGAGCTGTCAGAAAAGAAATCGCTCGATGATTCAAGGCCGAGAATTACAAGAGAGGAGGCATCACACGACAGAGTCGCCCCTGTGTCTAGTGGCACGGTGGCCAACCCCACTACTGAAGATGCTGGCAGCTCCGATCACGGTGTAGCTTCAAGCAGCGGCCAAGATCAGCTGAAGACAACCACGCTTGTTGTACCTCCAAACGTAAATGTCATCAGTCCTACACCTGTCGAGCCAGAGCGTCCGTCCAATGTTCAAAGGTCCGAAGGAAACAGCAAGAGGAACAGCGATGTAGATATGCCTGATGTGACAGCCGGTTCTGCCATCGATGAAGAGTCTTTGGATGAACCTCCACAGCCAGCAGAGCAACTGCCTCACGTCCCTCTACCCCCACCTCCACCATTAGCAAAGCGACAAGAACAGGTTACCGCCAACGAGGTTCCTCCTGTTCCAGAAGTCCCTTCCGAGAAGACATCTTGGCTGCTACCTCCCATTCAACCTCATTTGTCAGGCCGAAAGTGTCTGGTACTCGATCTGGACGAGACACTGGTACACAGCAGCTTCAAAATCCTCAATCAGGCTGATTTTACTATTCCCGTGGAGATTGAGGGCCAATACCACAACGTTTATGTCATCAAAAGACCTGGGGTTGATGCGTTTATGAAGAGAGTAGGTGAATTGTATGAAGTGGTGGTGTTCACGGCATCGGTCTCCAAGTACGGTGACCCGCTACTAGATCAGCTTGATATTCATCATGTGGTCCATCACAGGCTGTTCAGGGAGAGTTGCTACAATCATCAAGGAAATTACGTCAAGGTGAGCATCAATCAAGCTTGCGTTGTTGACAATTGACTAACATGCTCTAGGACTTGTCACAAGTGGGCAGAGATTTGAAGGAGACCATCATCATCGATAATTCACCCACGTCGTATATTTTCCATCCACAGCATGCGGTTCCAATCAGCTCGTGGTTTTCCGATGCACACGATAACGAACTACTGGATTTAATACCTGTGCTTGAGGACCTGGCAGGGCCGAAAGTGCAAGATGTCAGCTTAGTCCTAGATGTGGCTCTTTGAGCTCCAAGATTTTGCTTCGAAGGGTTGAGTGGGGCCTCTTCACTTCTTGTGTTCGTATTAGAAGGGTATAACCCCGAAAAAAGTCTGTTGGCATATTCTAGCGTGGCGTCTGTCCGAGATCCCGTCGATGCTGAGGGGCTTCACAAAAGTGTGAAGAATGCCCAGGTGTACATCGGCTCCGCGCATGGGTGCCAGACCAAAGGAATGGTCAAGATGCGCACCAAAAAACTTGAATTTTTACATAATCATCCGACGGCTACCACCAACTGTTGCTACTATTCATCCAGGATTTTGACGCCTTCTCCATTCTCTTGGTCAGAGATGGAAGCCAACTCCGATTGGGTTCTTGTTTCTTTTGTTGATTCGAAATTGATTTGCATATGCGCAGAGAAGCATCTGGGTTTTGGGTTGTTATGGACTTCAAGGGTTGGAAGACACCGAAGAAAGGGAACAGAGCAAGCGTGAGATATCATATTGTTTATTGTGAGATATGTGCGGGTTGTACAGTCAGAATGGGCTTGTACTGGGGAACCTTTGAGACGAATGGGGAAACCGTCGCTAGGAACAGGGTCGAGCCTAGCTTTGAAAAAGCAGACAGAAGGGTACTTTTTGTTTTCCAGAAAACAACTCGGTGGACTTGCTTCGGTCCAGGCGCATCTGCGCAACGGAGCACTTGGCGTGACATTGAGTTATATGGCGGACGGGCTTCGTTCGCAGATCCAGGCCAAAAAACGGTACAGAGAAACAGATCTTATATTATCATGCATGAAAATAATCGGGACCTCCGCTTCTATCACCATTCCACTGTAGCATTTGTCGTCCACCACCTGATCCTCACGAAACTACAAGTCCTCCACAAACCTGCTCACCAACGTACCTACCTCATCCGGCGCCTCGACACAATGCCAATGCCCAATGCCCGTCAGGACCTCGAGGCGTTTCCTCTCATCCGGCGTCCCCAGCTCGCCCAGGATATACTCGCAGCCGGCGAGCGGCGCGCTCTTGTCGTGATCCCCGGCAACGATGAGGACGGGACATTTCACGTCGGCGTAGGCAGGCGGCGTGGCGTGCTCGATCGCCCGACAGTTGGCGATGTAGCCGTCGGGATCCTGCGCCAGCAGCATTTCGCGGATGAAGCCTTTCTGCGTCGCGGTGGCTTTTGGTCCGGTCGCCCCGTGCGGGATGCTGTTCGCCATGGCTTCGATGCCGTCTGTTGGGGGATTCCCATCTCATGTGAGTATGCTCGTTGATCTGGGAAGGGAAAGAGGGGATAGTGGATTGGCTGGGATTGGCTTGGCCAGGCTCGGCTTTGAGACTCACCCTTCTGCACCACCGGAACCCTCTGCTTGAACACATTCGCGACGGCTTCGCTGGGATGCACAGGCCCGATGCACACGGCGCCGACAATGCGATCCGGGGCGGTCGAGGCAAGGTACGTCGGCACCATGCCGCCCATGGAGTAGCCGACCGCGACGGCCCTCTGGACGCCGAGGTGGTCCAGCAGGCCTAGGACATCGTTCGCGATTAGCGAGATCGATGTCTCTTTGCGTGTCGATGCCGTGTAGGGTGATCGTCCCGCCCCGTAGTTGTCGAATACGATGCAGCGGTATGCGGTCAGATGTGGGAAGATTGGGAAGTAGTAGTTCTGCGTGGAGCCGAGGCCGTGGATGAATATCAATACGTGTGGTGTTGATGTGGTTGATGATGATGACAATGGTGCTATGTCTGTGTAGTGCAGCGAGTGCCCGTTGATATTGGCGAAGGGCATTTTCAGGATTGGGGTCACGGGGAGCACCGCTCAAAGACTCTGGAAAGCACGGCGGCTGTGACTACTATGAAGCTCTGAACAGCAGAGGAGTTTCTCATTCCAGTACTTCATCCCCTTTACAAATGAAACAAACCTTTTGCGTGGGGGAAGAATAGCTTTTCTCTAATGATGTCGTCTCGTCGGCTTCGGGATCTGGTCGGCTGCTATCAAGATGGCAAGGGGACGGGCCGAGCACGCGTTTTTCTTCGTGTTGAAAGCAGAGCGAAAAAGGCTTCAGTGGCATCCCGACGCAATGTGCGATATCCCTGACGACACGTGTGGACGTGTTGTACATGTTCTATAGCTGAGTACATTTTGTTGTATATTGCGGATTTAAGATTGTTAGAGGGTAGGCCGATGCATCCATGGCATCCTTACTCCATACCGAATATTGTCCATATTGGGCCGATCAGAAAAGGGGCTAGTCTCATCTCCGAGCACTTTAGCGAAAGTCGGATAGGCTCAAAATGGACAACACCACAAAGGTCACAGCTATTAGTCTGATTGTCAATGATTGCTTCTCCCTCTCCGGATTCTAATGGTCAACTCTGGGCATTTCTGCATGTAACCGATAATGAGGATGGATGTCAATTGGAGCATCAAGACGGACCAAGGTGGAGATGGTCGCAGTGCTGTATCAGTCACAGTCCGTCTTACCGACCTCGGACGGAACCCCAACCCAGCAATGGTGTTCGAAGGATGATGGTGCGAGGCATGCATTCATGTCATGCGAGAAAGATAGAGATGCAGACCGCCTTCACGATGATGGATTGAATAATTCCATGAGAACAATGATAACCACATGGATAGAGTTTTCCTTCCCCTGTCAATCAAATGGTGGTCGTATTCGAGAATCACGGAGAATGAGAGGGCCTTTGGTGGCGCTTTCTCCCAAGATGAGTCTGGGGATGGCCAAATCGATTTGCTGCCAACTCTGCCAGTAAGAATTGCCCCCTAGAGGCTTACCTATGGCCCTCGCCGGGAGTGCCCTGAGTCCCTGACCTTCATGCCCGCTCACCTGCCAATCTGGCCTGTAATTCAAAAGTGATCGCTGATCTTTGGCAGGCCCATACCCCGTAAATGGTAAAGGGACCCTCGGCAAGCGCCTGAAGCATCCGCAGGCGGGCCAAGCTCCTAATACCCGGACCTTGTGGGCTGGATAGCACGCGTTTTCTGGTCTTATGCGGTCTTGGTCGTACCTGGAAGTTGAAGATTCGCCGCCGCTCAGGCTGGGTCTGATCCCTTTTAATTTTTAGCTTTCGCCATGGTGGTCCGCTCCCTCCCTCCGACTGAAAGCTTCTACACCTGAATGGAAAGGGACTTGACTGGAGTTCAGACTTCTCAACGCTTTTTCTCGGGGCCTTGAAGTCCCTGAGCTTGCATTGTTGGAGGACTTCAACCGTCGATCTTCTTACCCCGAAACCACTTTTTTGCTGCCTGGAACCATCCTTCTGGCGATCCATAGTATGCAGCTGCAAGACATTCATTGTGGACATTGCATGTGGTAGATTGTTGTCCCTTATCCGTGCTACTCCGTGCTACTACTGCACTACCCTGGCTCTCGACGGTGCTGAGCTGCACAGCACTGCAATCGCGATAGTCAATCTCACCACTTCCACCATCAACGACCTTCACCACCTCCACTGCATACTTTTCTTCTACTCTCTTTTCCTTATCTTTTTCCCTTTTCTTTCTTCCCTCTGGCACATACGGCACTTTGTGCCCGTTTCATTCGCTCCACCCATAATCCACCTCAGTTCTCACCATGTCTCCCGATGTACGGTTATACCTCTCCTGGCCCTGGCCCCTCCGGCTGATCCTTCTGTTCACCGGCTTATCTCACGCATTCTATATTCCCGGTACGTGATCTTGTGGCGCGATGAGACACTGCACTTGCTCCATCATTGCTGACCACGTTCACAGGCTACTCAATACGCAGCTACCGCGACGATGAGAACATCCCTCTACTCGTGAACAAAGTCTACTCAGACAACAGTCCGTTACAATACGCCTACTTTGATCTGCCTTTCGTCTGCCCTCCTACCGGCCACAAGCACCATGGCTCTTCCTTCGCCAGTGGCCACAGCATTCCCCTCAACCTCGGAGAAGTGCTTCGAGGTGATCGAATCAAGACCTCGGACCTCGAGATCAATATGGGTCAAGACGTCGAGTGCCAGTACCTGTGTGATCGGGTTGTTGGCCGAGACGATATGGCATGGGCTCAACAGCTGATCGAGGGAGGCTTTGTCACCGAATGGATTCTTGATAACCTCCCTGGGGCCACGTCTTTCGTCACCCCTGATCGTGCTCGGAAATACTACGCTGCCGGCTTCAAGATGGGTTACAAGGCACTCGACATGGCCTCTGGCCGGGAACGTTATTATCTCAACAATCATTACACTCTGGTCGTTCGCTGGCGTAACGCTCCTGGTCGAGCGGGTAACAACGGCGGCAAGGTCATCGTTGGGTTCGAGGTTTACGCGAAGAGTATCTATGGAGCTCACCGTAACGAAACAGGCTGCCCCCTCGATGTTTCTGCTGACAATGAACCATTGGCGCTGTACATGCCGCCAGTGTCGGGCAGTTTGAAAGAGCAATACGCTGATTCTTCGTATGTCCCGGAGGAAGTGATCGACATGAACGACGGGGCCACCATGACCATCCCTTACACGTACTCGGTATATTTCCGCCAGACGAACGACGTTGAATGGGCCAATCGTTGGGATCTTTACTTCAATGATCAAGCCGAGAGCGCCTTCACCCACTGGCTGGCCATCATCAACTCACTGATAATCTCAGGCATCCTGGGCGCAGTTTGCATGGTGATCTGGGGCCGAACGATGCAGGGAGATGTCAAGGGCCGAGGTGATGGTGTTCTAGAAGAAGCCCGAATCCGCATTGCCAAACGCGTCGACAAGAAGAAATTTGGAGCTGGTCTTCTTGAAAAGATTGCCGAAACTGGACCGGATGATGACCAATCTTCCGATGAGGAGCCACTGGAAGATATCAGCGGGTGGAAACTCTTACACGGGGATGTTTTTAGACCACCGCCCTACGGTGGATTGCTGGCTCCTCTTGTCGGCTCAGGAATGCAACTCGTCTTCATGGTTGCTGGTCTCTTGGTCCTCAGCTGCGTCGGAGTACTCAATCCCAGCTGGCGAGGTGGATTTTTGAGTGTCGGCGTTGGTCTCTTTGTGTTCGCTGGAGGTTTCTCTGGCTACTTCTCTGCACGCGTCTACAAGACGTTTGGTGGTCAGAACTGGCGCAAAAACACTATGATGGTAAGCTGAGCTGACTATTGGCCTGATGAATGATTACGTGTAAGCTGACTTTTGCACAGACGGCACTCCTCTTCCCCGGACTCTTGTTTATGCTGGTTTTTGTGCTCAACCTTTTCACCTGGGCTCAGGCGTCATCCACAGCACTTCCATTCTCTACACTTCTCTTTTTGGCCTGTTTGTGGCTTCTGATCCAACTCCCTCTGGTCCATTTGGGATCATACTATGGGTTTCATCGGTCGGCAGCGTGGGAACATCCAACGCGCACCAACGCGATCCCACGTCAGATCCCGGCTCAGGCATGGTATCGAAGACACCAGATCACTCTGGCACTGAGCGCGGGTCTGGTGTCATTTGCGGTCCTCTTCATTGAGCTCATCTTCGTGTTCAAATCACTGTACCTGGACAAATCATCGTATTATTACGTATTCGGCTTTTTGAGCATCATATCTGCTCTGTTGACCATCACGATTGCCGAAACGGTGATCATCACAACATACATACAACTTTGCGCCGAGAACTACCACTGGTGGTGGCAATCATTTTTTGTTGGTGGAGCGTCGGGGTTCTGGATTTTTGTTTATTCGGCATGGTATTACACGACGCGACTCAACATCGAAGGGTTCGTGAGCAGCCTTTTGTTTTTCAGTTACAGTGCGCTGGCATGCGCGGTTTATGCCCTGGCGACGGGCACTGTTGGTTTCCTGACAGCTTACGTATTTATTCGAAGAATATATGGAGGTGTCAAGGTTGATTGAGATGAAGGATGAAGCACCAGGGGAAAGCTTCACCATTGTCATGGGCTTTTCGAGTTCCAAGAGCCAATACCAAAAGACTTTTTAATGATAGACGGAACATGGGCTTAGGGTCTAGAATGTACAGCATAGCAAGACACAACGCAATATGACCTAATGCAATACAAGACGAACAGTGAATGGCGCAAGAGGAATGGTCAAGACCAAACGGTTGCTGATTAATTATCTAGATCGACCCGTAACCTCGAAGTCTATACGACAACGCGCAGAACGATTGACTTTCAACCTTATTGATGATGAGCTGGGTGCACGGTCTCAATAATAAAATGATGTCGGAGAAGACGGAGATTCATGGAGAAGAACGAATCCGACTAGGGGTCTGGCGTGATTTTAGATCAAACATTCTAATACTTCGTACTTGATACTCGTCATAGTCTACGTTCGGCATTGTCAATTTGCTAGCAGTTGCCGTCTAACTATATATACGCTCGGACAGACTCCACTGAGGGTGAAAGGTGTTTGTCTGGATGACTAAACCACACCACCACCACCAGAAGGCTACGAAGTACATGCATAGGGTGGAGCTGTGGGATGATCGCAGGGCGTGAATGTTGGCTTTCTTCCTCTAGCCCCATCATTATTATTGATCATGTCGACTCGATATGTTGGTGTTCACTAGCACGTGGTCAAATTTGCCGCAGAACGGAACCGATGTGGGAGAAAGCCTGTTAATAGTAATGTAAATGATGGCCCCCCTGGCCGTGGTGGTGGCTGACGTTTGAAGAGACGCATCTGGCCATCAAAAGGTCGGTGTTGTTCAGCAAAAATGCGAGTACGTGGGGATTCCCGTGTAGTTCTTACTGCAGCGCGGCTCTCGGGGCTCGGTAGTCCTAAGTTTTGAAAGTGATCAAGTGAGAGGGATCGAGGAATCTGACTATGTACAATGTTCTGGGATCAAGCTCGCTTCTATGTACCCCATTCTAGGCGGAGTGTTTCAATGGATATGCCACGAGGGTATTATATTCCCCAGGATCCAGGATTAGATGATCAACAGATGTTCTGATGGACAATGGACCTGTAGAAGTTGAAGAATACCAAACAACGTCAATAACCTTATGTGTATCCGTAAGCCTTGAGTACGAGTATGTATCAGATCCAAGGCTACTAGGTACCACTATTTTGACACGTGGGAGCGGAGTAGGTGTGAACTCCGCGCCAGACAAGGCCGTAGAAAAAGTTGGTCTCCGTGCAGCCATAATAATGCCTTTGGCATGGCCCGTGAGCGCGCCTTTCGCCGTCATGACCCATTACTCAGTACGGAATATGCATGTTCTTCTGTTGCGAGTACTGAAAGCCTCAGGCAAGTGAGTCACATCCCCCCATTCTCCAAATGGATTGGATGGATTTCAGGTCTCAGGGTCTTGCGCCATCTTATCACAACTTGAAGTCTAAGGTCCTCCCCGTTGCTAAGTTGCTAGTTAGTACGCCCTCTTTACGCCCTTTCAACACAAGTCGAGTCATCATGAAAAATCAGATTCATCATTTATGCAAATGGAGTCCAAGTCCTCTTTGACCTGCTTTATATAATACCAAGGGCTTGTCGTCTTCTCTGATTGTATGATTCTCTCTCTGCCAATCCTCGTCAAAGTCATGCCCTGCCCTTAGCCCATACCGTCACCACTGATAACAGCTTCTTATCACCTATCAGCGCTCGTCGCCAATCCCCTCCCTTCAGCCTCTCACAGGTCACCAGGCTTGAACCCCGCAAATCCAAGCAGACAACCTCCCCGTGGAAATCCTGAGGAATTTGGAAATCCCCTTGTGTCATAATCCCCGCCCTTTGTTTTCCAAGGTTTAATTCAGGTTGATTGTTGGCGACCCATCTCTGCCTTCTTGTCATGCCTTCAAACCCACCACCACCATCTTCAGGAGCAGCAATGCCTCCTTTTCTCACCACCACCATTCCCTCCTATTCGGGGCGGACTCGCTCACTGCCAATTGTCCCTGTTGGCAGAAGAGGTTCGACCATTGCCAATGCGATCGGCCTGCGCAGAAGGAGCGATATCGATATCGTCCTAGATGGTGACGTCGACTTTGTCCACTCGTACTCCACTTTTGATGAGATCAAAGGACGCATAGACATCAAATTCGAAAAGGATACTTCGTTTCACGACCTAAGCATCACTTTCGAGGGTGTGAGTACTACATATGTCGAAAAGATTGCAAGCACCGCGCCCACCACCGGTCGCACAACAGGAAAGCATACATTCCTCAAGGTCCAGCAGCCTATCAACCCAAACACCCTCCCTGAAGATGGCATATTTCTTGCAGGCACCAACTATAGCCTCCCCTTCAACTTTGTCGTCCCTGAGCGGCTCCTGCCTTTCATCTGTACACACAAAGTGAACCATGAAGAACTCAGGAAGGAGCATACACAACTGCCCCCGAGTCTGGGAGATCCTAGCGTTTCGGGCGATGGTCATGTCCTTATGGATGACCTCGCTCCAGACATGTCAAGGATCATCTACTCCATTCGCGCCCGAGTCACAAAGTGGAATGCCGTAGGCAGACTCATCGAGCTGGCTGATAAATCTCAGCGCGTTCGAATCGTCCCTGCCCGAGAGGAAGCACCACCTCTGAGTTTTGACGAAATGGAATCGGATCATGCCATGCGCAAGGAGAAGAATGTCAAGAAAGGCCTATTCAAAATTGGCAAGACAGGCCGACTCGTTGCCGAAACCACTCAGCCAAAGTCACTTCATCTCCAACATCCGAGCAAACGATCCGGCGAGCCTATTGCCACCATGGCTACGGTGAACCTTCGATTCGACCCAGCTTCCCCAGAGGATGTCCCTCCTCAACTCGACTCAATCGTGAGCAAACTAAAAGTCTACACTTTCTTCGGCGCTGCTCCCTACAAGATTGCACCCGAAGCTCACAAGTGCGACAACTGGTCATCACTGCACGGCTTATACCCTGAAACTGTTCCTTTATCTTCGCGATGCTTGTCGACAGTCTCATGGGTCCGACATGATGGGTCAGATCGCCAGAGCTTTTCGACAACCTCGGATCTCTCACGTCGACCATCAGCATTCTCCACTTCGTCTGCCTCATCAGTCATCGAACCTTCTGCCGCATATGCGGCTGGATCTCCATTCTACACTGCCACCGTCTTGGTCCCGGTAGCACTTCAGAATGCGTCGGGCGGTAGCCGTCCCAAAGTGCTCGTGCCAAGCTTCCACTCGTGCATAATTTCACGGACGTATGCACTCGAGCTGAACCTCTCTTATCGTACCGCAGGGGCTAGCATTGCATCGAGTCACGTTGTCCTGAAGGCTCCGGTGCAGATTTCAGCTGAAGGCGGCACGCGACCGGTCCACGGACCAGAATCTGATGAGGCCATCCTTGCAGAAATTGAAGAGCAATTTGGCATGTACGAAGCCCGCCAACTCCGCGACATCGATCTTCAACACGAACTAGGCCTCACACTGGAAACACCTGGCTATGAGGAAGTCGTCACAAGTGTGACAACACCATTACTTGGTACCCGACACATGAGTCTCGCCATGCCGGTGCAGAACACAAGACAAGCTCCATCACCACCAACACAGCCTCCCAGTGCCTCAGAATTAGCACCACCTGACTATCACGTGGGATCAGGCTTCAACACTTACAGTGCGAGGGATAGAGCCGGGTCTCCCAGAACCACAAGTGTGAGTCCTTTCGCCAATCTTGTCAATGCCTGAAGATATATTTTCATTTTTGTCTATCGACTATTTTTGTCATTCTGCCTTGCATCTTTCATATCCCTGACGTCCTGCTCAAAGATAACCCCTATCTTACTGTGCTTGGTGTGAAAAAGGAGAAAGATGAGTCCGAAGAAGAGACATGATGCCGACGATTGACACTGGCATTGATAATGCGAAGAACGAGTCGAAGATCCAAAAGCAACTCAGTGATGAGCGAGCACCTTTTCGCCAAGTATAGCCGACAAAACTTTTCTTACGTCTTGCATTCTTGAGCGATCGATTTGCGTTAGAGAGGGAATCGGGTTGAAGTCGGCTGCACACACTTAGTATCTGACTTACGCTCAGGAATACTATGTTCTAGGTTCCCGTCGACCGAGAACGAGACCTGCTTGGCCCTTGGGCGTAGTCGTCCTTGCGCTGTAAAGAGCAGTCACTCAACAAAGCCTTGTCGATAACAAGTCAGCGAGTGACGCTGCCTTTGCACACGACCTTCGCTACGCGTCAAGTATATCTACCTATACTATGTGTGAGCTAGGCGGACAGACCTATCTGATTCTTGGATCATGAATCAACTTCATTGTGTTCGGGCGACTAGTTACAACGTCTGAGCCTTGATCGCGAGGTCGCATTGGTTAACAGGACCAAAAAGATTGGAATTACAGTTTGTCAACAAGAGCAGGAGTGTCAAATTGTATGCGTTGTGGACAACCGGCCACCAGTATGAATACGGATATGACATGAGATATATGGATTGGTTGTTACTTTCCACGTTGGATGTTTTTTTTTTTTGAAACCGGTGTTGAGCGGATCGTTGAATTGAGCAGTAGTACATTTGTCTTGCATCTTTTGCCCTTTTTCAGCTATTGAGTTACGAATACCCCCCTTGTTTTTTGTTGTCAGCCTTACACGTCATTTTTGACCCTGTACCTCGTCCTTGTCATGTGGTGATGGACACCGTATGTGGACTGGACTGGGATGTAATGGAAAATGGTGATGCGCAATTTTCCAGGGATTTGGCTTTTTTTGGGCTTCTTTATATACCTTCGCTATAACACAAAACTTTTTAATACTCAATGAAACACATCAAACGAAACATACATTCCGAAAGCCTAGACACAAAACTGTTCGGCGTGTTTTTTTTGGGCATTAGCTATATCCCTAGGAATATAACTACCAATCTAATCTTCCATTCCCGAGACCCATACCCTTGGAGGAAGGCATTTTGGCCGCGCTCTTCGGGATTACCCATCTGTAGCCCTTGGGCTGACATTATTTCAGGGTAGATATCTCGCGCTACGTTGAAGAGACGCTCGACGCCAATACTAGCTATGATAGTAAAGGTCTTCTGCCAAGGTCTTAGAAGCCGGGACAAGAGGGGTCGAGGAAACAAAGGATAGGTGTAGTAGTAATAGTAATAGTAACTACGAACTCGACCCCGAAGGGATGCTTCGACTCATGCTTATTTGTTTATTTTCTGTAGTAAATTTAATAGGAATTAACAGGACGGCCTTTGTTCGCCAAAAGGATCAAGGCCTTGCTTGCAGTAGGCAACACAGGCGACAACCGTGGTCAATATCAGAGAATATGTGCACTGACATGACTGTGGTTGGTCTGTCGTTACCACAGACAGACAGACAGACTCAGTCCCCTGTTCTCGTCTTTTCCTTTTGTAACGGTCTCGTGTGGTACAGAGATATAAATCCTGGGCAACCCCTGAGATAATGATGATGATTTCCCCCACTCCAGAATTCTAAAGGAAGGGTTTTGTGCACCTGCAGACGACCGGACTGAACGAGGAAAGACAAGCCCCTGGTCAATATCAGAGAATATGTGCACCGACTTCTTTTGCTTGTCGACATTTCCTTGCAGCTTAGAAGCCCGGCCTCGAGCGTCCATCGACTTGGCGATGCAGATTCGCAGAAAGGGGGCACTTGGAACGGTTTGTGATAAAGACCGCAGCCTCCCCATTTGTACCAGGTTCGCTTCGCACGAACGAACACGCCAGGTCCCTGAGGGTTGGACTCAACGTCCGCCAGATCGATCCTGGGGAGGTAGAAGGATCTCGCGCGCTATTCGCTGTTGGTATCTTTCGAGAAAGGAGGATTCCTTATCAACATTACATGATAGTGTGAGGGTGGTGTCATAATATTCAAATTTCATGTATGGAATATCCTGCTTCGTTGAGGTGAAGGGGAAGGAAGGCAGTAATGTCGCCGACGTCACCTATCAATTAATTGTTGCTGGCAAAAGAGCAACCTTGTGTACCAACGCTTGCTTGCGATTTGTGTGGGTCGTAGACCTTGTACGCACAAGGTCTTGATGTGCTACAACAACACACCCTTTGAAATGCGCTCTTCTTGCTTGCCTCCAAGCTGCGAGTCATTTTCATAGACAGGTTTTGGCTTCGCCTTCAAGGCTACTAGCGCTCTGCACCACGTGAAGGTACCTGTCTGTTGCAGAGCATAAACTATTGTTGGTACGATTGAACGGATCCCCTTGCAATCTGTGCCCACGAATTATTATATGAGTGGGTGACTTCAGCTCAGGCTCATATGTTCAGTCCCCACGAGAAAACGTAAAGATGGTGTTCGTCCCCTTCTGTAGTGGTAAAGGCCAGTGGCATTGATCAAGCTTGGGAACCGATACAGCAGGGTATGCTGGCCTTGATTCTACCCCCTCGAAGGATTTGATGGATCGATCTTCTTAGGATCAAGTCTTTGGGCACTGTTTCGACTCCTTGACTTAGCAACTCGATGCATGGTAGCAAGATCCTCGGGTTGCTTTTGGATGGAAAGAGCAACATGTTCCAAGTGGCCATCTCCAGTGGCCGAAGCACCAAAGGCGTCGATCAGGGTTTTAGGAGCTTGTGACTCCTGCAAGGCCTGGTAGAGGCTACTCAAGTTACTAGGGGCGAAAGACTTTGAAAGAAGATTTTGGCCAGAGTAAGTGTATCCATCATCTCTCACATCAATGTGGCAGGTGAAAGTTTTCGGTGGTGGTTGTTTTCTGTCTTGCAGACCTCTGACGTTGTAAGGATCCTGGATGGTGGGGTCTGGAAAGTTCTGATTGACCTGAATGGTGACTGGACTTAGTTTGCAGACACGTAAAAGTGGTTGTCGGGAGAGATAGACAAGATCGAATTCTTGATGACGATCATTTTTCCCGGCAGCAGGATTGGTGATCTTGGAAAAAGCGGCAGGATGGCCAACGGACTGGATTCGTTTGAGAACAGCAGTTGACTCGGACAGCGAAGTGGTGGGGGGGCTGACGAGAAGACGGGCGACAAAGGGTTTGGTTGATAACCGAGTCATGGCAGGGAAATAGGTATGGAGGCATATGCCATTCTTGTCCAGCTTAGACGGACACCAATATAAGAGGACCTACTCGTAGTTACGGATCCTGACAGTCGTTCATGCGAGCCATTGTTGCTCACAAGAAGAACGCGTTGGCCATGCAAGTTCTAATTCGCATCGAGAATGCCAAGCAATGAAAAAGTGGGAGTGGAGCTGAAACGCCAAGACTGGCCGGTGGCCGTGCGATCTTCAAAGTCCCGGCTTGATTGGTGAAGGACCTGTAGGGCCGGAGGCTGTTGCCAGAAATAGAGGCGCAGGGTTCGAGGCTGGTGCGGGTAGGCCGTTTGGCGGCAGCACTCGCAGCAAGACGGACGCCCCCGGGGCTGACTGGCGGGTGAAGAACTGCCTGCTCAGAGCCTAAGGAAGTGCCTGTGGCTGCTCACTGTATTGCTTGCTCACGGAGGCTCGGGATGAAGGAGAGAGAGGCTTGGGCTTTGGCATTGCCTTTAGCTTGGCCGAGCCCATCGTCAGACTCCGCTCTTTTCTCACATTGTGCTGCGGTTTCTAGTATTTCTGAACATCTCCTGACAATCTCTGACGGCTGCAAGGTTTTCCTTTCCTCTGGCCTTTTTTCTTACACACCCACTATTCTCATCCCCCCAAGCCCCGCCGAAAAGATCCAAGGGACCAAATCCCCCCCATCTCCATTCCCTAATCCTTAATCCTTATCCTGGGATGCAGTACTCGTACTAGTCCAGTAGTTAGTAGGGGTGACTCGTGACCTGCGTTCGTAGTAACTGTCCGTTGTAACTGCACCGCTTGTGCATTGAATCGCTGCATCGCTTCTGCGTTCATTATTCTTCCTCAGCTCTCCATTGCACTCACTATCGCACCTTCGTTCAATCTCTTCCTTAGATGTCCTTCGCTTCAAGTTAAGTTCGAGTTCAGATCCAAACTTCCAAGACCAACGCCAGAAACCACACCGGCTTAACCTCCAGGGGAAAAAACCTCATTTCATTACTGCACTGATCAGCCTCTTCCCCAACCTTTCTGTCTTGTCACTTGGCGCCTCCTCGCGTTTCAGCCGCTGGAACAGACTTCCATTTTAAACAACTATATCGTTCCTTCACGCTTCTCCCTCGTCCCCTCTACGTCCTCCCCCTCCCTATCTCTTTACCATCAATTCCTTGGATACCCTCATCACTTACTCATCGTCGGCGTACCAACGTCGCGGGGACGAACCACGATCATCGATTGTGGTAGCCTGAGGATCCATCCTTCCGTTTCCTTTTCGCATCCCATCAGCCGCCAAAATTCGTTCTCACGAGGCCCGAAGTTCCCTCCTCGGAGGCCAGGCCGATCGATATCAACCTCTACCTGGAGGTTATCACCAACGCGAAGGTTATGCTGTAGCCGCACCAGAAAAGCGCTCAAGAGCCGCCATGTTTCTTCCAAACTCCAAATGGACGTGGTCCTTCACCATCGTTGCCCTCGTCCAAGCAGCCCTCGTTCTTGCTTTTGAATGGTTAGCATTCCTTTCTTGTCTCCCTCGTGCTCCATCATCCCCTAACCGTGATCCAGTTATGTCTTTGCACACTTCCAGATCCATCTTCAGCACTCAAACAATGCTGGTAGTTCCAGTTCTTCTCGAACCATCCCCACCTTTTTAACCCTCTACATTTTCGGCTTCCTTTACCAACTTCTACTTGTGTGGGACGCTCTGCGCATGAAAAACACCATTCAAGTCATTGGACTGGTCATGTATAATGTTGGTCTGCTCATCTATGGCGCCGTCCAGATGGAACAGATTAAAGAAGCTATATTTGACCTAGCTGAGGATGAGGTTCTTCACGAAGACATCTGGGCCGATACCAAACCCTTCCTTATTGCGATACCTGCCATAATCGCCGTCGGCACGATTGCCCTGGGTGTTTGCGCCTGGAAGCTCTATGATGAATTCGCCTGGACCATTTACAAGAGGATCTCGGCAGATTTAAGGATGAAACGACGATACCTTCAGTATCAGATTTACATCGCTTTGCTCAAGTTCGATTTCTTTTTCTTTCTGGGCTTCACAGTTCAATTTGTCGTGATTGTCACACAACGACAAGTTGAATTTGCTCTGACTATCGCCGCCATGCCTGTCACCATCATGATTCTCCTAGCCGCGGCCTGGTTCGTTCGGAAAGAGAACCTCTGGGGAACAATTGCAGTTGTTGTAAGTTACCATCAATCATCTTTCCGCAACGCACTTCTTCTAACATCCAAATTTACAGGTCCTCTACTTTGGTGGCTTGGCCTACTTTGTTTTCAAGCTGGTCCGAATGTACTCATCTGCTCGTGAGGACGCTTATCGACCAGCACGGAAAGAACTGGCCTCCTTTGCAGTTCTAACCATCATTTTGATTCTACTCACGATCACGAATGCGTGTATCTGTGCATTCAATTACAACAAGGGTCTAAAGCCTTACATTTACAAGACAAGACCTATCGAGGAGGACGAGAAACCAATGGGCAGCGCATATGCCCCCTACGCAACCGAAATGGAACCTCACGTGGGTGGAAAGAGACCAATGGCTGGACCATCAAACGCTGGACGAATGGAAATTGATTAAGTTCAAACAAACCCTCCGCCAGTCACCATTATCATTTCCATCAATAATTGGCAACGATCACGTTTCTCAACCTTTTACCAAAAATCAACGTAGCGGGCGTTATATCTTTAATCACTTTCTCTCACACACACTCACACACACACTCGCACACATACCACACTAGCAAGACTCTCACGTCCCGCACGATTTGGTTTTCTCATCACGACTACAGAAAAAGAAGGGCGGTTTGGGCTGGCAGGTATCATTTTCACGACGGAGTTCTTTTCTGGCTAGGTCATGGCTTTGTAAGGTACTAACTTGTATGGAACTTGGTGGGGCTATATGCGACGATGGATATACCTGAGAAGGAGGGTGGCATTGAAAGTCATCGGGTGGATATTTCCCAAGACCAATCAACACAGGGCCCCTTAACTGGCTGATCTCAAAAATGATGAATGAACATGATCTATATAACCATACCAATCCTTTCTCGATCTCTCACCCTATCTTGTTGGTTCTGATGGAGACGGAATTGTTTGGTGGATGTTTCCACCTGCTTCACTCACTCATGAGACTAAATAACTACCTTGCCGGGAAAGATCAGGTACTGTACAAGTTGATACCTGGGGCGCGTGATGGCATGAATGGTCCAATGGCTACGAAATGCTTCACAATTCACAATTCACATCAACTGATTGAAACAAGAACAAGACAGAGCCCGAGGTATGGTATGGTATGGTATGATATGAATCAGATTGGAATTCAAATGCTAGTTAACTCGCTTGTCCCAGCCGTTCATTGAACGCCCTGCCTCGCATTGCATTGACATCGCATCGTGGATTCGTGTGTGTATCTCGGTTCAACTGCCGCCTGCCCTGAACGCCAACGTGAAAGGGACGGTGCCAACTCATAGTAGCCCAATGCTCAACTCAATGATTAGTGCTTCAAACCCGAAATCACCCCCCGTTGAATTCCTTGCATGTCGTGAGAGGAAAGGAAATACCTTTATTGGAGAAGCGGAGGCGAAGAGAGACAGAGCCTGATTTAGCCATTCTGGTTGTCCTGTCGTTCTGATAGTGAAGTGAAGTCCATGCAGAAACTGGATTGTTGAGAGGCGAAAGATAACCAGGTACGGTGTAGCGTCCATAGAATGACGAGGATTGAGGACCTAGGTAGCCTATTGTCGGTACTGCCATCGGGAGGAGTGCCATCATTCACTCAACGCACTGTCAGAGGACCCACAATCTCGACCCGTGCGCCAACTCCTCCCTTTCCACTCAGCCTGGCTCAACCACTCCCCCAGCCACGTATCGATTTCATCCCTGCCCAGTATGGTTGTCCTGAGTTGGGAAAAATATATGAATGAGATCAAATGACCGGGGTTTATCCTCGAGGATGTCGTCGCTGACCTTCCAGAATGCCGTGGGACCAGCAGGGCCGTGGATGTCGTAGTCCTTGTCGAACCAGTTGCCTAGCACTCCGCGGCCAGAGCGGAGCCCTCCGATCTGCACGCCCTCCGACCTCCAGCGCTCCTCACCGTGGAAGATGGAGAATGTCGTCCAGCGAATTGCGCCACTTGGAGTTTGTCGGACCGTGCCTGTGCGTAGGGGAGGTGGGTTAGTTTGCGAAGGTTTCAAGAAGCATGAGGAATTGACTGATAGAGGTATATATCGAGTAAATGAAGGCGAAGTAGGGAGTGCTGCAAAAGCAAGAAGATAGAAACATACCTCGAATCCTCGAATTCGCGTTCGGATCCCACGCCATGAATGTACTCTTACTGGAACCTTGGAAATGCACGACGGGAAAGTCCTTGCCGTCATCCTCACCGGGTTCCTCAACAGCCGTGACTCGCAACTGCAGTCGAATGAGACGGAACGCCTCGCGTGTCGTGATGGGATCGCGCTCCTGCGTCAATGGGATATCCTCGGATTCGAAATTAAAGCTGTAGAGATCGTTGTAGTCCAGGAAGCAGACGATGCGTGTCCATGTCCCGGTCACGCCGTAGGGGTCGAGTGCGTCGAGGTCTGGGTGGAGGATTGGTGCGATCTTGTCGCCCTCCTCCCCGCCGAGAGGCTGAGACACAAAGCTGCCTTTGGCGATGCCTTGGAAGGGTTCATCCCACAGCTGGGCGCTGTGTTTCGTCGTCGAAGTGCGAAAACGAGAGCGAGCTGAGCTTGTGGCGGGTGTTGCACTAGATGAAGAGCTTGAAGATGCCGGTTGGGATGTTGATATTTGGGGACTCGTAGACGACGAAGAAGATGCATCGCTGGAAGAACTACTCGCGGCTAGTGGCCCTCTAGGCCGTGGGCGCAAATTTCGTTCCATGAAGATACGAAGATTGAAGGCAAGGACGATCATGATGGCCTGTACTTTCTCCCAGTCGACCCGCTGCGAGCCGTCATTCATGAATGGTCCCCACATGTTTCCATCTGTGTATCGTCGGAGATCGTAGACTCTGGATCTGGCGTAGGGATGGACGAAACGTAGAGGAAACAGATTCGGATTCACACCTTGTTCGTCTAGAACATGAGGGCACGCCATCTCGTCAGGGGGTGGCCACGCTGACTCCAAGTCCATACCACATAAGACGTGCAGCTGGGCGGAGAGCTGGCGAAGATCCTCGGTTGGCCCGATACTCCAGATGGATGGTTTGGCTAGTGCAAATATGCTGGAGCGGCAGAGAAACATGCATGTGTTCATTGCATTTCGATAGAGTCCGGTCAGAAAGTCTTGGTTTCGAGTGGATGCCGCTGGAGAGTTGAGGGCGAGATCGATACTCTGCTTCAGGACCTGTTCGAGATGTGCATTCTGAGAGGTTTCGAATGAAGATGTCAGTGCGTTTGGATCACGGATTGGCTTCATAAAAGCACAGGTCGATTTGATCGTGATGATCTATGTTCTCATACCTTTTCATCCTCGCTTGAAGATTCTAAGCATTTCTCCATTCTGACCATTGAAGTCACCCGGTCCCTATATGATGTGCCATCATCTCTGTGCTCGAGATCATCCTGTTTCATCGAAGAAGAAGTCAGCACCTGTTCTTGAAGACCGTTCTAGGGTTGTTCAAGAGATCGAACTCGGCCGGGGATTTGAATCTTACAAATCTGGCCTCATACTGGAGTTTCCACAAGAACTCATCGTTGGCGATAAACTGGCTGAAGTGCTTGCAGGTACGAGATAGGTTGGCAAGGTCTGTTGACTCGACGTTCACAAAGATGTTGTGTAGAATCTCAGGTGACTGATCGTAGAGTTGCGCCATGGCTGTCACTCTTCTCTAGGTATTTAGCTGTGAGGTTGTTTTGATTTGTCAGTTGAAGTCTGAGATGCCGGATAAGAAATCGCGGCCGTGGTGGGGTTACATATGATCCAGGATGGTGGGAGGTCGACAGGGATTGTTCACAGGAGGAAATTGGATCTGTCTTGGTCTCAGATGTGTGATGCTGGATGAGAGCTCCGCTAATGACTGACTTGAAAGATAGACTATACACAAAGAGAACGTTAGGAGATAGATAGGCAGGTAGGTCTCAATCAAACGGACTAGAAGTGGTTGTCCGAAGATGATGATACAATCGTCCGTCGCTTGCCGTCTCCCGCGGTGGAGATGCTTCTAAGGTTTCGGAGTTAAGGACGCAAGACTCCCGTCCTCTAACTTATGATCCATTATATCAGCCTAACGACCTTTAATTTCCTGTCGATCGTGTACCTTTGAGCTAGACAAAAGGGATCAGTAAATCACATATCATACGAAGTCGAAGCCGTTATACTATTGCTACATTGCCCCTCTAATCAAAAGCAGTCATTATTGAATTTCTTTCCATAGCTCGCGATATCTCTCCTCGTCTGCCTCTCCCGTCCAGAGAAACTTTGTTAGAGTCCAGTGAAATGCTTCCCAGTCCCCTAAACCGAATCTTCCACAAGCTTTGCGAAGCATATTCAAGAATTCAGATCGCACGACTGTGTCCGTAGACGTCAAAATGCCGGTAGTCAAGATCCATATGGATAGTGCAGGGGCGAAATCCAGTTCAGGTAGATCTTCATCCAAGGTGAGCAGTGTATCATAAAGTTGGGTTGTCAAGATCTGAAAGTGTCGATATCGAATTGGGTTTCCCCTCAGCTTATGGTGCACATGTATCTGTGCTGCAAGAGCAGTGGCTCTCCAAAATGCGCCATCGATCGCATTTGACGATGGTGGAGCAGTCGATTTGAGGATCACGCGCAGGCGCCTCTCCAGCTTCAAGCACACATCCGCGCGTGTCATCCTGGCAACATCATCACACTGATACAGGGGTTTCTTTCGCTCAGAGTGGCATAGTTGTCGGATGTCATCCAGAACCTCCAGCACCGGATGAGGGTGTATCCTGAAGTATTCCAATTCTGCACGACCGAGCCCAGGCAATGAATCGGGTTCATCAAGCTCATCAAGCGTAGACCAGGCTCCATTCCAGATGTCAACGAGTGGGGGAAATCTCAATTCGTCATCAAATAGTTCGGAGTAAGTCAAGTCGTTAAAACTGATCAAGCGCTGTAAGTGTGTCTGCACGCCATCCCCCAAAGAAAGCAATCCTCCTCGCATTTTAATGACTGCTTCCAACCCCTGCATATGTTTCTTGGCTTCTTCACGCGAATCCAATATCAACGCCATATTAGTTAATGTGGCTACTGCAGCAATACACCCATCACTTACTGCTTGCCGTTCGTCCGATAAGCGATCGTTGACAAGCGAAATGGCTGCGAGTTTGTGCTGGATGATTCGCATATCCGCTTCAGGATCCAATGGGGGAATCACCACTCCGGGATGGGTCCGGCATTTGAAGTGCATGCCGAAACTATACATGGTTGCGTGGAAAACGAGCTGATCTGAATACGCGAATTGTGGCCATAGTCCTTGACCATTGACAGGACACCATGGAAAGCGTTCGTGTGTACGGAATCGGCTAAGCAGGAGCTCATCACTTGCATTAAGACGAGCTGGTAGCGTATCAAAAGGGTCATTGCGGGACACTCCGAGTGTGGTGATGGGCATTGAATGTATAAGATCTGAGTCACCCCTAGATGGGGGACGGATAGGTGGTTGCCCCCGGTCTTCGGCCTCTCGAGCTTTCCGTTTAGCCTTTCGCAAACGATGTGGCTTCCTCAATTCCAGGCCTTCGGAGGTAAGCCTAAACCTCAGCTTCTGGCCGGCTGATGGGGCGTTCTTGCCCTTGGTCACAGCACTTCGTGCCTCAGTCTCGGTGGCATGAGTTTTGTTCGACCCTTCCTTCGACTGGGTGCGATCAAGGTAATGGTTCATAACATGGGTTCGTACCTTCTTGAGTTGCTGTCGGTCACGGGTATCGGGTCTTTGGCCAGTTGACGTGATGAAAAGCAAGCCATGGTGAGTGTCCTCGTCATTGGGAGATTCCCCATTCGTCGTATGCGAGTTCTCGATTGGTGGCTCAGTTCGTATAGTGGTATTGCTTACAGGGGGAGCAACTTGGCTGCGTTTTGGTGGCATGTCGAGACCCGAGCACGGCCAATGGGCCCAACTCGCTTCTTCCAGCACGCTGCACGATAGATCCAGGCGTTTGTCCAAATTGCCTCTTCTAGATGTAGGTCGAGATTGGGATCACTCGTGGTGTATCCCTTAAAATGCAAATCTCGCAAGTGGTCTCTCTTAGTTGGCTACTGTGAACAGGTGGAAATAGGGAGACCGAGGTGTGGTGTGATTAGTAAATGACCTGGTAAAGACTTCCAAGCTATAAAGTGCCCAGTGCTGGCCTTTTTTTTGTCTCGCCAAAGGACAGTCAAGCCGAGTATCAAGAAATTGTGCCTCAGTCGATGTCTTTAGTATCCTGCCTCAAAGCCTAATATTGCCACTCTTATGCAGGTACTCATTGATGAGCGGCGAAACAGACGGGTCCCACCAGGGATATTAGTTATCAATTAGTTATCACGATGGATCTGCAATATATTTAGCCTTCGGCCTGCAGACCTCGGTGTCGACACATTCTTTCACTGACCTGAGCGTTTTCACCTTAGAGACATGAGAAACCCGCCGCCATTTATCCTTCAAGGATGGCTATCCGCAGTGAAGTTGAGCACTGTGGATTGAACTGCTATATCAGATATCGAACATCGAATGATCGTCCACTTTCAGATCTCCTTGTCCTGTGTCTACAAAATTGCCTACCCGTAAGGATGAGAGTCAGTGTTGCGCTAATCGCGTCAGCTTTGATGAGCAATAAATTTCACTCGAGGATTTGATGGAGTACCCGTTACGGGGGTTCGACATCACTCTGTGGTGGGAACAACTCGTGCGAGAACATGGGTGTCAGGTGGTTGCCGGCTCACCTAACGACTTAATAAGAGTCGAGAATGAACCGATGACTAATGTCGACAGGCCCTGCAGAGGGGGGCCGAGGGGGCTGAGGTGGAACTCCTCCGAGAGCCAATAAAGGGGAATGACCTTTGGCCATAAATGGGATGGCGTACGCAAGAGTTCTTGTTGACGAGCCTAAGCTTCCCGCACACTTTGTGCTACTCGTTTCCCATCACTCGAACTTGTGCCTTCAAGTTGGGCCTTTGTATTGATCTGGAAGTATATCAATACCTGATCTTGCCAGCCAGTTGCTATCAGCCCTCAAAGTATGTGGCCTCGCTGTCGTTGAAAAAATCGCAACCCCTAAAATGCTCATTGATATTGAGAGAGGCGAGTCATGATTCAAGGCTGTCAAGACTTGTGACGACTGGGCGATTATCGTGGCAGGAGCATGTCCGGGTGTCTGTTTGCACAAATGCTTATGTACATGCCAGCTCAACAACAAACTTGACAGTCTCGAGTGTTGCTGCTTGCTCCAACGAGGCCTGCTTCTTGTGGCGGTATTCACTAAATTTCAAAATGACCACAGTGAGTCCTTAGGCCAGTCTACTTCAAGTTCGGCATGCTCCAAAATCCCCGCTTGATTGGTGTGTGCACTTAACCCTACTAGTATTGATCGGATTTTCCAGTGCCAAGTTGTGGTCCAGCGAGCTGGGCCGCACTCTCGAAACATAAAAAGCACGGAAAGTCGGCCACGCCGAACTGGGAACTGACTACTTACTCCGTATGTCGATATTCAAAGACTGGAGCGCCATGTTCTGTGTCAACCTCGCGCTCACGTGCGCGCCTTGGTTTGCGCAATTGCCAAAGTTCAGAAGAGCGTTTCGACTTCGCTGGGATCCAGTGACAAGGGGGACACTAACTTGGTGTGCTGTGCGGCTTTAGCAAGACATGGGCAACTTCCCGTACCGCAAAGCTCATTCTACACCGACGACATACTGGTTCGTAACTGGTGTTCAAAACAGCCCATTCGACTTGCTCCGAGAGAATAGCGGCTTGAGATTTGGAAGGACTGTCGATCGAATGGATATGTTGAAGCTGTATCCACCGTTATCGGGATGGCCTTTTGCCTTAATCTACAAAATGGGCGCAATCGTCAGTGGCCTTCGTGGGCTACTGACAGGCAACGAAGGTTCTGTATATTAAGGGGCCGATATATGATATCTTGAACTTTGTGTTTGGTGTTCGGTTTATCATGAGGGTGACTCGTCTGGCCAACACACCATGTGAAGTAGTACCACAGGGGATTGATCAGAGCAGTCGCAGCTTCAGTATACATCGCTCAACCAAGGAAGCATTCGCTCCGGATCCATTCAGGTCAACGTGTCAATACCATGTCCATATCAAGGCTGTCCGTAATGATGCTGTCCAAATACTCCAGCCTGCATTTAACCATGTCTGATTGATGGAGCAGCATAACCTGAAATAGCAACCGGATTCTCAGAGAGGCGGTATATCGACCAAAAATTCCCTTCCAAGCCAGACCACAACCGCAGCGGACATTCAGTAATGGACACTGCCAAGACCCCCGAGTCGAAGATAATTCGAACAACTGGAAAACGTCCAGGGCATCATACTCGATAGAGGCATTACTTGATAGCATAATCCACTGGGGTGATTGACCATCTACCCTGCAACAGCATCGCAGAGTTCAGCGCCATTGTCTGAAGTGGGCGGCCTTGATCTCGGGTAAGGAGGTAGAGTGCTATGATACCCATAGACCAGGAAAAGCAAGAGGCATAGGAGGTACTCGGTACTTCGTGAAAGCTTCTGAGCCCTGGCCTTGGTATATAAATGTCGGTGGTTGTAGCCTTGTCAGCGGCTGAGAGCGGTGATCGGGCGGGTTTAAGAATATGTGGAGCCAGATGGTGGCGTCAAGTGTATCAGATTTCATGCCTGGGCATTGATGTGATGGTTTCCTTAATTGGTCGAAGTCAAGCTGGGTTTGAAGTGATTGCTATCATGGATAGTACTATGTAGCTGTGGGCATCCTGGAAATGGACGGTTTGGCTATAAAACTGTGGACTGCCGCCGTCTTGACTTACTGGTACCATTAGCCAAATAAGCCAAAAAAAAAGCAAATCAGGAGAAACCAAAAAGAACCTCTCCAAAGACAAGAGATCATTGGAAAGAACTTCCAACATGTTACTCAAGACCATCGCCACATCCACAGCATTGCTTGCGTACTATGCAACCATCCACCAGGCGTCAGCATGCATCCACGGGGCGCGAGCCGTCGAGACCACCAGCGCAGCAGCGTCAACAGGCGAGATGTTTCCACAAAGCATATTCGGCAGCGAGGACCCGTCCGACCCAGGCTCGCTCGGCTACTTCGTGAACCACCTGTGCATCAATGTTCGCAACGCGACGGAGAGCATTGACTTCTACTCCAAGACGTTCGGGTTCCGCCACATCTTCACGCTCCGGGTCACCGAACATTTCAGCATATCGTACATGGGTCACAGCCACGGCGGCAAGAATGGCACGGGCTACCAGAGCGTTGCAGAGCTCAATCGCGAAAAGAATAACGCCCAGGGGTATTTGGAACTCGTCTCGTTGAGTGTCCCCGGCTGGGATTTATTCGCGTCGGCGAAGATTCCGAATACGTTTGCGCATATTGGGTTGGTGGTGCCCGATATTGAGAAGACACAGAAGCGGTTGGAGGACATTGGGGCGAATATTGTCAAGAGTTTTGGCGAGGTTCCAACCATTGTTGGGCCGGTGGCGAATGCTACGTCCTTGGGAGATCTTTCGGAGCTGGATCAGTCGGAAATCGATGCGATTCTGGCGGCTTTGATTCCTAGTAATACGCCGTTGATCTGGGTTGCTGATCCGGATGGCAACTTGATCGAGATCCAGGGGCAAGATGGGTTTGGAGTGGTTAATTGAGGGATTGATTTCGGGGAATGAGCGTGTTGATCTGACAATGTGGGCGAGGAGCAACAACCTACCTGCCCTTGACCCCAGCATCACGATCGATATGGCGTGGGTAAGAAGACTGTAAAGTGCATATGACTGAAGCGAGATGTGCCAAATCTTGATCATGCCGGAAACAGCTTAGAAAAGTATCTTGTGAATTTGTTGGAAGTACAAGCAAGAGCTTTAAAACATTCCTGCTTCATCCAACGCTTGTATCAGTTAGAGCTCGGGTCAAGCTCGTTGATAACATCTGAAGTCTATTAGCCTGAAGTAGCAGACCAATCCAACATAGAGTCTTCTGCTTGACAGAGAATCTCCCAATGATCTCAATGGCCATCCCTATTCATACACGTAGCAGCAGATTCTGAGCACGGTCGCCCCAGCATTGATTTTTCCTTATGCTGCCGCCCAAGCGAGTAACATTCCCATCGCCGCACGCCTGGAGTAGAGTCCAATTGTAACCATTGACGTGCATGCCTAAGCTTCATTTTATCGATATCACTTGCGGATGAGTTGAATGCCGTTTCAAGAAATAATGAACGATCAAGCAATTGCATGCGTACCGTCACCTGGATCGAACCGTGCACGCTTCTCTCCACGATCTTCCTCGTTCTTGGGGTCTTCAGACTTTGCAGGCTTTGTCGAATCATCCAACTCTACCTTCCCATATCGAAGGCATTCTTCTCTCTCAGCTTCCGAATCATGGAGGTGTAACGCGCAATCGTATCGTTGTCTTGGGTCCTCGGAATTTTTGGTCTCGTTGACTGATAGGAGCAAGTGGTGCAACAGCTGCTTGCGACTGCCAAACCATTTCGCAGCCTCAGCTGAAGCGACGTCGTTTCCGATAAGGTGCTCCCAGCCCTGAGTTGCCGCGCTGTAAGCCAAGCACTCGATGAGGAATTTTCCCATGACAGACCCGCCGCGTCCGGTACTGACTAATTCGTCATATGACTTCACATACCATTCGGGGTCTGCAGGAAGGCGTTGAATTGTATCGGCCAAGAAATTGCGGTACTCGTTTGATTCGATCTCCTCTGCGAGAGTCCAGAGTTCTCCAAAGTGGTATGGAGGCTTGGCCCCTGTATCCAGGACATTGCCATGCGCGTTGTACATCCAAAAGATGAAGGGTTCGAAGTGCCGGCCATCCTCGACAATGCCCAAAGGGAAGGTGGGTGAATTGGCGTTGGCTCTTTTCGGGAAATAGTCGCGAAAGAGAGCTGATTTCTCCATCGCAAGGGATTTGTGAACGTTGAATTTTGTTTTATTCTTTCCGATCACGACTTCGATCACTGGTGAACTGAAATGCCTTTCGATGTCAGTTAGAACCGGTCCGGGATTAATCAACTTACTCTACGAAAGTCATTTCAAGATCCTCTCTGCGTGGAGGTAATGAGGAAGATTTGGGTGACCCGAATGTTCTAAAATCTCGCTTGCGATTCGGCAAAGGAGAGTGCATTCTGAGTAGAAAGGCAAAGGGCACAAGTGACCTGAAGATGAGCGAAGGAGAGTGAGTGAGGGATAGAACGTTGTGGTGTAAAGTGAAGAGGAAGAATTAAACAAGATCCCTCTGAACTGAAGTGAGAGAAGTCGATAAGGCTCTGTAACGTGAAGTGCTGATGTTCAACAATATGTGAGGCTTCCACACAGAACGCGGCCACGACTTCTCTAATGGCGATGATAGGGAAGTTTGGTAATGAGGCACTTTGGTAGACCAGAACCTTTGATGGCTTTGTGGAGATGGTTTGGGTTAAGTACAATCTCAGGTGATTCATGTCAAGCAAACCACCATGTCCGTTTGGCTTGTTGATAGACTGACATCTGTAACCGGATGTAGCGACTCTCGTACTCATTGCCGATACTCTTGTGATGTGCATGAAATGTATATTGTCGATCTCACGGGATGATTTCGCACAAAAGCCTGATCAACGCCCACAAAAATTGTTGCAGAAGCCTACAAAGGCTAGTACCAACAATACAGGCTCAACAATATCGGTTGTTACATGGTATTCTTGTCAATATTGGTTTTATAGTCGAAAGCCAACAATTGCACCAAGATTCCCCAGGCACTTCCAAAATGCGAATGACATATGGAAGGGAATTCAGATTCAGGCCGTGTAGGTGACAGTTAACACTACATTCAAAGTTCATCTACTCACACACAGCTTCAATATCATTGTCGAAGGGCGGATCCAAGCTGAGTATCGAAATTTTGAACAAGGCGAACAATATTCACTCCTCCAGATAGTCATGCCATCTCACGTCCTCCATCATGTCGGTGAATCCTGAGTATTGACCGAAAACAGAATCCCACCGGTCCCAATCAAAGCCAAGGTCAGTATCGGTAGGAGGGTTTTCCTTATGAAGGTAAGGGTCTGATGAAACGCCATTTCCGACTGGCTGCCCATTGGATTGGTGATTTTGTTCATTGATACCCGTATGAATGTCATGAGGGACACCATTGCTCCATGTACCACTATTGATGGCAGAAACTTCTGCATGCCCATTCGCACCCTTCTGCAGCGTCTGATGCTCGACTGAAGAGACTGGTGCCCGTGACATATTATTCTCACCGGAGGAGCTCTCACGAAGTGTCTGTCTGCCACCATCTGCACCGTCGGGGTTGATCCAAGGAGTAGATAACTGAACGGTGCAAGATGGATGCTGGGTCCCTGTTCGGGGGTAGTGTGAATTCAGCTCCAGGACGTGGCTGGCGTCTTGTCCGCTTTGTGCTGCCGATCCGGAGCAAGCCTCCATCTTCTCACTGAGTGGGAACGGCATTTTCTGTTGGTTACTTCGCCAGGCAAGACCGCGGTTAGGATTTAGCCTCTCATTATTCTCGATCTCATTGATGAAGCGGTCTCTCAGAGTTTTCCCACATTCGTGCCCTTCACAGCCATCTGCAGACCCCAGGAGTTCGGCCTGGGAAAGCTTGAAGGCATACTGGAAGCCATCTTCGAAGGATTGTTTCTCAGTTGACGAGGTTTGGTCGTTCCCGTTCCTTCGACCGTGGTCCCGATGATTTTCATATAATGTGTCCTCTCGTATGCTCTGAGCGATTTTTTGTGAGTCGGTCAACGGTTTTGCGAATCCAATATCGACTTCATCGGCCTCAGTCCAGAGGAATCTGGGATCAAGTCCTGCCTTTTGCCAGGCCGCAGACCTCAGCCCTCTCAACATCTCCCAAGCTTCAACGCCCCCTTCTCGCATAGGTCTGTGTATCGTCACACCATACGGGCCGCCCACGATACCTCGTTCAGGGGACGAGTATGCAAACACTGTATCGATCAACTCTCTCGACCTGGGTGCTTCGACACTGCGAGGTCTTTCGTACAGATCAACCAAAACGATAAGCGCGGCGTGCATGGGTCCGTACATTGACGGCCAACTCCACCAGAAGGGCTCTAACTCAGGGTCACTGGCTATCGATATAAATTTCCTCAGGAAGCTGTGACAGTTGTGTAATGCACATTGCCTTCCCACATTCCATAGTTTGCTCTTGGCATTCTTCAGGAAAGGTGCGTAAGCGACACAATGCACCTTATCATTCATCATGGATAATGTGATTCTGGCAAACTTGTTGTACGCCACACGTCTGGAGCGGTAATAGTAGGTAGTCGATGATGATATGTCTGGATCGCCCGCCAGGTCAGTGAAGTGAGCGAGTTCACCGAGACTGATGGGATCCCCCATGGAAGTCTCGCAATCGAGGGTTCGTTGTTGTTTTTGTTTTGGTAGACTGGGAGTAAACCCTAACTCAGGAACACCTTTCGAGGGAATCTGTTGAATGATATAATTCACTTGCTCACCCGCTGCGGTCATCGTGCGCTTCATGTCAAGCATGTCTGCGTTGTTGAGGGCTTTCGCGCTCATGTGGATTGATACAACCTCTCGAAAGGCACATGATAGGATGGATTTCGCCCTCGCAACATGTGAAAAAGTTCGATATGACTCCCATGTGGGACCGTGCATCGTTGGGCTTGCACCATTGGAAGATCTTTGCTGCGAATTTGTTTGGGAGTCACCGTCAGGCGTGTTCCTGTCTGTCAGTGCATCGTGGTCCTCACAAATAATCCGGGTGTCACAGAATGCATCTGCAATCAAGGAAGGGTAACCGCTAGAGACAACTTGTGAAACATCCAGTTGGATAACATGCCACCACAGTCGGCGGCGCATGCCCTCCTCGGCGACAGACATGTTGAAGAGGGTGGGTTCTCTATGGAGGCCCATGGTAAGAGAGAGACGGACAACCAGCTGCAAGTACAGAGTAGCTTGGGTTGGGTCCTCCTCGGATATAGGGAGAGAACAAATCATGACGAATGCCGCAAGTGTCTGAAGAGTGGTATTTCGCGAGAATTGTGCAAGATGGAGAGCAAAGACGACTTGGTCATGGAATCTGGCGCAGACCATGGCTCTGGTGACGCCCGGGAACCATCTTCTAAATCCTTCAAGGGGCAAGCTCAGCGACCCAGCGTACCAAATGGCGTACATCAGCGCGGTAGACCCAAGGTCTGGAAACCAAGAGCTCTTGGCCGAATTTGGTTCATATTGTAACCAGAATTTCTCATGGATTTTCTGGATCTCTGTAGGAATCAAAATTGGTAGGATTGGATGAACACCGGACAGCCAAGAGCGGAAAAGGACATTACTCTGAGCACTGGACGGTACGTGCTTGAGTAAATGCTCTTTTCCAACGGCTGGCGTGCACCTGATTGGGATGTCTTGCAGAAGTGTTGATTTTGTGAAAGGCATCAGGTGACATACTGGGCACGAATTGGTCGGGTCATAAAATTTGGGGATTTCAATGCCTGCTTCTTGTTGGAAACTCCTGGCATCCAAAGAGCCATCTTTATCGTGCGATCGGTGGTGTTTGTGCTCAAGAGTCTCGGGTGCCCGGGAAGGGCAGCTTTCCGTCTGTATGCTTGTGGCACTCACATACCTATCACTTTGTCGGCGCATGGCTTGATTCAGTTGATTGATCTCCGAAGTGATGTGCTTCCAAAAAGAATCCTCTGGAGATGTGACCTCGTTATGGCCCAATTTGAGACTTGCCAGAGGCCTACTGAGTTCCGTAGCATCTTTATTGGATCCATTCCTCGCCGAGGAGAACATTCCTAGGCTCAAATTGTGAAGAGAATGTCCATCTTCTGTGTCGTGATCCGAGCCAGAGGCAATTGGCGTGAGGAGATTTCGCAGATACAGATGCTCATCAGTAGAACCATTGCTACGGAGCGAGTCTACCAGCGCAGACAGACGATGCAATTGGTCCTCAATGGCTCTCAGGTGGGTTGGTGATACTGAGCTGGACGATGCATGCTCATTCACTGGCGATGTGTCTGAACCATCCCGAGCAGATTCGATCTTCCTCTTCTTCAAGTCAGCAACATCGGAGGCCTTGGATGCTTCTGAAATCCCGTTGGACTCTTGGTTCTCCTGCAAGGTGTAGAGACATTCCTCGTTGGCCTTGGTACACCCACCACATACTGGATGGACCTTGTCACATTTCACTTTCCGTCTTCTACAAGTTATGCAACTATAACTTGTTCGGTTTCGTGTAATTTGGCGCTTGTCGGTTTTCGAACTCAAATTTGTCGAATGGCGACGGACCGAGGTCTCCGTCTTTGCCTCTGGGCCACCAGTAAACTGAAACATCACGAAGGGGTTTGTTGATGAGCCTGATAAGATTGCAAACAATAGCTATTTTTTGGTCTACAGTCGACTTGGTCGTGCAGATCCCTCTTACAGAGGGACGTGCAAGAGAAAATAGCAGTGGATGGGAGTCCAAGATGCGGAGAGGAAGCTGACAAATACAGCAGCGAATTGGTCAAGCTCGAAGAGCGAGGCTGGCCAGATTTCTCTGGGAACATCAGATCAGGCAAATCCTCTCATGTACAGCTAGTGATGAGGATACCATGATACATAATGCCACCGTGTGAGAAGAATTGATGATGAGTCTCCGAGATTTGAGTGTCTTGAAAGGTGGTAAGCCTGATGATATATTATGGTTTGACTCTTCAAATGACGGTCAGACGCAGGAGTGATCCAAAATGATGGAGAGCAAATCATGTTCTCATTAGACTAAAGGGGATACTTCTCAACATGTATCTTCGTATGAGCTTCAGTCATCAAACCCTTCCCAGCCTTCCTCATCTTGGCCCGACTCAGCCTGTGACGTTACCACATGCAATGGGTCAGATTTATTGCGGACGAAGCCGCACAAGAAGAACCCCATCGTCCCGTGCTCATCGCCTGGATGACAACGAATGCATGCCTCTCGGGCTTCATCATCCAATTCCAAGGTTCCAGTATTCATACCCTTTTCAGCACCGCGATGTACCCATTTCTGCAAGCCGGAAATTTGATCTTGCCGCTTCAGAACACTCCAACCTCGCGATTTGGCTATTGTTGAACCCAATACCTTGGCTACCACAGCTTCGTTCTCTTCCACGTGGACTGAACATGTCGAATACGTGACCTTGGTGGCCGCAGGAAATGCGAATGCATGTTGTACGATTTTGGCCTGCAAGATTGACAGTTTTTGGAGTCTGGCAAGATCGTATGTAGTCTCCTTGGTTTCTTCTGCAAAACTATCTGCGGTAGTCTCCACAGCATCGACCGCGCTCTGTACAAGTGCTTCTAGGCCTCGCTTTCGCTTCTTGGAGCCTTTAGATGGTGTACTTCCTTTTGATTGCTGAGACTTCGGGTCGATAGGTAGGGCTAAAGCAGGAATGTCTTCTCGGCCCAGAATGCCGCTTCCGGAACAACTTGGGTCCAGTAGAAGATGCGTCACATTTACGAAACGCGGATCTTGAGGGTTTAGTGCCAGGAAGTCCTGTCTCTCCAACACACTAACATTTCCGGCGCCCGCTTTATTCGTCATGGTCATCAGAATTTTGGACCTTCGGTCATCTTTCTCACAAGCAAAGATGTTTATATTCCGCCGAGTCGTTAAATGGACAAGAGCCGCAAGATGTGTGGTTTTGTTGCCAGGAGCTGCGCATCCATCCATACAATCTTCTATCATTTCAGCTTCAGCTGGATCCCCATTAAGCAGATATGCGGGAAAGCAGGAAGCCTTGTCTTGCAGGATGATTGCGCCATCTGTATATGCTTGTGTCTTTGTGAAGTTTGCGTCTGGTGGCAGGGCCAGGAGATCAGGCACGTGTTCGTCGATGGCTAAGATCTTCGCGCCAGCTGGCGCACAAGCAATTTCGAGAACTGGTGCGCCCAATTTGTAGTCTTTGAATGTTGTGGCGAGCTCCTGTTCCAAAGTTGACCTGAGGGTGTTGATGCGTATCCATCGCGGTGCCGAGCGGTGCGAAGGCGACTTCTCACTCAGAAGAAGCACTTTCAGTTGTTCGACGGTGGCACATTTTTTCTTCAGCCTGGCCCTGGTAAATTCTGCTTGCAACCTTGCCTTGTGTCTCTCGATTGCATGTCGAAGATGGTGGTTCGCAGAGGCTGCGATCCCACCTTTAGCGAAGAAGTAGTCATGGACGAGAAGAAGAGCGAGGACTGGGGTCAACTATCGAGAAGGCCGGCAGAGGCTGCGTCAGTCAGCAGCGAGACAATGAGGGGGTCATGCTTTATTGCTAACCTTTGGTTCCTGCGCTAAGAAATTGGCAGCGTCGATGACTTGTTTGAGGAAATTGTCGTATTTCGCAGCTTCGGAGATCAGGGCGTACAGGTGGGTTGGTTTTGATCCTAGGCCAAGTTTGTTGTCGTATATCCTTGACTTTAGAGACCCGGCCCGCGACTCAGAGCCCAGAATTGTAGCTGCGTCGTAGTATACCGACATGATTGCAAGAATAAATTCTGGACCAGGATCCGCGATTGTACGAGTAAAGAAACAACGGTGGGGAATGGAACCAATCGGGGGGGCTCCAGCTTCAGCCTTATCAGATATCCCACGACAAGGCTGGTGTACACCGAGGGAACTTTTTCGGGATTACGGGTTGCCATGTCGCATCATCATCCAACCTGTCTTACTTAGGCACCAGTCAATCTTTCTTAGTTCCAGACGGGTCTTGAAGGTTAAGAATCATAATACATGAGGAGATTAGTACTCTGAAAAAGATTTCATCTCAGCCTCGAATAGCTGAGCAAAAAGAGAAAAGGTTGCCAGAATCTATTCTCGAGAGCCCCTGCAATCAGGAACATTAGTACAGGAATAATCATATTCGGACAGTGGTTTTCCCGATCGTGAGGAGGAGGAAGGCTGGCGACGCGAGCCCGAGGGGATTATCGAAGGCCCGTAGGAGAAAAGCTCGAGTCTAAGGATACGAGTGGGGAGGTTGCGAATTGACTTCCTATTGACCTGATTCAATTGAAATCCGCAACTTCATTTGGTCTACCAGTGATAACCCGGGGTTTCACTGTTGACAAACCTTTACAAAGAGACTCAATACCTGTCAAGGACACTGATATACGGCAAAGAAAGTTTCAGAACAGAAGATGTCGAAGACATCAGTCAAAATTTCAATGATTTCGCCTCCTGGTGACGTCGTTGCCCCCGAACGATTCTCCACCAGCGATCAACCAAGTGGTGTGCCGCAGGTCTTTCTAGATGCTAGGCTAGTACGCGTTAAGGTCTTTTGTGACGAGCAGAAATGCCCACTGGAGGAGGAGATCGATGACGACGACCAAAGATCGTGGCACTGGGTTGCATACTTACCGGATTCGTCGGGCACAGATGTACCTGTCTCTGTGTTGAGAATGGTTCCATTTCCACATGAACCCCATCCCAACGGCTACTCGGACCCTGATGAGGAGCCATATTTCAAAATAGGCAGGGTAGCCACCCTGGCAAGTGCCCGTGGCAAGGGAATCAGTCGAAAACTCAGTGAGGAGGCATTCGGTTGGCTAGCAACACACCAAAGCGAATTACCATCTGGTTGGAAAGGGCTTGTTCTTTCTCATGCCCAAGTTGATGTTGAACAGATGTATGAAAAACTAGGATTTGTCACCGATGTCAAACTGGGACGGTGGGATGAGGTGGGCATCGAGCATCTGGCAATGTGGAAGCGATTGCCAACTCTAGAAGCACATAATTGAGAGGGCTATAGAGTGATGCAGCGTCAACGAGGGTACAGAGGTTGTTCAAGTTGTCAGCCTAATGTCGATTAGTACTCTTTGTCGAAAACTCCACCAAGGATGACTTGACAAGCACGTTGCTCGTGGTTACTGATTACGGGCTTTCGAATATCTGAAAATATCATTGTTTGAACTTAGCTATTGGCTGGAAATATGGCATCCGTCCAATGCTCTGTATCCTGCCTCCAAGGTTGGCTTGGAAGTTGTTCAAAAGCCGGACTTAGCCATGAGATATGTGCACAACCTGTGATTGGGTCGAAGACAGCCCAGACTTAGGAACGATCGCACAAAATCACCAGTGATGTAGGCACAGAGAAGAATTGTTTGTGGGGGACCACGGGTCATCCAATCTTTGGATCCTCAATCTCAGTTTGAGCCGTCTTTATCAACATTGATGTTACGCCATGGGGAGCCAAGCGGCACTGCCCCGAAGGCTGGTCTGCCCTGGTACCTTATATACAGTTTCTCATCTGTTCTCTCGTTGTCTGCAAGTCCATGTGCGGCTACCACTCTTTAATCGTGTCTCCCTTTAATTTCGCCCGCATATCCCATTTGCCCTGTTCCGTTCAGCCAAAGCCTCAGAAGGGTTTAAAGCCGAGCGGTTGCAAAGCTCGGTCGTTTACTTACATCTGTCTTTGCGAATGTGTATCCCACGATGCTCGGTACGACAATGACATACACGAAAGAGATCCATGCTGTGCGGGGCGTCCATCTGAAGTATCTCCATCGTTCTTTGTTCAATTCTATTCTCGCGCGTGTCAGCCAGTGCTCGCATATCTACAGCGTCCGACAAAGATAGCCCAACAAGACTGCTGATGCTCGTCACTAGGAGGGAGTGTAGACGTACGTCCGTATTTCTCGAGGGCGGGATCGAGACGGAGAGCTAGGAGGATATCAGAGTCAGCAGATAACCCTCTCCAGCAGATCGAGAAGGGAAGGGCGGATCATACGTGAAGGCCCAGCCATGTTGTAGTGCTTCTTGGGTGCTCACTGTCGTTCCGGTGATAGATTAAGAGCTCTTCCATCAATCATTGAAGTTGAGTTAGTCAGTTGCGCATGTGGCTCAACTGTGGCGGAAAGGTGTGGCTGACTCCTTGGCTGAGTACTAGTAGCTCAACTTAGCTTCCTCACGTGCCTGTCTAAATATTGAACTTGGAGCCGAGGTAAGCAGGCCATCTGCACAGAGGAGAATTAACAATGACGTCACAGCCAGCCTCGAGTAGAGATTAGCTGCGAATTTGACAAGTGCACGGATTGAGCAGCATTTGACGAGGCATCGGTGAATAATTCTTACAGTGATCACATATGCATGATTCATCAAATCCGCTCTTCGGGCAATGACAGACTGAACATAATAAATTGGAATCATTGTCCTTGGTTCATTAAGCATTTGAAGAAATTTGCACCTTGTGCTAGACAATTCCCCAGCTGACGCCGCGCCTCACCACGGTCCACTGTTCTGCCGGGCCTAAATGGGCCATTGAGGCGTTCTACTTTACAATTCGAACTTTAGCGAAGTCGAAGGACGACCAATAGATCCCTCCCTAGGATATTCGCCCGTTTCCTGCACCTGTCTCCCTACGAATCGGGCAGTAGCAAGTGCTGACTTCGAGGCACAAACATGTCTTTATCAGAAGCCAATATCGATAAGGCACCGAAGGTCGTCCTCCATTGGTAAGCTCGGTTTCATCTTCTCAATCACAAGCAGCCATAACGAGTAGAAGCTGACATCAGCCAGGCTTGAAGTTTCTCGCTCTCATCGTATTTTATGGTTGTTAGAAGAGATTGGCGTCAAGTATGACCTCAAGACCTACAAGCGAACCAAAGCAGGGCTTGCTCCTCCGGAGTTGAAGGAAGTGTACCCTCTGGGCAAGTCCCCCGTGCTTACGATTGAGCCTCATGGCTCCACCACGCCTATCGTACTTGCAGAGTCGGCCGCGATTACCGAATACCTGTGCGACTACTTTGGGACATGGCTTGTCCCCCAACGATATCGACAGGGCCAGGATGGCCAGATTGGGGGTGAATCTGAATCATGGTTACGATTCCGGATGCTTATGCACTACGCAGAAGGCAGTTTGATGCCTTTGATGCTCCTTGGCGTCATCGTTCAGAGTAAATCCCCCTGAGACTAGTTGATTAGTAGCGCTCACAAATTCCAGAAATCAGGACGTCCCCTGTACCATTCTTCATCAGACCAATTACGAATGGTGTGGCAGGCAAGATTGAATCAGGCTTTCTATCGACAAACTTCAAGACTCATTACGACTTTCTTGAGGGACAATTGAAGACATCGCCTGATGGGGGTGGCTTTTTGTGTGGTAAAGATCTTACCGCTGCGGATATCATGCTGTCATTCCCCTTAGAAGCAGGACAGAGCCGTACAGGATTCACCAAGGAGAATTACCCACTCGTGTGGGAGTACATCGACCGACTTCATGAAAGAGATGCTTATAAAAGAGCTACCCAGAAGATCATTGATATTGAGGGAGAGTTTAAAACCACTCTTTGAGGAAAACTTGACCGCTATGCGAGCTTTCCTAGCAATACTTTGAGCACGACATAGGTGTCGCTGGTTGGGCAAGCCCGACATTATCAGAGACTCCGATCCCAAGGTATAGCCCCTGATTTTCTTGGAGTAGAGGCTATGCTGAGAGGCGAGGCTGATATGGCCCAGGTGCTTGCTGCGTCAAGTAGATATTGTGGGGGATTAATATTGAGTTTATAGCAGAGCCCCAGACTTTGAGAGAACAAAAATCAAATCATGATGCTTGGTCGAAGAATGAATGAGACATGTCCGTTTGCAGGTGGCCCTTAACTCATCAAGTGATATTTCGCCCTCATTGCTAGATGGCTGACTGTGTTTCATAACGGTGGACAACGAGAAAACTTGTTCTTATCCGACCAGGATCTTCAGCCGCACTTCCAGCAGATGGATAACCTTTCCAACGATTGGACACGAAGAAATAATGAATCAGGCCTTGGGGCGAAAATGGAACTTTCGTGCACAGCGAGACTCACAAGATCAGGCACTCCGTATGTACGCACACAATCAAAGCTGGATAATTAGTGTAGATGTTGAATAGGACAAATCGCCTGCTATGTCCGACTTGGAAGTCCAGATATAAAAACAACCAGCGAACAGTGGATTCACTTTGAAAACCATTCCTCAAGGACTCCAACAACATTTCCCGACGCATTCTTACTGGGCAGATACTGACTGAGACGGACGGCCTATACCAAATGACCGATTGATCCTAGGCGCGTGGTGCTAATGGGCGATCCCTTTTCTATTTCAGCGCGTCCTTCGAATCATAGCCCTCACCTGCACTGAGGACAGACCTTCCAGACCACCAAGGAAGGGGGCTTGCATCGCCAAGTCACCATTTGTCGTGGCGAACGCTTCCATCTCTATGGTACCTCGTACATTCATAGCCTCCCTTATCCGCACTACCACGATCCGGCGTTCTCTTATTTGAAACATATCAATTGGACTCTGGAGTCGCTAATCACACCGCCTACCCCTATCATAGACGGAGATTTGTTGTCCCTCTGCCCTCGGACTGACTCGGGCCCTTGCTGAAGCTTCTGGGATACTGTAAACCGGGGCATCACCGGGGAACTTGTTGAAGGCATCATCTTTTTGTGGCTTGAGATCTTTTGTCCACCAGCGCGACACGTGTTTGTGTTTTACCTGGACATTGCCGCGGTAAGGAGCCAAAATAAGGCCAGTCACAAAGCTAGACCATTCTAATCAGAGCATCATTAGGGTGCCGGCGTTCATCAAATACTCCAGGGTACACTCGAGAATCATTGAATCAGCAATACACATCCAAACTTGTACATGAGGGTTGCTGTTTCTCTGACAACCAGTTCGAGCTTCAAGGCTTCCACGAGTGTCCCGCAGTGGATTCGATACCCCTCTTATGTTGGGGTGCTAATTCCTGACTACGTATTCCATCATCCGTCATTCTTAGCATTATAATCGTGAGTCTCATCAACCCAGTCCCTGAATCCTCCGTCCATACCTCTCATCTCCGACAGAGACTTCAATGGCGCGGCCTCTTGGTAATCGGCATGCGTCACAAGACTCGTCTGAGGGAACTTGTCAGACCACCGAGACCAATGGGAGCGCCTGACTTGGCATGACTCAGGGCTTACTCATCGTACAGTTTGGCCAAGAGCTTCAAGCTCAAGCTCAAGCTGGTTCAGTCGCCGACCAGCCATCCCCCAGAAGTGTGACAAAAGGCTATCAGAAACTCACCGAGAGCCCCGAGGGTCATCAAACGCCCCTCTGACCTCAGCCTGCTTGCTGCCTCAAGCTCGCCTCAGCATTGCAGAGGAGCCCGTGCTGGTAGGTCTCAGGTCTGGCCCTCTTTCCCGAGCCTTCTCCCACCTTGAAAACGTCCACCCACACAGAGGGTTCCAGTGACCAACAATCCCGGCCCTTGCCCGCCCGGACTGACAGTAGAGGCAAGCCTACCTAGCCCATGGTCCCCCTCGTGGGCATATCATCTAGGTGTGGACCCAGCCAACTCTAACCGGAGAGCCCCGGCGTGTCGGTAGCTGTTCGTCTGGTGACACCACTGACCCAGGCCCCGACCCAGCAGTCGATGTCGAGAAACGCGTAGAGCAGGGCGGCGTTTAGCGGGCTCGTAGCTGGATGATTTCTGAGCTCCTGGAGCCTGCAGAGGACGATCTCAGTCAGAGGGATGACGGACCCACAATTGCTACTCGATTTTGACAGTAATGTCACCTTTTCGGATACGACCGACACCAACCTGAGCTCCCCAGCCATCTCCATTTCATCTACGCCTAATGGGCATCCTACCACCGAAACCACAACCAGCAGTGGCCACCAGAACCGTCAAGGCTCAGGTCTCAAAGCTACTAATCAATTCAGCACCACAATTGATTCCGACCCATACCAATACTCGACTATCTCTCGCTCTGATGCACAGACTGCTGACGCCGCTAATCCTTCCTCAGACACGCGACCTGGTCTTCTCCCTAAGGATCTAGAGTACCCTACCGTGACTGTACGAGTACAGGATACCGAGTCTCAACAGGCCCAACTTGGTTCCTCTACTGATGCAGCCCACACCGCTAGCTATAACCTAGTCACCCCAAGCTTTGGTTCCCAGCCGTGGATCGCCCCCCCAGGACCATTCCTCGCCTTTGCGCCTCAGCCAATATATGAGCCCACCGGTGAGTTACTCCACGAAACCGTTCAATCTTTCGACGAATTTCACGACCGTTCGTTTCCAAGCCTCGTTGTCACTTCAACCGCTTCTCCGAGCAAGCCGGCGCCAAATACAACCCAAGCGGCCGAGGCGGCCAGCAATACCAATGGTTCTTATCCGGTGATACCTTTTGCTCAGCCGTCGCTTCCTCGATCTGCCCTGAAGCGGAAGGCAAGTTCATCGGTGACTACCCCTACCGGCTATTCCGCAGAGAGGAAAACCCGCCTGTCTGGCGTTGGTCCTGATCCTGCCTTTGGACGGGACTCTCCTACTACACATAATCGTTCTGTTACCTTTGAGCGGATGTCAGGCATCGGTCCAACATCGCCTGATGATGGATCTACCTCCTCAGACTTCCTGGCCAGCTCCAGATCAGCTTTGAATGCAGGAATCCCTGCTGGCAATAGGAGAACACGCCAGTCATCAGGCTCGACCCCACGACCACCCCTGGGCGTTCCGTCAACCTCGTCACAAGGTTCTCAGAGAAGGGTTGGAAACAGAACCTCATCGGCTCATCCTCCATCGATCTTACCACCAGAGAAGGTCTTTCCGATTCAAATAGGCTCCGATCTTTTCAGGCTATCAGGTGCTTCTATCTCTTCTGATGGTGGGCACGTCCAGTTCTCTGCAAGTATCTTCTCGTGCTGACGCTGCGATAGCTCCTTCCTACTTTACGCAGTTCTTTGAGGAGCAGATTAGACAAAATGAAGAATCTGGAGGGGTAAGAACTCTATACATTGATCGTGATCCTGCGACATTTAGAGATGTCGCGCGACATCTACAAGGTCTTTTTCTCCTGTTCCTTATATTGCTACTGCTGACCAAACACACAGGCTACTATGTAAAGCCAGTTGATGGCAGCCATTTCGTTAAGTTGTTCGCAGACGCGCAGTTTTATAGTCGTGAGTAAAGATGGAACCTTAGGGAGGACCAAGTAGGGCTAACGAAGGAGTCTAGTGCCACGATTAATCGATCAATTGTTCGAGTCCGAAATTTTCATCCAAATTGGCGAGCGGCATTTCCAGATTCCCAAAGACATCTTCTCCGAGCCAGGAAACTCACCCAACTTCTTTTCTCTTGGCTTCGCTGTCTTTTTCTCTACACCTGGCGAAGTATTTCCTGGTTTAGATCGACGCGGCCTACTGCGACCACCATCAATCACTCCTCCTTACGTACCTGGTCGATCTGCAGACATTTTCGCGCAACTTCTGCATCTACTGCGAGGTTATCCCCTATCAATTACCAGCGAGTCACATCGTGCTGAGCTATTACGAGATTGTCGCTATTTCCACCTTCGAGGTTTGGAGCAAAAAATTATTGCCCATGAGATCAGCTACAATCTGGAGCGACAGAAACAAGAGATTTGCCTCCGCCTCGAGGATGTGAAGCCATCAGGAGTCTCATTCACGAGTAACCACGCAATCGAAAGTGGTAAGCCGACGACCGGGGGCTGGGTCTATTATGCCAGGCCTTTTGTGGACGACACTTCCTACGAGATGGTCGTGGAAGTTGGCAGTGAGTGTACGGTCCTAGATTTGACCGACATGAGAGCGGATTTTCACAACCTAGCAAAGGCTAGAATATCTTCACTCTTCCAGGTGGTGGCTAACAAGATGAACTTGCCCACAAACGCACCGCTTGGTCTGATGATGCTTTCTGGTGGTAGATCTTCTCAATCAGCAAGCCCGGGTCAAACTCCTCTGAGCGAAGATCGGGTCAAAGTACGCTTTGAGGCTGCAAGTGATATTACTTTGGATGGCAAGCCATATGAAATCGATTGGGACAGTACTTTGGGGAAAGTCTTCTCAGAAGGGCCCAGTGCGGTAGCAAGCGATTCGGAATCAGATTCAGACGCAATGAGCGAAGACACTGACCCCAAACCAGGGCCACCAGTAATTTCTCAACAACGAAGACCACAGACACGACACACTCCAGGTGGGCCATCAGGGCAGCCCTCCATTGCAGGAAGAGGAACCCTTCCTGTTCCGCCCATTCAAACGACTCGCATTGCTCCAGCTGCGCCATCGAAAAAGAAGCGCAAACGCCAGAACAGCCATGGTCACCTTGGAGAGTGGATAATTCGTACAGGTCAGTGGCGATTATGTGTGCAACCCAACACTCAGGATTCCATAAGGGGAGGCTTTGAGATTGTCTTCGTCGGTGTCAAAGTCGATGCATACTCGAGCGAAAGGGCACGGAACTCAAGAAGAGGATTTCTCAATTGAACCAGCATCCATTAGGAACAAATTGGGTATGGCCAGGCTACATTGATGCATTCTCTTTCAGAAGAAAGCAAGCCTTTGAGATAAACACTTTTACCGCAACGACCTAGCCACGTGAGGACAACTAGCGCACCTATATCTCGTCATTCGTCAAAATCGAATCCATGGGACTTGTGAGGCCGAGAATATTGTGATCGAAATCCAATCGAACCCATAAACATATCATCGAGAATGCCAGTGGGTTGTTAACCATCCATGAACGCTCGCTAAGCAGAGTGCTACCATTCGGTGATCTTCACATTGGTTCGCCTGATATCCACTGTCTCCACTGCCACTCCGAATATTGTCCATACGCCACAACGACCTCACCTATCCGGGAAATCTTTCCCCGAGGATCGTGCACCTTCCAGTCCTTTGGATATATTTCCACCGGCAGGACCGAACCCCTTGCTAGAATCAAGGGGAGTTTGGGATGGGATCCCTCCGTCTCCAAGCGGGCCCGGGTACCACAGCCTTTCAGCAGACAAAAGCATCGAAAACATGCTATCAGCATCCTTTGAGGTGATTCAAGTTCTGCTTGGGCGCCACGTGTATCACACCAACGAACGTCATCATCTATTTTGGATTTGCTCCGGGGCTATCACAACTTAGCGATGAGCTCTCCATTCCACTACGATTCCTCCTCCTTTTCAGCCACTAACCAGCATTTGGTACCACCACTCAAGTGGTATCTTCCGTTTCCTGAACTTTAAGCATAGCGATCCTTTGGGAAAATCGGCTTCTCCCCGTAAACGATATCGGGATTCCTTCTATTCAATCAGCTACACCGCATGTCAACGCGCAATACATCATGGAGTTTTTCCGGACTGAATAGCGCCATTCCATCGTATTTGACTTCAACTATTTTCATTGTTCCTGGTGGAGGAAAAAGAAAAGATTGGATGGAACAAAACCCGACGGCTAATTAATAGCAGAAGACCAGTTGGGAAATCAAAATCTATCACCCGAAGGTGAATAAGAGAACCAGGAGGGTATAGAGTGATATTGGAACACGAGCTCATTCGATGGAGGTAACCATACGAAGTACTAAATAGCGAGAGTCTGAGTGCGCATGAATGTGGCGTTTCTCCTTGGGAAGCGCAAGACCATCGCCGCACTTTACAAGGCATTTGGTTCGCCTCTTTCGTGCCACGATGACTCTAAAATGTTTAAGTGGCAGGCTGACCACCCTGGTGGTTGGTGGCATATGCCAAATGAAGAAAGACTTTTCAACACATCTTTTCAACCCTGGTCAGATCCACGGCTTCGTGCATTGTATAGCTATTACCCTGGATTTGCCTATACGATAATCAGAAGTGGCTCCTGAGGTACAGATCGTGGTATGCATTAAATGCATTTCCAGTTCGCGTACCCTCGTTCCCAGACTTTCCTATTGGACGCAAATACAGATGCGAAACACTAGGTAGGTAATACTCTCATGAAGGAGTAATCGTAAAGGCGAGTAATGGTTTATCCAAAATTAACATGAGTGAGTGATCCGTGGATTCGGTCAGTATGATTATGTATGATGAGTTTAGCGCGGGTGTGGTGGCTACGGACGACGGGACTCGCTTCCCGAGAGCCTCGCCATCAAGACTAAGGCAAATTGCAGCTAACTTAGAAGTTGCAATTCACGTCCACCGCCTCGTTACATCAGAAATTTGCCATTACTGGAACATGGAACTCGGATCTCACTTCATCCACCGTGCAGCGCAGTGTCTTGGATCAATGAATTACTCTCACGCCGTGCCAGGGCATCACATACGATGGGTGCGTTACGTATTGGTAACCAGAAAACCATACCATGCAGTCACACCACGCACTCGTCACTTATCGAGGAAGAAACTGATTACTGTGTTTCTTGTGTGGCAATTACTGCATCTAGACTCCTTCTTACGATGGTTCCGTTCCGTAACATGAGGGCAACCGTGAAGACAACAGCCACGAAATCAATTGCGTACTCGTGAGTTCTGACTCGTCAAAGCTCTTGGATAATCAGAACAGTGCTGAGATGTTTCGTGGATACGATTCATCTCACCAGTCTTCATCGTGATGTGCGCATGTCCGGCATGCTCCATGACCCATCATTGCTTGGTAATTTTGTGGATCAGATTCGCCTCATTCCCCAGCCTTTCTTGCAACTCGGGTTCAAGCTGAGCTGAACATCACTGTGACCATGTATGCCTACGCTGCATATGAGAGTGCTCTCCGCGGTCGTGACAGTGCGCCACCGGATCCTGCACTCGCTCTCACAAGGACGGGAGGCAGAGGAGGAGAATGCTGACTCCTGAGATCTCGAGAGTCAAATGCAAGGCGCACGGACCCAGATCTTGGTGTGTGTGGGTATCATGCAAGTGCGTGACACCGTACGGAATGATGCCCTCTAAAGTTTGTTCTTGTTTCCCACTCCGAAAACTATTCCACCTGAGTGCTTCGTAAATTCAACAAGACTAGATCGTTCTAGGTCACTCGATATGATCTGCTCGGTATCATCCTAATAGGTTGACTCAGGGGAGTTCTCGCCCCTTTTAAGGTCCGCACTAACCAGTGTGTGTAAGTGGTAAGGCGCTGACCAATATCTCTCGTGAGCCACTTCTGGCATACCTTATCCAATCAGCGTGCGCCAGGGAGCGAACTCAGACATTCTCCGAGCTGGGTAATAGGAGAGGAGCAGAAAAGGCTTTGACGTCAAGTATTACGAGGGCACTGAATACTGATTGTTCATGGTCATATGAAAGTGTCCCTCATTGAAAAATAAATTCCCGTGCTGAGTACAGATGCCAGCCTTGTCGAGATGTTGCATGTATCTCGGCGCGGTGAAGAGTAACTTTCCGTACTTCTTGCCACAATCAAAGATTACGCTGGAGTTAGAATGATGCTCCGGGTTGGCTCTGTATGTTCAGTTCAGCCACCCGGAGCCAGTTTCTGTGGAGAGTTTCAATGACACCATTAGTAAGTATTACAACCCTGACCTCTACAAATGAACGCCTGGAGTTCATCCTTTCGCATAGCATTCTCGAAACCACGGGGATATACGGGACACCATAATCAGTGCAGGTGTGTCGTACGAGCACAAATGCTCGGTAATTAATGTATACCTATGGTGTCTGGGAGGTCACCAGACCATGTTTAGAGATTCAAGGCAACTCATTGAGGCCAAGATCCTTCCACAGTCAACCAGTTCCTCGCAGTTGATGTAAAGTCAGAGTTTAAGCAGGGGACGCTCTGCACCAGTGATTCGGCTTTGTCCCCCTTCGAGCTATGTAACAGTCTCTCCAAGAAGGCGAGTGGATGGCACACCCCACTGGTGAACGTGGAGGAGTGTCGTCCTCCACTTCGATCATCGATCATCGTGTTTGATGGCCCGGCCCCAGTCTAGCGTTGGATGAAGACACGCATATACGCCACAAACTTTCTCTACGAGTAGTTTGTGACCCTCAAAAAGATACGTCGAGGCAGGGCTGCACGAAAACACCATCATCCCCAGGAAATCCCTGGTGCTCGGGGATTTCAGGCCCGAGAACACGACTCCTCCTTCGGGCTCCAAGGCTCGGAGCCATACCGTCCGGGAAGAAAGTCTCGGCACAAGCAATTACCAGTACTGTGTCAAGGTAGCCTTCACAGAGCATCCTCATGGACCAATAGCGCATTTTGGCTTGAATTCCTGTTTAGGAAACTCCTTGGTCTCCGCTGTCGCTTGCAATCTCCTCCACATGATCAGGGGATGGTCAGGGTCAAGGGGGCTTTGCAGGATACTATTAGCTAAGAAAGGCATTTTTTGGTGTTTCGTTTTGCATGACGCCAGGCTGCTTCAGCATTTGGAGCCTGGTCCCAACGTGCAACATGCAGGTAAAGCTCATAGGTGGCGCTGGTATGACCGTGTCATGGAGAGTTGGTGGAGAGTGGATCCCCATACGAGGTATCCGTACTTCGAAGTAGCAATCAGACGAGGTGTATTTGGTAGTGGAATTCTTTACCTTGATGACATGTAGCAACTTTCATCAGCTTTAGATTCACATAACAGTGCAAGTACTTTTCTTTACCAAGTTGATTGAGCATCTCACAGTCCCAAGGACCTGCCATGAAGTACTTCACAGTAATCCTTTGTAGTTCACTCGGAGGAGGGAGCAAAAGGATCGCCATTGAGGTCAGCATTCGACCCCACCACCCCGACGGATTCTGATCGTAGTGGGCTATTGCTGTCAGTGGTCATCAATACCAGTACCCCTGCAGCAAATGGACGAGGCAGTGGCCGGTGGTGGTGCTGGATTAGAAATTCGTCAACGGTATCTCGGAAAACGACTGAATCGACGGGGCTGTCGACAGGAAAGGGAAATTTTCTTCTTCCGCCAAAGTAGACACACAGCCTTTGCTCAGTGTGTCCTCGGCCACTGGTATCGCTTGGAAACTCGTATCGAGGCAAAGTGTATGCATCTCGCCTGGTGATGTACAACGGGAGGAGGCAAATCAAAGTGACTGAAAGTGTTCCCTGGTCAGCCTGGACAGGGAGAGCTTTGCCAGCCTGTGGCCTACGAGCAAGCTAGCATTGGACCAGTGACTGCCAACCCTGCTGCTGTACTTACCTCCTATTCGGGTAGGTGCACCAATCTCACCAGCTGGAAAGTTTCTCGTGGAAAGAAAGTCTCGTTTCTATTTCCATGGGCTGCAAGCAGCCCCATCGTGGTGTCTCAATAGCCACCTGTAGGCTTCAGACACAGCTCAAACCGCATGGAAGCACCACTCATCGTATTACAGAGTAGAAATGAAAGTTTGAAGAGCGAGCAGGGTATTGCTTGAAGCCTGAAATTAATGGTCTGCGATGATTTGTGACATTGCTCAAGAAACTTTAGTAGCTGTGCTCGTTTTTGGACCAGTGTGTTGTATAAATCCGATGCCCAACATATCGCTCAGCCTGGTTTTTGCCGCGAGGGTGCCCTGTAATATCGATCTCGACCAGGTTTAGATTCTCTTCCAATTGGTATGATAGAGTCGCGACGTCTCCCAAGCAAGATAATTTCGATTGGAGTTAGATACTCTTACGCTGGCCCGGAGGGCTTGTTCAGGGTGTAGCTGCTGGAGTATCCGTTTGATTCGTCACCAGATGGACTAATTACCAGTACCCAAATGGGCGTATGAGCTTTGGTAGGATTGGTGGTGCTTAAGCCTAAGCCCCCAATACTTGCATATGTAATATGAATTGGAACGCACACGTTTTTCCACTGGCTGCCGATGGGACCACTTGCCACAGCTAGCTCTTGATCAATACTTCTCCTACTACCATTTCTAGGGAGAAAAGGAGAAGGTACCTAGGTGGAGGAAATTTTTAGTGCTTGAACCACTGGTAGCGTAGTACAATCTGGACAGATGTGACTAGAGGTGAGTCAACCCTGGTCCTTGTTCCTGGAGCATCGGGCGTTGCCAGACTGAGCCTGATTCTCTCAGAGATCGAGATCAGCTTGAAAGCCAACTGTTATGATTTGCGGATCATTACTTCTTCACGAGAATGGTCAAACCAACCTGGCGTTGGACGACTCGTAGTGCTATTGTGGATTCCAGGTCGCTGATAGCCACGAGATGATTCGGACAACCCGGATACTCTGTTCCGTAGAGTTTGAATCCCCACGGATTGTATCGGATGAACGTTCGCCAGAGTCCGCGGGTGAAGCTGCAAACTCGGTATCTCCACAATCCTGACCTAGTACGAGTAGTACATAATCATGATAATCCGAATAGGAGAAGGCTACTGAAGCTTATTGTTGATGAGTATGCTGGACATACCAGTGCCGCAAACCAGGAAAGGTGAACATGACACCCTGAATATTATAGATAACTCCCATAACCAGCGTTTTGATTGGACCTCTCAAGCTTTTGATTACTCGAAGTCGGCCCTCTACAGAACAGAATCCAAGATCGACGAGAGATTACTGGAAATAAATCAGCAAAAGACGCTTGACTATTCCCCTTTTTGCTTGGGCCTCCGTACATGCTCAATCATGGATAATTCGAGACGTCGCAGCTATCTGTTTCTGATGCGCATGCACATCTAGTCAGCGATAAAATCTTGGTCCGTGGTCGCGCGTCGTTGATGAGCCCCACTGTTGTGTACAACAAGCTGCGGTATGGACGAAGTTTAATCAAATGTGATATGTTCGGGAAATCGTAATCTCCATAGCTGCCAAGTCAGGCTGGACTGAACAATGACTGATAGTATCGTATAGAAGTGTAGGGTTCAGGGTTGTCAGTAAGAGGATACGGGGTACTGAGCGTTTTTGGTGGTCCAGGCTTATTCAGATGCCCCGAAACCGTGCTGCTTGAACAAGGCCAAATCAGAATTAGGTTCAGGGAAAACTTATTCCGATTCTTTCTGGAGATCCAAGCTGAATTTGTAGAATGGTCAATTTGGGCCAAACCACTTGACAAAGACTCTAGTTCAGTAGCAAGGCTAGCGTCGGCGCTGCGCAGCGATCTGATTGAGATGCTCGCTCTTCGTGGACCAGTTTGGTCCTTATCCTTTGGTGAAGGTGGGGACCTAAGTCAAGTCGCTTGGTCTTGTGGTCGTGGATTGCTAACTCAACTGGCTTCACTTTTCTGAGCCAAAACTTTGTGCGCAACCCTGCGCACATGGAGAGAACTATATTTCTGCGTAAACCTAAACCTTGCGCTCCGACCATGGCAATTGGCATCCAAAGCACTGTGACTAACTGCAGATAGTTGAAGGCATACGCCGATGCATGAGGTTGAGACGCAGCGTACGAAGTACTCGCGAGTTGCTGGTGGAGGGTCTCCACGTACTCCATAATAATTCATGCATGGATCGTCTACCCCAGCAAGCACTCTTACCTCATTTTGAGAGGCTGTTGGGCATCACACACGCGATGCGGCACCACCATCCTGACAACCTCGATTAAATTTAATCCCTGATGCCAAGCGCTTCGAAACGTAAGTGTATGCTCGCCATGACAAACCCATTGCTCTGGGTATCAGTTGACCTTGACAGGGCCGAAATGAAACGGTAGTACCGAATAGTAAATGAGATACTGACCAGGGGCAGTGTTAGATACTGACCAGGAACTTGAAGAGTCTCGGGACTTGTACCAAGTAAGGAATTATTGAGTAGTAATAGAAACGGAACGAAATCGTGATCAGTTGGCCCGAGTTTGTCAAGTCCTTCTAATCAGCGCCTGGTATTTTGTTCTCCATCTTCTTCGTGGTCTTCGAGGCATGCAAAGGGCAGACTGTCAACGTTGAATGACAGATGACTAGCTCAGCGCGTCGATATCGCCGCTACTAAACAATGCCGAGATGAATTGTGAAGATGCTGAATGTAGGAGATGGTTCGGGAAGAGTGGGAAGTCACCTCTAGTTAGATGGTTGTGTGGTCTCTTGCCGTCCAAATAAATCGCAAGGGCTAAGCTCCTCCACCTGGAGCCAATAACGACGCTGTGTAGTGGTGGCTTGCCAACGCTCGCGAATATGCTTGGACTTGGTAGCCGAGTCCTTCTGAAGGGTGCACCGCCATAGTCATCGCTGTCTTCAGAGGCAGTGCGATTGACCGATCGCGATGTTCTTCTTGCCTTGGTTGATTTCAACGCTGAATTACGAGGATGATCCGTACATCTACTGCCTGAGACTACCTAGGTCTACCAATGAGGATTCTATCCTCGGGCCTCCTCACCTAGCTGCTGGAGTGCCTCTTCATATCTATTTTGCAGCTCTGAGTCGTCAGTAGAAATGGTAAGTCGTTTGACCTTAGACTGCCGATGCAAGTGATGCTCCCCAGCAGCATGCTCAGATTGTAGCTTTCCACCGATTTCGCGCCAAAACCATGCTCCCTCTCTATGTTCCAACAGCGTCCATGCATGTCCTTGATTACCTGCTCGAGCCGTTCTTCCGACACGATGAACATACGTCAACGCGCTGCTTGGAACATCGTACGAAATGACATGTTCCAGTCCGGGAACATCAAGACCACGTGAGGCGCGATCCGTAGCTATCAAGATTGATATCTTAGAACTAGCGAAAGCGGATAGAGCGCGTCTAGAGGACGCCGAAGACGCAGTACTCCGTGTCAGTGTCGAAATATGTCCTGACCATGACGGTTTGAGAAGCAAGAGGAGACGGCACAAACGAGTGGCAGCAGCAGTTGACCGAGTGAATACCAGCGCTCGCGGTGGTAAATTTTGTGGAACTATCCGTACTTTATCGTCTCTGATCTGTGCCTGTGGTTCTGCACTTGCTTCTGATGAGCTTGAGCTCGACGAACTTGTGCTATCATCGTCTCCATCAGATGATGAATCCGAGAGAGATGAATCAGTGGAAGCGGAAGAGGATGATGAGGATGAAGAGGATGAAGAGGACGAAGAAGATCTGTGGGATGATGCTGTCGGTCCAGCGTGTGAATTCTTACGACTGTCTGGCTTGAGTTCCAGCTCGAGTTGTTGTGATAGTAGTTGTAGCAGATACAATGGCTTGTGGGAAGGGTCCGAGATAGTGACCACAGACTCGGTAAGTGACGCTGGTAAATGAAAGCTTCCAGCGTTCGTCGTTTCACCCTTAGTTTGGGCAGCTTCTATTGTTCCATTGACACTTGGGCCAGCAATTGATTTGGGGCCACTGCCCAAAACCACAAGTAGGGGCCTAAAGAGCCCGAGAGTATTGAGCTTAGAGATATCGCTAGTCATGGTCGCGGAAAGAAGAATTTTCCTGACTTGTCGTCTTGGTGGTCTCATTCGCATGGATCGAAGTAGTCTGTCTCGTTCTTCAGTTGCAGAATTGGAGTTCAAAGCCGGACTGACAACTTCAATCCATTCCTGGTAACTTTCATTTAATAACCTATCGGCCTCATCCACCACAAGCCATTTAACATGATCCAGATTGAAACCAGGGGTAGACTTGAGATGATCAACAAGCCTTCCAGGTGTAGTGATGAGGATATCGACCTTTGAACTATACCTGGTGACAAGGCCAACTGTGTCCAAAAGGTCTTCATCATGTGATCGACGAACCAGCTTCTCGAGAGAAAAGTTAGACCAATCAACAATGCTTTTTTGCTGGGCTTCATATTGTTCGGGATTGTATACACGTTCCTCTAGAACCAACTGGTCTTGTTCATCTCTCAACGAGCTACTGCCAACAGCCGTTGTGATTTTTAGGCGACTCCCGGCAGCACAGATCTCGCATAACTCTCGGACCTGCTTAACAAGCTCTCGTGTGGGCACAACAATCACTGCCCTCAACTTCGTGCCCACAAGGTCTTTTAGGCCTGCAATGATTGGAACGACATAAGCGAGAGTCTTTCCAGAGCCTGTACTGGCCGACACACAGGTGTCACCATCATGGTTCTTTTCCCGATCCATGAGCAAGGGCAAAATCGTCGATTGCACTGGGAAAGCGTCCTTCAGGCCGTGTTTGTGTAAATTTTCCAGTATTGAATCAGGAACTCCAAGGGACTCGAAACTGCATTGCACATTAAGCGGCACTTCCAACGGGGCTTCTTGCCATAATGGCAATGTCGAATATGTTAGTTTTACCGGAGTTTGTTCGACTTGTTCTGGCTGAGGAATCGGCTCCAGTCCATGAAGCTCGGGTGGAGGTAGATCTCTTGCCGGGTTCTCCTCATTGTCTGTTGTAACCCGCTCTTGTTGACGTACTTGCTCGAATCTTGAAAGAATAGAAGCATGTTTATTCGTGGATTCTTCTAAAGGAGCCCTCTCCTCATCTGCGGTTGGAAGATCCTTCTTCCTTCGCTTCTTTGACTCCCTGACAACTTCGGATTTTCCATCGTTGCTGATTTTAGCCTGTGACCTGCGACTCGAGTCGTTTTTAAATGCAAGTCCCGGATCTGAATCTGTAGAACCTTTTACCGCGGTGACTCGATACTTATCGAGGATGTTGGCTTCGTCACCGTCTATTCGATTGCGAGTTGGTATATCGGCCTGGGATTTAGTGGACGAGCTCGGTGCATGGTCTTGAATTTGATCGGTCGTCGTCTTCAGTCTCTTGGTTTTTTTCGATTGCGATGCCGAAGTTTCGTCTCGCTTTCGCTTTTCTGTTGGTGAGGCAGAGTGTGTAGAAGTGGGCTGTACTTTGGTCAATGGGGGTACATAGCGCGCGTAGAACTGAGGTACTGGGCCCTGCTCAATCGGCGAGGGAAAACTTGTAGACCTTTCCGGCGCCTTATCCACTGGAGGGACATAGCGTGCGTAAAATTGAGGCATTGGATGAGACGTTTACTACTAGCGGCATGTCTTAATCTGCGCAAGAAAGTTCGACAGTGGTTGAAAAAGTTCCCAATATAGCCGGCAGAATGCATTACACCGCCCTAATGACCGCCTTACTAGCGTCCGCTGAGACCCATACACCGTTCGCGCCCCTGAAGGCTTAACTAAGTGCCTGAAACCTCATATTTCCAGTTAAGCTTCACTTGCATTATGAACACATACTACTATTCAGATGGCGATACAATAACACAGCTCAGTCTTCGGAGATGCCCAAACACGCACCTTCATTGGAATTTCTGACCGCGATCATTGCGCCTAATGCTCAAAGATCCTAATATGAACTCGAAATCCTTGTTAATAACGACACAATGCCGTACAACATCGCTATGGTCAGCGATTATTTCTTCCCACAACCTGGCGGAGTGGAAAGTCATATATATCAACTCTCGTCCAAGCTAATCGATCGAGGGCACAAAGTCGTCATTATAACTCACGCGTATAATGGTCGAACAGGTGTACACTACCTCACCAACGGGCTGAAGGTCTACCATGTACCCTTCCTGGTCATCTACCGGGAAACTACCATGCCAACCGTGTTTTCTTTCTTCCCCATCTTTCGGAATATGATCATACGGGAACAAATACAGATCGTCCATGGCCATGCAAGCTTAAGCAGCTTTTGTCATGAGGCTATCTTACATGCTCGAACGATGGGTCTACGCACAGTTTTCACCGATCACTCGCTTTTTGGGTTTGCCGACGCCGGGTCAATCCTGACCAACAAACTCCTCAAGTTCACACTAAGTGATGTTGACCACGTCATTTGCGTCAGTCATACTTGCAAGGAGAACACAGTACTTCGAGCATCTCTAGATCCATTGATGGTGTCTGTGATCCCCAATGCTGTCGTGGCCGAGAACTTTCAACCGCTTTCCCATCCAAACAAGTCGCAAGATACTGGGTATATGAGACCCCGGCCATTGCCACAACGAGTGGGTCCAGACGATACAATCTTCATCGTGGTCATATCACGTTTATTCTACAACAAGGGAACCGATCTATTGATTGCTGCTATACCTCGCATTCTTGCCGCACATCCGAATGTGCGCTTCATCATTGCCGGGTCTGGGCCAAAGGCAATCGATTTGGAGCAGATGCTCGAGAGAAGGATGCTCCAGGACAAGGTCGAACTGTTAGGGCCTGTCCGCCATGAAGAAGTTCGAGATGTGATGGTAAGAGGTCACATATATCTCCATCCAAGCTTGACCGAAGCCTTTGGCACTGTAATCGTGGAGGCTGCGAGTTGTGGGTTGTATGTAGTTACTACACGCGTTGGAGGAATTCCCGAAGTCTTACCAGCGCACATGACTACTTTTGCAAAGCCTGAAGAGGATGATCTTGTGATCGCAACTGCTAAGGCAATTGCGGCTTTGCGCTCCGGCAAGGTCAAGACGGAGCGGTTTCATGATCAAGTCAAAATGATGTACTCATGGACAGATGTTGCACAAAGGACTGAACGGGTCTACGATGGCATCACCGGCGCGATCAGCGAACAAGAATTCTATGGGCAACACGCAATCACAAGCTGGAGTGCCGCCCGGGGTCGGTCGGATATCAATAGCTACGCCCTGATTGATCGATTGAAGCGCTATTACGGATGTGGTATTTGGGCAGGCAAGCTTTTCTGTCTATGTGTCATTATCGACTACCTCATATTCTTGTTCTTGGAAATCTGGGCTCCGAGAACCAGCATCGACATTGCACGGAGCTGGCCCCGGAAACCGTTCATCAATGATAAGAACAAACCGGTCGAAAATGGCATGTATCGTCGAAGAGGAACGGATCTTATGGACCGAAGGAATGGCAGCCTAATGATGCGGTGAACTGACAATCGGCTTTTCAGACTCGTTCTCTCCATCTAATGGCCCAGTTGCCTTTGGCGAAGCTAGGCTCGACAACAGCGCCATTCATCAAAGCTTCACACTTTCGTTCTGAATCCGCCTTTATGGCTGATTTGTCGTTCAGATTTTTCTTCTTGGAACGACCATGAGCCTCGGATTCGTCTTTGGATGCACCGTTGGGATCTGCCTCAGTGTTGTGGCCGAATACAATCAACCTTCTCGCCGCACGTCGGATCATTTCCCTCTCTTCCGCCCTTCGCTGGCCCTCCTGTCTTTTTGCAAGCTCCTCGGGGGTTTCGATATGATGTTCCGCCCAGCCTTTCTCACCACCAACACCACCGTTCACATCAGATTCTATCTGAGGAGGTCGAATCCTGGCCACCCCCTGAAGTCCAGACCCTGCCGATGATTGCTCAGCATGATCAGACATAGAGTTATCGCTGTCGACCATATCTACTGACTTCCATTCCCCATTTTCCTGCCCGAGCGCACGGCTTGCTCGATTCTTCTTGCGACCAAAGGTCTTTGTCGGGTCATGCCGACTTCCGAAAACAATTTCCTCGATCTCATCACATGTCACAATTATCCGTCTATCACCCTTGACTAGTTTCGATGCAGCATGGGTTTTGTGGAGACCGCTTTCAGGCGCAGCATTCAGGAGATCGACGATGGTCTTTTCGATCTTCCTTTCAAAAGCTCCTGGCTTTCGGTGACGACACCGGTCGGAACAATACCTCACCGGGTTCGTCTGGTCTTGTCGGTGCGTTTTGCGAGAGTCTGATGGTGGGTTAGCCGAGCATGAAACTTGTCAAAACCAAATATAAATTGACGTAGACTGACTAATGACTCTCCCACAAGTCCGACAATACGCTACCTGGTCTCCTTGAGTGAGATATAGGGGTGGCGGAACAGCGGCATGTTTCCCAGGGCGGGACCATGAGTCCATCCAACTCATAGTGGAAAACGTGGCAATGCAAGATTTAGTACGCGTTGTTGAGCTGGAGAATAAATATTGAGATCTCAATACACTACGAAAACGCATCCGTGTCACTTCCAGATTGCCATGGAATGGTATCATTACTAGCCGTTTTTGAGAATTAAATCATTAAAAGGGCCAGAGGTTAAGGTAATGACGACATGATCAGTGATGAAGCATGCACACCACCAACAAGCCTGTTGAGGCCCCGTGATGCAAGGCTTTTCCAATCGGACAGAGTGGTTTAGGGCAGCCTTGCCTCGCGCGGGCTTAGGCTTCCCTAAAAATGCCCGGGCCGCCCAGCCTGCCCCTCAACAAGGGGCCCTCGGGCATTTGACCTCGGGACAATATCGAAGCAACGGAAGCTCCACGACAAAGGTCGACCGGAAGCTAATTTGAAATCAATCATCGAATCCCCAATATTGCATTCCAATGGGCATCCATTCATGACACTTGTAACACTTCGATCTGCAAAGTAGTTTTGATGGCGGCAGACCGCACTGGCACTGCATCCGAAAGACTAAAGCAGATACAGGGCATTTTGCAGCAGGGCCACGAGAAGAAGGCAGAGGACAGGATGTGGCCAGCACTCCCATCTCGAGCTGGGTATCTAGCACTGAAGAATGGCCGACGGCGAAACGCACTCTCTCTTGCAGTACTGCGAGACCTTAGAGATCAACTACACAGACACAATACGTCACCTGTTGATGGAAAAGTCCGAATATTACCACCATTTAAGCCCGAAATCCTCACCGACTTGGAGCAGGCGATTAAGGAAGGCAAATCGGAGGCAAAGGATAGCTATGGCTGGTTACTTGATTCCAAGGCATGGCAAGAGCACCGGCAAGGACTTCCCAGCGTGATTGTATTGCGCAGTGAAGGCCCGGTGTTTTCATCTGGGCACGATTTGGGAGAACTCAGAACGTTGAGCCATGACAAGGTCAAAGAGACGTTTGCGTTGTGTGCAGAAGTCATGTCATTGATTCGCCGGTCGCCAGCGCCAGTCGTCGGCGTCATACAAGGGCTGGCTACTGCAGCAGGGGCACAACTCGCATTGACTACCGACCTACCCATCGCTTCTGCATCCACGCAGTTCCGTCTACCGGGGGCGACAATGGGACTCCCGTGTACATCGCCATCAACAGCCGTATCTCGCAAACTCGGGTCAGCCTTCACATACCGCATGCTCGCACTGGCAGAGTCACATCGAGCAGACCAGCTCCCTACTGGTGCCGTTGAGGTCGTGCAGAACGAAGAAGAGCTAGAGAAGCGTGTGGCTATGATAGTGTCCCAGTTGGCAGACCGTACCGCTGCACAGCCTCAGGCGTTGGGTAAGTGGGCATATTGGACGCAGCTGGGCTTCAACGGAGCCACAGGTGCTGGTGGAAATGGATATGAAGATGCTGTAGCCTGGACCGGACGAGTCATGGCTCTGCATGCCCGATCTGAAGATGCGAGAGAAGGCATGAATGCGTTCTTCGAGAAGAGAGCTCCCGAGTGGAAGACATGACGAGTTGGTAACAAGACTCAGCTTTATTGATATATGTAGTAAGTAGAGGAGGTGTGCAAGGCTGACTCGGAAAAGGGTTCGTGACACTTTGATACCTGGCCTCGCCCTAGTTCGATATCTACCTAGATAGTTGTGTATCCCGTCGACGACAGGGTCCACGCTCCCCGCCCACTCTCCCACACATGATGCATGGAGTCACCCATGCAACAAAAGAAATAACCTCAGAAAGAATGCCTTCTGTCCAGGAACTGCATTACTTATCTAGGTAGTTACCTAGGTAGGTACCTTCCTCACTGGCAGTCGCGTCCTCGGTAGCAAGCGCGTACCTTCCATTTGGAGACCCCTCACTAACTAGGTTACTCCTACTTTGGTGGGGTCGAGGCAGGATGGTTTTTTCTTCTTTCCCACTACCGCCCATTGCACCGTTCTCGACAGCTCTCCAACTCCATCACCATTAAATTTTACGCGATCATGACGAATTCTAATCATGAAATCTGCACCAGCCAGTGGGACGGCTGAACCCGTGGGGCATGGTCTGGTTCCGCGAGAACTGCCCTGACAACTACCAAGGCCAACTTTGACCCATTGAAATTCCATGGAAGAAATCCCCCCCTGGGTCTTCAAGGGCTTTTTCTAGCCCGGTACCCCTCACTTCACTGCTATTGCGCCTTTCTCTCGCGATATGACCGAATTCTACCCTGGGCTCAAGTTCAAATAAATGGCTTATGGAAGGCCTCAAGAAGTCGACACAGTCATTGTAGGTAAGTGCTCACTGCTATCCTCTGGATGCCTGCTCGTGGTCCAGACCGATCCATCCTATTCCCTGCACTATTGGAATCAAGTCCTGCTGCAAAGGTTGATTGGTTGTGCCGTATTAATTGATCTGTTTTTCTTTTGGCTCCTGCAGGAAACGGCCCCTCTGCACTGATCTTGTCCTACATTCTTCACGGACATATTCCCTGGTATGATTCCACCACTCCTCATCCAGATCACCTCTTGCACGACAAATTAGCCTCTCGATCAGACCACGACTTACTCAATGTCGATATCGATGCACTGACCGATCACTTCACCGCGTCGAGGTTCTCATACTCGACTCAAGCCTTGCCTATCAATGTCCTGCTTGATACACTTATCCGGCCATTGGGAGAGACTGAAGATGCGCAAAAGACAACCTGTGTGAAGTGGGTGCATGATCCATCAAGGACGGTGCCCCATCTGATCTTTGGGAACAATGCTTTCGCTGGAGGCCAGTGGGAAGACGGTCCGGTGGATGCCAGTTGGGATATTGGCACCCTGAGTTATGCAGGCATGATATCGCTTCCGGGCTACGCCTTTGATCAGCACTATGTGAGACGGAATGCATGTCCAATGCCTACTTATTTACGGCCTTCGAGATCGGCAGTAGCGGACTACCTTGCCTCATATCCCGATCAGGTTGGCATATCAGACTCCTTCCGGAACGGAGAAGTGGTTTCTCAAATCACTCGGCTCGGGGAAATGTTTCATATTGGTTCGCACAAGATTGTGTGCAAACACTTGATATTGGCATCTGGTGTCTTTAGTGAAATGATCGCACCTCCACCAATACTTCAATCTCTGGCGCAATTCTCGGCTACCAAGGTCTCTCCAGACCAAGATTCCTCCTATCCTATATTGGTCATTGGATCCGGTTTTAGTGCCGCGGATGTTATCATATCGAGCCATGCCTGCCAGAAGATCATCCATGTCTTCAAATGGGCGCCTTCAACTTCACCATCGCCGCTTCGAGCATGCCACCAACAAGCCTATCCGGAATACGCAGGTGTATACCGGCGTATGAAAGTGGCTGCATTATCACATTTCCCCAGAAGCGACAAAAGACCCAAACCACGTCATACGCATTCCGAGTTTGATCAATGTCGAGACTGGGCCAGTACATATGAAGGCATTCCCAATGCCCAAATAATACAGGTTGAACCCAGCGCCGACGGACGATCAGCAATGGTATCCTTCCAGATTGGGTCTGAACCTTCATTTCAACGGCAAGTCAGCAGCCTGGCCTACGTCGTCGGTCGTCGGGGCACATTAAAATACCTCAGCCCCAGTCTCCTAAGAGAGGTCCTCCCATGCGCCAAAGCTTCCACTTCTTCAGGTCTCGATGTCAGCAAGACCACCACGGTCTCTGCCCACTCGCTGCGGGAGAAGGCCAATGAAGATCTAGAAATGGCCCCCAGTATCTTCATCACAGGTAGCTTGACTGGCGATTCATTGATCCGTTTTGCTTTTGGGGGTTGTACATATGCAGCGGGAAAGATCATGAGCCGCCATGTGCATGCCAGGGAACGACACCAGCTGACCTCCATGGCCTGTCCCAGTAATGGTTCTCCGATCGTCAGTCCAGTCAACGGGATACCGCCGTGTTTGAAAGAGAGGGCAACCAGCCGTCCCCAAACGCCTTCGCCGCGGATACCGGCGATGAGTGGTCTGGACGGCCACGAATCGAGTCCCCTGAGTCTTCTGGCGGACAAGTGTAACCCACTGGATCGGAGAAAGGAAAAGTTCGACTTCATGTGATAACGCCGAGCTGGGACAAATACATGAGGCCTACATAATATTCACTTTGTATCGGATGCGATATGATATGGGATGATATTTTGGTGTTTCAAAGGGATTTCATATAGCCTGGTTGATCCAATAGAGACAGTAGATGACATAGACCCTGGGGCAAAGTGGGCCCTGAGAATTGGTTGCAGATTGAGTCTGTAGACGACTTTTGCTGTATAGTCCTTACACTCTAAAACAAGATTATGCCTATAAATATAACCTATTTTGCCTTTCAATCCTCTGATATTTATACAATGAACTCTGCCTCCGGCCGCCACTGCAACCTCGGGGGTGAAACTAGCCATGACGACTCTGAAAAGCAAGCGCCTCCTCATGCGGACCAGCACTGCTACAATCCTTCCTTAGCCAACATATCCGCAACACCCAAATAAAAAGCCACGGCATTGAACTTCTGCTCAACCAGGCCCAGCCTGGCGGCGACCCTCTTGATGCGATTCGTCCAATTAATCAGATCCAGATGCGTGACCCCGACCAAGGTGCCTTTATACTCACCCCACCTCGCACTCCTGACACTAACCAAGCCATCATTCGCGCCCTCGACGACGGCCAACAAATCATGGCTGACACGAAACACACTGAGCAAGTGCGGCGTCGCGCTGGCGCCGTAGCTGAAATAGCGGGTCTGGGCCGAGTTGGGTGTGACGGGGTTGAAGCGGGTGTTGACGTACGGGGTCGTGAGCTGCGAGAAGGCGCCCGACGAGATCTTCAGCCGCGACAGCAGCTTGTACAGCCGCGGGAGCAGGTCCGGTCCGATGTCCCGGAACAGCATGTCCGCCGCGCTGCTGCCCCGGTGCGGCGTCGCGATCGTCGTCAGCGACGCGACGCGGAATTCGGTCTCCGGGTCCGGACACAGTCGTGAGATCAGATAGCGTGCGTCGAGCCCGCCCATGCTATGGGCGACGATGTTGATTTGGCGGCCTTTCGGGGTGCGAGGTTGCGTACCAGTGATAGTGGTAGTACTGGTAGAGCTCCCGGAAGATGCAGAACGCTCGGCCGCTTCGTTCTTCGTCCCTTCCGACTCCGGCTCCGGCTCCGGCGGCAGCTTCTCCAGAATCTGCGAGTAGAGCGCCCGGGCGCGCTCGTCGATCGAGCCCGTCGTCGGCACCGCCGTCGTGATACACTCGATGCCGTGCGCATTGAAGGCGTCCTTGATGCCCCGCCAGTAGTGCACGCTGGGCAGCAGCTTGCCTGCTAGCCGTAGCTCGTCGAAGCCCATGAGGCCATGTGCTAGTACGATCGGGTGGCGCGGGGTTTTGTATTCGGATTGCAGGTGCGAGAAGGAAGTTGTCAGTAACGGGGACAGGTCTTCGGGTGGCTGAGTCTCAGAGAGGAGCTTGATTGATATTGGTGGGAATGTTTCTTCTGAGGTGTTGCTTTCCGTGGTTGTGGATGTTCTGGATGCTCCCTTTTGGTTCGGCGATGTCGTGTCTTTGGCTGTTGATTCATGGTGCACCCATTGATTGTGTTGTATATATGTGTGGCGGAAATGAGCATGGATCTTACGAGGTCGCTGAGATTGTCGGATCAGAGCTCCAGCATGCAGGCGTTGAGACCCCCATGGCATGCTATATCGACTCTGGCCTGTTCTCTTGCTTTTGTCCAGTCACTCTGGTGCGTTTTGATCTTCGATGAATGAGGTAGGATACAGTTCATGGCGAGTTGGTTATCGTGTTTGATATCAAAATGTTGTTGGGGTTGCGTCATAGGTTCAAGGCAAATCGAGTCTATTAGTAGACAAGGCTACGAGGCTACCACCACCAGATTGATGATCGTGTTAACATATCAACCCTCTAAAGTGCATATATTGCTTACGCTCCTGACGCGCAATCCGGGTTGAAAATGAGCACCTGGTGACAACCATTGGAAAGTATGTCAATAAAATCTCATGGGCCTCTGTTGTGATCTATTCTCATAAGTGACCCCATTGACGCCCGCCAGCCTTTCTTGTTCACAATGGACCCTCAGAGGTATACCGGCCTGACTTGTTGTCCTCCCTGTTGGATTAAATGATATATCCGCAGTATACCCCCTTTATTCATTCTTCGACACCTTATCAGGAACCTCAGGTTTGGGTGTCGTGACTGCTTTGATCAGATCATCTACCACTTTGCTTCCCGACTTCTTTCCAGCTGCGTCAATCTCCTTGACCTTGACTTCTGCGTCTTTGCCGGCATCGTCTTGGGATTTCTTGTTCCCACTGGTTTGCTGTGGCACAGTGAGTAGGAGGTCTTGAATCCTTTCCGAGCTGGTTGAATACGTACTTCGGACTCAAACTTCTTGAACTCCTCTTCCTTCTTCTTTCGGTATTCTTCAATCTCTTTCTGGGCCTCCGTCTTTGCGTCCTTTACTCTCTTTGTCCGGTCTGGAGGTTGTCAGTCAGCTCGTCGAGGGTGGGTCTGGTTCTCTATACATTCTCTGGCTATCTGTCGCATCAGCACCTGATATTCGAGGGGATCATCTGGAAGTGCTCACCTTTCTGGACAATCTTCTGAGCTTCTTTCTCAGCCTGCCAAATGTTAGGCTCGTTCAACCATTCCGACGAGTGGAGATATATATACATCAAGCAATGTTTGAATGCCTGCGGAGTTTTGAACAGACTGTTGGGCCGATTAGCTGCGGGACTGGTAGTATTTCGTTTACAGGAGAAGACCGACCATATTGGCGACTGAGCTGAACAAGCAGACCAAAAGGACCAGATCAAAAACGAGTGGAAAGTTGGAAAGGCTTCAAGAGAAATGGTCTTGTAGAGGGCGGGAGAATAAATGGCCGGTGCTTCCCTGTTGAAGTGGTCTCCAGGCGATAGCATTCAGGTGCAAGAGGCACCCATAGCTTAGGTGCAGCTGCTAGACAAGGACCAACTAAACCAGTGCCTAGCCAGCTTTCGCTTTGGCTGCCGCTTTATCTAGCTCAATGCTAATCGATACACGCCATACCGATCCTGGCTAGACTCTAAAGTAGCTGCAAGTCTTGGAGAAAGCGCGACTTGATCTCCAATAATTTATTTCAGTGCAATAATTTGAAAGTTACTACATCATGCGACTTTGCTGAACTCGTCCTTTGACTTTCTTCCACTGCTCATATTCATTTGACCGACTAAAATGTCAACCGCTTCGAAGCTTACCCTACTAGCGACCATACTAGGTACCGCAGGCATCGTTGCTTTCGTTCACTATGGTCAAACCGTCGAGAAAGAGGTCTGTTCTGTCTCTTCCGCCCAAGGCTCCTCTCGGCTGCAGTGAGAACACTAACCCTCCTCAGGCTATGCATGCTGGTGTCGTTCGAGATATGGAACAACAACGCATAAAGCGCGAAAGACAGGCCGATTTCGAAATGCAAAGACAGCTCGAAATAGAATATAAAAAGACTCAGACTGTGCGGGACACTACCGATGCAGCTTGACATATTCCCTATTCAAACAAACCTCAACTCATGACGATCTGGCCGACGTATGCGCCATAGACACAACCTGTACCTTCAGGTCAAGTCTTTGGGTTACCTGCGAACACCAAGAGCCGGCATGCTACACTGGAGGTGTTGGTTACGACCAACTCGTGTGCGCAGTCTCTCCGCCAGGTGGACACCATTTGGCCGCAGCTTCGACTGAGCCTGAAGTCTCCTGCGGGCCCGCATATGGTAGAGCATTTGCACATTGAAAATCTGGAACTGATACAGTTTGCTCGAGGCAAGTCTATATCAGTGAAAATCTCATCTCATAAATCCCATAGATGAGACGCGAGGCCCACGTATAACGACCATTCATGCGAGCGGGTCCTTTGAGGTTCAATGGCTGAGGCAATTCACCTTCAGAACACTTTCGGATCACTCAAGACCCCGCCAAATGCCAACTCTCACACCTCTCAATCCGCTCTCACTCAGATGTACCAACTTCTCTCCAATTTCATGTATATATATTACTGAGCAAGCTACTAGCATACGTGTATTTACTTTCGAAGCAAAGAGGCAACCATGCAGCTGGATAGCTTGTGAGAAGTAGACCAGAACCCTGCCGTTCTATTATTAGCTCCTCGATCTCATCATCGGGATAGACCTAGACAAGGTAAAAATGTTTGTGAGGCATAAGGCAATAGAAGCGTTCCATGCCCTGAGGCTCAGTAAAATTAGATCTGGCTCCGACGGTTATGGCTGACTCTAAATGGTGGATTTTTAACATGGACCAGTCGGACTTCCGGCCTGCTTCAATATACATTAACCGCCTCTACACATGGACCCAGGAATGACATATTATCATTGTTCATCGTACGCCAACGGAAAAGAAGGCCGATATCACTGTGCGCGCGCGGCTGACAGAAAATCTACTCTAAGACTGTCTTTGTGCACCATTGAAGTCACCCACTCTCAGAATTCTATATAGTCTATCAATGTCCAATCCCACCAGCAACCCAGTTATTGAACTCGGGATCACCAGGACCAGGGAACATGCCTCCAGGTTGTGGCTGAGCACCCTGACCCTGCTGCTGTTGTGGTGGTTGGGCTTCCTGTACAACCGCCGGCTGTGCTGGAGGCTGCACTTGTCCTTGGTTTCTCCGTCTCCTCTCTTCTTCACCCTGTGCTCGCTGTCTTGCCTGGCGTGCATAGACAAGCAAGGCCAACGCGCCAGCAAGTGCAATGATGATCAGACTCTCCACCAAGCCGTCATCAAAATCATCCCATTCATCAGCACCGTAGCCATCATCGGCGGGGTTTGCCTGCCGCTCTCTCGCCCTCGCAGCATAATCCGAATCTCCACCGGGCATGCCAGGCTCCGCGGTGCCAGCAAGACCACCCATGAAATCATCATCGCCACCAGCACCGCCCTCACGATCCCGTGCCGCCGCCTCCTCTGCCGCATCCATTTCCTCCGCGGCATCGAGGAATCGATTGACCCACTCGGTGAAACTCTTGGGCGCCCGGCCTTTCTTGTTGTCGTCATCTTCGTCTCGGATCCCGTTGACTTTCCCTCCGCTAACTCCATTCCACCATGATCGGATTCGTAGTTTGGTCAGCGCTAGCGTGACAGGCAAGTATGCCTCTTTGTTCATCTCGAGCGCCAGATCGTAGTACCGTTTCGCCATGTGATAGTCTTTCGTCACGGAACCGATGCCATGCTCGTGCATCCATCCCATGTTCCAGAACGCTTGTGCCGAGTGATGTGATTCCGCGGCGGTGGTGTAACATGTCGCAGCCTTTTCAAGATCAGACTGTTGTTTGCCTTTCCCAGCAGGATTGCTAGTATCACCGGTCGTACTTTCGGTAGTGATAAGAGGAGAAGAGGCCGACGAAGTCGAGGACCTACCGCCGACGTTGAAACCACCACCTTTCATGCTTCCAGAAGCGAGGTAATAATCACCCATTTTGACCAATGAGTCCACATTCGCTTGCTTCGCCGACCGCGTAAAGTAAGCCAGTGCGAGCTCCGCATTGTTAAGGAGCTTACTCCTGCTTGCGGCCGGTTTATCCGAGGAGAAGAACGGAATACCGGGCAACGAGAACGACAGAACCGAAGTCTTTTTATCGAGCAAGAATGCCGCGTTGGCCTGGGCATACTCATACCCTTGTTCGGCAGCCATGACAATCGGCACAAATGCGCGTTCGAAATCACCTCGCTCGTAAGCCGAGTTCGCCTCGAGGAAAGCCGAATGCAGCAATTCCGCACGCTCCGCCACGACCTTATAATATACAGTCGCGAGTCCGCAGTTTCGCTCTGCAGGACCAACTCCCTGGTTCGTCATCTCTGCCAAGTAGTAATACGCCTCCATGACGCCCGCGCTGGCCGCGAGTTCGAAATAGCGGCCCGCGGTCTCGATGTCGCCTTGGTCGATGAAGAGAACCCCCAGCGCAGACTGCGCGAGCGGCAGGCTCTGCTCCGCCGCGGCTTTCAGATATGTGCCGGCGCGCACGCCGTCCATGGGCACGCCCAGCCCGTCACGATACATCAGGCCCACGTGATACTGGGCGAACGAGTCGCCATTGCTAACGCCACGCTTGAGCCAGGTCAACGCCTTTTCGAAGTTCTGCTCCATGCCCTCGCCGCGCAGGAACATACGGCCGATATAGGCAGCAGCCTTGCCGGCGAGGCGTTCGATACCTTTGGGTGCTTTCGGATTCACTTTGCCGTCTTTGGTCCAGTAAGCCTTGGCAACCTTCATAAACTGGCGCTGTGCCTTGCGGTAGTTTCGTCTGTAGCCGCGCGGTGCCTCGTAATAGTATTTGCCCAAATTCAGGACCGCATTATAGTCACCTTGATGCTCCTTGACATCAAGGTACTCGAGAACATTGTCGACGTGCGCGAAGGATAGCCCGTCGCGTGGAGCATTGGGTCCGGAGCTGCTCACACTCGCACCTTCGCCGTAGATGCCGCCGTCTACTTCGACCCAGCGGTACGCATTGCGCACGAAAGATGTCCCTCCTGGGGGTCCGGAGCGCCAGTATTCCATTGCTTTGTCGGCGACCCGCTTGTAGTAGTCCACGGCCTTGTTGCAGTCCCTGGACGTCGCAATGCCCGCGTGATGTCGGAATGCAAGGGTCATCTCCGAGCGGATCTCGCCCTGTTCGGCTGCAAAGCTGTGATACAGCATCGCCTTGCCTTGGTCTCTCTGCACACCCCCAATGCCCGTCGCATACAGCACGCCCAACATGTACTGCGCCGTGCTGTTCCCGTCGAGGTCCGCCAGTCGCACGTACCATTTCTTCGCGGTATGGAAGTTACGGGGCACGGAGAAGTTGCCGTAGAAGTGCATTTCGGCCAGTAGGAATAAGGCGTCCGCGTCATCGAATGCCGCGGCTGCTTGGAGTGTCTCGACGCCGTTCTTGAGATCACCCTTTATCTGGGCAGTCGTATGGTCGTCCTCGCCGTCTTGCTTGTGTACGGTTGTAGATGATGGCGCATTCATAAACAATGCCCGGAATACGATCTTCAAGTAATGCCACGAAATTTGGACGATCCCGGAAGGGTGGGTTGTGGGTTGGGTAACACTGTCTTTCCATGTTGGCTCGAAGTCACGCAAGACAGACCACACCTCATGCACGATGTCATTGCCGCCTTGTTCCCAGTAGTTCTGTCGTTGTTGCTCTGTGGGCTTGAAGTCAAGTGGGCTCTCTTCAGGTATGAGTCGCTGCTGTTGCTGTCGCGGGGATTTCTTCGCTAGCACAGAGGCTCGATGGTGGTGCGGGTTGGCATCGTTGTTGATGCTTAGGAGAAGGAGAAAGGAGACGAGAAGGGCTGCGTTTGTCACCACGAGTCAGTTACTCCGTAGAAATGTCTATTTTTCAAGAAAAAGAGCTATGGATTACTGCTTACTGAAGAGGGACGAGAGGGACGAAGATCGCCTGCTGCGTAAGAGAGCCATTCTTGATGGACGGGATTCATGCGATCATCTGTATCGTGTTATAACATCATTGTCTCTTCTTTTCAAGCAAGAAGCATCTGCATGAATGCAGCGTGTAGCGAAGACAGTACCCCCAGTGACTGTTTGTAGGCTGAAAGATGATGCGGATATGCGAGGGAGCCAGGTGGGTAGATTAAGATGCCAGTTTGTCGCGGAAATTGTTCTGGGACCATGTTGGTCGGCTCGGAACAATGACGTCCGATATTCAGCCTCGTGGGTGTCTGCCTTTTCAGCCTCGTCGCAAACCAACATAATTGTTGGACAACTCAAGATGAAGCATTTTGGGCCCGAAGAAATTTAGAGGACTGGTATCTTGACTATCTGTGCATAGAATAGGACATGTGCATTACGATCGTCCTATTACCTCATTGCCCACGTATTTACTAAAGTCGGGGTTGAGGATCTGACGACTCAAAGAAATTCATGTTCACTCTACAATGCTTCTGTCTGAGAGCGGTCGTGCTCTCCCATGTCATTCAACGTAGCTCCATACCCCCGTTAGTCAAGTGTGGCACCATACCAGTCAATCTCTCAATTAGAAGTAGCTCCTCTTTTTCGTCAAGAGTCTTCGGTTTCCTATTCCCAAAGCTCGCTTGGTGACTTTAGAGCTTGCCTTGTTCTTCCCATTGGCCTGGCTTTTCGAAGGTGCCTCGAAATCATGATCATCGTCGTCATCCTTTGAAGGGCTTGATTGCGTGAGGTCAATGAATTGTGATGTTGTTGGAATTTGAGACATCATAAGCACGCCTTGGCTTTCTGACGACTTGATTGCTGGCAGACTTGGTAATCCCATTATCTCAGGACTCTTGCTAGGCATCGATCGTCTCTCACTCTTCAATCTGCGTGTCGTCGCTCTAATTGGCTGTGGGGACTTCTTGATAGGAACCTCAACCACAACCGAAGATCTGGTGGACTTTCGATTCTGTTGACTCGATGTCAGTTCCCGGATTGACGGTAACCCATCACTATCTTCATTGGCGAATCCATCATCTTGGTACGAGGAGTCTTCTCCATCGTACCCACGACCGCCTAAAAAAGATTCTGGTTGGGCAGGAGGAACAGGTGAACGATCGGTCTCGCCTTCAACGTCTTGAGATGGCGATCGAGGCACTTCTGAAGTTATCGAATGTGTCTCTTCATGATCTTGGCTCAGATCTGCCCTAACTTCGTCTACCCCCTCATCCTGTTCAGAGTCCCCGGCCGCACTACGTGCCTTGTCGTGATCTGAAATGGTGAAGGAGATATCAACTAGTGGAGCTGGTGAGATTCTCTGCGCATCTTGGTGCGAGCTGCTATTCGTACCTTTGACACGGTCCGACGAGTTGATTTCGATTTGTGAAATATGTGGATATTCAACCGTCCCTTGAGTCGGCATGTAAGGTGATGACTCTTGATCTGGCTCGGACGGGAAAATGTTGCCGGTGTCTTGGCTGAAAGCAGATGCCTCGACAGCTGGGTCAATCTCTGAGGAGATGTCCTGGAAGGAACTTTGGTACACACGTGGCGACCCATGTCGAAATCGATGTGCCACGTCCCCTTGACTTTGGGATAGGGGTTCGCTCACAGCCTCTGTCTTGCCATCAGCATCGGAAGGGTTTTGTATAGGTCGAAGCAATTGCTCGTCCAAAACAGAATCGAATCCAGCTTCCTTGATTATTGTTGTAATCTCATTTCGACGAGGCGTCGTTATCTCAACCTGTTCAAGCAGGAGTTCCGAGTTGGCTTTATTGGGCAAAATGGCAAGAGGTTCTGCACTTTCTGGAATCACATCAGTCTGAGAACAGGTCGTCGCCCCAAGTGCGTCTTCTAAATGCCCGCCCCGAAGTTCTGGGGCCAGTCTACTCTTTGGCACTTCCATCGTGGAGGCTTGGACCAGTTTGGGAGATATCATGTCGCCAAATTGTACTTCGCGTATGCCGTCATCTGGTGTATCATCGATGTCATCTGCGCTTATCGCAAACTTGCCGAGGATTCGTTCTCCAGTATTCTCATCATATAGCGTGGATAGCCCCTCCCAGAATTGTTTCGCAAGGAGAAGTCGAACAGTATCACCTGGTTCCACCTGCTCGACTCTGCCGACCTTATAAGTGGATACTGTTGGTTGATAATTGGTTGTGTGATCCATTTGTAATTCTTTGTATGCAATGACCGCGCCTTGAACGAGATGGTCTCGCTCAAGGTTTTGTAGGCTGTCGAATTCGGTAGGGACTGATACATCACCGCAGGACAAAGCGGCAGAGGCTTGTACTGTGTCTGCCATCTGAGGTTCGTCGTCATAATTCAATGTTGAAACAACCTCAACAATACCAGTCTCGTTATTTGAGCCATGATAGTATTGACGGTCGTCCCGAGCCTGACGCTTGTTTTTGCCCTTGCCTCCAAAATCACCTTTAGCCCATCCCTGCTGGAATGGGAATGGAGGCGGTGGTAGCTTCCATCCATCGCGCTCGCACTCGACTGCAGAGACAATCAACTTGTCCTCCCAAGAGCTCAAGTTCCCTGTCGTTGCTTTGTCACCCTCCTGCACGTTGGTCTGGTCGCCCAGCTGTAGCGAATTTGGATTGTGTGCATACTTGAGTGGACGATTTGTTTTAGACAGTTTCTCTCTCAAAGCCGCTTCAGCAGCTTTGTCCTTTGGAGTTCTGACTCCAAGGGCTGAGAATACCATTCTTCGAGAGCTTGCTAGGTCAAGCTTGGTTCGTCGAGGAGACGGATCGCTAGACGGCCGAGTATCGACAGTCTCCGAGGATACCTGTCGTGCAGCATCGGTCGAAGCCACCTGTGTCGCAATAGTTTCGCTTACAGAGCTGGGCTGGTTGACAGGAGCCACCTGTTCAACTACCATACTTTGACTTTGACCAGCTGCTTGAAGGTTGTCCGGTTCGTTTTTTGGAATTGTAGGCTCAATGAGATTGACTAGTGCAGGAACGACAATTCCTCCCTCTTCGTATTCTGTAAGCGATTTGAGATCTGCGTTCTCTGGTAGTATTCCTTGCTTCTTAAGCGCCATGAGACGTCGTCTTCTTTTGCCTCGATCATTATTGCGATGAGTCCTTGCACTCCCTTCTCCCGGTGCTGACCCTGTAGACTTTGGCGCCGGTATGCGGTTCGCTGATAACTCAGGCAATGTGGGTGCAATTGATCTAGGAACCAGTGCTGGTGCCGGCTCTGCGTTCTTGTGGTCTCCCCCTTCCAGATCCCGATCAGAAGAAGCATCCAACACGGAATCACTACTGGCAGAACTAGAATCAGATCTCGAACTTGATGAATCGTCCTCATCTTTTTCACGTACCATCTCCTCTTCTTCAGAGCTCAACTCTGAACTAGTTGATGAGTCGCCACCATGAGATCTCATAAGCCTCAAAGCACGCTCTTTTGCATGTTCAATTGCTTGAAGGTCTTCCTTGGTATCATCAGCTTCATCTTCAGACTCAGACTCAGAGTCAGACGATATTCCTGAGTCCGAGGAGTCATCCGGGGATGTAGAATCATTTTCCTTCTCTTCAACAATTCTGAGGATGTTGTCACCCTCTGACTCTGAATCTGAAGAAGACTCAGACGATGTGGAATTTGAAGTTGCATCCGACAGAATCGGTGTGTCTATGACAAAATCTGAATCGTTCGTATCATCGGTCTTATCGGTATCAGATGTGAACAGGTTGCGAGCGCCCTTCACTGGAGTCGAGAATCCTTCGAAGGTTTCATCTCGGACTTCGTCACCGTCATCGTCCTCAGCTCTTTTTCGCTTGAGGTGGGCTGGAGCGACCTTTGAACTCTTCCCGTCACTGTTGAGAACCTCTTGCTCAAGAAGACAGATCTTACTGGAGGCATCACCGAGAACTTCAATCGAGATGTCCTCGGCACGTTTTCGCCAAATTTCAGCCGCCGCACCCACCGCCTTTTTTAGACGAGGATGCAGGTCATAGGGAGGACTTCCGACATTGTCAACCATTCTCAATGCATGCATGAGTCGTAAGCCATCTTCAATGGCTCGCTGCTCGTTGTTCTTTACAATTTTCTCGAAAAGCTGACGAACATCGTCTGGGAGAAGGTCGGGGCTTTCGTAGGAATCGTCTGCAGCCCTTTTGCGATTGGATTGACCTTGCGTGGATGTCTTTGAGCGTCTCTTGTTATCCTTTAGAATTTCCTGAAGGAAAAATCGAAAGTGCTCCGGGGAGTCGAGAATCTCGCCGAAGTCGGGCTCTGCGGGAATATCAGCATCGTCAAAGTCCTGTCGAATGGCGATTTGTAAATTATTTTCCTCGGTTATTGATACTCCTTCATCATCTTCTTCGCTATTGTCACTGTGACTCTCGCCATCAACAAAATCCTCGTCGTCCTCATCGTCTTCATCCTCATCATCAACGCCTTCAATCGCGTGCAGTTCCGTCTGGTGATCAGGGTATGGTCCGATCGAAAGGAGAGCGAGATTTGAGTCTTCGTCAATGGCAGGGTCTTCAATCTCCAGTCTCCGCCTCTTCCTTGGTGGAATGGTGACACCCGGTCTACCAGTCCTCCGTAACCATTGTTTCCCAAACGTAATACCATCAACTAGATGTCTTCCGTCACTTGTAATCTGATGTCTGCCACCTAGTCTCCTGACCCGTAGATCCTCAGTGCTCAAAGCTCGTATGATGACCTCGTCATCATCTCTCAACACAGCCTCGCAGGTTTGGAAGTGCAAGCATTCATACGCTGTCTGTTGGTCTGCGGTCGCGGCAACTTCGACGACGTAGTCCTCCAAGCCCCATTCTCCGTCGAAGGATTCGAGGGGAACCAGATCGTTCACATCTTGGAGCAGGGCTGCAATTGTACAGTCTCGAGATCTTGTGTGAGAGGTCGGTCCGGTGCCAGTGGTGTGGATTATGTTGACGGGTGGGAGCGCATGTCGAAGAATCTGGAGTTGCAGGCGCATCTTGTCTCGCTGGATGAGAGTTTTGAGACTGCGCCTGCCAGGCTCTGGGAATTCGGTCGGAACCAGAGAAAGGGAAATCCTGCAGGGTGCAAATGTTAGAACATGTGGACCGAGTGTCTGCAGATCGTGCAGCTCGTGCACAGGTGTGGTTTTTCGACAAAGTCGGCAAAGGATGACGCGTGAGGGACGATTGGAGAAAACACGAGATTCGAGCTAAGAACTTGACTAGCCAATTTACCCACCAATTGCGCCGGCAAGGGAACGATTAGCACTTAAATAGCGGGGTTTTGACCGTCTAACCACTAACCACCAACTACACCCCGCTCCAAAGACGTTCGAGTTTCTATTTCTTAATATTTTGATGAAAATACCCATTGGCCCCGAGAAGAAGCGAGATCAAATCCGATACGAAAGCCTAGATGAGCCGAAAATAGGTTTTAGCATAACCAGACATGAAAGCCTCGCACGCTCAGTCAGCCCTTCCATGTGCCAACAGGGATCTAACGAGAGGGGGTAACGAGGGGTTAATCGTAGGTCACGACTCTCGCTCTATCTACAATCCTTGGGAGTAGAATATCGAGTAAAGCGACGATTATGTCCTTCTATATCTACGCCTGTGCAGGAGACTTTGTTGGCCTCTGTTCATGACGCCAAGGCTACTTCTATCTATACACCTCACTGGCTCAATGTGTTCCCAGATTGGCCGTGAAGCAGGTGAAAAACGTACGACCGAGCCTCGCCGGTGCAACAACTTTAGAGGCTCGGTGATGTAACATCACCTTGTGTCTCAGCCAGCAATCCCGAGGGTAATACCGGGTTGTGCGAGTCGCCTAGCTCCCTATTTTCCTCAGCCTTGTACACCAGCCTCGCATTGCTCGCGTCTACAATAGCATTATTGTATCATACTAGTCAAACATTTCTGGTGACGACGTATCGCAACCCATTCTCATCGCAAGGCCCCATTTGATGTGGCAGAATCAGAGCTTCCTGATTTCATCACGGAGCGTAGCAAGTAGGCCGGCACGAACTGAAATCGCTATGGGCTGGACGGAACCTTCTATACTACGGAGCGCAAAGAATCGATGAGCAGAAGAATGAGCAGAAATGGAGGCTCTTGAGTCACAAGGGAGTGAGTCTGATAGCGACATGAATGCGGAGAAGCCCCAAACGAGCACATCTTGTCCTGCTTGAACCGCCAAGAGGTCTAGCGATATACACCAACCGGGGTCCGGGACCCCTTATTCACTTTGTGTACAAGCTACCAACGGACTGGTAATCTTCTGCGCCTTATCCTCTAAGTGATCGGCAGACTGCATGTTAAATGCACGGTGATTTCGTGAGCGGCTGTTACTTGTTGTTTTCATTCTATCCCGATCCTCAAATCACGCATATTTGCCTCGTGGGGCACAGTTGGCAGATTTTTCTGATGCCCCTGTGGTTGATGATACTTGAGACTGTTTACTTGATCTTAAGCTGGACTCTCACCATCTGAGATAGTTCAGCGTCTGCTGCCAATGATCATGGCTACCACGACAATCACCATAGACCCTAAAACTGGGCTCGTCGACAGCATTGATTCAAGCAACCCTGTCAATCCAATACAACAGCATCAAAACCAATCGATCCCGCAAAGACATAGCCGAGTCGATATCTCTCATTCAGCATTGACCGAGAACGCAACACTATCCACCCCCGCTGAAGATAAGCCCTTCAAACCCACTCGACGCTTCTGGCTTGTCATGCTGTCCATCTCAGCCATATCTCTTTGTGGCTCTGTTGAGGGCACGATCGTGGTCAATGCCTTGCCAACCATTGCCGCCGCCTTGGGTGGCGATGGCAACTTGTACCTTTGGGTACCAAATGCTTTCTTCCTAGCCTCCATCTCGGTACTCCCACTGGTAGCTCAGATCAGTGATATCTTCGGCCGCCGAACAATGCTGCTGGGTTCGGTCTCGCTTTTTATCTTCGGCAGCGCTTTGGGCGGTGCCAGCAAATCAATAACTATGCTCATCATTGCCCGCACCATCCAAGGTATAGGCAGTGGCGCAGTCGACACGTTAACCGAGACCGTTATTCTGGACTTGGTGCCTCTACGTGACCGTGCCAAGTACCTGGCATATGTGTCCATAGGTACAACCCTTGGCTACGTTGGAGGGCCATTCGCAGGCGGAGTAATCGTTGTAAAGCTGGGCTGGCCCTGGGTCTTCTATCTTAATGCCATCCTCGGTGGAGTTGCCCTCGTTATGTTCTTCTTCTTTCTTCGTGTCAAGCACCGAAGAGGTCAGTCCTTTTGGTCCAAGGTCAAAAGAATTGACTTTGGTGGCAATGCCATATTCATTGGCGCAGTTGTGGCTGTACTGCTGGCCCTTACCTGGGCTGGACCTGTGTATCACTGGAATAGTCCTCAGATCCTAGTGCCACTCATTGTTGGTTTGCTAGGTCTTCTCACCTTCGTCGGATTTGAGTGGACTCCACGACTTGCTCCAGAACCATCTTTCCCCCGCGCGATTGTGGCTAATCGCACGTCCTCAGCAGTTTTCATCATGACTTTGGTCAATTCGATAACCATGTATGGCACCTTTTATTTCCTGCCTGTCTACTTCCAGGGCGTGCTTGCAAAGTCTCCACTGGCTTCTGGAATTGCTCTTGCTCCCATCTCTGCAGCAGTCATCCCTTTTGCCGTTGTTTCTGGCATATTGTCATCGAAGATAGGCAAATATCGACCGGTTCATGCTATTGGTTGGGCTGCAATGATTCTCGCCGTCGGCCTGTGCAGCACTCTGGGCCGCCATTCTCCTGCTGTGGCATGGACGTGCTATGAACTCTTGGGTGCCGCTGGGCTAGGCGCACTGTCCATCTCACTACTACCAGCAATGCAAGCGCCACTCGAGGAGCGCTATGCCGCGACCTCTGCGGGTATGTACAGTTTCGCCCGTGGATTTGGTGCTATATGGGGTGTCACTATCCCCTCTGTTGTCTTCAATAACGTCGTCAAGCATCAAGCTGCTGCCAGTAATTCAGCTCTTGTCACAGCTCCATCCTTGGTCGCACGTCTGGCCGATGGTCAAGCCTACCAACTCGCTACCAAAGCATTTCTCGATTCCTTGGATAATACTTTGATTCGAAACCAACTTATTGCTATCTTCGAACACGCCATTCATGTCGACTTCTATGTCTTGGTCGCTTTCGCTGGCTTTGGCTTGCTTTTGGTACTGCTGGAGAAGGAGGTACCTATGCGAACGCAGAACAATACCGAATTCGGGCTAGAGGAGGATGAGGATACAAACAACGCGCGAAGTGTCCGTGATGGCGATGGCGAAACTGGCGACGTAATCATTGAAGCTATTAGGAGTCCAGACATCACTGCTGATGGCATGACGCCCGGAGCGATCGATGTTATTCCACTACAGAAAGTGAACGCCGCGGCTCGATAGGCAGCATTCTGCTCTCGAGTCCTTTACATTGTATGGGACACTCGTTACTTGAACTCTCGAGATATCGAGTAGTACTTTTTAGCCTAGATTTTTGCACACTACTCTAATGTTGAGATTATGCCTCCATAAAGTGGGACCGTTACGAAGCACATATCCAAAATTCTCTCAGACCTACGAACTTGAAAATTTGTCCTGCTCGACCCTCGACGGAAAAGGCTCAGACCCTCTACCGAGTACCGTACACATCTACCGCAATATTCTAAATATACATTCTGAATTGGCTGTCACCTCCGGCATAACGCCGACGGAAGAGTCCCTAGACAGCATGTCCTGGCGGATACGAGGAATAGAGAACTAAATCCACACCAACTCAAACCCGTAGTCAGTTGTTTTGATCGTGATAAGCTCTTGCATCGTATGCGGATAAGTCAACACGATATGAAAGGCAACTTGAGAGTCAAGATTCACTCATATTGCATACGGTTAAGACGTTGAGGCAGCCAAGGGAGGTGTAAGGCTGAAACCCCTTCTTGATTGAGAGGGATGTGCCTCAGATGACTCGGGTTTCTTTCCGGGACTGCGTTGGCAAAAATGGTCAACAATCTATTTTCAGGTCTTCCTTCTGCATCCAGGCGTTCTGCCGGTTGGTTTTCTTCTGGATTTTGCCCTCCACGTAAGTTGTAATGATGATTTGTCGCTGCTTCTTCAATGATGAGATCCTGGGCAGCCTCGGCGGGGTTCCTGGGTGCGGCTCTACCTTCTAGCGCTGCGAATGGTTCCCACGGGAGACATGGAACCTGGAATCCCCAAATGTTCGTCCTCGAACGAGCCTATCAGGATTGTCTATCAAGATGATCCCAAGTGAGCGTAACTACATCTGTACTCGTTCGATTGCCTGTTTTACTCGTAAGAAGAGAGGAGTTTGGAAATCAACAGAGCCGAGAGCCTGCCCCTTAGCTCCCTGTTTCCAAACTGTTTCGTCTGTGGTCGGGTAGCGGCGAAGCGCCTAATCATCTTATGCTTTACCATGTTGGGGGGTGCACGCCTAGACCTCCTTAACCATTGTGAGCCACCCAAGCCCTTCACAGGTTAGCGTCCTCCCCGGATCCAAAAAATGTCCACGCGTCAGAGACATTCTTCGACTTGCCAATCTCAAAATCACCCCTCGGCGCGGTCAACATCTCAAACGTGACAAGTCTCATGTCCCAAACAGGAGAGGGCCAAACAAAGATTGTTCATCGCACGAGGTTGTGAAGTGAGCAAGGTCCACGGTGCTTGCGTGGAATGTCGCATTCTCCGAGTCGCTTCGACTCTCAGACCCATTTCATCTCGTTCGATAGAGTTCTTGTGCTGTGACACTTTGTGTTTAGCCAGGGGTGCTGACTGGTGACTTTTGGCTGTCCACACCTTTCCCTTGGTCTATCCCTCTTTGCTTGGTAAGGTTCAACTTCTATCCCTATCTTACGAGGCCTCGTATACTAGGAGAGAAGGGTGGACTACCCATCTATATAAGCTCGTGTCCATCGCATCGCATTAACCTGAGCTCTCCCATCCTCACCAACTGTCACGATTCCATCCTCACCATTTTAATTTTTACTCTTCAAAACTCAGATCTGTGATCTAATACTTTTAAAAGAACATACAAGATGCATTCCGTACTTTCATCCACCACTCTCCTTGTCTCTGTGCTGGCCACATCCGTCCTCGCCTCTCCACAATATGGCGACTCATCAGCCACGACGACTGCCTCATCCTCGGCAGCATCCATGTCGGGCGTTCACCAAGTCCAAGTCGGACCTGGTCTCACCTTCAGCCCTGACAGCTTGACCGCTGCTGAGGGCGACTGGGTCGAATTCACTTTCGGATCCGGTCACTCCGTCGCACAGAGCTCTTTCGATGCTCCTTGCGTACCCCTCGCAAGCGGTGCTGGTGTCTACTCTGGATTCCCCAACGACGGAGACGTCTGGCGATTCCAGGTCAACAGCACAGATCCTATCTGGCTGTACTGCTCCAAGGTCGGCCATTGCGAGGGTGGCATGTCTCTTGTCGTGAACCCACCGTAAGTAGACCCAAATTACAATGTCTCCCTTATCTGAGGGACAACAAGCATTGCTAACTCGTGAACAACAGTGACAACCAGAACACGCTTGATGCATACAAAGCGGCATCTGCCAACGCCAACACTTCATCCCCACCAACAGTGCAGGGTGGTGTCTTCGGCGCTGCTTCCGACAGCACCAGCTCCAACAGCACGTCCAGCGGCTCATCCACCACCAGTGGAAGCTCAGCCAGCGGCACCTCCAGTGCAACAGGTACCGCTGCATCCACCAGCAGCACCGGCAACGCCGCCAACTCCAATGTTGCCCGAGACACCCTCTTCGCTGCCGGTGCCTTGGTTGGTGCCGTCGCTGCTCTCCTGTAAAGCCCTCTTACATGAGATGTTTTATCTTGACCGGTTGAATATTTCAGTTTTCCATCTTCCAACTGACATCGGTCTTGCTCGCATATCCTATCCTCACAAATGACTTCATGAAGTCAAAAGCACTTCAAGTCAGCAAAGCAAGCATTAACGCACGCATCAAACCACCCTGAATGATACCCAAAACCCAGTTTTACCCAAGCACTTTACCCGTCAAGACACCTATTGGCCTCATGCAAAGCAGGGGATAGCAGAGAACTGAGGTAGTTAATGCCTGAATCATGCCAGAACCTCACTTTCACGTCGATAGCTTATGTTCTCTTCCTGGGTCGCGATCAGGAATATCCTAGATCGAAATTAGAAAATCAAGAAAAAGATTCCAAAAACTCTCTTAAAAGTTTTCCTATGTGTTGAAGTTTAACTCCATCAATTGCTGGGAACGAGACCCGCTATAAGATGCTGCATTCATGACCACTTGGCCCATCGCATCGTTAAACCCCCGATGTAAAAAGGACACGCATCGACCAGGATACTACTATCTGCTGAGCTAACGCTCAACAGGATCGAAAGGAGACTGTTGCAGAAATGAAGGCACTTACAAAGGTAGTTGTTAATCCGTTCTACGGAACGCTTCTTACAAGTTACCGTACACCATTTATGGCTGCTTCTACCGGGACTTGCCATGAGATAACTCTGTGACCGTACATGCATATCTCGGTACACACCTCGCAGCTAGAATTAGCTCTCGGTCACATTATGAGATCTTCCGGGCCCCGCATGGTACGATTCCGCGCTCTCTGTTTTCAGCGGAATGGGGATGGGGTATCGTAACAATGTAAGGGACAGGGGCAAAAGAGCTGCTGTGGTCAGTGGTCACTTCGCCCCTCCCCGCATTTGGAGGTCCCCAAACCACTCGGCAGAAACGCGGGGGTGTAGCTAGGTTGTATCAAATTCCTTCTATGTGCATCCCTAATCGTACTGGGTCGATCAGGGCACCCAGCTGGCAAAGTGATGTACGTTCCCACCATTTCGGCTCAGCACACGAACACAAATCCAACGTTGCCCTCCATAAAGGCGCGGTCTGTTCCCCGGTTCGACGGATAAGACGATCCAGATATGCATCAATTTGCAGACGCAGGTGAGAAAGTCGGCTCTCGGCACCGAGTCATGGTCAACGAGTACGCGCATATTATTCAGCAGATTCCTGGGGCTAAGGTGAACCCCCTAGGTTTCGGGCGCCAGCGAGCGTGAGCGTGGCCCTTAATTCAGACATGTCTACGACTAGATATTCGATCTATCGCTGGGACACCCGATTATTGATGATACGATTTGGAGTGGCAGAGGCAGAAGTTCTTAGCCCACGGCCCGCCTGCCGCGAGATTCCACGACTCAGACTCGCATGACTCTCCCTTGAGTGCTCGTGTTGTACCCAGTGAATATCCGATACCTAGGCATGCCCAAGCAGAGGAGTCAGTAGTAGGCCTGAGCCGAGGCTGAGGTCTGAACCAGGATATCAGGAGAGGGTGACTGAGGTGTGGGCACCAATCAGAGGCGGGGCGCGTCTCGGCCTCCATGTCGACATGAGATCTACACTTCGGTGGTAGAGCTCGGAACTCCGAAGTGGCAGATCAGCGTTGATAGATATTGCCTACTCTTATTGACGGCTGACTTTCTCGGTATATAAGTATCCCTGCTCCTTCTGTGACTTCCGTAGCAATCGTCTTGAAATACTAAGGAGAGACGTGCCAGAAACCCTCATCAGTGGTCAGAAGTTTAGAAAGAATGCCGCTTTTAGAATCGCCCGCGTACACGGATGCCGATATCCCTGACTATCCGCAATCTACTCCGCAACCGTTGAAAATCATTCACGTCGGTGCTGGAGCATCCGGTCTGATCTTCGCACACAAGGCTGAGAGGGGTCTGAAGAACTTCGAGCTTATATGTTATGAGAAGAACGACTCGATAGGTATGTAGGAACATGTGCAGGAGCGTGTCTCTGCGTGCGCAGTGGCTCCAGTGATCCTCGCTAAGTTGGTGTTGCAGGCGGTACTTGGTATGAGAATGTGTATCCTGGATGTGCCTGTGATATCCCTGCGCATACCTATACCTTGCCATTCGAGCCGAACCCAGAGTGGTCTGGTTATTATTCGTATTCGGACGAGATCCAACAGTATTTTCTGAAGTTTGCGAAGAAGTATGGTGTGGAGAAGTACGTGAAACTCAACACTGCAGTCGAATCGGCTACTTGGGACGAGTCCGAAAGTATATGGAAAGTCGCTTTGAAGCGTAAGGATGGTACCACCTTCGTCGACAGCTGCAACGTACTCGTTAATGGCTCAGGGGTTGTCAACAAATGGAAATGGCCCACCATAGAGGGCTTACACGACTTTCAAGGTGTCCTAGCGCATTCTGCTGCGTGGGACAGGTCGATTGACTGGGCTGGCAAAACTGTCGCGGTCATTGGTACCGGGTCGAGTTCTATCCAAATGGTGCCTAAGTTTGCTGAGACGGGTAAGCACGTCTCGGTATTTATGCGTAACCAGACTTATATCGGTCCACAATTTGGCTCGAATGTATCAAACAAGGAGGCGGATCCAGATGCCATGGAGCCTCATGCGGCTGGTAAGCATCAATATACGGAGAAGGAGAAGCAGAGATTCAGAGATGATCCTGATTACCACTTGAGATATCGCAAAGCTGTCGAGCGATCAGTCGTGAGTGGCTTCAAAATGTTTTACCGTGGCTCGGAGACAAACATCGCAGCCAAGAAGTTAATGCAAGACTCCATGTCTCAGCGACTGGGCGACCGCGACGATTTGAAGAAACGTTTTATTCCGGAGTGGAGTCCTGGGTGTCGTCGCCTCACCCCTGGTGAAGGGTACCTCGAAGCCCTCTGCGAGCCGAACGTTACATGCGTCTTTAGCGACATCGTCAAGATCACGCCTACTGGTTTAGTGACGGCGGACAATGTTGAGCGTAACGTTGATATCCTCGTCTGCGCTACCGGATTCCATATCGGATATCAACCACATTTCCGTGTCACCGGAACTGGAGGACAAGTCATGCAAGACCAGAAGCAGCCAAATGTCTATGCGTCAATCTGTGTACCAGGATTTCCAAACTATTTTGTGGTCAATGGGCCTCGCGGCAACTGGGGTCAAGGCTGCGTGATGCCATCGCATGAAGTCCATACGGAGTATATCGTCCAATGTTGCCAGAAGATGCAGCAAGACGACGTCAAATCAATGGTGCCACGCGAAGACGTTACCACTCAATTAAATCTCTACATGGATGCCTGGCATCGAAAACACTCCGTCTGGGCCGAGGATTGTCGAAGTTGGTACAAAGACAATGAGCCAAATGGCAGGGTATGGATCTGGCCTGGTAGCCTGTTTCATCACTTAAAGTTCATGAAGAGGCCACGGTTTGAACATTATGAGCTCACATACAAAGATCCGAGCAATATCTTTGCATTTTTGGGTAACGGCCTCACAATCACCGAGGAGAAGTTTGCCGGCACTGAAGATATGCCCATCCCATATATTAGAAAGGATGAGGACGAGATTTGGGATATCGAATAATGTTTGACGAACGGGAGAGTATATCAGCATTCATTCGTCGCAGACTTGGAAAGACCAATATATGTAGAAACAAAGATCTAGAAGGTGCCACGTCAGGTTCAGAAGAATTTGAGATCAATCAAGTAGGGAGTCGTCTTCGTCTTTGGAATTGATTGTGTTAATCTGATTGGATGGCTCACGAGGCATCTTTCCCATGACAAATGAGTCAACTGCCTCGAGTTAGTCAACCGAAGCTGATCGTGGGAATATGAGAAGGCGTCGTGCCAAAACTCGCATCGGGTACAGAGCCGGACAGAACATATTTACAGTTAGTAGCTTCGAGGCTTTCGCACGCCATATTGGCCAGCAAGCTAGCATGACGAATCCCCATGTTGTTGTCGATACGGCGGAGTTGTTCTATCGCGTAGCATCTCACTTCGATCGCATTCAAGGCTTCCACAGCAACAAGGTAAAGTGGTTCGATTAGTGTGGGAGCTCCTAATGACAGGAGGGTGGTCAGTCATGTTGAGAAATATGTGCTCGTTATTCAACGATGGCACCAGCGCCGCGCCTGACGGGAGAAGACTTACGTGGAGTTTCCATGAAACTGAAGCAGGAAATACAAAGCTCGTTGCATAACTGGCGAATGGTAGAGAGAGGCTGTGATGTGTGTTGGTCGTTTGGTTTACCTAATGTCGCCTCGTGCTCCACAATAACTTGGTTCACAAGGATTCGCAATATTCTCCAGTTCTTCCACGCCTCCGCAACCCACAGGTTCGGGTAGATGTGAGTTAACCCACCGAAATTTAAGAGACATTCCACGGCAGTATACTTCCACTCTTCAGGCATAGTCGTTTGCCACTTTATCAAATCATTGTCGATAGCAGTGGCATTTTGAATAGCGGTCTTCGCATCCATGATGTCTCCATTTCGCAATGCAGCGCGAAGATTGACTAAGCGGAATGATATCGCGCAGATGGAGTTCGGGCTAGCGAGCTTGCGACGTTGCCACCATTTCCTTGTCTTGCTGGCATAAAATCCATCCCATGATCGCATAAGGCTTTCCGGGACTGGAATATGACGTTGCATGCAGGTTGAGAGCTGTGAGAATTTAGTACACTAAAACTTATGGGCGAATTGAAGGCCATCTGAAGGATATCACATACTATTTGGGAGCGTAGTTGAATGAAAAGCTGGCCTCCACGTTCGCTGTCAAATTGTTCCTGCCCTCTCAGATCTAACAAGGCTGTGGCTCCCTGAATGTGCGTCTCCCATCCACGATAGTGGTCCCAGGTGTCAAAAGTGACGGTCTGTATCACAATGAGTACGAGGCTGGCACTCAGCAAGCATACTGGATTTTGGTTTTACCTCGTACTGCCCAAGTAGGATAATAGCCATCATTGTTTCATCCGCAACGGCCTTGATAGGGTCGCTCAGTGCTTTCTTTGTTGCCATCAATGCTGTGGAATACTGTTTCTTGGATTTTGCGGCGGCATCAGGAGCATGAAAAACATTTGCCAAGGCTGCCATGCCCACTGCTTCGATCGCTGCTCGTAGGGAGTCATTTGTTGTATGCCAAGAACAGGACCGCGCCAGCCATTGCGAGTAGTCACAAGAGAAAGGTGGCTGGTCGAAGGTGTATCGCGTGAAGAAGAAATTGATGCCAAGTTCTGTGAGAGGGAGACAAGGTCCTCGCGGGATACTAGGCCGCAACAATGCTGAAGGGGAGGCTGAATATCCCCCGACGTTCATGCGAACAGAGGACGTCAACTGTGAGCTCGATTGTACTAGGCTTGAATCTTGACTCTGCTGTCTGTGAGAAGCTTTCTGCCTGATACGTTCGGACTCATCCCGGAACAACACTTCACGCAGATCACGATAACCCGGACAATCCTTGCGGGACTTCTCGCACTTCAAGCAACGCGGTTTTCGTTGGTCGCACTGGTAATGCACGAAGTCAGTTGACCTGGATCAGGCTTATTCTGAAAACCGTCGGGATTCCGACGTGCCTTGATTCTGCGTTTGCGACATCGCTCACAGCCCCTGCTCAGAACACCACAATAGACCATCGTTCAACCCCATAGAAGTTTTCACATTCCACAAAGCTGAGGAATCTGCAGCCGGGCCATGAGGTTGAACTAAATGCTGATATTGAGTCCTATCGGTCGGCAGTATCCATGGAAGCTGAATTAGAGAAGGGCTAGTGCAACGGATAATGCATTAAGTATCTGCTGCCAAGGTTTTACTTAGTGCCTGGCATCCTCGCAGTGGTGCCCTGCAACAGGTTAGTCTGCAAATGTTTTGATAACGACCATCGCTATTGGCTGTTTCATGTATTTCGGACGGAAACCCATAGATATATATATTGTGTCCACCCACCTGTTGTAATTGTTGCTGTGAACGCAACCTTCTCTACCTAGGTAGTCCTCAGAAAGCTTGGCAATCACGTCGGTCGCTTTCAGGCAGGAATCAGTTGTGTTTCGAGGTCAAGCTGCCGAAGATGTCACAGATTGATCCCAACAAGGTGGCTTTCAAGCCAGAAAAGACGTTTGCTTCTTACAACCATGAGCAAGGCAAGGCTTATGCTCAGGTTCGCCGCGATTATCATCCCAACGTTTATCAAGCCGTTCTCGACTATCACACTTCGACCGGAGGGAAGCTCGACATGCTTGTTGATGTCGGCTGTGGGCCTGGAAACGCCGCTAGACAACTTGGGAAAAACTTCAATCATGCAATCGGTCTCGATCCCTCTCAAGGAATGATATCGATGGCTCGCTCACTTGGTGGAACCACAGCAACTTCGGAGGCAATTAAATTCGAGACCTCCAATGCTCAACAGCTAGGAGCGAATCTTTCGCCACCCATACAAGATTCAAGCGTTGACCTCATTGTTGCTGCCACCGCTGCGCACTGGTTTGATATGTCGGAATTCTGGCCTAGCGCTGGCCGCATCCTCAAGCCGGGTGGAACTGTGGCATTTTGGACTTCTGGCGAGGCGCGCACCGATCCAACTCTGCCAAATGCCGAGGCTATCCAGGCTGCTGTGGAAGAACACGAAGAACGATATTTGAGACCGTACTTTGAACCAGGGAATCTACTCAACCGGAACCGCTATCGTGACCTGTTGCTCCCATGGACTTTAGCACAACCTGTGACAGATTTTGACGAAAGCGCATTTGTGAGAAAAGACTGGAAGTTTGGAGACGAGTTCGTTGTTGGAGGCTCTGAAATAGATCTCGACTCATTTGAGAAGCTTTGGGCATCTGCAAGTGCACAGGTGCGTTGGTATAAGGCACACCCTGATGATGTCGGCACCGAGCGTGATCCAGTAAAGTTACTACGTCATAAGATCGAGGGTTTGTTGCATGAGGCAGGAGTAGAAAAGGGGAAGGAACGACTTAGGGGGGCTGTCGCTGGTACATTACTGGTGGTCAAGAAAAGATCATAACTCCTGGATAAATCGTTTGTTGATTGCCATGGCACAAGGTATACCACAATGAGTTGAGGATTATCTTTGTACTGAAAGAGTCTCTCGGGACTGAGTGTCTTGTAGGACTCGTACCATAAGCGCGATTTAGTGAGCAAAGCCTGCTGGGAGTCGATCAAATTGACTACCGATTTTGTGGTAGACGGACGCGTCACGAACGCGTATAATACTTCGCCGTATGTATTGCTGCGCTTAGCATATTTTACTGCGCCGTTGTTGAGACAAGAACGACCACCTGTACTCTTGTGGACCAAAGTTGAAGGAGCCTGAGGGAGCCGAGTAAATACACACCTCCAACAGATATTGCATATTCTGATTTCATCTGCGCCGCAGACATTTGCCTTGCCTGCCCTGCCCTCCCCTCAATTGCGTTAATGTCTCTTCACGAAGTTTGGCAAGCAGCTGCGAGCAGCCCTTTCCAACCTACTATTGGCAAGGACAGCCAGCTTACCCTAGGATTGTTCTTACTATTCGTTGGTAAGGATAACCGCTTCTGGGTTTGAATACCTACTAAGAGCAGATCAGGTCTTATTCTTACAGTTCTATTTGGACTGAGTGAGTGTGGTGGCTACTTCTCTTCTTCGAAGCCAAATACTAACTCAGCCCTAGATCGATCTACCCTCTCGATACCTGTGTTCGGAATCCCAGCCTCTCTTGCCTTTGGGTTTGTCTTGCCTGATATTTCTGTCCTCGCAAACCCTGACACGCTGTAGATTTGGCGCTATTTACACCATCTGCGGGGTGGGTGTCTATGTTTGAGACTTAGAAAAAGGCAGCATGCGCACTTAAAATAAACCATCATCGCGAACTCTCCATAACTCACCATGGCCAGTCCTCCACTTTTTACAGCCATATCTACATCAGCAAGGCAATTACATGTTCTTCTTCGTTGCATTGCATTCTCTCCACGAGCCGAGGTACAAATCACACGTTCTGGCATTCGCTTTTCGGTCGAAGAAGCTAGAGTGCTACAAGGCCTTACGTTCCTCGACAAGGTTCTATTCTCCACGTATCAATTAAAGGTAGACGATGAGCAGGATACTATTCCCACGTTTTCAATCTCGATAGTGGCTTTACTAGAAACACTTCAAATCTTTGGTATTTCTGACTCAAGCTCCTCGTCTCGCAACCCAAACGGCGGATTTTCGTCATCCTATGGAAATGCTTTCAATGCGCCTTCTCTGGCTTTAGCTGGTACTTGCCGTATCACATACCAAGAAGCAGGAGCACCGCTCACTATCACCATTCAAGAAGGATCTGTAACAACCACGTGCGAAATGAACACCTATGAAGTTCATGGAGAATATCATGACGACGGAGGGATCCCCTTGGACAGGGAGAGACTGTGTCTGAAAGCAATTATGAGAAGTACTTGGTTACATGACGCCATTAATGAACTATCGGGGACAAACCCTTCAGCCCTTGTACTGAATGCTTCCAATCGTACAGCCCCATATTTTTCATTCGAGGGAGAGGGTGGACCGTTTGGCGACAGTACTGTGGATTTCTTACCAGAAACAAAGAATGAGCCCACTCCCAGCGGGCTTCGAGGGAGGAAACAACCACTAGTCGCCGAGAACTTTGTGGTGGCTCCACCTTCTGGTACTCATGGCAGAGTCAGACAGCGTTACAAGTTCGAAATGATCAAGCGTGCTGGAAGAGCTATGGCATTGGCATCCAAGGTCAGCCTCCGACAAGATCAACAGGGGGTACTCAGTTTACAATTCATGATTGATTTGGGCGATGGTGCTGCTACCATGGGTGGTGGACGACGTGGTGATGTTGATGGAAATATTGGTGCACCTCCAACACCAGGGAGCGTGGCTTTTGTTGACTTTCGATTTGTGCCTCTGGTCGGCGATGAGGACGACTCTGCCAGCGAAGTTGAAAGTGGTGATGGGCTTCATGCAGATGATGACTTCGAAGCTCTCAACTAGACGCGTGCTCTATAAAATGCAAGATCCAGCCTTGCTTGCCAAGCTTTCCTGACACTCTTTTTACCTCCATTGCTCTGTTTCCACAAGCGCCTCGATACGAAGCCCACGCCGGCATATTAGCGATTCTAATAAGCCTACGATAAGTACCTTAAGTAGATAGTAAGCAAACCTTCCATTTCATCGCCTCCCGTACGACCGGCAAGATCCCCGAAGGTCCCGGAGTGCCGAAGGGCACTCCGATTCGTTCTTTGGAAGCCGGAGTTCTTGACGTCACTCTTCAGAAAGTCAAATCCAATAGTGCAATCTACCGTGCGCATGGGAGGAGGCTCAAATACCGACTGGACTTGACTCCGACGGATTTGAGGGTTTAAAGCCCGGCTTGTGAAAATTCGTTCGACGGTGAGTTTGATATCTGGGTTTGCATACTATAATCACGGGGTGTTTTATCCTATACATCTCTGGCACCTTCTAGCCATCATCCTTCGTTGTTCAACATCCAGGAGGTAGCTGTCGGCGAGATGGAAGACATGAATGATGACGACCGCGAAAAGGATCGGATGGCCTCCGACAACCCAGCAATGACCATCCCAGCCAGCCATAGCATTTCAAGACCGCAATTCGAACGCATAAGATCGCGGGGACGAGCCGCCACGACCTCCGACCCAGCAGCAGACATGACCGAGGTCACCAAGCAGCCAACATCAAGCAGTACATTCTTAGCGCCGACAAGATACGATGTGGGCTGGCGCCGCGTGGTACGCAACTTCTCACCATCGTGGTTCAGCGTGACCATGGGGACAGGGATCGTCAGTGTGCTGCTGATCTCGATCCCCTTCAAAGCAGCCTGGCTGTACTGGCTGTCGGTGGCATTCTTCATCCTCAACGCCGTCCTCTTCACATGTGCATTCCTCATCTCGGTGCTGCGCTACACGCTGTATCCCGAGATCTGGTCCGTCATGATCGCCGACCCGACCAACAGCCTGTTCCTCGGCACCGTGCCCATGGGCTTTGCCACGCTGCTTCAGAGCTGGATCTGGCTGTGCTGTCCGTATTGGGGCTACTGGAGCGTGACGGTCGCATGGGCCATGTGGATGGTCGACGCCGTGGTCGCGGTGGCTGTGACGGTCAGTTTGCCGTTCCTGCTGATGAGCCGGGCGCAGAGGCAGGAGTTGGATCGCATCACTGCCGCACAGCTGCTCCCGATCGCGGCGACGATCGTAGCGGCGGGTGCCGGTGCTAAAGTTGCAGAGATTCTGCGCGACGAGGGCGCTGCCCTGGGGACGTTGATCACGAGCTACGTGATGTGGGGAATGGCGACGCCGTTTGCGATGACGGTCCTCGTCATCTACTACCAGCGGCTTGCTCTGCATAAATTGCCGCCTCGAGAGGTCGTCGTCAGTTCGTTCCTCCCACTCGGTCCGCTTGGCATGGGCGGATTCACCATCATGTATCTCGGGAAGGTGGCGCGTCAGGTCTTCCCAAGAGTGGAATTCTTCCACAACCTCTCCATCGCCGGCGACGTGGTCTACGTCATGGGTGTATTTATAGCCTTGATAATGTGGGGGTTCGGACTGTGCTGGCTCGTTTTCGCACTCGCAACCATTTACACCACGAGGCCTTTTCCTTTCAATATGGGTTGGTGGGGGTTTACGTTTCCGTTGGGTGTCTATGCCATCTCGACTATGACTTTTGGTGTCGAGATGCCTAGTCTATTTTTCAAAGTGCTTGGAACGATCATGAGTGTTGCTGTAATCATACTTTGGTGCATTGTAGCGGCGGGCACGGCGAGAGGGGCTTGGTCTGGGCATCTCTTCAACGCCCCTTGCTTAAAACAGTTGAAGAAAGAGGATAGAAAGCCCAAGGAGAAGGTGGATGATCGGGAGAAATTGCCCGAGACTTAGGTGGTCACAAAAAGTTCAGGTGTGCTGCTTTTAATTTAATTTATATCTGTATAAAATGTACCTTAGCGGAAGACATATAAAACGTCAAACTCCTCCCGTAGGATGAGTCGGGTCGATCCATTTGACACCTTCAGGATTTTCGACAGGAACAACATCTGGTAAGTTGACAGCAATAGCCTCGCCATCACTCCTCATAAGCACACACTCCAGCTCCTCCTCCTCGTTGGCATTGATCTCCTGATGTGGCACATAAGGCGGCACATAAATGAAATCTCCCGGCCCTGCCTCAGCCGTGAACTCGAGACTGTCACCCCAGCGCATGCGTGCTTTACCCTTGACGACGTAGATAACGCTCTCGAGATGGCCGTGGTGATGCGCGCCAGTCTTTGCATTGGGGTGGATCTTGACTGTGCCTGCCCACAGTCTCTGCGCACCCGTGCGTGCCGTGTTGATCGCTGCTGCTCGTCGCATACCGGGCGTCTGCGCCGTGTTCGCGTCTAAGCTGTCGCCTGGGATGACGCGCACGCCGCTTTCGCGCCATCCATCGGGTGGTTGGTCGGTAGATGATGTCGCTTGGAAAAGGTGGGGTGCCTGTGCCTCGTGCGAATGCGAGTGCGCATGGTCGTGGTCATGTCCATGTCCCTGGGAATGCGCATGCGAATGCTCGTCCGACATTGCAATATACTGCTTTTTGCTTCTTGGTATCTTGGCTACACCGAAGTTGAAGAGCTTGTGGCTTTATTGTGGCTTGCTTTGTACGCAGAATTGTGCTCAGAAGTTGGTTCGTCGCCCGAGGCCGTCAGCAAAGTAATCGAAGACCTTCCTCCAACTACCACACCAAGGACTGTTGAATTGTTTGCTTCCTTGGAGATGTTCAAGAATGAACGAGAAATCGCCGACACCCTCATTCAGCAATAGCAGTGGAAGGCCGAGGGTCGAGGGGTAAATACACCATTCGCGGGGAAAGGGGACCCCTCACTCACCTCTGGATTGATTCCAAGCGGAAGCATTCAGTGACTAGCCTTGAGCAATATCTCATGGAGAGAATGCTGCTCATTCTAAGAATACAGTCATCAAACCATCGTTTGTTGTCCCCTTGTACTTGATGATCGACCTAATTGCCACGCCCAATAATGCTCTGACGCCATTGTAACTTTTGAGGCATAAATTGCATTGGATAGGAAATCTCACAAATAGGGATTGTAGTATTCGCGTCGTTCCGACGTACATCCAGAGCGGGTATCTCCATCTTGATTGGGTTGAGGATAAACGGGTTCAAATAAGCCTTGACCACTGGTCGTCAGTTGTAGGGTACCCTGCTGTTAAAGTAGTCCTATGGGTGTCCCAAAGATCCGCTTGCGTTCTGTTGTAGGGCGTTGACAAGGAATATTGACTGATATCAAAGTGTAGATATATAGACATTCCGGATTTCTGCTTAGCAATGTCTAAGGGATCTCATATCTTTGTCCTGTGAGAATACTTGGAGTCCGCAGACACGTGCTTACCTAGTCAACGAGGATAATGAGTTACAACAATAGCATTATAGTCCTTGGTGCGGGCGTGCTCGGCTTGACAACAGCAGCGGAATTGTCTTCGAGGTTTCCAAACACCAGAGTCATAGTGGTTGCAAAGCATCTTCCAGGTGATCGTGATAAGCTCTACGCATCGCCATGGGCAGGGGCCAACTTCGAGCCCGTGTCTCGTGACAACGGTCCTGCTGAGGAGCGAGATGCGATCACGTATCGGAAATTGAACGAGCTGCTTCAACAAGGCCATGGCGACAAGGCAGGAATATACAAGATGGACTGCCGTACTTTCTATGACGTCTCACCGGAAGATGCTGGAGTATTCAGCAATGGAACTCAGGCGATCTGGTTCGATAGACTGGTCGAAGGTGGGATACGATATCTTGATAGCGACCAAATACCGCTGGGGGCGAATTTCGGATTCGATTTTCAATCCTTCACCATTGATACTCAGCGATACTTGAGTTGGTGGGCTTTCATATTGCCCCTGGACTATTTTGCACCAAACTGACTTTAAAACCAGGCTGCAGAACCTTGTATTGGGCAAGGGTGTTGAAATTCGTCGGGGTGCATACTCATCCCTTGCAGACCTCTTCCAACGATTTCCAGACGCAAAATCATATTTCAATTGCACAGGAATTGGGGCGCATCATCTGGGCGACGTGAAAGATTCATCTGTTTACCCAGTTCGTGGACAGATTGTTCTCATAGAAAATCCCAGAGAACCAGTAACAAGGCAATATGTTCGTGTATCACCACAAGCGGACAATGGTGGAGCCACTTATGTCTTCCCCCGAGGGAGGCATGGTGGTATCATTCTCGGGGGCTGTCGACAAGAAGATGATTGGGATGGCGAGGTCGATATGGATCTCGCCAAGGATATTATGCAGAGATGCTGTAAGCTCGCCCCAGAGCTTGGTAAACCAGAAGACCTAAAGGTCATTCATCATGGAGTTGGGCTGAGACGTAAGTTGGCCGTCCTCTTGACCTGGGAGGCGAAGTTAATCAATTATTGCCAGCATCTCGAAGACATGGGGCCAGAATAGAGAGAGAACTGATCAACGACAACATGGTGATTCACAATTATGGCGCAGGAGGATTCGGTTATCAATCATCGTGGTAAGTTTTGTCAAAGCTTCAAGCTGTCCTCTAGCAGGTGGGCGATAGAATAGGCATACTGACTCAGGAGCCAGGGGTGCTGCTCAACAAGCTGTGGACCTTCTATCGACATCCTCTCGACTTTGATGGGCTGAGTAAAGGAGGGAACAACCAGCTCTTTAACTGCATCGAGCTCCTAGGATAAGGGCTCGCCTTGTTAGATCGGAGTGACAGTTCCCCGTATGAGTACCGTATGAGTACCGAGTACATTGTACCTTGATCCTTTCCAAGATAGTCCGGGCCTGAAACATAGCAGCAGGTTAACGCCTCGGTTCTCTTTGGGCTGTCCAGGTGGGGGATTCTTATTTTGCTGTCCCAGGCACCTTGGCATGCCAGTGGGCGAGGGAGGCCAGGGGGGTTAGGACCTACGAGTAGACCCAACCGCCGGAAGGTCGAGTTTGATCTGCAAAGCCATTCATGTCATGGGCATACCACGGAATTTCAGCTCTCATCACCCATCTTGATGTCTGATGCGACAATAGCCTGATAATTGCTGATAGGCAGAGTCATCACATCTCCCGTGATGAGGCTGATTCGGTTCTGAATCAAGTTTCAACACTGCCAGGGCCCAGGGGGCTTTCTGGACAGCCAAAAATATATATCTTGTTACATCACTACACCCTAAGGCCCTGTAAGTTGGCCACCCAAAAGCGCTGAGATGCACGAAAGAAAGACCCACCCCTGTGTGGAACACATCCCCGATGTTTCCCCCTCGCAACTCAAGTCCGGTCCGCCATGGGATCCCATGCAAAAACCTTTTTGACTGTCGACGACGGCCGAAGTACAAGTCTATTGATCCGTCATATATTCATGCTGGGAGTGTTTCAGCCAGCCTGGAGAAAGGAGTACTCGTACGGATATGAATAAGGCAAGCCAGGTAGTCTAATGCGTTGGACGACAAAGCGGCTGCCTTGCAGTCAACGATGCATCGCGACATTGCCGAGTACTACATACACAACTCTGAAAGCACCGAGCCACTTCAAGGACGCATAAGCGGACTAGAGGGCAAATGCCGCGGGACCCTGTTTGTCAGCCCTCAGGACAACGACGCCCACCCCGAGCATATCTATCTTAGACCTGACCTGACTAATTTTCATGCTCACTAATAATGTAGAGACTCGAAAAATGGAGGTACACAAGCCCTGCACGGTCCTACCCGAACCGAAGCATGGATTTCGGGAGAATTAGACAATGCCTGAACTTGAAGATTATGAGTCTTGGCCTGTCTGGAAATGCCATCTGTCACGGTGCAGGTACGAGGGCCCGTTATGGAATACCTAGTACCGAGTACTTGCACTTCAAGAAGTGTGGCCCACCCAGCCAGGCATGACAACTGTGACCTGACATCTGACACGTTGACTGAAATGGCTTGAAATTCCAATGGGTTATTGGAATGGAATGGGAAGTCGTGCGTCTGCAAGTCAAAAGGTCAAGCGAGAGAATGAGCGGGTGGCAAATAATGAGGATATTGCTTTTCAGAGTGAGTGGTTGAACATGAATGCCGATTCCACACGACCTGAGGGATCCATTGCCCTTTCCAATCGAGGCCTGCGGGACTTCCGTTGTTCCTCGTGGCATTGGGATTTAGGTTTCGAGTTCCCCCTCTCGAGGCCCGATTCTTTTCAGGTTCGAGTTTACCGTACCGAGGACGGGAGCTATGAAGAGAGGTGTGTGTGTGTTGATCGGGACGACTCGCAAGAATGTGATGCAAGTAGTTTTACATTCCCTTTATGATGGCTGGGTCAAGGCACGACGCGGCATGATGGATGTGCCAAAGGCTAGTTGGGCATTGTACGAGTACTCGAAGACTGTCGTAGCTTGTTCCCAGGTTTCCAGTGGACATCATCACCCTGCTGACACAAAGCCAAAAGGCAGCCCTAAGCCCGGAACAGCGGCAGCTAGCCACAGCAGGCGTAGTAGGCGTAGGCGGGCAGCCTAGGGACAGGCTGGGGACGTGCGCCTGGTCAAGTCGACCCTCCAGAAGGGCGGCAACCCTGGTCTTCCAGGCTCAGCGGGTGCCATTTGGCTTCTTGATGGTCGGTTCTCAGGCGAGCACAACAGCCAAATCGAGGCTTGATCAAGGGCACCGTTTCCGCAGCTCGTCCACTCGGAGGGCGCCAGCTTCGTCCCACCGTCCGACCGCGTGCTTCCAAGCACCAAAGATCGCTTGGGCTCTGCCAGTACGAGACCCTCCACATCTGATCCTCCAATCGTGACCATGTCTCGTCCTGCTTTTCGTTCTCGTCCGTCCTAGTTCGCCTATCCGTCTACCTAACCTGCAGTCCGAATTGCTGGTGCTGCGTGACTGCTGCGTCCTTCTAGCCTGGGCCTGTAACTGCTCACTAGTCTCCGGCCTCTACTCACCACTCACTCACCCTCACTCACCTTCCCGAGTTCTCTTGTCCTCACCTTGCTCTCATCTTCTTTGTTCCAATTTTGTCATGAAGGTCACTGTCGGGGTTTGTCACTGCCATGCAGCAAACAGACAAAGGCTGAACGAACCCCAACCTTGACTGGTTTCTCCGATAAACCCCCCTCTGACGCTCGGTGATGACCAACCTCAAATCACCATCAACACCACCTACTACCCAACAACTACTGTGCACATTCCCAAAACACCATGGCCGCGTTCAATGTGCCCGATACGGGCCTTGTTATTCAACACGGCCTGAGAACCCAAACAAAAGACAAAAACCCTCCACAAGTCATCCAGCTCGATGTGGTGGAAACCCTCACCAAAGATATCCTTCGATCCTTGAAAAACAACGAACCTGTCCGACTTCGATGTGGGAAGAAGACCATCGTGCAAGTTGGCAAAAAGTCCATAACTCTGGACAGTACCACCGCTACCTTCCCTTCCGAACTATACACAAAAGACCCCAACAATGACAATACCCTCTACTTTTCAGGCAAGCTAAGCCATACTTTGGAAGTTCGAAAGGCCGAGGAAGACACCGCCGGGAGTGACGAGGCGTTGGCCGCGCTTGAGAGCACCCTGAAATCCATACAGGAGCAGAGAGCTTCCAACGAAACAAGCATTATTGGTAGCAAGGAAGGGACCAAGGGGACAAGGGACAACAAAGTCTCGCCCTTACTCGCCCAGAATGCTTCTCTCAGGAAAGACTTTGACCATTTGATGGCTCGATCCACTCCTTCCAGCCCGTTCTTGAGTGCAAGTTATTCACCGCGTATGGCGCCAACCTCGGCACCATTGGGAGCAGGGCTCTCTGTCAAAGACCAGGTACGGCTAGACGCTATCAAAATACCTCTCATACATCTCCTTGCTATACGTCCCCTCACCTCTCGAGGCGTGGCTGAGAAACTCCGGGCCCCACGAGACGAGGTCGAGAAGATTCTGGAAAAGGTGGCTCGAGATACACAGGTTGGCGACGGGCGCAAAGAGCTGAAAGAGAAATCGTACCGCGAGCTGAACGTATATAAATTTAACTATCGAACACCGGAAGATCGGCAGTCAGCAATTGCAAATGCGATCACAGCCTATGACCGGATACGAGTGGACAAGAAAGACCCCCTGTGGCAACTGTTACTCCCCGAAGAAGAGCGCGGGAAAGGCAAGTGTTTGTCGAAGCTCAACTTTGACAAGCCGGCTCAAGTACCCAGTCATGCTACACCCCGACCTGGTGACGATGGCAATGAAAACGCATCAGACCGCGAACCCACAAAGTCAAAACCGAAGAAGGAAGTCACAACAACCCAGAAGAAGCCCAAAGATAAGTCTGTAGCAGCCAGGGCTCCAGCAAAGCCAGAAATCAGTGTCGGTGCCAGATCCAGAGACTCGGCCATCAAGCAAACCAAGCCTGACGGCAAGTTCAAATCATCTGAGAGGATCGAAGACTCCGATGAGGAGGCTGATGCCATGGAAGGCATTGTTGTCAAGCCCAAAACGCAACCAAAGGTGACTAGCAAGGCAGGAGCAACTCCCATTGCGAAACGGAAGACTGGGCAAGAGCAAACAAAGTCCCTCACTTCCTCTCAAAACATCTCTCCCCCTAAGAGGAGCGTTGAGAAGACGTCTCCCTTACACAGAACATCTCTCTCTGGCTCCTCTATGAGCAGCGGTAGTGGCAGTGAGAAACCTCGCCTCCATGCTATCTCTGATGGTCCCAAGTCACTGAAGCCCCAGTCTCGAACTGAGCAATCCGGCACATCTGGCTCTCGCATATCACCACGACCACGTCACAACAGTTCCCCACAAAAGCCATCCCCTCTTGGCTCTTCACCACCTACTACCTCGACTGATGTTGAGAACTCAAGCTCGAGCAAAGCCTCCAACCAATCTTCTGCCCCTTCGTCCCCACCTTCCGACACCGACATGCCGCAAAGCAAGCAAAACCACAAGTATTCGCCGGTGATTTCCTCTGATAAATCTGGTAACTTGTCAAGAGGCCGCAGTCCGGTGCGACGAAGCGCAGACATGGCTGACGACAGACGAGCACCAAAACGTAAAGCTGAAGGCGCCTTGAGTGCCGATAGGCCCGCCAAACGTCAATTGCAAGAACCATCACCTGCACCAAGGAACCAAACAATCAACGGTACGACGCCGAATGCCATTAGCACTTCGCAAAGAGGAGTGCCTACCCGTCAAAACTCGGACTCGAATTCATCCCGTTGCTCAAGCCCCGAAAAACCCCGTCCCAAGAGAGAGGACGTGATTCAAGATGCGAGACGGTTCCAAAAGTATTACAAACGCTACAAAGATCTCTATGATCGTATCTCGTCGATGAATGAAAAGGAACGCGTGGATAAGGACATGGATGATCTATGGAAGATGCACAAACGCCTGAAGGAGATGAAGGCTGACATCTGGGGTAACTGGGATCGAGTGGACAAGGTCAATGATAAAATTGAGAAGCCCATGCGACAAGTAGTTGTGGCAGGATGATTATATCATGAAGCCTCGAATAGGCACAGATTGCAAAGCGCTCACTGGTTATTATGAGTACATATTGAGACCTAAACATTAGGTTCACGGCAAATCAAATGGGAATGGGGGATTTCAGTGGCTGAGCTGATAGGTGATCCCACCTGAAAAACGGCGTTCAAGCGAATGTGACGGCTTTGGATGTTTGGGAGATGATTTATATTTCAACCAGCGATGCAGTCAAGCACGCACGGAAAAGCAAAGTCAAGGTCGATACCCAACCTAGGGGATAATCCACCGCCTCAGGACGACATATGGAATTTATACGGCCTTAATGAATCAAGAATCCGAAATTTTTTCACAAGTGACCATTTGAGATCTACTTTTAACTCATAATCATGACACTCGTATTCGGTATTGGTTTTGACTGACAGCGTGGTTCTAGCAAGTCACCCTAGATCAATCCCACCGAACAAGCGAGAGGCCAATCAACTATCCGAACGGTGCAGGTGTTTCACGTTGCAGCATGTCGTAGCATCAGGTAGTACATGTATGAGTCAACCTCAACTTCAGAGACAAATTGAACACGTAGAGGGACTTTGCTTGGGGTGCCGTACGAACGTATCTCATGTGTTTTATCTTCTAGTCCTTTATCTCTAAATCATTTCTTTCTCTTTGTCCTCTCATATGCTGGTAGCTGGGGATCAGTGACCGCTTATGGTCCTGGACTATCAGAGCTTGTGGCGATGCCCCATTCCGTCCATCCAACACCACGCTCGATGACACCAGAACAGAAGGATATCGGGCAGTACTGGTGGAACATCAACATACCCGAGAGTCAATGGACCCCAGAATGTCCCGAGTTTCTGGTTGGGCAGACCGCGAAAAACATAGGGATCCTATCCCGAAACCCGGATGAAGACCGTCGTCGATTCAATTGGGAAGAAGTGCAGGAATTTGCCAGTATGCCATTTTTCCTTTCTTTTTTGATGCCCAACTTAGACCGGCGGAGGTTAAGGAAGACGGACAACAGAGACGAATCGAATCCACCACTTCGAACGCTCTGCAAGCGCACTCCGTGCCTATCTCGAATACATGCACCACCTGAAGAAGACATACGGCTCGGTGCTGGCATTCATTCAGCATCAGCGTCTACATTGGGACGAGATCGTTCCGTCGAGCGACAAGCACTTCAGCAACCCAGCAGACTTCAAGGTACTCTACAACGACTGGCCGTATCACATCGACGAGGACATTACACACTTGATCGTCTGGACGAAATGGCAGATGGACGATGAGCCTGCCACGGAAGAACCCACGGCCGAGACGCGGCGGGAAATCGAGGAGTTCATCGTCAAGACCTTTTGTGAGCCAAATGCTGGTGTTACAAGGAGAATAGAGAGAGATCGGATTGTCTGGTTCAAGAACTGGAAAAGTTTGAAGAGCGTACATGCTTTGGGTGGGTAATTCTGTGCAACTCATCTCTTTTTGTTTTTTGACTCGTCTTTTATTGTCTTATGCTGATGTTTGGCCGGGTTATGCATAGAACATGTCCATATCATGCTTTATCAAGCATCACGAGACCTATTGGATCATGTCACGCAGGGTGACCGCCCTGTGTCGGAGAGTTGGTCTGGTGCTGCGGCTGAGATAGCTGACTGACCCAGATGATGGAGGGGTAGCTGACCATGAGATGACATGTAGACGTTGGCGTAGAGTAAAGCCAACATCTTGACCAGAAGGTAATTTAATATAGTGTCCTATGCACTACCCCCAAGCAAGCCTAGGTACATTTAGAATATATATGTCTTATGCAAACTCTGTCTGGGACACTGAATTATGCAGATATCACAACCCACGCTGAACGTTTTCCTCGTGGCCGGGGAGCTCTGGGAGCTCTGGGAAAATGCTGCGCCGTGACAATTGGCATGGCTCTAATTGATACTAAAGATCTAGCTAGCAGACAGGTGTGTGTTTTACTGGTGGCCTGGCTGGCGCGGTACTCGGTACTTTATGCAGCCTGAGAGTGCATTGATCGATCACAAGGCTTATCCATGCAAATCGCTATGACGCACGACCGACTCACCCCTCAACCGTTCATGTGGCTGCAGGTGTTGGGCCTTGGGGGAAGTCTTGGGTCTTGGGTCTGGTCACTCGGGCCTTGGGCTCTTTCAGGGCTCTGGAGTGTGACTATTGCAGTACGTAGTAACCGACAAGGTACTCGCTACTGGGCACCACTACGAGTAACAAGGCACCTAATTCTTTCGTGAATCATTATTTGTGACTGTTACAAAGACGGCAGCCAGCTCGCAAAATTAGGCATGCCCGGCTTCTAGTTGGAGACCTAGACACAACTCCACATGTGTGCTTCCAAGATTTTCATACGAATAAGAATAGTATGTTTCCTCCGAGTCCTGCAGCTTGCTAGCATTTACCGAGAACTGGTGCTACGGATCCTCCTCTCACAACCACTGGCAGCCACTATTCTACCCACCCAGTCCCATGCCTAACGTGAAGCTGGTGGTTCGTGGTTCAGCCAGGCATCAACGTCAATTCAGAGTTCTCCTCTCCTCGACACCTGTGACACCCTACTTTTTTCTTACTACACCCATTACGTACAGAGCCTTTCTCCTCTCTCCCATTTCAAGGTTCCTTGGTTGTTCTCCTCACGCTCGAGTTTCGTTTACATTTGAGTACTTGAGTTCGTCGCAGACCACTTGGAGCATCTTGCTGTACGCCTGCAATCCTTTCCGCACAGCACCGCCAACCACAACCCCACTACCACCAACGACGTCATAAATTTTCGCCGTCATCATTCCGACTACCCTCACTCACTTCTGAGCACAACTCCTGCAGTTTGTTTTATGGTGGCCGAGTCAACACCATGAGGCATCATATCGGGGAAGCCCTGCGCAGCCGCAGTAAGTCGTTTGCCATTAAAGTCCCGAAACCTACCGGAATCTCGAACTCACCAAAACCTAGCAGGTAGTCGATCCTCCTCGGAGGAGATACGAGACTCAGTTGAAGGCGATGATACAACCGTAGTTGAGCCAGATCAGGGAAATGGTTTGACCTCCCACCCAAGCTCCTGGCTAACCACCACCATGGCCCCGACTAACTGTCGTTAACCAGTCCTCTCACACATCATTTCTCAACTGCGGCCAGGTGCTGACCTGTCGCGGGTCACCCTCCCGACTTTCATCCTGGAGGAGAGATCCATGCTTGAAAGGATAACGAAGTAAACTCTTGATCCTCCAAATGCAGACATCCAGTTCCGCAGCTGACCGTTCCACTAGCTTTATGGCCCATTCTGATACCCTACTACAAATGCCTACCATCGACGACCCCGTGGAAAGATTTGTGTCGGTAGTGAAGTTCTATCTGAGTGGTTGGCACATCAGACCTCCGTAAGAGAATGACACCGCCTGGTAAAGAAATGAAGGTATACTGATAAATCGCAGCGGAGTCAAGAAGCCGCTGAATCCCATACTCGGAGAGACCTTCACCTGTTATTGGGACTACCCTGATAATACCAAAGGTTATTATATTTCCGAACAGACTTCGCACCATCCTCCCAAGTCGTCATATTTCTTCATGGCACCAGAGCATCATATCAGGGTCGACGGCACGTTGAAACCTCGCAGCAGATTTTTGGGCAACTCAGCCGCGAGTTTGATGGAAGGGATATCATACCTCAGGTTCACCAATAGAGGGACTTCCAAGGGTGGTGAAAAATAGTATGTCGACTAGAGATCACTGCGACCACCTTAAGCACCACATGCTAACGCTCAGTAGCATCCTTACACAGCCTAATATGTATGCACGTGGCATTCTTTTTGGCAAGATGAAATACGAGCTGGGTGACCACTCCTTTGTTCGATGCCCGGAGAACAATCTGGCGGCAGATCTGGAATTCAAGACCAAAGGGTGGGTTGGCGGTACGTACAATGCGATTGGTGGTACGATAAAGAATGAGGCAACCGGAGAAGTGCTCTATGAGCTGTCTGGACTATGGTCGGGGGAAATGTTCATCAAGAATGTCAAGACTGGACAGAAGAAGGTGCTATTCGACGCAACTCACGCTAAACATTCGCCACCCTTGACTAGACCGATTGAGGAGCAGGGTGAACGAGAATCACAAAGACTATGGCTGCCCACGGTTAAAGCTGTACATGTAATGGATCATGAAAAGGCCACCGTCGAAAAAGCCAAAATCGAAGACAGGCAGAGAGAAGAAGCCAAGCGGAGAGAAGAACTAGGAGTCGAATGGCAGCCAAAGCTATTCAGACGAGTGGAAGCTGGACCCGGAGGATCCGAAGAAGGTGAAGAGGATCTAGAATGGGTTATAAATGCACACCTGTACGGGTTCCCCTCACTGATCCAATTCTTCAATGATGCTAATGCAATATCTCACAGAGAGCCCAGGAGCCACGATTCCAAGGAATTGGTTGACCGGATCCTCGCAATAGCACCAATTCTTCCAGGACAAAAGAGCAACCCTGAGCCCGAATCTAGACATCACTCGACCGACGCCAAAAACGAAGAATCAGCACCAGCACCAGCACCAGCCACAGAAGCCAACCCAACCGCAGCAGCACCATTAAACCCAGCCCAAGCTACAAATAATGGTACCGCCACAACGCCGGTGAAGCCTTCTGTAGCACCAATACCCGCACATCTGTCTGCAAATGCCCATCAAGAAGACAACCTCATCGATTTCAACTCCCGGCCACCCAGCGTAGCGCCTCCTGAGCCACTCACCAAAGCCGAGCCCATCGCGGGCAACCCGTTGCATCCAACAAGCCACCCACAGCAAACCCCAGTACATCAAAGCACAACACTGAACGCTCCCACGGGCAACCCCCCAAAGGTGGCCACCAACCTGATGGACGATGATGATCGCCAGATGTCAGAGATGAACAATGGGGTGTCAAATATGAGTCTACACCAGCCAATGGTTCCGCAAGGCCGAGATCCCTTGAAACGGACCGACACAGAAACTAGTGATGTGGATGTTTTTGTAGATGCCGAGGGTTGAGCAAGAGGGTGACAACATCATGCGGAAAATAACGAGTAAACAGAGCTTTTGCTGCACACGTGGATGCTGATGGTTTGTGCATGCCGAAGTTAAGAGCTGTCTGCCGGTCTATACATAGCGTGTGCAGCCGAATGGATCGAAAGGGTCCGAGGACGACATTAATGAATGGAGAAGAAAAGGGGGAGGGAGAGAGAGCCAGGATGGGCAGGGCAGGGGACGAGCAAAAACCTTTTTTTGATAACCCCTATAGAACTTTGTGGCTTGAAGGAAATGGTATTATAGCTTATTGGCATTGAGAAACCTTGGAAGGACGACTATCCTATTCAGGTCGATATCGAATCTCCGTCTATCGAGCTCAATTAAATTATCCCAGCCTTGCACAATAGTAGTCGTGTTAATTTTGGGCCAGAGGCTCAGAGGTGTACTTACGGCCCAAATATATACCTAGGGAGCTAGAACTAATTCTCTTTCTTCGGTAAATCTTCATCCAATAGTCTAGCCCATTATATACCATTGAGTTGCTGACGGTTACTGCCAACACCACTGTGCCTTGGGTACAATAAGTTAAAGGTGGTGGTGATGAAGGGTTCACGAGGCTGTGTGGTATTCATGAATTCGTCCTCCCTCCGGCGGATTCGGCTCTTCATCACCGTTCGGTTTTGAGGACTTGTGGTTGATCTTACTGTTACTTTATAAGATCGACTTACTTCAGCTAGGCCACTAGTAAATATGTAATCAATTCACGTTCGTGTTGATCGTAGAGCAGAGTGAGAGCAACTTGGCATGAACTGAATATCCGCAGATATTCCGAAGTCCACGCTAGTCCCGAAGAAGGAAAGCGCATTAGAAGTTTAGTGTGGCGAGAAACCCCGTGACTTGTTCCACGTTGGAGCTGCCAGCCCCAGTCAGCGAATGGCAGGTAAGCTTAGTTGTGGACGCAACTGAAGACTAGGGAGTGGGCTTTCTTAGGGGGGAACTTGGTGTTACTATTGCGTGGCGTGCGGGGTTCGCGCCCAGGCCTGGGGTAAGTGATCCGCCCCCTCCAAATTGCACACCTTTCTTACCTGGAGCAACGCACTTCTACCTGGACACTGCTGGAGTTACGGAGAAAGAGAGGGGGTGCACTACGGGGGTTGAAGGGCGTGTTTTGAGTTTGATGCAACTGCCTGCATTGTGCACTTTTCCAGGCACAACATTGCCTTGGAATTGGAGTGCCACGCGCCGCTGTGCCCGCCCCCAAAGACTGCCCTGAGTCCCTGACAGTTAGAGTGTCACAACTATACTTGCACATCACAGCACGGCCTGTGCCGAGGAAGTTACTCTGACAGTTTCCAGGTGCGGAAGGAGGCTACAGAGATACTTACCACTAAATACCGAAGACACTCAATTCTACTTTTCTCCTTTCTTCCGTTCCCCTTCCTCTCCGTAGAAGCTACCTGACTGTTTCCCAAACACTTCACCACGCCATCAACAAGCGCAACGCAGGCACACTTTATTAGAGGCTCGCTATCATAAGTGGTCACTTTGCCTATCGATCTCTTGCAGCACTTCACCACGCACTTACTCTCCACTCACTCTCATCCTGGTTGTTGTCCCCCCAGTCAACGTCGCCCACCTCTCCACCTCACCACACCTCATAACGCGTTATAGACACACCCTCCAAACGCTCATCACCAACCAAGATCCAACCAACATGGTCCAAACACGCACAATTGTCGGTCTAGGCGGCGCCCTGGGACTGGTCGGGCTTGCCATCGTCGGCCTTGGCAACCAGTCGTCGGACCGCCAGTACAAGAAAACACTGCAGTACATGCACGACGGACGGGAAAAGATCGCCGAGAAATTCGATGCCGCTACTGACGTTGCGGGCAAGAAGCTCGATCAGGCGGCGGGTAAGAAGTAGTGACCCCGGAGGGGCGGGAGGAGATGTGTGGGCGTGAGAGCGGTGGAGATGAGAAAAAGAGGCAGAGTGATCAAGTGGGTGATTGACGGAGTATAATGAGGATTAAATTGAATCGGTGTCGGGAGGGGAGAGAATTTCGAAGAACTGTTCCTATCCACCATCGGACAGCCTGGCTATTAACATATTTACTCAATAACACTAGCCAGAGGTGCACTCATTCTCGGCTCGAGTTCGAAAACTTCCAGGCAGGATCTAACGGTCGTGCACGAGAGGCGACTGAGCAGGTCCTGTATCCCTAACGAAACTACGACGCGAGCAAGTAGCAAGAACCATCGATTGCATGTACACGCCGAGAAGAGAAAGAAAAACAGTACTCAAAAAAATCCCCCAACACACAAAGTCTCGAGAGGACGGAAGTGGAAACGGATATTTATGTCCAAAAATTGGCTGCAACTCATCCGTGGATTTCGTTTCAATTCCATTCCCCAAAATACCTACTACCTGAGTACCTAAGTTAGGTACCTTTTGAAACCTGCCCATTCATCACCTGCTTCAATCCTTGGCTTCACGTACATAGAATATATTTAGCATAGCACGTCGCGGCGGTGGACACATCATAGAGAGAACGAACACCCCCGAAAAAACCAACGAGCTGGAGAGCGATTCTAGTTAAATACCCTGTGATATCCTCGTTAGGCGCATGTGCTTCTTGTTCTCCTCTCTGTTTTGAAGCAGTAGACAGGTGGTAGGTCCGACACTACATGAGCCTGCTAGTCGTCGAGTCCACAACAACAAGTACAAAGCGATAGTTTCGCGGGCCATGATGAGAGAAAAGGAGACGACGGTCTGGGTGTGGATCTGGGTTTGGAGAATATCAAGTCATTCAATGATGCTACATTGCGATAAAAAGTAAAGTACACCGCTCCCAGCCCATCTACATTGACTCGTAGTAGATAGAATGCAGAATGCAGAGCAACAAAAATCAATCATCGCCTTCGTCCTCGGTCTCCGTGTCCGTCTCGGACGTGTCGTCGTCAACTGAGCCTTCGGTGTCGCTGTCGTCGCTGTCGGCCTCCTGAGCAGTCTGCGCGACTGGGGTGGCAGCCACGCCCTCTGGCTGCGTTCTCTTCTTCTTTTTCTTCGTTATCGTGGGTGAGCCGGCGAGACCGCCGGTCTTCATCGCTTGCAGTTGGCCTGCTAGAGAATCTGTTTGGATGTTGTGTTAGTAGAGCGGAGGGAGAATGGAAGGCTGCCAAGGGGGAACTTTACCTTCTTCGGGCTCGCTGATATCTTCGTCACTCTCCACTACATTGGCTTCACTTGCGTCCTTGACGTCCAACACAACATCTACTTTGGAATCGAGGCCAATATAGCTGTCGCACACTAGATGGAGAACGAAGGGGAAGGCGTGGACCTGTGGAGGAGCTTGGAAGGGACATTTGAAAGTCAGGACGTTGAATGTTGGAGTGCCGTCCGCATTGAAAATTGGCTTGTCGAATGCGGTGAATGTAAAAGGAGGCACGGAGATTCTACCCGTGCGAGCTTCTGCAAGAAAAGCGTGCCATCTCGGTGCGTGGTCCGCCGAGAAGTACGGCGCATGAGCGAGTGGGGGTTGAACCGACCCAGGAGTACTATCGTCCTCAATGTACCGACCATCTGGCATCTTGCGGCGCTTAGACTTGGCTGGCTTACGACCGTGTAGAGCGTCTAGATCTCCCTCTTCCGGGTCGACGTCTTCAAGGTCAAGTACATTGACTTCAGGAACATTGCGGGTACCTGGTGGGATGACCCGGGCCTTGATTACTAGTTGTACCAACGACGAGGGTGTGACGACTCGTTCACCAACAACTTTGAAAAATGCTTTCTCGACTTGAAGATTGGGAATCTGAGCAGCGACATTCATGGCTTGGTCGTATTGAGTCTGGGAGATGTCGGAGCAGAGATCACGGCGGATGGCTGGTGGTAAAGCCATTAGCTTCTGAAGAGTGATTTGAGTTTTGGGAAATTCCTTGGAGATCTTGTCGACTATCTGAGGTGTGATGTGTGGAAGTTGTAGAATAGGTGAAGAGCTTGGGGGAACGGCTTGAATGATATTTTGTGATGTGTGGTAGGAGGCGAGTAGCGGGCCGACGGCACCAAAAGGTAGAGTGATCGAGGTAAAAGAATTATTCAGAGCGAGAGCAATTGGAGCAACCTCGTACTTTTCCTTCTCCAGTTCTGGATCTTCCAAGTCGATATGCGCGAGGTAGGCCCAGAGTAAGCCGAGAGTCTTGCGTCGAACAGGATCCTCAATCGACTTCAATCTTGCCTTGTCTGCAGCAGTCAAGATAGAGCCGTTGAGGACCTTGGATTCGACTTTGGCAGCACCAGCATCACTTCTGGCTCCTTTGAGGGTCTCTTTGAATTCCTCACCCGCACTGGTGGCTGCAATCACACCACCTTCTGAGATATCTTCCTGCCACTCCCGGAACAGATTGCCTGCGCTGGCGTGCAGTACTTTATCTTTCGTGAGTGCTTGAGTACCATACCACCATGTGCCCAAGGTGTATGGTAGAATGATACCCAGAAGTACGCCGTAAAAGGCGACCACAAACCAGCGATTTCCTTCTTCAACCATCCATTTGGGCAGTGCTATACCGATACTGGTGGATTGTTTACCGTCGGGATTTCCATACTGTAAGTAGTTGTTCCTGATCTCTTCATCGGTCAAGGCCTTGTATGCCTTTGTCATTTCGACCCACCGGTCATTGACGGTCTCGGCGGTCTCGTTCTTGGAGACATCGGGTATTGCTTTGTCGGGGTGGTGTGTTCTAGCAAGGTTTCTGTAGAACTTGTCGATCTGTTTTTCGGTTGCACTCCTAGAAACGCCCAAGATGTCATAAGGGTCCCATAATTTGGGAGCAACTCGCTGGGCGGTGGCGATCAGGTAGGCCATGTAGGCCATGAAGGTATAGCCAAGAATGACGGTAATGATACGTTTGGTCTTGCGATTCTTCCTCTTTCGCTTTTTCCTCTGTGCTTCAATCAGATCCACATCCTTTGGTTTGAAGTCTGATTTTATTCTGGCGGCGGTCTGTTCGAGATCTGTCGAGGGTTTGAGGACGTTGTATGTGAGAGGAATGGTGACTAGACCGACCATGGTCAACATGAAAAAGGGGAAGAATTGACCTTGGTCATCATAATTATATTCGGACGACATGTTGGGCGAGGATGATGATCAGTACGAGCCACCTGGGCCAGTGGGGAGGTGGGATGAGAAAGAGAGGACGAGTGGGCGAGTGGTGTTGTAGAGAGCGATCAAAACAAAAAGCGAAGAGAAGATTGCGAGCACAGAATATCCAGTGTGAGGGTGGGAGTTGCAAGTGAAGAGAAACAAAAAGAGAATGCAGACATAGAGGGTCAACTTGAATGCGACAGAGGGATCGAGAGTCGAGACTCGCACTGGCACTGGCACGTCAAAAAAAGTGGTGGTGATAATCGGCAGAGGTGGCTTCAAGGCTTAGTGCCAGATTCCTCCTTCTACCAGCCTTGGCAATGATGACTGTCCCTTTGGCCCCTGAAATTGGGGGAGACTTTAGAGGTCGCCCCAGGGACGACCAGGCAATCGCTAGTGGAACGGCAGGGGCCGAGGGGCATCTCCCCTTTAACGACAGCCTCACCACCGCCTATTTGGCACCTATTGCCCCTCGGACAATCGTCATCGCGTACGGGACTCTGAACTTCATTTGTATGATTTTCGAGCATACCTGGGTAGATGGCTGTCCCTATGATGTTACTTGTGAGCCCATTGCATACGGACATTGAGAGTATCGCATTGCACCTTTCACACCAGTTTGACCAGTTAGAATGTTAGGGCGGCGGGACACATGGGAACTTTCAAGTACCTAGGTACCCAGGGTAGCACCTCCTGCTCGCATCTAATTTCTTACCTAGGCTCTTGCCCATGATCGTGTCTGCACACGTCGGGGTGGTGTAATCACTCTCTGATACAATGAACTTGGAAGAACGTATAGGAATAATCGTAAGATATCCTCCTTTTCATGTCAGTGTCTCCTAATCGTTGAAATAACTCGCAGCGTGGTACTCACTCCTCACCATCAACATGCCAAGTGCGAGCACTTCAAGTTCTCCCGCGGTTTATGCCCAGGCATGGAACCGACCTCAGCCATTGAAGGCACCCAACATTCCATATGACAACGATGCTGGTTCTAATCCCGTCCTGCGTGGCTTGCCCCTCGCAGTCGTCTCTTCAATGTGAGAAGACCCGACACAAGTCCTTGTATCTGTGTCTGCTAACCTCCAATCAAGCATCGCCTCCTCCACTCGAATTCAGCGCATCTTCTGGACCCTGAATAAATTCGACAAGATCAAAGACATCACCCACATCCACGACTACGATGTCATTTGGGACCCTACTGTTATCCCTGTGTCTACTCATGGAGACAAAGACACATCCGTCGCAAGTCTGCCTACTCCTCCCACGAGAGCTTCCCTCAATGACTACTACACGTCCGCCGATTTCCATGCATTGTATAAATCGGGCAAAATAACACCATCAGATGTCGTTGAGGCCTTGTTGCCACTGATACAAAGAGGCACGAATCCACCAGGCCAATTTTCGGTTGGTTTCATCTCCTCCAAAGCAGAGTTGGTTCGCGCTGCTGCCAAAGCTTCTACCGATCGCTACAAGGCTGGCAAGTTTCTGAGTCCCCTTGATGGAGTGCCTTTGGCGGTCAAGGACGAGGTGCACCTCCAGGGTTACAAGAGAACTCTGGGAAGTCGACTCGATCGAACGGACAAGCATGACCGCACTGCTTGGTGCGTTCAGAAATGGCAGGACGCTGGTGCTATCATCGTGGGCAAGACCAACATGCATGAGATAGGAATGGATACTACCAATAATAACCAAACCTGGGGAACGCCTCTCAACCCACACAACCAAGGTTACTACACTGGTGGTAGTTCTGGAGGCTCAGCTTATGCAGTTGCGTCCGGCCTGGTTCCAATAGCTCTCGGCGTCGACGGAGGTGGTTCTATTCGATTACCTTCGTCTTACTGCGGGCTTTACGGGCTCAAGCCAAGTCATTCCCGAGTTTCCGCCAGGGCCGGCACAGATGCCACAGACAGCGTTGGAGTCAACGGTCCTATGGCCAGCAATATCGATGATTTAGCTCTGGCTTACCGCATTATGGGTCAGCCAGACCCTCTCTCCAAGAATAGCAGAGGGTTCCCCAATTCTCTATCTCCGGACACCGTCTGGACGAATCGCAAAGCCGGTAAAAAATACTTAGGTTTGGTTAAGTACTGGGTAGATAGATCTGATCCCAATGTACTCAACATGTTCAACGCAGCAGTCGAACACTATGTTACCGAACACGGCTACGAAGTCGTCGAAATCGATATACCACTCCTCCCACAAGGCCAGAAAGCCCACGCGATGACCATTCTCTCCGAAGCACGTTCAGGCATCAGCCCATCCGAGATCAAGCAACTCTCATGGCATAACCAGCTTCTCATGAACGTCGCCGGCAGCCACGCTTCTGCCCAAGATTTCATCGGCGCCCAGAAGCTAAGACATCTTCAAATGGCTCATCTGGCATGGCTATGGGACACCTACCCGGGCCTTTTAATCCTCACGCCCACCACCCCGGCGGCCGGCTGGAAAATCGCAAAACCTAGCGACGTCACCAGCGGCTATGGCGTCAGCGACGGCGACATGAGTCTGCGCTCGATGGAATATGTATATCTGGCGAACTGGACGGGCGCCCCGGCCATCAGTCTCCCCATGGGCTGGACCGCCGATGAGAATGTCCCTGTCGGCCTGATGGCCATGGGCGAATGGGGCAGTGAAGAACAGTTACTTGCGTTTGGCAAGGAGGGAGAGTCGCTGCTGAAGGACAAGGGTGGGATCCGTCGGCCCAAAGGGGAGAATCTATGGTTCGATCTACTGGGTGATGGGTTGGCGAGGAAGGGAGCATAACCCTTACTTAGGAAACAAGAGAGGAAATGTAAAACATGGCTGGTAGATATCTCTGTTGGATTCCGAATCACTCACATCTATGGATCTTTATCCTGGAACAATGCTTTCTTCATGTTCTGAAAAAACTCGCCGTTCACATGACCAGGGCTTTGCACAAACACTACGAGTATTGTAGCATGACAATACCGCATGACTGTACACCTGCCCATTCACTCATCGCCATCCTCCTCATCCTCACCAGCACCACCAGTAGCTCCTGTGCCCGAACCCTGCCCGCCACCTGTAGCGAGAATGCGCGCCTCCTGCTTTCGATACAGGTCCGCAAGGAACTCAGCGGTGCTGGCCTCCTCGATGCCCTTATCCTCTCTGACTTTGAGGAACCGTGGAAACCGCATACTCAGGCCACGGCTCTCATTGACCAAACCGATTGCCGCCGTGTACGTCGGACTCAGTGTGATGTCCGCGAACGCCATCTCCCACACCTCTTGCGGCTCGAACCATACGTCCGGCTCGTACGCGCTGTATTCGATGTATGCGGGCCGCGAACCTAGTGTGTTGTCGCCGTCCTGTGCATATTTCTCTTTATTAGCGGCGTAGAATTTGTCTGTGAAGCCCGAAATGCATTTTGTTACCACTTCGAGGGAGCCTGTCTCCGGGTTGCGGCATGCTAGAAGGATCGGCGACCACCATTTGGCTTTGCGCCCTTGACCGTGCCAGCCAGCTACGGGAATCAAGTCAATTGTGTCTGCGGAGGTGGCATAGTCTTTTTTCACTTTGAGCCAGGAGTCAAGCCGTTTGTCTGGCTCGTATGTTGCTAGGAGGGCTTTGCGACGTGTGCCCTTCTCTTTCTCTTGTTGCTTCTCGGCTTGCGCTTTCTTCTTTGCGGCGGCAGCTGTAGACGGTTTCTTGCCTTTCTTACTTGGAGTTACATTTTCCGTGATTGGTACTGGGTCAACTTCCTCCGAAGGATCTCGATCTGCTATCAGGTCTGGGTTCGGGAGATTGTCCAACACTTTGACCATAATTCCTTCACACTTGATGTCGGTGGCCGACTTGAAAAACTCAAGGACGGTCTCCGAATCAGCCGAGGTTGCGTCGATACTCTTCACCCAGGTGAAGTGGTGATCCTTCTCAACGAACATGCTGCGAAGGAGACCCCTTCTTTCACGAAATGGTCTGTTAAGTAATTGCTCCCCATTGAGGTACATAAGGTCAAAGGCAAAGAGGCAGACATCGATCTGAATGGAGCCTATGTCAACATCTTTCTTCGCACGATTGGTCAGGGTTTGAAATGTCTTGAGATCTCCAGAATTTCGGTCTACCGCAACGACCTCGCCTTCCAGTATAAAGCTGGAAACACCATCACCTCGTATCTCGGGCACAAGTGCGACAAGGTCAGGATATTTATCCGTCATGACTTCGAGATGGCGTGAGAATATGGAGACTTTCCCATTCTCATCACAGTGGACTTGAGCTCTCTGTCCGTCATATTTAAACTCACAACTGAAGTCTCGACCTTGCAATTTGGTGAGCATTTCGCTCAAGTCTCGTGTGATGCTTCCAAGCATGGGTCTCAGTGGAATGTGCAGTGCCAGGCTGCAGCGTAGCAAGAGCTCTTCTGAAACGCCTACCTCAAGCAAACCGGGAACAAGATCACCGTAGTTGGGTCGTCGTGCAAAACACGTTTTCACAGTTTCTTCGGCCTTTGACCATATTACAGCCAAATCCTCCTTTTTGAGCTTTGCCAGTTCTGCCTGATCTCTTATAGCAAAATCAGCACCTGCTGGGCGTGAGAGTTGAAAGGCTCTTGCTAAGGCAATCAACATCGTGGTTTTGACCGCTCCAATTCTCAGGTGTTGGACAAGGGTTCTCACAATGTACCTACTTTCTTCAGGGCCTCTCGCGTCTTGAAGCAGTCGTTCTACGAGTCTTTGTTTCTGTTCGACACTCCCATGACCCTTGCTGTTGGCAATCTTGACAAGTGTCTGGTAGGCACCCTTAATGGAAAGAGGTTTGGGCTTTCTTAGGGTGAAGCTTTGTCTCTTCTTAGCCTCGAATGCAACATCTCCTGCATCTCCATGTTTGTCATAAAGTGTTTTCAAGCCAGCACTATCGAGTCCACATATTTTCTTCAAAGCCTTGGAAATGGCTGAACCACCGAGGCCAAGCTCGAGGGAGATGTATGCAGGTGAAATGGAATTCGTAGCTAGCCAGACCGCTGGTAGAAGGCTCTCAGGATCGGCTTGAATTATAACTCGTAGGCAGTTAACAAGTGTATCGACAATCTTTATGCGACTCTGAGTTGAATTGACTAGGACAAAACATCGGGTTAATAAGGCGTAGAATGCGTCTCCTCCTTCTGACGCCCACTGCTTTTGTAGACCAGGAATATACTGCTCCGGGTTAAAGGTAAGAGGGCTCTCATCGAAGGGTATAGTGAGGGTGATAGCATCGTCATCCGAGGCTGTAGATTGCAGACCTAGAAAACTGGTTTTGTTGCCATTTGGTTGCGGCTTGGGGTCGGTCAAGTTTTGTTCAAGAGCGTCAGTCGCGAAGTCCTGCCCAGCTTTATCGGCGTTGTGTGGCTCCCCCTGGACATGATCTATTCTCGAAGTCGGATCTGTTTCAGGTTCTGTGCTCAAATTCTGTTGGTCTTCTCTTTCCCATTCTGCTTGCAGTTTTCTAGCTAGCTCCTCATCTGTGAGCGCATGTTCGGAGGTTGACTGGTCCCGCTCATCTGGCAGGCCTTGAATAGAGGAGTCGCTTGCAGGAGTTTTCAGTGGAAGGTTGGATTTCTTGCGAAAGAAGAAATCGAGATTTCGATGAGGGACCGTTGTAGACTTTGAATCGTTCTTCTTCCTGCGCTTTGATGGGCTTTCCATACCTATTTGAGGCAAGATGAAGTCCAATCGCTCTTACTCCATGCTACCCCAAAGCGATATCAAGTTATGGAAGTTGAATCATGGGCATATGGCGAGAGATTATTGTCCCTGGGTGTGAACCAGACGAAATTCTGTGGCGCAGGTGGGCGCGAGTCAAGTCGTCATTTGGTTGATAGGGAAAGCGCGATCCCAAATGACGCGTGCTTCCCCAAAAAGTCTGGGGAAAATGAATACAGCCTGAGCACCGCACCTTCCGCCCATGCCAGATCATCAATAATCAAATCAGCACATTGTACCGCCATTTACTTTCTACCGCTGCCTTTGCCGCGAACCCAACTCATGCATAATGGCGGAAATACACCTGACTGCTAGTCAGAATGCGGATTCACGCATCCGGGTCGAAGATTACCTAGACGACAAAATCCAGACTGCGGCGGATTTGGAAAATGTGGACGACCTTCTGTCTCGGGTCCAACAACAGCAAGAGTTGTTGAGAAAGCAGGTAACATGAAGTCTCTGAACATAGTCTGCCCCAGAGCTCACCATATTGTAGTTAGCTGATGCCCGAGAAAACCTTGCTGAAAGCCGGGTACAAGTTGATAAGAAATCAAGTGCTCTTCAGCAGAGCGTTAAAGAATTTCAACGGCAGCAATATGACCTAGACCGCCGTCTCCAGATATTGTCTCAGTCCGAAGTCAGTGACGACGCAACTAAAAAGATCGAGTCGCGCATGAGCAAAGTCCGAACCCTCGAGGTCGCTCATGGGTATCTGGAATTGGTCCAGAGAGCAGACAACTTGAATAAACACTCGAGAGAATCTCTATCCAAAAAGCCGGAAGCATCACTACAGGCCTATCTTGAGCTAAGGACCATATGGAACAAAGTACAAGAAGCTCAACCAGGAGCAGAAGGTGCAGCTCCTCAGTTACTATATGTGTTAGAGCAACAAACCAACCATCTGTACCAAGAATTGAAAGACGTATTTTCAAACGATCTCCGCCAGACCCTGAGCCTCATGAAATGGCCCAGCAAGGAGCTCAATCTTCTTGGTGATGTCCGAGAACGCTGGCAGCGACAGGCCGAACTTTTGCTGGAGCTTCAAGAACCTGATCTGCTCAAATTCGCTGCGGACAAGCTCAGGGCAAAATCTCCCATCGCACCGGATCCAGTCGTCCTGTTACCTTTGGAAACTATGGTACAACCATTGGCAACGAGATTCCGCTACCACTTCTACGGAGAGCGACCCACAAATCGCCTTGACAAACCCGAGTACTTCTTCTCGCATATCCTGGACCTCATTGACCGACATAGTACCTTTATCTCTGATCTACTCGGTCCCATTGTGGACGAACGTGCGTTGAAATCGGATGCACTAGAAACCGTCTATACTGATGCAGTCTCGGCATTTATCGCTGCCCTATTACCTATGGTCAACGCGAAGTGCTTGTCCTTCTTGCCACAGATTACCTCTGAGCCACAACTGCTGTCTCATTTCATGCGTGAAGTCATGTCATTCGACAATTCTCTCCGAGAGTCTTGGGCGTATGTGCCCATTCCACGAATGTTGAGTGATTGGCGCGGTGTAACATGGACCATTTTATACACACACGGATACTTTGAAACCTGGCTTACGGTCGAAAAAGATTTTGCTTTGGCAAGATATGCAAGCATAAAAGACTTTTCGACTGATGGGCGTGAGATCGACTTTGATTCTGAACCTGGTCAAACCAAGCCAACCAAAGGAGCTATCAGAGTCAATGACTTGCTAGAAACGATCACGGATAGATATCGTGGTCTCTCTTCTTTCAGTTATAAGATGAAATTTTTGATGGAAATCCAACTGTCTATTTTTGATGATTATCACAACTACCTTCACGATGCCCTCCAAGCATACATCGCGGTCTCTCACACTGCGGGCCGTCTGCTTCAAGGACAATCGGAGACAGACACCTTTGGTTTGAAAGGTCTAGAGTCTCTGGTGAAGATCTCCGGGAGTGCCGAGTATCTTGAACGAAAAATGTCTGACTGGAGCGACGACTTATTCTTTCTCGAGCTTTGGGACGAGCTTTTGACTCGTTCCAAGGCAGGCTTGGGGAACAATTCCATCGGCAACGACTTGCGGGTCGATGACGTCGCCGCCAAAACCTCCACCGCTATAAAGGCCAATGAAGATTCTGATACCGATGGCAGTGGTCTTTTCGATCAGACTGCTGCCGTCTATCGACGCTTGCGGGAGCGTAGCGAAGACGAAATTGTCCGTGCTTTCGACATTAATGTACGAAGTGCACTCAAAACTTACGGAAAGCAACCTCAGTGGTCATCACTCAGCGAAGCGCCCACCGATCTAGCTGCGCTGGCGCCCTCTTCAGCACTTGACAGCCTATTCCAGACTACAACTATACTCTTGGGTTTTCTGGCTCGCACCTTCTCACCTGGTGCGCTAAGAAGACTTGCCAGGCATTTCTGTACATCAGTTCAACGAGAAATCTATGACAATGTGCTAATGCACAATACATTCTCAGCAGCAGGGGCCGCTCAATTAAGAAGAGATCTCTCTGCTATTGAAGATAGTGTCCAGAAGGCAACCAAAATACCTGGTACCATTGGTTCTAGCCTGAAACGTATCGAGGAAGCTGTCTACCTACTAACACTGCCTGCCAAGAAATCAAAGACCACGACTACAAAAGAAAATGACGGCTGGGGATTCGATGAAGATGAGGACATCGACACCCAGGTGATCTCTGCGGATGAAGATGGCGTTGATGAATGGGGGCTGTGGGACGCCGAAAAACGCATATTCGAAAGCAATGAGGCCGCGCGGATTGCTCTTGCAGATATGCGGTTGTATCACCTTACTGAAGGCGACGCGAGGAACGTAATAAGAAGGAGGATAGAGTTGAATAGCTAGAAAGGGAAATGAATACTCGTTAGGCTTAGCTGATTGTTAACTAAGTGCAATATGCCACCTCTCAGCTGTTGTTGCAGTGCCTCCCACTCGTTAGTCGATGTAACGCATCTCCGTTTCTTTGTCATCCACATGCACCTTCTCTTGCAACTGCTGGTTGACAATAGTTGACCATTTAATTGCTGTTTCTCTATCATTATAGTGAGTCACAATTAAGGGACGAGTTCAGTGCTATATCTTCATAACAACAATGAGTCATTCTTGATCGCCAATAGCGTGTTACCAGTTGCTTCATGCCTACATCTCTAAAAAACCAAAACCACGGCATTCATTTCCTTCAGATTCGACCCCACCACATCCAAACATGAGTGATGTTCAACACCGCCCTCTCACATCGCTGCAAAGCGTGATTTTGACCACAGGTCCATTCATCTTCCTATGGACCAGTCTTCGAAATCATATTCAGCGCAATGGAGCAATATCCTTTGCTCGAACCACAACCAAACTAAACAACGAAATCTACTCCATCTTCTCCTTCGCCCTTGGAGGCTTGATCTTGAACGACGTATTTCAATTCTACCCATTGGATGACACCATCAAGACCAACGACATAGCGTATATCTACCATCTCTCCAAGTTCTACGAATACACCGATATATTCAACCTCGTCGCTGGTGGAAAGGTCATCGGCCCCCACATGGCATTCCACCACTTGACAACACCGTTCCTCACCCATTTCCGTGTCCTGAATGCCACCGACTGGCAAGTCTTCGCCTTTCTCAACTGCGTGCATCATTTTTGGCTGTATGCGTATCTTGGGGGTGTGGGCTTGTTTCGACCGATCTTACCTGTCACGGGCTGGCTTCAATTGGTCGCCGGAATAGCGGTTGATGTCCTCTGGCTCTTCCAGAACGGCAAAAGTGAAAACCCAGAAGCTACCAACCGACTTATTAGCGTTCTACTGTTGACGAGATACGCCATGCTGTACTATGAACACTTGAAGAAAGGGGGTACGCAAGACCCAAGCGAGGGAAATGTGGACGGAAAGAAAGAGTAAAATTGATTGATTGACCTGTGGCATCCTCAGTCCGTTACCACGACTAGAACGATACATTCATTTTTGCTTCTTTGAGACTTTTCACCCCACATTCAGACCCTTCAGTTCGCAACGTTGATCAACATGGACTTGACGCTCAGGTACTCCTCGATACCTTGTCGACCACCTTCTCTACCATACCCACTCTCCTTGACCCCTCCAAAAGGACTCTCACATGCTGATAGCATTCCGAGATTTACACCGACCATCCCGACCTCGAGAGCTTCAGTGACGCGCCACGCGCGTGGAATGTTCTCCGTGATGATGAAACTTCCCAGACCAACGTCCGCCTCGTTTGCAAGACCGATGACTTCTTCCTCAGTGTCGAACTCGTAAAGCCCAAGAACGGGTGCGAATGTCTCCTCGCGCGTCGTGATCATTTCCCGGTTCATGCCTTTGATCAGTGTCGGCTGCAGGAAATAGCCTTTCAGATCTTTCATTGCCTCGCCACCTAGGACCACCTGTCCGCCGTGCTTCTTTGCATCTAAATAATGTCAGTCATTCGATCCGCAGTTATACGTCTTTGGAGATTCTCAAATGCCAGCACTTACCACTGATGTGACTCAAAGCCTTCTCAACTGCACGCTCATGCGTCAAGGGCCCAACGAAAACGCCATCTTCCGTTCCAGCCCCGACTTTCAAAGTCTTGATCTTAGTTGCTAAACCGTCCGCGAACTTATCATAAATCGCCTTCTGCACAAAAATACGGTTTGCCGTGACGCAGGTCTGGCCTGAATTTCTAAACTTGGCGAGAATACATGCTTCAATCGCCGTCTCAAGCTTAGCATCATCAAAGACGATAAAAGGACTATTCCCACCGAGCTCGAGAGACAACTTCTTGACACTACCACTGCAGTGACTGGCCAGCAGTTTTCCGACCCTGGTACTTCCAGTGAAGCTGACTTTCTTGACGAGTTTGTTCGTACAAAGCGCTTCGCCAACCTCAGCCACCTGATTCAAGGTCGTGATGACATTGATCGTGCCCTTGGGGAACCCGGCCTCTTGAGCCAAGACCGCCTGCGCAAGACTACTAAGCGGGGTCTCGCCAGCAGGCTTCCAGACAGTAGTACAACCCGCAGCAAGCGCGGCTCCGACTTTCCTCGTGATCATCGCGATCGGGAAATTCCAGGGGCTCAGACAGGCCGCGACGCCGATCGGCTGCTTGAACGTCAAGATGCGCTGATTGAGGTTCGACGATGGCACGACCTCGCCGTGCACACGCTCAGCCTCGCCCGCGAACCACTCCAGGAACGACGCGGCGTAGGTGACCTCACCTTTCGCCTCGACGAGCGTCTTGCCGTTCTCAAGCGTCAGGATCAGCGCCAGGTCGTCCGCGTGCTCCAAGCACAGATCGCTCCATTTCCGGAGCCAGCGGGCGCGCTGTCGCGCCGAGGTTTTCTTGTAGCTGGCGAATGCGGCGTGCGCAGCTGAGACCGCCGCGTCGGCGTCGTCGGCGCCCATTTCGGGGAGCGTCGCGAGTTTCTCCAGCGTCGCCGGGTCGTATACGTCGAATGTCTTGCCTGAGTTGGCCGAGACCCATTCTTCGTTGATGTAGCCTTTGGACTGTAGCAGATCCTTCCGCTTGAGATCGCTCAATGATTTCGGTGCCATGGTAGGGGAATGGGTAGACAGAGATTGGTTGTGCGAGTTTCTGTTCTCTGCTGCTTGGTAGTTTGTAGATTCCACTTACTTGAGGCTGCACCCTTCACACCGGCGATAAATAGTCCTCGTACAGATCGATTTGAAGCAACTAATTCACCAGTCATCAGTACCTGTTATATCCTTAAACCGAGGCCTCCCCACATCAGATGTTGGGGAAGGTGCTGGATCATGAGGGGTCAGAATTGGGGAAATTCAGAGCCAGAGTTTGTATATGAATATGGAATGCTTTGTTGCTGTGGTGGAATGGGCATACAACAGGTTTATCGGAGGCGTAATAATGCCACCTCGATTTGATTTTGTTCGATCGTGGTGCGCTTGGCTAAACGCATCAATATCACCTTCAGGTTGTGTCTGTTAGCCAGAGCCTCACAGCCGCTTCATTCACCCTTGACGCATACGCAAAAGAAGAGGAAAAAGAAAAAGACAAAAAACCTTCGCCCACTAGGACTCGAGCGTTGTGCGATGTTCGAGTCCCAGTGGACCGTCGGAAACCCCCCTCGACCGAGGGGATTTTTTCTGACTGACACGATACAGCTGACTGCCATGCAGCTTGAGTGCCCCAAGCCTGGTCCGCCACAACCCCTGTTTTCCACGGGCCAGGATCTTGCGACGACTCGTCGCTGTATTGCAAAGAAGATTCTGGGTTCCAATATATCTGGTTGTTTTTTTTTGGAGTGAATGTTCGCGCGGTTGAGGGTTACTGGCAGTGAAAGTCCGGCGAGGCTTTACATGCTGGGCTTGGCATAAGGCTGCAAAAAGCGCCCCCACGGGTGTGTTAGTAGTAGTGGCAGTATATTTGCAGAGTACGTGATTGGTGACAAGAGGATAATATGGACATACTAGTGTAAAATCCATATGCATTTCGAATGAGACAACTCGATAATGTGTTCATGTGCGGCCTCCGACGAGGCTGGTTTGCATGCAGGGACTTGGAGGAAGGGCTGCAATGCAAGTCCAAGGATCTCCCTTGCCATAAGGAGTAGACAAATTCTAAGAATAGATGGGTCCTTACAGAGCCTCCTTGCAGGCCGAGACGCACACTTCAATGCTTACGGAGTCAATGTACGAGGTATGTACTCCGTATCCAAGCCGTGGCTCAGTCGATATCACAGGTGACTACAGTATCTCGTATGTTCAGTGGCAGGTATTCTGCACGTACCTTATCGTCAATTACTGAAGGGGGGGAAAGGGGCAAATGGCCTGATGTGCCTGATTTTGTTGAATCACCACTGTACGACAAGGGGAATCGAATCGTAATATGGGGAAATGTGTGGGACGACTTTCGTATCGGCAGTCTTCAGGGCTTTTAGGGTTCAAACATTGCACCTGGGCTCTGGCAGGAGGTCGAATCCGGTACTCTGGGTGGAAACCCGTGGCTTAAAATTCAAATAGCGCTCCATTGTGGGCATCTTCCAATTTAAATCCTCGAGTTGACGGTACGAAAATCCCCTCTCGCCCTGAGAAGATTCGCATCATCAACAATATGGATGGACCACTGGAAAAGGCTGGTCGCTAAACCAAAATGTCGTGAGACTTGTCTCTCATGATGGAGGGCCGAAAGCTCAACCAGGTACTTAGGTGGTTGAGTCTATGTGCCACACGCCTAAATTCAAGCTCTCTAGGGATTCCTGAAGCCCGGAGTTCCATGCAAACCAAACTGGTTAGCTGGACGGTTTTAGCGATGGCTCCATCCGGGGCCTCTACATAGCGGCGGTTCTCGGCAATTCAGTTTAAGGCAATAATGGCTGGGCGATGGCCTGAACACCTTCCACGTGGAGATAATCATCCATCGTCCATGGAGGTGTCTGACGTGAACGATGTGGCATTCCTGGCCTTGAAAAGCCCAGGGTTGTTGTTCTTTTATGCAGCTTATCCGCAGTCGCACGATGAATACAGCTGATTATTTCCCTCGCGTAGTCATGTCGTTAGTAGCTATATTTCCGATTCCAGGATGATCGGGAGGACGCCGTTGCTGATACTGGGAATTTGCGGTGTAGAACTTGACGGATTTCTAGAAGAATTTTGACTTTGGTGTACGGAGGCTGCTTCTTTGACCCCCTTGGAATTAATTATCGTAAATTCTTTGGGACCAAAAAACCCAATCGCTGTAGGTGTTTCGTAATCACTCCAGGAGTGCATGTAGATATACGAGTTGCATTGTTACTGATTGAGCAGCAAGCACCGCCACTACAACTATTGACTCGTGGTCTCAAGTCTCTGAGCACATAATATCATAATATCGAAACCCCACGAACAAATCATTCGCGTGCCCGAGCTGACGCGGGTGTCACTTTAACCTAACAAGATTTGCGCCAGCAACAGATAGTCTCCCCGTCTCCCAAGCCCCGTCTCAAAGGGTGTGGCGAGCCCTAACTCTGATTCGGTTCCTCTTCTTTTCCATCTGCACCCAAGACGCCCCAGCCAAGTGCTATCTGCAGGCGGTAAAGCATGAAATGGAGACTTTTCGTCTTCTTGGCCCTCCTTGGTGATTGCCTGGCTTCCTGAGACCTGCTATCATATAAGGAAACAATTAGGGGTTTCTGAGCGGCTCAATTGTAGTTTGTCTGATCTTCTCTTGTTGCAGCTTTGCTACTTACATCCACCCTAGTTATTTATAACCTGCATTTTGACATATTTACACTACAAATACAGAGCCTTGCATAGACGTGACAGACACTCTCGACCCTGACACTTTTGGACTTGTTTCTGGCACTGATAAGGAACTTATCTCACCATGGCTGCAAATGGATCGTCCCCGGGATCCATTCAAGTTGGTATCGTCGGTGCCGGTGTTGCAGGCCTGGCTGCCGCTATTGCACTGAGAAGGATCGGCCACGATGTCGAGGTAAATTGATTTACTCATACCAGTATCTGCGTTTGGCTGGACGGGCGATCATGCCCCTTCTGGTCGCCTAGGTGTTCGACAAGGCTGGTGCTGACTGCTTTTCACCTAGGTTTTTGAGCGTTCGGAATTCAGAAATGAGAACGGTGCTGCTGTATCAATCCCACCAAACGGTGGTCGAATTCTGAAACGATGGGGATTTGATTCACAAAAATCTGGTGGCATCGAAAACATCCAGGTAAGATAATTTATGAAATTCTTTGGTGGCATCACGTGATACAGTGCTTAACGGAGTCGTGCTCTACGCAAATTTCGACGAAGTCAGCCCCGTTAATACTGTCGATAGGTCCGTCGACCCAAAGGAGATACCCTGGAGCCAATGGCACCAACCCTGAACTTTTCAAATGTCGAGCAATTGTATGGAGATAAGTGGTATTTCTACCACCGAGTCGATATGCACAAGCATCTGAGAGAGTTGGCCGAAGCTGCAGGAGCCGTCATCAGATTGGGCCAGCGAGTGGACGATGTCGAGATTGAGACTGGAATCATTCATTTGAAGGGCGGTGCAACTGTCCAAAAGGATCTGGTCATTGTTGCTGATGGTCAGCATGTAAGCATCTCTCTCCCCTACTTCTCCGCCTTCTAGAATTAGAACTGATCGTCCCCTCAAGGATCGCATCAATTCCAAGGTTACAGGTGTCGAGATTCCAATGAAGCGAAGTGGACAGACCGCTTATCGCTGCTTGATTCCTATGAAGGATATTCTCGCTGATGAGGAGACCAAATTCTTCTTCGAGAACCAGCCTCCTGGGTTCTGGGCTCCAGCTCTCCCAGCAAAGGGTGTCATGGCCGTGACGTACCCTTGCCGAAACAACGAAATCCTGAACGTGCTTGCTGTCCACCGTAAACTCGGCCAACACGCGGGTTCCAAGGAGGAAGATATCGTCATCGACGACTGGAATTTCCCGGCCACCCACGAAGATCTGGAGAAGGTCCTAGATGGGTTCCACCCAGCCGTGAAGAAGATGTTCCTCAAGTCACCCGAAGTCAAGGTCTACACCCAGATGAAACGGGAGCCTCTGAGCAGGATGACCCGAGGCAAGACATTGTTGATCGGCGACGCTTCGCACCCCATGCTCCTGACGCACGCTCAGGGCGTGTCGTCATCCATCGAGGATGCCGCCGCGTTGGAAGTCTTCCTGGCCGACATCCCTGCCTCCAAGGGCGTCGCCGAAGGCCCATCCGACAAGCTTGCCCAACGCCTCGCCGAATTCGAGGCATTCCGACTCCCCAGACTCTCCGCCACTCAAATCCTGACCGATCCAGTTGTCCCAGGACCACAGGCGGCAGCCAACTACGCGAAACAAGAGGCCGAGATCCGTAAGTACTACGCGGGTCCTCTACCACCCACGGGCTCCATGCCCCACAGCCCACCAATCTGCCAGTTCTTCTTCGCCTACGATGTCCGCAAGGAGGCCCTCCAGGCGCTCGAGGAGGCCAAGGACTCCCTGCGCCAGCGAGCGACGAGCATCGCGACCGTCATGGCTTCGGTCCCAGAAGACCAGCTCCCGCCTGTCAAGAACGTGAACGGCCAACCACAGACTCCTGTCGTCGAGTCCAGTGCCGAGAGAAAGAGAGTGTCGTTGCTAGAGAAAAAAGTCAACGATCTCGAGAGCAAGCTTGCCGCTTTGATGTCCAAGGTGGAGGGTGGCTCTTCTTGAGATTGGGAAGTGGACCATGGCATCTAAGCAGAATTTCAGTCTCATGCAGTCAAGGCAAGACTATGTACGAGAAATTGAACCGTTTTTTCCATTGATATTTTCATTGGAGCAATGACATGGCGTAGATGAGCAGATAGCCCTTTCCATTCTCGGCCAATAGAAGCGTAGAGGTTTCATTAGGAGGTCGATTGTTTGACCATATCCGTTTTCGAGGAACTCTCAGATGATTTGTAGACGATACCATGCAGGAGTCCAGCTTGCTGGTCACCAACACGTGTTGACATCTTGAGGTCACATGTAAGGAGTTCATCACGGGAGGCTTTGTGGGAGACTACATTGTATCCACCATGAACTAATTCCCTAGAAGTGTTGGAGCTGAGCCTTGTAAGCTCTGGCTTGCATCATGATATCACACCGTTACGGCTATGACAGTTTGACGTCGGAATCGAGTGGCTCTGGGAGAGTTGTAGTCATTTGAACAATGCTGAGAATCAATGACGACTGTGCGCTCTATCCCAATCTCCGGCTTCGTCATTGTGATCGAACGCGGGCGACCATACAAGTTTTGCCGATATCTTGCGAATTCAACCATTAGAAAGTTCACTACGTAGTTCACTCGTAGAGCTTGTCAACGTGTGTCGAAACTTTCTAAAAGAGTAGTTGAGCATCTTCTTTGTTAAAAACACTACATAATGCCGCCCAAGAATAAATACACCGATCCGAAACTTCGGGAGGAAGTCAAAGAAGACATCAAACAGTCCGATAAGGGTGGTGCACCAGGGCAATGGTCTGCGCGAAAGGTATGACGGCGCATACTACGAAACGAACAAGGCGAGAGTCTCGCTAACAGGCACAATAGGCTCAAATGATGGCAAAAGAATACAAGAACCGAGGTGGAGAGTACAACACCCCGAAGAAGGATCAGGACGAGTCACAGAAACATCTCAGCAAGTGGGGTGAGGAAGAATGGCAAACCAAGGAAGGAAGCGCGAACGCGAAGCAGCAGGACGGTACGCAGAAGAGGTATCTTCCAAAGAAGGCATGGGAGGAGTTGAGTGAGGGAGAGAAGGAGAGGACGGATAACAAGAAGCAGGAAGGAAGTAAGGAAGGAAAGCAGTATGTGCAAAACACCTCTCGGGCTAAGAGTGCCAGAAAACATGCGAATGAAGACGAGGATGAAAAATTCGAGAAGAATAAGGAGAAGGATAAGGAGAAGGATAAGGAGAAGGAGAAGGAGCATCAACAGGGTTCGCGAGAGCAGAGCAAGGATAAGGACAAGATGCAGAGTCAAGGGAACCAGCGAGAGACTCGAAGCCAAACTAAGAAGAAGGAGGGAGCAGAAAGGTCACACGCATCGCCCAGAATGCAGAAGGAGCAACCCCAACAGAAGCAGAAGGAGCAGCCCAAAGAGAAGGAGCAGCCCTCTCACAGTAAAAGCAGCCACAAACGCGGCCGAAGTCAAACCGAGACGACAAACTCAACATCTGAGTCGCAGGCTGTTGGAAAGAGCGACGATGGATCCAAGAAACCAAAGTCGAGGAAAAAAGACACTTGATCGAAATGTGCTGTCGGCTGGCGACATAGGTGCCCACGTGGAAAGAGGGCGGTGAGCAACGCCATATATTCTAATATATCACGTCAAGTGCTTCTGAATCAATTGTGGCCGAAATTCTCGACATGGTTTACAGTTTGGCTTGGGCTTTGGCCTTTGCAAGGATAGGCTCCATTTTCGTCGCTGTTGCAGTCAGCATCATTCAATCCTCGGGATTGAGACATCAGTTGGGGGTGAAATCCATCATTACCTTTCATCACGTTGCCCTTGACCTTCAGCTTCCCGCTCATGAACAAGGACTGTGCTTTCGTCTTGCCAGTAACCAACTTGCCAAAGTTCTCGTCACTTAGAGACAGCGTCACTGGTGCGTAGATGCCAATCAGCGATTCAAGTCCTCTCTCCTTTTACAACGCCGGAGTCTCCGGACATGAGCTATATATAAGTGACTCACCATCAGCTTTCTTGCCAGCAGGGGCCTCGCCCTTGCCGACTTTGCCCGTCTCCTTGAGATCGATATGCCATGCTTCCTCCTGGTTCTGGTCGTTCTTCAGCTTGAAGGCGAAGATGGCTTTTCCTTGGTTGACGGCCTCCTTTCGCTCGGACTCGCTTGAGGAAAGGGCTGCGTCGATGGCCTCAAAGGCCTCGGATGATGGGAATGCTTCTGCGGACCCGAGTCTTGTCAATAAGGCCGTGGAGGAAGTTGCTACTTCTTTGGGGCAGGGAGGGACGTACCGTGCTTCAGCGACATTATGTTGATCGTTACCTAAGCACTTGGGGAAAGGGATTTTCGGTTACAAGGACTGTAATGCGGTGAGACAGGAGTTTGGTAGTGAGGGTAGGCTAGTTGTGCGCAGGCCGTGGGGACTATTAAGGGGACAAAATCAATTGATCACATGGGAATCAGAGGCGATGACAAAGTTGGCATGAAGTCATACGTCGCGTGCAACGCGCAGAAGAACCTGAAGGGCAGGGGCATGTGAAAGCTGGAGAAGAATCACCGAGGCTCATCAACTCCGCAGCCTCTGGTCCCCATCCCTCATTTTAGCAGCACCCCACAAACATACGAAATACGGAGTACGAGGATGACCAGAGTATTCTTGACGGACTTCATTGAATGGGCCAACTTTCGTGTTCTATAAAGATCCAACCAGTCAATCCCTTCCAAGATATGGCTACGACGCTAACCGACAATAAGGGTATCTGCGCATTCGTGATGGGGAGCAAACCCCGCAGAATGCAGCGCTTCGCATCTATTCATTTCAGGACTGCGTCTTGACACAGAACCGCGATTCGCTTAAAGAAGCGACGCCATTCCAGGGGATCACCAGATGCTTTGACAAAGCAGATCTCTGCGACTTCCTCACTCACGATCTCAACCACCACATTTCCACTCAAGGGACAGCCACGGCTATCTTGAGTCTTGATCTTTATGATACACTCCGAGTCGTGCGCTGAAGGTCGTGGTAGATTTGGGGTGGGGACTCCCAATCGGCTCAGTGCTTCAAGCACATGTGGCACGAGCAGGCTCAAGGCCCACGTTGAGTAGAATTTGGTGAGACTCTGTGCAGGGAGAATGTCACGGAATTTACGGGCATTTTGCGTCAGGGTGAGCGGCACACTAGGAGTGGCTTGAAATTGTGACATAGATGGTTCGAGGTCGAAGAACTGAGGTCGCGCGATCGACTGCGTCGCGCTAACTCCTACCATGCCAGCACCGACTTGCGTACCTGCCATAGCAAGAGTCCGAGGTCTTGCCCAATCGAACAGCATGTCTTCCGAAGGCATATCTGGTTGTGTTGACGATATTTTATCCACTGGGAAACGATCGACATCCATAAAGTCAGACTGCTCGCTGCGCTGGGTTCCGGCAAAAGGATTGGCATCGAAGCTCACGTGAAGAGCCTCGAACATGTTTGTAGCCATGGTGATAGGATCACTGAGCCTGCCGTTGGAGTCCATGAATTTATTCGGTCTTGTAAACCATGGATGACGTCGCACGTCTTGCAGGGTGAAGCGAGAATCGACTGGAACCCTCATCATCCCTCGGAGTAACGAAAGGACGTCGTTCGGCAGTGACTTCCAAAGTTCATCATCGGGTCTGCCATTACTTTCGATGTATTCGCTGAATTCATTCGGTCGACCATATTCGTCCCTTCCCTCCAGTGGTCGACTCCAAGGGGTGTTTCCAGCTAGTAACACGAAGAGAACGACACCGCAGGACCATACATCGGCCATGTCGGCCACGTAGCCAGTCCCTTTGGTACCTGACTGTGTACTACAAGACAAAACCTCAGGGGCAACATATGGTGGACTTCCGCAAAGGGTGGTTGCAAGTTTTCTCTTGCCATGGTATTCAAACAGTGTCGCCATTCCAAAATCTGCAAGTTTGAGATCACCATCGGCTGAAAGGAGGATATTCTCGGGTTTGATATCTCGGTGCGCAACACCCCGGGAGTGCATGAAGCCAATGGCACTCACGAGTTGCGTAAAGTAGACATGGGCAATATCCTGCGCAATGCCTGCATCGGCTTCGATTTTGTCAAACAAATCACCACCTTCGGCCAATTCCATGGCGATCCATTTCCAAGAAGGATCATCGCCATGATCGTAGAATTCTATTATGTTCCTGTGTAGTCCAATATGCTTGTGCAAGGAGATTTCCATCTCCAGCTGCTTTTGCTTGATCCGGCCATATTTCTGAGCAAAAAGTTTATTGATGAATTTGACCGCAAAGACAGGGGCTTCGGCATTTTCGGGGGCTGCTTTCTTGATGCTAGATGGGTGTTAGCATGCTGCGAGGGCAAGGTGATGATCAAGTGCGGACAAGAATGAATTACCATGCGTATGCTCCAGAACCAATTGTGGGGGAGACGATGCGGAAAGGCACTTGAGTTGGTAGAGGGGCCAACTGGGAGTGCGGGATGCCGTTCATGGCGAGGAGATGGTATAGCAATCAACTTTGACGCTCAAGCAGGTGGTAGAAGGTCCATGCTGAAATTATTGGCAGGAACGCGTCGCGTGTTTGATGGTGAACACCAAGCACGCGGTAAGGCAGGCAGAGAGAAAATCGTCTGGTTGTGGTTGCATGATTGAAAGCGGCAAGATGATATATGATGTCATCGACACGCTGTTACTCTGGTGACTGCAGAATTGGCAGGAGCGTCAACATTGAATGGGCGGTTGCCTCTGCAGCGGCTTCTTGCCTGCACTTGACCTTTCCTCGCGACCATAATCACGACCACTCATTCTTATTTCCTGCTCCTCGACGCCTTCCTGTTCCAAAGACCTCGAGCGTTGAGATCTCCTCACCTGAACCTTCTTTTTTCATAGCCCTCAATCTGCATTCACAGTTGCACTCATAACCTGGGGTTTCCAGTGCATTGTCTAATCTTCACCATCTCCGTTTTCAGCATATTATTGCCACTTCGATTGACGCATTCAGCCACCCAACTCTACCTCTTCTGAGTATGGATTTCTCTCTAGAGGATACACAGAACTCAGCTCCCGGATTATCCAACATGGCCGAACAACAGAAGCTCACTGTCGCTCCAAGGAAGGCCGACACTCAAAGTGTCGTCAAACGGTGAGATCCCCAGACCCTCACATCCAACTGTACCACTGCTGACAGGTTTGCAGGCTTCAGTCTGAACTCATGACTCTCATGATGTCTCCCACCCCAGGAATCTCTGCATTCCCGGACGCAGATGGCAATTTGTTGCACTGGACGGCCACAATCGTTGGTCCCAAAGACACTCCCTACGCCGACCTCAATCTCAAACTCAGCTTCGAATTTCCCGGCAACTACCCTTACGCTGCTCCCACAGTACTGTTCAAGACTCCTATCTACCACCCTAATATTGACTTCAGCGGACGGATATGCCTGGATATCCTGAAGGACAAATGGAGTGCAGTCTACAATGTTCAGACCGTTCTTCTCAGCCTGCAAAGTCTTCTCGGTGAACCTAACAAGTAAGAAGTGAAGAGCAAAGCTGATTTCGACGATACTAATATCCTCCACAGTGCCAGTCCCCTCAACAACGAAGCAGCTCAGCTGCATCAAAATGATCCGGAAGAATACCAACGGAAGGTGCTGGCTCGCCACCAGGATATCGACGAATGATTTACGTTTGATGACTACGACCTGGGTGTGTTGATATTTTATTTGAACTGCTTTCAGGCGAACTTGCTGTCATTGAAAGCCATTAGCGACTGGACTGGTTGGGAGTCAGTGTTTTGCATTGCATGATGCTGGGACGAGGTTTTATCTGCACGGTGCACTATTCTTGAGGGGTATTAAATTCTTAGAGCCTCTACCTACAATGAAAATGTGCATCATGATATTCTTCCTTCTGCTGCCTGCTTTCCAATCACTGCTAGGACAAATCCTGGATCAGAAATCTGCTGGAACCATCGTCTAGACCCTCAAACAGTTGCACACCCCAGCTCTTGCCAGGATCATTGAACCTCGCCTTCTTATCCTGTTCTGAGATCTCACTTAGTTCTTTCTTACTAAAAGTCACATTCAAAGCGCCAAGATTCTCGACAATCCTTTGCTCATGGACACTCTTGGGAATCACAATGGTTCCCCTCTGCACGCCCCAGCCTAAAATGGCTTGTGCAGCGGTGACGTTCTTCTTCAGCGCCAGCTCGGTCCAGAAACGGTCTGCCAGAATGGGATCCAGCTTGGGATATTTCTTATCATAAGTCGGGTTTGAATTGGCCAACGGGGAGTAAGCAATGACCTTGATATCGTTCTTGACATGCCAGTCCACAAACTCCTGCTGCTGCAAGTATGGGTGCGTCTCGAACTCGTGTGCATAAGGTTTGATCTTGGCATCCTTCAACAACCCGTCCAGCTGTCGTGGGCTGAAGTTGGATACGCCGATATGCCTCGTCAAGTTACTCCGAACTAGATCCTCCATCGCCTGCCAGGTCGCAAGGATACTGGTGTCCTGATCCAATACATTCCGACCAGGCGACTGATCCGGTAGAAATGCGACCGGCCAGTGCATCAAATACAAGTCGAGGTACGTGGTGTTGAGGTCCGACAGAGTTTGTTCGAGAGCCTTGCGCACAAGTTTCGGCTGATGATGGTCGTTCCATAATTTCGAGGTTAGCCAGTACTTGCGTCGTGGTGGAGCTGATGTGCCATTTAGACCGGCTCCGACGAATAGCTCGTTGCCTGTTATCAATTGTCAGACTGGGCATATAATATGGCATTGGTATATATACTGTATGCCGCCGCGCCATCTAAATGTACGTATCCAGCGCGAAACGCAGACTCGACTGCGTTTGTCGCCTTGTTATAGAGTTCAAGTTAGATTCAGTCTTGTGAATAGCACGGGAGAAGTGTCAATACATACATCCTCATTCTTGGAATTCCAGAGTCCTAGTCCGATGCTAGGTATATCACGGAGTTCCTTCTTTACACTATCATGAAACGGGATTTGTAAAGCCGTTGTGCCATATATGATTGTGGTGGTCGATAGGAGGACAGCAATGCTGCCTGGAAGTCGATGTAGACGAGGCAGCAGCATTTTCCACACAAAGCCTTCAAACTACGCTCGAGAAGTCGGGACCTAGGCTGGTAGATGTGAGTGTGAACAGTTGGACGCTATTCTGTATATTGAGAAGCAGGATTGCAGAGCGTTATTTCAACGATACGTCTTCATTAATCAACATCTAAAGGCATCTACAGTGTATTCGTAATCGATCAAGTAAACCCAGGCCTCGCCAGGATCAAGTATCCGTACCCAGAGTTCCAGCAGCGAACGGATGGCCTCATATGAAACACGAGTGTCGTCACCAAACGACAGATCTTACCAATTGAAGATGCCCTTGGATCTTCGGCTGGACAGCCCTGGAAGATCCATCTTCCAAGCCTTGTGGGGCATACGCCTGCCGGGTGGACGCGGTGCAAGAGTTGGAAGTTAATCACGACCGGTTTTACATTGACTCTTGTGCCCAGAGCGATGGAGGAGCGGAACACACAAGTACCTAAGGATTGAGCTCTTTGTCGCATCCTCATTATTGTGATCACTGATGACTAAAGAGTCCAAAATGACTCGTGATAAACACTAAATAAACACGCCAAGAAATACCATGACTCGTGGGATTTCATGTTTGACTTGGACTGGTGAGCTAACTTATGGGTACCTAGGTAGACTTACATTTCCTCACCTACTGTAGGTACCTAACGTGCTCTGGTTGATGAGAACGGCCAACATTACCCCGAAGATACTTGAGGCATCAACCAGTTTTTAGGATGTGGAGCCAACAAGGTACGATTTCCTAAGCCATAAATCAAGAGAGGCTCGAGGGAGTTGGTAAATTGCCGGTGACAAGGGATCATCCAATCTTGCCATGGCCAATATCTAGAGAGGCTGCAGAAATATCTTCTAAAATTCACCCAAGGTTTCTCTTGGTCCAAAAACCATCAACATCCCTTCTGATCGAAAGTGCCGCCTTCGCTAAAAAATCACTCGAGGTCCAAATCATCCCACTTCTCCAACAAATAGTCTACTCCTGTCGACATTAATTGACCAGCGTTGGTAAATCTGCTGTCATCCAACGAGCGCATGGCGGCATCAATCATCTGATAGCATGGTATTGGTAACTCGACGTTGTCCCGGCGCGCAATGGTACCGATAACTTTGAGAATACCTTTGCCGACGCGAAAACGACGGGATGCCGCCGTAATGCACATGCACAACTCGACCATAGCGCTTTGCGCCTCTGGCCGCTCAGACAGGCCTTCGAACAGTGCAAATGGCGCTAGGCTAACCGGCCTCATGACGATGACAGGAAATCGATCGTTGCCCCAGTCTCTGCGGTGCCATTCTAGGATTTTGCCGATGTCGATTGAAAGCCCAATACACACTTCTTTCCAGTGCTTCTGTTCGGATGATTGTGGTGTTTTGGCGACAAGCGGTCTGTCAGGCTCTCCTGCATCAAACGCCGCTATTTGTTTCAAGAGTATCAACATCATCCATTTGTGGAGAGCACTGTGAAATCACAGAACGTCAGCACATTTCAGGCTGGATAGCAGCATTTATGCTAGGACCTGAGGCATGGGAAAGGAGGGTGGGTACTGAGTAACTCGGGAATAATTTGGACACGACTTACTGCAATGCTAGCATATGGGGTGTTGACCTCGGACCCAGCTTCATGCAGTCGGGTAGATCCTGTGGCCAGGTCTCCATCTCGTGATAAATCTTTGAAAAACGCTCCATGACTTCCTGCGATCGATCTTTCGACTTGAACAGTTCCTCATCACGCATCACTTTCTCAGACAACGATAAGAATGCATGGAAGTGACACCCCGCGTGGAAAGGGTACGGATGACTTGGTTGAGGGTAAGGCTGCCATGTTTGCATTTCACCGAACGCTTCGTGTCCCGCAAGGGGCTTATCCCGCTTCGGTGGCGTCAGCGGCTGTTCTTTTTCCAGGTTGATCAGTGTCAGCGAGCTCAGCGCAAACAACGTCCACGAAAGATAGGTTATGTTTATGTCAATGGCCTTCGACTCTTGATCCGTGAGGTTAAAGCTCTGTTCGACACGTGACTGCCATTTGTCAAGGCTTTTGGCGAGATACATCTGTTGATATAGGATTGGATTTCCCAATTTGTCTTGGCCATTGGCATTGAGACTAATATGGAAACACGTCAGACGAATCCTCTGCATTTCGTGTCTGATTCAAGGGACAGCGTGGTGACTCACTATGTCCATTGTACGCCAAGGGTAGCGACCAAGGTAAACGAAACTTGTCCTTGTTCTGCCTCGAGACTCCTTTTGGCTTCGTTGTAGAACTGTTCTCCGAGCCAGACATTCGGTCCATCATCATCTCCTGTCAGAGTGTCGAGCAGCTGGAAAAACGATCAGCAAACCACATTCGCTGAGATACGCATGCAAAATCAACGTACACAAGCGTCTGCTAAGATCATGTTTACAAGATAAGGCGTGCAGATCAGGCTATTGGTGTTTCCTGACCGCATGGCCTCGAGAAACGAAGTCCGTTCCACCCATTGCCACCATTGGTGGGCCCAGGTAAACCACAGTGAGATGAGGTGCGACACGAGATCATTGTCGTCCGTGACGGTCGTCCATGGGCTCGCGGGCACAGTGATGATGGGATTGACGAGATCTTGTATACGACCTTGCATACGGCGACGTCGATGCGTCACGACCGGTGAGTTACCGTCCGGGGACATTGAACTTCCCGAGGCGGCCGCAAAAAAATCCGCGAGATGCATTCTAAGCTCGTCTTTGGTGACATGACTTCGGATGAGATTGATGACTCCATTCAGCTGCTGCGGATTTGCTGCCCGGATTGTCGAGAGGAGGTCGTCGAGCAGCTGCTGCTCACCTTCCAACAGCTCTATTTTGCGGTTGACGGCAATCTTGCGCCGCTTGTCGTCCTTGTCGTCCTTGATGCATTCTGTGCTATGTGAGAGGCAAGAGTTGCACGGCTGGCCTCCGCTACACTGGAGAGGTGGAGAATATCAGATTAACTTGGAATCTCATAGGGGGAATGAGGGGATAAAAGATGAGAGGAGATGAGACGAAGTGAAATTAGCCACTCACTCGACTCCTGCGCCTTCTGCACGCATAGCATGCGGTGCTAGTATTCTTACGAGGTTGAGGCTCAAACCGAGACGACTCGCCGATGATACTCCCTTCGATCGAACTTATTGTAAGAGGGGCCGGTGCAATACTCTTGAAATTCGATGGTCCGTTCATGACTCCGTTTGCGTCAACTAGTTAGTGGCTTGCTAAGATTAGGTATCAAGAAGTGAGTTTTTTATCCTCGTGGCTCCAACGGAGAGCATACACCAGAAAAAGGTAGCACCACGACGTCACCGGGCAATCAGCACACAATCCAAAGCAATCTAGACGAGAAAAGACTCAATAAGAAGAATTTTCGGCAGTAGTAGTGCGTTGGAAAGGCAGACACAGGAAATCGACGGAAATAGCAGGTATTGGGTCTGTGATATGGATAGCATATCCGGCCAGATGGCAACGGATGAGACAGCCGGCCGATGATGACATTGATTGGCCTATCTCAAATAGCAAAGATCGGATCAAGCTTAGTGTTTATATACGATAGGATGAAAACGCTCTAGATCACTTCATTGGAGATATTGATGATGCATCTGGTGCGATATTGTTGGGCCGAGGACCTGACAACCTACCCTTCTCACTTCTCGTATTCCTCGCAAGCTGCGAGGCCCGCAAACATCATATCTCGTACCTTGCTCTTCTCGAATGCAGCCCGGTACTCTTCCTTCCCAGTTCCCTTCCCATCGTATCCTTCATTGAGTCCAAAGTCACACACGTAATTATCGAACGTCGTCTCCTTCTTGTCACGACAGAGTCCACACATAACACTGATCATGTCTTCCTTGAACCCTGCTCGCGGGAACGCACGCACGACCTCCTTATACTCATCGACCGTAATCAAACCACCTGGGATAGGGATATTCGGACCGAAGAAATCGCCCATGATTCCCAGCTGACCCAGGAACACCTCGGGCTCCTTATGATGTGCGATGCTGGGCGTCGCATGCAGCGCGATCGTGTCCCACACGAGTTGCAGGCGGTGTTTGTCCCAGCCATCCGAAACGGACGACTGGATTAGCGAGCGCGCGAGGTTGGCGCCGTCCACTTCGAAGCGCTTGTCTGTTGACAGCAACGACTTTGTCGTAGCCCAGCCCAGATCGTGCATGAGCACTGAAAGAACCACGGCTTCGAGGTCTAGATCTGGTGTCGCTGCCACAAGAGGCGGGAACTTGCGCACGATGATCAGAGCGAATGCTGTACTGCGCAGGCAGTGATTCAGGGTTGGTAAGCTTGTGTGCTCCTTGGTGTAGTCGTAGGCCTTCTTGACAAGCGGGTTCCATGGGATTGTGATATTGGAGACGGGAAATTCTGGGAATGGGGAGTCCGACATGTTTGTTCCTGTTGGCGCTTTGGAATGAATAATGATGTTCTTCTTGCGGTTCTTATTCGAGCTCTTTATATCAAAGCCTTTGACACTGATTTTGATTTCCTTCTGCGACACTGAGCCAGGTGGGATTCTCCATGTCGAAGGACATAACGTTATATATAACCATCCTCGTGATCTTTCAGCTGGTCAGACACGGATCACTCCTACTGAGCCGTGTCACCAGCCGTGTCATGAAATTGCTCTGCAACAATCTCAAAAACTCGAAAAGCTTCGCAGCGATGTGCCCTGCCCGGCTCAAATTCCGCACTCCATGTGCACGATAAGATCAGATCTGCAGTCCCCGAGACCCGGCTTCAACAATTGAGCTGAATCGCTTTGCTTACAGGAAAACCCATCGGTGTCTTACTCAGTGCTCATTTCATCTCCGATTGGGTTGTTGTGATGGTGAGAGACACAGCGGATACGAAGAGGCCATTGAGCGAGCTGCTTAGCCCCCTTTCCCCCAGATGGTCGGATAGAATTCTATCCGCCAACGCTAACCGAGTCCGGCAGGAAATTATTTTATTTCCCAATTGGGATATATACATCTTTATGGAAAACCGTCCTCAATGGAAAAAGGCTGATTGGACGTGACGAGGGAGTTGCGTGCAAGAAAGGTAGATTTCACGGCAGTTGATTTTGGGTCAACCTCAGTTACACAGCGACTGCTGGGCATAATGTGCAAGGCTTTGGCTGGTTTCTTTGAGCAGCTGACGTGTGTCTTGTTGGTGAATGGCCGATCTTTACTCACACTCAGTAGAGAATCAATGATTAGAATCAATGATTAGTTATAATGATGGCTTTTGAGATTCGAAAAATGACTATGCACATTCTTCCAACTCCAATTGATCCGAATAAAGATAGCTCCCTGAAACTCCATCACCTTACCAGTATCATCAATCAACCCCATTCAAGTGGCCATTGGTTCCATTGGTATGTTCATGTACATCGAGCAAAGCCCAATCCTTGATATTGACGTCCAAGGCACCTTCCTCATTCCCAGCCTTGCCGTTTCCAAATTTCTTGACATTCCATTTCTCCACACCTTCTACTCCCCTCAAGTCTTCAGCAAAAGTATGGAACACATCTGCATTCATTTGTTCGTACTCGGCATATGGTTTGGGATAGTCACCAAAGCGTTCGAGCGCAGCGCGCAACAGGGTCAGATGGCGCCTAGCATACGTGCCCTGGGTGGCATCCTTGCTTATAACACCCGAGATATCAAGTGGTTCGGGATCCGAAGACAGGACAGTGACATCGTCATCTTCATTCAAGCCCAGAGGATCAAGTGTGAGTGACCGCAGAACATTCTCATGTACCCCAATTGCTCGCTTATAATAGCGGCGTGCAAGGTCTCCAGCACCCTTGGTCGATTGTAGTGATAAGCCGGTGCTGACGTACAGTTGACTGAGGAAGACATTCATTTCCAGAGTAGCAAGGTGGGCGGAGCCGTAGACTCGACGCAGGTTGTACGCGATGTCGGCGGCGAGATTCAAAGCCAAGTCCTGCTTGTTGAGCAAGAAGCGTGCAATCGCCAGGCGCTTGCCCAAGTTGAGAACCACGGCTGGTCGCCAGGCGCGATGTGTCTCACGAGCATCCCATAGAGCGGTGAGGAGCCACTGTAGAAAAAGTCAGTTAGTCTATGGAATTCACCAAGAGAATTGGCTACACGTTTCCTGCTTACCTCAAGCGTCTCAAAATCTTTTGAATCTCCAAGGATACGGACTATGCTGTTGATTTCTTGCAAAGGGACCGAGGCAAGGTTCAGGCTATGTTGATGAGCTGCCTTCAGCATAGGGCGGGCGATGCTGCTAGCAATCTCGAGTTGAGCCTTGCGTGTCGGACCCGATTTACCCAGGTCGGCGATAAGGATAGCTAGGGTTAAGCCATGCTTGATGGCATCAGGGGTGATATACCAGCTGTTAGCATGAGAATAGCGGAAGGCAGTCTGCGACAGATCGCAAGCCTGCTTTTGCTGTCCTTTCGTCAGCAAGTGGCGAACACGTTCAATGCTTGCGAGATTGACAGAGTGTAGGAAGTTCTTGATCTGACGACTGTGGAGGTATTCAAGCATGGTCGTGACAAGGATTTTGACTTGAGCGATATCTCCAACTTTGGCTTTGTCGCCCGATGTGCGTAAGAAGAAACTGGCTAGCTCATTTTCAACATGAACTAGAGTTACGGTGCGCTTGTGAAGGCACAAGAAAGAATGCAGTCGAGCGGCGATCGAGAAGACCTCCGTGACCGAAGCATTAGTTCGAATCGACCGCTGAAAGTCTTCATAGTACACAATTTCTGTGATGATCGACAAGTATATCTCGTTGAAAGTAACAAGTGAATCCTGTCGTAGACTGTATGCCAACTGCGCAATGAAGATGGCCACAGAGCGGTCAGTAGTGGTGATATTGATGTTGTACTTCTTCGAATTGCTAGAGTCCTTCGTGATCAACTGCCAGCGTAGTTCCTCAGTCATCTCCAGTCCACGATGGGTTTCACCAACTGCAATATATGAAGATGCGATTGCACGTGCACTCTTGACTAGCAGGATGGAACTCTTCTCGCTAGTGACGACGTGACTCGTGGCTTCGGTAATCTCTTTGATGGCTTCCTCCTTTTTGGAGCTCTTGGCATAGAGATAGGAGATCTCCTTCAACTGCTCCAGAGACTCTTCATGTGTCCACCCATACTGACTTCGATTCTCAGTCATCCGCTTTCGGATGATGGTAACGGCGTGATCGATTTGTTCACTAGATGCAGATACAGTAGTGTTTCTTGCGGCCTCAAGGGATCTCTCCTCGTAAAAGGCGTTCAAAGTCTCCTTACACTCCGAGTGATACTCGATAGCCTTACTATCTTTCAAGAGAGACTCGTAAAGCGAGATCGCTTCAGCCTGGTGGAGCTTGGTCGATTGGCACAACCTCGCTAGGCTGAGCATTGCCTCGTGACTAATGTTGCTGTCTATGCCAAATGCCGTGATGCATGTTTCTTCATATTGTTTGGTGATCTCGTAGATAGTAGTGGTCTTGAAACTTGAAACCTTTAGACTTTCCACGTATCTGGTATAAACAGTAGAGGTGAATGTCGTAGACTTGAACTGCTTGAGATCTTTGCCCTTGTGAACAAATGTTGCAAAAAGAAGCCCGTAAGCCCAGGTTGCGTCTCGGTAGCGACGCTCGTTCCAGTAATGGCTGGAGATGATGTCCAAGGCTTCAATGGCATCCGAATGGCAAACCTTAGAATCTTTGCTTAACAGCTCCACAATCTCCCGATAGTAATCGATGGAGATTGGATCTGGACTGCTCAAATGAGCGAGTTTCCAGAGTATTTTGAGCGTCTCTTGATGGCACGATCCATAAGCTTTCTTGTAGTCTTCAAGGAGATCACGATACAGTTGGATAGTTCTATCACGTGACCTTGTCTTCTCATACAACCTGAGAAGCTCTGAGAGATTGTGTTTGACGACATGATCTTCGATCTTTCGTGTAGACTTGACAGCACGATACAGTCGCTCTCTCAAGTCCTGGGCTTTCAAGATGCGAAGTCGTGATTCATAAACAGTGATGAGATGATCAGCAAGTTCGACAGCAAATTCAGCATTGCTAACTGGGGAATTTACATCCTCGATCGAAGCTGCGAAGAAACCTGTCCAGATCACCCGCAGTGTCTGTTTGATGACCACGGTAGCCTCCTTCCAGCGTCTCTGCGCGATGTAGGTAGTCACCACTTGCTTGACGGCAGAAGTTGAAGTTATGTCGAGCTGGGATGATTTGGAAGACTGAAAGCTGGTGATGATTTCTACAATTTCCTCCTGTGAAACATGGCTGGCTGAACCTGATGACGAGGATACTTGTTTCAAGAGTTCTCTTTGTGTCACTTGCAGGCACTCTTCGACTTTGGCGACGGCAGAACTCTCTTTACTGTGGTGAGATCGTATGACAGAAGAGTGATGCTTGAAGATCTCAATTGCAACAGAGGCAGCTCCTATCGTCTGCAATGTTTGACCAATTTCGAATAAATGGGAGCTGATATGCTCTGAAAGTGCAACGGAGGAAGATTTGTACTCCTCCCAGATGCCAGTCAGCAATGCAGTTGCCTCGCTTTCACGCTTGATAGACCTCAAGAATTGGGAATAGGTCAGTACGAGCTTGATCCTGGTCACATCAATCTCTAGTGACTGACTGGTTCTTTGTTGTAATGATGTATAGTACCAAGCTTCAACATAGCACTGTTCAGCTTTGGCTGTGGAACCTTTGGAAATGAAAGCTTGGGCTAGTTCCAGGAGTTCAGTAACGCTCTTGCGGGTCTCCGACTTAAACGAGACGTCGTAATCATTCTCAGCGTCCCAATTCCACATTTTGTAGCTGCTTTCCTTTCCTTGGCGGAACATAAGGCGCACATCGAGTGAGCCAGTCTTTCTTCTAGTGAGTTCCTCTTGTCCTCCTTGTGAACTACGCCCACGCAGTGACTGCTCCAGTTCCATGACCTTTGTCTCCTCTTTCAGAGAACGATATAGTTCAACAAGCCGATACTGATATTGTGTCACCATTTCGGAGGTAGCACCATATTGCTTCGTATAGCTCTGAATCAAGATCGTCAAGACCTCTTCGAAGTACGTTGCTGTCTCAGATCGTGTACTAAAATTTAGAATGCTAGTAACGTCTAAGAACTTATTTGCACATTGAATGGTCAGAGGGTGTGTGATAGAGAAAATTGTGACACTGAGCTGCGTTGCAAGATACGAGTGTTTGGCTGCCTCCTGCGTGTTTCCCACTGTCTGGAAGATGATCGCCAGGACAATTGTGGACTGAAGTATTGTTGGATGGTTGTGGTTGAAAACCTTTCGATACATGTCGAGTGAGGTGCTATGCCATGAGATCTGTATGGAAGCGGGCTGCCACTTCCACGCCAACTTTTCTAGGAGCGATACTGTTGGGGAGGTTGGCAAGATCGAATTGAACTCTTTCAGTGTTTCCTGTGAAAACTCTTTTGCAGTGTTTGGGAGCTCTAGATAATGGCTTACCCAGTATCTAATGGCATACTCTGCAAGGGAGTGTTGGTTGAAGATCTGATCAGCTTGAGAGGATGTCAAAGGGGAGAAGGATGGGTCCTTTTGATCTTTGATGGTGACCCTGAGGTAAACCAAAAGTCGGCGCACGAGATCTAGAGAAGAATCCTTTATGGAGGTTTGCTGCCTATTATGCTCAAAGTGGGACAGAAGTGGGGAGCGAATGGAGGCATGGCGGAGGTAGAGTAAACCATCTTGCAGGAAGATGAGAGCGGCAACAGGCTTCAAGAGTTGAAGCGGGTCAATACGATTTCCGCTCAGGGAGCCTGTCTTTGGGTCAATGCCATGAAGGAGAGACAGTTCTTCAACACTCAGAGGACGCTTCGAGATGGTAAGCCAGGTCAAGAGTCGCTTTCCCTCTTCGGATAGATTGGCGGAGGAGAGATGATCACGAATCACATCCTGAATTGGCTTAGGATTTTTCTTCATCGCAGCTGTAGCTTCACGGAACTTGTCCAAAGACGGTTCCTTAAGCAAGATTTTGGCCACGAGTTTAGACCAGAGAAAATTGCTTTTCGAGCTCTCAACAATCTGGTCTATGATCATCTCTTGTTCGATACGAGACAATTGTTGTAGATAGTGGTGGTCTTGAACAAGTGTAGATACCACCGCGAAGACATCATCATAGACAAGATCAGAAGTGATTTGTACATCAGCAGCCGTCTTAGGAGCAAGCGAAGATGGTTGTGAGAGAGTGATCAGTTTAACCTTCTCGTGTTTGGATGATGCAACAACCAAGTGTTTGTGCAAATTCTGTGCTTCCTTTGGATCAGTCGAAACCTCATCAATTCCATCCACAATGATTAGGGTGTCCTTAGCTTGTGGCAAAGTCGATTCGATGGCTCTTTCAAACACCTTCCAGAGAAGCGATTCATAACTTTCCACATCGGAAGCCTTGTAAGACGCTTCAAAGGTCTCGGAAAGGATCTTATAAAGTTGGACGTTGCCAACTCGACTTTCAAATAGTTGAGAAAGAAGGCTACGAATGACATGCAGACCTGTTGCCTGCGACTTCGCTCTAGCGTTGATGGGAACGAACAGGACACTGTATGACTTCCTCGCAGTATTGCGTTGCACAGTGTCCACGATTGTACCGGCGAGAACGGTCTTGCCAGAGCCCGCAGAGCCAGTAATAGCAAGTACATCTCGTCCACTATTGAGGAATCGAGTGAGATACGGTTGCACCCAGAGACAAGTCAGTTGCTGTCGATCATTGACAAGCGTGGTATGGTCACCCGATTTATATCTGAGGACACTATCCTCGACCGCAAGCCATGACCTCAGGGTTTTGATGGACGGCATGGAGTCAAGTTCAACATTCGACTGGGAGAGCTGATATTTCCACATTGACTCGATAATCTTGTCCCTCCTGGTTTGGAAGCTCTCTATTGTGTCAGCAAAGACGGCGTAAATATCTATCGAAACACCAGAAGTACTGGGAGCCCGGATCGCCTGGTAGAATCGGAGAGCGATGTCCGAGACGAGGGTAACAAGATCAGCATAGGCTAGAACAAGTTGCTCGTTGATATCAAAAGAAGCACTGAAGAGCTCCACACGGTCCAGAATTGCAATGAGATCCAGCGAGCACTTGAAAAAGAATCCGAACGAAGCCTGAAGCGCCGCTGCATTCTCGTCGCCAAGGTCGAGAAGCAAGATACAATAGCCAAAAGCAATTTCTGCACCGTCATAATTTCCGCCGGTGAACTGTTCAATGGCATGGTCGAAGTCGTTGAACTTTTCAGCAAAGGATTGAGCCCAGGCCAACACCTTATCCCAAGCACTGCCTTCAGTTGGCAGTGCTCGCAGACGCTCCTGGCTGATCTTTTCCATGAGTCGTGTATGAGAACTGACAATATTGTTGGAGATGGCAGCGCCCAACTCTTCCGCACAACGGCTCTTGAGCAGACTCACGGTTTCTGCCATCTTTGCAGAACCGCTCGCAGTTGGTGTTCTGGCTTTGTCACCAGATAGTGTCCACCCGGAGAGATCCCTAGGTCTAGGACCACCATTCACTGTTTTCTTTCGCTCCTGAACAGAGGAGGATTGATAATAGGTCGTTTCCTTTGATCTATGGATGCCATTTGAGAAGGGACTGGCTACAGCGGCAGCCATTTGTGCTTTAGATATTTTGTGAGAACTAGGAAACAAGTTTGTAGAAGATTTATCGTCCGAATGAGATGATTCAGACAGTGGTTGTGTTGCTGTTGGGCCAAGGGACGCCAGGGGTCCCGCTGCAACTGACTGTTGAGGCTCGGGACAGATGACTGTGATGGCGGGTCTTTTTGAGGTCACTTTTGCACAGCGGGGTCCTCGTGGGAGTTGTCTAGGAATTGGAAATTGAAACGAGTTTTGTGTTGAGCACCCTTCTTGTACAAAACCAGGGTCAGTTTTACTCGGATTATCAGCAAGTGAAGCTGGTGGAATGCTGTCGTGATGAGCTTGCTTTCTGGTTGAAGAGATGGACAAAAGCTTCGAGGAAGCTGCTTTGTCTTTTCGAGAATGGGTGTTGCAAAGAAGAACGGTTAGTCAATCGAGTTTCATGTCGGAAACACATAGAGTCCTCGGAACGAAAATGTGGTCTCACCTGGGTTTAAGACAATGCAGCTCTCCTCATTCTGATTCTTGATCGCTAGTACTGGTATAGTTATCGATTGACTGAGGGGCTTATTTCATCAGTCCCAAGGAATTGTCCAGTCGTACTGCTTTGGTGATAGGCGTTTTACGTCAACGTTGTCAAACTCTGTCTGCCAGCTAGTTTTAACATTGAACAGTGGAGTCTCATATGGTCAATGCATTCAATGATGATGAGGAGGTGCTCACGAACCCCTAGTGGCTGACGGATATTCAGCTGTTCGCGTTCATGAGGCTGTAGCGGAAGCATCGATCCCAAGCCTGTCATATACCATTCGATCGCTTAGCTAGTGTCATGTCGTGCTCATAAATCATGTCGTTCCTTTGATGGTCCAAGGACGACAATGGCAGTGATCACTCGTACCGACAAGCACCCTTCGGAATTGGGGCTGATCTGCACAGCATCTGCAGTTCTCTACTTTGTTTGACCAAAAGGAGACGTGAAAGGGTATGGTAGGATTTGCAGGGTCTTTACTTTGGGAAAGGCCCATGAGCACCAGGGGGTAAGACCCCTCTCAACATTAAGATTGCCGAGTATGGATGACGACTTTTCTTAGTCTGATACTTCGTGCATGACAGTTGCGAAGTATCTTGACATTCGCTGACAGCGATGCTAATGCAGCCATTGTTGACTAAAAAAGCCACAAGCGAGTGACGGATACGCGTCGTTTTGTGGACCTACGAGTAAGACACCTAAGACCCTCGAGCTGTCCAGGCGGAGAAGCCGGGGTCAGACTGAAACTGAGAGAATTTGTTCCGAACCAACTTGAAAGGTGATGATGCTGATCGATTTTGAGCGACAGCTCAGTGCAGATAGTGTAACGAAGGCTACATCCGTCTGTTGGTTGGCCCCACCGACAGCTTGGACACTTGAGTCAAGATGCAGTCATGCTGCAGATGATGGAGGTCGTGTTCTCCTCACGATGCGGTGAAAAGGTTTCAGTCGGAGAGGGTTTAGTTGAAAACTCTGTTGGATACTTCACCGTGTGGGCTTTTCTAGTTCGTGCCCGTCTATCATTATGGCAATTCGGCACCTCCGACCAGACAAACATATTGCACATCGTATGAGGTTCTTCGGTGGTCGCGAATGAGCTGAACTCACCATGATTCCCACTAGAAAAGAAGTGGTTAGTCCGAAAATCTGCCACTAGGCCTAGCCCGTGGTGCCCCCGCCTCACGGATATGTCTTTTAGTCAAAAACTCAAACTCAACTCCACATGCTGCATGCCCTAAATTCCTCACGTCTCCTAGTCTAGTTTATGTTCTCAGCCAGCCAGCGGAGAATTGACATGTCCTTTTGACGAGAGGAAGACTCAGACCTAGCACGGTATGTAAGATTGGTGTCGCTACCAAACCGTAATTTCCAGCACGGCCATGCAATGGGATGGCATTCTTTCCAGTGAGATACAGAGCGTCGCCTCCCGTGATGTTTGGCTGAAAAGTCTTGACATATCAAGTGCATGTATCCCTTGCTACTGTCGGAGTCAAGAGCTACTGCGACCCATATCTCTTGTATGCAGGCATTCGTGAGGAGTCGATGACGCTGACGAGCAGTGACAAGTCTAGACACACATGCTCCAAAAGAGGGTCCAGGGTGGCATCTGTAATGCTTGTCATCACGATCTTTCATTACACAGAAGTAATCTTCTCTTCACGTACATCTAGTCTTGGAGACATTTTATGTTGGCACCAACCAGAGTGGCATGGGCCGAATGCTTTCTTGGGGATCAACTATCTATGCGGGCTCTGAGAGTCCTTTTGTCTACACTGGGCGAATATGCTTTTGCGACTCTTGAGGGTCCTCAAACCGCCATGTACTTTTCACCCAAGTTGATCCTAACCATTCATTGGAATGGTGTCCCTTTTGCTCTCAATGATCGGATTGCAGAGGAGCTGCTCACTTGGCCTAGGTCGAGCACGGAATTGTCGTAAGTTAACAGAGCTGCCTTTCACTCCTTCATCTAGTGGTGTGGTGGGGCATCTGCCTGCACCACCTCTCACTACGGCACATCTCTTCCTGCATGAGAGCAAGGGCGTCTCTCTTTAGCTACAGGCACGTAGGGCACTCATGGTGCATCGCGAGAGGCGTCTTTTGGTTGTAAGCGGTACGACGATCATGTGGTTTAATTCCTCTATCGCTCACCCATCTATGACATATGTGCATGAGAGCTACTTCCGATTGAAATTTGAAGGTGTTGGTGTGCCAGACTAAGCACAGCCGACTATCGACTTCTTGTTCGTACCACAAATATCGCAATAGTAGACAACTTTGACATTAGTATCAAAGCTATGCAGAAGGTTGTCTACACTAAGACTCTCTCAAATCCACAAGACACTGGACAACATTGGTCCACTTCCTGCAGCTTGTACGTATATCCGTGGAGTTCCAGGCATCCTGACCAACCGTACCATCCACTAGTCTGATCATCAGCTGCAGCCAGAGAAAGAAAGCATGTGATCAGAATCCACAGAGTGGAAGTCAGTCCTTCGAAAGTCTCGATATCACACAGATTTCCCAGGTGTGTAACTAAAAGTGCTTCCGTTCCATCACAGCTTTAAGCATTGAGAACCTCCTTGTAAACCCGGGACGAGTCTTCTACTTTCAAAACTGATCGCTCAAGTTCAATCCGACAGTATCCAATTCAACAGAGACATCCTTCTCACGATGGAGACACTCAACCATCATGATCACTTCCATCACCATAACGACACAGCTCCAGAGAAGCTGGCAGTCATCCGCTTGAACAGCAACGGTCTCGATGATGACCTTATCTCAAACGCAGGAACCGTCGATATTACCCGTGGCTCTGGGATTGCTCGGTCTGCATCTCTCCGTTCCTACCGGCGTCAGAGTTCTCTCCTGCGAAGTTCGTCACGGATGGAATCATCGTCTTATTTTAAACACTCAGCGGAGCTTACTGCCCAGGCTGAGAGCAAGTTCATGGTATTGATGGAAGTGATGGCTACCGCTTCTAAGGAGGCTTCCTCACTCAAGGCCATTTGGGAAAGTATGAAACATGAACGAGAGTTGTTGCTCGAGAAGCACGAGGCGTTGGTTTCTCAGACTACTGATCTGACTGCTGAGCTGAGAACTCGTGAGGATGAGAGATCACGCTCAAACACCGACGTGGTTGACTGGAAGCGGAAGGTTGAGAAGCTCTTGATTGACCTTGCCACATCCCATGAGAGTACGGCTGCCGAGAAGAAACACGTTCAGGAGCGTGAGAAAGACCTCGAAAAAATCCGCGTTGAACTTCGCGAAGCTCGAGATATCGCATTTCGTAAGGACACTCAGAATGAGCGTGAACTTGAAACACTTCGGGGCAAGCTGAAGCATGCCGAACATGAACGTGATACGATTACACAGACTTCTGAGAAGCAACATCGGGATCTGAACAGAGCTATTCGAGAACGATCTGAAGAGACGAACAAGCTCAATGAAGTCACAGCCAGCTACGAAGCAACCCAGAAGGATGTCCACTCCTTGACTAGCCATCTAAAGACCGTCGAAGCAGAATGTGCAGCCTCGAACCAAACTGCTGCTCGCTTGCATGAGGAGCTCAAGCGAGCTAAGCAGAAGAGCGCCGATGACGCACGTGAGGTTATCGAGATTACCGAAAAATATCAGAAAGTTGTACGTGAAGCTACAAGAGTGAAAGAGACCTTAGGAGTCATCGAGCTTGAACGAGACGAACACCTACGCAGCGTCGAGACTCTCCGACGCCAGTTGAATGCCCAGAAGCTCGACCACGATGAATTGACCACCCGTTTCACTAGCCTCTCGCGAGATTATGAGGTCAACAAACGCGACATCATCGCTGCGCAGGATAACTTGAAAACATCCGAGTTATCTCGCGATAAACACATCAAAACTTTGGAGCGCACTCGCGAGTCTTTACAAAGTGTCACCCACCAGCGTGATGAACTCGCTGATGAGCATAACACGGTAATCAAACGCCTAGAAGAGCAGAAGCACCACTCTAGCCGAGCTAGTGAGGGCCTAACAAAGGCAGAGGATAAGATATCCGAGCTTAAGGTTGAGATTAGTGCCGTGAATGAAAAATTCGTTCACCTCCAACACGAACGCGATGACGCATATAGCAAGAGCAAGCATCACTTGACAGAAATTAGTCAGCTGCGTGAGCGTATCGCCAGCCTCGAGCACCAGAAACGAGATGCTATTGAGTCTCGCACAAGCATCAGTGCTGAGCTCGAAAAGCTACGTACTGAATACAGTCAGATTACGGAGACCATCACCTCCTTCCATGACGACTCTGATGATATGGAGCTGGAGATCCAGAACCTCAGAGCGCTCGCTCATGAGGCTCAAGAAGAGCGTGAACGAGCCGTCAGTGCCCGTGAATCAGCGGATCGAGAGCGAGACACTTACATTTCGAGGTATGAAGAAAAGTGTCGGGAGCTTGAAAGGTTCAGAGAAAGTGCTTTGAGTCGCACTGGTAGCTGCTCTCATGCCCATGCTCGTAGTTCCCGAGGTGGGACAGAGTTTCGGACGTCACGTACCACCATGTCGAGGAGTGTTTCGCATCTGGGTCATGACACTGCCCATGAAAATAGCTTCTTGAACTCCTCGACCACTGAACATGCTTCTCACCATGAGCCTGTCACTCAGGGAGATAACGAGTTGTGAGAAAGAAGTAAATTTGTGCACCATCGACCTTTGTTCTGGTACTTGCATGGAAAACAATCTTGTCGCATTTGTATATGGTGGGAGATAATCGCCTGAAATATGTCGTGGCAAACAACACTCTCTCTCTCTCTCTCGCTTGTTTCTTAATACAACCTCTACTAGGTATCCATTTATAAATTCATCAGCTACATGATTATTGTTGACGGTGAAGTCCAAGTCCAACCTGAACATGATAAAGTTATATTTGAGGTCAACTTTTATGATCATGGTTATGCGTCAAACTCATTACGAAGCTGGGTGGTACTTAACCACTGGCCCACCACATACCCTATGCATCATCATCTCCAAATGGTACCATAACGAATCTGTTTTTGCAGTATACAAACTTTGGATCCTCAAACAAAGCCTAGATGTAGTTTTGAGATAAATGACCTAACTGTATTTCGTGACCTTTAACGAGTACACAAAGCCGTGAGGAGTCTCGGACCTCCGTGGACCATAGATTTCCCATCCGCGGCAGCTTAGTAAACTTCGGTCGATAACATTTGAAATGAACACAAACTTCGGTAAAGCTTCTGGCCGTATATAATTCTATATTAACTATGTCTACATTACAGATTTACTTTTTTGAATTCCAATCACAGCATCGATTGATTGACCATCAAGCTGTACACATTCAACGAGCAGCAAAATTAACCATCAAACAGCGATCTCTCCATGAGCTCAATCAGGCAACCATCTGGACTGATTGCCAATAAAGGCATAGAGCTTCTTACTGCAGGCACTCCAAATGGTCTGGAATTTGCCGAAATTCACGCGAAGATACCTGTTACTGACTTACTTCCATATTCGTAGGATTCAAAATTTCCATCTTGCTCGAGGAGCTGAGGGAAGCCTATGGCAGGGAATATCAGTGTCAGAACATCGACATATTTCGGAACAACGATCACAAGGAGGCTTGGTTTATCGAGTACGGTCCGAATGGACGCATTCCAGTCATCATCGACCATGACAAAGGCGGCTTTGCTGTCATGGAGACTTTGGCCATCATGAATTACCTCACTTGTCACTACGATCCAGAGCACAAGTTCTCCTTCGAAGATTCGCTGGATACTTCCACCGCAGAGCAATGGTTAGCATGGCAACATGCCGGTCTTGGTAAGTGACAAATCCTGAGCTTCATGTTGCACATCGTCGTCCCATGTCTATCGTTGCCGGAATGAGGGTTATTGCTCTTGTTAGAGTTTTCTAGCGCTGACCTGCGAGGAACAGGACCAATGCAATCCCAGGCCAACTTCTACTATAGATTTTGTCCAGAAAGGCACCTTTTTTCCACCCAGCGCTTCTTTGGAGAAACCGAACGACTCTTTGGTGTCCTCGATGCTCGTCTTTCACAGCGTGACTACCTTGCTGGATCCGGGCGTGGACGATATAGTATAGCTGATATAGCTTGCTGGCCATTCATTGATTCATGTTTTGTCACTGGCATTGATGTACAAAAATTCCAGAATGTACATGCGTGGTGGGAGCGAATAGAAGATCGACCAGCAGTGAAAAGAGGGATGAAAATCCCGAGCGGACAGGAATTCCCTTACGGCATCAAAGCGATCAGGAAATATGCTGGCGTTGACGCAGAAGCTCTGAAGCAGAACGAAACGTCCTTGAAGCAGGCTCTAGCAGAAGCACAGGAGAAGTACAATTATGTTTATCGAAGTCCTTAGGGTTATGGGTAGTGCTGTGCAAGAATGTTCGACAGGCCTATCACCTCTGGGTCCATTCAAGGTCTCTCACAGCGAAGGAACGCCGAGGAATTTCAGTCTAAGAGCGATGCGTTGGTATTGAAAGAGAATAAGAGTTCCTAGGACTCTCCGTAGGTGGTCGTTAAACATGTCGCCTTTGCCCCACGGCCCTAGAGCCCCAGAGTTCGAAGCATACGGGCCTCGAGTGCCCTCCACTAGTACACAGAGGTCAATGCGGGACGTCAATTGCGGGGCCTGCCGATTTTGGTGCTAAGCAAATCCTTCGATTACAAGCAAGTTGCGCCAATGAAAGAAGTCTCAAACAGCATGTCGTCTTGCAATTAAACAAGGTGTAAAGCAAGTCGTAAACTCTACCATTGACAGACTCTATTCTCTACTCCGAGACGTAAGCGAACAATCAACAGGTATTGAGGCCTGCGACGCTATGCAAGTGGGTTATTGCGACAACCTGTAGAGGAATTAATAGATGATCATGGGGATATTGTGAATAGTGTCCGAGAATCAGAGAGAAATCAATTTCAGGTATAGCAGTCATCATCTGCGTCCCGTCTACCCCTTCCAAGTGTCTTCTTCGTATCTCGTACTGAGATCTCGGCTTCGCAAGTTTCCATGACGTAATTTATACCGACTTTTGTTAGTCTCTGAAGGACATGCGACTCTTGAATGGCGATGCCTCATCAGAGACATGGACCAATTGTCCACGTTGGCCCAATCTAGACAGAGGCCTGTGCGGGGTGTCCCACCGCTCGAGTTGTTCAGATATCCCGCAGTTTACGATGGTTATCGTTCTATGGCAGAAATACATCGAATCGTGCTCTGGTGTTAAAGCGTGGCTTTAGGCAGGCGACGGATATTTGATGCGTTATTTCCATTTAGCATCTTAGATCAGGTCCGGTACCCAACGAGACATTGAACAAGAATCGGTTCCTTTGCTCTCTTCTCGATCATTCCTTTTATTTATTCTATTGATGAAAAGGTGTCCAACCATTGACTATACCAACACTGAGGAGGCGGATCAAGTACGAATTGGCTTTCAGCTACCATGGTTGGAATACCCTCGAAGATAGATGTCCACAGCCACTTCTTATCACCAGTCTATCGTGAGCGTTGTCGGTCAAACGGCCACAGTTGCCCCGATGGGTTCCCGATGCTCCCAGTAGGCCTACGCTCTCTCAGTATATGTTATTGAGAAACCTGAGTATGTTGCACGCCAACTAAACAGAAAAATAGGAATGGAGTATAGACAAGCACCTGGAGATGGCGGACAAGTTAAACATCACCAAGTCATATTTGTCTGTCTCATCCCCTGGAGTTCACCTGGTGCCAAATGACAACGAGCTCGCACGTAAAATCGCTCGTGAGTGCAACGCTGTGGCTGCAGATGCAAAGGCACGATATCCTGACCGGTTCGGATTTTGGGCATCACTTCCTCTGCCCGACGTTGAGGGCAGTCTTGACGAACTAGCCTATGCATGTGATAAGTTGAATGCGGATGGGGTAGCGGTCGAGACCAATGCTCACGGTTACTATCTGGGCCATCAACAATATGAGCCTGTCTGGGCCGAGCTCAATCGCCGACACGCTGTTGTCTTCATACACCCGACCTCTCCATGTGTTCTGGAATACACAGGTTCTGGTCTGGTGGATTGCCAAAAGGCAGCTCCACTGGCAGAGTTCCCGAATCCTATCTTCGAGTTTTTCTTCGATACAGCCAGAGCCGTGATCAATCTGTTTTACACTGGAACTATCGCTCGCTATCCCAACATTACCTACATAATTCCTCACGCTGGAGGTGCGCTGCCATCATTGATAGAGCGGTTCTCTCGTTTCGGGCGAGCAATTCCGAATCTACCTGTGGACAAATCTGTTACTCCGGAATTTGTGAGGGAGCGACTGAGGACAAAATTCTACTTTGATATGGCTGGCACTGCGTGGCCTGATCAAATACCAGCCCTTCTGGCTTTCATCGGCAAAGACCAACTGCTGTATGGTAGTGATTACCCATTCACCCCCGCGGAACATGTTAGACTCCTTGCCGACACTATGGAGAGATGTATGCCTCAAGTATTAGAGACTGAGCACGACAGGAAGATGGCTTACAGTGGAAATGCCGAACTGCTCTTTCGAAAACAAAGCGAGATCGCCAAATTATCCAGTGCTTCGAGTATTTCGACCCAAGGCGTTGAATGAGTCGAAATGTGACCAAGCAGTAGTTGGGCAATCCGTCGACTAGTTAGCAGCTGCTTAATCTAGGTCTAGGTGTAACGAATTACTCCCTAAATCGCAGTTGATTACTGTATCATACTACCATGGCTCGGCTAGTAGATGAGTGACAAGTTTCGACATATTCGAAATTCAGTGGCTAAACACGCTAAACCAAAAGAGGTTAGACACTCAATGTTTAGCCCAAGAATTTCGACTTCTGGCAACCTCAACTTTGTGGCAATCGTGATCTTCCTTTAGATAATGGGCGCTAGCTCTCACAAGGAATCGAGCGCGTACTCTACAGGCGAGGGCCGTTGAATTTGGGCCTCAGGAGTCATCTCAGTTCCGAAGGGTTTGCCCCTGATGACGAGCAGGTAGTAGTGGGGAGAATTCGGCACTAATGGAATCCGGTAAGTCATCAGAGAGGCACTCTGTGTTTCGAGCCACCATCGGCGTGATTTTGTATGCCCCAGGATCGAGGACACTGTACCGTGACTTTAAGAATTTTGCAGAAGCTTTAGAGATGGAGTTGATAATTGTCTTCAGTTTCACTTCCCTTAGCGAGGCCGCACACATGCTACTGCGGAAGAGCCTACACTCGCAAAGAACATCTCACCAGACATCAACATGCCGTTCATGAGGGACTAGGCTACGATTGTAATATATGCCAGAAACGTTTCAAGCGCAGGTGAGGCTATATGTACGATGCGGCCATGGAGCAGGGTCATATCGCATGAAATTAGCCAGCTAATGTTCGGGACAGAGATCTTTTACGCCAACACTCAGTTGTGCACGACCCGAATCATGCAAGAACCGTGATTTCCTGCGATTCGTGCCGTGCGAAGAGGGTCAAGTGCTCTGGTGGCCCTCTGTGTCTTCAGTGCGAGCGACGTGGCATCGATTGTACTTTCCTGCGCGTCCAGCGTCGTACAAGGTATGCTCCAACAGAGCCCACGTCAATAGCTGTGGTTGCGTCAGCAGGAGAGGATGACAATCATGATGATGATACAGACTCAACCCCGGAAGCGGTCTCGAGGCCGATCAGAATCTCGGACGAAATGAGTCTGCGTCTTCATCCAGGCCAACCGCTTCCACCGGATGTCGACCTCTTTCTGAATCTCACAGTTCTCCCATCTCCACCGATCAGACCGAGCGAATTTCAGCCAACGGGTAATGGTATTAAAGCTATCTATGAAATCCTCAACGCAGAAGGCTCTTCGTTGGAAAGTTCTGTTCTCCAATGGACTGATGCTCAAGACCGCTTGGAAAGGTATCGCAGGACATATTTTCAAACATTCCACATAAAGTGGCCTATTCTTCATGCTCCGACTTTTGGCATCCAATCCGCTCCCTTACAGCTCGCCGCATCCGTATGTCTTTTAGGATCATGGTTCATGAATCCCACCGGAGACGAAAGATCTTATGCTCTCAAAGTTCATGATATCCTGTTACAACGCTTGTTGACCAGCCTGGTGCGCCGATTCTCACTCGTTGAGCAAAGAGTACACTGACTCCCATAGATGAACCAAGAGTTAATCACGGAAGGGCAAGGATGGCCAGGTGAACATTTCCAAGCGGTGCTCTTAACTCTGATTTTCTCGCTCTACCGTACCGATGCAATCGTACTTTCCAAAGCTACACATCTTCGAAACGTTTTCATCACGACTCTCCGAGATCTGGGCGCCTTCAACGACAAGTCGTTGGGTGCACATCTCGAGGCATATTATAGCGGTTCTTATGCCCCGTATGCCCTCAGTATGCGTGAGAGATTCAAACGGCTGTCAGCTTTGACCTATCAGTTCGACACTTATTTCGCGCTTGCTCGAAAAATACCCCCCTTAATGCACCATCAAGAAATCAGCATACCTCTGCCAAGTACCTTCATGGTGTGGAACACATACGGGCTCGACATATTGCCCATACGACAGCGGGAAGAGCCACCCGAACGGTCCCTGGTTGCAGTATCTACGATGATAAGCCGTCGAAATTCGCAAAGGCCCTTGCAATTCCTGGTCGAAGACGTGCAACTAGGCTTGTGTGGACTTTTGCAGGCGATATGGGCATTTACGCAACCATTTACAACTAATATAGAAGCAGACTATGGAAACGCTGCCCAGAGGGCGATGCTTACGAAAAAGCTAGATATCTGGAAACACGAGCTCGACACAATTAATGGATTCGCCGACTTGAAAAACATCCAGAGCGACAAGGCAAGATATTTGTACCTTGCTTACCGAGGAGAAAACAATTTCATAGCGCCATCACTGGAACGCATGAGTGCCCTCGTACAGGACACGATGATACTCTACTACTTCTTGCGACTTCTGCACTACGCCGGGCTGAACGCACCGTCAGAGACGACGGAGCTTGGTCCTGCGGAAAACTCCAACCTAGGCTCGTCACAAGAAATAAAGGATGACCGTGAAGCGCTGGTGTGCGCTCTCCAGCTGCTCGCGATGGCCGAAACAAGCGGCGCCTCATCTCAACTGCCATCCTTCAATCCGCTCACTTATCACGCCCTGCGCTTGGGCATGCACGTGGTGCAGGTGGTCCTATCCAAGCAGGTATGCGACTGCGCCGCCTCGGACGGCCAGCAGCAAGCCACGACCAACGATCTCAGACAGTGGGCCGAGAACGGTGGCCGGGCTCCTTGGATCAATGAGTCTCCCATCTGCGTATGTACGTTTGAGCGGTGCACCGAGCGTTTCCAGAACGCAATCCGAGATCGAAAACCCCTGTTGGAATAGACTTGAGATATTGCTTGACGCAAAACGTCCAATCATTCAAGCAATGAGGTGTTAGGCAATTGAAAGCCTTCGTACCTAGTTAATACAACCGCGTAGATGCCGCCGAAAACGTTGGTTGTCCGCGCTGTCTACTGTCTCTAAATTGAGTATTCCTTGTGCTCGGGTTAGTTTTAGTAGCATTATGGATGACTACGTCAGTGGATGCCATTCTTGGCTGTCATTGATAGATCGATTACAAGGAGGATGTACAACAAGAATGAAACTTGGTGTTGATGTAGCATATATTCTTACTTCGGCTCCTGGGAGTCCTCCTTCCCACCTGTCTGCGGGTCTACTTGCTGCTTGCTATGTAGGATGCCAAAGAGACAGGGCTACTCTTCGTGTAGGGAGATAAAACAAAACAAGCCTATTTTATATGTGACAACGAACTCGAGGTGCTGCAGGCCCAATATATTCAGCCAACACTGCTCGCTAGACCAGAACGTAACAACCCAGTATCGGAGACAGGCTCTTCAAAAACAATAAAATTGTACAGCAGGGAGTATCAACATCTTTTCCAAAACCCAGTAATAAACAAGAACGAGAAATCAGTCAAAAGAAAATTGGCCAGCTCGTCTATACGGCTTCGTCGACATTGTGCAGGGGGACATAACTGCCACGTGTAGCTTCCTCGCCCTTGCGAACGCGGAAACCTTTGCCGTTTCTGAGCATGACTGCGATGTCCATGAGGCCAAGGACGGTCGCGCGGAGTCGGGCGATGATGCCGATTTTCCTTCTTTGCCCACGGACTGGAACGACAATCTTGCTGCTCTCCAATTCCATTGTCTCCACAGTCAACCACTTAGGTCTACCTATCCATCGTAGAGTGAGACTTGACAGAGTGACGGAAATACTGCTAAACATCATTGCTGTTGCGCCCATCAATGGAGGCATATGATAGCCAAGCGGGAGGAAAACGCCCATTGCGAACGGTAGGCCGATGACGTTGTAGGCACAGGCCCAGATGAGGTTGACTTTGATACGACGGAAGATGATGCGGCAGAGGTGCAGAGCAGTGGGTATATTCAGCAGGTCATCGGCACGCATAATCACAATGTCTGCAGCCTCGACAGCAATGTCAGACCCGGATACCAAACCCATACCAATGTCGGCAGTGGCAAGGGCGGGTGAATCGTTGATACCATCACCGACCATGGCAACGACTTCACCTTGGGACTGTAGCTCAGCAACGATGTTTTGTTTGTCACCTGGTGAGACCGAGGAGTGGATGGAAGTTTTGGGGATACCGACCAGGGTCCCGATACTGAGGGCAGTGTTATACGTATCTCCGGTGATGAGCGATGTACTGATTCCCATCTTGTGCAATGCTGCAACGGCTGCTGGAGCGGTAGGTTTCAGCGTGTCGGAAAGGTCGAGGATACCGGCGTATTCATTGTTGATTGCGACGTAAATGGTAGTGATACCAGTTTTGGACTTTGTCTTCGTGATAGGAGACAGGGCAGAATTGACTGCCTGCTCCACGTCTGCCGGAATTTCAATCTTTTTGGAGTGCAGGAATGCGGCGTTTCCCACGTAAACTTTGTACCGGTTGCTTTGATTCCCTGGGTTTTCGAGATCGACGACCGCGGACACACCGTGCCCGACGCTCACTCCAAAAGTTCCAACTTGACCAGGCAGTGGATCTTCCTCACTGAGCCGTAAGTAAGTCCTTGCGGCAAGAATAATGGACTTTGCGATTGGATGTTCTGAGCCTGCTTCGGTAAGCGCGACTAGCGTCCACCAGATTCTCCTTTGCACGTCATTAGAATCCCATTTGGGTTCAAGGTGTGTATCGGCGACTTTCAATTTTCCGAAAGTAAGAGTACCAGTCTTATCAAAAACAATGTGAGTGATTCGAGTGGCTGTTTCAAGAGCGGCTCCACCTTTCACTAAGATGCCGTGTTGAGAGGCAACGCCAGTGCCCACCATGATAGCAGTTGGGGTTGCGAGACCCAGAGCACAAGGACAAGCAAAAACTATGACAGAGATGCATAGCTTCAAACAGACCATGATCTTTCCACCACTTTGTGCTTTGGTGAACAACGCGGGGAGATTGGTCATAGTGTGACTGAGAACGAACCAGGTGACAAAAGTGACAACTCCCAGAACTATGATTACTGGGACGAAGTAACCTGCAACGAGGTCCGCCATGCGTTGAATAGGTGCTCGGCTTGTTTGTGCTTCTTGGACAAGATTCACGATCTGGCTCAATTGTGTGTCTTTCCCAGCACGCGTGACCTTGAAATCGATTTTGCCCGCACCATTGACAGTACCTGCGATAAGTAAACTGCCTTTCTTCTTTGAAATCGGCATAGCTTCACCCGTCACCATACTCTCATCCACAAAACTGTCGCCTCGTGTAACGGTCCCATCTGCAGGGACTTTATCACCGGGGCGGAGAATGACAATATCACCGACCTCAAGCAATTCCGTCGGAATGACTTTCTCGACAGCAGAAGGGCCCGAAGGCCCCGAAGCCTGATCAGGTACATCCTTGAAGGAATTTTTGGTCGGTGTTTTCTCCAGGATTGGCGACGTAGGTGCGACCCAGTCATCTGCCAGCTTTTCTGCATATAAAGGATCTTCGTATATTGTGGCCATGCTTGGTGCAAGGGACATCAATGCTGACAGTGCCTTCGATGTTTGTCCCTTGGCCCGGTTTTCAAGCCATCTACCCAAGGTGATGAATGTGATCAACATGGTACTTGTATCAAAAAGGGTTCCTGGCATATTGTGAGGAGGAATTAGGATGGCGATTACCATGGCGAAACAACTGAAGATAAAAGCCGTGGAAGTACCCAACACGACCAAAACATCCATGGTGGGAGATTTGTGCTTTAAGCTCTTGAAAGCCGAGCTATAAAATCGCTTGCCAACACCAAACTGAACCGGGACCGTCAATGCACAGCAAACAACATCTCCCAAGAAAAGACCTGGTATGATTTCGAAAGAACCAAAATTTATGGCAGGGAGAAACATTGGTATAATCATGCTGATCAGAAAGACTGGTATAGCGAAAGTCAATGATGTCAAGAAAGCCCGTTTCCATTCTTGGATTTCTTTAGTCTTGGCCAATGATTCGATCTGGGCGTTATTGTCCTCCGAGTCTGCAACGAGCGCATTGTATCCAGCTTCCTCAATTACTGCCACTATGACGCGGAGTCCGATGACGGCAGAGTCGTAGGAAATAGTCGCTCGAGAGGTGGACAAGCTAATGAGGGCATTTGTCACGCCGATCTTGGACCTCAATTTAGTCTCAAGATTGGTGGCGGCATTACCATCAGAAAGGCCGTAAATCTTTAACTGGATAGAAGTGCTGGTGGAGCCATGCAGGGAAGTCTCCGGATTTGAGGAGATGATTTTTGCATCGAAGCCGGAGTCCTCGATTATCTCGGCAATCTTTTCTGCAGACAAAATCGAAGGAGTGTGAGAAATGACAGCACGCTCAGCAAGAAGGCTTATGTTGAAACGAACGAGACCTTGGACGTCTTTGAAACCCTTTTCCACTGATGAAGTGCAAGCACCACAAGTCATCCCCTCAATGGCAACGGTGGTCGTCCAGGTTGCCGACGTGGGTTCACTGTCGGTTCCAATAGCCAAGTTCGGCCTTAGGGTATTCTGTATTTTGGATTCCAGTACAGTTGCGTCAAACCCTCGATCCTCAATTATCTCAGCTAGAGCATCGGCGTCAATTATACTCGCATCGTGCTGAATGACCGCCCGACCCGCAAGTAGAGATATACTGAAACTCTTCACACCTGCAACCTCTTTGAATCCTGACTCGATCGCGGAAGTACATGCACCGCAGGTCATGCCTTCGACTTGAATTGTAGTTGCAGTCACCTTGGCTCCTGCTTCTTCTGGGACCAGGTTTGGTTGAATTGAGGACAGAGGCGCATTTGGAAGGTCGCTCGTCAGGACGTGGGCATCGAAACCGCGGTCTTCAATTAATTCGGCCACTTTTTCGGCAGTCAACCTAGTTGGGTCATGATGGACAACCGCTCTCCCCATCATGAGGCTGATGGAGACTGCGCCAGCACCGTCAACGCCTTTGAAAGCGGATTCAACGGCGGATGTGCAGGCACCGCAAGTCATGCCATCCACCTTTAACGTTGTAGTGGCCATATGTGCAGGATGTGGTTTATTAAGCGACCCCTGGTCGCCATCGTCTAGTAGGGACATGATTTGTGTTTTATATTGTATTGTTGCTCGGGAAGCGCGTCAGTGGTTGTGGAATTATCGCCGTCTCATCGTTTCGAGGGGTAGTGCGGTGGGTTGCAGAGGGAGAATCGACAAAGAATGTAGGTGAAGCAGACAATGGCCAAGATAAAGAGGCAGGCAGGGCGAAATGAATGTGCAGTGGAAGAAAGAGAAGTGAGCTGAAACAAAGAGGGACAGAGTTGTGTTGGAGGTGAGATGTGAGACGTGAGACGACGCACGCTGGAAGGGAGCGGCGAGTTTTGCTTAGATATCCAAAACTGGTGCTAGTGTATGTAAAGGGACCGCAGAGGGAGCGGGACCCTCGGACCACTGCAGTCACGACACACGGTCTTGAGGGAACAAAGGCACTGCCCGTTCGGCCCCTGTATTTCGCACTCGTACGCCGCTACTAATCCGCCCGGGCTTCGGAGAGTTCATCAGAAAAGGAGTGGCTTGCCAGGCTGCTTAGGTCTTTTTGACATGAACTAGCAACTGCTGAGTTCGAGCCCTGTTTGGTTAAAGGTTTCAGATCAACCACCCCCAAAATAATCTCATTTCTACTGCGGAGTATTCGGCGTGTCGTGCTCCCCAGATTTCAGCATGATTCACTGGGTTCCATCACATGTTCCGTCACGCCACATAATCTAATGGAAAGAAATTGCGCCTTTGATGATCGTAGTGTTAATAGTATGAAATCAGGATTGATAACACAGATTGACGATATTTTCTAGGTCAATTGAGTACTGAGAAGAAAAAAGAAATGATTCAGTCTTGTGAAGTTAGATTCGACATCACTTGACGACCTCATCCTCACAGACGAATTCTCAAAGTCATCGATATGGTATACCATAGAGACTTACAGGGGGATAAAATCTTCGGCAATTTGCGTTTCTCGTGTCACAAATCAAGGGAAACACGTTGAATCTGTCCAAACCCCGGAATCAGTCGTTTGAAAGCGTAAGCTCGCCCGTGGTGAAGCACGCAATCGAAGTTGATCGAGCCTCGCGTCTTGAGGGAACGGCGCCACACGTTTGACGAGCTCGTAGCTGATAGTCGCAGGAATGGCGCAGACAAGGCACAAGACGCCCAGGATCGTCAGCGTCTCGCCCGTGGTTTTCTGGTACATCCACGAGATGATCGGGAATTGGATCCAAAAGCTGTCCAGGGCGTCCATGGTCTCTTGGATGGACCATTCGGCGATGTCAAGGTTCGCCAGCACCACATTCTTTGCACTCTGGAGGACCTCTGATGTGCAGATGGCTAGGACTTTCTGGATCAGCACTATGGGGTTTAGTGCGAAGATTGAGTCGCGGTCATAGATCAGCGTCTTCAACTCAGCCGCTACATCCAAGAGCACCATGCCCCCTATACTGGCCAGTCAACCAGCTTAGTCAGCAGGCTCTCCTGTTTTGTCGGGACGGTGAATGTTGGAATCACCGAGTTGGCGTCCTTTACGCCATTCTTGAAATGATAGCTTCGCCAGTTTAAACGCGGGCTGCGATGGCTGTTGTCTTTGCGGTTCTCGTCCTGCGCTCTTTCCCCAATCGACCGGCCGGTCGGTCTTAACCCGGCGGCTTCTTTCACTGGTGCTATTGCGCCATCGAACGTGGTGGCGACCGCGACTCTGAGCGACTCAATTGATGACACTGCGTACGCGCCAGTTGCCTTGATGATCGTCTTCAATACGCGGTGCATCCAGAGAATGTCGTCCCATTGCAAGAGGAATCCAAGCCACACGACAAGTTCTTCGAAGAAGGCTTTGATCTTCCGGAACACGAGCTCAGCGACGCCCATGACCGCCTGAACCTTGTCCATGATTGCGTCGTAAACAATGTCGCCGATGTGAAGGACGAATCGGACAACGCCCTCGATTTCACGGAACTGCAAAGGCCGAGACGGCATGCCAAGCTGCCGCTGACATCCTCCATGGGTCACCAATGGTTACGACGACATCATCGACCACGCTGCTAATACTTGCTTCCAGACTCCTTGTCTCGCAGCCGTGACTAGCTGATAACACACCGACAGCGGTAGCGGTATCCTCGCCCTGATGATATGTGACCTCGTCCTTGCCAAAGACTAGTGCAAAGAAAACAGGGGATTCTACGGTCGGGACACTTCGTCTCACCAGCTTCGCGTCGCTTGGATCAATCTTTGCGCTCACCTTTGGAAAGATGGGAAAGTACTGATGCGCAGATTTCTTGTCCTGCTTTGAGATATCAGCCGATACCAGGGGTGCCTTATTGCCATCGTCTTTGGTGATCTCGACTATACCGAGACTGTCTGCGTCCTTGATAGTGAAAAGCTTCGCCTGAGCTTTTGCCAGAGGATTGATAGCAACGGAGGAGATGTTCGGATATCCTACATTGAATGGCGTAGCGGCGGAGGTCGCCTAAGCTCGGATGTCGTGTTGAGTCTGGTGTGCAGCCTTGTGTTTTGAATGGATTCCAATCGCCGTAGGGCAACCGCCGTTTCTTGTACCTTGGGTACTTGTGGAGACATGTCGACAAGAGTTTTCCTCGAGTATTCGTCCGGCTGATTTTTTGGCACGTGCAATGCTAGCCGCTGAAGGATTGACTGCTTAAAGAGCTGTGAAGTTAGCCTAAGTTGCCCAAGTTTACCTAGCGTTGGGCGCAGCCTCGTACATGACCAGTCGATGAGATTTCAACCTCGATGGTATCTGGTTAGGATAGTGGTGTATTTAGTTATGATTCTGTACGAGGTATCCTCTAGGATATCGAGGGCGAAAGAGAGAGAGAATGCCTACCTACGTACCTCATACCTAGGTATCTTAGTTACCTAGGTAGAAAGCACCCGCTTTGGCAGGAGTTGGGTGCCAACGGCACTTGCCGCGCACCACCTCCCAAGGCAAAGACTGAACAGCCACAGCTGCTTCCGATTCCACCCTTTCTAACTACTGTAGTGTTGATTATAATACGAGATCTCCAGCCTATAGCGATCTAAGACACCTTCCATTTTCTCAGCTCCCCACAGCTCTGTCGTACACAATAGACTCAAGGTAACCACGAAGCTTTCAGACGATTGTTAACTTGTCCGTAGAATCACCCAAAGTCGGGACACAATATGCAGAGCCTTTTCCGAGGAATTAAAGATCGCTAACGACGATTGACATAATCCTTCAGCCAGCCACAGGCTCTAGTCCTTCATTCTCCAAGAGGTAGCTGAAAAGAAAAGCTCCTAACCCCACGGATCATGGTGGCACAGTTCGACTCACATCGGTGGAGGGCAGGCGCCTCGTGAATGTTTGTCTCGGCTATGACATCTGACGTCTAGTGACTGTATAAACAAGCAAGCCAACCCCATTACTACATGAGGGAAGCAAAGTACTCTTCTAGTCTAAGCCTTTGCCCTTTAGACCTCCCAATAAGTGCCTTCAAGGCCAATACACTCCTCCTAGGATTTGAACCTCGAACCGCTCTTCATTTACCCTGCATCTTTCGGTTTGAGGTTGCTGGGTACTGACGATCTGGTATGCCAATATGAAATCATCGGTATTATCAAATCTTTCAGGCGTGGGTGGCTATGATTTCGTTGTGGCGGTCACACAGGCCAGCATCAATGCAACAATGATAACATATCTTGATTCCCTGACGTCGCCAGAGATTATTGTCTGCTATATCAGCCAAGAGAGTGTGGGAACGCCTGGATACACAGCCGTGGAAGTTGAGTTCACAAAGCTCCTGGAGCTCACTGAAGGAGTCGATCCGTTCACAGTAACAGTGCCAAGTGATAACCAGGAGAATGATCCAAATTTTCAAAAATTGTTGAAAGCCAACTTCATCATGGGATTCAAGGCTCGAATTGGGATTCCAAATGTTCCGGATAAGAGCAAACTCAAGGACATCGTGTCATTGCAGGGCGACACTGCACAAGTGGGCTTCAACTTGATGTGTTCAGAATTCACGGTGGCTGGAATTGAAACAGTCTCTGTCGACCGGTTCTTCATCCAGTCATCGCAGACTCCGGCAAGCACATGGCTCTTTTCCACTCAGGTAGACCTTCGCCTGGGTGATCTCTCGGATTCTGGCTACAGCAGACTTTCTCCTGAAGCTCAACGAAAAATCAAGAATCTCTCAGACTCGGTGTTCAGCATCCAGCAGTTACTAATTGACCTTAGCACTGCCACTCTTGCGGAATCTGTCAAGATCAGTGGTGTTGAGGCAGGTTCCACAGTTGAGACCTTCCTCGAAAAGTACTTCATTCAAAAGTATATTGCGAAGTTGAAGGACACTGGCGAGCCTATGCTTGGATGTGCAGCCGTCTCAAAAGGAACGGACAGATCGACCATGCTTCTGACGGACATGGACTTCTCAGTCAGTCCATATGTGGACTCACTGGGCAAGCCAGCGGCTTCAGACAGCCAAAAGGAGCTGAACACCCTCAACTACCTCTGCGCCACGGACCACCGAGCCCTTGGCCCAGCAATCCGCTTCCCCTGGAACTGGGTTGATGAGTCTGAGCGGGCTGACCATGACGGATGTATATCGATCAATCGAACTCGTATGATAGAGTGGCTGGAAGGGCTTGTCAAGACCACCGCTTCTTATCATTGCTTGCGGCCGACGGTATTCGCGAAGCATCATGATGGGAATATAACAAGACTTTATGTGGAGGTGTTCTTCAATGAGAATCAGCAGCCCGTTGTGGAATATCCAGACAAGAATATGGTCGATTCGCAGGGCCAAAAATGGAACGCTGATGGGAAAACCGTGCTCAAATTCTCGTGGGAGGGATTCGCCGCTGATGATGATCAAGCTGGAAACATCGAACTTCGGAACAAGTACGCCATGACTGTTGATCTCGTCGGATCCACTATCGTCATCACACAGAACATCTGGGTGTGGTACTATGTGCGAGTGCCGGCCTATGGTAAGGGCCATATAATTGTGAACGACACACTCGTTGACGAATACTCTCTGTCCACCGAAAATGGGGCACTCGTTGTCGGAACTGTGAAATCTAAGCTGACACAAGCTGCGGATCCTCACGACCGGAGCGCCAACATTTCGGACGTGAATGATTTTGGCAACAAGATCATCGAAGCCGTCAAGCAGCCAACTTCCATCAGCCTGACAAGCATCCCACTCTCAGTTGCGCCGTCGTACGTCTTCCCAGGCGGCAAGAGTTTCTTGTTCAAGAATGTCCAATTTTCTGAAAATCAAGACCTTGTCGCCTGCATCGCCTATGCGGACCCAGTCCAGTAGGAGGCAGCTGTAGTGGTAACTAAATGACCAGGTTATGTGATATATCCACAGTCATAGTCGACACCTAGTGGTCTGAGGAGGATGGAGATTGTAGGGCATGTGATTCTCCTAATATTTCACAGCCTTGCAATCTCAGTTCACATGGGAGATACATCTTGTTGTGAGCACCCACAGGGTGATCAATGAAGAAGCTGAAGTTGGAAGATAACCTACCATCTCCTCGCTGATAGTCTCGTCTCTCCACGCCATGTTTATGTTTTAAAACGTGGTCCCCCCCGTTACGTGCGCAGTGATCAGGGTATAATTTGAGCCCACTACGAATACCCAAGCAGCTGGCAACCTTCCTCGTAACGTTCTATGACTCGGCGTCGAGGCCAAACTGCGTCTCACTCCGCGGTGGCCCTCCGTAACACCATTCGTCGCCTCATCATCCCACGCTCCACGCTGCGACTCCAGTTGTCTGTCCGTCTGGGACGCACCACTGCCACTGCTTCTGCTCCTGGCACCCATCTTCGTCCCCTCACCAGCGCTTTGAGATTCACGTTCGCTGGCGCTCTCGTTGGCAACAAATTCCAGATCACTTCTGCCACTGTACCATGGATCAGTCACAAATCAAGGCATTAGCTGCCATTCATCCTTATATCCATTTGGCAACGACTCAGAAGAACCCTACACAGCGGTTTGTCTGTGACCTTATCAACCGTGCGATCTCCGCACCAGGAACATATCTCTTCGCCGAACTACTTCGAACACCTGCTGTTCAGAGCCTACGTGGCACAGACTCGCAGTCATATTTGACCCTACTGGAGATCTTTAGCTGGGGCACCTTTGAGGAATATTGTGGTAAGACTTCGACTTTCAAATATTCAATCAACCATCAACACCAACTTACTCACCTTCCAGCTGCCTCTGGTCTCCACGAGCTCGATGACATACAAACATTTAAACTTCGACAACTCACACTCCTGACACTCGCTTCACCATTTGCACCTCGCCCCCAGAACGCCAGCGGTGACGACAACCTCACCTACGATGCTCTACTCTCAAAACTCTCCCTCCCTGACGCTGCGAGCCTCGAATCACTGGTCACACAAACAATCTACTCTGGCCTCCTGGTAGCCCGGCTCTCACCGACCTCCAATCCTCCGGTCGTAAAAGTCAAGTCTGTCGCCCCTCTTCGCGATCTACGCCCACAATCCATGCCCGCCCTCCTTCAAATTCTCCGCACATGGGAGTCTCGCTGCACCACCATGGTCACAGACCTCGAAGCACAGATCGTTGCAATCCGCACCACAGCCTCTTCGCGCAACGTGCGGGCCCAGCGCAGACAGGACGTCGTGGACACCGCTGTACTCAGCGATAAACCACTCGGCGACAACACTGACGCCAGCAAGGGCCTTGCCGTCGCGCAGCGGGCATTGAGAAGTGGGGCCACAAAGCTGCCGACCAAGCGGAACCTGGACCAAGAAGCTGAAGGTGAGGAGGATGATTACAGCGACGAGGATGGACGCATGGATCTCGACGAAGGCATCGACATCGGCACAGCCGGCGGTCTTAGCGGTGGAAGCGGCTCTGGTTTGCGGGGCGGTGCAAGCGGAAGTGGTCGGGGCGCGAAGAGAAACCGAGGACGAGGAAAATGAGCAATCGTCTCTTCAATGTTCTTTTACGAGTTTTCACGAGAACCACGCCGTATCGGTTGAGCCTTGCAAGTGCGAGAATGGAATTGCCCTGCGAGCCCAACACTCATGTACCGGAGTTTAACAGGCGCACATAGCGAACGGCGTTACTACTACGGAATTATGCTACTATCATAACTGAGCAGAAGCAGGATGTCCCCATAGGGAAACGCCCGCCGTGATAGATCTGAGATACCCTACAGCCGACCATCAGGGCTCGCTGACCTGGAATGACATACCGTCTCAACTCAATATCTAACCTAATCCACACTTCCCAGATCAAGATGCTAAATGGCAAACCAAAAGTTCATTTCTACCCGTGGATCCGCGTTCACTTATTCAGACACAGAAAACAAGGGTATCTACACCTAACCCCCTACCCAAAAAAGAAAGATTCAACACGGCAAGATTTCATCCAGGCGTTCAGCATAGTTTTGTGGTCTCTTGTGTACCGTTCAGTAGTTGGGTTGACCTGCTTCGCCTGGCTGCTCGTCTGCACGCAGAGCTGGTGGTGATCAAGTAATCAGTTTATGTTTCCAAGTTACAATTTTGTTTGGGTTATCATGTTTTCGTCTCATTGAACTGATTGGAGTGTTTGTCAAGCAGAGCTGATATAGATAGACATTGAAGATTGATAGGGGATTTCAAAGCCACTCATTTCCAGTACCTTTTAGATAGAAAATGATAGAAAATGTCACACACTCATGTTTCCGAAAAGCCGAACTGCATGTAATCATTGAATTTGAGTTTCTTTTTGTACTTTACGCACGTTCATCCATTGCCTGCGACCTTCATGGGAGGTAGGTATCTTGCATTATTGACATCCATTGCTGTTCCCCTTTCGCGTGTATCGCTTTGTGAAGAGCTTCTATGGCTCCTTCGTGCTTTCTTCGCGTCTTCTTCACCCAGTGGCCAGCCGGAAAGGCTGAAACCCGAACGTTTTGGGGGCACTGAAAGGCGAAACAGGCGTACTTGAAAACTCCCACATATTCGCTGGTCCTGTCCACTGGTAAAACGCCGAAAATCCCACGCTCCATTCGTTCAAGACCACCTAGGCCGTCAATTGCTCCCTTTGCTCGCTGGATATATAGAAAAACATGAAGCAGTTACTGTGAGTTTGAGGAATCCAAGACTCCGAATCTCGAAGTGCCATAGTAGACTCACTCCCTTCGCGTCTTTGTAGTAGCGGGGAGTAGAAATGGATCTTAATCCCCATCGGCCTCATTGATGGCACTCAGGCCATTCGTAGAAACATATAAAGAAAAGATTGGGGCATGGTTTTAAAACCTTGTTCCCGGCACGAATATAAAGAGCACGCTCAGGGCGACCGCCACAGCTGCGAACATGAGCGATGCCATCGTGGCTCGAGTGAGAAGTAATCTCCGAACGAAAGGCTCTCGCACTCTTGACCAGTTCATCCATGTGTATTCACTAAATCCCAGGTATGCAGCCAGAATGTCGAGTTTGTATTGGTAGGAGATAAGGAAATAAGCGCCAATGGTGAATGGGAGGATCAGCTGGTTTGAAAAGTCAGTTCTGGATAATCTTCAAGTGGATAACTCTGAAAAGATACTCACATAACACCTCATCCGCCGCGACTGGTCACTTAAGATCATGTAGAATCCCCCCCAAAACCCAGCCATTAAACTGGCTAGGCCAATGATGAGCCTTATCAAGACACTGAGGGGAACCAGGTTGCCTAGTGCTTTCGCCTGAAGAAATCCAGGAAACGCGTCTCTCTCCATGGCCTGGAATACATAGTCTTTGGCATCATCAAATACTTCGGGGTCATCTCGGCCCTCTTCTTCAATGGCTCGGATGATTCTATTCAGCATAGAATCTGGGAGAACAATCTCGCGTTCAGAGCCAGGCAGGACAAAGGTGTAGAGGATTTTCTCAGCACTAGCCTTGATATCCGCTCGAGCGACGCTGTGCCCAGGAGAATTCGAATCAGTTCGGACTTCGGGCGTTAGATAACTAGGCTGTGGGAGTTCCGAAGGCGATGGTCTATCCCCTGATGGACGGCTGAAGTTTCTCGAGTGCCCAGATCCCATGCTATGAGATGGAGAATGGTCAGTACCGCCTTCTCTGCTCGTGGATTTTCGTGCGTTAGAATTCTCAGATCTCAGGAAAGCTGAAACCCTCGATTCATGCCCGCTCTTCCTGTGATCTGAGACGGCCTCCCCGATGTCCAAATTCTCGAGTAGTTGTGAAGATCGTTTGCTCGTGGCTTTCTCCATCTCCGGAGTATCAACCAACATAGATCGACGTAGTTCTCGGACGTAATGCCGACATAAGGACATGTGTTGAGATACATCAAGCCTATTTCAATCAGTTAGCTTTAGCCGATTCCTTCATGCGCACGGAGACTCAACAAACATACCAAAAATCCAGGTAATCGACTGAGCGCTGCTGATCTCGCATGTAAATGTAAAATGAAAATAAATCCACCGGTGCTAATGTTCTTCTGCCCAGGACTTCCATCAGAGTTGGCAGCCTGTTACGCTGCTCAAGCTCTTGTTCCGCATTCCCGTGGACGTGCGCCATTGTGTGTTGATTTCAACGTCAAAGTCCGTGCGGACTTGGATTCTCAAGTTTTGGAGGCAGGTTGTACGCCGCCAGAGGGCCAACTGTTCTGAAATGGTGCGCAGTCGCTGTAATTGAGGCGGTTTACGGATGAGAGCAATGCAAAGTTTTGGATTCAATCTCTGAAGTTGATCACTCTCGAGAACGCCAGCGATGTTGCGCGGAAGAAGAAGTGAGAATGAATTGCAGGGGAGGAGACGCGATCGCGAAATCGATGGTTTGAGTTGATAGCGCCGAGAGAACGAAAAGGTAGCGAGTGTAGTAAGGAATTCGACGAGAAGTTGAAGGGACGAAGAGAGCGTTGGAAGAGGTTGGAGGGTTTTTGCTGAAGGTGATTGTCACCAAGGTGCGACAGTGAGGTTGGAGTGGCAGCAAGAGAGTGGTACAGCAGGACACATGCATGACCGTGGAAGGGGCCGGAGGTGGCAGTTTTGCTTGGCTCTGGTGGGATTCGGACGCCTGGGAGCCCTTAGGCATCGGACTCAGGAACGGGTAGTCCTCTCTGGGGAAACCTTAGGGGCACTACCCGCCTAGACCTTTCTCAACTCCGGCCTATCGTGGGCTTTTGTTTCGGTGCGAGTAACTTGCAGGCTCCACCCCTACGATAACTATAGCAACATCAAACCTTCACCAATGCCGCTGACTGGTCCTCCAGTCCTTTGACGCAATCTGAAGAATCCTACTGCCCAGGCCAAACCAATTTAGACTTCACCCACTGGAGATCTGACACACGTACTTGCGTAGACAATGGTACACAGTGTTTGATGGTAATTCCATATCTTTGTGTCTATTCAATGTTTCGTACGGATGCCTATTCCATTCGTAGGTCCTGGTCTCATGCATGTTGGGTATCATAAAATCACTAAATCATTTTGCTGGCCATTCGAGTTCGTCCATTTCCTTTTTCCTACGAGTACGAGTACGCTCACGTCGTAAAACACGGCTTTTGATTTGCGGTACACTGTTCGCCATTGAGCCCTTGTTAAGTGCCTTGACTTTCCCAGAAGAATCCTAATCTGCCAGGTGCTATTCAAGGTTAGCATTCACATATAGGGAGCAAGAAGATAAGGTAAGCCACTTACCGACCACTCCGGAATGTTCTTGATTTGCTGCCACATGAATTTTTCGAGCTTGTTCGCACTCTTCGCATACGGGGTGGTCTCATTGTTGTACCGACGGCAATTGTCGAAGATCAATTTTGAATCTTTGATGAAGTCTTCTGGTCGAGGATACAGATCGTTTTGCAATCGCTCCTCCATCGTCGACAAATCCATGGGCTCTTTGATTACCTCATAATAGTCTGGAACCTCATCCTTATTGACCGGTTGAGCAAATGGCCATGCTGAGGTATGGTTTTGCATGTCATTCAAGAGATGAAGAAGCTGGTTGTAATTCGGCCCGTGGCGGGGTTGTCGTGATAGTTCGTCCATGGATGGTGACCATCCAGACTCTTTAATTGCAGGTATTGACATGGGATCAATCTCGACAATACCATTCTTCCATTGCGCAGGGGGGGCGTGTACCATGTGTGACTTGCTGACCGCTCGAATCTTAGCCATCACTGCCTCTTTCTGCTTCTGTAGCAGTCTTGGCGCCTCCAGATATCTGATTTTCGGTAGCATACTGCACTGCATGATCGTTCCACCCTCGTAGTCTTTGATGTACCCCATCCATATCGACTTTTCCAAGGTGATCTCCTTGGTGAAGCCCTGTTTTTTGAAATAACCAATAGCATAGTTGTCGGCATAAGTCAAGAAATACATAATTGGCGATGTGGCTTTCACGTAGTCTTTCAAGTGCGACATGATGTGTGCGCCATAGCCTTTTACTTGCTGATCTGAAGAAACTGCACAGAACACGATCTCTGCAAACTTGCGGGCATTGAAAGGGCGATATGTGATGCCTCCAACAACCTCGAGCGGGTGCTTCATAATGGCAATTGAGAGGTGGGTTTTGTCATAGACCAGGCGTGCAATATAATCCTTCGGCATCTTAGGCAATTGTTTTTGAAAGATACATTTCAGTCCTGTCAATATGATATTGCTCTCTCGCGAATTGTCGTTGTTGACCACCCGAAACTCGACGATGCCCTGCTTTTCTTCGATCACGGCTGGTTTATCTGGAAAGGTGACAGGTGTTGGGGTGATGGGAGGATCCGAATCAGAGTCTTCCTGTTTCGTAACATCATCCAGTGCCGGCGATTCGGTACGCGCTTTCTTAGATCGAGATGAGGAATCATCTTCGGAGGCTTTCCGCTTCCCATCTGTCCAATGTCAGTTCAAGTTGCCCGCAGTGTAGCGACAGGTTTTCGGGTACAGCTCACTTTCTACCGTGGGACCCATGATCTTATGGCTGGCGCTGACAATACTGGTCAGTAGATGACACTGTCGCCTTGTGGGAACGCAAAAAAAAGAGGATGAAATAGAAGAAGAAAATCAAAAGGGCAGTTGCGCTGGTGGTGATCGAGGGACGCTGCCTGTCGTGGGGAATTGCGGAGTATTTGAGAATGCTGCTTTAAGCAATAAGCGCGGACTCTCATTAAAGTGGCAATAATTTGTCATTTAACTAGTTCAATCTGAACGCGTCACTAGCGTCAACGCGTCACGACTCACGATGGCTGCAACCTCGTCAACAAAAAATGCGTACTGAAGCTAACTACCTAGGTAGTCCATCAATCTCAACCTCCAAAGAGCTCTTGAGGAGAGCCAGAGCTCGACCCGAATACTACTCGACATCAATTCGTGCACCAGTAGCATTGTCAAATAAACCGCCGCTCCTCGCATTTTTATTTGCTGCAAACCAATAAACCGTCTTATTAAGATCAACCTCGAAAATCCAATGCTCTTGAGTGCTCGGAGAGACAAGATCTAATGTGTACCTCGTGGAACCTTGAGCGGGTGAGCTGTTGGGACGATCTTGGATCAAACGATAGATGCACCGGGCCATCCGTCTCTGATATTCATGCAATGAAACTGCATGGTCCAACGCCTCCTCGCACCATGTCCCACCTGACACCAGTTGTTCCCCAGGCATTTGAGTTCCAATTGTGCTCACACCCTCCGATACTATTCAGTATGAATGGCGTGCTTAGGATTGCCAAATTTGTCTGAATATGTCCAACCGGTCATCGTTGTCAAGGATGAATGTACAAAATGGCTTCATGCCATTCCAAGCTCCTGGCAACCAATAACAGTCTCCACGAATAATATCGACGAGATTGTCAAGTGAGCTGGCATGTACGACACGTGGTGCGATGTCTATGCTAACCTCTCCATCGCTAATATCCAGAACTAGCACCGTATAATAGAAACCAGGATGCTAAATATCATTCGCCATCGTCCCAGCCGAAATCTGGATCTGAATGATGATCTTCGAGCACACATTGCGGACAGCGTTACAAAACATGCGCAGGCCATCGTGGACAAGATATGTGCAAGCGTCCCCAACCATGCGGAGAATATCACACAAGGGATAACTTCACTGCTATCTGACGAGGTTCTTTTCCCTCAAGGCTACATATCAGATCCCACAGGCCTCAGATCTATCCTGACTCGGAATCTCAACATGCCCGTAAACTTGTGTCATCTGGAATGTGGATGATTCATGGAACTTTGGCCGACCTCCCGAGCGAGGTCGAACCCGCTGGTGATACGTTGCCTTGTTTCGATCTCCGTCCTGGTCAACTCGAGTGGATCCAGAGCCAGGTCCTAAGATTAAGAAAGGTCTTCTCTTTATTAAACCGGCTAGAAGTCTCGAGTCCGTTAAGACACTGAATATCCGTTGATGCGACTTCTGTTTCGGGAACAAATGATGCTGCTGATACGATACACTTGATAAGCCAAGAGATTCGAGGTGTCTCCAGAGTGCAGCATTTCCCACTGGCTTTTCTGGAGCTCTTTCATCAGGCACCACGAGCAACGTTTACACGTCCTTGGTCGCCTCAAATTCCCCATATATCACTATTTTGACCAACTTGAAGCCCTTTGTGCTGTTTTGAGGTCTTCAATCAATGGTGACACTATTTCGTCATACACTGCGTTCTGAAAATCCTCATCGTCCAGACTTTCCGCTCTTGGCCCGTTCCAGAATAAGCATTTTCTTGCTACTGAACCATACCTCTCCCCACAATGAAGTGCCACGGCATCAAGAAGTCGTGAGGCCGTCTTCAATTTTGTGACATCGCCGTCTGGGTCAACTTCCTGAGGCAGCTGCATCGCTTTCAGGCTTTGACAGAATGCGAGCTCCACCAGGGCAAGTCCAAGAGGGAATAGAACCTTGTTTTGAATCAAAGGGCTTGAAGGCAAAGTAGATTGCAAGCCTGAAAGGCTGGACCATTGCGGGACTGGAAAGGTCAGGCAAAGATGCTTCACTCCGTCTTTACCTGGAGCCTCTGTATCTTCAACGAGCAGAAGGTCCCCAGTGTTCCACGAGGGAAAGAGCCAATTTCCATGCAGACCAATGACGTTTGCTGCCAGAAGAGCTGCTATACGCAACCTGTTCCTCCACAAACCTAGTGAATCAGGTTCTGCCATCCATAAGGCTGTTTGAGCTGCTGCAATTGCCAACGACTCATAGAAAGTTGCCACTTGACGAAGAGACGATAATGATCGTACAACGTAAAGATTGTGCCGATCGTCCGAAGTCTTTTCGTGAAGGCATCCGAGGCATCGTCGATTCTCTCCTGGAGCCAGAGCAATTGACAATCCCTTGCAGATATTATTTAATACCTGTTGATCAACATCCTCCTGTAGATGGGTCCAAGGTAAACTAGACAATGTCGCGGTGGCGAGAGAAAATTGTACTTTCTTGCCTCCTTTGGGCCCCGTTTGCTCTTTCAATCCTTCTAGGTGTGTAGACGATAATGTTTTCACTTTCCTGAGGTGAAGGACTGGCACAACCTCCAACTCGTGTCCCTTCCCGTCGTCCTCTAGGACAGCAACTCGAAATATGATACCACGGTTGTCAGGTTCATCATCATCCATAGACACAGCCTTCTCGTTGAAAAAGAAGTCAACCTTGTGAGAGTGATCTGCGGTACAGTGCCAATGTCCTTGGTCTAAGAAGGCGGCGCGAAAAGATTTTGCATATCTCCGAAAGGCACGTTGTCGGGCAAGCGGTCTAGTAGACGTGCGATGTTTCCGACGACGATGCTCACGTTGAGCTGCGTCACCCAGCAGAGTTCTCAATGCGGAATTTGTACTCTCGATCTTTGCCAGCAGGCTTTCGTACACGGTTTTCGAAAAAATGTCTTTGAATTTGCGGACTTGGCCAAGCAGGATATCCTGACTCTTTGTTGCAACCTTTGCAAATTGAAGAATTTAGCACGCTACTGAATGGCTTCCGGGATTCATGAAGTGCCTTGGCTTTGTGTCCAAGTTGCATGACCTTGACAGCCACATTACCAAGGCATTGGGATCTCAAATGCTACTCACTTGTTCTTGACTTTCAATATCCAGATTGAGCTTGCGTCTCAGGTCCATTAGCATAAACGACAGGGACTCAAGGTTGGCAACAAAGATGTCGTAATCTTGGTCAAGGCATTGGCGAAGACGCTGATCAATTTTCCCCATTTTCAGAGGTGTGAGCCAGTCTCCCTTTGATAGCAGAGTAGTAGTGGGAGTCTCAATATCGTCTTCGAGTACATCTTCAATCAGTGTTACGATTGCATTCCTTAAATTCGCAGTCTGAGTCCCCAAATTTGCACGGTAGGAGTCCATCTCTCGCCTGTATGTCCTCGTACGAAACGATCTGAGAATTGTGAGGCCGACAGCGTAATCGTCGAGTCTCTTCACTAAGAGAGGAAGTACAGCAAGAGTCAGCCCTGCGATCTCGATACCGCTCGCCATACTGATGCCTTTTTCTTGGATCAAGGATTGAGTGATGATGCCTAGGTCCGACGACCATCACGTCTTCGATCAGGCTGAACTTCAATCTACCCCGCAATGCGTGCCAGCGCACCATCTAATCTGGCCAGGAGTCTTGTTGACTAAGCTCCACCTCGCATGAATTCGCACTCTACCTCAGCCTCATCGAGGACTGGGAGACCTTGCCGTCTTGCTTTTCACCCCCCTTTACCATGCAAATACCCTCTTCCGCTCTCAAATACTCATTCTTACTGCGTGACCGAGCAATTTTGTCAATATCTATTCGAGTAACCTAGGACAGACAACCCACAGGGAAACCGATGTCAGAATCCACATCTTCCGCGATCGACTCGCATCAACCCTCCACGGTATCGCGTATGGAGACCAACATATCATCCAGCTATAGACGTTGCGCAAGCTCGTTGGAAAAAACCATAGCCAACAAGGATCTCGAAGCAGAAGCATCATCTGTGCCACTGGCGCTTTGGGAGGATGTCCTCGTTAGGTGAGTTCCCCGACAAAGCAGCAGTCGTTCACGTGTACACAGCTGGGGTAAGTGCGTCAGAAATAGTGGTGGTGTAGCGGATGGATATCGCTTTCCCTCGTGAAAGTGTAACCAGGACTGCAAATGATACTATAAACTCGTGGACGTTCAGTTTTTTGCCCAAAGAACCCTGTTGTCCTACGTAAATTTGATCTCTAACAGTTCATGGTATTCTAATATCTTCAAAATCAAGGCTCAAGCTTTTCGCCAGTAAGATCGGTGCTCATCAGACTGGAACAATGTCTCTAGACTACCGACTTCGGGAGGCTACCCATCTGCGCGACAGGTTGCTCAAGACTTTGTCTAGTATAGACAATGCCATTGAAGACATGAATGAGATAATAGCGTCTCGATATCTGTCCTCGGATAACGAGGAGTTCATGTCAGCAGAAGAACGATGCAATCAGCTACGTGACGTGTATAACACTCTTCAAACGCTTGTGGATTCTATGTTTCACTTATCGATGACCATCAGAAAACCTGGTCGTGTTCAGAGAATTCAGAACTTCGGCGAAGAAGCTGAAAGTGAAACGAGTTTCCTGAACAGCCTGGACTTGCGTCGAATAACAGATAACTTCCCCTATGCTAGCATTGTTCTACGGCAACGCCTCACAACTGCTACGGCACGGAGACGGAAGACTTTGAAGTATCTTGAAAGACGGCATCACAAATTGCAGAAAGGTATTGATGGAGGAGATGACGAAGAAGGGTCCACCGTCCTCTCTTCCCTCGTGGCGACGGCTCTTGTGGAGAATGATCTCGAACATCAAACATCAAAATCAGATATTGGTGGTTCCGAGACATCCTTCGGGACGTCGCTTTTCAGCAGCAGCAACCGCCGCACCATTCCACCTCCACCTGAAGCCAGCCATGATGGCAAACCTTTTGAATGTCTATACTGTTTTTATATTATTCGAATATCATGATTATCAAGCTGGGCACGACATGTCTTCCGTGATCTTTCCCCCTATATCTGCCCTTTCGACGAGTGCAACATCCCCGGACGACTCTACGAAAGCAGACGTGTTTGGGAAGGTCATATCAAACAAGACCATCGCAACACTCCCTTCAACTTCCGATGTCCTCTATGTCAGGAGGGACGGTTAGAGCACAACATAAGCCACCATATCGCGCGACACCTTCAAGATGTTGCCTTGTTTGTCCTGCCGCCATCCTCCTCAGATGAACGAGTGTCTGATACTCAGACAGATGTTGCTGGCACTGAGACTGAGTTATCAATCGAACAAGAAGACCAACCAGCCTCACAAATAGCCGCAGCCTCAGCGATTCACAAGAAACTTGTCGGCGAGGGTAAAAGCCATCAAACAACGTCCAAACTATCAAAAGCTGAGAGGGAGTTAATGAGTACCCACCAGGAGACAATTGCAATGCAAGAGCGGGAGCATGCAAGACTTGCCAAAGTTAAGGAGACTGAGAGTGAAGCACTTGGCACTCATCGCAAAGACGAGGAAGAGGTTTTATCCGTCGTCGAGAATCTGGGAGCTGAGATACTTGTTGAGCCACTTGAACCATTTCCCGCTAATGATGAGGATGTGCAAGAGATGCAGAGACAGGAAATGGAGATAAGGGAGGGGCAACTCATGCTGGAGGAAGAAGCCCTTGATTCGTCGTTCGAGGCGTTGCCCGGACTAGCGGCGATCCAATCCATGGAAGAAAAAGCTGAAGCGGCCAGGCAAAACATGGTAGAGAAGCAGAATTTGGAATTAGAGGGCAAGATAGCTCTCCAAGAAAGCGATCGGGAGATTGACCGAATCATGGTAGAGGAAGCCCAGGGAAAGGATCGCCTCCCCAACCATGGCATGAGGCAAGAAGACGAGGTGCGCATCAGATCACAGGGCGAGAAGCATATTACACATCACAAGACAATGACTCGGCTTGATGAAGATGATGCATACGCGCCGTTGCGCCCAAAGCTCTTTGGGAGGACTACGCGGTATAATCGAAAGGACGACTCGGTCGAATACCTAATCGAAGGAAGAAGATCTCGAACCTACCACGCAGCAAAGGATATCTATACGTTGCCAGATAATAACGAACTCGTCGAGGGCAAGTATCTCAGCGAGCCTCCTGGGTCTGAGCATCAGCTCACAGAGCATGACGATGACGAGCTGAAACGAATGACTGAGGAATTGACTCAAATGCTCGCCAAGGAGAGAAAGGACCGTATCGAGGCAGAAAGAACCAGCACAATTGCTGGGGAGAAAGCCAATAGACTCGAGGCTGATCTGGCGCATGAACAACGCCAAAGATCTCTCGAGGAGCGCGAACGTGCTGCGGCTCAGCGAGAACGTGCTGCTGCTCAGCGAGAGTTACGTCTTCGGGAGGAAGAAGAGCATCGCTCACGCGTCGAATCTCGTCCGTCGGTCGTCATTCACAATCCTCGCATTTATCATACAAGCGTCACAGATCATGTTGACACCAAAACAGCACTGGGTCGAGCGATGGTTGATGCTCGAAGAATTGAAGAACGGCGAGCAAAGCCAGCGATAGACGCCCCTTCCGATGGAGAGAAATCACCAGAGTAAATGAATCTTCTCAATGTCGAAATTCTGGGCATAAATCTTAGGAGTCCAGTACCATGTTTTGTAGCGAGCACATGCATTTCGCAGCAAGGGGTGTACGAACTCAGCGCAGGGTTTAGTCACCCACAATCTGTTTCGTGTCACAGATCGAGACTCCCGCTTTCACTGCTTAGCCAGTACATAAGTAACTATGCAGACTGGGTATCATTCAACAATATTGAGACTACTCGACCTGTCAATTCAAAGTGCTGGAGAATTCCCTTCCAGACAAATTTACTGGATAATTGACAATGTTTTTGCTCGGAAAGCTCAAGTTGATATGTTTGAACCCAGTACCAAAAGAGTATCACTACCTGTTGCGCCAGCCGCGGACCATATGGCATTTCCCGGTTTTCAGGTGGTCGTGTTGTGCTTGCTATAGCTGATTGATCCAGCTAGGCCTATGGGTCCGCTTGGACAATCATGAAGCTCGAGAAAAACTTGTCCAGCGACTCATAATCGTCGACCGGCCCAATATACGAAATGTATTGATCAGGGCGAAGAACGACAACACAGCCTTCTTCTGGGTCAATGCCGTAGTTGTCATACAAATGCCCATGCCCTTCATGATACGATTCATCATCAACCAGGATTTTGGAGTAGTCCCATCCATCTCGCTCGTCGAAAGTCCTGAAAATCTCGGGGAAATCGAAAATTGTGGTCTTTTGACGTCTGCCCGCATGGACACCCAAAATCTCGAACACTGTTTCATTCTTATTGGGCTTGGGACCGAATCGTCGCACAAAAGATTCGTGTCCTCCAAGAGATTTGCCAATAGTAGCGAGCTTCTCTGCTTGACGGGGTGATCCAAGGTTGCCGGCGAAGACGATGACTCTCCATGTACCGTTGCTCTTCAATAATTCTTGGAATTGCCAGGGTCTGGCATCTGCCTGATTGAGGACTTTGAAGCTCGGTATCCTCATACCGATGGTGAGTTTGGTGGCTAGCGATTCCTTACTAGAAATCTGCAAGGATTTATCCTTGGTTGCAACATCGGATCCATCTCCTTGTTCAGCGGCATCTCCCTCCTTCACAACGATGATGCTCTTGCCATAATTTACAGCTAGATCGGAATTAGCAATCCTGGTTACATCTAGAATAGCAATTTCAACTCACCAGTGCCACTTGCAAAGAGATTGCCTTTCTCGAATGCAGATTTGAATTCGGCCATACTAATACCTTCCTCGTCCATGACATCTTTCGCCGGTCGACCAGAGAATAATCTCGAGAACCTGTGGTCAAAATCGATGAGGTCCTGTGCAATTCGTCGACGTTCGGACTGATAGGTCTTCAGAATCGATCGATCTGATTGACCCTTGACTACACTCGCGACTTTCCAACCTAGATTATATGCTTTGACTGAATTAGACACAGAGTTGCTGTTAAACCATTGAGGCGTCTCTCACCATCTTGCATACTGACATTCATGCCCTGACCAGCTTTTGGGCTGGGCAATTTGTCAGTTCCCAATCATTAACATCAGGCATTTTCACTCACCTATGTGTATGGACTGCATCCCCAGCCAAGAAAATTCGTTCTCGTGTACTGAAATTGGTTCCGACTCTCTGTCCAATCTGATATGCGGTCCACCAATCGCAATAACGGTACGTGATCTTGTAAGGCGCCATGATTTTTTGAGCTGACGCCAGAATGTACTCTGGTGTGATCTGTGATCGATCAAATTTCTGACCACCTTCGGCATTGGTAGTAGTAAGCTGAATATAAAGGCGCACCAGTTTGTTTTCTCGAGGGATGACCATGACACTCCCTGAACTGGCAGAGTGAATTGCACATCTCATGCGGATATCTGGGAAATCAGTGATCGGAATGATGTCTAGTACACCCCAGATGTAGTCTGTCGACTCTCCTTCAAGTTTAAAGCCCAGCTGGTTGCGTACCCAGGAGTGTGCTCCATCCGCACCAAGGACATATTTCGCCTTCACTACCTCCACCGTGTTGGCCTTGTTATTGAGTTCAGCCTTTCGGATGATGTCTTCTGTGTCATCAGCCGCCATGTTACTGCGAAACAATCCATCTTCGATGCCAGCGCCATTCGCTGAGGTTGCAGACTGTTTTGGCGTCGCCTCCTCTTCACTCAGATGTCGTAACGTTATCGTGATAGGATAAGCATCTGCCTCTTCGGCGAGAGACTCGTCAAATTCCATTTTCGTTGGCATAACACCCCGTTCCACCGAAATTCCTGATTTACTGATCGTGTCTAGAAAGTAGCGCTCGATCCGGCCTTGGTGGAGGACACACTGTTGGAAATGGCTGATACCAGGAATCGTATCGGCAATGCGATCACTTCGCTGGATCACTCCCTCAGAATTGGGATTCCACAGGCATATCTCGAGCATGTGATTGGCGTCACGCCATGCTCGATGGCCAAAGCCGAACGAATCGAATATCTCCAGTGTTCGGCATTGGAGGCCGTCCGCCTGGCCATTGAAGATCTACGACCTGTCAGTCTCCAGGAGTGATAGCGATACGAATGAGCAACGATTGACCTTGGTGCCTCTCTTGTCGACAATACGGGTCTTGATTCCACAGGCGCTCATCCAAGCTGCCATCATCAAGCCTGCCGGCCCGGCCCCAATAATGAGCACATCGACCTGGTCGGTAGTATTTTTAGTGATCATGGTTTCTCTCCCCTCCAGAAAATTTTCGGTCATGTAAATATGCGTAAGTCGGAGAACCGCAAATGAGAAACATTAAGGAGGCAACGAAGAATATATATTAACCCTTATGAAAGGCCGGATTGTCATTAGCTAAAAAGGCCAAGTTCTCATCAGGCGAAACAAATCATGCATCGGCGTGAGGGGTCCGTTGTCCCGATGTTCTTTGGATGTGTTCAACTCCGACCCATCGGATCATACACATAACCTGCCATTGGCCTGGTAGAGGGAGCCGAAGTATTTAGTAATTCATATCTACTTGTTAGGGCGATGCTCATCATCTACATGTTGAGAGAACGAATCAATCCGATAATACTAAACGAACGATCTGAATGACATCCGAAATGACACTCGGAAGCCATCCGATTCGATCTCACAGCGATTTGGGTTGCCGTTGGTACCGGTTATTATTACCAGGGCAAACTACATAAAGGGAGATTTCCGATAGTCTCTCTCTGCTGTTGTACAACCTGGATAGGGTTCGTTCTCAAGCATTCATCTCGTAGCACGCACATTGATTCGATTTTTCTATTGTCCCTAGTGCAGGCAAGAACATGGCAATGTAACCAGTTCCTCCAGAAGTCAAAAACATTGGGACTTGCGACACGTCTGTTTGTCCCGCATTCGAAACTGCGGGGTGACGGTCGAGTTCTCCGCATGAGTGTCAGCTGCGGATTTTCTGGAGGGTCGTATGTAAGCCCTCTCATCCTGAGCGAGCCGAGCACCTGATGAGGGTTTATCAGGAAGTTGTCAATTGAACAGGCCGACTGCGTAACGGATTCTCGCTCCTAGAACAACCTGAAGTTGGTTTGGTCAGGATGTATTGCATCTTCTGGGTGATGATCATATATTTTAGCCATTAGATTTCAGTTGGAACATTGCAAGTTCGTTGTAGGGAGGACTGAATCCAACTGAAGACATGAAATCCGTCTGCTCCGCGAAATGAATGGAAGAAGGGTGCCATCACCTGATGTTTCCTGGATTCTGCCAATATCGCCCACGCCAATCCGAACAATTCGACATCCAACCCGAGACGTAGCCCGAGCTGCATCGGGTACGGACTGGCCAGACTTGTTTCATTCTTAATCTATATTGTCTGTCAAACGTCACCTAGTTCCAGTCACCCATGGCGGCAGCTTAGCCATCAACCCACCAGTGTTAGAGTCGTATGCATCGAGACACATTCTCCTTTATTTGTATGAAATTTCCTTGGTCCAAGTCGGCGTACCTCTGGGAGAACCTTGTTTTCATCGAAGCGTTCAGTATAAAGCGCGCTAGGAACCTCGAGCCCAGGTTACCGTGGTCCAAATTGTACTTGTTTTGGGAGAACCTGGTGTTTATCGAAGTGTTTGGCGACATGGTGCACGCGCCCATCCCACTCCCTCAGTCTTTGGTTACAGAAAGGGCAGATGAGGGCTGCAGTCGGGACATCAACTGGATGCCAGCGAAGCATGATCTTCCTTGCACAAGGACCACTTGCATGCAGCCCCATGAGATGCTGAACAAGGTGTTCCCTTTGGTGGAAGGTCCTCTGGTGCTTTGGTTTCTCCCAACAAGCAAGAAAGCCGTGCGGGCAATTTGCTTCACGAGCCCATGACCCCGCTGCCTCTGCTTCGTCCTTACAGACAGGACAGGGAGATATGATGCCAATGAAATCAAGGTTCGTGTAGATAGATTGCTCGCATATCCAGATCCTTGGACGGACGTGAATGGCTTCTTCATGTCGCTTCCACTGCCACCTCTCCGAAAAGCCCTTCCAACAGAATGTGCAAGTATAGCGATAGATCGTGCTACCCTGGTCATTGGAGAACTGGATATTTTGCTTCAGATAAGCCTGCGATGGAGAGTGTAAAGACTTCTGAACATCCGCTTCACTCGCTTCGCTTGTTGATGTCTGATCAAGGCGCGAAGAAGCTTTACGTACCAGAGTCTGCCGGACTATTACCATATTCAACCCTCCGGCCTTTCCTAGACCCGAACCCCATGTAACTGGAGCATGAGGCGCCAGATATACCCGATCCTATACTCATCGCCCGCTCTGACTGGGTATCTCCGTGTGTGGTGATGGTGTTACATTAGAAAATGTTCGTTTGAGGCCATTGCGTTCATCATGTCGCCTGGGTGAAAGCTGACTCTGTGCCCTAGAAGTGCTCTGGTTGCTTTGTCAGACTAAAAATTGCTACGCGGCGGGCAAATGAATAGATAAGTGATGAAGGGTATGGCATCACGCCTGATTGGGGTTGGATATTGGTGTGATGCTTCTTTTAAAGAGCGTTCGTGAGCTTACAGGTTGTCCATCATTAATTACCTGGTCGTAGGCTCGTCTAGAGGCTTGATATTCTCCCATTGTGGGAGGCTTAGCAGCCAGCCCTCCAAATGAAGCAGGTTGTGTTCCAGATGTAGTCTGACTCGACGCTTCGTACAAAACACACTGCTGGTTAAGTCGAATGCAATTTTGGCAGCGTCCAGCTAGAGAAGTGTTGGAACCGAAGCAACGTATCTTAAAAGCACTATTAGCGGGGGAAAGTCGGCTCAAGACAATGTGGTGAGGTCTACCGTTGTTCTGTGGCAATACTTGCAAGAAGCTAAATGAATACGTTTTTGGATCCACGCAGGGTCACCGATTATCACTCGACGCAGTACATCAGGAGACCCTGGTATTGGGGACAACGCTTCTGCAACATAGTCTGGGAAAGGATGGCATTCAGGCAAATTGAATGATTCTGGAAGACCCTGGAGCCAGGCCTTGACCTTCAAGTCGTCCTGAGAACACATCTGACTGTCTTGTAGGGTAGCAGACGTGACTCGAACCGTCCCTGGCCCATCGAGAGCCTTGTCGTATCGTTCACCGTCTAGTGAAGAGTCATGTGGGGGGCTCGCAACAGCCACTTGGAGTGAGGGACACCGCAGCGTTCTGGGGCTTTTTTAATGAGAGTTCAATGCGAGGTGGACAACTTTGGGCCCTGAGACGAGTGATAGTGAGCTTTCGTTCAATGTCAGACCGAGCTCGGGTCGCTCTGGATCTCCGTGACCACTGATTCGGGTAGAGAGATCTTGAGCGGTTGAAAGTCTCACAGAGATGGCGATACTGAACGGCAGTAGGCGAGTCTTTCGGAGATGCGATATCTTCACCTGAACTTTGTGGCCTTGGTGCCTCGCCATGTTGATCTTCCGATGTCAGAGCGATGAATGCGGTTGCTGCAGAATTCCGCTGAAGCTTCCTCTGCCTGGTTCTTGCAAACCACCTCTCTATTTGACGAACAGAAAGGCCAGTAACCTGGCTCAGATGTGCTTTTGCATTGGCATCTGGAAAAGGATTAGACAAGTTTTCTGACAGCCAATTTTGAAGCTTCGTAATTTGGCCTTCGTCAAAACGATATCTTTGTGGCGCAGCTGTTCTGAGGACATCGGATGTAGCCACAGAGTCGATTCTTGTGAACGGAGCATTCTTGTTCCACTCCGTCCAAGCACTATTTTGGAGCCAGGCCTCGGTGAAAAGATTGGTGCCATTGAGCTGTTGGTTGCTTGGTGATATGTTTCCGTATGTGAAATTGATGGTGTCGAAGTCATCGGCGAAACAAGCATAGCCATCATCGGGAAACTGAGATATAGGCTGATCCAGACTATTCTCAAATGGCGCGAGATCATGGCTAGCAAATATGGAGTCATCAACCGCCGTCAATGGGCCATCACGATTGCTAGCACCGCTGTAGAACAACAACGGGTTCCAATGTGCTCCCAAGAGTTCCGGTAGAGCAAGATCGTGAAGCATAGGCGTAATGAATTCGTGATTAACTGTCGGCAACGAAGTCTGATAACTCTGTAGCGGATCAACATCGACAAAGAGGTCGGCCAAAGGAGGACATTGCACTTCTTCTTCTTCTTCTTCTTCTTCTTCTTCGATGTCCAACATTTTCAGAATCCGATTATTGAGCGATTAGCTTTTGATCTAATCAGAGACAATAATAAGATGTCAGTCGAGCATCCATAGCGGCATCGATTCTGCGAGAGAGTAATCGATTCAGAATCATTATACCAGAACACGCAAAGGACCCGCAAGGCTGGCCTAAACTCGATGTCAACTTACACGTAGGCTTGGAAGCCATGTATCAGCATCATCGTGAGATTAGGTGGTTGAGTACAACGCAGTCTCGTAAAAGTATGATATAGAACATGGCAAGGAAATGACTTCGGAGAGTAGGGCAGCGGATGATAAACCACTGGAGTGACGGAGCTTTTGAGTTTCAGGGTGCACACTGGTGGCGCTGCCAAGAGCTGTGCCTTACACAGCCTTAAGCTGCTCGAAGTACGTGGTTCAGGATGGCATTCAGGGTGTCTACAGGTGGGCTCGGTCTGGTTCTGCATGTTACTCGGTCTCTAAGCAATAATTGGGTTTCCTGGTAACTTTGAGCATCAGGGTGCGGCCCATCTCTTAGTCTAATAGTTCTTTGGATTGCAAGGTGCCGAGCAATTCTTGATTTGGCCATTTCCTGACTTTTAGGGTGCCGTGCAATTCATAATATGGCCGGTTCATGACTTTAAGGGTGCGGAGGACCTAGGATATTAGATATGTTGCCTTGACATTGTGATGCTACATATGCCATTCCACTTTGCAAGATACAACAAGAGCAAAAGCCAATCCCTACCACCATGACACTAGAAGTCCTTGTTAGCATTATATTTGGCATTGCCGCTCTGATTGCCGCCACCTTAGGCATTTGGGCAACCCTCAGGTCTTGGTCGCCCATTCGCAAGAGTTCAACAGGTATGGCATCATTGTTTGGATGACTGTTTGCCCACCAGCCACCTAGTCGTCGACGCCTTTTAGCATGTAGCTGACGCTCTAAGGGTTCATACACGGCAACATAGATGCCAGTGTCATCTTACACAGTACCACCAGTAACTCCACCTCCTGCCACTATACAACACCAGGGTAAACCAGACTGTATATTAGATTGAGCAATCAGATGTCTGAAATGATGGAATTGACAAGACGAGAAGGCTTAGGTGGCTGGAGTGCAAGTCGACGACTCGAGGCTGCATGAAAAGGAGCTGAAAGCGACAATGGGAGTGCGATGGACTTGAGGAAGGTGCCGCTGACAAGATCATGCAAATGCGAGGTGTGCAGGTCTCAGCCACCCCATCATCCACCATCTCACCGGCACCCCACCTACGGGCACCCAATGACTCCGGCAAGGCTGTGCAAGGCTGCGCAAGGCTGTGCCAAGCATTATAATTCATCTTCAACTTGAAGTGCGACAACTTGTCCCCCGCACATCGAGTCCAGACATACAGCCTCTCTTTTGCAGTCTAACCTGCTTTCAAATAATTTAGGGCATACGATCACTCCTCATTCTTCTAATTCCAATCGACTCATCTCCTCTTGCCAGTTAAACATGTCTCACCCCCGAGTCGAAGAAGTCGAAGACTCTGACCCAGAAATCGACGACCCCACCGACTTCCTTCCGGACAACGACCTTCAGATCATACGGCCGGCCGTTCAGCCTTCACAGACAGCTACTTCGAGCCAGGCCCCTTCAAAAGCACCCCAAGGACCTAATCCTACACTATTTCGCCCACCGCCACCTTCTCAGGGCACATTACAACAACAATCTCGGGACAATTTCAAGACCTTCCAAACCATCTACCCTGTCTACTTCGATAGTTCGCGGACACGAGCCCAAGGTCGGCGCGTGAGTTCCAAACTTGCCAGTCCAAATCCATTAGCATACAATCTCCTCGCAGCCGCTCAATATGCCTTTGGAGACTCGAACCTGCCCATGGCCTTTGAGCCAGACAAGACACATCCAAAAGACTGGGCAAATCCGGGCCGAGTCAGGATACAGCTTTATCATAAAGAGACACGGAAGCCATTACATCCACATATCAAGAACAAGGCACACCTATATACCTACATGGCCAAGTTTCTGAAGGAAACCCCCACGGAACGCGAAGACCCCCTCGAGTTGAAGATCCAGGGACTACCAGTGCCCGAAAACTTCACAAAAACTGAGGTTGCAAAGCCAAGAGGCTGGAAGATGGGTTCGATATTGCCTGTACACTCAGCAGCCGTCAGTGGAGGAGGTGTCAAAGACGATTTCTTCAAGGAGGCCATGGAAGAGCTCAGACAGGCGCAGAGTTCTGGACAGTTACCCGCCGGTATGCCTGGCGGTGGAGGCGGAATGCCTGATATGAGTGCTCTTCAGAGTATGATGGGAGGCTTGGGAGGAATGGGTGGCTTAGGTGGTGGTGATTCAGGCGGCGGAGGAGGGAAGAAGAAAAAGGAAAAGAAGAAGGGTTGATCAAATTCATTATGTACCACCCCGAAATGAATGACAAAAGCTATCACACTGATCGATGCTTATTTTCAGATGCTAGAGCCGGCCACATCCGTCAAGTCTACACATGCATGATTGCGTGTATACTAGCAAGAGGTGAAGATGACCCAGACATGTTGAGCTTTGAAAAGATATTACGCTCCTTTGCCACGTACGAAATAGCTACCTAGGTAGGTATCTAGGTAAGTTGAAGCGTGGAAATCATGCGGTCTTACAATGACTCGCCCCTCTCGTGAATCGCGTACTAGTAGATACTCTCTACAACTTCTGATATTCCATACTAGTAGAAGCTATAAATGATATTTAGAACCTTAGGTCACTAAACTAATTTTGTTCCTATACATTACTAGTATTAGGCAAACTAACTACGCATTGTAGATAGCTTGTTCACCATGCCTATAGTGATATGGCATGACCAGGTCACCTGGCTAGGTGCCTAGAGATCTATCTGTTCCCATCAATACCAGCCATCTCGTAATCAATAATCGAACCCAGCAGCAGGCCATAGGTAGTATCGTCTGGGGCGGCGCCGCTCGATAATATTCACAAGCTGAATCGCCTTTATCACTGATGATCAGTATGGAGCGAGTCATTCTGCGCTGGATTTGATGCTAGCTGCTATTGCAACCTTCATGGATGACGTTATGCACCAGGAAACTTCCGTGCTCTAGGGACCATTTCCCGTTACGAGCCATACGAGCTACCTGATAAACCCAGTTCCTTTTAATTCTTGGAGCAAGTGAAGCGAAATAGGCTGAATACCTAAACTCTGGACTGAATGCCATTTAGGCTGTGCGAAATGAGGCCGATGGATCGCTCAACAGGTACCATCCGTACCCCGCATTAGGAGTTTGATGTGAATTGAGCTTGGATATCTGGGCAGTTAGTGACGGCGTGCCGCCTAAAAAGCTTCCCTAGCTTCCCTAGCTTCCCTACCTGCTTGACCAACTTTCACTGAAGGAGAAATTTCAGGGACGATCCTACATCGGCTGTTCACAATCGACCTTGTTCGATTGCATATCGATCCCCCAACTTCGCGGGGGTCAATGGGGTTGCCTCAAATAGTCAGGAGAGCTCCATCTCAGCCTGCAATTTCTGCGGGACCCAAGAGAGGTGAATGAGGTATTCGTGCTCTGAACGCCGATCAAAATGCCGCTCTCCATCGGGAGGAAAGGCTCAATACTTGCCCAGCATGCTTCCTCCGGCAAATATTCAAAGCAAGAAGTTTGATGTCAGTCTAAATGAGGTGAGTTGTATAAAGGATAGTTCCAAGCCATATATGTAGTCAAAATATGACTGGTTTCGAGCTCGGTTTTGGTTTCGATTGTTTATATTAACTATGACGGTCATTTGGCAACTGGGAGCTCTCCTTTCCTTGCTCAGCCTTGCTTCTGCCGAGACTGGGCACGCCGCTTGGCTGCGCTACGCACCACTCCCGGCATCGGTTGCTAGACAATATTCCGCGCCTTCGACGGTTGTTGCTCTGAATATTTCAGAGGTTGATCCTGTGTACACAGCAGGTCAGGAGTTGCAAAAGGGCATCCAAGGCATATTCGGTGGGAAGGTCACCGTCGCGAACACGAATATCAGTTTGTCATCTCCAGCCATAATAGTCAGCACGTTGGGTCAGTATGTCAAGGCCTATGGTAGTGAGACTGCGGGCCACGTTCCAGAGTTGACAGATGATGCATTCTGGCTTGACACGACTGGCGATACCGTGCAAATCCTTGGCCAAAATGGACGTGCTGCACTTTATGGTGCCTTCGAATACCTCTCTCTCATTGCTCAAGGCAATTTCTCAAAGGTGGCTTATGCGACCGCGCCTGATGCACCCATTCGATGGGTCAACCAGTGGGACAATATGGATGGACACATTGAGCGTGGTTATGGCGGTGACTCAATCGTGTTCTCCAATGGAACCATCAAGAACGACTTGCAGCGTGTAATTGACTACGGGCGACTGTTGGCTTCCATCCGTATCAACGGAATCATCATCAACAATGTAAATGCTAATGCCACGCTCCTCAATCCAAAAGGAGTCGATGGCATTGGGAGAGTCGCAGATGCTCTCAGGCCATACGGAATTCAGGTCGGAATCTCTCTCAATTTCGCTTCACCAAGTGCGAATCTAGTCTACGGGAATCTAACAACGTTTGATCCACTGAACCAGACAGTCATCGACTGGTGGACCAACGTGACCGATACGATTTACGATCGCGTACCGGACTTTGCGGGCTACTTGGTCAAAGCCAACTCAGAAGGCCAACCGGGGCCCCTTACCTACAATCGTACACTTGCAGAGGGGGCCAACATGTTCGCATCGGCACTCAAACCACACGGTGGAATCCTCATGTTCCGAGCATTCGTCTATGATAACCATATCAACGAGACAAATTGGAAAGCTGACCGGGCAAATGCTGCTGTCGACTTCTTCAGAGATCTGGATGGCGTGTTCGATGACAATGTGGTGGTCCAGGTCAAGTATGGCCCCATTGATTTTCAAGTCCGCGAACCGCCATCACCCTTATTTGCTCATCTTCGCCAGACTGGTGCGGCAATTGAGCTCCAGATTACTCAGGAATATCTTGGACAGCAGTGTCACCTTTTCTATCTCCCACCTTTGTGGCATTCGATCCTAGATTTCGACCTTAGATCCGACAACAAATCAACATTGGTGAGCGATGTGGTCTCTGGCAAGCGCTTTAATAGGACTCTTGGCGGATATGCTGGTGTGGTGAATGTTGGAGTCAATGATACATGGCTAGGCAGCCATCTCTCGATGTCGAATCTCTATGCATTCGGTCGACTCGCTTGGGACCCACACGGAGATTCGGAAACGATCTTGCAAGATTGGACTCGGCTTACCTTCAGCTCGGACCCTGCTGTCATTGAGACAATCACTGACTTATCTCTTGAGTCGTGGCCGACTTATGAGAGTTACACTGGCAATCTTGGAATTCAGACCCTGACCGACATTCTGTACACGCACTTCGGCCCGAATCCAGCCTCTCAGGACAATAACGGGTGGGGACAGTGGACGCGTGCCGATGCTGACTCGATAGGTATGGACCGTACCGTATCTAATGGCACAGGATTTTCAGGCCAGTATCCGCCTGAAGTTGCAGAAGTGTTCGAGGACATCTCAACTACTCCGGACAACCTCTTGCTCTGGTTCCACCATGTCAATTACACGACAAAGCTCAAGTCTTCTGGGAAGACCGTAATCCAGCACTTCTACGATGCTCACTACGCAGGCGCAGAGAATGCACAGACATTCGCCACAAGGTGGGAACGACTGAAGGGCAAGATCGATGACCAGCGATATAATGAAACACTCTTCCGTCTGAGATATCAAGCCGGCCATTCCATCGTGTGGCGCGACGCCATCAACGAATTCTATCACAATATGTCTGGTATCGCCGATGAAGCGAAGCGAGTGGGTAGCCACCCTTGGCGAATTGAAGCAGAAAGCTTCGATCTTGATGGATACGACGTGTATCAGGTACATCCATTCCACACAGCATCAAACTTTACCGGCATCGTGACCTCTTCAAACACAACCGCTGGGACCGCCACGACCACCGTTCCCTTCGAATCTGGCACTTACGATATCGCCGTTGGATATTGGGATATGTTCAACGGGACATCAAAGTGGGTGTTGAGTCTGAATAACAAAACCATTGGATCGTGGCTCGGTGACAATGAGAAATACCTTGGGCATGAGCCTTCACGGTATCTTGACGGCCATTCTGCAACCAGGGTGACATTCCACAACATCACCGTCGAAAAGGGAGACACGGTCAAAATCGTAGGAACTCCTGGAGGCATAGAACCTGCTCCATTGGACTATGTTGCTTTCCTACCTGAAGGAGTCATTGATTAGGTACATCCTTGCCCAAAGGAGCAGAAGTCACGCATAAAATTCCAGGAAGACAGACTGGCCATGGTAGAAAATGTAGATATTAATGATCATAAATGATTATATATTAACTACGACAACTATGTTTCAACTCTACCTTTGCTTCTCGCATAGCCTTGCGTGATATATCACCAGGACTATCGAAATAGTATTGGGTATTTGAAAGCAGTCCTCAAGGGTAGCATAAGTTCATGCATAAAGACTATGCAATATTGAAGTGGGGCTGTACATATTCTAAGTATGAGTGCCAACTCCTCATAGGATATAGCGTAAAGATGCAAATGGAGAATCACGAAATGCATCTTCTTACTTACCAGTCACTCAGGGCATGACCCAACCCGTAGATCACCAACCCTACTTCCAAGCCTGTCGCCCGCTGTGCTCATCGACTACAGGGTAAAGTGTTACTAGTAGCTAGGATACACAATTCAATTGGGTGATCCACGAATTCTGTCATGCCCGGGGTGCAAGTCAGATTTTGAATTGAGTAATCACAGTTCGAAGTGCGCCATGAAACGGTAAGGGAATGCCGCACACAATACACTGCAACGTATTTTGGAATACTAATCATGATTCAAGCGCCCTTTGCATTATATCTGGGATTGCACAAAACCTGTGAATACACCCTCGACATCATGGTGAGCACATTCTTGTTGTAGTCTGTATTACGAGATGCACCGTTGATAGAAGTTCATGACCTGTAGTAAGAAGTCAAAATAATAGACTACTGGATGGCACCCAATGGTTTATTCGCTCCCGGGGTCATATAAGGAAACATATAAAGGTGACATCTGGCCAAGACTGCGGTGAGCATTGTTTAGCAATACTACACAGACTCGATCCTCAAAATGGCGCCTTCAATTACCGTCAATGAGCTTCTAGCAAGGAATCAGTACGATTATCATAAACTTTCCTGCAGCACCATGATTGCCTAACAAGCCCGCAGAGTCTATGCTTCGAGCCATATTCCTATTCCCGAATTCACCAAAGAGATACTCGCAACTCCAAAAGTTCTGATCAGTTCGTGTACATGACTCTGTCATTGTTTTATGACTTCTGATAGAAGCAGTCTCTTGTATCGACCTACGCGTGGTACCAGAAGCAATTTTCGGTCTTTCCGTGGGAGGTGAGCCGATAACCTTGGCCTATATGCAACCTCTGACATATCAATAGAAGTTCCTGTCATTCGGAATGCAGGTGGGAGAGTAAAAGAATCGCTGCTGTCGACCGCTGTCCTGGACACGATCACGGTGGTCGGTGAGATACTGGTGCTCCACCATACTAGTAAGCAAGATCCTCCACTCAATTGAGAGTAAGATGCTGATATTAAAGATTGCGGGCTCCAACTGACGACGAACGAGAAAATTCGTGCCGCTCTTAGTAAGAGAGATCCGGCGTCCAACTTCGATGGCGTAGACTTCGATTGTTTCATTCAGTGAGTGCGTGACGAAATTAGGATCAATTCCTTCACTGACCGCGCTTAGTCTGGAGGACAGTGTCAAGGAGGACGTGGTCTTTCTTCGAAATCACCCTTTAATAAAGAAGGAAACAGTTATTAGAGGTGCAATCTACGATCTCCAGACAGGCAGAGTAAATGAACTGCAGATTCTGTAGCTTAGACCTAGTTAAGCGTCGTAAGTGTGATCGTGGCGTACAATCTAAGAATAAAATCGCTCCTTGGAGCGCCATGCTTTCGTGTTCGTTCGCTTACAGCCTCCAGTGAACATAGCGACACTACTTGAATAGATGCAGCCATAATTAAGTAGCGTTTGACCCCACAGGTTGTGCCCTAGCTCACAAGCCCATGGTAACCAGTATATTAACTTTTGTAACGAGTATCTTGCACTCCGAGATATCCGCAAAGTCCGCGGCCTTTTATGGTAATATGTCGGTGAGATATTTCACTCTACTACCTACTTAGGTACGATAGCTGCTGCTGACACACCGAGGAATACAGGGAGCATTTAATCCGTATGAAACAGGCATAATTCTAGAGATTGGAAAGCAATCGTGATCATTACACGACTTAACTCTGTGATGTGGCCGTAAAGCTAAGCCACGGCTCACCTGATTTTAGCGGTGATAGTATAAATGTATCGAGGACTCGACGGACGCAAGCTCTTCCTCCCAATGTTTCAAATATTCAAAGAACCAAAATGAGTTCAAAAACGAAAGTTCTCTTGACAGGAGCATCAGGTTACATGTATGAACTCCAATCTTTGGCAGGCTTGCAAGATATTGACCAAGGGGCAGCGGAGGTGCTGTTCTCCATGAGATCCTTTCATTAGGCATAAAGGATATTCATGTATCAGCCCTTGTCCGATCTGCGACACAGGTCAAAGGCATCAGCACGCTCGGCGTAGCGGCAATCATCTTCAGAGGTCTCGACGATGTTGATGCGATAAAGTCGGCGGCGGCTGAACATGACAGTGAGGACTCCTTGGTCTTTCCCACGATGTGGAATTCTCTCTCACATCTTCAAAGTTGTCATCAATTGCGCTTCTGCAATGGATCTCAACGCCTGTTTAGCAATCCTCGAAGGTCTGGCAATCAGACGGAAAGCGACTGGACGTGATGTTCATCTACTACATGTGAGGAGCTGATGCGAAAAGTCGCAACACGGCTGACCATTTAGACATCGGGTACATCAAACTACGCCGATCATCCGATATCAGGCACTCCAGATCTGAGCATCAAAACGGATGAGAGCGACATTTATGGCTGGGAGAAAGCGAATGCTGATGGGTGGATCCTACGAAAAGTCAATACAACTTTGATCGACACCGGGCTTGAATATGGCATCAAGACTTATATCTTCAATCCACCTCTAATTTGTAATGGACATCTGGCAGTGGTTGACATGAGAAGCTAACAACGAGCAGATGGTAGAAGCAGTGGCCCTTTCAACCAAAAGTCCCTGCAAATCCCGGCTCTGATCAATGTATCCCTTGCTAGCCAGCAAGCAGTAGTGCTTGGCAGAGGAGAAGGAGTAAGTCTTCCGCCCTCAGCGAATGCTAAGAACGTCGTTAACCTAGTTCCGCTAGATCTGGAACGTCACCCATATTGATGATGTCGCAAAGATGTATGGAATCATTCTCAAGAATATTTCGGAGCACAAGAGTAGTCCGTCTGGAAAGGAAGGATACTACTTCTTAGACGCCGGAGAAGCCACCTGGAAAGAAATCTCAGAGCAAATCGCGCGGACAGGGAAGAAGCATGGTCACTTCAAGTCAGAAGTTGTCAAGCAAGTCAACGCGGAGGAACTGGCGACCTATTTCATCAAGTCGTTTCCTTTCCTCAATGCGTCCATGGTCGAGGTGATCTGGGGCTCGAAGTTAGTTGGCCTTTTCCCATTGCGTTGCTTAGTGCTGATGATTATAGCTCTCGGACCAGAGGAGAGAGGAGTAGAGCTTGGGGTTGGTCGCCGTCAAAATCACTTGAGGCTTTCCGCGCCTCGTTCGATGATGAGTGGGAGTAGATTGTGGATCGTTCGAACCGAATCTTTGGATGAGATAGATCATAGTTTCCATCGTCGAGTAAGGAGTGAAACTATACGTGCCACAGCTCGAGCTACAATGTCTTTTGACGATCCATATACTCATGCGCCAATGGTAGAAGTCACCCAGGGCATGACACAATTCGTGTATCGCGAACCCTGTCTCCTATCCTGTCCCCTGCCGTACTCAACGACTACAGGGTAGAGTATTACCTAGAAGATACAATTGGGTGATGCTTTTGGTGGGAGGCCAAGCCAGATGGCAAAGATTGAGACGGCTCTGAAAGCAAAGACAACCGACAGCCAAAGGATCCAAAATAAGAGACAGGGTGTTATTATATACATGCTAAGAAATCTATCACGAACTGAAGCGTACCCAAGACATTACTACCTGTTGATCCAGTGACAAGCAAGGCTAAAATTCCCTCCTAACAGAATACAATGGTATCTGGCATAACAAGATCTGATAAATTCAACGGGTTTCGAATTGCGATTCCTTTTCCAGCCAGGTGGCAAAGTCCTGTAACTCAGGGCGTTGTTTCCTCAACGCGTCGATGTCCACACTATAGCCGTGACTGTCGAACCAGTTGAACATCATGTTGAAGTCCTTACTGAGCCACAGAATGAGACGACCGACGATACGGAAGGTGGCTGGCAGTGGTTGACCTGTCTTCTTCTTGAAGATGTCTCGGAACTCGGCGAATGTGAGTTCGTCTCCCGCCAGAGAAATGCTTCTGTTGCGCCACTCTTCAGGCTTTAAGAATGCCTGGGCGCCGAAATATCCAATGTCGGTGGTGGCGATGAATTGCAGAGGCTTCTTCGGTAATTTCATTTCGAAGACAGTGCCAAAAATCTTGCCTCCAAAGCCTGGGACGAGGTTGTCGTAGAAGGCGACTGGGCGTAGGACGGCGTATGTCATGCCACTTTCCTTCGCCTTGCGAAAGAGATGTTGCTCGACGTTATGTTTGTGGATGAAATGTGGTACATCCGTGGGGTTGTCGGCTGATTTTTCACCGCCCCTGTCTACAGATGAGTAGACAAAATGCTTGACTGAGTTCTTCACTGCGGCGTCGACAAGGGCTTTGCCTTGTCGCTCCTCTGTGTCATCGCCGTTCTTCATTGCAACTACCTGTGTCGGGTTAGCCCGTGCTTCAGTCCCCACTGTGCATGATCACTCACCTGAACACTATAAACCCCCCATACGGGAAAAGACGAAACCTCTTTTGCTTTCTTGAAGATATCGTCCACATTATTGAGGTCGCCGGTAATCAATTTTATAGTCGAGGATTTCTGGGCGAGCTTCTGAGCAGCATTGGAAGTTGCATTTCTCGTCACTGCGAGGATCTCGAAATCCGCCTTAGCGGCGAGAAGAGAATTGATAACTGCTCCGCCTTGTTTGCCGGTGGCACCTGTGACTAGGACTGTTCTGGCCATTTTCGCGCTTTGATTGCTGAAAGATCGACGTAATAGAGTATTCATGAATGATACTGTTGGTTGGGTTCCAAGTTGTTGTGGGATGTTGAGTTGTTGGTTGAATGCTGGTAGAGGTCTAGTTATATAGAATCGAATGTCAATATGGAAGAGGCAGAGATGGAACTATTTGTGTCAATTAGAAACCACATCGCGTTCCTTTTTTGTCCCTTCACCAACAGCCATGGAATTGCGAGGGCCCGGAATACGAACACTCATAAGCCTTCGGAGCTACCAGAGGCCGAGAATTTAGGCGCTTAAACACAGTACGAGTAAGAGAGGTGTATTGTACCTAGGTAGAGTTGTGATTGGTTGGTACCGAGTACTGGCACGGGAGAGTTGGCGCTAAGGCTCAATATCGGAGCTTAAGACTCCGAGAATTGATTCGTAAGAATGATGAGGCCCTTCGTGAATTGCGTAGATTGTCTCTACATCCTATGTTTCTACAAGATATTCTATACTAGTAGAACTAAAAAACTACACTTAAACTCTTAAGGATATCCAGATCAGTAGACTAATATTCTTTCTGCTATTAGTAGTAGTGAATAAGTCAATTCAGTACGTATCGTTATAATTAATCAGTGACAGAGTATCAAAATACCACGCCATTCGTGCAGACAGCTCAGATTAGAACATCGCCATTGCATCATAGCTCCACAACTACAGGAACGACCTCATCCATCCAGGATCATCCTCCATCATGAAGTCATTGATTTCTCTCATAGCAACATCGTCCAATACGAAGTCATTCCAGTCGGTGCGATCATACGCCGATGGGTTGTAAACATCAGGAAACGAAGCATCTGGTGCGTCAGTCATGTCTTGAGATACCTCTGTAAATACTTGCAATGGCTGCTCGAGTACGGTTTGGCGCGCACTGGAACTACCTCCGGGGCTCTGTCGAAATTCAACACTCTGCCAGTCTGATTCACCTAGCACCTCATTTGAGGGATCCATCGCACTCTGTCTCAGAGCGCCTCCCAAAGGATCGACGACCTCCGCGGCTTCACCGTCGACGCCAAATTCACAATCACCCCCCGAATGAAGGCAGGTGTGCTTCTTTTGTAAGTAGTATGACTTCAATTTCTTGAAGGCAAGACCAAAGCCTTTAGCCTGGGGCAAATAGCCATTGCGTGAGACGACGTCGATCTTGGTCACCATGGCGTCGAGAAATTCCGGGGTCGATTTCTGGCTAAGCATATTTGCCATTATTGATGAGTCTGGCGACGATGCACCCTCTGCCAAATAACCGAGCTTCACTAAAGTGAAGCCTGCAAAAATAGTCCACACAAGAAACATGTTGGGTAGAGACCGTACCAGAGAGTCTTCCAAGCCACAGTATATATCGAGGAGGCCCTGGCAAGAGACCACACAGCGCCAGATAGCTTCTAATTGCCATGGAGCGAAGCAAAGGCTAAAACCTGTGGCGCCAGGAGTCGCTTTGTTCGCATGGTAAGATGCATAAACTCTGTTGACGACGTTTCGCATCGCAATCTGATGGACGACTAGTTCTGCAAAATGTATGGCACAAGCATTGAGACCTGCATTAATTGGTCAGTCACTCAAGTAAATCAAATTCGACAAACATTCACAAGATGATCTTACGTGTGTCCAAATTTGGGGTGCCGGTCGATTTCCAGTCCTCCAGACGCTGTTGGCACATCTTCAGCTTCATGGCGTTGGCATTGTCATCTAGACTGTCAACAGGCTTCGAACTCATTGGTCCATAAATTGTTTTGGTATCTTCAACCAGTCGTTGCAGGCGGAATAGTCTGAATAGCCACTGATCATTGTGGCTAGACTCGAAATCGCTCAGAAACCGTTGCAGACCACTATCAACTTCATTTGTTGCAGACACTATGCTTGGCTGATGAAGTACTATTGAGTTTCTAGACCAAAGGTTAGCAACTGGTGCCATCGGATATGTTTAACCAGCGGATCGGGTTCCCTTACAACGAGGCTGCAAACCAACAACTTAGCCATGTACGAGCGTGCTCATGTTCTGTTTGATTCCTTGGGCCACGCGAACTCCCCTCAGTCCTATGTATCGACAAATCATATGACATCGCCACTGCAGATGACACAAAGTGTGTCTGAGTAAAATTTTTTGAGGCTGCTGGGCGAATATAGTATTGAGAGTAGATGAGCATTGCTTGAACTAGATCGAGCGATCGTGCTCCAACGATAAAAATGTGCCGTGCGAGCTGCTCATTTAATTCCATTATCAGGCGATGTTCAAATGATGGCAGTATTGATGCGCTCGAGACTGCAAGGATGGCTAGCAGGGACATCGGTTTCGTAGCTCGGACTCGGTCCAAATGGTTCTCGCCCGAGAAATTGACGATCGGAAGAATCGGTTGCATGCTAATGCTGTAATGATTGAACAGGACTTCTGCAGTTGGATAGTCAATAAACCCTTGGTCGATTACATCGATACATGTCCGTCTTGTGGTCCTCAAGTCATCCGGGAGCCTGGACAAGGTAGTCTTCTCTAGACGGTCAGGCAGTTGATTGAGAGATTGAGCGGTGGTATAGGTGTTGCGGTCTTGAATAAGATCTTCAGACGAGACTATTGACCGTCCAGACTCCGGTGGAGTTGGCGGCTGATGCTTTGCTCCTAGAGCCTTCGTCAGGCTTTCGATCTTCTTTTCAAGTTCCGAGAACTTTTCTGATGATTTGATGCGAGGTTTAATTGGCCCAGTAGGGACGCATAATCTGGACTTCTTAACACATGCTTCACAAGAGTCTCCAAATTTCGATGGGAGACATTTTGTCTTGGTGCTGCGACATGCGACACAAGCTTTGTTCATCTTGTGCCGACGTTTGGAGCTTGATGTGGTGGTCAACTCATTCGAGGGTTGACTGCCAACATCCCTGGGGGCGACTTCATCGGTCATCCTGTTGGTTCTCTCTTGGTCTCTAGCTACTACGGGCGCGTCGCAATATTCTGCGCTTTCGAGCAATCCCGATTTAGTTGGTAATTCTTTGATGGTTGGACTCTAAACTCCTGTGACCGTGACCCGTAATTAGCAGGATAGTGAGAGCCCTGGAGGCCGAGGGTTTCAGGTGCTGTGGGCATTGGCGTGGGTGCCTTACAAATCAAGGGTCCTGTTGTTTAAGTCTAAGCACAAACACACCGTATTCGCGAATGACGTAGCATTTTGTACTATTCTGTTAAAGTGCCCTTTCAAGCCCAACTTTGGGTTAGTTCCAGGCGTTTGCGGTTAAGAACCTAAGTAATAAGTCAGATGAGGCACATTGGTCTCCCCCAGGGTGTTGCTAGGTTTGTTATCTTGTTATCTCGCACGCTGGGCATATGACTGTCCATAGAGGTGCATAGTTGGAGGGAACGTCCACCTCTGTGCCAACAGTACATTCGTTTTGATGATATTGGTTCCTCGTTCTCTGCTTGACGAGTACATCGCAGCATGACAACGATAAGCTGTACTACTCAAGAATGGATAGCTCTCTAACCTTCGTTGGAGGGGCTAGAATTCAACACTCCGGCCCTGGGATTCCGACCTCTACAGGTGTAAGAGTATTACAGGCATGCGTCATGTGGTTAGTGAAACATTCCTGGCCGGCGAATTCCCATTTGGAACACAGAAATTCATTGACATCTCAAGCTCGAAAGCCGACGCAAGAAAACAAAATGTAATGGGGTCCGACCAACTTGTGGGGGCTGCATCTTGAGGCGTTTGCCGTGTTCCTGGCCTATATCTCACCCTGTCTCACCTACACAGACGAACGAGGCAAGCTCTACAACGATAATCAATTCAGCTACCGTGGATGACGAGGAGCCTTATCCTAAACGAATCCAACGCTCTAGAGCCGGGCGTAGTGAGGGTAACTCCCATATTTCAGCTGCTCTGTTACTCGAAGCGCTAGACATTTTTTACACACGACATCACAGCATAGAGTTCTGCTCCTTTTTACATGTGCCTTCGCTCGACATTGAAGTTCTGCGTCGTCGATCAGCCTTCTTTGTCCATGCAATAATTGCGCTCTCTGGGTTATATATGACTAAGGACGAGGCAATTAGGGAAGGATTCGCCAGCCCAGGATCACTATCCGACTGGCACGCGAGTGTAGCGCGAGAATATTCCCGTCAATCCGTGGACTCGCCTTCCAGTAAGCAAGCACATTCATTTCTCATTGTCTTACAACTGACCCGTTCGATAGTTAGATCCATTCAGGCAAATCTGATCCTGGCATTGAGGGAATTGCTAACCAGAACCTCATACAAAGCATGGACCTTCGCGGGAGTAGCCATTCGACAAGCACAGGCTCTGAGACTGGGCCAGGAATATCATAAGAGACTCGGTAATCGGCAAAAGGAAGTTCAAAGACGTACATATTGGGCTTGTTTCATCATGGACCGCCTTATATCACATTCCTGCTGGAGACCCCAAACACTCGACATCGACTGTGTGCGCCTCAATTTACCCGCGCCCGAGAACCTGTTTACGTTCGATGAACCTTTTGAGGGTCCGAAGATACAAACACTGACGTTCCAAACCGAGGTATCTCGGCTTGGGTTAGCTCCATATTTTCTTGCAGCTCTACATCTGTGGGCACAAGCGACATACGTCCAAGTCAAAGGGGGCCGTCAGCATCACCGAGATCACCCGAGCATTCCAGAGAGCGATCTCTATCACCTCGAGAAAAAGATAGAAGAATTCTGCAGCTCCGTTCCTCCGTCCATGCGATGGTCGACCCAGAATATGAGAGTCTTCCACCATACGGGACAACAGGGCCTCTTCGTGAATTTTCATTTTCTTATCAACCATATGAGAAGTGCGATGCACCAAGAGTATCTCCCTTATCGAGATTCGACTAATACGACAGCAACACAAAATGGTCTGCAAGATGATCATGATCAGAATGCTGGGGATTTTGGTGGTTGGGACGAGAAACTCGTTTCTATCTGCATCTCGAGTTCCGAGGCGATTCTGGAAATTGTTGCCGAATTATATAGCGACGACAGATCTGCTATCTCTCCCTTACGATCAGTCTTTGCTGCTAATGCAATGCTATCTGCTGCAAACATACAGCTCTGGATTCGATATGTGGACACCAAAGGTGATGCGATATGGGCAGCCGCCGCAGCAAAGGTTGACGAAATATCGTCGGTTTTCGAGCTTTGGCGAAATCAATGGCCCGTGGCAGATGCTTGGAGTAGTACGCTGGCATCACTACGGCGACTATACGAAGCCACCTATTCCATGAATATTGGTTCCGGAAATGAAAGTGGCAACCTAGAAAAGAATGCTGACGCACTACCTGCCATCATCGAACGTGATGACTATGAGCAATCATGTCTACAACTTATCGAAGGAAATGGTCTTCCCGATTGGAATGAAGGAATCAGTGACAAGATTAGATTTCTTCTCCTAGCCTCGCTCGAAGATACTGATGCGAGAGAGCGAGTACTGAGCTCATCGATCAGCATATTGAAACAGCAGTCTTGGGAATATGAGGGATTTCTAGAAGACTTGGAGCATGGATTCTCCGACCTCGGTGCGGAAAACTCATGGCCAGGTTTTGTTGATGACTATGTTTGATAACATCACTCAACGACCAGTGATCGACCATTGAAAGAGATAGTTCAGCCGCTAGTTCACTGTCAAGGTCTAGGTTTGAAACCTGAACTGTGGTCGTTCACTTGAAACCCCTGGTCCAGCTGAACCTTGCTCCTCCTTGTCCAAATGACGATTCAAATACCTCAGGTATGAGGAGTAACCCACAGTGAAGATGATCCCCACACATGGGAACGACATATTCACTATGAGAGCAGTCTTATATCGGGGTGCTTCTCTGGCGAAAAAGATATTGGAAGTTACCAATCCCATGGAGTTCAGACAAGCTAAGAGCGTACCGGTGGTAAACGCACGGGCATTCAAGTTCGGGATGTTCGCTACAGTCCAAGCAGAGAAGATGACACTCATCGGGTATGCCTAGGAGAGGAGAAGAATCTCAGTGTTCATGCCTTTTAAAGAGACGATCTTCTCTTTACTTACCCCGATCGTGCAGAAGAATATGGCCATATAACCGATCCCTTTTTGATGTTCGACATCCACGGCGAGCAAAACTGCATATCCCACGAGGCTCAGTGCAAGAGGAACGCTCATGTGGAACCCACGCTCGCGAAAATGGTCCGATGAGTATGCAAAGACGAGTAAGCAGGTAGCTGCTGTCAGAGCGGGCGCCACGGTGTACTTCAGATTAATCAGGATTAGCCCTGGTCCAAGCTGCTTCAAACATGCTATCCCAAAAAAGAGAAAAGGTTCACTTACCAAGTTGGTCTTCGTCACAGAATATCCAAACCGAGTCACCATAATGGCGAGAAAATTGGCGCTGGAATTGGGGAGAATTCCCACGGACAACGCAATGACGACACGCGCCCAGCCATGGACGGTCTTGAACTCACTGATGGCCTCAGACCAAACCCATTTCTCACTTCGGTTCTCCATAGACTCGAGTTGCATGCGTTTCTCTGCGACCACTTTCTCCGTTGGAGTGAGGAAGTACGCATTCGCAATGTCCTTTGGAAGAATGAAATATGCAAGTATTGCGACCAGGCAGGTCACGCATCCTTCGAGAATGAAAAGATACGACCAGACGAAGAGGTTGCCCGATGGCTTGACTTGAAACATTCCAAAGGCCAATAATCCTCCAAAAGCGGAAGCGATCACAGCACCGGCATAAAAAATGGCAATGCGCGAGGCGATTTCCCCTCGAGTATACCATTTGCTCAGGTAGAAGACAACTCTGAGCAACACGATGAATTCCGTCAGCTTATCCAAGACAATTCTACGATTTGGTTCAACGCCACCAGAGGAACTCACGATGCTAGGAACCCAGACTCAAAGATACCGACGATGATGCGACAGGCGGCTAGACCTCCGAAGTCTTTCGCAACCGCCGTCGTGGCGGACGCAATGCCAAAGGCCAACATCATGGCGGGCAGACTGACCTTTGCCGAGCATACCTTGGTAAAAACAGCCATTACGGGACCAAAAAGCACGAACATGACGTAGTAGAGCGTCAGAAGCAGATTGTACTGCTCCCCCTTCAGATTCGTGTCTTTGGACAAGCCTGCTGTTTTGGCATTGCCGAGATTGCTTCGATCCAAGGAACTATCATTTTACGCAAATCTCGTCAGTACAGTGTTGATTGAGCAGTCCGACTAAGAATCGTGGCAAGACATGAGAGTTCAACCTCAGCTATGTAGGGGAAACTGACTTGAATGTATACATGGTAGCCAGCGTTGGGAGGATGATGAAGTCCATTTTGCGCCTGAGCTTGCGAACGACCCTGGGATCAAATACCACGACGTTCCCGTCGCCAGTGGCAAAGTCATCGGAGCCGGGGCCTGCTCGAGCTGCCACTCCGCTGCTGTATTCGGACTTCTCGGTGTCCATGAGGGCCTCTCGGGACACAATGACGGATGAGCTGTGGGTGTTCGTGAGGTAGGAGGTTCAGACAAGGCAAAGGTGTCAAAGGTCTAGGCAAACAAGTATACCCCTGAGGATTTTGAAGGAGGATGGAGTTCTAGTTAGAATGAGCTACTCAGTCATATTTATCTCTCCCAGATCGATCAACCCAGTGCTAGAGTCCCACGGCCTAGCTAGATGACCGGATCTAATCTCGAGAGTTCCTGTCTCCTATCAAACATATAGGTACTAGATAGACATGGAGAAAGATAAGCCGAGGCTCCAACTCACACAGGCAGACCTGGTGTGAGTGACAGACACGCTGAACCCACATAGCTAGGTGTTCATGGCAGTGGAAAGACGATACTGCTCCAGCTTCCGGGTACCTCGATACTCGACGCATGTCCACCCGCGGCCCATCCGACATTCGATCGCCAAGACCGCTTATACTGCCCGGATGGGCCGACTACGTACTCGGCTACCCAGGGATGGGAGAGACCAACGTCTACCGGTGCGGGGCTTCCATTCTGACCACCAGTACACTTCTCGTGCAACAACACATGAGCATGCCATTGTGGATAGAGTTTCAGACACTTCGGTGGAGAAATCCGGTCACTAATTAGCTGCAAGCTTTCTCTCGTCGGTTTCACTTTATGCTATTGGTATTATGTATTCGACGCGGCCTCGGACATCTGAGCGAGCGAGCAGACATAACGTTGCATTTTGTCCGCACTTCCATCGACGGGAGTCACATATGCAAGTAGGTTGTGTGTTCCACGCCAATAAATTTTGAGAAAGACACACGCGTGCCGTTTTTGCTGTTCTCGATATTTTGATTCCTAAGAAAAAAGACGCTCCTGAGAGGATATTTGATGGTTCTCATATTTTGATATACGTCCTCAAGGTATCTGAACGTTACACTGGTGCATATCTCAGTGTCTACCGAGCAGTAGTGAGAAGAGGGTCAAGATGCGGCTTCCTATCCTCCTGGGTTTCCAGGCAGCCCTCGCGCTGTTCAGCGTGACAGAAGCCAGGAACGATGCGGACGAGTTTCTGGAGCGAGCAATCAAACTCATGGAGGATACTCCACTGCTAGACACGCATATCGATCTACCTCAGATCGTGAGAAGTCTATGTAAGGAACCCTCCTCATATATTGCGATGGACCTTTCCTATCTGTCAAATCCCTAACATACTAAATCGCACCACACAGACCGCAAGCCGCTCGACGGCCTCGCGAAGCTCAATAGCACCTTCCCCGGACACGTTGACATCCCACGGATGCGCGAGGGCCGACTGGGCGGTGCCTTCTGGACGGTATGGGCGCCATGCTACGACGTGACGGGCGACGACCCGGGCGCCGACTTCCTCAACCCGACCGACCACCTACGCGACGCGCTCGAGATGCTCGACATCATCCAAAACATGATCTCGCTGCACTCGAATGACCTGCAGTACGCGCGCAGTTCCGATGATGTGTGGGCAGCGTTCCGCGCCGGCAAGATCGCGTCGCTCATCGGCATGGAGGGCACGCACATCCTTGGCAATTCGCTAGGCGCGCTACGCATCTTCGCGCAGCTGGGCGTGCGATACTTGACGCTGACGCATACGTGCCACAGTGCGTTTGCGTCGAGTTGTGGACCCGGCACGCCGGTTCCGCAGGCTCACGAGGGCAATGCGTTAAGTGAGCTGGGCGTCGAGCTCGTCAGGGAACTCAACCGTGAAGGCATCATGGTCGATCTGGCCCACACGACCATCGAGACGATGAAACAGGCAATCGCGCTATCCGAGGCGCCCGTCGTGTGGACGCACGCGGGCGCGCGTGCACTGTGGGATCATCCGCGCAACGTGCCAGACGAGGTTTTAGCCCTGATTGGTGACGGACCTGGTCAGAAGGACGGCGTCGTACAGTCGATTTTCTTCCCAACCTTCATTGGACCGTATCCAGGCTCGAATGTCTCGCATGTCGCGGACCATATCGAGTATATCGCAGCTAAGATTGGAAAGAATCGTGTCGGTATTGCATCGGATTTCGATGGCATGTACCTTACCGTGGATGGGCTGGAGGATGCAACGAAATATCCGAATATCGTGAGTTTTCCTTTGCCCTAGGCCATACCATTACGGTAATCTTGCTAACGAGCTCCCACTTTTCTTTACACGTAGGTCGCAGAACTCCTGAGCCGAGGCTGGACAGATGACGAGATACGGGGTGCTCTTGGAGGGAACCTTATGCGGATCATGGACGCAGTCGACGCGGTGAGTGCACGGTTGAAGAAGGAGCGATTGCCGTCGTCTGCCATCTGGGAGAAACGGACAGATCTCCCCTCCACGAAGTGGGGAGGCGGGGGTCAGCACAACGTCTACTGGCCGCCGGACGTCAAGGCTGCGGTCGAGAAGATGTATATTCGCCATGATGAATTGTGATTGCGATTGTCCCTATAAGTTGGCTTTATAGAGAGGCGGACGCCGATAATACCGGGAAGTGGAAAAGGGTTGGAAGCCTCATTTGCCATTGAGATCAAGCGGGAGACAAGATGTGTCGCCGATGACGATGAATGCTCACGATATAAAGGTAGTTGATGTTGAGGGGTATACATGCGAACAAATCAGCAGTTAGATCGTTTTATAGTGGTGTATGATATCGTTGGGAAACTTTATAGCCAAGTATCTAAACCTAACTCTACACATGCACGCTCTGCTATGCCACAATGCACGAAGGCAACTTGCACAACCGACAAAATGGAAAACGCTGTGAAAATTTGCCGCTCCCAGGTACAGCTGATATGGCTCAGGTATTTGAACATACAATAAGGAAAAGAAAACCACAAATCATGCCCACCTGCCATACGACAGGAGAGCTTCTTCAGGCAGGAGTCAGAATGCAAACCATCAACGCCGAGGTCTTATATGCATCATCTAAAAACCACCGAGAGGGAAAAGGAGAGACATTATTCGTTGCTCAGGCCAGCACCATACCGATAAGTGCCACAGAGACCAAAGACCCAGCCAGCTTCCCTGGTGCCCGGGAACTGCATCATGTAGAGCGTTTCTCGTCCCATGGTGACGCCACCCGTGTGCGAAATGGCTTCGGCCTCGTTCCACACTTTGACCGCAATGCCGGTCTGCATGATTCTCTCGAAACAGCTTTCACCCAGAACACTGTCCAGGAGGACGAAGTCGCGATCTTTGTTCTTCACGATCAGAAGGCGCTTCTCACGGCCATTGCCGTGGATACGGTGTGGAGTGTTGCTTGAGCTTGGGAGTCTGGGTCCTCGACTCTGACCGGGTTGACCAAGTGTCATGACACTTGAAGGAGAGCGACCGTGAGCGGGAGTCGCTGGTGGAGAGCCATCGGTGACGGTGCCTGCTCGGGTCGGAGTTCCACTTCCACTGTTGCCTCCATTCTGGGCTGTAGTAGACTGTACAGGCAGAACACTCAATCGTGCGGCGCCAAGATTTTCCCAATGCTGACCTTTTCTGACGTACAATCGTATCTTCATCATATTGATCATTCCACCTCCATCCGCAGCTGCAGCACTGGTTGATGGGACATTAGGGCCATCTTTACCTGGCACGAAGCCGAGTTGACTGGGTACAGGAGTGCTTGACCCAGAGCCTGAGGCTGTCCCACTGCTCGATGAATAGAGAGACCCAGCTGCTGCTGCACTTCCCGGTCGCCGAAGGACAGAAGAGCGATTGACATTGAAGGCAGAGTTTGCCGTAAAGCGCTTCAGGGCAGAAAAGGCACTTGCCATACTTCCGGAGCTCTCCACCGACATATCAATGGATGCTGGCGTGGGTGCCGACGATGCTCGATAGCTGGATTTCCGTTGCAAACCAAAACTGAACCAAGAACTCGACCTCGACCTACTGTGGCCGGTTTGGCCCACATTGAAAGTGACTGATGGTTGACGTGCTGGTCGTGCCATTTGAAGTTGAATATAAGTAGGATTATTACACCTTGCCCAATTTATCATGCCATAGAGAGCCTCACACTCGTCGAGATTTCGCGATCGGAACATGACGTTATTTGTTGTCTGTATCCTCGAGTTTGGAGTTGGCGGAGACCGAATTGAGATATCCAAAGCTGTCCCTCGGCGCAGGGGCACAATGGGTGTTAATTCGAATGCAACCAAAGGTTGTTGGGATGTGGATGAGGTCCTCGAGTCCGAGTCTTTTCCTGGAGGCGGTCCAGATATGGCTTGAGGATCAGAGTGGGCAGCTGACATTTCGAATGCTTCAATGAGACCAGGAGAGATGACAATTGAGCATTCGTCTGGGTGTATTTGTTCCCACATACCACGGTCAGACCATGAACAGATCAAAGCAATTGCTTTCGATCGTTTATTCAGTGGTACTGTGGCAGAAGAAGGAACTTTTCGATAAGGTCCTTGCGAAGCTGAATCTGACGGAGCAAGAGTTCTCGTTCCTGTTGATGGCACTGAAGCTGGTGGAAGTCCTGTTTTCGAACTCTGTCGTCCACCAGCGAAGACGGCGACAAGAGGTGTTGGAGTGTCACCATGCTCTGAACCGATATCCTCCGAAGTATCAGAAGAGGAATCACTAACACTCTCCGTGTCATACTCTGAAGACCCATCGGAGCTTGTAGAAGGAGCATATTCATGCTTCAAAGGTGAAGATGTGCGACGCTTGAGTTGCTTATCTGTGGGACTGTTCATAGGCTTCAGGTCCAATGTCGGCTTGTTGCCCAGCCGATTCTGGGCACCATTTGACGTTGATTGGGAGTCGGGGACATTCGAACGCGTGTTTGCACCCAACCTCAAGGGTTTCCTGGCGGGAGGTGATGTATGTGGCGGTGGCGTGGGAACATCTTCTGTGACGATGTGGTGCTTGGATACAGGATTGTTGTCGCCTCGATCTTGTGTGACACGAGTTGGAGGATTCTGTGTCCTCCGACCACGATCTTGATCCTCCTCTAGCAAAGGCCCCTCAGATGACGTCTGAGCTGTCGCCGATTGTGCCGATGCTCTGATTCTCGAAACAGTTGGGAGATCCTTGGATGGTGTGGAAGACAGTGCTCTCTTATACTCTGGTCGCTGAAGAGCTGGCTCCGGCGATGCAGTCGCTGACCCAAACTCTTTCCGCGGGATCGTTTTAATCTGTGTCGGGGTGGTGTCCCCATCATGTTCACCCAGACGAGTGCGCTCCAGCACGGGAGATGTCATCCATTCTCGTGACTCATTGTCAGTACGTCTGAGTGCAGATGGGGCCTTTTGTTCAGAGCTTTGACGACCGTTTGTACCTAGCCCGCCTCTACCAATTGGTGAGGTAGATTGAACGGGGCGGGACTTCACATCTGGTCTTGACTGCACGGTGGAAGTTGATCCCAGAGATGAAGATGGAACCGTTGAGGTACCTCTGCCAGAACTATCCGATAACGTCGACCGGTCTGAGGACAGCACAGAGGGGGCAGATTGCTGAGATGTCAGGGAATAGTTCTGATACCGAGCAATCGATTTCGCGACCAGTCCGCCGCCGAGATTAAGGAATGGGAGGGGTTTATTGACTGCAGGCGCCGACTTCCGACTGAGATCTGTGCGGGCTCCAAGAAGTGAAGGCTCGCCAATTGGGACGTCAAGATCAATAGGGAGGTTAAGTTTTGGCGAGTTCTCCTGCTTCTGAGTATTTTCCTTGTCTTCAATGGATAGAGTGGTCGCTGAAGGCTGCTTCTTCGAAATAAAGCTCGAAGTGCGATTCAATCGTGGGGGGAGTGGATTGGAACCCAGCATGGCCATCCACTCTGTGACAGCTTCCGGATCTTCTGTCTTTAGAGCCAGTAATTCATGCCATTCTTTTCCGAAACTGGCACGACCACGTATCATTACGACAAGATCAAATCCTCCTTCACCTCGCCTAGCAGATATGGAACTGAGCTCCACCGGCTCAAAGAGCAGCCACTTCCCGGAAGCATCAACCTCACAGACCAGTACATCACCTCCAACTGGATCTCCCCGTGCATTGTCTCGGAAAATGAGCTCAATACCACAGTCTACACGTTGGCCACTGGTGTGATACAATGTGAGGCTGAAGAAGTCTCTGGCTTTGACTCTTCGGGACTGGTGTACCACGACATTGGTTGTAGCGGCCAAGGTCTTAATATCTCTGGCACGCGTTGGATCAATGCTTGCAGCGGCTTCATCCTCTAGTCTTGCTTGCTCCTCCTGGAAACGACGTTTTGCAAGTGCCGTGAGTTCAGCATATGCAGAAGCAACTTTGTGGGCCTGTGGTTTCTCGTATTCGTCCCTAATGTGTGCAAATGTCTTTCCCAAGGCTTTTACTCGGACCAAGGGCCGTTTCAGGAGATATGCGACATCGGCCTTTTGACCATCAGCTGTCACCGCGTCTCCAAGTTCATCACGCGCCAAGCCAACTTCCGATGCGTCTGCATTTTCAAGAGGTGCAAGGTTGACCACCACATCATGAAAACCCAATCTCCATGCATGTAAGTAGTCGGTGTAGGCTTTTTGAGCCGACTGACCCCATTTCAGAAGGTTGTCTATGTCTTGAAACGGGATGCGATTATGAAGAGTCTTCAATCTCTCGAGAGCGATTCCCATGTCAATGATGGGTCTGGTAAAGTTGAAGTCTCCTTGAGACGTGGCACAGGAACTGAACAAACTGACAGCAGCAGCGGAGTCGGTCTTGGAAAGTACACATTGGAGTAAAACAGGAATGACACCATCAACTAGCGTGCGTAATTCGCGTGTGTATTTCTGTTCGTCAGCTACCAAACCTGCTAGTACTTCGTGGGCCGATGTTGACTTTTTCTGGGGCCGGATGGTCCTGATGCTCTTAGCAGACCGAAGACTCCGGCCCCTTTCAGGGACAGAGAGCACCGATAATAGATCCTCGTGAGTTGTCAATTTTCGTTTGAGTTCGCATTGACTGTCTGAACCTTGGTGGATGGCGGATAGTGCGGGTTGGACTTCTCTCATGGTTTCAACAGATGCGATAGTAGAAAGTCGGTGTTCTCCAGTCGGCGGACAGGGTCGATGAGGTAAAGTTACAGGGTGGTCTTCCAAGACGACACTGAGCTGCTCTTCAATATCATTGAGAAGCTCTGGGATGTTCGGCTCCGAGCTAATGTCTTTCAAGGAAGTGCCTCTCTGCCGCCGTACTCGGGCGCCGCGTCTCCGCAAAGGACTTGGTGAAACTTCCGCCTCATCATGATTTGTAGCACTCGCAGACGCTGTCCGAGGTGGCGTTGCTCGTGTGCTGTTGGAAGATTTTCTTCGTCTACTTTGATCGGATCTCAATTCGGGGCTTTGCGGAGAAATTGGCGGAGAGGACGGCTGGACAGATTCCCAAATCTTGTTGGGATCCATAGTCACCGGTACTTCCTTAGAAGAACGCCGTCTTTGGGATCGCTTTTTCAAAGGCTGAGGTACCTCAACTGGTGGCAATTCGTTCCGATCTTCTTGGTCAAGAAAAGGATCTGGCTGTTCTTCAAGCCATGCTTCGATGGGGACCCGATTGCTAGCAGCACCTCCCTCTGATTTCATGAACAGGATATCTTTAGTCTTGCCGAAGAATTTGCCCTTCTTGGATCTTGAGAAAGAACCGTCTTCGGGCCCAGACGGGGGTCTCCCTAGAGTTTCGACATATTTGCTCCTCCTCCTTGGAGTGCTGTCATATTCTTCTGGCTGAATTGAGGATTGGGATCTCGTTTCCAAGTCACCAGAACAGACTGACTCGGTCGTTAAGAAGCGGGCTAGATCTTCGTCGGCCCGACTTTCAGTATCCTCCAGGGTTGGTGATATAGGGCCATAGGAATCCAACTGGGTAGCAGGGTCTGGTAGAGGGGTGCCTCGGATACCATCGTCGTGTGGTGATGACCGCAGCTGGCTGTCAGCAGTGACTGAGTCAGGGTGGTGCCGGGAGCGCCGTCGTTCCTTTGCGCCTTTTCCGGTCGAAGTGTATGTTAAATCGAGGCCGGATGATCCCATGGTTGGTTTCGATGGCGAAAGAGAGTCCTTAGGATCTCTGGTTTGTCCTTTGGCCTTCCAATGGCCATCACTTATGATTCGCTTTCTGGGTGTACTCTGACTCCTGACTTGATGACATTGGTCTTCGGGCTCCTTTCTAGATCTTCCTCTGCGTACCTTTGGCTTTTCTGCGCTGGTGGACGGAGCGCGGGAAATGGTGGAAGGACACTCAGACATTGGCAAAGATCTGACACTGAGATTGTCTGGCGCAATCGCCTCGGCTGCACCTTGAGCCTGCCATTGTCGGATGCGGTCCTGGACTGATGGGGACTCGGAGCGAGGGGATGCTACATCTTGCCTGAGGGAAGGAATCTTATCGGGGCGGGAGGTTCTTGCAGATCTGCGAGGAGGGTTCGAGGACGGATCGGGGCGCATTGGCAGAAGGGTGGTTGCTGGAGAGTCGAGGTTTGTGGTGGCGGGTTACGAGATTATTTGGTTCGTGCTTTTGATATTGTGGGCCAAAAAACACAGCTGCTTGGGCATGTTGATGCTGTTGTTGATGAATCTCGAGCGTTGTTCCAGATGACTTGTGAGAGTGTTCCGCATGCTCCGAATAGACCGGTGGAAGTGCTGTGAATGCAGTCGAATGAGGGACGTCTCCGGTAGGTAAGGTGTTGAGAAAGTGAATAAGTCTTGGACGTGGGAATGGTAGGTTCGTGTTCATGCAAGGCGGTGATGATGCGTACGAGTAAGTGCAGTGGCAGCGATCTGTGAGTTTGGCTTGCGTCAGGCGGGCGGTGGTGGGTGCACAGTGGACCGCGTCAGGTTTGGATTCATTGACCGGGCAACGCTACCGAAGCCGGACACCCACGCCCAAGACTCGAACAAGCCACGATCCTGGACCATCCAACTTGAACAGGGATCGGATAAGAGATCCAGAGATTGGCTGCCGTGTCTGTTTCCTGGCTGAGGATTGGATGATTTTCCAGAAGTGACCACATTAATATGGAGTCACGAACAAAACCCAAATCCACAGAAAATAACAGCACCAGCTTCAATTTGGTCTGTCGTGTATCCGTATGTGAATAGCAAGGGTGGACTTTGCAGCACACAACGCCTACCATGTAGTCTAGATATATCTATACCTGTGTTGGAGTGTTGTGAACTGTGCTCCTGTGCTCCTGTGCTTATGGCTCCCGTTGGTTTGCAAGTATTCTGCAAAAACTAACTCACTCTGATGCACAACTCCGGCCTTTGATCCCGAATTGATGTTATGTTGATGCCAAGCCTCACCACACGCTCGAAATCCATGGGAAATTGAATTCGGAATGAATGCACTCCCCTTGCATCGACTCTGTACTCAGTTGCGCCCGACCCCTTGCCTGCTTCAGGCGTGCTTGATGTGTCCATTGGCCTTGGGTTTCGGAACCGATCCATTGCCCTGCAGTGACTGTGACATTCTGTTCAGGGCTTTGAAAGCTTTGCCTGTAGTACTTATGCTGTCCCACAGTAATGCTATTGAATTCTGTCAGCTGTGATGCCTTCGCGAACGAGTTCCATCACTTACAACCGGGAATCACAATCCAGATGAAGTTCATGAAGAAGAAGTAGCACCAAAAGTAGTATGCCTCTGGGCGGCAGTAGGTCATGTTTTTGTAATAATGGTCAAAGAGGCATGTGGCGTAGTATAGTATATCTCCATAGATCTGGCCAAGGGAGACAATGGCTTGAACAGGGTATCGCAAGGGATGCGAGGTGATGATAGCATAGACCATGAAGAAGGACAAGGGGCCCCAGCACACCTAACAAGGCGTCAGTCTAGTCAGATTTGTTCCGTTTGACAATCCAAACTTACCGCTGTAATCGTTTCCATACACAGCACAAACGGGTCGGAAGTCAGGTACCGCGAATCCGAGAGGGCATACTCCTTCCACAGTTGCCCAAATAGATCCTGCGCACCACCCATGCGCGTGTGGTTATAAGAGAAGTACCCCTCGAAGAAGAGATGAATGCATCCAGCTGTTCTCATTGTCAGCGCATGTTCTTGTCCTTCTGTCTTCCGCTGGCAGGGGGCTTGTCAGGTCTTACAAAGTGTGAACCACAACACTGCCAATTTGTCTGTCTTCTTCAGATGCGGGCTGATGGTAGAAGCTCCCACCCACGTGGCCCCAAGGATGGCCGTGCAGCCTATTGCAAAGGAGACCAGTAGCTGAACAACGTCTTTCTCGTTCGCAAGGTAGTTGGCGATTTCCACACCCAATGGATAGAATGGATGCAAGGGTATCGGGTCTGGGATAGGGATCGCAACCGGTGCCGGTGCTGAAGGCATGACTTTTCTGAAGTAATCCATGCTTCTATACTATTATAGATAAGAGGGTGAAATTGGCTTTTTATGAATGGGAGTTCGTATGGTGTTGGGGAATAGGTTGAAGTCAATTGGTGGTGGAAGAGGGAGAGGTCTTAAGGCAGTGATCCAAGGAAGGACAAACAAGCGTGAGAAAAGTTGGACTGGACACGGGACCTCTAGAAAGGAATGACTGACGAGGTGATGATGAAAGTGCGAGGAGTGACAACAAGTAGGAAGGAGGAAGATCTGGGGGGTGAATCTGAAGAACCTGAATTGGTGGAGAGTAGAGCTGGGGAGGTGGATGGGGAGGTGTAGCGTGTGCCTGCAGTAACTTGTAAGTGGCCCAGCTAGTGACAGAGGGAAGACGGAGATGACGATCGTACGACTCGGTGCCTCGCCAGTCAGTGTCGGTCAGTGGGTGCTCATCCAATCTACCTTTGGTTGCTAGAGAGCCGCCGGTGACAATTTGGCAATAATAAGAGCTGAAGTGGGAGCTTGAATTCGATCCATTCTGGCCATCCTGGGCTACCTATGGACACTGTGGTATTTAAGGGCTTCAAGCTAAGAACTCTGTGGCTGTTCGTGGTCGCGGCTCTTGTCTTGCTTCAAGCCTCATTATTATTAGAGAACTTCCAGTATGTAGGAGAGAGCTAGATACATATATTTGCAAGCAGTCACTCCTCCTTTGGGCAGTCTAGAAACAAAGGGCTCGTCTTGTACCTTTTCTGTAAATATTTTTCTCCAAGTACAGTGGGCACCTGCAGCAAGGATGAGAACTAGGTCCCTCGGTTACAGAGATCAAGTGCAGTGGAAAGCCACAGCCAGATCTCGGCCGCTGTGGCTCATTTCCTGGGTACAGTTAGGTATCCCTACCGAGGACTCCCCTTATGGATTAGGTGCCACCCCCGCTTAACAATTTCTATGAGCAAATCTGAACCCTTCCACTCCAACTCTTTGCAGCCTCGGAGAAGGTATCCCACCAACAGATGGCATTTCAAGTCCTATTAAACATCTACCCACAACCACATGTTTTTGCTTTTGCCTCCGTCATATATTGGCCAACCATCTGTTTGCCCATTTTGCCGCTCAACATCCAGGTTACGACTCTGCCGTCCTCGTACCTCGCTAACTACATTCTCTGCCCACTCAGCTGCCTCCAACATCTCCTCACGGTGAAAATCTCGTCCCTCATATGCCCGTCCCTGACACTGGCCATGCTGTGAAAGCCTTGTTCTGCTTTCTATTTCCGTCATCCAAAAAGCCACTTTTGAAAATTCTACCCGTTCAGTGTGGGGTCGTCCGTTGGCATCTTAGCGAATCGTTCGCATGTTTGGTGGATGCGTTCACATCCTCAATGGTTGTCATGAATATGTTCCTCTGTCGAACAGGGTTCAATGACGTGATATGCTCCATGGCCACCAAAGGTCCTTGTTTGTCTATCCCCATCCAGATCCGCTTGCAGACGTCCCAGGCAAATCTGAAATCCTTGACCTCGATCCGGGCCCGTACTACTAGTAGGTGCTTCTCAACCTTTGAACTCTTCATTAAAAGTGGCTCGAGCACTTTCAGCTTCGTTGTCTCATCTCCATCAAGCTACGAGTGTTGCTCGTACTGGTTGACTTGGAATTTCAGTTGGCTAAAAGCAGCTCTATACCATCCGTCCTTCAGGACTTGACATTCTTTATTCTTCTCATTAGATCGGCCCGTGACCACTTGGCTCAATTGACTTGTAGCATTGTCATTGGGATCACGTCATCATGGCCGGTTTGAAGCCCATTTACTGTGCCACACATCCTCGTGCGTGTAGCACTGCTTTCGAACGGGTTTGAGGCCTATCCGTGCCATACTATTTCACAACTGATAGCAGCAGGTCTTTATGACCAGAAAAGACTTGGCTTGTGTCCATGAGCCTTTCGGCGATGCCTTTTATTATGGGTAAGGATATCATATATACCAGACTGTTCACCAGCCTAATTCGTTGTAGCCCAGAACGACTCAGCCCACGTTATGAACAAGACGAAGCAGAGAGGAAGGCCAGTGGCTTCGCCAATTCAACATACAAGACAGTCTTCGATCGATTCGACCAGGAGGGTTCTGAGGTGTGACCTACTCAGGAGCCCTTGCATTCCATGCGGGCCAATATGGGATCCTAATATGATCTGTACTTACCTATCTTCATAGGGCAAACGCCTGTTTATCAAGGATATGATATCCTACTTGGTTCCCCCAGAGCAATTGCCCGCCAAACTCGCTCCCTCTCTCGGAGCCAGAAAGCGCGGAATCGGCACTGAAAATGGTGTCAAGTCGACCAATGGTGCACCATTCCCTTACGACACCGATGCAGAACCAGGAAATCCTACCATTGTCTCAAAGGCTTTGTTGGAGCAATTTCAGTTCACCTTTCTGATTCGTGACCCTCATTCCAGCATCCCTTCTTACTTCCGATGCACCATCCCGCCGTTGGACGAAGTGACTGGTTTCTACGAGTTTTATCCTCATGAGGCAGGATACGATGAACTTCGTCGCTTTTTCGATTTCGCCCGAGAGTCTGGCCTTCTCCGAAAGAACAACGCCAATGCAGCAAATGGGGCAACCAATGGAACCACGAATGGTGACACTAACGGACATACTAATGGCCACATCAATGGAAATGGTGTTAACGGCAACGCGGGCCATGGACAAGGTGATAGCTCCGATATTTGTCTTGTTGATGCCGACGACCTTCTTGACGATCCCGAGAGCATTATCCAGCAATACTGTCAACACGTTGGCCTTGACTTCAATCCCGGCATGTTGACCTGGGACAATGAAGAGGATCAACACCGGGCCAAGACCGCCTTCGAGAAATGGAAGGGTTTTCACGATGATGCCATCAATTCCAAGGACCTCAAACCTCGCAAACACGTAAGTACTGACATGGAGGTGGCTACAACAGTACTGACAGGCGACAGAAGAAGGCTGCAAAGTCCGAGGCTCAATGGGATGCCGAATGGAAGGAGAAGTATGGTGAGCAGGCAGCCAAAGTCATCCGTGACACAGTCGATGCCAATATGGATGATTACCTCTATCTGAAGCAGTTTGCTTTGAAGCCATGAGGACTTGATGAGCAGTAGGGCTCTCCATCAGCGAGACCAATTCTGATATTGGAATTGGAGAGAATGAATCTTCGAACTACACTTGTATTGCAATGTTATTACGATCGACTATGTTGACAGCGTTGAGCCACTACCAAATTGTAATTCAGTGGTTGGACTATCAGGAAAAATGAAGAAATCTTATCTCTGTGAGGTTCGAGGAACGAATAACGCCCGATGTATATGGCGGTCGCCCATCCATAAAATATTGGTATACTCAGACCGGAACATCCCCGTTGACCAGTCGTTCATCACCACAATCTGGGATATTGTAACGAGCTACAGGTATTCTCAGCTCAATTGAAGAAAAGCCGAGTAATTCTGCCACAATATTCTGGCATATATGGAAATGACAGGGTGTGAATGTCGTATGATAGTAGCCTGACCAGCCGAGTTTAGTTAATGTGAGCCCTAAGGATGATTGACCCGGGCGTGGCCGGGTACAACGCCAAACCCATGATAGGCGGCTTAGGGGAGAACCATGTAGCAAGCCCCAACCGTTGGCGGCATTGGTTGCAAGTCCCTCGGCGATGATTCGAGCAGGGCTGAGATATTTCTTGGCACTTCTCGAAGCCACTGGAAGGTGCCAGCACTGAGCAGCAACTGCCCCTCGGCCTGACTCGCCGGTTGCCCACTACCCACCTTGAAGGTCATAGCACCAACTACATCATTCTCGTCACAGCGAGACTCGAATAACCACAACACAATAAATTCCACCACACCTCGACCATTATCAATCCTATTTCTTTCCTCGAACTGAAACACCCAGCAACCACTGAACCATTTTGTGTCACTTTAACCATTTTGAATCACTAAACCATGGCTTCAGCAAATGGGCCGCAGTTTACTGATCGAAGTGCAAAGGCACTGACTGATGCTGCAAACCTGGCAGAACAATATGCACATTCTCAGATTCTACCAGTCCATCTGGCAGTCGCTCTCTTCGATCCGGCTCCCGATGAATCAAAAGACCAGCAAACTACCATGAATGCTTCACAGTCTCATGCCTCAGCACCCCTCTTCAAACAAGTCGTAGAGCGAGCCCATGGTGACCAGCAGCTACTGGATAGAGCGCTGAAGAAGCAACTCGTGCGACTTCCCAGCCAAGACCCTCCTCCAGACCACGTCACCATGTCTCCAGCCCTATCAAAGGTCATCAGATCTGCGCAGGAACTCCAGAAAACTCAGAAAGACAGCTTCGTCGCCATAGACCATCTAATTACTGCCCTCGCACAAGATCCCAAGATTCAAGAAGCCCTCCGTGAGGCCAACATTCCGAACAACAAACTCATCGATACTGCCATACAACAAATACGAGGCACGAAGCGAGTGGACTCGAAGAATGCCGATTCGGAGGAGGAAAATGAGAACCTCAAGAAGTTCACCATTGACATGACTCAGTTGGCAAGAGAAGGCAAATTGGATCCTGTCATTGGCCGAGAAGAAGAGATACGTCGTGTGGTTCGAATTCTATCCCGACGAACAAAGAACAACCCCGTCCTGATTGGTGAGCCCGGTGTTGGAAAGACCACAGTCATTGAGGGTCTTGCCCAACGGATCATCAACGCCGATGTCCCTGCCAACCTTGCCGCCTGCAAACTACTCTCACTCGATGTGGGTTCTCTGGTCGCGGGCAGTAAATACAGAGGTGAATTCGAGGAGAGAATGAAGGGTGTACTCAAAGAGATAGAGTCTTCGAACGAAACTATCGTCTTGTTTGTCGACGAAATTCATCTTCTCATGGGCGCGGGTTCTAGTGGAGAAGGTGGCATGGATGCTGCCAATCTCCTCAAGCCTATGTTAGCACGCGGACAATTGCATTGTATCGGTGCCACCACCCTTGCCGAGTATCGGAAGTACATCGAGAAGGACGCCGCTTTCGAGCGAAGATTTCAACAAGTCCTGGTCAAAGAACCCACTGTACCCGAGACAATATCAATTCTTCGAGGTCTGAAGGAACGTTACGAGGTCCACCACGGTGTTACCATCCTAGATGGTGCCATTGTTGCGGCTGCTAGTTTGGCTGCTCGTTATATAACATCTCGACGCTTACCAGATTCTGCAGTTGACCTGATTGATGAGGCGGCAGCTGACGTTCGAGTTATTCGAGAATCCCAACCAGAAGTACTCGACAATCTCGAACGACGTCTTCGACAACTCGAAATAGAAATTCATGCTCTTCAACGAGAAACGGATCCATCCTCGGCTCAGCGACTTGAAGAAGCTAGACGCGAAGCAGCAAACACCAAGGAAGAGCTCGAGCCCTTGAAGGAACACTATGAGCGTGAAAAGGCTCGTTCCAGAGAAATTCAAGAGGCCAAGATCAAATTGGAATCACTGAAAAATAAGAAGGATGAAGCCGAACGATCCAACGATCTGCAAACGGCTTCCGATTTGACATACTACGCTATTCCTGACACCACTGCGAAGATCAAGGCTCTCGAAGCTGCTAGAGCTCAGGCAGATGCAGAACAACATCTCAGACTCGGCAACCTGGGAGAGGCATCACCAACCGACGCTGTTGGCCCCGAACAAATCAATGCCATTGTCGCCAAAATGACGGGCATTCCAATTACCAGACTCCGTGCATCCGAAAAGGAAAAGATTCTACACATGGAAGCCCATCTCCAGAGAATTGTGGTAGGTCAAAAGGAAGCTGTCAGAGCAGTGTCGAATGCCATCCGACTTCAACGATCAGGACTGGGTAATCCAAATCAACCACCCAGTTTCCTCTTCTGTGGTCCCTCAGGTACCGGAAAGACCCTTCTTACAAAAGCTTTGGCCGAGTTCTTGTTCGATGACTCCAAGGCCATGATCCGTCTTGACATGTCGGAATACCAAGAACGACATTCATTGTCGAGAATGATCGGCGCACCGCCCGGCTATGTTGGGCATGATGCTGGTGGTCAGCTTACGGAAGCCCTCAGACGTCGGCCGTTCTCGATCCTCTTGTTCGACGAAGTTGAAAAAGCGGCCAAAGAAGTACTCACTGTTCTTCTTCAACTCATGGATGATGGTCGAATTACTGATGGACAAGGAAGAGTGATCGATGCCAGAAATTGTATTGTTGTGATGACGAGCAATTTGGGTGCCGAGTATCTCGCACGAAACAATGCACCTGATGGACGTATCGATCCAACCACAAGAGAATTGGTAATGAATGCGCTACGGAACTACTTCTTGCCCGAGTTCCTGAACAGAATCAGTTCGACTGTGATCTTCAATCGTTTGTCTAGGCGCGAAATTCGGAAGATTGTCGATTTACGACTATCGGAGATTCAGAAACGTCTTGAGTCAAATGACAAGAAGGTGATAATCGATGCTACTGATGAGGTCAAGGATTACCTAGGAGCTGCGGGATATTCACCAGCCTACGGTGCTCGACCATTACAACGATTGATTGAAAAAGAGATCCTCAATCGGTTGGCAGTGCTCATGCTCAGAGGAGCAATCAAAGATGGCGAAACCGCACACATCGAGTTGGAAGATGGTAGAGTCATCGTTCTACCCAACCACACAGATAGTGACATGGACGATGATGAGGACATGTTTGACGAAGACGATGCTATGTTGGAACTTGAGGATGGTGCCGACGGCAATATGGATCTTTATGAATAAACGGCCAGACAAGTAATGAACGACTGATGATTGATATACCATTACATCGCATTTTAGCATATTGGGCGTTCAATGGTCTGGCGTTGAGGGTATGACGGGTTCATGTCCGTTACAGTTATTACATACCCAAAAATGGAACTCCTAGCTTAGATATCTAGGTTGATAGCATATAGATTTTTCGTGAGGAAATGGAAACTTCTGCAAACAATGTAATCTTCTATTTTGAGAAATATATTCCTGAAACTTCCATGCGTGCTACAGGTCTATCTCATGTGCACTTGACAAAACTTGAAGCTTAGTCTGTGTATCTCGCTCAAATACTATGCCATAAACAACTTGCCCAGGCCTTAATGCCTACCTAGTACTTAGGTAAGAAATATAACTCCGACAGTAAAATGTCAATATCATTCTCCTCCACTTTCGAAGTGAGGCGAGTGTTTATGCAGCCAATCATATTGTGAGCAGACAACTCAACGCGCCAAGCAAAAACGCGTCGCGCTTAAGTTGAGTGTTCGGCCAGTGATGTCATTTTCCAAACACTTCAAGTTCACTCAATCTGCTTCCTGAGTGATCTGCCAACCCCAGCCCAAACTTGAAGCCATCGCACCGAGCATAGAGTCAAGACTTTCCTGAACGGATCAAAAGAAACGTCTTGAACACGCACGTAATAATCTACAATCTACATCTCATGCGCACCGTCACGAACCATCACATTCGAATCGAAGTCCAAGTGTATTGAGCGCACACTTCAAGAGTGAAGTCGTAAACCCATCAACATCCCAAACCAGGAACCCAAATAGCCACTCCGCAAGCAATTGGTCAATCGATCACCATGGTGCCCACGCCAAGCACACATAAGCGGGCAAGACCAGCATTCTCGCCTCTCAGACCCGGCAAGAAGTCCAAGACGACATCTTCCACGACGAGCGTGACGAAAAAGAATGGCGCAGATGGGGTCGTGAAGAAATCTACGGCGGGTGTTACGGGCTCGAGGAATAGAGTGACGAGTAAAAAGACACAGCAGGTGCGGAAAGAGACGTCGAAGCAGAAACAGAAGCCAGGACAAACACAAGTCCGGCGGAGGAAGGCCGCGAAAGGGACGATGAGGGCTGTTCTGGATGATTCGAGTGATGGGGAGGAGGATGAGGTTAGAGGGAGAATTGATGAGGACGATGAGGACGATGAGGACGATGGTCAGGAGCAAGAGGAGGAGGAAGATATTGGCAGGAGAAGGAACCGCTACCTTCTCGATGAAGCCTCCTCAGAATCAGATGCAGAGGAAGCCGAAGATGATGACGAGGATGAAGACAACGATGAGTCCCGAGTCTTGAACCACAATAGCGACTCAGAATCAGAAGCCCAAGCCTCGTCACCAGAACCAGAATTCATGCTCGCCGAAGTCATCCACCACGACCACGACCGCCCCAACACGAGTTCCAAGTCAAACCGCAAAAACACATCAGAGTCCGATCTCTCCATACCCCTCCCACTGATCCACCACATTATGCGCTCGCAATTCACGACGCCGGACAAGACGTCCCTGTCGACGGATGCGCGCGCCCTGATGGGAAAATACGTAGAGGTGTTTGTGAAGGAGGCCATCCATCGGTGTGCGTTGGATCGGGCGGAGAGGGAGAAGACTCGCGGTAGCGGCGGCGGCGGCGGCCACAATGTGGGCATCGGCGATGATGGGTGGTTGGAGGTCGAAGATCTCGAGCGCGTGGGGGTGCAGTTGTGTTTGGATTTCTGAGTTTCGGGTTTCTTGAGTATTGAGCGTTGATCACCTGGCTTGGAATGATTTGACGAAATGAGCTCTTGATGATGTTGGATATCGTGTAGCAGGGTCATGGTATTCTTGATTAGAGATGTCATGCATACACAGGACGGAGAAGGGTACAGAGCCAGCGTTTACCACGACGCTCTCCCAAAGTGGATCGTGCCTATACAATTCGAGACTGAAAGCACGCGAATTGGTCCCCAGAAGATGCGTTATACCCCTTACTACATACGCGCATACAGTGAGCCACTACAGACACAACCGTTCCAACCGAGTTGTGTAAAGCGCGTCTACGATATCTAAACAACATCGTCCATGGCCCTCTCGATGTACCTACGTCCCTACCTTCTACATCCCCGCCACAGGAAGTGGCTGCGAAAACTTCATTCTAAATTCCTAGACACGCTGTATAACACAAGGTAGGCGCAAGCCGATGCTGCCGCAAGGAAGCAAACCTCTGAAGAGAAATAATTTTCTCGGCTCCATGGTTCGCGAACCTCGAGAGATGAAATGGAGCGAGTGGACGAACCGAGTTGGGTCGCGTCGTCTCCTCTACTAAACTCTACCCTCAAGAGTCATAAGGAATATACACCAGGCCAGGTCAGAGCTGGTCGAAACCACGCGTCATTCATTTCCATAAGAGATAGACCACTACGAAGGACTCACAAATTAATGAGATCTGGAACACGAGATCCGAAACAGGACAGACGACAGCCACGCGTACACGTACACGTACGTAGTGAGTGAAGCGCACCCAAGGCTCCAGGACCAAAAATAGCTGCCTCGGCGTCAGTATCAGAACCTCCTACAGCATGAGTGAATCCACAACCGATTTCAGACTCTAGGCAAGCCTCGACCTTCAACGTTGGATCCTCGATCCTTTGGCATGACTCAGTACTCGGCCCTTGCGAGGCCTCGTACACCATGCCGCTTGTGTAGACACCTGGCGTATCCAAACTGGCAGAGTGGACAACCTCGGTCAGAGCAGAGCAGAGCGATACTATCAATTGAAACGAAGCGAAAAGGTAACGGCCTGGCCCAACCAAGGATTCTCCACCCTCGCTCGACCTGGCTAGACCATCAGTAGAGTCCCGACGACGTACGTCGTCGGATCAGCCGTGCTCCGAGATTGATTTTGTTTCAGGGTGCGGAGCGTGGAAAGGAATGGTGCGAACCTAGCATGGCATGGATAAATTCAATATGTCTTCGTGGCCACTGGTGGGGAAAAGGGCATGAGGGATCAGAAGAGATAGAAATGGACGCATTTATCACTATTAGATGATGGTGGTACGACTTAGCGGATGGCGTCCTCCCCTTGCCGAATGGGAAGGCATTGTCCATTGCTATTGGTACCATTCCGCTTTGGAGACTCCTGTTTTTATCGTGGATGGGTAGGAGATGTATTGTACGCTATAAATACTAGTGTAGTCTCTTTTGTCACAGGACAACGTTGGCGGCCTATTAAGATACTCAACATTCAATGTCGCCGAACGCAGATGACAGAGACCATTAGATGGCCCTTTCGGACGGCCAACTATGCGGAAAGGCTGATCAAACACCTACCAACACGGCGGATCGTCTCATCATCATCTGCAGTATCGAGATGATGCTCGCCATCTGGCCAAAAAGGTTCCCACCAAGCATGCAGATTCTGGCATGTGCCGAGCGTACTCCAGCCAGTTTCAAGCCTGATGTCGTCCAACACCTGTAGCAGTGCTGCTCTTTCGGCTCGACCGACGAGGATTGTGCCGGCACTGGACAGCAACTGAACGGCGTTGGCCCAAGCGATAGGATGCCGATTCGTGATGCTGTTCGACACAATCTTGCGGCTCAGACGGATGGCTTCTCTGGATGCGAACTCGGACATGAGCCGGACGGCTCTTTCACCGGGTGTCCGGTCTGGGAAGGCGAGGATGCGGAACAGACAGGCTAGATCCATCATTTGCGTTGCGGCACATGCGGCGGCTGATACGTATATGATCTGCCTGAATGGCACCCGGGGGTCCTTTGGGGGTAAGTCAATGATCGGACGGAAGGCGACCGGACGATTGCTCTCATGGAGATCCAGAGATGAGGAGATTCTATTCCATCGGTCTTCCAGCTCTGATTGCTCTGTTGGGGTGCGCAAAGCCTGTCGAACGTCACACAGTAAATTATGGGTGTGGGCGAGGAGTATCACCACTTGATTGCACCATGAATCGAGCTCCCAGTCGTGAGCATGATGGGGCGGAGCCAACGAAGCTCCATTGGGAAGCCAGCGTGATGGGTCAAGCAGAGTATGTCGAGCTCTGGCTATCGAGGCCAGCAGATCCATTCGACAGTACACCCAGAAGCAAGACTGAGCCACGCCGCCGGATCGTCCATGCCAGCCCTGACTTGAACACAGAGAGAATGTGCCTCTCAGGTGGGTATGCCAGTCGAGACTTTTGGCATCGATCATTTCGCAGTAGCCTGTGAGCAAACACGATGCAAAGACCGCAGGACACCCTGTCGACTCTGCATTGCCCAAGGCTCGCGTCAGTTCTTTGAGGCCATGGTTATACTGGTCAAGGGCGTAGATTGAGCTCTCTCCTGATACCAAGGAGTATTGCTTTGCACAGCTTGCAATTATGGATCGGAACAAGGATCGGTTGGATAATGATAGATGTGGCACTGCGAGTGACCAGTGTTTGATGGTGTCGAACATGTCGAACCAGGGGCCGAGAATGTTGCAATATCGCTCCATGAAGAACGCCTCGGTTGGCTCTGTGATGGGACGACATAACGGGACAGTACTGGCAGCTGAATCAATTGGGTACTGGATCGTTGCTTCATTCCGTACACTACCACCACGGGACAGCTGACATTCTGCTCCGCTCACAGTCGAGGGCGATTTTGTTTGCATTTCCGTTCCCAAGATTTCATAGTGTGATTCAATTCGACGATTCTCCGAGACGAAGATACCAGTTCTAACAATGTTCGAATTTTCCTGGGGTACTGGCAACGGAGGAAAGCCTGCCTCTTCTGGTGACCACTCCTTGAGGATCAGAGGTTTTGTTGAATATTCGCATTGCAAGTCATCTTGCCAGCAACGCTGACATGGCTGTTCCCCGACGCACCTGAAGTGTCGTCGTCGGCAATTGTCACAGGAGAGTTTTGTTCTTGATGCTGTTCCCCTCTTTGAGCGACTCATGAATATCTGGACTTCATCGGGTGAGAGCAAGGGAATTTCGTCAGAGTGGAAAGCATGGAGAGGGGTTGAGCACTTAAATGAAATCCAACTTGGCAGCATCATAGTCCGTTACGCCACCTACCTATTGTACTTAGGTACCCAGGCAAGTTTCCGCCCTTTATGCCCGCACTCGCGACTGACACAGAACCTGTTGAAGTTGCTCTCTTTTATTCATCGATGGTTTAGTCCAGAAATTACTAGCTACAAGTCAGAAGGACATGGCACTGGCTGCTACGTCTGCCGGGCAAGGGGGCCTCCTGGGGGATATCAACGCAGGTAGCACACTTAGATTCCTAGAGTTCTCCAGAATTAAGAGCCCTATTGACCGAATATACTTCTCTCACTCCCCTACACCGGAACTCCAAACTGCACTACTATCTAATGATGACCATTGACTCCATTTGTCCCGTTTGTGGACGGTCGCACAACTTCCATCTCCAGCACGGGATCCATCCTCTTCTCTAATGGATAGTTCCCCCAGAAATCTTGTACACGCTTCATCAATCGATGATATGCTAGCCCTGAGCCAGGCTGGATATGACCGATGATGCCAGCTCGGGAAGATTCGACTCTCTGAGGCACAACTAGAGATCGGCCTACTATGCACTCGAGACCATTAAGGCCGAAGCTCATCGCCTCCCTCGACCCAGTCGGAACACCTATCTCATCGAGGAAGGCGATCCTGGTGTTCGGCATCCGCTCTCGCAGATAGTTGATAATGTTGGGGTTGTAAGATCCTCCACCACCAAGATAGATCTCGTCAATACCTCCTTTCGGACCCCATCTTTCGTAGGCATCAGCTAAGGCCTTGGCCGTGATTCGAGTGATTGTGGCCACACAATCTTCTGGGCTGGCCCCCTTTGCCAGCATTCGCTCGCAAATGTCTTCGCCCATTGTATCACCAAAGGTTTCCCGACCAGTTGTCTTGGGGATGTCATGCACGAAATAAGGACCGGTCAATACCTCATCGACGATTGATTGGTCCACTTTACCGGCGGCGCCCATTTTGCCATCCTTATCGTATTGCTGCTTCCCATTTGTGAAATAGCGAACAGCGGCATCAATGAAAACATTTCCCGGGCCAGTGTCAAAGTCGTAGCCCTGTTGAATGTCGCCCTTTGGTAGCATTGTGATGTTAGCAATGCCACCAATGTTTTGGACCGCTCGGTTCTTGGTTGGGTGTGTTGTAGTTAGTCCATCCCATGCCACAAATAGGGGGCAACCTTGTCTTCCGAGCGCCATGTCACTGACACGGAAGTTTGAAAGGCTGGTGATGCCAGTCTTAGCAGCGATGATGGAAATTTCGGCCATATCGAGGTGAGCTCGTTGTGGGTTTCCCTTGAACATTTCGGGAAGAGGCAGATGCCATATTGTCTGACCCTGACCAGCGATGATGTCTACATCACTGTCCAAACTGAAACCTTGTTCCTCGGCAAATTGAATTATCGCGTTGGCGGCGAACTCTCCCAACTGAATGTTCACAATCGAAATCTCTTCGGGAGTTGTTTTGTTTTCCTTGATAAGTCTCATCACTCTCTTCTTGAGGTCGCCGTCGAAGGCCACCTCTCCCGCATGTAGCAGCTGCATTTTTAAGGGGCTTGCGGGACTGTCTTGCGTGAAGTGCATATGTGCAATATCCAGTCCATCCATGGAGGTTCCGGCATTGGTGCCGATGACCTTCAGGTCCAATGGCTTGCCTGTCCATTCGGAGATGGCCATGATGCTTGAGGAAAATAAGGAGATGTAAAAGTACAGAGGCAGTGTAAATTAAGAGCTGGTTCTTAGCGAGAAGTGACATGGTAGAAGATATTCAGTGCTCGCTCTCTCTCCTTATATCGAAGTTGTTGAATTTCCAGATCTTCGCCGAAGACTCCACCCGCAGAGTGACCCTTTATGGCGGAGGCTCTGGGCATGCTTCCGATATTGTGTCTGATGGAGACCTTGAGGATATGCCCATGAGAACTAACGTTGCCACTGTTCAAGTTTGGGGAAGACCGAAAGACGCCGCTATCTAGGAAGGAAGGAGCCTCCGACAACAAACTTTTCTTATGTGCGGAGGTTTACCGGCTTCAAGTTTGCGGAGCAGGAACCCCAGACTGCAGTAGAACAACTTGAAGATCGTTGTGCTTAAAAGGCAAAATGGCTATGTTCAATCGTTGCAAACTTTATTGCCGGAACTCCTTGCCGTGCAGGTGGAGGCCCTTTCGATTTGGCAGATCTGATTAGCGGAAACAGCAACGCACTGTTCAAAACGGCTACCAACGAGTAACTTGTTGATCCCATCCTGCCCACATGAACGCCGACAATACTCCAGAATGTGCGGCCGCGAAGCATTTCCTTCCTGAGTAATATGTGGATCCTTCCGAGTACCTGGACATACAGCACGGGGTCCCCAGGCTTCCAAAGCCTTGATGGAGCCTGTCCCTCGTGGATTGAGCGACGGCAGCGCGTCTACATAAATCATGGATACCTCCAGCATAAGAACATGCTTCTTCTTCTTCATCATCAGCTGTCTTTCCATAGTCGACCGATAATTATCAGACCTCCGTGTTGAGGAGTCGCTTTCTTCCCATCATCCTTCACCTTGAATCGACACACAGCTTCCAAAATGGGCCTCACCGACATGAAATTCACTCCTTACACCTCGACCATGGGTCTGAGTGGCCTGCGTCTGCAGTTTGCTATCGCCACAATTGCAACCTGCGCCTTCTGGCTCTTTGGATACGACATGTCCATCATGGGCGGGCTCATCACAGAAGAGCCTTTCCTCTCCGTCTTTCCAGAGACCAAAAACGCAACTATTCAAGGCATCGTCATAGCCACGCTCGAACTTGGCGCCCTGTTCGGCGCCATCCTCTGTATCTTCTGTGGTGACAAGTGGGGAAGGAGAGGGACCGTATTCACAGGCATGGTCTTCATGTTGGTCGGTGGCATATTACAGGCATCAGCATGGCATATCGCCCAAATGGTGGTCGGACGCTTGTTGTCTGGCATCGGTTTGGGTCTCCAAGTCGCTACCATACCCGCATGGCAGTCTGAATGCGCTAAACCAAAGTCTCGAGGTCGATGGGTCATGATCGAAGGTGGTCTCCAGACCTCAGGTGTCGCTTGCGGCCAGTGGGTTGGTCTTGGCTTCTTCTACACCAGCGGTCAGGTACAGTGGCGTGCACCTGTCGCCCTTCAACTGGTTCCAGCTGCGATCGTCTTCTTCTTCATCATGTTCCTCCCTGAAAGGTAAGACCGCCACCATCCTTTCCACAGCCCCTGCTAACCCCCTTCCAGTCCTCGTTGGCTCGTTTCCCATGGTCATTTCTCCGAAGCCAGAGATGTCCTCTCCAAACTTCGCAAGTTGGACGAGTCGCACCCGGACTTTGTTGCAGAATTCGCCGGTATAATGGCCAGTCATGAGGCTCAAAAGGCCGAAGCTCCCTTCGCTTACAAGGAACTCTTGCAAAACGGCAAGACACAGACCTTCCGCCGCATGTTGCTGGGGGTATTCATCAACGCAGCTCAGCAGCTCTCCGGTATCAACATGGTCTCAACTTACGCCAACCAAATCCTCTCCACTAGTTTCGACTTGAGTCCGGGCACATCTCACCTCATTGCTGCTTGTGGTGGCACTGAATACGCACTTTGCTCTCTCCTTGCCGTGTTCTTAATTGAAGGCCTGGGACGTCGTAGAGCTTTCATGTGGACGGCGACAGGCATGGCGGCTTGCTTCATCGCCATCCCTATTTTGCTGTCAACCAGTTCCCGATCAAACCAACTCGCTGGTGCTGGCCTCCTGTTTTTATTCAATACGTTCTTTGGTAAGTAACAGCTGCATTGTTACCGGCACTACCCTTCTCCTCGCTCGTGAACTAACCCAATGGCAACAGGTCTCGCCTGGGTGGGTGGTCCCTTTCTCTACGCCGCTGAAATCGCTCCTCTCCGTGCTCGCGCCCCCTCTGCCGCACTCGGCTCGGTCAGCAACTGGACCTTCTGCTTCCTGGTCGTCATGACCATTCCCACGTCGTTCGCAAACCTCGGCTGGAAAACTTACATTTACTACGCGGTCTTCAACGCCGTGTTCGTTCCGATCATCTATTTCTTCCTCGTCGAAACAAAAGGCCGTTCGCTGGAGGAACTGGACGTCATCTTTGCGACACCAGGCGATCCGGTCAAGAATGAGAAACGGCTCCCTCACGATATTTCAATCCACGATGCAAAGATGGCTCTGGGCCTGGAAGATGCTGGATCAGACAAATCCGTAGAGGAGGTTGCACAGGTACATACTGTGGAGAAGCAAGCGTAGATAATCACCGAGGTCTTCCCGGCTTCGTAAACGTGAATAGAATGCAGGAAACTCTCTCCAAAAAGATGATTGATTAAACCCTTAATCGGTGTATATCGCGATCATTTAAGTCTCCACAATGCCGAAGCAGGCCCAGCTACTTTGAATAGCCCAATCAATCAAGTGAAACGTCCCAGAGACCATCCCTCGCTGCAGTGATGCAATGCGGTGGGTGGTCTTGAGCTAGCTCCAACTCTCCTCAGTAAGTTAGTTGTCCAGGCAGGAAATTGGAAACAGTGAAGCGTAATTTTAACCCTGGCGTCCTCCTTGACCACGGATGCTTGACGTACCGACGCAACGTGGGCAGCGTTTGAGACTGGGCCGCCTGAAGCGGGAGCCTCGCCCGTTAGTAGATGCACGAGTAGGTCAGGAAGCCCGGTGGGAGTCCGTCCGGCCAAGGGCCGTCCCAAGGGCAGAAGGACTAGGGCTACATACCTAAATACGTAGTAGTCATCGGTTGGGACGACGAGCAAGCCGATGGAGGAATATTATTGTGAGAAGGGGGGGAGAAAAAGTCACCAGGTGATACATATATACGGATATCATGATAACAGGGCGAGCATTTGGTGTGTTATATAGGTAGATAGATAGAATACAAAAAATTCGTTGTTCCTGAGGGGGAGGGTGCGTGGGTTTGAACATGTCACCACAACCCTCCCTCCCTTCAGAAGTTGACCTCAAAACAGACATATTGTGTTACACATTCTCACAACCCGACCTTGGATGGGGCGGGGACCGTTGCAGCTTTCATGATCAAAAAATAGGGTCCCTCATTTCTTTTCTCTGCCCCCATATGGTGTCTAAAAACTAAAACAGAAAAAACATCAACAAAAAAAGCCTCAACCTCGGGATATAAAACTGACGAGGGAGCACTGGGTATTTTGCGCGGTGGCAATGAACCGTGACAAAGAAAAATATCAAAGCCGGACCTTGTTCCGATTTCCCACACAAGAAAGGTAATATAACTCCCTACGCACCGGTTTTGAAAGCAAGGAAAAGAGGATGTGGAAGAGGGCTAGCCTCGTCCCCCTTTCGTCTGGATTCCCGGGCGTAGAATGTTTTGTTCTTTGATATTGGGAAAAAAGGAAGAAGGGCCTTATTTTTCGGTTTCCTCTCGGGTCGTGCTGCTTCTGTTCCAAGATTGGAGAGAAACATGTTTTTCCTTCTTTTCGTAGCCTGGTGTCCTTCCGGGGGGTTTGTTCTTGCCCTCCCAAATACCGTAAAATTTCCTGTCCCGTTTACCGGTGATAAAAGGAGAAGTCGTTTTCATTCCTCTTCTAAACTTTGCCATTACAACAGAGCCACCAAGGCACCGACCGCCACACCAGCCAAGGATGCATCCCGGACATTCAAGCTCGAAGCAGCACCAGTGAATGTGGCAGGTACAGCAGGTCTTGAGCTGGTAGCTGCCGTCTGCACGGGTGGTGCACCGACGAGCGAGCTTGATGGGGGTGCGTTGAAGCCACCACCGAAGGTAGCGGTGGCGACGGGTGGTGGTGGGGGAGGTGCAGTTCCAGCTGGTGGGGGAGCAACAGTTCCAGCTGGTGGTGGTGGAGCTGGCACTGAGACGGTGGGAAGTTTGCCGGCGTTTTCGATGTATTTTTCGATGGTGTTGGGTCCTGATGGCGCTTGGTTGATGACCATGGCCATACCTCTCTGGCAATGGTTGACTTGACCGCAGAAGATCCAGATAGGCTTGGTATCATTGACAAGAACATTATACACTGGCGTGAATGGCTCATCACCCTTGACCGGAATGAATCCAGATCGGATACCGGGACGCATGGCCGATGTCAGGTTTGCGGCGAGTGGCTTGCAAGGCTCGGCAAAGCTGGACTCCGTGATCGTGTGGTTCTGTAGACTGTTGTTAGTTGAAATTCTTCAGCTGGCACACCTGATTGATTTACCTTTGGGTGGAACTGGAATTGAACGATGGAGCCCACGGGAGCATCGATCTTGTTTGGGAAGTACTTCAAGCTACCATTCGCGTCGGCGACAGACACGACTTGGACCATGAGCTGTCCAGGTGGTGGTGGAGGTGGTGCACCACCTGTTGGGATGGGAATACATCCTGCTGGGCAAGAAGGAGCTTGCCATACTGGAGCAGCAGTCTCATAAGGTGATTGACTGACGGGTGCGGGTTGGTGTTGTGGGGGCGCACTGGTTTCCCAGCTATTCCATCCACCGGAGGGTTGAGGAGGTTGTTGCCAGCCGTTACCACCACCACCACCGCCATTAAAGGATTCATGACTTGTCGCAACAGCGGCAGTCGCAAGGATCGTCGAGATCAAAAAGCTCTTGATGACAGACATTCTGAAGGGTGTTTTGTGTTGATGATTTGATTTAGTTTTCAGATATTGGATGTTGGGTTATGTTATGCAGTGAGTGACAACGAGCGACCGGCGCAAAGAATTTAACTGCAGTGCGTCAAGCAGCAGAATGAACGAACAGACCTGTACAAAAAAAAGAGAGAGGTCAAACAACGGTGGAATGATGGAATGGAGAAAACGAATGGAATCCAAACGGGTTGCAAGCGCTACATATGTAGGCCATCTGAGGCGGGCAGTGCAGAAGCGACCAGGGCGTCAAATTGTCAAAGTTTCCACAGTTTTTAGAATCAAGGGATCTGGATCTCCTGGGAAGATGGCACTGATCGAGTTTCGTTACCTGGTCAAGTCTAACCCCTAGCGGAGGGGTGCTTGATTGGGGTTACCCATTAAGAATGTCTGAAGTTCGTCTCAGGTGAAGAGGGTAGAGGGAGCCGCGACAGGCGAGAACGCCATCGACATCTGGGCTGAGTCAAGCGCCAAATAGCGAGGACGGCGGCAAGGAGTGAGAGGTGATGGACAGGATAGCGGAGAAGGCTGATGTTTGAGGTTGAGAGGAACGGAGAGATTCGACACGCTGACAGTTTTGGATGTGTCTGGAGGAGTCGCCCGGAGTTTCATGGGGGCCGCTAAATCACCCGTGGCGACCAGTCCAAGAGACCGAGGGAGGCCCTTTTTACCCTTTTTGTATCCCTGACTCTGGGCATGTTTGCTCTGTTTGCTCATTGAAAGGGGCTCTCGCGGGTCTTGGCGTCGGGGGCGGATCGAGCCTTGCAGGGTCGAAGAAAGGGATCCTTCTCAACGTCCAGCCTCCCGGTGGCCCAGTGGACCTTACAATGTGACTGTGAGAGCGCCAGCGATGCAGCAGCACTGACCCATCTCTACCAAGTATCTCGCCTACATGTCCGAGTCTGCACTAGAGGGATCTTGATTATCATTTTCTCAACCCTAGCCCATGCTCTGCCCAGTCGCTTGTATCCACCGACTCACCGAGGCCTTTGGTGGTCAACGTGTCGCTCTTCGACTCTCTTGCTGGGCAGTCCGGATCGCTTGACTCCCGGGTTTCACTCCAAGAGAGGCCAACTGGGTCCGCTTGAGCCTTGAGCCTCTTCCTGCAAAGCTGGTTGAGCAATTAGGAAATCTGTCACCGGGTGCTTCTCTACCGAGATGGGTACGTAACGCTCGGTCAAGGCTTGACCATGCAGCTTAGGGTTGTACTGACCTTCCTAATCCTGCCCATGGTAATTGTGTTATTCCGCATTCGTCCTGAGATTTGGAAATTATGATTGATAACCTGTTTAGAGTGTTACAACGTGCTACTACCCAGATGACTACTGCAGCCTCTGCATGGTAGTTGCATTCGAGATGTGATTGCGACTGCTCATTGACTTCGACTGGAGTGCACGTGGCTTTCAGCAGGCCATGCTGTTCACCTCACTCGATACGAGTACGAGTTCAAGCTTGTAGTAGTTGCGAAAGTATCTTGATCTCTTTGAACAAACATTGGTACCGAGTAGTCATTATTATGTACTACCATGCATTATCCCAACTACCACAAACCCTAATGACCCGAAAAATGTAGAGAGGCCGCAATTCAGGCCATATCCACGATACTACGCCATTACGCCATTGACGACCAGCTGGCACACCAAACTTATAACTCAGCAAGCGAGGCGTCGACATAGCCTCTCTGGAACTGGATGGCTTTGTCCTCAGCCTTTCGCTGAGATTCACTGATATTGACATAATGTTACACGTCCCGTTTTCCTTTCTATCAGCATTAACACACCCTGAGCTCATCAATTCCCTCATCATCCATAAACGCGTGCCTCAATTCTGACCTCGAATGGCAGTCGGTCGACAGATCTCATCAAGTCATGGTATAACCATGAGTCGGAGTGGTCATGAAATTCCACTGTCCTGGCGGTAAATTGTCCCGTTGATGGAAAGTGGGAGTGGTTTGAGTCGGGTCTGGTAGGTCGGCTGTCAATGCTGGGTCAACATCATCTTCGGGCTTCCTCTTCTTTGGTCGACCACGAGGACGATTCGCATTGGGTGGATCCAGAACATATTCTTCTTTGAGCTGCATTGAGACATTGGGATCGTAGCCACGTTCTCGCGCAAGTCGTCTGAGCCCAGCCAGCACTTTTGGTTCCACCCCGGTAATTTCGTGAATTCTTTCAGAAGAGATGCTCGCTTCAGCAAGGGCCAGAGCTTGAATGCGCACGGCAGTTGTATGTTCCTGCATCTTGAGGACCTTGGGGGCTTTTGCTTCCGAGCTCTTTTGAGTCCAGTCTTGACTTCTGAAGAATGCGGCAGGATCGGCAGCTTGTCGCGTAATGCTTGTCTCCAGACCTTGCTCTTTCATGGTATCAAGGTATTGTTGACAGCTCAGCAGATGCACCCGCTGACGCGAGGTGTGCTGAGCCATCTCCCTTCCACAGTACTTGCATCGTACCTGGGCGAGTTTCTGCCGCATCAATTAGACCAGAGTACTTCCATAGCTGCGTGCAGAGGATGACAACATTTACCTGCGTGCCATCGGGATCCTGAGGGATGATGTCCCAGGCAGAGTGAGTTTCGGTATCACCTGGCTTATTCTTATAGCCACCGCTACCTGGACCACCCATCCTTGCGCGACAAGATGTTCAGCCTTGCTGGGATGGGAATTGAAGGTTGAAATGTCGGACGAAGGAGGTCTTTTGACTGATGACAGATGGGATGGCGATGGTGGGCACGGTGGGTGTGCGTGAGATGAAAACTTGGGCGTCATTACAGAATCTGCAGTGGAAGTCTTTTGAACCAACGCTAGTGTATTTCGGGCATCGACCAAAACACGCGCCCCGCGTCTCCAACTTGAAGTAGATTCACCCACCACCGAGTGACATGGTGCGCAGCGCAGCCTCACCATAAACAAATGTGGGCAGAATAATCGGTTTGTTTGTGCAATTCCTGCATATTCCATGCTGCCGGTACTTGCTTTCGCAGTTCCTTCCCACGATGACGATGTCAGATCCTGTCCAAACATCCACGGCGTTGCTCACTGAACATCTGCAATACACTCCTCTCGTATGCGACCTCTCCCAAAGGGAAAATACAATGGCTAATCTCATAGTAGTCACTGATTGACGACATCATCAATTCCGTCAACAACTTCGTGTACCAGGGCGTGGGAAGTCTCGAGATTGGGCTACTCTCTACCCCTCCCGAAAGACTAGGATTCAAAGCAGTCAAGCATGATGATACGGATGGTACAAGCCAGGAAGACTTTCCAGAAGCGAAGCAAGAGATTGAAGAGGGACTGCATCAACTAGAGACACTGCTCAACTCGACCGTGGACAAAAACTTCGACAAATTTGAGATTTATGTGTTGAGGAACATCCTCTCGGTTCCGGCAGACTTAGTGAGCTGGATGCGACTAGGACATTACGAAGTACAATCTCCATGATCTCAGAGTATGAGGCCTATACTGACTATGTAGGGTATATCATACCCACCTCCGGAAAATGGGCCTACCGCTGAGAGCGTACAACTGCTTCGACAGCAACTCGCGGCCTCACGAGCAGTCTCCCGCGCCCTCTTGGAAGAACAGACCAGGAATGAAGCAATCCTTGGGCAATTGCGAGGTATTGTGGGCAGCACCCCAGGCGCATCAAACAGCCTGTCTTTCCTCACTACAGCTGCACCTCTGGTTCAACAAACCTTGACAACGAATACCAATTTTGTGCTCTCTCAGTTACCGGCGATCAGGAATCTACTTAACGAGCTACGACCCAAATTGGCCGCTTTGAGAGAAGCCAAGGGGCTGCTGCAAGCAGATACAGCAAAGGAAGAATTGAGAGCAGAACGAAGACAGTACATCGAACAGCGCACGAGAATGCACTTGGAACGAAATGGTCAGACTCTTGGAGAAGAGTCTGCAATGGTGTCTGGTAAGCGAGTTGATCCGGAGGAGGTTCAAGCTTTGGAAAAGGTTGCCTCCATATTTGAGCCGACCTAAGGAAACGGCTCGAAGAATACCAATTCTCGCCTTGACCGCCATGCTCTCCACGACCGAGTGGAAGCTGCTTGAATCGCTAGCTCGATGGGAGTCGAGACATGTTGAATCAGCGACTTTGGCCGTAGTCGGGGTGATCTGGAAAGACAAAATCTGTCGCCAGCCTGATTTGGCCAAAGATTGCCTCTTTTTGGAAGCGACGACAAGTTTCATCGACCAACAATGCTGATATGTTGTGCATGAAGTGAAAGTCATGTGTCTGTGGAAGGCGGAGCCCGTACTGTGCGAACACGGAAGAATCCCCAAAGCGGGCATGTTTAGTTGTTTCAACAAGTGGGCTATCAAGGAAACCCTATCCTCAAATCGAAGAGGGTAACCGACATTAGCAAGGTCGGTGCACAGATGCGAGGGCTCTTGCAGGTCTTTACTCTCTCAAGCATGGTTGGGAAGGGTCTTGTGCAGCTCGAGCCACATTGGTGCAGATGCGACCAGCAGAGAACGAGTTTAGTGTATTGGAGCACGGATAGCAAAGGACTTGACTCGGGTCAATCTAAAGGCCACTACGTGGAGGAGAGTTTACGTTCCCGAGGTGGGAGCATTTGGCAATCTAGATTTCGCGTACCTGGAGTGTGTGGAGGACCAGATGGACCAATTAAAGCGGACCAAGATCGACTGGGATCAACGTTGCAGTGTTTGAGGCCTTGATGTAACAGGCTGACAATCAGTCAAGTCTTCTGTTTGCAGGCTTGAGATGGGAGTGTTGATCGGGGACACTTCTTTGGTGGTGGAGAGCTGGCTCTGATCGGGGTTTATTCCCATCCAACTCATCGTCTGTGGATGTTATTGTTTCAGTACAGATGATGATTGCCAAACCCACCTACACCGACCCCTCCGAGACTACCTAGGTATCTAGGACTATGCATACTGAGTCATTCAACAAGCTGTGGAATCCAAAAATAATTCACCAGGAGGCTACTCGTACGGTACCTCCACCCAACCCTCCTCTGGATGCGCTGTCATTGAACTTGAAAGGTCGACGGGACTACCCTTGCGCCCATGGCCATGACGAGACCAACCAAAATGCCCCTCTCCGCCAAGCCGAGATTTTAGCAAGCGCCCACTTCTTAACTTTGGCCTCCCATCTTCTTCTCTCATCCTCTCATCCTCTCGTTCGTCCCTTTCCAACCCTCCATCTTCGCTTCTCTCCTCCTGTTAGCTTGCCACCAGCTCACAGGCTCTGGTAGTCTTTAGCCGCCATCTAATTCTGATGGCTCTTTCTCAACAGATGCTGATTCGTCATCCCATCTAGTATCTGATGGCCTTGCGTATATTTCTGGAGTTCTCTCTTGTTGCTCCAGTCCTTAGGTAAGTGCTTTTTACGCGCCTTGGTGGGAACCGCAAGGCCATCAGGCCCTGAGCCTCAGTGATCCCAATCAAGGGAGGCAATGACCACCACTCAGCCGCTGCTAAGATCATGGCTACAATAAGAGAAAGAGAACTTGCACTCTCGTCTTTCATTTTGCTGCTGATTCTTGTTCCCTCATTCCTTTTTGTCTTTGGTTGCGCTGGTTTCGCACTGTTTCTTTACCAAGATATATAAAACACAAGGCTACGTTCACTCTTGCCTCTCGCAATCATGGAACACTCCTCCTCCACACTTCGTCCATCAACTGAAAGCCATGCCACAACTCGTCCCCCCTCCAGTACCCAGAAGGACGAGACGTACCAATACAAAGCAGTGACCGTCATTCCTTCACCTTTAATGACTGCTTCATTAAACTCTCGCCATTCTGCAACTTCAGTCCAAGAGTCAACATATCTGTCCCAAGCAAGATGGCTTCGCAGGAGTCGACTGGCCCTTACCGTCTTGATTATTGGGACTGGTGTTGCTGCCGTAGCATGCAGTGGCCACATCCAACATAGCTACAATTCTACCCATCTGGGACCCGAATATCACTTGACCCTTTGGCCCATCAATATCGATCTGAGACCCAACCTTGTCATCTTGAATTCAGCCGCCATCGTCATTGCGAGCAGTATTGGTTATCTTGTGTTCTCACTCCTGCCTTCCGTAAGAATACCCCACAGAGCCACTTTCCCCTGTCCCAAGCCATATCTAATAGATCTACCTCCCTCAGCCCCATTCGCGCAACGTCCTGTACAACATCTTCTTCGCAGCATCATCACTAGTCGGCCTGGTCCTCGGCATCTTCGCCCTGGCATTCAACCTGAGCCTGACCAACCCCAGCGCCAAGCATCAAAGAGACTCACTTCAATCTTGGACCTGCAAGTTCGCCGACGGTGCTCAGAAATTCGATGCAGACGCTAGCCAACTCAAAATTCCTGTCTATCTCAATGACGGCATGACCATCCCAGCCGGCTTCAAGAGACTCTGTGACGAGAGTGTGGTCAGTGTTGGGCTTGTCGTTGCGCTTCTGGTCCTTGAGGTCATGGGCTGTGCTGTTGCTGGTGTGGGGATTCTTCTGGAGCGTCGGATGGCCGAGAAGCGTCGTAATAGGTATTATGGCGATGAAAAGAATTGAGCGGTTTCCAGATTGATTCTTTGGTTAGCCTTGTCTACGACGGTAGGGCTGTTATGGTTTCGGCTATGCGATGGCTCTGGGTCGACACTTGACTAGAGGTCATGTTATTACTTACTTTCAACCCGATGAGGCAACAGCAGCACATTGGACGGCTTGGCTTGGCATGGTAGTGGTGTTTCGAACCTTTCGTTATTCTGTAGTTAGATCACACAGATGTAGTACTAAATATCATTTCTTCCTTCCCTTCTGACCGCCCCTCTCCTAACGCACAACAACAATGCCTCCCCATGCAAGACACCCCCTAAGCAAGTGGAACCAATACGCCAGCACACCAAACCGCAGAAATCGACCTTGTATTGCGAATATCAACCAACGGATTCTCCCTTAAGAGCACCAGGTCCGCCCGCCTCCCCCCTTCCACGGCCCCTCGATCCTGCAATCCAAAATACCGCGCCGGCAGCACAGTCGCGGCCCTCAGGGCCTCAAGACATGACAAGCCCGCCTCGACCAGCAGCTCCAGCTCCTGATGCAGCGCTTCTCCATGCACGACAGACACCGGCGAGGCCGGGTCGATGTGAGCATCCGAACCCGCGAGGATCGGCACTCCCGCACGATGCAGCGCCGTCACGGACGCGCGGGCGTTGGTGTAGACTGGCTTGCCCGGGGAGGGGTGCTGCCTCCGCCTCGTGGCGCTGATGATGCTGAGCACGGTATTTGGATGCGAAAGCAAGGATTTCAAAACGCGTGCGCTGAACGGCGCAGCGATGGCTTTCATCATGGTGAGCGTGGGCACCGAGACCTGGTTGTCAGCCGCCATGCGTGCGCTCGCGGTGTCGTCGAGTGCCGCGTCGCAGGGTACGTGCGTGATCACGTCGGTGTGCGCGTCTTGCGCCATGTGAAAGGCATGGAGCTCCGAGGCATGTGCGACGACCAGCTTGCCGTGCCTGTGCGCTTCGACAACGACCGCGTCGAGTGTCGCTTGGTCCGGGCCCGGGTCCTCCGCGATCATCTTGATGTAGTCGACGTTCTCGGCCAGGCGCTCCTGCACGAACCGGACGGCCTCGTCCGGGCTGGAGATCAGCGAGCTCTTCATCATGGGCAGGATCGTCGCGTGCACGCTCCCCGGGCTCGTTGCCGGTGCTCCAGATGTTCGGAAGTCGCTGGCATGCTTGTGGCCCCGTTGGGCCGAGATCTTCGATGCCGGCCATGTCCCCATGTCGAGCCCCGTTGTCACGCCGTAGCGCGCCATGGCTTTCAGCTCTTGCGCCGTGTTGAGGTGGATGTGCGCGTCGATCAGCCCGGGAATCAGTACGCCGCCGTGGCCATTGATTTCTTTGGCGCCCAGTACAGGAGACGCCACTATCACGCCCCCAGATACTGAGATGGCCTTGAGTGCGCTAAGGTCGTGGCCATCAAAGACTCGCACATTGTTGATGTTGAATGATCGGCTATCCTGGGCGGCCTTCATGAGAAATTTACTTCTTGCGTATTTCACAGGGGAGGGAGCGAGAGTTGGAAAGCTTCCCTACACCTGAGGGGAATTTCTTCATATTTATTCAGGCGCCGCTCATGCAATCGTGTCCGTACTGATTCCAGGCATCATGCTAGCATCCAGAGCTTGCGGAATCTAGTTTCAGCCATGACTTGCTTGATTCCGTGAAGATTCTTACGAAGGTGGATGACTAGCCATTGTTCAGTAGTCATATCCTGATGAGTCGTGATCTTCAGATCGCGGTTCATTGGACACGACAGAGACCTCCTCTACTGCGGAGACAGATCTCGAGGCTGGACTAGTCCCAAACTGCTTAGCCTTAACGACCTGGCCAATCCGCAGTCTCGAGGGTGGTGGCCTTGCCAAGACCTGCACATGCATCCGAGTCTCAGATCGACAAGCTCCTTTCTCTGTCTGCCTTCGAGGAGGGTTCAGTGTTCTCCTCATTATGAAGCAAGTACTCAGATGGTTTGTTGGTCATACGAGTGTTCTAGCGGTACGATTGAGGAACTCCAAGTCTGCACTCCGTCACATCTGAACCACAATACTCCTTTTCGAACTTCGCTGTGTCAGGGGGTATGGTCAAGTTCCACGGTCCGCGGAATTTTCGACGCTGAACTATGTTAGCTCGAGTGATCCAATGGCTTCGAAGTCTCGAACAGGCTGTATGACCTGCAGGTATTTTCTGTTACCCTGAAAGGCAAAATCTCGGCTGCTGAAGCAGGTTAGGGCTCGACGCATCAAGTGTGACGAGAGCCGTCCCAAGTGCCGGCGTTGTCATAAAAGCGGATTCAGATGTCACTACGAATCTCTGCCCTCAATCACTCCAGGATCCGGCTTCATATTATATACTGCTGATCCATTACAACTGAGGCCGCGAGATATACCTGATGCAGATCTGCGCGATCTACGGGCTATTGATTTTTTTCGTTCCTGGACTATTCTTGAGATAGGTGGCCCTTGGTGTGCTGGACTTTACCAAAACTTTTTGTTGCCAATCTTACACTATGACCAGGGCGTAAGAAACGCGATCGTGGCATTGGGTGTTTTCCATGAAAGATATGTTGACACAGGCGGGTCAATTCATGTCAACAGCGACTGTGCAACTCAACGGTATGCGCGGACTCAATACACGGCTGCAATTCGTTCGACGATGACACTTCGAGGCTATAATCAATGTAGCGCTGTCGATGTGGCCCTGGCGGCGTGCATCTTGTTTGCCTCAGTTGAAGGCTTGCGTGGCCATATCAAGACTTCTCTTATGCACGTGTATTCGGGACTTCGAATATTGGAGGAGGAAGAGTCTAAGCTGAGCAGGATTCAATCTGCGACGTCGTCGCGACACCTGCTACGAATTGTCTTGCAGCGTCTTGCTTGCCGAGTGTCCGAGGTTGGTCATCACGAGTTCATTCCCGAGCAGCAGACATCACCAAATGGGAATGACACGCTTTCTGATGCCATTTGCGAGGTTATTGCCCTTCAGAGCCAAATTCAGCACCTCTTTCGGCATCAAGTACTCAGTCTAATTCCGGAACCAGTCCCTAGAGGTGCTGGCAGTACTCAGGTTCCAATTTCAGGTATATTGAGGCATTTCAAGGCAGTTTTGGAGGAGATCAAGGCCAAGTACAGCAACGTTCTGTTCTTGACAAGTCAAGAATTTAAATTTAGCCTTGAGAACGAAGCAATTTTGAGGTTAAATACAATGATCACTAGCATCGAGATCATTTTCAACATCCATGATTCAATGAACGAGCAGACGCAAGACGCTCTGATTGAGAGGTTCCGAGAGCATGGCCAATGGTCGCAGATGTATCTCAAAACGTTCTCTAAGACCAAAGGCATCACTGAAAATTCGGAAATATGGTCACAGGGAACTGCGACGTCACAAGGGAGAAACACGAGAGGCGCCGGAGGAACAGGCGAAGGATGTAGCCAAGGCTTCCAAGATATCTTACCAAAACCGCCTCCAGGTCTGGCACCGCCGTTGTTCATGAACCCAGGAGTCGTGCCGTCTCTCTTTATGGCTGCTGCACGTTGTCCCGACCGTTCCATCAGAGAAGCCGCCATCAAACTTCTCAAAACCTGTGATCGGAGTGAAGGGCCCTGGGATTCAAAAATTGCAGCAGATATCGGCAGCAAGTTCACCGAACTTGAGAATTCCACAATTACTGACAGGTGAAATGAATGGATACTGTGGGCTTAAAGCCTTGGAGTCCCTGTTGAGACCAAAGGTCGCTCGCACTTACAGTCATCGTGCTCAGTGGGTGGATGCCACGATACAGGAAAACAATACGAATACGAGTCCCGATCACGGCGATACTGGAGCATCGGGAAAGAACCGAGATGTCAAACAGAAACTAATGCCCCCTCAAAACGACTGGCTACCTCGTACTCGGAATTGGCGTCTGCCTATTGCCTCAGCCTCGCTCCGATAACTCTGACATGATTGGCTGCCTTCCTTAAAAAGTCACGTGCGGCCTGAAAGGGATAGGTACGAGTATTCAGGCAGCAAAATTAATCGAGATGAAAAGCGTTCTTTTCCTCGTATATGTGTTGTGGCTGCGAATCTGAAATTCCATTCTCCGACAAAATTCTTTCAGTAGTCAATATTGACGATTTCCTCGACTGGCACCGACACTCCCTTCACTCGACCATATTGCGGGACAAGGCTGTTACTACACTGAAGTCCAACCTTTGCCTTGCAGTGCGCCTACTGCTGCTATCATTTCGTCGCAAACATCGGTACAACCTTACGTTACATCCTCTGGACCCAGAGACGAGTATTGAATAGCCAAACAAAATGGCGAGCGACCTGTGGTGAGTGACAGCTTGGGACAAAAGTCGAACGCTGGGGTGTTTTCTTTCTCCTCACCTCATGCTACCTGGCTTCATAGTATGCTATGCTGATATCTTTCTGTTTGCAGTCCAGTTTATTCGGTCTGTGTTACCTCCTTCCCTGCTCAAGCTGATTTACTGGAATCAACTATCCAGTTATCATCTCAGTCGGCCCATATTTTCATCGACACGCCCCTCAAAAAATCTTGAGGGAACCTACCAATACAAGTACTGACAAACATGCAGCCATTCTTCTCGGCGATGGGATGTGCAACTGCAATCATCTTCACATGTTTCGGAGCAAGCTATGGCACAGCCAAATCTGGCATTGGCATCATGTCAGCGGGCATCTATCGGCCAGATCAATTGATCAAGTGTAAGTGGGCCAGCAAGAACGGGCTCATAGCGATGCTAGAAGAAATGACCTCCTCGCTCGCTTTCCCATCACCTGAGAAACAACCATAGGCATCCCTTGTCAGTCGACATAGCTAACCATGTCGCAGACTGCATGCCCACCGTCATGGCAGGTATTATAGCCATCTACGGACTTGTCATCTCAATGATGATCAGTACAACCCTTTCGTCCACTCGTGCCACACCCCTCGCAGCATCAATGACACACCTTGGCGCCGGACTGGCCACAGGTCTCTCAGGTCTATCGGCAGGATTCGCAATCGGCATTGTCGGCGATGCAGGCGTACGCGCCAGTGCTCAGCAACCTAGACTATATGTCGGCATGATCCTGATAATGATCTTCGGCGAAGTTCTGGGTTTGTACGGCATGATAGTCGGATTGCTGATGATCAGTAAAGTGGAGGTTGAAAATGTTTGCTGAGCCTGGTCGAGGAAAATTCGGCATCGAACAAGCCTAACTAGAAAGTAGAGTCAATATCCATTGCCGTTGTGGATGATAGGCACGGACAGATTTCGCGGCGTCTTCGGGTCTGGTGCGCCCATCGCAAGCACCAAGTTCTGAGTTGAGGTGATGGAGAAGAGGGTATCTAGAAAGGCCGCATGACTCGGCGGAGGGCGTGTTACCAATCGTGCGACAATTTAAAGTCGCTTACATACTTTCCCCCCGAGTTGGAAAACGTGCCTAGTCTTAAGTCGGCAGATGAAGACTTTCGTGTATCCGAGATCTCGTATATCTACCAACAAGAGCACCCACCCCGCAGGCTTGGCCATATATGCTCAGTACTAATAATACAGATGCAGTTGCTGATACCCTCGGTGCATCTGCATTGCCCATTAGAATAGGACTATTCCCCTCCGTGTCCGTTCACAGACAAAGCACATTCTACTGTTAACATACTTGATTCAACCACTTCATCAACGACCCTCCAGCACACAAACCACTTGAACAGAGACTCCGTCGGACAGCCAGTCGAGTTAAATATACTTCTCCAAAAACATGGCACAACGCTCCAACTACGAATTCTCCAACCAATCATCCATCCCTGGGGGCCTCGGCGCAACGATATCCAACTTCTTCCGGTCCTGGGACGACCCGCACTCGGCCAACGACTATCTGAACGTGTTCGCGCCGCAAGGGAAACTGGTCTTCGGCCCAGCGCCCGCGACAGGTCGGGAGGCTATCCAAGCGCTGCGCGACGGCATGATCCACGCCGAGAACGGGCCTGTCGTCGACCTCGAGCATACGCTGGGACAGGTGTTTGTGTTGGCGGGGGCGGAGGCGGAGGGAGAGGGGTCCAAGGACGAGCATGAGTTGTTGGTCAATGGGTCGATTTGGTATCGTTTGAAGAATGGGAAGAAAATCGATGCCGATTTTGCTTCTTATATGAAGTTTGTCAGGCAGGGGGATGGCCAATTGCAGGTCGAGTTGTATATTGTTTATCTCGATTCGTTGGAGTTGGTCACGGCGATCAAGGAGATGAGTGCATGAATGAAGGGAGGAAATCAATGATGCCGAGGTGAAATGAGCTGATCATTTGTGTCTTTAGCTAGCAAGATTGTGATCCTATTGTATTCAAAACACCAACACGACCCTGCGATCACTAGCTTTGATGGTTAACCATGATTACTTCGTATCTGCTGAAACCCGTTGTACCGGGCGTACCTCCTGATCGGACCCAGATTCAGATTCTCTCTGCTGCTTGAGCTGTTCATTCTGGTTGAACTTCTGCACGACCTGGAGGGTGGCATAGTAACTGAAGGGGAGGGCAATAAACCAGAATGCGCAGTTAATACTCGCCGTGATGATCAGCGCCGTTGGAACAGCCTGAACACCAAAGCCGACCGCCACACCTGCGGTCTCGATACCACGAAGGAGGGCGCTGTACCGGATCTGATCACCTGGTGAATCGGAAAGATTGCTGATGCACCAGTAAATATAGTTCTCGACCATACCCAGACTGATGCGCTCGAAGAGATACACTCCAAATCCTCGGCCGAACGTGCTTTGAACTCCGAAGTCTAGGACCGGGTGGGACTTGCGATATTCATTTTGGATGTATACAGCCCAAATCCAAGTTGCGCTGTTCAACGACGCTATGAGACCATAAGTCCAGACTGCTCGCTTCTGTCGCGATTTCAACCATGGGAGATCGACGAGCGAGCCCGTAAGCCACGTGGCGAGCGTACCAACCACGGCACTCATAAAGCTGCCGAGAGCGCGCGAACGAACCGTAAAATAGGTCGCCAGATACGTTCCTGGATACGCTTGTATATAACCGAAGTACAGGAATAAAGGACTCAGAAGCAGGATGGGCTTCGATCGGATAAGGTCCCACATCTGTTTGAGTTCCTGGCGCGGGTGAATACCTCTGGGGGCCTCGATACGTGTTCCGTCATCGCGAACGACTCTCTCCGGATTGGACAACAGCAGGGCAAAGAAAAACCCCAGACATTGGATAGCGATGAAGGCTAGATATGTCTGGTAGCCGACCTTGCCACGTTTGTTGATATGAATATTGATGCCGAGAGAGATGGCGCCACCGATGATGTTTCCGAAATTTCTGAACGTGAACCACGTCGCGATGTAACGACCACGTTTGTGCTGCTCAGGGTAACCACATGCTATGGCACCTTCGACACTCCAGAAGAAGCCTGCTGATATGCCACAGGTTATTGCTCCAAAATACACCATCCAAGTAGCACCAGTTCGGTTGTTGACATAGAGTCCAGCGGCGTAGAGCGGATAGCCTAAAGTGCCTACGGCCAGCGTCCAACGGAAACCTATCGCGTTGGTGAGCCATGGGCCTGCGAAGCAAGTGAATGTCATAAAAGCGTAGAGGATGGCGTTGGCGGCGTTGACGAGATCGGGACTCTGGGATCCGCCAACGCCAAGACCATTCATCGCACTCCAGATTCCAGGGGCAGTAAATGCACATATGCCCACGACCAGAATCTGGAAGAGTGTGCTTCGATAGAAGACAATGCGAGCATTATTGGAGAGTGCTTCTGAGTCGTGAATTGTTGCTGGTATTGGGGCGGGAGGGTCGTTAAACTCCTTGTTGCCGGCGAGGGCCTCCTTGCCCCCAATGGGTAGAGTAGTCATCTTCTCCCTAATCTTATCAGATGTATCTTGAATCGCGGTACTCTCCTCGGAATGGCACCAGATATTGGTGGCAGTCAATGGGGGACTTTATATCAGGACTTTCCCCGACCAGAACTCTCGAGGATCTAAATTTTCATCGCCCCGAACTCGCGAGATCCGCTCTTCTCCATCGGAGGCCTTGGAGCCAGCACGCAAGAAGGCATGGGTGTGACATGCTATCTGAAATTCGGTCTGAAAGTCAGCCAATTTGTCTTAGGATGGGTGTTTTCCAACCCAACTAGTCGGAACCGAGGCCACAGGGCGCGCATGGTGAGAACGGTCAGTCCACCGGATATGATAATGCAATGCGTCTCATTGGTATTCATAGGTAATAGTTAGGAAACGATTCCACGTGGATGTCCATAAAGCGGATATCGATGGAAGATTGGATACATGGCTAAGGTGTTGGCATCCTATTTCGTGATATTAGCACAGATGGCACCACTGATCACCATCAGATATTGCCGTAAGCGGGTTCCAAGGAGGAATATCTTCCAGAGCGGACATCTCCCCTACCCGAGGCATAGAATAGTGGCCCTCGTCCTAACTAAATTGGAACAGTTCATAGATAAGTGAAGTCTCTTGCTGGTGCATATCAATCCTAGCATATTTGACATTTCGGATACATCACTTACATCCATTATGGCTGCTTCGATAGACAGGGCGGGCGCATCAGCCCTCAAACTTGACAGTGCGTCGTCGCCATCACTCGCCTTCACAGCTTTTGATCTGCCTTCGACCAACCAAAGGGTTCTCGGACAACCTCATCCAAACGGTACGGTCATCCCGCTAGCATTGCGCCCCTCGACTCATGGTGATGCTGAGGTTGACCTCGATACCGTCGTGGACACGATCAAATCTCTCCAGGCACAGGGAGACATTCTGACCAAGAAACTCGCCTTGCATGGGACGCTTCTATTCAGAGGCCTCCCAATTCATAACGCAGAGGACTTCAGTAAATTCGCCCACGCCTTCGGTTACAAGCCTCACGAGATCATCGGTATCGTTGTGAATAGACCGCTCCTGGCTCCCAACGTGGCCCCGGCCAATGAGGCACCAAAAGAGGTGTTGATCTACAACCACAATGAATCGCCACAGGTCCCCCACGCCCCAGAATACATCTTCTTCTACAGCCATAAAGCCCCAGAGATTGGCGGCGAAACACCCATCTCCTCGTCGCTCGAGCTTTTTTACCGTGCGAAGGAAGAGATTCCGGAGTTCATCTCCGACTTGACAGAAAAGGGCATTCGGAGCAAAGTCGTCTACAAGACCGACAAACAATACGAGGGCGGTTCAACTCTCAAACAGGCTTTTGGTAAAGAAGTTCAGGAAGGGGACGATGAGGCGACCAGACGTGCAAAGGTTGAGGCACAGATCGCACGTTATGGCAGGGGCAAGCACACCACCTGGGAATGGACCGACGAGAATACTTTGGTGCTCACTCACCGGCTTCCTGCAATCCGAAAACAGCCTGAGACAGACTTGCCGACTCTTTTCACCGGGCTAGCTGCGTACTATAAGAGTAACCAAATCAACAATAGTGTTACCAACGCGAGACAAAAGACTACTCAACAACTCTATGGCGACGGGACGCCAATTCCTGAAAAATATCTTGCTCATCTGGCCAAGATCACGGATGAGATCCGCGTGCTTCACAAATGGCAGCGTGGAGATGTGCTTGTTTATGATAATATTATAGCGCAACATGGCCGGCAGCCTTGGGGAGGAGAACAATCCGATCGCGTGGTCATGGCAAGTCTCTTCGATGGCGCCAAAGTCCCTGGAGCTTATTCAGATAGTGACTGGGCTCAAGTGGTTCAGGCACTTGATGGATGAGAGCTGTTTTCACTTCTATAAACACACTGCCAATTTGGGTACTCAAGGGTGCAGCAATTGGAAGATAGTCTCGACAACGCATCGGCCAAAATGAAGGCAGGTAGAGCATAAATGTTTTTAATGATAAGTTTCAGGGGTGATCCCCCTCTTGATCTGGCAATGACATGCGCCTACCACCCACCTACGAATGAAACAGGCTGTGACGTCACGAACTCGAACATCAAACATCAGGCTGAAGCCCATCCAAGTTCTCCGCGTTTGTATTTATGTTACAAACACTTTCGACTCAATCTTGTTGGGAATAGAATTTCTCCCAGGGAAGGATAGAAACCGTTCATCTCGATATCTACACGTATGAGTTCTGTCAGATCTCCTGCTTCTCCTTTGAGTTGATGTGCAGCTTGGGCTCTGACATAAGCGTTTTGTCCTGGGATTAGGCCAGGCTATAAACATGGAAATTCTCAAGGATAAGGTGTGTAAAATGAACGATTATTTAGTCCACACAATCTTACTGATTCCTCCAGACCCCAGGAGCTGGTGGCCATCGAAACTCAGGCTCGATCTCCCTTGTGGCCATTGGAGCAACATTGATTCCCACTCTGGTGACGGCTGCAGCTTTCTTACTGGGATTTGTGCTGCTTCGATCGAAATATCGAAATATCTATGCTCCTCGTACATACTACCGCACCATATCACGAAAGTCCGTGCCACAGCTCTTTTCTGAATGCAATTGCTAAGTTCTTCAGGGACCGTACGCCGTCGTCCAGTCACACTTTCGTGTCATGGTTTCACGACTTTCGCATGCTGGATGATAAGTTTATCCTCCGCCATTCATCGCTCGACGCGTATCTATTCTTGAGATACTTGCGGATGATCATTCTCATCTCCGTCGTCGGTTGTTGTTTGACTTGGCCGATTCTCTTTCCTATCAATGCCACTGCTGGTGGGGACGCCTCGCAGCTGGACAAAATCAGCTTTAGTAATATCAATGACTCTAAAAAGCTATATGCGCATGCCATTGTTGCATGGCTATTTCTTGGTACGAACTGTCCATATTTTGACTTCCGGAAGCACTAAATATCTCAGGGTTTATCGTACTTTTGATAACGCGAGAGCGGTTATTCGTCGTCGGTCTCCGCCAGGCATACCAGACCATTCCATTGCATGCTTCACGCTTGTCATCGAGAGTTGTTCTCTTCTTAGCCGTTCCTGCAGAAGCACTCGAAGAGGAGAATCTGCAACGTTACTTTGGCGATGATGCGGTAAGATCATGGCCTGTTTCAAATCTTGAGCATGTTGAGGATTTAGTCAGCAAACGAGAAAGCGCCATTGATAGTCTCGAGCAAGCGGAGTTGCAGCTACTGAAGAAAGGTCTCAAGAAACAAAGAGATTCGTCTAACGGAGCAAGCGACTCGGCAGAGGTGAACGATCGCGATCGTCCCGTGCACAGATCGAAATATCTTGTCGGCAAACGGATCGACACCCTTTCACGTCTTAGAGAGCAATTGCCTGATATCGTCTCTGAACTCGATAAAATCCGTCGAACAGATTCGAGCGGTAAAAGTAGGCGAACAGGCGCCCTTTTCGTGGAATTCAAAGATCAAGTCGCCGCTCACCAAGCATTTCAACAAGTTCGGCATCCTTCTCCATTCGTCTTTCAACCAAAATATATTGGAGTACAACCCAAAGAGGTGATCTGGCAAAACCTCAATATCGACCCGTCGGTACGAATCACCTACTCCTATATTGCAATTGGAGTGGCTATGGCGACGATAATCCTCTGGTCTATCCCCGTTGGCATCATCGGCACGATCTCCAACATCAATTACTTGACAGATAAGGTCCATTTCCTTAGGTTCATCAACAAGTTGCCAGATCCAATTCTGGGACTCATCACAGGTCTCGTGCCTCCTCTACTCCTGAGCACCGTTGTATCCTACGTACCTTATTTCTTCAAATGGTTGGCCACACTTTCAGGCCAGCCAACAACCAAAGAGACTTCAAAGTGGGCACAGACATGGAATTTCGTCTTCCAGGTGGTACAGGTCTTTTTGATCACGACCTTTTCATCCGGGGCCGCCGCGGTCGCCACAAAAATCGCCAATGATCCACAATCAGTACCTAAGTTACTCGCAAAGAATCTACCCAAGGCATCAAATTTCTACTTGACTTACTTTATTATTCAAGGCATTGGAACCGCATCGAAGAACATTATCAACTATTCTGACTTGTTCCAATATCTGTTCTACTATAACATGACTAGCAAGACACCCAGACAGAAGTACAACACATACATTCAGATGAAGGGTATTAGCTGGTTCAATGTTTATCCCAAATTCACCAATCTCGCGATTATCGCCATCTCCTATTCATGCATAGCTCCGCTGGTGTTAGGGTTCTCAGCTATTGGAGTGTCCCTTTTCTACCTCAGCTATCGATACAATCTCCTTTACGTCATTCAAGTAAAGACAGAAACCAAGGGTGAAAGCCTAACCAGGGCCCTACAGCAGCTCATGACCGGGGTTTATTTGTCCGAACTGTGCCTCATAGGTCTTTTCGGTATCAAGAAAGCCACCGGAGCATCAACACTAATGATTGTTCTCTTCCTCCTCACCACCATCTATCACCTAACTGTCAACAAATACCTCTCCCCTCTTGAACGGTACATGCCTCTCGACGTCCTCTCTAACACCACCGAGGACGAGGAACAACCACTCCTAGGCGCCGATCACAGCCGACCCACCGAACAACAACGTCAACAATCCCGCGTCATCAAAGTAGGTCACGGCAAACTCCCAACCATCCTTCTCGACCCCCTTGCCTCATTTCTCGAACCAAACATATTCGCGTCTCAGGAAGCACTCCGCCCCTGGCTACAAGACCCCGAAGGCCAGTTCGAAGAAACAGCCTCCTATACCAATGAACAACTTAAGAACGCTTACGTCAACCCGGCGTTGACGTCCAAGACTCCGAAGATCTGGCTGCCCAAAGACACCAAGGGCCTTTCGGCGCAGGAAGTTCAAGAGAACGAGAAAGTCGGCTTGGACAGCACGGATCAGGGCGCACAGCTGAACGCAAAGGGTCACGTCGTATGGAACATGGATGATTTCTCAGAAGTGCCTATCTTCAAGGAGCCGACGAGGTTTTGATGGAGGTGGCAATGGTAGTCTGAAACTTAATGGAATCGAACGGGTTTGTTATGAATGTTATCTTTGCAAGCAAGCACATCGTACCCCTTTTGATAGAACGGAACACAAGCTTAGTGGCCATTACCAGTGAATTCGTAACACTCACATTGACCATCTCAAGAACGTTCCACAATCTTCTCGAGGATAAAATCCCATCGAGAAAGTTAGGACCCCGTCAGGATGTGCTACTGGTACTGACTGCCATTGTACGATTATCGTTGACAGCCTCCACCAGGACCAGGGGTGTAATTCGTTTGACGGCACCTACTTCAGGCTGCCCGAGCATCCGCCAAAATTCCCAGTAGAAATCAGGCGGAGGCGAGATTTGAAGAGGAACGTATCGGTCAACTTCATGATATCTAGCTATATTGCTTCCTTCCTAGTTAGGGACGCCAACTTGCCTATTTGGGACATTTCATTGCCCAGCAATGTCAAAAAATATCAGATCTGATTTTTGTATTCGCTTCCCCTGTTTGCTCTGGCTGGGGGGAGTGACGGACTGAAATGGCATTGAGAGGTCGTACTTTCTACCGACAGCGCAGGACTGACTTTTCTACTGTAATCTGGAACGTGACATCTATCATTGATTGTCTGCCCACCATTATCAGAGCACGATCCGGGCCAATAGATGACGGCGAAGGACCTCGAGACAGAGGGGAAAGAAAAGAAAAGAAAATGCTGAAGAGACATAGTAATTCGAGGTCAAAGGTCTGGCTACCTAGGTACCTATCTATGTTCAACCTCATAGGGATGTGAGTGCCTATCCGCCAGGCAGAGCTCCAAGGAGTCGATACTGATCAGGCATGTAGTAGTATCCATCGACGCACAGCTGTCAGGGGCAAAGAAACGATCTCCAACGAGATGTTTCAACGTTTGTGAGATGGCATCGACTGTCTGACATCTCCCAAGACTGCCCATTTCCAATTGAGCTTTCTTCTGCAAAACAAGATGGAAAGCGCACACCGCATAATACTCTCTAAGGGGCTCGGAAAGCGGAGAGTCCCAGATGTGCCTTTCGAGTCCCGTCACCTTGATACCAAGCCGGGCAAAGCCCGATCCGGTTCGCTCGATCGATGAGGTGATTGGGGAGTACGGTATTTAGCACGGGTGAAATAGCGTGAGAGAATCATCTTCGTCGTCGTCGTCAGAAGTCGTAAATCGTGCTTGTTTCCTATCGACCATTGATATGCACAACGATTTCACACTTTACTACCAAGTAAAGGAGTTGTCTCAGAAGAGGGTTCCGCTGCAGAGACCGCCGAAGTGACTATCTCATTCTTTCCCAACCACTCCTGTATGATGCTCTTGTAATCCACGGCGGTGTACGGGGCGAAGATCTCAGAGAACAAGTTGCCCTTCCGCCAGAAGCGCAACTTCAAGTCATTCAGCAGCGTATCGAAGTAAGGCAGTTGATCAAATACCAGATCTGGGATGAATCTACCATGCCCGTATGGTGCGCGATGTCTCACGTAGCGATTGGTCAGAGCTGCTTCTTCAAAGACGGTGGATCTGTCGAGTTCGATCTTGTCGTTCAGGTATGCATAGGCCCAGAGACATTGGATCTCGCAGCGTGCCGTGTTGGCTAGGTTGGAGAACATGCTGATGAAGACGAGTGAGTTGTCCCCTTCTTGCGTCGGGCCCGGTGGTGCGATCGCACGGTAGAGGCGAAAGGGCGTGTAGTTCAGCTCTGGGTAGAGATTCGGGTCGTAGGGTTTGACTGATAAGGGGACATTCGAGCTGGGTGATTTGTGGGGCCCAATGAGGAGGCGAGGGAAGTTCTTGCTGATCGTGGCGTCGGCTTGTTGATTTAGTTTTCCCCAGAAGTCGAGCTGATCTTGAGTTAAGGACCTTGAGGGGACACCGAGATCTGAATGAGTTGATTCAGGTACGAATTGAAGAGTTGGCTTGGCGGAGAAGCCTGTCGCGGTGACCAAAGCATCTGCATGGATTGAGGTTCCACTGCTGAAGTTGATAGTCCTCTCCGAGAGATGCGAGATATCTTGTCGGTGAATTCGCACCTGTCCATTCTTGAGGAAGTTATAGATGTCTTTCTCATAACTCAAAACTCCTGATGCAGTGCCGTACCAGAAAGGACTGTCATTGGGTATAAGTTAGCAGCTGGCTTGTCATACGCACTTCCGGGACAAGAATGGTGGAAAACAAACCCAGTCTCCGGTTCCAACGCTTTGGTCGCCTCATCATTTAACATCCCACAATCATTCAACGTCGCGAGATGCAGATTTGCCCAAAACTTCTGTGCGATCTTCTTGCCAAGCCTAGTGAAGTGCAGGAAATATCTCAACGTTCCGAGTCCATCTTTCCACAGTGTTGGACTAAAAATCGAAATGATTCTCCGTCCGGGGAGTCTCTCCCGTAACGCTTTGAAGGGCCCAAGGTAAGTGTGACTAGGAAAAATCCACTCCGGGCCTTTTCCTGTCTTGCGGATAATCCATTCAACCTTTCGACCTGCCGTTGCTGCCAGATAAACTGCATCGTAAGCAGACTTGCCTCCACCGAGGACAGCAATCGTCTCGACTGATGGGTCCTTCGTTATCGACTCGCTCTGCTTCCCCAGGTCGCCCGAGTGCATGAGTGGTCCCTTGAAGGCATCGGTACCCTCGATCCTCGGCCGATGAGGCACGTTTGTGGCCCCGGTCGCAATGATCAACTTCTGCGTCTGTACCTGGCGCTCTGAGCCATTGCTGACTTTGAGGTTCCAGCCTTCGCGGACCCCGAGTCGTGAGACTTCGAGGACTTTCGTCTCAAAGTCGATCAATTTTATCAAACCAGAGCGTTCAGCATATGCTCTCAGGTAGCGGTGCACTGCTTCTCCAGTTGGATGTTTGCCGGCGGGGATGCCAAAAGCATCATCCATGGGGAAATCCGAAAAGTCGATTCCACCGCGAACATTGTTGGTCTTGAGTCCAGGGTACAGATTCTCCTCAGCCCAGACACCCCCGATAGTTTTGTTCTAGAAGATGGGGAACATTAACGAATTTCCCCTAGCAGGTCGATGCAGTACGCCGTGTGTGCTTACCGAGTCAAGGATCTTAACACTAGCGAGAGGTTCGCACTGGAGAATGGTCTTCGCAGCACAGAGGCCCGAGGGGCCTTAATTGATGGTCAGTATGCGTGTTACATGGATGGTGTGGAGGGGTTCTGTCATACCGGCCCCTACTATGAGATAGTTGTACATGACCATATGTTAAAGAGTAACTACTGCCACGATCGAGTAATTCTCTGATGAATAGAAAAGATGGCAAGGCTGAAACACCACAACAAGAAGCGCAAGATTTCAACAACAAATTTGGTCGAAAGATATGTTGCGATCTATCGCAAGGACGGCAGGGTTTCTTTAAGAGAGCCAAAGGGATCAGCTGCAGGGTGACTCGCACCCTGCGCGAATCACCAACCACAACTTATCACAGGCAAAGCCTACGCCTCAGGTGTAGGTGGAAGAGTGAAGTGAATAGGTGCCACACACGAACTCACTAACTCACCCACCCGAGTCAGCCGAAGCCATAAGCTGATCCCACCGCAGTGGCAGGCAAGTAACTTTAAATCCTCTGCAAGTGAATACTGAAGCCACAGGTGACTGGCAGTTCGACCCTCTTTTGGGGCGAGCCTGCAAGTGCCGTATCGTGAAGGGTTCTGGGCCACATGGACGACCAGACCACAGTCGCATGTGCATGCAGCTGGCCCAGTACCAGAGCCAGTGCGTTCTGCAATCATGGTTTGTTTGCGAAGCTCAGGCTGGAAACGCCAGTTGAAAGCCAAATTCGACCGTAACGGGTGCAGAGGGGCATGCAGAACGGGGAAAATGCCCAGGGTCTTTTGGTCTTTTGGGTTCGAATGCTCGTTCGTTGGGCTGTTAGTTGCTTACTTACCTCGTACTGCGGTACCTAATCTGGGTAAGTGGTCGATCTGGCTGGGAGCTGAGAGTCGGTCCTGAAGTTCTTTGGCTCTACGACTCTGTAAGCCCAAAGCTTCTGGTTGCCCAGTGGTGCTCAAGAGTTTGGGTACGAGACGAGCTTAAACTCAAGTGAGTGGGTGGTAAGTGGGAGGGAATGCAGGTTACGTGAGCTGAGCGCTTAACTAACTTAGTTAACCAAGATGTTTTCTGGCACCAGTCAAGCCTAAAATGTCCATGTACGTTTCAAGCTCCTTATAAAACCATTCCTTCTAGTTAGTTGGCACCGATGGCCACTCCAACTCAAATCTGATATTGTATGTCCACACCTCGATCAACGTACGTCAGCTTACGGAGGAATAAATAACCTACGCTACTAACAGCGCAATATCAAACATCTGCACAGCAGCAATCAAAATATTGATAATGCAACTTGAACCGGTAAAGTCCAGGTCGATCCCACAAATGTAGGTAAGTACCAAGTATCTCTGCCAGACTTCCATCTCGACTTTCTCGACCATCGGACCTGACTGACAAGCCACGTACGTTCTGCACGTTCGCAAACAATCCCTCCATCAAGCTGAGGGTGACATGCCAGTAGGTAGGAATAAGTAGTGGATGACTCGACGTGCGCCGCAATGGTGTCAGCACCGCTATCTACGAGTATGTCCATCGCAGGATGACGAGATCCACCCCATGGGCCATGGCTACGTAACTACTAACTTACCTACCTACCTACCAACGGGACTTTTGCCTAGATTGAATAAAGTACCCAGGTAGGGATTTAGGAATTACTGATTTCACCATCAGCCCTTGCTTAACCAAAGTGCATGACATACTCACCAAGGTTCTTAGCTCAGTGTGGGTCAGAGGTCGATAAGCTCAGTCTCCATCATAGGATCAGTGGTATATATACTGTAGTAAGCGTGAGTTGAATCATCGGGTGATGCTCTAAGTGCACTTGTTCGTTATAGGATTTCTTTTTGATAATGTTTTATTTTCACAATGCCTTACTACCGTCCTAAAATACATTACGAGTGTTGTGCTCTGAATTTTTGTGTTTGCTCATCCAGTAGCTTTTCCAATAGTCAAGCCAGAAACAAAAGTGTTTCCTCAAACCGCTCTACGTCAACTGAGGCGAAAGAATGTTTGTTTGTACAAACATCGAAAACCGGCGATGGATCAACGCCGTCCCCAGGGTGATACTGGGTAATTATTCAGCAACGAGCCGAAAATCTGATAGAATATCAGAGGGCGCATGAGGCAAGAGGCCGATCAATTGGGCGACCTTCAAACTTTGCGGTTGCTCACTCCTTGACGGCGTCAGCAAAGCTCGTACCCTCTCTAACTTCGCTTGGAGCCTCAGCCTCGACCTCTCCATCACCTGACTTTTCAGCCTTAATGTCCTTGGTCTCTTCCTTGGTGGTGCTCGCACCAGTATCGGTGTTGACTTCCTCAGCTCTGACAACTTTGCTCTCATCAATGATCTTGTCCTCCGTCTTCTTTTTCTTTTCTTTCCTGCTGAGCTTCTTGGGTGAGGCTTTGCTGCTCTCCTTCCCTACGTCCTCCGATGTTGATGCCTTCCCCTGACCACCGGTCGCCTCTTCGGCGCCGGTGCCACTTTCGTTTGAGGACTCCTGTGGTTCCGGTGAAGATGCAGGTGTTTCAGTCTTGGCTCCTTCTTTGTCGTCGGCACCTGATCTCACGTTATCCTTTGTTGATGAACCATTTCCACCGCGTTGTTCATTCGCCTTCTGAGATACGGCTTTAGGGATCTTCGTAGCTTTCTCAGATGCCGAGCCGGCTGTCTCCACGGCTTTGTTGCCAACTGACTTTGCCGTATCAGCTGCATTTTCTACAGCTGGTTTAACACTGTCGGCAGCCTTCTCCACTGTGGGCTTAACATTCTGAGCCGCGGAGTCTACAGCCTCGGTCACAGTGTCTTTGACATTCTGTGCCTTGGCTTTGACATCTTGTTGCTTTTTCTTGTCCGTAACCGCTGCCACAACTTTGTCAGCTGCGCCGTGAGCATTCTTGCGGAGTTTCTCGAGATCCCGTTGTACTTCCTGCTTGACTTTCTCGGCATTTGGACCCTGTGCGGAGTTTTTTAACTTTGTAGCACCCTGAGAGATGCCCTGCTTGGCTTTTTCAATAGATTCTCTGAATTCTCTCTTAACTTCATCACCATCCACGAATACTGCATCATCTCCAATGTCGCCGGAAGTGGTGTGCATCTCTTCAACAGCCTCGCTCAATCTGCGCGCGACTCCCTTGGAAGCATCTCTAAGGCTGAGACGCGCAGTGTTTGCCATCTCGCTAGCTGTACTGCTTCTTCTTCTTTCAACCCGTTTGAGATAAGATGTGATGAAGAATTGAGCGAAAAGCCATGTCAGTGGAAGAAGGTATACGACATTCACAAGAATTGCGAAGACTTGACCACTTGTATCGAGGCAGTTGACCCATTGAAGCTCATCTCTATACCGAGTCTCTTCCTTGTTCACAAGATCCTCAGCAATATGGATCGCGTCGATACCAAAAGGTCGACCCTGTTCGTTAAGCACATTCTCTGCCAAACCTTCGTGGCCAGCGGCGCGTAGAGCAATTTTCTTGAGCCAAGCCCCTGTACCGGCAGATGCAGTAGAAGTAGCAATCGACACGGCCGAAGAAACGCTGCTCGGGGCATTTGCAAGAACTGAAGAGGCTGCGGTTCCGAGACGATAGAGGTATGGCACACTGACCGGTATTTGGTAGGCCACAAACAGGTGAGTAAAAGCGTAGAAAACACCGACAACAAATTGTGAAATTTGTAGTGTCGTCAATGTTTGCTTAAACCATTTCGGGACGCGGACTCCGATTGTGGACATCAAGTAAAAGGTATACTGGATCAGGTCAGAAAAGTCATTCACGTTCACATTGAAGCAAACTTACCATGATGGCATGGATGGCCGAATTGACCAGAACAAACATCCAAATGGGAGGGGACATGTATCGAATACCAGCCCACATTGACAACATTGCCCCAGCATGGTGGTATGTCTGGAGGAAGCTGCTCTTCTTGCCCTTGGCCAGGATGATGAAGGTGTCAATGACCTCGTAAAATTTGGACAGGTAGAAGATCCAACCATAGAACGCCAGACCCTCATTCCAAATCCTGCCCACATCGGTCGTCTCTGGTGCGAGTCCATCTGCAGCAAGGTGAAAGATTCGATTGGTGAATCCCCAAACACTGGTAGTTGAATTATAGGTTACAGCATTGCCATGTCCTCGGGGGCCGTGTAGTTTGCAGAGAGCATCGACGGTCGCGCTGAGAGGAGTATTCTGGTTCAAGGCAGGTAGAGCCAAGCGTAGTGCATTTACCATGCCCACAAATGTCCATGCCGAATAGATGGCGAGGCAAAGATTGTGGAGGATCACAAACAGCTTGAACAGCCTTGTCCTGCTGATGGCCCATGGCTTGTACTTGCGATTGCGATTGACTGAGTTCAGTACCGTCACAATGGAAGCGTAGACCAGAGCGATGGTGATGGGCACGTGCGCAGACAGTAGGTTGTTGTAGATATCGGATGGGATGGTGAAAGGATGCGCGAAGTTGGAATGGTTTGGAGGAGGAGGCAGAGTCGTCGGTTCATTTGAGGGTGGAAACTGGTAGTATGATGCTGGCAACATAGTAGGCTTGACGGCAGGTGCAGAGGCATTGAAGCGCAGCCATTCTGCCAACTGAGCGGCAGCCATCGTGCGAGAGAGATGGGGGGTCGGTGGTAGTGGTGGTGACGGTAGAGATTTGACTGAACGCAATGGAGATGAAGAGGTTGAGTGCGCTCCACGTCGCGTCTCCAGCCTTTGATCACTGGCAGTCGCGTTGGGAAAGAAGGAGGCAGGAGCACCCAGGGAGAGAGAAGAGAAAAAAAATTGGCGATTGAAGCTCGCAGTGTGAGGAAGTTGCGACCAGACTAAGGAGTGGGACTCGGAGGAAGAGTGCCTTTACAGTTAGGATGCTACAAGCCGGTATGAGACAATATTCATGTCACAAGAAACAACAGTTAATTACTGCCTGATTCTCACTACGTCAAAGGCAGTCACGACGAAACAAGAATAAGAACCAGGGCCAGTCAGTGACGACAATGTGGTGAGCTGTGATTGAGCTGGGACACGACACGACACTGTGCGTTGTGTGCGTGGGTGTGTGCCTCAGGCTGGGGAAAAAAGTGATGCGAATCTCGCAATATTGCGCAGGTCCAGGATGCTTCCCCCAACCAAATGTTGAGCTACCAATGCAGGTGCAACGTCATTAACTAAATCTCAACTTTTTCTGGGGCACCGAGGCTCAAAGATACGGAATACGATGGTGGGATGGCCCGCGGGTGCCTGTGTGGCGGTGGGCGGTGGGCAATGGGCACGGGGCATCATGTGAGTGGGCTTGAGGTCATGGTTCTGGGGGCATGGCACGCTTGTGGCTGGTTGAACCGGCATCTATTGCCTGCCGAATCAGACAGTCTGAGCGCTTGTACATCATCACAGAACCCTATCTGTACTCGTAACTTGAACATGAGGATAGAATTATATGAGTACCTGACATTCGACACGGCTACGTCAGAGATGAAGACCATTCTGTCGCCCGACATTCCCACCCGCCTTGACATGAAAGCCGTGGAATCCAAATCCAACCACTCCGTCCACATGAGCTCGTCCAATCTCCTTCATAGTCTTCGCATCGAGCACTAGCAAGTAACTCTTACCATGAGGACCATCCAAGACAACAGACAGCAGTACTCCTCCATCCTCCTCATCAGATCTATCTGGATCTTGGACGAATACAGGTTCTCCCGCAGTCTGTCCATGCTGTATCCAGCGGACAAATGTGCGGGTATCAGCGTCGTATTTGACTAACCCGTCGACAAATGTCGATAAGCCCGTGTCACAGATTCCATACATGTAGCGATGCTTTCTGGTGACAAACTTGGAGTTGACCACTGGTAACTCGAATCCATCAGATGCACCGCTTCTGTACTCCAAAACAGCTTTGGATGTCTGTAGGGTAGAATTCGTCGACTTGACATCGGGCAGTCGATATCTTCGATAGTCTGGTCGAGCGCTTCCACTTAACGAATCGGTATATTTGTGCGCTTGTGGTATGTTGCTAGTCACATTGTCGAGGTAAAATCGATGAATCACATCCATATTATCATATGCATTAACATCAGCGACGATGTCGAATGAACCCTCCGTCGTCAACGACGGTACCTCGTATGCATTGATGGTATGGAATGCGTAGAAGGCATCTGATGTATACTTTGCGACAAGCCCTTGACCTCCTTCATCGGGTGTTCGCTTGTCAATCACAAACCATGTGGTGGGCTGCTTACCATCCCAGACCATGGCGTCCAACAGATTTTGAGTCCAGAGGATCGGTGCTCCGCCCGCCTTGTAAAATGAGTTCCATACACAGAGAATCACATAATGCTCGGTGAGGAAGATTGAGTGCAAGTATGCTGGACTGTAGTGGACAGTCGCGAGAATCGACGTCTTGCCCGTGTCTGCTCTCGCCCGAAAGACCCGATAGGTTCCCGTTCGTCCAAATTCGAGGTTGTAGTTGAAGACATCACCGGTCTCGGGATCTGACTTCGCATGTGCCCCGCTACTGGTGCCTTTGAGGTCTGGATGCAGCACGGTTTGGGTTGCCAGGCCAAGTGGTTCAAGTGTCTCAGGGTCGAGCATCTGAAGGACATTGGCGTCAGTTTTGTTGCATAAGGTAGCAACCTTGTTGGAGGGATGGGATCCTTCAAACTTCTTGCCCTGAGAAGAAACTCCAGGAAAATTGGCTGACAGTGTAACGGCAACACTTGCTTCGTTTGGTGCCAGTGACTCTCTTGACGCTGGTTGAAACACAGACTGAACTTTTTGAAAGAATGTTCTACAGGGGTCATACTTGGCCGCAAAGGTGAACCCATCGAGCTTGCCCGTCTTTCGAATTTTCTCGATTAGGCCATCACTGGTAAGCCGCGAGTTATATGTTACTCGAACAGGTGACCCTGGTGTGGATTCATGGATCTGGAATCGATGAACCTGAGCGAAGTTGTCGAACCAGTGGTTGACTTTGAATGTTTTGTCTTTGGATGTTTCCACCGTCCTTGGCCCTAGTCCTGTCCGGAAAAGAACTCCAGCCGTGTAAGCGGGAATATTACCTTCAACTTCCAGTTCAACAGGACTCCTTTCTTCATAGTGTGCATCGAACCCTTGAGTATTAGGCCAGTCCTTGTAATGTGAAGGCAGAGCGGGCACTTTCTCCTTAAGTACTGTTATGCCACCATGCGATAGTGTAGCTGTCTGAGACTGGGATTTTGTGGAAATCATGGCGAGTGGCAGTATCTGCTTTTTCAACACAATGCTTCTTTTGCTTAGCCTGATCATACCCTCAGCACAATATTCAAACTCTGCTTACCAGGCAATCGCATGAATTTATCCTGAACCATGTTCCTCAATTTCCAGACCTCGGCGTAGGCAGCATTGAATTCACAGGATGGGTGTTTTGAGTTCCTCCGTCAAAGCGTACTAAGCCCGTAAGCAGTATGATGCTATGTCAATGCCTGACAGACGCTGCACAAAGATCAGGATTCAGACAATATGGAAAGAAGCATATTTCGCGAGGCTAGGATCGTTCAGCCTTGTGAAGGTAGGTTACGGCCGAGTCCAGGTCCAACGGCTAACCAGAAAAGACTGCTTGCGCGAAACTCACAAGAACCAAATGGCCTTGATAGGAATTTCAGCAGAACTTTATACCAAGTCACAGTCATTAAAAGGGCTGAAGGCGTCTCTATTTCGTATCCAACAATAGGAGATCCAGGTGATTAATGGTAGGACATCATACCAGGACGGGTTGGACTTTTCGCTTGATACCAAACTTCTCGGCGGGCCAAGGTGCTCCTTCCGGAGTATATAGACGAGAAATCTGCATCATACATCCTTCAATGTCTGAGCAGTGAGCACGGCTCCAATGGTCTACTAGGGTGACATCCATAGGCGAGCCAATGTGAATCGATCTCCAGGATAATGAGACGCCCTAGAATCACAAGCAAGGCTTTCTGGCGTGTGAACCGCGGCTCAGATCACCAGAGAGTCATTGGCCGTTGGTCTGTGACTTACCATTGAGATGAGCCTGTGTGGTAGAATTAGATTATGAGAAATGTCCAAATCGTGGGAGCGAAAGTTCCAGGCGGCACTGTCAGGGCCCAAAAGTCACCGCCTTCGCCTAAATGGCTCTTTTAGGTCAAGCGCATGGACGCCACAAGCGAAAGGCACTGGAACCACTCTTTCCGGAGGTTCAATCAATAACCTTCCATCCACAGAGTGACCAACAGGATTTCTTGGTTCCGTCGTCTCAGGACTTTTGTGTCCAGTCAAGTCGACGTCGCATTTAATATCACGACTCAGACTGTCATGGCTGCTCCTCAAACCATCGATGATATCGTAATGGAGGACGCGTCCGATGAAGACGCAGACAGCGATTTTCACGATGATGCCCCTGGTGCAGAAGCGTCCCAACCCTCCTCTGACGATGATGATGACGGCGACCTTGATCAACCCCCAGCAAAGAAGCGTAAGGTCGATAATGCTCCCACTCCACTCATCCAAGAACTAGACTCTGGTGATGAGGCAACGATCAAGGAACAGAAAAAACACCGTCGAAAACAGAAGAAAACAAACGGAGACGATGTCGATGTGAGTGACAATGAAACGGATGAATGGAGAGCTCGCACCCGAGCCATGCGCGACAAGGAGAAGGATGAACGAAAAAAGAACAATCTTGCTACCAGCAAAGGCAGCACTATTGATGTGGACAAGATCTGGGAGGAGATGAATCGACCGGCCACTGCTGCTGCGTCCGCTGATGCCTTGGATAAGACTCAGTCTCCAAATTCCAAGCCAGGCAATCCCACGGCTGGAGAAGGTGACAAGGAGAATCGACCAGTCGCGAATGCAGTTGCAGAAGGTGATGCCGAAGAAATTATCACCATCAAACGAACCTACAAGTTCGCAGGTGAGATCCATACCGAGGAGAAGACTGTGGCCAAGTCATCTGCTGAAGCCCAATTGTGGCTATCACAACATCAGTCTCCCAAAACAGAGGTGCTGACGGCGGATGGACGTGTGGTTCAGAGACCCTTGCGTACCTATTCCCGGTTTGACCCAAATCTTAGTAAATTGGAAGCTTTTAAATCGTCGTGGTTGGGCCAAAATGCACAGAACACTAACTTCAAAGGTCCCAAGCTCAATGTGGTGGAAAAGAGCAAGATGGACTGGGCGGTTCACGTCGACAGCGAGGGTTTGAAGGATGAATTGGAAACCCACGGAAAATCGAAGGAAGGGTACCTCAACAGAATGGACTTCTTGCGAGATGTTGAGCAACGCAAGGAGAGTGAAGCCAGAGATGCTAGATTGAAGGGTCGTTGATATTTCTCCAGCACTTTGCCTGGAGCGATGCGCTGAACTCATGGATTCTGCTGGCCTGTGCCACTGGATCTCGGCTTCATGGCTGAGGCTGTCGACCAACATCTTGCGCAAGACATCTTCTGATGCATTCAGAAGACGGCGATTACCCGTCGCGCTCTTTGTGTGATGAAAGACCTTGAGTGTGCAGACCTGGTCTCGGCGTCCACAATCCATTCATGCTCGCGCCTTCCCACCAGCCGCGCGCTCAATAGCTGAGCTGCATCAGATGTCATTACCACACCTTCTCCGTTCAATTACTAGTGCATGTTTTTGTCTCGGCGCTCCTCATTTCTCACATTGTCTTCTTTTGATCACTTGGAAAGCTTCTCACTGTCAACCCTTGTCCTATGATGCATTCATCTTCTTCCATCAGCACCAGAATTCGTGGCCCTCAGCTTCAGCCACTGGCGCCCTCGCAACGTTTGAATCGTTGTCTGTATCCTGTGGGAGGAGATGGTCGACATCAGGTTTCAGTGAAATCCACAACAACCTCTTTGTTTCCTCCTTTGCCTTCAGCGTCTCCTTTACCAAGAATCATCAGTGATCCAACACCACCAGTACCCCAACTCACAGCCTTGACCGCTACCCCTCCAGCTCTTTCCAGAGCAAGCACTTTACCTTCCTCACCACTGGACGAGGTCCCGGAAAGACTCTGGGATCGCGTCCTTCGCACCTCTGGTTCACGCGCCACTGAAACAAACAACCCGAATCTGTCTCTTGAAGAGATCATCTCCACTCGCCTGTCCTTGGACGAGCATCGCTTTCTGTCTCCTAAAATCTATTCGTCGAGCCCACCTCATATCCCACATACAGCAACGATGGGTGTGCAAAAGGTGTTTAAGAATGGAGTAAAAAGCTTAAAGAAGAAGGTCCGGCGTATACGAAGAAGCATCTTTTCAAAGAATTCGAGAGTTTCACGCGCTTCACCGGCAACAGTCGTCACTCCTGCCACGGAGGGCGCTGTTTCCAATACCAGTCGCTTCTCTTTGGTAAGAATCATCCCTTGAATATCCAACTGCATGCTGATTTGACGGACAAAGACAGAATGGCTTTCGAACCAGCAGTCAAACCCACCACCGGCCATCGCGCCTGAAGTTCCAGAGGTACGAGAACACAAAAATCCCGAGATCAGAACGATCGCTAACGGTGTCCTCCAGCCATTCCCCACTTATCCCCAAGATCGGTGGTTGCGATCAGCAGAACATTTACGAATGGCAAACCTTGTGAGAGTTACAAATGCACGGCCCATCTCTGCCTTCCCTCAAGTTCGTGGACGAAACCTATTTGAGAGGAACTATTCTGACATTAGTTTTAGCAAATCACTTCTGACTTCATTCGTGGTCACTCAATCTCGAAAGGAAGACCTTTCATAGTGAGCCGAGGTTACTCGTTACGTTCAATCAATTCTAGATCTTCAACTTCAAGGCGCAATCGACGGAGACATTTCTCGGTCGAGGCTGAAGAATCTCGGCGACGTGCCTTATTCTACCTGCGATATCGAATCGATGCTGCCCTGCATCCTCAAACTGCATGCAATTCCAGGACATCGTTCGGATCAGGCTCAAATCCTCGATCTTTTTCTCGTCAGAACAGCGCGCCCCCGTGTCCTCCTCTGACCGAGCGCATTTCTAGGGCTTCGTTCGGACCAAACGCAAGTCCACTGGCTTTTTCTCGTCCACATAGCGCTCCTCAACGTCATACTCAGCAACCGATAACGGAGGTTGCGCGCCGAGGACTTTACTACATGGATGCTCCCAGTCAGAATCCTGATTTGTTCTGGAACAATCGAAATATGTTTCGTCGCCGGAGTTTCAGTTCTGATGATCCTCCTCGGGCTCGAATTCGGCGGCTAAGTTTCTGGCGTGCACGTAACCCAGTCTTCCGCTATCCTTCAATTCATCAAGGAGCAGGTGAAATACCTGGGTACACGAAAGTAGCCTATTATAGCCCATGTAGCATTGAGCAGAAGCCCGAGCATCTGTGTGGCGAAACCTGCATTCCACAAGAGGAGGGCTACGAGTTTGGTCCAGATTGCCTTGGCAGCTCAAAGAGTCGACCGAAGCCTACGTGTGTCAGCGATTTGGTGACAGCTTCTCTGCCTTCACCACCCAGAGCCTACGATGCCGTGCTGTCTGATTATTCGCGCGCGTCACTCGATGGTCAAGCTTCGATACGATCTCAATTTGAGCGCGATGAGCTCATGGAGGAGCCGGTAGACAGCTTCAGCACCGGACGGTTGTCGAGGGCGCTTTCTACTGTGTTTCGGAACACCGATTTTTCCCCCAACTGAAGATACAATGGTTGATTGTTGTGGGTGGGAACTTCTGAAACTCAGACTAAAATCCAATTCACAGTCGGGTGAGAACTTGCAGGAATGGGCTGGTGTTGTCAAGGGTGTGATGGTCTCTCGCACACTGAAGCTGTGTTCGTCATATTACAGGACCAGTTTGCAACAAGAAAGGTGGTTTGAAAGAGTGATGAAGACAACAACTAGGAGATGGACATCCATCCAATGTGGAGAGTGCTTCTATCTGCACGTGAAACACATCTAATGTGTTCGATTTTCAGTACAATCAGCTGCAGGGTCAGGTTCAAACCTACCTATGAATAGCCGTGCTCTTGAGCTATTATCAGGCCATTCCTTTCTCAGTTCAAGCTACTAGCTCCAATCACAAATATGAACTTTTCTTGGGCTATGTCTGCATGAGAGAAGTGACAAGTGAATGGATCGCTCCGAGGTTGTCTCAGACATTAGGCGTCAGGAGCCCGTTATATACACCTACTCCTAGCTGCAGGTAATAGTCCACTTTAATACTCTAACGTTAATCCTCGACAGATAAGCGAGCTTTTCGCACTGCCCTTGGAAAGGCTATCGACTAAAGGGTTACGTGTTCCGTGACACGTTGTTTACGCGTTTGAACGCGCAACTTTCGTGTCAATATTTTCTTGGCATTCACGCCCACACATATCAGGGTTCCACCTCCTCATGAGTCTTCTGCACTCGCATTGAAGAGTATCATCTCGTTTTGCTTCAAAGACTCTAGCCTATTGTAAATTTTTGCTTTCGCTTTTGGCTTTTACTTTACTAATTTCAGATTGCCACCCTCCGTTCCCCATGATGCATAAGTGAAACTGTGACTTTTGTTGGCACATCTTCTGGCACTGGTACATGTTGACTGCCTCTAGCCATGCAGCCCACCACACAATACTTAAAACAATACGTCCGTTATGGGCAGCGCCATACCTTGAGCCTCGGCTCCGCTATGTCCTGTATGGATTGTTGACAATAAAACCCGAAAGAAATTGACAAGTCAAGCTTGTGGTCGACAGCTACCGCTTTGCTCCTGCCTGTTCCTCAGACAACGCTAAATAGAGAAGTCACCCAGTATTTTGGGTCGATCAGGAGCACTTCTGATTCAATCGCTGGACAGTTTGTCACAGAATCGGGTATCCATGCTTATCTAGCTCTCCAACCCACTCCGGATCATAAAATTCACTGTTCTTGTCGAGGGTGGCCACATATCGATTGCCACGAACACCAGGCTTCTTTGAATGTGTGTTTCTTAGGTGGCTCTTGAGGTTATCCGTCCTCGAGAATGCCGTATCACAGTCTGGTACCCAGCATTTGTATGCTTCATGCATATCCTTCTCATGCACCGTCTTCTCATGCCGCTTTTTGTGTTCTTGACGCTTGAACCGCTTCTGCTTACCAGTGTTCTTGTCTATGCAACCTTCATAGCTACAAGCGAACTCGTTCTGGGCGATAACCAACTCACAGTTAATGCCGGTCTTGCCAGACGTCACGACTGGTTTGGCCTTCGAAGATACCCCACCCACGCGCTTGCGTTGATAGCCTCTCCGGGACAAGCGGTCTAAATCACATCGGTGCTTTTTCAAAAGTGCCATTCTCAAGGCTTGTTCAATTGACTCGTACGGCAAATCATCGATATCGTTCTGTGATTTGAGAACCACTGGAGAGACCATTGAGAGCGGACTACTGCTCATGATAGCTGATGTTGGAATGTGAACACTGATTGGCGTGGAAGGCTCCACCTTGTACCGCGGCGAGCTCATCACGGAACGTTGAAAGGTGACACTGGGCTCTATTGTTTCTGAAGGTTGATGTGATTGATGAGGACTCCAAGGTAGGATATGACTGTCAGCGGTCGAGATCGACGTACCCGTCATATTGTTCCCAAACATTGATTTGGTCAGCGCTGGGTTGGCTGCCACTGTGCTCAGACCTCGATGCTCAACACTGTATAATCTGTGGTGACTATTCAGTTGAAACGTTTCAGGTGCGCTACTCATCAATGGCAGACCGAGCGGCAATGAGTTAGCCATGTTAATCTGATCCAGCCAGAGTGGGTTGTGCAGATGGTCATCATCTTCCGCTATTCGAAACATGGAGTGGTAGTTTGGAAAATATTGGTGAGGTTTTACAAACTGTTCGTTATACCCAATATGAAAGCCCGAACCGGCCATCATCGGTGTGGTTGGGCTTGTATCTCCAGTTGATGATGTGAAGAGAAAATCAGGTGGAGTCGAACTGCTGCAAGATGCATTGGAAGACCTTCGTTGTGCATGGAGCTCCGGCGTTGCAAGATCGACTGAGACAAAGCTTGAGGACAGGGAGCTGCAGTCCGTTATGAGACCCAGTGGTGAGTCGTTTCCAAAGTTTGATTCAAGCTCCGAGAGCATATCAAATCCTTCTTCGCATTTGATCTCGGCTTTCTTTGGCGACACTTGCAAATATGTCATTGTTGATGTCATGTTTTATACAAGATGTTGAGTGTTATTGGCTAACAAGACAAGACTTCTTCCAGCGGACGGATGGTTTTTGAGATATTGTGGACAAGCTTGGGAGTACGTTTCGTTTTGTGAGTGATGAGTTTAAAGCACGAGAGCATGAGCAACAAGCAGGCAGACGTACTGCAATTCAACCTCTTTGCAATCTTCTGAGGCTGGCCGAGGGCGCGCGTTGTCTTGGAGCTTTGAATGTAAGGTGGGAGGAATGTGACACCCACAACTACGGTTCGTGGTGAACTTGGACCACTTGTCTCCACCGCTACAAATCGAGAGAGTCTCAGACCAAAGCGTGATGGGGAATTCTTTGCACAGAAAGCCACTAGGCACGAGGCCTTCGAATGGATGTGAAAGAGGAATTCAACGAAGCCTACTCCCAACAGCAAGGGATGATTCTTGACTCAACTGCCGGACATTTGAGCATTGACTCGAGAGGACGAGATCTACAATGGAGATCTACACAGCGGTCGGATCGTACAAGTGGATATCTGCAGGGCGGCTGGAATATACTGATCCTGGAACGAGTAAAGCGATGGCATTCGTGATCTGGAGAGGAAACTTTCCACAACCGAGAGAGCCGTTGACACAACTCAAAATCAGAACGAACTCTATGTGCTTCAGGGACCAACACTGTTTGATTCGCTCGCATGCTGCTTAGACGCAATCAATATAGATCTTTGTTGGTGGATGACAGCCTTGCATCGTGCATGAACACCACGATAAGCGGTGATGCAATATGTTCCTTCATGCGAGCCAACCTAAAGTGGTTGCATACCAGTTGCAGCAGCATTATTACCCGGATCATTGAGATGATCAGACATTCAGCCACGCAGCGAAATTGACAACAGTCCATGTCAGATCCTTGCCATTACATGCACGACATGGCAAGATGTGTGCGTTGACACGAGGTTCAGAACGGGTTACGAACGAGAGGGGAGGCCAGTCTTTCGCTTGTTCACACAGCAAGAATGCAATCCTGGTCCGAAGTTGCGCTGTCCAACCATTTTTCAGCGCAGCAGGTGGCAAGAAGGACACAAGTACAACCACGGGTTGTATCAGATTCCTCCGGAGAGGCACACCCCAGAGCCAAAGCTTGACCCCAGTCCCTCCAAACAGGATCACATCTTCCAACCAAAAGAGGAACACAAGATCGAAATGGGACGAGGCGTTGCCAAGAGACTTGTCCGCCATCCGCCACGATGCACGCATTGACCACCATGTCCAGAGAGAGTCATCCCACTCTAAGGAATGTGCCACAAGCATCCATGTCTTATTGGCCATTTCTCCGATCATGCATCTCGCCTGTATTTGGTAGGCGATGCCAACGCCTAATCAACTACCAGTCCCGACAAGGTTGATCCTTGCTACTTGCCACAACCAAAATTCGCCAGATCAATATTGAAGGCTGGGAATTCGGTACTCGTCAAGACCCTCTTGAACGAAGGGAGCATACTCAAGAAGTGCGGCCGGTGAGGCAACTCGGCCCGGTTCATTGCATGTCTCATGGTCTGGTCATTGACAGACAACATTGCAGTGCAGTGCAGAGCAGTGCAGAACATATGAATTCTCCGTGCCACGATCTATTGCAGGCGAACTACAGGTGATCGAGCGAGACCCGCAAACGTACAGCATAGATATGACAGCGATACTAGACATCCTTAAGTGGCAGAAGTCAACCCAGTAACGACCAAGATGGTGGCCTTTTCTCGGTATGGAGGAATCCACATATCTGTTCCTGAGTATATTCTGGATTGGAACCGTGGCGTTTCTATCATCCAAATTGGGATAATTGGCGGCGTAAATTATAGCTTCAACACGATGCGGCCTGGAACATCGCCCTTTTCCAACATTTCATACACCTGTGGCAGCTCCGAAAATGGACGAACCTGGACATGTGGTTTAACCTTGCCATTGCGCACCAACTCCACAGCTTCTAGCGTCTCTTTCAATGAGCCTACTAGATTCCCTTGAATTTTCAGTCCTCTGATAATGATTGTTGCCACAGATATATCAAGCTTCACATCTCCAGGTGGGATACCAACCATACACAGGGAACCACCAGTTCTCACCATGCCTCCAACATTGTCAAATGCACGAGGGTGACCACTAGTGATGACAACGGCATGTGCCCCACCTGTTATGCGACGCACCTCGTCTGCGAGGTCCTTGCATTTCGTGAAATCCAAGAACCTGGCCCCCAGAGATTCCACGAATTTCTGCTTCTCAGCACCTGCATCGATCCCGAGAACCTGAGCCCCGAGCGCCAGGCCATATTGCACTGTTCACAAGTTATGAGATATCAGCATAGTCCTTTTCATCCACTTGTTGAAGTGATACGGGGCCAGCAGACCTGCAAAATGGCCCAAGCCTCCACCCGCACCAATGACAGCGAGCCATTCTCCTTGTTTCAGATTCGCATTGCCCACGGCCTAAAGAGGTCAGCCTACATCCCTCCACAGTCGTCTTTTGTCAAGGGAGGGAGGCTCATTCGAGCTGAGCGAGCAAATCTGCAGCCCACTCACCTTATACGCAGTGACGCCAGCACAGAGAGTGGGACCGATAACTATAGGATCAATGTCTTGTGGCAAGGTCGTCAGGTATTTTGTGTCCAGGACACAGTACTCTTGGAAACTTCCGTCTTCGTGATGCAGGTGATTCGTCGCATTGCCGCAGTGCTGTTCTCTCCCTGACTTGCAGTACTCACACTCATGGCAGACTCGGGATGCGAATCGAATCCCAACCAGTGTGTCGAGTTTCAGATCCTCGCGCTCGACGACACCTGGGCCGAAGGCAACGACGCGTCCGACTCCTTCGTGTCCGCCTACGTGTGGAAGTTTAATGTTGGTGATGGGTTCTCCATCGGGGCCAGTGGCTGTTCCTGCTTTCGTATGAAGGTCTACGTATGGGGAGATCGAGTCAGCCTAATCTCGGTTTGTTTCGATAAAACCCCCTTGAGACCAGATCGTTCCAATAGTGCATCTTACCACTTTGACAGACCCCTGTGTAGAGCACCTTGACGAGTATCTCGTCTTGTCCTGGCTCTTGCACAGGATATTCATGGTCGAACTCGACAGGTCCGCCTTGCTTATGCACAATAGCAGCTGTTTGCGTTTTGGGAATCGATGGGGTCGTCATGATCCTGTGTTGAATCTGGTGGAAGCCTTAAACTCAAACACTTTGTACTGCCAGATAACTTGTCCAATGCGTTTCCTATATCACAATCTATTTAATGCCACAGACTCACAGAGACAGTACCTAGGTAGATTACTCGCGTCGCGTACATATATAAGAGACCAGGAAAGAACGACTAGTAATCTTTCCTTTACTAATTCAATCAAAATACCGCCCGTGGGGTTATGAAGATCAACGTCAGCTCACTTGACCGACGTCCGTAGATGTTACACAATGGCCCGACGGGCCACCTGCGCTGCGGTACTCGGCATCGAACAGCACCCAGACACTCGCCCCCTGAGGTTGTGCAACTCCGCACTCCTCTTCCTTGGAATGTCCACCCGACTGATAGACGAGCGAATCCACTGGAAGCTTGATAGATGCACAGCAACTCTTTTTCTTCTGCTGCCGTCAATCTTTAGATGGTCCATACCTCCTGGTACCTACGTATCAAGGGAGGTACTCTGGTAAGTTGGCGACGAGGACGGAACTAAGCACATGTCAAGCTCCCTCTTGCACCACTTGGTACTGTGTGTAGCACCGTTGCGCTTGTTTCTCCAGCTAAAGCCCTCGTTAGTGCATTTGGCTATGGCAACCTTGCCCTGCATCATCTCATGCAACCCCCGCATCCTCGAACTTCGGACTTCACGCATGTCGCATGGGGGTGAGAAAAGGGCCGCCAAATCACAAGCCACATGCTGCAATGCAATCCCTAGGTAGTTGACTCATTGCATGTTCAGACACGTTTGGGGGAACAGAAGCCCGACCTGCTGTCTTCCCCTCGTGAAATGTCTCGAGACTGCAGGCGTGCGCCTTTTCGCGTCCCTTGTGAGCCCTACCGATGTGTAGTCCCAGGACATTGCTTCCAATGCAGGGCAGAGTGCATGCATGAGGAACGGAAATAAGGCTTACATGTCATAAGTCTCATGTCAAGCCGCAATAATAGGGGGCGAGCGAGCAAAAGAACCAAATTCTGGGGGAGTTTAGCTCTTTCGCTTGGTTCAGCCCCTAATAAAGTTCCCTGTGGCGTTTTGGGGGTTTAGGTGTGGAGTTGCAGATGGGAAAACCTGGAGAATCAATATCGCTCATCGAGATTGTTGGAAACACGATGTGGTGGCGCTTTTTCGACTTGTCTTGTCTATCCGTGAACGACGATCGTTGTTGGCTGTATTCGAGCCATCAGATCCGAAATTCGATCATATTTCTTGCAGCGTTCGAGCGGTTTTACTACAGTCCTCCTCATATTCGACACCCGATCGACTACATCTCGCGTTGCTGACTCTGGCAAGTGAAGCCTACTTTTGGCACTTGTAAACAGCAGATACCGAAGTATGTGACTGAAAGGCGTAGTTTGTAGGGCTTGCGGTTCAGATACAGCTACGACGGTTTTTCAGAAGAAAACCTGGTGGTGGAGCGATTGGTATGAAATGCTACCTATCTCAGTACCTGGGGATTAGGGCTCGTGAGTGTGAGGCCTTGTATTTGCTGGGTCAGGGACTCTGTATCCGTCACACCCATTTGGGAGTCTGGTGCACTACTTTTTGGAGTTGAAAGTGTGGCGTCTGTGGCTTTGCTTCCGATGTGGCTGGAACGATCGTTTGAATCACATGCTATGACGTAGTTGTTTGGATTTCAACTTCCCACATCTGCCTTCGTTTCACCGACCAGCCATTTGATTTCAATCGGTACCACTCACATCAAACACATCGAAAGATGCAGACGATCAATCACCTTATTCTTCACTCTATCCATCACCTCCCCTGATCGAAGGACGTCAGACTTCACCAACGCTTCTCCAATGGTTCAATATAACCCCGCTTGTTACCTGCCATCAACATGGTCCTCTTACCTACCCGACACCCTCTCATGTCCGCCTCCACCATCACTTGCGGCGACACTCTACAACTACGCGACTTCACCCTTCAGTTCGACATTCACCACATTACGCACAATGTTCGACGCATTGATAGGACTCCCATTCCTCTCCTTTCTCCTAATCCCAACCATGACATCGTACTCGACCAGTCTCAACCTCCTCTTCTTTTATCTCACATGGTCGACGCTGGTTTTGTCGCATCCTCCCATCCGCGTTGAAATTGTTGCTACACTCGCTGTTCGAGTCATCTTCTACATCATACCGTCTCTCTTCTTTCTAGTCTTTGATGCTGTCTTGCCATCTGCGGCGGAGAGTCTCAAGGCGCTGGGCGATGCTGGTCTACCATTCAAGAATGCAAGTCGGGCCCGGGCACTGCGCAATCTTCGCGTCTTGGGATGGTCGCTGCTGAATACTCTCCTCGGCGTCGCCATTCAAGCATTGGTCGAAGTCCTCTTCACGAGAGTTCTACTGATCCGTTCCGCATTGCGTGTCACCACGACATTGCCTATGCCGCTCGGCATCGCCAAGGACCTTGCGAAGGGCTATCTGTTCCGTGAGATATTCGCCTATGTACTGCACCGCTATGTGTTGCACGAATCTCGCACTTCACTGGCCCGCGCACATAATGATTGGTACCACTCATTATCGACGCCATTCCCGTTGACCGCTAGTTATGACCATCCGGTGGCATACCTAGTCCGCAGCTTTCTTCCAACTTATCTTCCGGCACTCCTCTTCCGTTTCCACCTAATCACATACGTCCTCTACGTGACATTGATTTCTCTCGAAGAGACATTCGCGTACTCCGGCTATTCCACGGTCCCCACAAACTTTATACTTGGAGGTGTCGCGCGGCGCACGGACAATCATGTACTATGTGGCGGAGAAGGAAATTACGGTCCATGGGGTCTTATCGACTGGATCCTCGGTACCAGCGTCGGCGCCGATTTGGTGGAGGATGTCGTTCAAGAAGCTGAGAAGCACGATGTGCCAGCTCGCGTCGAGCGGACCAAGGCCAAAGCGAAGAGCAGGGCTAATGGTAAGCTCAGCGATGTCAAGAGTAGCATCACAAGTGGCAGACGTAGGACGACCAGGAATCGCAGTGACAGTTATGAATAGGCGACAACGCGGGATGGAAACAACTCTGGCGACATATTTCATTTAGTACATGAGAGGTGGTGGAATTTCAATTTCTTTATTGGATTGTCAGCGAACACAAAAATCGAGTCATTTACGTGTCTGAGCGAGCGAATGAGCAAGCGGTTGAGATATATGGTTTGATTTCGTTTCTATATTCCCCATGGTGCGATCGAGAGGAAAAAAGCTCGAGTAAGAAGGTTCACTTGTTAGATATACTCTCAATGTCTGCCTTTCCTGATCTGGACGCAAGTTGTTCTTCATTCCCTTCGTGACAGTCGTCTTGAAAGGGTATTGAAAGAGTAGAGAAACGCAGTCCATGGACGGATGAAACCCTGGCCCCGGCGATGCACGAACAACAGAAGCGGAATGTATCCTTGATTCACCGACACGAAAGGTCTCTCTACTGTGTCAGGCAAGATCTCGTTTGATCCGGGGCAATGCCGAGCCCTGGTCATGGATTCTGCACGGTATCGTCTCGAGTATATACCACATGGGCTGGGATTGTTCAGCCTTTTGGGAAAGAGTCCCAGTGCAAGGGACTCATTTTGAGGTCTCGTATCCGCGGGACGTGGAGTATCTTAGAGATGGGAATGTGAGTACTCAGGTCCTGATAACCCGAATCGACACTTTGTCGTTTAGGTAGTGGTCGCTCAAGGGTGTTGGTAGGCCCAGATCCCAGGACTTCTTGGAGTATGTGTCGAGTTGGTAGTCGCAACACTGCCAGCATCACAATACGCCATCGATCTCTGGTGATCTTTCGCACGGGTATCGTCTTCTTAATGGCCAATTTGATAGATTAGTCGCCGAGTGTGCATATGGCTCTTCAAGGTTTGTGAACTCCACGTACGGCACCAGCGATGAACGACTGCTATATTAGTAAGTACAGGTGCCACAATCACAAGGGGGACGGCTCTCGCGCGACCGGAATCAAATTCAGGTTTCATCGGTCTCAATTCTCTTTTTTGGTCTTTGGACTAAAGCTGAAAAAAAAGTGTTGAAGGTTCTGATCTGATCTGATCTCGACATCATCCCATTAACCATTTGATTCTGCAATCCATCCGTAGTATTCGAATGATGGCTCTCTTTGAATTTTCTTTGATCTTTGGGTGTTGGGAGGTTTGTTGCGCAAGGGCAACAAGCACAGTTATCTCACTTTCCGCGACAAGCACATGGAATTTCCCTTCATGTGTCTCTTCACGGACTTTCCGGTTTGTGGGCCCATCATGGTTTTTCTTTGTTCAGAGTAGAAGAGTCTGCTTGGGTTGATTGGGTAACGTTGCAAGCAAGCAAACACACACGACAAAAACGCCTTGACTACCGCATTCCCCTTGTCTCTCCCTCTCACTCTCTACCACAACTCACGCTCATCGTCTGCATCTCATCTCTATTCCCCTCTTTGCACTCCGGTCGCGTACAAAGGGTAGGTCTAGAACTTCAACTCGTGAGGTCGTTGGCCGTGTCTCAGGCTGAAGCTGGATCGCAAGTAGCTGGCAAGAAATTCCTCGTTCTTGATGGCGGAGAGTAAGGGCTTGTCAATGGCCTTCTGGTCTGATGCACGTTCGGATGCGGGTTGTTTCTTCTGTTTCGGTAGTCAGTATCTATAATATTTCCCGAGATATCGATGATGATGCCTACCTCTGCCTTCTCCCCTTGCTTGAGGAAAGCCTCCTCGCCCTTCTCCTTCTTGCTCTTCTTTTCCCGGGCGAAGTATTCGGGCTTGGAGATCTTATCTAGTACTTTGGAGTCGAGACCGCTGAGATCGACTTTTGTGGAGGTCGCAATGACATATCGAGCGTTCACTCTTCGGATGGGTACACCGTTGATCTTGAATGGGCCAGTGACCAGGAGAGCGCCTTCCTTCAAGTGCTTGAGGAGAACAACACGCTTGCCACGGAAACGACCAGCGAGGAGGATGAGAACAGCACCGGGCTGGAGAGCAGCTCGAGGCTTGCCTTCACGGATGGTCTTGCGAGCCTGCATTGAAATTCCCGTCAGTCATCATGTCGTTTGCGTGCGGAGCCGGGGATTGCGCTCAGATGATAGTGACAGCGGAATTACGCTGTACAAGTCTGTCGGAATCACACATTGACTCACCTTCCTAGGTTGGGCGACGTCTGATGTAGGATACCACTTCTTTGCCTTTTGGCTGGAGTGAGGAACTGAGCGAGTGCCTTTGCCAAACTGCTTCTGCACAGCGGGCTGGGCTTCGGTAGCAGACATCCTGACGGCGTCCAGAAACTGAATCAACGGCTGCTGGAAGAGGTAACGGAGGAGTGAGATTGCCTGCGGGCGTTGAACAGTTGCAGAGCAATTATCGTTGTTGGATCGCAGTCATATGTTTAAGTGAGTGTCGGCGGAGTGGTGCAGTGCGTCGGGTCAAGATCAGTGTGCGCTTTCTGAAATTCAAGATTCTTGGCAACCCGACCCCGATTTTGCTCCTTCCCCTCGCCGCTTTATATTTTGGTGAGGGCACACTTGACGCTTTACCTCGTGAGTGTCTTGCCAAGACTGCACCTCCAATTCAAACCCCGGTATTTCGGAACTTGAATTAATCCATGTAACCCAGTCCCAATTAAATGTTTGCTATGTTTGCTTCTCCAAACTCCAGGACAAGGCTTCGATCTTGTTACGCAAACAATTGCCCTTACGATTCAATGGTCATACACATACTTCCTCACTCGTCGACATTGAACTTGCAGATCTAGAAGTCCAGTGATCCAACTCCACGTTATCTATATTGCTTGCTCAAAAGTTTCCACTGTATCCTTTTCCCTCAGCTCGGGGGTAACTCTCCTTGTCGGTCGCCCGCCATGTCAATCGCACCCATCATCACATTCAAGGCGGGTCTCTGCGATCTAGATGTGAGTTACCAGGGTTCGCCCAATCCCACAAAAGATAATACTACTCTCAATGAGTACAGGCCGCTAATAGACCTCTTAGACCGGTTCTTCACCCTACAAGGCTAAGCCTCTTCCCACTCCTGGCTACATCTACCTCCATGAAGACGATGAACAGCTCCTTCATCTATGTTGGCGACCAAGAGATGCGCCATTAGATCTACCCGAACTTGATCTTCTGATGTTTCCAACTGACTGCACCTTCACCCCACTGGAAACAGACTCAGATTCGCCAAGTACAAAGAAGACAAATGGCAGGATCTACGTCCTCAAATTTGGATCAAGCTCGCAGCGTCATCTCTTCTGGCTACAGTCGAAGAGTCAACACCCTCAAGGTGATCCTTCATGGTTCAGTGCTCGCGATCTAAAGCTTGGCCAAATCGTCAACAACCTTCTACAAGGCGAGGAGGTGGATGTACAACAAGAGATTGCACAGTTACCACGGGACCAAGATGGAGCCGACGATGATGATGAGCCTATGGAAGATGTTGAAGGCACAGATCATGATAGAAATCGCCGACCTTCCGGGAGTGGTGGAGCTGGGCCGGATGCAACTGGAGGTGACATTCGGGAAGAAGGCGAGCAATCCAGAGAGGGCGGTGCGGATGGCGGAAGAGCGTAGGTAAAGCACCCGCTATGTGCAAACTCGAGACGCACCACTCAAGTGACCTGACACATAATAGGGCTACGGGAGAATTGGACGCCAACGCCATCGTTCAGAATTTCATTCGGTCCATGGGAGGCAATCAAGGACAAGGACGTCAATCAGCCCCACAAGAGAAAATATTTACGACACTTGCGGATTTGCTAACCCCGACATCTACCATTCCCTGGATCGAGTCAGCCGATAGAGAACTGGTTGATCAACTGCTTCAATATCTACCACCAGCTTTAGTGACTCTAGCACAGGAGGCAGACGACTTGGCAGATTTGAATACCGAGCATGCATCTATTGAAGCAGCAGAGCAGGCTCTGAGTTTGGATCAGAAGAAGGACATCTTAAGGAGAGTGTTGAGATCTCCCCAACTTTCACAGAGTCTTGCAAGTTTAACTGTTGCGCTTCGTGATGGTGGACTGCCAAGTATCAGTGAAGCGCTCAATATTCCCGTTCGAAATGGAGGCTATATGCGACGTGGCGGGGTGCCTTTAGGAGGTGGTGAAGCTGTGGAGGTCTTTCTGGAAGGCGTCAAAGAAAGTGTGGAAAAGGGAAATCAGGAAGACAATGGTCAAGATCGTATGGACACAGAGTAACAGACTCTGACCTTTTACCATGAGTCCCAACAACCCTGTATCAATACTGAGATAGACTACACACAATCAGCTCAGAGCACACCTACTGAATACCGGAACTAGTGGCAGGAAGAAAGTTCAGCCTTCCGTTCCTTAGCGCAATCCTCTTTAGACCTCGTTATCTCATGTAAGGCTGTGGATGACGCTTACTTACCTAGATATCAACAAAGTATCAAGTGTCAGATAGGTACATCTTGACTTTAGACTATCAGCAGTGTATTCTTCCGGGCTGAGCAAGCTAGAGAAATGGACGGATCTTGTGAAGGACAAAAATGGGACATCGTGCCCAAGTCGTGCCCCTTCACAATCGAAGAATACCACGTTGAAGATGGCCTGGCCACCCCGAGACATGCAACATTTTTGGTTCGTGAGCACGACAAATTTGGCGAATATCCAAATATCTTCGCCAAGATCTGTCATAGCAGAGATGAAAGTTTCCAGCGTCAAGGCTCCGTCGTTGACGGCGCTTCTCCAGAAGAATTCGAGCGAGGTCACAAAAAGCCCTCTCATAAAGTGATAGTATTGAGCGACACTGGCTGTGGCACGGAAGTTCCGTCAGACAATTGTTGCAGGGACACATTCTCAGCTGGCCAGACGTTGCGATCTCACGTACAGCAGCTGCAGGCAAGAAAGATCCCCTACCCAAGAGTATGGAATATATTTACATTCCTCGAATACACAGTCAACCCCGGCAGCCAAATACCATATCTCATCATGACTACACATTGCCATTACGACCATATTATGGGTATTAGCAAGTTCCCACCAACAGCAAGGACAGATACTACTGGTGCTTCTGGTGCTTCTGGTGCTGCTCCTTGTGGCCCCAATAGCAACAGCTTAACACAAAGTCCACGATCAACACCCCCTACGACCGTTCTAACCTCTGCACTCGGCAAACCATTCGTGACACCGTACTCAAATTTACAGAAGCACAGCCTGGCCGACACACTTGGACTGTCCGCGCCGAAGTACGATGTCGGGATCTGGGCAGAAGATTACTCGCAGGTGGTCTATCACCATGACCACCACGAGACCAGCACAACCCCAAACCCAACCCGCATCGCGACACCATATACAATCCTACACACGCCAGGCCACACGCCAGACTCCCTATCATGGTACGACGCAGAGCACCGCGTCATCTGCGTCGGCGACAGCTTCTACCTCAAGCACGTTGACGCTGCGCACAAGGCACCATGGGGAGACGAGCCGCCCATGCCGACCATGTTCAACCTGGAGAGCGACCTAGCCGACTGGTGGCGGAGCCTGCACAAGGTCCTGGATTTCGTGGTCCGGAAGAACCGCGAACTTGCAGACGGGGTGGTGGAGACGCGGAAGTCGGCGTCGCCGTCAGAAGGCTCTGTCGTGGGAGACGATGGTGCCGGCCAGACATCCCACTCTCGACAACCGTCTTCCTTCAGCATCTGGCCCTTCTCGACCAACCGGTCCGCCAGTCTACAAACGGGATTCGAGCCGCGCAAGGCTACAGAGAGCCATCTCACATTCCGCAGCTCCACCACTCCCAGCGCCACCAGCGATCCCTGGCTCCTGGTCGATCTCAACCCCAATCAGAGCCACACCGAGACGGCTCCGCGCGTCCGCCTCGCAGGCGCACACTCGACGTCCAGAGCCGACGCGCTGGATGCGATCCTCGAGATCCGCGCGTTCGTCGCCGCCATCCTCCGGGACGACGGGACGATCCCGAAGCGGAGAGTCGAAGATGGTAATCGTGGTGAAGAGATGTGGTTGTGGGATCATGCCCTAGTAGCCGATAAGGCAGGCCCGGATACTGCTTTGTTGAAGTCAGGCCGGAGATTCAGTGTTCTTTCGCCTTTGGTTGTTGTCCAGGAGGGGAGGAGGAGGATTCCGAGGGCGGAATGGTTCGATGTTTGACGCTGAGGGTTTGGGTATAGCATTGTCCCGGTGGGATGTACCCTGGCGCGGCATGGCTTCTGGACTGGGACGGAAGAACAACGAGGACAGTTCATAGGTGTGGATCATACTTTAAAACGGGCCTGTATATTCGCCCATCGACCTCGAACGTACATATGTACGCAATATCCCTCAAGCCTGAATTTGTGTGGGTGACGCTATAGTCGTGACGCTCCAGCAGCTTGAGCTTTTGCTACTGCGAAGGATGTATATAGTCTTGTGACATAGCGTCACATAGTCTCCTAGCGATTCTACTCCTGCACTTATCCGTCTGTCACAAAAAAGCAACCGCCAGCATCCTGGAGCGACCAGATCTGCAGTCCTGGTGGCTAGCAAAAGACTTGTCCTTGGCCACTCAACCGGATCTCATATACCTATGCAATGCCATGGTAATCGACCACCGAGTGATGAACAATGCCATGTGGCTTCTTTGACGTTCAAGCCCCGCCATGCCCAATCCAATTCAAAGTCTCACTCCACGTCACCCATCGACATCATGGTCCTTGGTCTTCTTCTTCTCAGCAGCCTCGCGTCTCCACCTCGGGCCATGCTTCATGATGAACCAGAGCAGCGGACTACCCGCGACGAAGAAAACGCTGAAAAGAGTACACGTCCAACCAACTCCAATGGCGTTGATCATGGGTATGACCAGAGCCGCAGCCGCCGCACCAAGCCAACACTTCAGCAGATTGTTCGCCGCAGTGACCGCACCTGCTCGCCCGGGATAGATGTCGACCAGCAAGACCTGGAACGTGCTGTTCGTCGCACTGGAGCAAAAACCAATGAAGAACAGCAGGATCAATGGGCCTGCGAGGTGGGTCTCAGATTGGACGGTCCAGCCAAATGCGATAATACATGCCGATCCGAGATACAACGTTGGAAGGACGACCTCGATGCGGGCTTTTTCCAGTGGGAAGTCGGTCAGATCCATTTTGCGGTTCCTCACCACTTCGAGGCCTAGTTTGTTTGCATAGTGTCTGAAGCGTGAGTCGATGATGCGGCCTCGGATGAATGCGGCGGCGATTGTGCCGCAGCCGAGTGGGATGTAACATAGAGAGAGCTGGAGCTCGTTGAAACCATACACTTTTTTGAACTGTGAGGGTATTAATGCGAGTGTTGAAAACATGCCAGAGCTAAAGACGGCGGTGTAGATAAGGATCGGTCCGCATTCTTTCTGGACAAGGAGTGCGAGGACCGCGAAAGGATTTGGAAATCGTAGACTATGTTTTTTTGATTGTGGAGCCTCGTCATTTTGTTTTGGCTGAGCAATGTTGCTGTTTTCAGCTGCCATCCTTCGTTCTTGTATTTTATTGGTGAGGCATCGGTTGAGTTTCGCAGGTGAAATAGATCCATCTCCCACGATTTTCCGGCACGTCTCTGGGAAGAAAAGCCCGAGGGGAACAAAAACAACAGTTGCGACGATGAACAAGAACCAAAAAATAAAATGCCAATTTGCGTATTGTGCAAGTAGACCCCCGATTACCGGACCGAGCGAAGGCGCCAATTGGGGGAGAACTGCAGCGTACACGACATAGCTTCCTCTGTCCGAAGAGGGAACCACATCAGCAATAACAGCATATATAAGAGACACCGTTCCACTGCTGCCTGCACTTTGAAAACACCGAAGCACCAGGAGGCCTGCATAGCTGTTTTGGAGTGCAAGACCAATGTTGGCTATGGTATATATCATTCCACAGACGAGGTAGGCAGGTCGTCTCCCAGCGTTATCAGAGAACTCACCCACAAATGCGGGTGCAAGCCCTTGGAATATCTTGTGACGATAAGTGAGCAGTTGGTTTTTCTGAGTATCCAGAACACTGGGGCACAATTCAACTGACCATATACGTGGTGATGCTCAAATTTATGAGGCTGGTTGATACGTTCAAGTCTTCCGAGATTCGATTAAGTGCAGGGTAATATATGTGAGCCGAAACGGGAGAAAAGAACGCTGCAATAGATGCGGTCAAGATGATAAACTTCTTCTCACTACGGCTCCAAACAGAGAAGGGGGTATCGTATTCTGTGGTAGGGTGTTGGGTTTGGCGTTCGACGTCTTTGCAAATATCTCCAGGTCCTTGTTCCAACTTCGCTGCGTTGACTCGTGGATCACTCACTTCGGAGATTGTGATCTCCTTCTCCAAAGGAGGTGCCATCTGAGTAAATAATAAGAAACGGAGTTGAGAAAGACCAGATACACCACAAAGTGCCGGCAGGATGCTTATTTGCCCATGACGGGGAGCATACGAGGAGACAGTGGTGTCAGATATCCGTTTAGTCGAGCCTAAAGCAAGGATTCTGTATTGTGAGAAAGTTAGGTATACCTAATGCTGGTAACATGGTGGCTGTCCGAGCAGCGATACTGGATGGATTGCGAGATCGCTCCCCGATGCCGGAGATCTATGGCGATTTCCCCCTGTTTGAAAGCGCGATTTTGATGGATCGACCAAATGAGGATGGGCTCAACAGAGCCACATCCAGAGCCGCAATTGCCGGTTTTGGGCATTTGGTGGACGTTCGAGAAGATAGGTCGTTGTGCTGGGGTGGCTGTATTGAGGAGCATTTGTTGGTAAACGCCGCGTTCGATCCTGGAGAACGATGTGAGTTGGAGAGGGCAGCCTCGTCTGGCAGATCAACGGAGTGATAATTTCTGGATAGCGGGACTGAGTGAAACGATCTTCTGAATGACAAAGAGCTAGATCAGTCGCTATCATCGTCGCTCCCCGCGATCTCGGCTCTTCCATTGGGCTGAAGGCCACCACCACCATTACGGCTTCGAGCACCGTTCCTGCCCTCCAATTGGTCTTCTTCTGGAAGCTCATTATCTTCTTCATCTTCGTCCTGATCCTCTTCATCGTCTTCGTCGTCCTCGTCGTCGTTAATGTTTTCGTGATCGTCCTCTTCTTCCGCATCGTCGCCTTCAGGGTCAGAGTCAGTCTCGGCGGCTTTCGACATGCCCTTCTCAGCACTTATTGGTGACGAGTAAATGACGGATCCTTTCCTTCTAGTCGCTTTGGTGGTACTGTCATGCGTTGCTTCTCCTTCTTCCTGAAGGCCATTCAATTGAAGATCCAACATGCGGTCCTCCTCATCCGGATCTTCGTCATGTTCGCCCATGCGTCTAGCTCGTTTATTGCTTGGCTCGCCTCTTTCATCTTCCTCGGCCTCATCGCCGCCCTCAATGCCGGTTCCTGTACTTTCTCGAGCTTTATTTGTTTTTCGATCTCGTGCACCTTTCCTCTTCTGTGCCAGAGCTTGTTCATAGACCTCTAATTCTCGTTCTAAACGTCCACCAGTCCGGCCATCTTTGCCTACTGCACCTAGATCCATGACCCCTGCCAGTTCGACCTCCTTCAGTGCCTTGAGAACATCTTGAGGAGATAAAGTCTTCCGAGTCGACTGCTCATTTGCGTGATGTGCAAGGTAGGATATAAATACGGTGGCTGACTTTGAAAGTGCTAGGACTGCATCGCGTTGTAGAGAAGTGTTCGGCGGCAAGACTCCTTTGGCGAGCCGTTGGATCAGGGTCCGGGGAAGGAGCAAATCCTACATCATATCAATTAGGCCTGTATATTGAAGATCGTTTGACACTGTGTAGAGTCACGTACATCTATGCCCACACTATCTGCATCCTGCTTTGCACCTCCACTTGATTGTCGAGAGGGTTTTGGATGAGCATGGCTAGTCGTGGAGGCGGCGGTGGCATTAGATACCATAGAGATGTCGCCGTTCGCATCAGCCGTATTGGAACTTGTACTCTTTCGAGGAGCCATGCTGTGTATATCAAGATCAGAATCGGAGTGAAAGCACGAGGGCAATGGTGTCGTTAAGAGAATGCTTTGGATCGATGGGGTTTTTTGACGAGAACTCTGAATTATGAGAATCTCAGATCAGTAAGTAGCAAGAAGTAATGGTCTCTGACGAAACAATGAGGCTGTCGAAGGATCTCTTGTTTTAAATGATCGATCACTTTATTGTTGGCGAAAGAATTGATGGAGGAACGCGGTCCGAAAAAGAAAACGCGACTTGGGGGAGGTGAGCGGGGAAATCAATTAAATATTCCATCTTGGAAGGTGCAAGCAAGAATGTCTATACATCCACAGAAAGCTGGCCGGCACTGCCAGTAGCCTGTTTCTCCACTACTGATTATTCTTGAGCAGCTCATTTGGAAGAATCGTCCTCTAGAACCCGTTTTAGCGCTATGGACTCTCATTGGAAGGTTTCCGGATCAAAAAATGTTACTTGTCTGAAACATTAACCATGGATATCATGCCTACCCGTACGCCTGTACTCAAAAGCTTTTCCATCCCGATCTATCATTCCATGCTCATGGCTCTCATGACTCTACTTGCATTGCGTCGACGGTTGTCTTGTCGTGGTCATCGCCCCACAGTCCATCGAGCTTGAACTCAGCCGCCCATTCTTTGACAATCTCCTTTCTATCCACCCCGGTTGGTAGAGCCTTGCCGTTTTCAGCAGAAGCAGCGGCATCGGCCATGTCTTCATCCTCCGCGACCTTGAGGGTAGGGGCCTCCACCCAGCCTTGGACTCTTCCGTCGCGCCAGTCAGTGATCACTGTCGTGGCTGCAGAGTGCAGATTCGGCACGCCGCCTTTCCCTAGTCGGCCCCTCTTTCGAGCGACTTGGATCAAAAAGTCGCTGGTTCTGTCTCCCGCGCCGAAGGGTCCCAATCCGACAATACCGTAATGCTTGAGCAATTTATCGAACAAGGCTTCTGAGGTAGAGAGTCTGGATAAGAGTAGATTGATGGCGGGAATCGGGTCAGTAATCTGACTAGGCGGTAGGGCGTTCAGGAGGATCAGGCGGGCTTCATGTTCTGCCCTCTTCTGCTGTCTGTTTTCCTTGTCTTCACCATCGACGGTAGATGGGAAGACAATACCAGGAGAGTCAAGAATCTTCAGCTTGCTATCTAGTTTGACTTCTCTCAGACTCGTCGTGACGCCTGCTTCGGATCCGACTGGACAGGCAAAACTCTGATTGCCTTTGTTCAATCGCGAGGTCAGGGCGTTGATGACGGATGACTTTCCGACATTGGGATAACCGATGACTCCGACCGAGATCGATCGCTTCAGCTGCTTGGACACAGCATATGATTTAAGAGAGCGTAGCAGAGTTTCGGAAGTGGCTTTGAGGGTCAATTGTTTGTGGTCGAACGTCTGAGCATTAGATGCAGGTGTAGAAGCTCGCAGGGGAATGGTCGGGAAATACCGTCGCAGGTGAGTCAACCATCCTTTCAAGACTGGTGGCGGAACCAGATCAATCTTGTTTAGGATAAGAATGAGTCGCTTCGAGCCGCCCTCGGCAGCCATGATCTGCCGCTCGACTTCTCGGGATCTCGTGCCTTCTGGATCTCGGGCGTCCAGAACATATAGCACCACATCCGCGGCGTCTAGGACTTGTTTGAAGATCTTGTCAAATGCTCGTCGTGAAGAGTCTGGATTTCTGTGGTCTGCCGCGATGGCCTCGGAGAGTTGTACCCCAAGCACGCCGTTCTCGTCGACGTCCGCATCCACATCTCCCTGCAGCAGTCCGCCGTCATAGTCGGCCGCTCTGGCTTGGGCAGAAGCAAGGAGCGCAGCCATAGGATTTGCGCCATCATCGTCCTCATCTTCATCCATCTCCTCTTCGTCTTCGAGTAAATCGTCATCTTCGTCCATCAGATCGTCGTCCTCGGCATCATCAGCCTTCCCACTTCGTTTCTTCTCCTTCGCAGCATCTCTTAACCGTTCGGCATTTTCAGCTTTCAATCGCTTCTTCTCCTCGAGTTCCTGGAGTAACTTGTCCTTGAAGGGGAACAGATTGGGGATTCCGGGATCCTTCTTCAGCCTGGATTTCCATTGAGGGTTCTGGGCGTGTCGTTAGAAACAAACCATCGAGCACTGCTGACCCAAGTGTCCAGCCCCGAGTGTAGACCATACCTTTTTCGACTCTTTCCTGGCTTTTCTCTGTTTCGCCGCTGACGCCTTTTCGATTTTGTGCCGCAGCCGCACGGGCGTCCGTTTGGACTTGGAGACTGGATAGGGACCTGTCAGTGATTGAGCGCCGTAGTGGGAATCAGACGTAGCTTACAAGACTTTACCATCTTTCTCGTATCGAGGGGAGTGGTCGATTGGGGAACTTACGATGTTGGTGTTCGTCCAGTCCACGTTCACCGTTTGGCATGAAAAAAAGTTATGGACCGCGGGGAATCAATTACGCGGTCAGACGAGACAATTTGCAGACAATTTGCCACGATAATTGGTGGGAGTGCTTCTTTGTCAGACAGGCATTTGTCGCCTCCGAAAAATCTCACTGCAGGTTTGAGAAATCGGAGACATGCCATTTCGAGCAACCTTGCCGCAAATTCGGCGGACGATCACGACAATATAAGAGTCTCGAGATACCTCACATCTCTGTTTCTGAAAAAAACATAGATATAGATGCGGGAACATTAGACCGGCGTATTTTCTGCCATATCATTTTTCTCAGACACATTTCACAATGGGTTCGATCGAAGAGCTATCGTTTTCTGCCCCGCCTCAAGTGGTCAGCGCAAGTGGGTTGCTGTTCGATTTCGACGGTAGGTTCCCATTACCCAACAATTTCACATTGGACACGAAAGATGATCTCATAATCCCTCGAATAGGCACCGTCATCGACAGTACAGAAGCCGTGGTCAAACACTGGCACAAGCAGGCGGCTCTCATGGGCGTCGATCCCAATGTGATTCTCGCAACATCACACGGACGACGTAGCATCGACACCTTTCAGATCTACGACCCCTCCAAAGCCAACTGGGAATGTAAGGCTCTCTTTCCATCCATCTCACAACGGGAATGTACCCTGTAGATCCGACCTTTTCTGAGTAATGTTCGATGATTGATGGATCGACGATCTCGCTAACCAATGACTCCACTTCACAATAGACATCAGTCACCAAGAGGGCCTAATACCCAAAGAGTTCGGGCAGAACGCGGTCGAAATCCCTGGGGCGCGCAAACTGCTCGCGAGCCTCGAGAGCGTCAATGCGCCCTGGGCAGTGTGCACATCGGCTACGAGGGCACTCCTCGATGGGTGGATTGAGATCCTCAAGCTGGCACACCCGCGCTGCATCGTGGTGGCGGAAGACGTTGAACAGGGAAAACCGCACCCGGACTGCTATTTGCTTGGCCGCGAACGACTGGGCCTCCCGGGCGACTCTCACATGATCGTGTTTGAAGACGCTCCCTCGGGGGTCCGTGCGGGCAAAGCTGCTGGCTTCAAGGTCGTTGGTCTGGCTACGACCCACACGGTCGAGCAGGTCCAGGAAGCGGGGGCGGATTGGATTGTGCGAGACCTGAGCAGTGTAACCCTCAAGGACTTCCACGATGGAGTGGTACGCATCGAGATTACCAATGCCTTGGTCAGAGCGTGATGGAGGCCGGTGTGCAACGACGAGTGGTACTTCTTGTCATGGATAGACCGAGCCCTGAGCATTTTTCAGCATGGCGTCACACGAGGGTATATAGAGACTAGAGGAAATGATTATCACATGCTGGAGCGCATTCTAGAGGACGAATGGGACGGCGAGGATGGAATAGAGCTGATGAAGCAAAGACATTGTTCAGTGAGTCAGACAGCCACGAGCGATCACTATTGTGACTATTGCGATCGTGTCGTGTCGGACCGGTGAATGGGTTCAACCAGCGGATCGACCCTGCGTTCCTCGCACCATCTGCAACAGGAGCACGGGATGGCTTCAAGCTTGCCTAGGATCAAACCGAGCTGGGTTGTTAGACTGGTATATACGTTATCTTACACTTTTTGACGCTCTGCGAGAAGGGACCATGAGCCATGAGCCATGCGCCCCTACGACTGCTTCACCGTGCCTGCTGCATTTTGCCGCTGCAGGAACACTGTCATGGTCCATGGGTTCAGCAGAAGAACGTGGACAGCAAGCCTCCCACCTGAAGCGAGTGACGTGCGGAGTACATCACGCTAGACCGTTGGCAACGATGTTCACACCACCCACACCACCAAGTAGTCGTGCACTTCAACTGGGCAACATGTGCATGTCACTCAATAGTTGATGTGGTGACTGTCAGGTCAAGATCGGGAGGGACAAAGCGTCTGTCCTCCATCTGGTCCAAGCTGGAGTGATGTAGCCATCACAGGTCTGTGTCATGGTCCGTAGGTACAAGCAACACGTTTCTTCGTGCATCACGACAAGCTCTGACACAGGCGAACTCCGTGACTCCGGGCATGGTGCATGTCCACGGTTGATGGGAGAGCATGGTGATAGTGGTTCACTATGATGGGTCACGCATTCCGCGAGCAAGTGCTTCATCCGCCAGTGAAGGGAAGGCTCAAGCCTAGTGCCGCAACTTTCGGGGAAACACTTTGCTCAACAGATCTGCTTTTTCTCGGTCTCGTCGGAATAGACAACGCGACATGCACCAAGTCATCATGACTAGATCGATTTCAAGCAGGACTGACCTCGGCTGACCAAGACTGTTGTGGATTGAGTGAAATAGGGGCAAGTCACCCACAAAGAACACAACGGCTTTGAACGGCTTTGTACGGCTTGGTGGAAGACTCAGAGAACGAGTGTCGGAATGATACAGCCCTGAATAAGTCACTCCTGGTTCGGATAGTCACCAAGGTATCCATACAAGAAAGGCCAAAGCAGAACGGTGTGGCTTGTGCATGTGTACAACTTCTTGGTGCGAGCAAGTGGAAGATGATTTTTGTGGCCGCGTCGGATGGACCAAAAAGCCAGAGTTATGGAGAAATCAGGACGAAAGTGCAACGTGAGGATGCGATTGGATCTGCACCATCTGCACTGAAGATTAAAGAATCTGATTTCGAGAGGGTCGAGACTCGAGCCCCAAGCCGGCGAGGCAGCCGGGCGCAGGCGGGAGCCCAAGCGTTCCCTTAGCTGTGGACCTGAGGAAAGCGGCGTCAATACGGAGCCATCGGAAAATTTCCAAGTGCAAGTCGGCAGGTTCCACTGTCGCTAAAGGACAACCTAGGAGAATTAAAGACAGCAAGAGTGAGCTCAAGCCTCAGACGAGATCCAAGGCAACTTTTGATTGCAAGCGAGGGTGGAAAATGATGTTGATTTTTGGAAAATGTTGTGTCGTGAATCGTGATGCTGACAGGCTTTGCCAGGATGGACGGAAGCGCTAAAGCCTGGCCCCGGTAAAGGGAAATTACTGTCTTTGATTTCGTGCTGCAGGTCAGAATCCCATGCGAGCGTCAGTGGCATGGATGGTCAGGTGTTGTCTTGGGGGACCACACCCACGTATCAAGGTTGATATCAACATGTTCAGCTGTATACTACATTTCAAATACTTGTTGTACCTTGGGATGATCAAGAGGTCAAAATCCCCCCTGCATGAGAGTCGGCATCATCGAGTTCTGATTCGTGTAAATCGTAGATGTACCCACGCGCTTTTGAAGAGAAGTCGATGGTAGAGCGGAAGCGTGTAATGGGCACATGTGATTCGCGAAATGGTGGGGGTGTGGTGATGTACGAGTAGTAGGGAGCACTCGTACGGATAGGTGCATGGGGGTTCAGGCAAGGGAAGCAGTTTCACCTGGTCAAATCCGCTGCCTGCAGAAGTGGATTGCACCTCAGCTGCCTGTGGTGGTGCAGAAGCAACCGCCACACCTGCAGGTACAAATTATGTAGACTGGCCAGTGGTATTGAGTATCGTCTTATAGCCGATAGGGGCAGTCGATCTGAGAGAACACCGACTGTTGGTGCATCTGTTGCGCAACAACTACATTACGGGGGGTTAGAATGCACTCCCACCGTACGCGCGCACACCTGATCAAGCCAGTAGAGTTGATGTTGATAATGTTGGTGGCATCAAGGCCAGCGCAAAGAGTTGGGCTCAAGTTTATGCGGAGAAGTTGAAGACCACGGGGAAAGGTGTGCAGGTCGAGTTTCTCGAGACGCGCGCTGTTGACTGTGAATGGTGCAATCGGTCGTAGGAGTAAGAATGATGCATCATCCATCCTACCCGTAGGCCGTAGCTGGGAGAGGCACGACATGCGAGACACGATTCAAAGCCGACGAGTCGCGGGGCTCTATCCGTACCAGTACGAGTCCAGGCATGCCAGTCAGAGCCAAGTGCCTTGCAGGCTCGGAAGGGGGAGAAATTGATGCGCCAGGAAGCAGATCTCCGTGCAACCAAACCCCTACACCTTGAAGATGAAGGGTGATTTACCACGAGGGCCGCGGTCAACATGTCAGTTTGCTGCACGTTCTAATTGCCATCTTTGGTGGTTGAAGTCTGGTTGACTTCTGGTCACGTCCGCGAAGAAGAGCTACCTAGTATCCAGGTAGATGTTGAACTTGGGACAAGACAGTACGTCATGGACTGGAGTTCAAGTTGGGCACCGTCACGTTGAGGTTTGATTTCATATTGCGACTACCTTTTTCGAGTTGCAGCCTCATCCTTGGACAGTCAAGTGCATCGACGGCCCCATTCACTCTGCCAGTTTGGGCGGCAGAGTGTGGCACAGAGAGGGGACCCCGGCCGCCAAAAAGAGGCCGTCTGGGCTGAGAGTGATGCCGAACCGGTTAGCTCCAGACAATCTGATCAATCCCCGTGGCCTGAGAAGGGTAAGGATTAACCTTGGGAGTTTAGACTCTCGTCCTGCACGCTGCAGGTTCTGGGCTAACCTGTCAGCGATGCTGTCGACACACGGTTCCTGCATTGGCGCCGACCTGTTGGTTTGAAGCCATTCAAACCGGGGGCCAATCGAACATGTTGACGCCGCTCGCAATATCAACAACAGCAAAGAGCAATGCGACCGACCACAGTCTCCAAGGTGAACGATGAGATGAAAAGAATATTGGGTTGGGCAATCAGCGGGTTCGGAAAGACAAATCTCGGCCTAGGACTGACTCGATTAGCTCGGCAGACCATCATCCACTATGGGTTAGGTATGAGCAGTCCAGCTCCAGGCGTTTCGTGGGCCCGAGGGGGCCTGGCTCCTGGTGTTCACTGTTCAGCAGGCCTGGTGTTCAGCATCAGTCTTCCCCTCAGCCAACATCACTGCCCAGTGCCCACTGCCCAGGTGTGCTTCAAGTTGAAATACGGAGTCTCTCGTTCCCCTACCGAACGCCTCTTCCGCGGCTCGCTCGGGTTCTGATGTTAGTGAGTCTCTGGGTGTTTAGTAGCTGTGCGGCGCGCCCGTCACCCGTTACCTTTTGGAAGAGACATGGAGGTGTTGGTGGGTTCTCTCGCTCCAAAAGGCTTGACCTGTCCCTTGATCTTTGTCCCCTCCGAGTCTGTCAACTCGAGAGTCGACGAGACCCCTGGTCCTTGCTCCTTCTGCCTGACTCGGCTCCAGCTCAAAGTCAACCTCCACTCGCCTGCTTAGCGGCTATCCACTCTCAACTGCTGGGGCTACTGGTCCCCATCCTGGGTCTGTCCTTTTTTCCTTGTCCACCACTGGCACTGGCACTGGCACAGTCTTTTGTTTCGTTTGGTCTTCGCCTCGAGTTTCGTCAAGCTCGTCCACCACGTCTGTGATCACCTTCAACCTGGTGCTTCGTAGAAAAGAAACCCGCGCTTTGATGCGGCCAACGAGAAACAAAAGGACGTGCGCTTCTGTTGCTCCAGCTGTTTCCGTGTTGCCCTCTACATCATCTCCCAAGCTTCTCCTTGACTTTTCCATTTCCTGAACTCTTCCGTTGTTGAGTCCTTGTATCGAGTACTTGTACGGATACACTGCCACTTTACCGACGACCTCCAACCTGAACCATACCCTGGTCCCCTGCTCCTCGTCAGTCCTCGCCTGAGCCTGATCCTGACCGAGTTCGCCGTAAAATCTAAAATCCCGGCCTAACCCATCCAGCATAATTTCCTCCACCACTACACCTCAACCCCCCAAGACTGCTTCATCCCGTCCGTCTTGTTCTACGACTAACACTTGGGCTTGTCTTCACGCCAGTTTTCCTGCGTCTGATTGCGCCTTGCGTTCATTGTCGGCACCTTCTCTCCAGCTTTAATTCTCCGCTTTCTCTCTTGTCCTTTCTCGAACTAGACCAACTACAACACTCGTTCCTTCCTTTCAGTCCACACCAACTAGAGTCACTCCTTCCTATTTCGATTTCTCACAACAACTTCAACATCGCAGTTTCTCAAGCTCCTGCTTTGTAGGAACCTGGGAACCGACCTTGGTGCAGCATCTTCCCTCTGTGCCCTGGTGCTGCACTCCTTAACCACAACCTACGGATCACTGGAAAGCAGAGGTCGAGAAAAGCACCTATACCTGCACCTGCGATGGTACTTTCATAAACGACTATATCCACTGATCAACCGAAATCATGATGGATCCTAATGACCAAGACCTTTATTCCCAACACCTAGACCAACAGGACCCCGAACTTCAGAGACTGTACAGACAGAACCTTTACAACCAGAATGCATATCTCCAAGCCGCATACCCTGTGAATCTGCCAAAGGACGTCCATTATGCATTCCCTCAACAACACCAGCCACAGGCCCTCTATCAAGACATGTCCTACGGTACATATGTGGTCAACCCTCAACAACCGCTTGATGAATACTACTCCACATCCTACGGCCCCGAATTTGCAGATTTTATGTATCCTATGCAGGATGAATTCGGAGACATGGAGGAGATTTCTACTCGACCTAGATTGACCAAAGAGCAGGTCGAGGTGCTCGAGTCTCAATTCCAAGCAAATCATAAGCCCAATAGTCAGGTCAAGAGGCAGCTAGCCATTCAGACCAAATTGACTCTGCCTCGAGTTGCAGTAAGTGTATCACGTTCGCATATCTTCAACAGGAGCTAACCGAGTTTCCGCAGAATTGGTTTCAAAATCGCCGTGCAAAGGCAAAGCAACAGAAAAAGCAGGAAGAATTTGAGGCTCAGAATGGAGGCACTACGAAATCAGACTCGGATAGCCGCTCAGCCTCGAAAGCTGCATCTTCCACCCCGTCGTCTCCTACTAAATTCTTGTCTTCCCCAATGAGGCAATCTGCACCGCTCTCTATGAGCCAGGATTCTCCCTCCCCAACCAAGCAGACCGACGCATCCAAGGAAGCAAGCTGGGCCTCACTTCAGCGAGCTCTGAGACAAGCAAACGCCGCCCAGATTCACCAACCTCCGCAATTGAACGTAACAATGCCACCACCAGAGCTACCACTGCAGACATCCACCGTCAGGCTACCTCTACGCGTGAATCAACCCATGTCTGCATCCCGGATGTCGTTCATGGATTCCTTGTCGCAAAATAGTGCCAAAGTAGAGCCTTATCCGTCACCCATTACGCTTCAGGATAACACATTTGACTTCGGTTTCAACCAGAATACTTTTGATACGAATGAAATCACAGAACCCATGGACTCCACAACCAACTACTCATCAGAAGCATTTGTTGTTACTCCTGAAGACTGGGAGGAACCGTTGGCGACCCCAAAGACCATAGTTCAAGCCCATGACTCAATGATCGCTTTGCCTTCTCCTGGTCTTACTATGCCGTCGTATCCTGGGTCAAGACGTCAATCCACTACCGAAGAGCTTTCAAACAACTTCGGTAACTTTGCATTGGCAAACAGCTCTCCCCAAATTCTGGCAGCTCGACATGAGTCTGAGCTCATCCGAGCTCCCGAGAGTGGGAACATTGATATTGCCGCACGAAGAAAACGACCTCGACCTGCAGCTTTGACATCTTCCTCATTGCGAAGTCGTTCTTATGGAGCTTTGACATCAGTATCACCAACTTTCCGCCAAGGTATGATGACACCTCAAGCACCACATACAGTCAGACAATCAAAGTCTGTTGGCCATGGTCTTCGTGCCCAATATTCTGGTGTTCGAAAAGCTAGCTCGGCCCAACGATCGCCAGCTCTGGTAAACAGTTTCGCCGAGGCAGAAGCCCTCAGCAAGTTGTGGGAACAACATAAATCTCGCGCACAATCTCAATCGTTGAAGGAATTACCTCAGCCTCTGTTATCCCCCGACCTCGTCTCTGGAAATCAAGTCCATGAGCCGGAAAAGAATCCTTTCTTTGCACACAACATCGAGGTCAGCCGGCAATTTCAAAGACCACTTCAACTCACTACTGCCTCGCCTCCTATCACGCCGATGGCAGCTGAATTCATGAACCGAGGGTTGTCACAGCAATCTTTAATTCCTCCAACATCAGCACCTCCACAATACGCGTCATTTCCTGACTACACCCCGCCATATTCGGCTGGGCCACTGACAAGCAGTAGTTGGTCCGATGCACCTCTCACATCACCAGATGTGCCTTCGTTTCCGCCGGTGACATATGTTCCTTCTTTGGGATACCCACAACAATGTGATGTTCTGTCCAATAATTTCCAACAATTTGTCCTACCATCAGATCCCAACACCGACTATACGTTGGACTCTCAACTTGAGCAGAAAAGAACCGAATTTTTCATTCAAGAGTTCCCCAACCAAAAAAAGGAACACGCTCATGTTGCTCAGCAACTAGCTCAGCAAAAGCCAAGGAGTTATGTTTTCAATAATTCCGCACCTCATGATTATGATCAGGAATAGGTGATTGGTGGACTAGGCTGATTTTCGCTTTGTATTTCTTGAGTTGTACGACTATGATCTTGATCTGATACATTTTGAGCGTGACTGGACGCGCTTGGGGTTTGGGTTTTTGGGGAGGTATTTCTACAAGCATCCCATCAACATTATGGGTGAAAATACAAAACGATTAGAAGAGTGACTATTAGCACAGGCGTCACAGGGACGAATATTCTATCATGTTGAGGATGACCTCCGTGGAAGATTTATGGCTATGGATCAACAGTAATGAGAGGTAACTCAGGGGTGAAGGAATAACAAATAAGCCATGTGGGAAGACTTGCAGGCATACTCAGACTGGATTGAAAAGAGTCTTGGTCTCTATGTAATTTATAACAGATGGGGAGAACTCAGACTTTCTTGATTGACGACTTTCATCCAGCTAATGACAACCTGAGCGATGCTGCGAATCAGATTTCGCACGCGATGGTCAATTTATTACTTATTCTATGAGAATTCTCTTGGATCATCATTGGCATTCCAACGATGGCATCACATTGCATGTCAAGAGTATAGATATGTGACAACCGTAGGCCAGAGCACTTGTTCGACCCAAGAAGAATATCAGTAATGCCATAGAAAGAACTGACCACCCCAATACCTAGGTACTGAGGTAGTGTTTTGACCCAAAGCGTCCGTGGGTGTCTGGTGTCTGGGAACGAGGCTGACAAACTCCTTACGTCTGCCAAGCTATGTCAGTGATGCAAGGCTCCATCCGGCTCCATGCTTCTATCTCGTCATGACTTTCCCCTTCATCTCCATTTCCATCCACAAACCACCCTGTTACAGAGGGTTAGTCGATACTGAAACGTGCCGCAGCTGGTCCATCGCAAGATCACCCCAGATCCGATCGGTTTCGGATGGCTTTAGCTAAGTTGCTTCTGCTGTAGGTGAGTAGGAAGGATCCGAACAACATCCCTTAGCCTCGTCATCTTCATAGCCACCCAATAGCCACTGGCTTCAACGAGATCCTGTGGGACCCTTGCATCCAGATACGCGAAGGACATCATGATGGATAATCATAGCTAAATCCATCGGGCTTCGTCCTCCCGCCAGCGGTTGAGTGTACACCGATCAATTGTCCTGCAACACAACAACAGCATTACTCACCAGTCAACTAACTAAAGCTCAACTACCTACTCATGTGGCCCCAAAAATATGAATGAGCACTACTTGACGTCAACTTTGATACTCAATGAGAAATTACACCATCTTGAGATAGGTATGGTGGGGAAGCTATGGACCAGCCCCGTCTTTCCAGTTGTCAAAGTTGCTGCTTCCACTTTGTAATCCAGCTGTTTGAAAGCCCACATCATGACGTCTCCGCAAGTCGACGGAAGACTGTCCCGGCTTATCCTTCTCATAACACATATTCCCCATGGTTTACTATTTACCGTCATTGATCAAATGGTCGACGTGATAGGCAGACGATCGAGCTTATGATCGGAACTAGGATCTCGCATGCAAAGCTTAGTTCACTTCGGAAGCGATTGCATCTAAAGTCTTCGGACTTTTCAACCGCAGTCATCTAAACATGTTGAAGTGGGTACATTCACCGCCTAATGCTTCCAAGAAGGTTGCCCCTGGTGCCTGATCTAAGGGAGAGATCTACCTGATCGATCCTGGGGAAATTGTTCCACATTGTATCATTTCTACGAATATCCCGACAGGTGATGAATCATCAAGCACAATTTCGAGCTACAGGAGGGTAAGTCTTGGACCCGGGCCAGCTTTGAAGGGTTGACGACATGAATGCGGCACGCAGCCGGTGCCTGTAGACAATATCAAAGCGAGCTGTGTCGACGTCAGAATCAATGTGTAGACTGTTTCGGGAAGAAAGTCATGACGATGAAATCAACGATATGTTGTTCTGAGCACAGGATGACAGTGTGGCTCCCAATCGGAGGCTGACTTATGTCTATATAAACCCTCAACGACCTCGCCTTCAGAAACACTTTCCTCATCAACACTTCAACTATCACAACAACAGCAACTTTACAAACAAAACCAAACCCAAAACTTCCCAACAACCAAAACACAGCTATGTCTGACTACAAGCCCACTGGTATGTTTTCTCCTCCGATCCCATGCTCTCAACAGCCTAGTTTTGTATACCTTGAACGCGGGTCTCCCTATCGTTGTCCTCTCATTATTTTCACATCAAGCATGTGAACCCCATCGTCCAATGTGATCAAGAGCATGGCACTTGATCTCCAACAACCAATCTATATATCTCCACCCCCACATAACTTGTATACTGTTTTGCTGACAATATCAACCCATAGAGCACGACGGTCTCCGCAAGGACGGCCAACCCGATCAGCGCGTCGGAACCGGCGAGTTCGCTCACGGAAAGGTTGACCCCCATGAGGCTGGCAAGCAGGGTGGCCAGACTGGAGGCACCTCGGACAGCAGCTCCGGCGGTAGCTCCGACAATCAGGGTGCTGCCCACAAAGGCGGAGATGGTTTGAGAAAGGATGGTCAGCCAGACCAGCGCTTGAAGCAAAACCAGTAAATTGGGATATTCTCGGAAACATATCGCATCAAGCGAACGAGATATGAGACGAAACTGTAAAGAGGTTTTTGGAGACCTTCACATCCGGTCATTGATGGTTAACTTTAGATATTTGGCCATGTTCAAATAGTCGACAGGTATCTAGAAATGGAATCTTAACCTCGTATTCCATTGTCTTTCTTGCCTTGCAAGCGTAATTCGAATCAGATTAGGTCGATATCGTAACCATATCGACCTAGGATATGTTTCCAGTGGTGTGACCAATCTTTCAATTAGAAGGAATTTGATCACGTTTCTGGGACCTTCTCGTATACTGCATGGGACATCCATCATATCCCCAACAAACTTTCTACACCAGTTTTTCAGACGCTACGTAAATGTAAACCCCTTTCTCCCTATCCATACACTAGCTAGTGGTGAGTTACGCCAAGAACTTTCAAGTTCGGCTCAACATGACACCGCGTGTTGACTCGTTCTCCGACCAGTCAAGACCCTCCACTTCCTTTCCTCCCTCATAACTTTCCTCCGACCACATCTATTGTCAAGCTACCTACATTCGACCAGATTTCCTCATTTGAAGAACAAACCTCTCTATCGTTATCCCATCCTCCATACCGTGGCGCCGATGTTAGTGTCTAGAGGATAGACGAGGTGGAGTTTTTCCCTGCCTTCTGTTTGTTTGATGGCTGCCTGGATTTCGATTTCGATTTCGATGCTGGATCGATATGGACCGAGCATGTTTTGTTGGTAAGCGCTTCTCGGCCCAGGTAGGTCACATAGTAGGTATCCCCTTTGATGCTTCAATGTCCAGCAGATGAGGAATGTTGGAGGGATATAAATATCATCGCGTTGCCTTTGCCAGGTCGATTTCAGGACCACCTCCCATTCTTCTCCAGAGACACATTACAAGGGTCCCAGTCGAATTCATAACTTGACTCGCTGGGCCTGCAGTGGGAATAAACATCACTAAACCATGGCATCGACATCTTCGCCCGTCGACCTCTCGAACCCAGGCCGCCGTCTGCGCGTCGGCGTCATCCTCGTCAACTCGTGAGCGCATTCCAGTCTCCATTCCCATCCCCTGCCTACCTACTTCAATTCCATCAGCCACCTATGAAGAACTGCCCGCCCCTACCCATCCCCACCCAAGTACGTACTAAGGACCCTTTACTACAGCAAGACGGAAATCCTTGATGTTGCGCCCGTGGACATCTTCTCGGGCATCTCCAAGGCTTTCCTCCCCAACCTCCCAGGATTCATGATGAGCGACAAGATGCGCGACGAGGCCCTGGACGTCGAGTTCTTCTGGGTCAACGAAAGCGGCGACCACGCCGAACTCACGGGTGGAATGAGTGTGAAACCTACAGTACGTATAGACATGACCACTTCCAGCGCTGCGCCGTCACCGCCCTCCGCTGACCGCCCATATCTAGCACACATTCGAAACCTGTCCCCCACTGGACATCGCACTGATGGGCGCACACGACGCGGGCTACATGCTCTCACCCGGCGAAATCGCATTTATCCGTAAGACGCACGACGACTGCGCCGCCTTCATCGCCATCTGCGGCGGGTTTCTGTGTGTGCTACAAGCGGGCCTCTTGGCCGGGAAAACGGCGACGGCGCCGAGACCTTTCGTCGCCCATCTGCGAAACAGCAACCCTGAAGTGAACTGGGTCGAGAAGCGCTATGTCCGTGACGGGAAGATCTGGACCAGTGGGGCGTTGCTCAATGGCGTGGATTTGGTGGCGGCTTTTGCAGAGGAATTTTGGGGCGGTGGAGTGGGCAAGGGGAAGGAGAAGGCTGAGCCGAATGATCTTGTCGAGTTTTCGCTCAGGCTGGGCGCCTATCCCAGACGTGACGTCGAGTATAGGGATGTGCCGTGGGTGATTTGAGAGTCGTCGCTACATGGTGTTGTGTTGGGTCCCACCCATCCTCCGAAGACTAGTTGCTGCGTGGAATTTCTCGCTACTCCACTTCCAATTGTCTTTTGACGGATATTACAGGGAATGGAGGACATGGGGGAACGCAGAAATGAAGAAGCCAATGTCTAATAGCAGAGCAGACAGATCGGGCATTCCGTCGAGATACTTCCCTGTTGTTCCTAGACCATTGATCATGAGACAACGTGTACAACCATACCGTTGAACATGAGGCCCCGTGCAGCCGTCTCCAGAGATCCTGCTCAGTTTGAGACGCCACGCTGTATACGACTTAAAGGCCAAGCTAAGTGCCTGACAAGAGGAATCGGTTCAGGAGAAAAAGTGAACTCGATGTTTACAAGATCTCAATATGGTAAGAAGGCCGCCGCGCTTGTATGAGTACGAAATCTGAGCCGAACCTTTGATACCAACCCCCGTCTCTGTGAATTACCATGCTTTATACTTTGAAGTCCTGGTTCACCTTATCGCGACTATGGCGACAAGCTATAATAAATAAATCTGAATCACATCTTTCTAATTTGGGATTCTCTCTACCTTATTCAGACATTTGAGTAGGTGTGTGCGATGTTTGAGAAGCTTCCGCCGAGCGGAAATCGCCACACATGGCCAATGGAAGGTGTAGCACGGCCAGCATTTGAGAGGCGCTTTCGGAGACCTGATGTGACGAGTTATGGCCCAGATATACAACTGCAAGAGGCACGGACAATCTTGTCACTCTGCTTGTCACGTAACCAAGAGGGTGGTGCTTCATACCCTTTGAGGATCCCTGCTTTGCTCATGATTGCCAAAGGGCTGAATCAAAAGACACACATTACTTGAATCATAATTTTACATAACTTGGTCGCTAATATGATCCCCCTCATTACATGAACCTCAAAATCCCTCAAGCCGCCTCCTTCCTTCACTTGTCTCTCGAAGAGCCCATCTGCGTCGCCCATAACGCCTACCTGGTGATCTGACCACCACCATACCACATAGAAGGGCTGACATACAGACCATAGGAATCCGACCGTGAAATGCCGCTCATGCTGGGAGGGGATCTTGGCTTGAACGACTCATGAACACTACCTCCACCACCATCCATGACTTGCGGAACATTATATCGAGGAGCCTGTACCTGAGCCTGCTCGAAGCCAGACTTCCACGTGTGATAGTCCGGCGGAGAACTCGTTGGAAATGATTTCGGATCTGATACAGTAGACGTAGGCGAGGAGTCAAAGAACTGAGGAAGGCCATTCTTGTTCTTCCGCCCGATCGTCTCGCGGAACCGGATCCTCTCGCCTTCACGCTCGCGCATATCCAACGCCTTCCTCCGGCGCAGATAGCTCATCCATCCGACACCGAGGATCAGCGTCAACATGCCGCTGATGGTCCAGTAGATCCAGAAAGGCTGCGTGACGACGATCGGCTGTGGGGAGGTTTTGTCCGGGGATGAAGGGATGGGGAAATTGAAGATCGGAGTGTCGAAGAACGAGGCGACGAATGTGCCCGGGAGGAAGAGCAGTGACACGAATGCGATGGTCATCATTGAGGTGTTGGTGTTCTTGCCTTGCCGGGCGAGTTCGTTGTTGAAGTCGGCGATTGCCAGGCTGGCGCGCGAGTCGCGCTGCGTGGTTAGTTGGAAGACAGACGTCATGGCGTTATGCAATCGTTCGCTCAGTGAGTCTGCGTCGAACAGGTGCACGAATGTGTAGTCCCACATCACGTCCATAAAGGCATCGAGTTCTTCGCATTCTCGGAGGAGTGGGTCGTGGATTTGACCTTTGGATAATGGAGATAGGGAAGAAGAAATTGTGGAAGATGGCGAGGATGCTTCGAGACTTTGCCTGTATTTTGCATTACATCTAGAAATGAACTTGATTTGTTGTTGGAATGTTCTCAGTCTGAAGCGGATGTTGGTAAGCTTCCCAGCGAGGACATTGAATCCTTCGACGGCATGATCGTGAGTCTCTCCTACTCCACTTCCTGGAATCATTCTATCAAGAACCCAGTTCCAAGTGGGAAATCCGATTTCTTGTTCAAGTGCAAGTGTCTCTCGATTCATGTCGTCCAACATATCGAAAGTGAAGCGGAGTGAGACTTTCGTCTTGACATATCCCAGCAGCATTGGATGGGCAAGGTGAGATTGTAATCTTATCAGATCTGCGAGTACTTCTTCCCTTCGCTGATCACCATCACCTTCCCGGTGAAACATTACTGCGGCTGTATGTTTCAACGCAGGACAATGAGACCACGTTATCGTCCAACTCGTACCACTACAGTAGTATTTCGTACAAGTTTTAGCGGTAGTTTGAGTTGCAGTCTTGCATAATTTCGATGTCGACGTCGCAGGAACACAGACGAATGTAATATGTGCTTTTATATAAGCTCCAAATGCCGCTAAAGGGAAGCCCATTCCAGAAAAGACATCATTGATGAATTCCAGTTGAGCATTTCGTTCAGTAGTCTGAGGTCGGCCAAGGTCGAATGTCTTCTGAGGTTGAGTCATAGATAACGAAGGAGGACTATTCTTCTTGACTGTTGATTGGTTGTGGGTTTGTATCAATAAAATCTTCATACTTGGGTCGTCTGGATTTTTCTTATGACATCCAGGTTGTCGGAGCCATTGGATGATATCTTGAGAAATGATTGATCGACTACAAGGGGTCGTCATAATAGTTGAAGTAGAATCATCATTCCCTTCCTTCGAAGAACGTGGAAGTTCGAAGGTTTCCAATTTGTGATGTCCATTATATCGGTCGAAATCGGCAGGAGAAATGATGAGGCTGTCGAGACTGTGTGCGGGCATAGAGTGCAATTGTTCTGACTTCTTAGGGCCAAGACTGGGGATATATAGTGTAGCGAAGATGAGGAAACACTTTTGGCCATTATGGAGGGCAGTCGCTCTGTTTATATTTTCATTTTAGTATGTCAAATTTCATGTCTCTGTCCTATTTGCCCTGCCTTGTCTGCGGAATATTCAGTCGCCTGATCGGCAGTCTCCGATAGACATCAGTACATTTGGGGCACGATCAATCGAATTAGTTCGACGATTTTCACAATTTGAGTCAGAGACTAGATTATTAGGATGTTTGCCTGGAAATCCGGCCACAACTCACTGAATTCCTGCTTTGAATCGCGGCTATTTCGGGTTCGCGAACCAATCTAAGCATTGGAAAAGGTCCAGAATACCTACCTCATATGCATAGTCCTAATGGTGTTTCTGGGGAAGCTTGTAATATGGACAATGTTGTTGACTCGCTTCTCTGTGGCGTGGGGTTGAGCCTGTAACGAGGATGAGTGGGAAGAGTGGAAGGTAAGTCAGGGTCTTCAAGGCCACATGTCGCAGGTGCCTACCTGTATGACGGCAGGAAGGCTGTAATAAGAATTGCGCTAGAGAAGCACGAAACTGGTGCTGTGATTGGCTGTAGACGGACCTCTATCTAAGTTAGCGTGGGGTGGTCGACATGTTGCTGTGCCTGGTTCTTCGTCTTCTGCGAGTAGATGGAATCCTGGGTCTGTGTAGAAGGTCTCCAGACTCTTTGGTTCATAGTAACGGGGCGTAAGGCAGCCGTGAGCCTCGCTTATTTTACGTTCTTCTAGGTTGCTCTAACATTCCACCCTCTGAGAGCAAATGCGAGATGACGTGTCTCATTGTGTGCCAAACGACCTAATGTTCAGCTGTGCAAGTGGAACAATCGACGTGTTTCCGTCAATCTAGTGTGACAAGAGTTCATAGGTCCAAATGGAATACATCGACTAAATCCAGAATCAAGAACTCGCATATGATTCCAAGAAAGGGAACAAAGTGCGCTTAAGTATATATACAAACTGTCATACCACATCCAATCATTAGACCCATGGTCATGTAGCTAAATAAAAAGCATCTAAACGGCCAAAGCGCAAAATGAGGCTGCTAGTCTCGTGATAACTAGAAGAATCGGTGTGACCGACCTTTGCCCGTTTCGTTGACTGGTTCGTTTTCTGTAAGGAGAGAGAAGAAGAGTCAGAATGATACCATCAAATGCAACAGTGCCATCTATGGATTTCTGGGGTGGAATAAATGAGGAAGAGAAAAACAAGACTGGAACGAGCCAAGGCGATAAAACAACGCTGGTCGTAGATGAAATTTTCCCACAAATCCCCGTCCATACTCGACATCACCTAAATTTCCGTACCTTGTGTTGCCACGGGCTTCCGTTTGAAAAGCTTCCTCATACTGCCAGATTTCTCTTCAGTAAGAGGTTGCCCTTCTACCACATCGGCTCGTTCGTGGGAAGGCCATCCGCCTGGTACGGCTTCCATTTCGCTCCGGCCTTTTGCAAGAACGCTGTCATTACGTGCGTTGATCAGTGCTGCTTTCTCTGCGTTTTTAGAGGGGAATCTTCGGTCGATGGTGGAATTTAGTGTTCCTCGCAAAGTTTCACCCACTCCCTAAATTCTTCCTGTCAGTCTCTTCCCGGTCGAACATAATCCTCGAAAGTAACTCACATGGATGCCTTTGGCAGCAGCCATCAGATCGTTCATCGTGCCTTGATTATGTCGGACTGGTTGATCTGTTGTCATAATTGAAGGTGCTACTGAACTTGATGGTGGTGCTCGACTAGGATAGCTGAAATTATGCCTCGATGGGCTGGCTGGAGGTGTCGATCCTGTTGGCCCATGGAAGCTACCAGGAAGGTCAACAGGACTTACTGGATCCCGTTCATAGTATGATTCTCGCTGGATTTCTCCGGACTTTCGCATAGCACTTCGAGCAGGAACTGGGGGAGACTCATTTGGACGGAAGCCGCCACCTATTACTGGTGGTGGGGCTTGCTGGGTTGTGTTTGTTGATGTAATCGCAGGCTGCGGTGAATGAGTTCGACCATTGGATCCAGCGGGCATTTCTAATAATGGAGGTCGTGCGGGAGCTCCTAGAAGAGGAGGTTGTGAGGGTTCTGGCAAAGGAGCCCGTGCTGGAGTCTCGGCCAAAGGAGGTCGTGCGGTATCCATCCCAGAGTTTGGGTGAACCTCTTGTGTAACGACATCTTTCTTGACATCTTCATGTCTCTTTCCGCCTCTTGTGGTAGTGGTAGTGGTAGTGGTTGTCGTGGTTGTGACGACTGTGACAACCTCTCCAGTATCCTCGTCGAAAACCTCTCCCGTGGAAGGCTTGAGAGCAAGGTTTCTGTTCTGGTCAATGTTTCCTATCTCGCTGTTCTTTTCGGCAGGGACCATCTCGTTAGGTGTGTGGGTGCCATGGGCGCCAGTGGCACTATTGGCTTCGCTGCTGCCGTAGGCTGAGTCGGGCAAGTCTGAGGAACGGGGTTCTGGGGTCTTTTCACGTTTCCCAAGAAGACGACCCAGCCCACGAGATTTCTTCTTCTCGTCGACTGGAGTGGCCGAGCCTGACATGAACGATGCCGAGTGCGACATCTTGGATTCAAAGGATGTGAGTTGAGATGCTCGTGAGAGAATTGGTGGCAGGAAGACAAGAAAGATGTCAAAAGTGATCAAAAGATGTGAGTATTCGCAAGCTAATGGCCATCTCTGGATCCTTCATTCCAATTCATGGCTGTCGTGGTCCCACCCTCCATCCAAGGTTTGGAGAGTGATGATATGATGTCACTGCTGCAAGCCACGTACTCTTAGCGCCCCGAGAACCGACTAATAGATGATCCGGGTGGTTCATCGGAAATCACAGCCACAGTCGCACAGCCACAGGACGCCACAGGTCATGAGGATCTGCAAAAGACTATCTACCCACAAGCGGGAAAGCGAGAGGAGTCGTGACATATACAGCACTAGTCGGAAGAAGATGGCGATATCAAACCTCTTCGACGAATACTGGCATAAGCAGCATTCAACTCAATCTCAACATCACAACGGCATTTGATTTCACATATCAATGGCCACGTACTTCTCTCCCCTCTAACACTCCATTTTTCTATCGATGCCGTTGTAGGGTTGTCAAAGAGACTGACAAGATCGTAGAGGCCCAAAATCGGAGTGATTGATACCTTGGACCATGACGCGATGCTAGGGACCACCTCATCTATCAAAACACGTTGAAGAGATGTTGGGAGAAGGCCCAGCCGGTTCCATGTTTTCATCCAGTGTAGTAATTCGGAGAAAATGAGTCGAACGACAATTCCAAACGGCTGATGATAGTCTGCCCACTTCTGAACCTGAATGAATGGTGCAACATATGGTCTTGTCTGAGAAACTATGAAGTGATTGACGTTGAACAACTCTCCTATGCGTTGTAACGGCGCCTCAGGATGTACTGAACCAAGCTTTTTGCTTTTGTTAGCAGCAAAGTCGGCAGCAAAATAAGGGACCACTGCTCCTGTATCACTTTTGCAGAGTAACTGTACTGGCGCATACATCTGCTTCGAAGTCGCAATGGAAGCCACCACTGCTGACCATATCAAAACATGTGGAGCTGTAATGTAATTGAGAAGTTGGGGCGTGCCAGCTACTTCAGCCATGGCAATGGTGATATTCAGAATTCTGCCTGTTTTGGCATATGCTTCCTCAAACGTTATGTCTTTGAGATTGTCTCTTACACATTGCCCCAGTACAACAATGTCGAAGAAATGCCTAGTTGCGTGATATCGTTTGTACCGTCGGCGCATTGTCGTCAAGAACGGCGATCTTAGCCAAGAACTCAAACGGCTAGTGGAGCGTTGAAGTCGAGCGCGAACAAACGCGTCGAGATTGATATCAGAACCCCGACACATTGTGGGAAGGTCGGTATCGGTGGTTGTGCAAACAAGAGCGGCGACTAATGCCCCCGATGCTGTGCCTGTGATGATTTGAGGGAGGAGTCGTTGTTCGAAGAGGACCTTGACCACCCCTAGATGTGACATGCTCACCATGGCGCCTCCCTGAAGCAGCAAGCTCGTACGGCCAAGAGTTCTGCGCATATCATGCAAAACCTGTCGTTTTTCTTGAATTGGAACAGGAATATTGCCCAGGTTTGTGGAATTCCGGTCAGCCAAGTAAGCAATGGACTGACGAAGCTCAGTGATATAGTCATGTATTAGTCGTTTGGTCTGGACTGGAGACTTTCGATAAAGTGCAGCGGATAATATCCCACACATATTGCGAGCACTCTGAGCCCTGAGATGACTACAAAGGCCCCAGTCGTCGCCGAGTTGACGACATCGCTCTAGATCACGTTTGAGACCGCGCAAAATCTGCCAGTCGTAGGCTGAATGTCTGTCTATGATGGCCCAGTCATCGACACCACGTATAGCATCGCGTTCAGCATGCCATTCGTGCCAGTCTTCGTAGTTGGATGGTGGGCTAGGCTTGGGACGAGGTGTCTTGGTCCATGGTTCTATCCAGATAACGATGCAAAGGCAACGGAGGAAGCCTAGCACTGTGGCGATAAATCTAGACATGAGGTCCATGGTAAACACAGACTGCGGATCAACATTTTCCAAAACGAACAATTTGATACGATCAAGTTTGTGATACAAATAAGAGAGAATGATGGTGAACATGTGAACAGGTCAGCAGAGAAACTGTTTCACATGCTTGCCAAGGGAGGAGCAATGAGGTTTTCGGGCAAAGCTCCCGGCAGGCGGCACCCCGGGAAGTCGCTTGGAGTCAGCACCTGGGAGATACGCAAGGCTCTGGAGTAATAGGGGGGCTTTGGGCAGTCTCAGTCTTAGCCATCTGCCAAGAGCCGCCCTGTTAGCCTTGCAGCGAATCTCCAATAATGCCATGTCTCAATTAAAAGTCTCATGACATTTTCACTACTTGCAGGAGGCAGAGCTCCTGGTATATATCGGCACCTGCTGGTGCAAATCATTGATAATCTCCTGCGTTCAAGGTAAACATGAAGCTCACAGTGCTCAAATCAAACAGCCAACTTCCAACTTTCTTCTTGTCCATTCCCACAGTCTCTGGCGCTCTATGCGCATCTTGCGCTCAACTACGACTACGATTGCGACGCCTCGACTCACCAACCAATTCTCCCCGTCAACAGCGATCCTTTTCTATCCTCAACCGCCCTCCGCCCAATTATCCTGGCCATGTCCCCTTGACGAGTGTTGAGCGCGTGGGACTAGCCGTGGGCAGTGCCCTCACATCGTTAATCAATCCCTACCGGCATGATATGGTTGCAGCATGTGGAGAGGCTACAGCACAGCCATTTTTCATATCTTGGTTGCGAAATCGAATGCTTACGGATCCAACCGGCAGACGAATCCTACGTGACCGCCCTCGGATCACATCCCAAACGTTACCCTTGGAGATGCTACGGCAGTTACCAGAAGATAGTGTAGGAAGGACATACGCAGCTTGGCTAGATCGTGAAGGAGTGACACCAGACACGAGAGATGCCGTAAGGTACATTGATGATGAAGAGGAAGCCTACGTGATGCAGAGATATCGGGAATGCCATGACTTCTACCATGCTGTCACCGGACTGCCTGTCTGGGTTGAAGGGGAGATAGGATTGAAGGCCTTTGAATTTGCCAACACCGGACTTCCCATGACCGGACTAAGTCTGGCAGCCATTATTCGACTGAAGCCCGCGGAACGCCAAAGGATGTTTCAAATTTTCCTTCCATGGGCTTTTGCCAATGGATGGAAAAGCAAGGACCTTATCAATGTGTACTGGGAGGAGGAGCTCAAGACTCCGGTTGTTGAGCTGCGACAACGACTTGGGATTGAGCAACCGCCCGACTTGCGCGCCATCCGGAGGAAGCTTCGGGACGAACGCAGAGCTGCAAAAGCCGCACGGGAGGCCGCGAAGAGTAATGCTCAGGCGACGTTTAGTTCGACCGTGTAAATATTGTAACTGGGATGGGTATCATGTACAAATTTTGAGGAGTTCAGTAAGGAGGATGCAAGCGCGAATCATGAATCTTTCAAGAGGTCGTCAAGATCATCATCGTCATCCCACCCTCCTCTTCGCACAACCTTGACGCTTTCTAGAGTTTGTCCTGACTGCTTTTCATGTTCCGAGAGACTGGCTAGCATGTCCTTGAGTTGGTCTTCGGTGACTTTGGACCGCAATTGACCTGAGCGGGCGAGTGTTATGAGTCTGTTCTCGACATCGGTGGCTCGCGATTCCTTGACCAGACGAATTCTGCCTAACCTATCCTGGGCTTCGGGTTCGAGGATTTGGTGGAGGATGGAGGACCGTGCTTCGGATTCTTGCTTCCTACAATTCTGTCAGCCTCGGTCTTGTCAATTCACCTAAATACCACAACAGACTTTTGATCATCGTCGTGACCCCCATCTCCAGTTGGGCCTCCACCTCTACCACCACCTTGTTGTTTTAACTGGGCGAGCCGGGCGGCTCTAATCTAAAGGAGTGAGTAATGGTTCGTGAGCCTGATATGAGAAAGCAGAATCACCTGGGCTAGCTCGTCATCTGCCATTTTTCTGTGGTCTTGGGAGAACGAAGCCGACTCGAAGTCGGACTATGATGGCACAGGATGAACAAGTTTTGTGGTGCGGGGCATTGAGGATGATCACGTGGGGAATGAGGCTGGTGATCATCTTATTACGGAGTAGTGTGGCTAACCTATTGATCGCCTAGCGGCAATGACACAATCACTGGCAGGTCGTTCCTTCCTTCTCCACATCCACGCCCGTTGGGTTTAATCTTGGGTAGGAGCCATTGAACTCCAGGCGGTCTCATCCTGTCGCTCCTCCCCGTTGTGCACCTTTTCGAACCCCCCCGAAGGCCACTTGGGCAAGTGCATTGTTGATGTGGATTTTCGACGCTCCATGTGGCAACTGCTATCCGTCCTCTATCCGCAGCCCAGCTTCCAAGTCGTACTCGTTTCCTTGAATCCCCAGGTCTGAGGTGTCCCATCCCCCAATTTCCAAAGTATCTCATCTCTCTCATCACTATCTCCGTCTACCTCGTCACTCCACCACATTCTATCTCAATAATAATATCACTTCCTCTCAACAATACTAGACACGGCAATACTCAATATCTTCGCCATCCCGCACGTCGCCATGATTCACTTTCGTGGCTCGTCCTGACCAACCACCACTTCTGCAGTGCTGTTCTTCTGGACCGCGGCTACTCTTTCGGGTCCAGCCATGCATTGTACTACTTTGACTGCCTTGACATCTGCATAAGCCACATCACTGTTATTCATTCCCACCACTGTCACTGCGACGAGCCGTCTGTCAGACTCGGACGCTCCCTACTCTCAGATGCACTCTTGGGTATATCATGGAGCTCTCCTAGGTCCCCATGCTCCTTCCCATTCACGTTCCATCTCGCTCGGACCTGCCCCCGTCCTCTCGCCACGCGACAACCTTTCAAAGGCAAAGTCGACTTCGGCCTTACGTACAATGGCGACCACCAATGCCGAGTCGGACTCAAATCACCTGCAGTCAGAACCTCGCTCTTCTGAGCCTCAGGATGGCTCACCCGAGACCTCCTTTCGAACAATTGTAGATCCTCGCACCGCAAGTACCGATGATCTTTCCAGATCCGACTCCTCGTCTTCTAGACACCCCGATCTCAACAGTGAAGTTGCTACATTGAGCGACAAGCTTATAAAAGCCATAAATCATCAAACCACCTTAGACGACACCCTTTCACAGACAAAACAAGAGTTAGAAGCATCAAGAGCCAGAATAGCACAGCTAGAAGCAGAGGCCAGAGCCCATGAAGCTAAAATCAGTGGAGGGTTCCTCATACCAAAACAATCGGCCGATGACCGAGTCAACAAAATTTATGCGGATCTTCTCGAATCCAATCGCCTGAAGGCTCAGGCCCAACAGGAGAAAAGAGGAATTGAGTCAGAGTTGGAGACCTTGACTGCCTCGCTCTTCGACGAAGCAAATAAGATGGTCGCGAGCGCCAACAGAGAACGCGACGCAGTCGAGAAGAAGAACCAACAACTTCGGGATCAGATTCTGGATGGTGAGGCTGTAATAGCCTCACAGACCGAACAACTCACCGAATTAAAGTCTCTTATGCAACAGATAGGTCCCAGTCCTGATTATCGCAAAGAACTAGATTCTCCTAGAGTGTCTCTTGCTCCCTCAAGCCCTGGAGTCGCAAGAGACGAAGGCAATCTGGCCCGACTTCTCGAAGCAATGAATCTATCACCTGTCACCCTTGAACATGGAGAATTGGTTCCTAGTCCATCTACTCAACTGACACACTTGGTCAGACCCATGTGTCGAACGGATATCCCCGCCTATGAAGACTTCAAGACCTTGGTCCAAAATTCCCACTTTCGGTCCCACAATCCCTCACATGCCCCTTCAAGAGCCGGTTCAGGCTCTTATGGCGGTCTCAATGTCATGGGTCTTGGGTCAATGAGCAATAATTCAAATTCAAACCTCTCCCAACTTCCTCAACCTGCCACTTCAAAACTGGCCAATTCTCCAAACATCCCTGGCTCGTTCAGCCCCAACCCAGAACAACCAAAGGGGCCCATACCGCTCAAAGATAGCAAGTTTTTCAAACGTATCCTCGCGGAAGATATTGAACCCACCCTTCGTTTGGACCTGTCTCCTACCTTGTCATGGCTCAATCGCCGAAGTATTCTATCTGCCTTTGGTGACTCAACCCTCATTGTGGAACCAATTCCGGAGGCTTCATTGAAACTATATGGCAAATATACACCTTGCGCCTTATGTGGTGAGAATCGTAAACAAGGAGAAAACGCCAGAACCCATGCCATGAGAGTGCGTGAAGGTGAAGGGGCCACTAAATGGTCTATTTGCTGTCTCTGTCTGACAAAGGTAAGGGGTGTTGGTGATTTGGTGGCTTATGTGAGAATGGTTCGCGAAGGAGTTGTCAAGATTGGGGATCAAAGGGATGAAGAGGAGGCTTGGGAAGAACTGGTTCGATTGAGAGAAAAGCTCTTCTGGGCACGCATGGCCGGTGGAGTTGTTCCTGCGTTTATTCCCACACCGAAACAGACGCCTGTGGATGATATAGGTGAGGATGAGAAGGAAAACAGTACTTCTGATCTTCCATCGGCGTTGACTCCCGATAACGTTACTACACCACCAGCTACTGGCAGCCAGGAGGGTTCAGACTCTGGTAAAGAGGAAACCCCTTCCGAAAAAGCAGCTCGTTTGCAGCTTCAACAAGGCCTCGATGATTCACTCACTACATTCGACAATGTCAAAGACAAACGACTAAGCACACCTCCGAGTACTCCTAGCCCTCGAAAGTTAAGGGATCGAAGCACGGAGGGTGATTCGAAAGAGGGATACTCTTTTCCCAAAATCAATATTCCACGCTTGCCTGTTGGTTTCTGGGACACACAAGTCAACACACTGCACTAGGAGCGTATAGCCACAATCAAAGCTATCCCGAGATTCCTGGGAAGGAAATACATCTGATGACACTGCCGGCAATTTTGGCTCAATTTTATAAGCAGGCCATATTCCTTTGGTTTCTAAACCATGCGGAAGAGAAGATCAAGCAGATTCTATGTACTATATTTTCACAACCGTGTGGTTGTCTGGCTACGGCTATATAAAGTGATTCATCACTACGACTGGGAGAGCAAACTGTATATCATTTATTACGCTAAAATATTCTTATGGACTCGAGCTTCTTTCTATTATGGGTTTCCACTTTCATTTTCATGCTTCTGTTGACCCTCACTATCTACAGCAGATGTGTCTCGCTTTAAGTGACCCTGTATAAATGTCCAAAGAAGGACGATGTGTCCATAATCCGAAGTCGTCTTCACCACGGAACCGTAGCCTATATCCTGATTTACTAATTTATGACCTCCACTACTTACCTGGCGCGAGAGCCTGTCTCCACCTCAGTACAGTAGGTACCTGCTCCTTGTACTCCCTTGCGATTTTAATATCGGCTAGTTCCCCTTTTTGGACGATAATGCCGCCCCACTTCAATATTGTACAGAGCCAACAACTCCCACAGTCTTCAAGGATGTCCTCTCCAATCCGCACTTCTCGGTAGCATGACAGGCTAGGCGTCTCGTGGACAAGAGTACAGCATATCACGGCTTAGAGTAATCCAGAGGATGCTGGCTCACGAGTCCTTGAGACTCGGGTGTTCCCCGCATTTCATTTTCCATTCAGGCCTGGACTACAGCCGTTGAGATATGCCACCCTTCGTATTCATTCGCTTGTCCCTTGGAAAAGCGCATGCAGAAAGCGTTCCCACTACTGTACCTCGCACCTCGTCTGCTTTTAAATAACGCTTATTCGCGTTCAGGCCGGACTGCTTGGGATGACGAAGAGCGGGGTTTATCCAGAACCCTTGATCGATGCCAGGCCTCCAGTTAAGTAGTTTAAGTCCAGGAACCGGCTATTCACCAAGCATCGAGGGATTACAGCCGGGGGGTGGATAAAGTAAGCAAAAAATGCAGGTAACTCGTGTTCCCCTATCCTCTGTGCACTCTTCTTCTCGTTCTGCTTTTCGTCCGTCGTTCTGTCCGGCCTCGTATACGCCGAGGCATTTAAACTCGCTGCTACTGAGGCTCTCTACACCTTGACACATATCTTGCAATATCAATTTGATCAATCAAACCCGTTTGACATCGTCGCCTTCCGGTTGATTATAACGCTTTGGCTTCTATACTATAGCTACATCAGAAGCGGTGCTACAATTGAAGCTAATAGCGTCGACATTTTGTGGAGTATTCGATAGCCCGGAACGGAACAGAGTTATGGCAGAAAATACCACAAAGCCTGTCATTCTAATCATTCCAGGCTCCTTCTCGCATGCCTCGCACTACTACGTCCTAACCGACAAGCTCAAGGAGCTTGGCTACCAGACATTTGTCAACGCGCTGCCATCGACGAGCCGCGACGATCCCGAGGAGCCTGTCAGTCTCCAAGAGGACGCCGTGTTCTTCCGCGGCATCATTGAGAAGCTCGCGGACAGGGGCCACGATGTCGTTGTCCTGATGCACTCATATGGTGGACAGGTGGGAAGCGAGGCTGTCAAGGATGTAGGCAAGGAGGAGCGCCAGAAGGCTGGGAAGAAAGGGGGTGTGGTCAAGTTGATTTACCTCACGGCGGCTGTGCTGGAGGTTGGCTCGTCCATGAAGAGTGAGTCCGGGGATCCACCGCCTGGATTGGTCGAGATCAGTGAGGTGAGAGATAACACTATCGATCCCCAAGTTCAAATCCCCCCTTATACTGACTGACTGAGAATAGACCGGATATATGCGCATCGTCGGCGTCGAACTCGTCGCCAAAGCCGCCTTCTCAGACGTCGAGTTTCATAGGGCCGTCGACATAGTGAGGACCATGCCCAAGCATTCCTCGCTTAGCTTCGCCGGCGAATTGACCTATCCCGGATACAAGTATATCCCGGCATCGTACATTTTCTGTGAGAATGATTATCTCGTGGTGCCGGATGCACAGCGTAAGTATATCGACAGGATCAAGGCGGCGACGGGAAAGGAGGTCGATGTGCATACTCTGAGTACCGGGCATGCACCAAATCTCAGTGCACCTGATAAGTTGGCGGAAGTCGTTGTTGGGATCATTACGGGGACTGCGTCGGCTTGAATGGTCGAGTTGTAGAGTCCCCCCATGGCGGAGAGAGGCATACGATGACGAGGTCCACAGGGTTATTGCTTTGGTACAAGAATTTATCTTTAAGCGTCCCAATTTCGCTCTTGGAAGATCTCACTCCAATCCACTTGTTCAAAGTCGGCTATGCCAAAGCCCCCAGATACGAAAATGTCCGAAACATCATCGAGATTTAAGAGTGATTCAAAATCAACCCCTTTAGCCCGCGAATAGTCGATTCCGCCCCAACTCGAGCCCGTGATAACGGCAGGTTTTTCGGATGAATTAAGTTGCTCAGGAGCTGCAATTTGTTCTGGCTCTGTTTGGGCGTTGTTGGCGTTCACTTGTTCAGAGGCGATAGCAAGAGATTCGTCTCCTTCTAGATCAAGATTTTTGTTCCGTACTAGCTCCAAGACCGAGACAGCATAATGAGCTTGGGGATACATTTCTTTGAGCCGAATCATTGCCTGCATAATCTGTTCAATATTTTGATTTGTGGTCCCATGTACAGACGATAATGATGCCGACCGTGAGTCTTTGACAAGCTGCAGTCCTGCAAACAGGAGAGCGGTCAACCCAATTGGTGGCAGAAATCGTAACAGGTCAGCGCTGTTTAGATACTCGGCGATTTCCGAGATGCGCATTGCAGCTCTCCGGAGTGTTTGATGGGAGAATGTCTGAAGTGCCTTTGCGGCCGAATCCTCTGGGTGGACGCTCAAAGTCTGTGGGCGATGCACCAACCCAAGCACATTAGAATAAACCATCTCTAACACCGCACTATGAACGGCGACAAGTGTACTGTTCCGCGATGGATCTATGTCGACTGACTGGTGTAAAGCCGTGCATGTATCATCACCCCATTCGCGTAGCTCTTGGTCTCTAGACATATACTCGGCACTAGCAGAGCTTGAAGATTTGGGCAGGAGGAATAGTTTTGACCTCAAAGACGCTATGCTTCGATGGCTAGTCCATTCGTACTGGGTGTGCAGAATTCGTGCAATGAGGATAGAAAGTTTGATTTTCTGGAAACAGAATTGCATAAGAATCTGGGACTGTCGTTTGCAGTCTAGGACTTGGAGCCGGTCAAGTGCCTTTGAAAGACCTTCAACATCAAGATCGTCAATCAAAAGTACTGGGAAATCGCTCTCATTCCACGGAGTACTAGGTGGTTGTCGTTCACTGAAAGATATCAATTGGTCTCTCATCAAACAGCACCACCATATACGACGCCTCAGTTGTTGCTGAGCGGCTGGAAGGGCTATGAGACTGGAATGGTGAATGAGACCAAGGTCTGTGACAAACGATAAGGCGATTCTCATCCAATGCGAGCGCCGCTTTGGATCCTCTATCTTGTCGTACCAGTATGTCATGAGAACGAGTATTTGAATCAGCGTCAAAGAATCAGTCTCAAGATCTGCGTCGTACAGTGTCTAGCCTGAGGGGTTAGCAATAGTGCCCTTCAAGGAAGTTTCTATGGTATCTCAACAGCTTACCCTTACTTTACTGTAGAACATTCTTCGGGCCTGTTCATGCGACTTGAATCCTTCTCTTTCAAGAACATCGATATCAACAAAAGTTGACCCAGCGAACATGACTGCTTGAAATAGCGTCAAGCTCACTGTCCTTGACTTACCGTCGTCCTCAATTGCAGATAGGAACTCTCCAAGATCCAATAGTGGTAGGGAAGGGTGGACATAACAAATATAAGCTCGGAGCAGACTCTCCCTAAATGCTCCTTGAGGGACAGAAAGCGCTCCTCTCCAGTGCAAAAAAGACAGGATCCCGGGATCCAGGGTTTCTCGGAACGGCGTTATGTACGATGGCAACTGAGCATCAGGCACGGCAAGGATGGCTGAGGGAGTTGACGATGGCGGTTGGCTGCTGAATATCGAAGAGCCCATTGCAGGCAGATTTGTCGACACGGATGCCATCTCGTTCGATGCACTGGCCATGGCATGCTCAAGGCGTGGGGGCTCCATGGGCCCCTCGTTGTCGCGGATTGTTTGTAACGGCTGCACTTCAAAGGTATGAATGCTGGCGAAGGGTAAACCATGTTCGTCACGAGGTGTAGCTTTCCTACTCTTTCTTGCATGATTGACTGAGCAGGCCTCCTCTAATCGAATGCAATTGCCACATGGAGGACCAATGTTTGAAACATCACATTTAATTTTTCGCTGTCTGCACTGGAGACAAGCTCTGGGAGCCCTCGGCTTCATCATGGGGGGAGAGTTTATTCCGCAGGTTGCCCTGCATGTTTCTCGATACCGGAGAGACCATGGCCAGTTGTCGGCAGACTGTTAGATCCGGGGCGGACCTTAGCTTTACCCTGACTTGCACTTGCCAAGGCAGGGAAATCATGGTGATGCCAAGGCAGTGCTGGGGATTGAGGAATATTGGGTAGGTAAGTGCTAGGCCATTCGGGTCTCTAGTTAGGTGTGCCTGGACGTGCCCCGGACGCGTAACTCCATTAGCTGGCGCCAACTATGCGCTTCTGGGAATTGGCCGCACATCAAGTCCATGAAAGGCGTTGAATAATCGTTATAGCCAAGAATAAAAGTCTCCCGAGGTCCTGAGAAGTACGAATAGTACTAGATTTATCATTCATCATTTCCTCTGAAGTCTGGCTAGATCCTATCACTAAGCATGAAGGCGTATCGACCCCTCGGGGCAACGTACGGGCACGGCTGACTTCCCCATGCTGTCTGGAATTCGCTAGGTCAAATCCAGTAATTAACCGATATGCAAGCCCGAGCCTTCTCTTGAGATTGTGGGGGATTGTGGCCAGGAGGCGGATAAAGTAGATGCAGCTTGGGACTATAAGAAGTATTAGAAGTGCATGACCCTGGTCCACAACCCTCGAGCAAATACGTTGTGCAGATACTTCTGGCAGTCGGTACTACTGCCATGGCGGTGCCTAAAGAGCCTCTTGGGCCTGATGTTGCTCATAACGAGATCGTACTAGCAGACGCTGAGAAAGATCATCGAGTTCATGTCTCCAGTGAGCAGAACGTTCGGGAACAACTTGAAGGAATCCGAATGAACTTCCGTACGATCCTAGCAATTGTGGTATGAACCCTTGTTTGCCAGATATACACAATCAAATGCTGACGAAGCTACACCTGCATAGTCTCTCGCTGTGACATATGAGGCTCTCCTTTTCTCATTTGTACTTCCTGCAGCAATTCTCCTTACTATCAACAAGGACATTGGGCCTTCAGCCCAAATCACTTGGATTGCCACATCATGGACTTTGGCTAGTGCTGTCTTGCAAACTATTGCTGGGCGCTGTAGCGATATCTTTGGAAGGCGAAATTTCTTTATCGCTGGCAACCTGATCGCTGTTGTAGGTGAGTCAAAGGCTTTTGTCAATTATTCAGGCTTGACTGCTAATGGTATCTGAGGCTGTTCCATTGCCTGTCGGTGTGTATCCAGTATCACGCCAGAATTGTTTCTTGCTGACTGCTTGATTTAGTGCATCGTCGGTGAATACAGTCATTTCGGGCACTGTATTGATGGTAAGGCTTTTGCTGACAGACGGTTGCCCTCTTCAAGATCTGACAGAAGACAGGGCTTCGGTGCTGGGCTGCAGTTCTTGTCTTTCGCAGCAAGTGCAGAAATCGTTCCCAAGAAGCAACGAGGCGTCGTGATGGGCAGTTTCAGTCTCGTATCACTCCCTGGATCTACCTTTGGCTCTGTTATAGGTATATCCTTCATCAAAACCCTGCAAATTCCATTACTCACCCTTTGTCCGCATGGTAGCTTACGCCATCGTGGCTCATTTATCCTGGCGCTGGACATTCTATTTGGGCATTATTATAAATGCCCTGGCTCTTTTGCTTGTGGTAGTCTTTTACTGGCCGCCAGATTTCGTTGAACTCCATCCAGAAGGAAAGACTCGTTTCGGCCAATTCAAGGAGCTCGATTTCGTAGGACTGCTGCTTTTTGGTGGAGGGTTGACCAGCTTTCTTCTCGGGATATCGTTTGGAGGTAACCCGTATCCGTGGCGAAGTGCTATCGTGGTGGCACCGACAGTGATTGGAGGTAAGAGCCATTTGAAACTCGTCACATTGTGCCAATAGACTGATCCATCTGCCAGGCATTGCATTTCTCGTGGCGTTTCCACTATGGGAAATTCATGCGCCGAAAAATACCGCCAAATTGTGTCCTCCTGAAGTGGTCAAGAACGTCCGAGGTGTTACCCTTCCAATGTTAGTGATGTTCGTATCAGGGATGACTGTGAGTGCATACGAGTTGCAATGGAGTAAGGTTTATGCTCATCGTTTGCCAGCTTATGAGTCTTCAAGTCTTCTGGCCTCAACGTGAGTGCAAGTCTGACTGGGCATCGTCCAAGCTGACAACCGCAAAGAAGTGCAACTTTTGTTCACGCAGGATCCAACGATGATTGGATGGTACAGCCTGGCGTATAACGCGACTGCAACAGGTAATGTTCGTCCTTATCGGGCGTTCAGGCTAATCCAGCTGACTCCCTGGCTGTAAAGCTGGCACTGTTATTGGAGGCGGCCTCTTCGCCATCATTCGAAGAACAAAATACCAGTTCATTGGATACGTTTGGTTTCAGACAGTGTTCATATCGTTGATGGCGACGGTGAACCAAAATACGCCGGCGAAGGCAATTGTCTTTGTAGGACTTGCAAGTTTTGCAATTGGTGCATCGCAAACACTGGCCATCGTCATTGTCGGACTCGGTGCAGATGATAAGCATATCGGCGTAGCAGTTGGGTAAGCTTGCTCCCTACCTCGCAGGCATCAACCCGTGGTTTGATTGACCTAATCATTTACAGCTTACTGAACTCTTTGCGTTCAACTGGCGGAGCAGTAGGGATTGCGATTTATTCCTCATTATTCTCCAACAAGATCAGCCGAGAGCTTGTCCCGAAGGTCGCCACAGCAATTGTCCAAGCTGGATTGCCAGTCACATCGGTGGAAGCTTTCCTTGGTATGTTGACCTTCTCTCTGCACTACTAACTTGGCTAAAACAAGTTGTGTACAGTGGCTCTGACATCGGGCGTTCCACCCTCCGTCGAGTTTGTGCCAGGCATCACTCCAGAGATCTTCGCTGCTGGAGTCGATGCAATGAAAGATGTATACGCCAGTGGATTTAGGCTCATTTACCTCGTTGGGATGGCTTTCGGCTTGCTGGCATGCCTAGGGGTTTGCTTTGTCGGCAGCGTGGACAGTAAACTGACGAAGCAAATTGCTGTCAAAGTCGACAGACCACACATTATTAGTCATGGAAAACCCGATACGAAGGTTTTAGATAACAAGGAGCCAGCTGAGGCTATCGACCATTGAGCACGTGGTATGCTCCAGAGAGTAAGCAGCTGACGAATAGAGCGTAGCAGGAATGAAGCGGGAAATATCCTTCCGACGATGAATGCTCCAGCGCTCTAAATGAGAATTCATAATGCGCGACACATTCCATGGAGAGGGAAAGCCTTAATATAACGGGCGGCTACCCGAACGACAAAGGATATTGATAAGTACGAGGTTCTTAGAGTGCCAGTCACAGATTTCGTAATCCTTCTTCGCAACACTCACGCGTTTATGGATTTACTGCCTGACAATTTACCTGGTGATGATTATTTTGGTAGACAAGTATCCGAAGATCAATCATTGGGATTAGTATTTCCGTCTGACTGGGCTTCCTCGGGTAAACAATGGTGGAAGACTTTTTGTCAGACACTTAAATTAGGACGCGTCTAACGCGTTCTCTGCAAGTGCTCACCTTGGATTTGTCTTCAACGAAATGCCAACTTCATCATCAACTACGTGATTGCTGCTATTGCATCGAGTCTCTATGGACCAAAAATCTCACTCTGGGTATTTACACATCAAGAAACCTGAACTGTGAGGTTTCTCCTATCGACACTTTACCATGCCAATGCTGCCTGTGGTTTTCTCGAAAGCTCCACCGATGTAAAGTCTTTGATCGTCCTGGAGTGGTACTCAGGGATTTGCCGTGAGCGTGTCAGCTCACGGAATAATGAGTTGCCGTACAAGTGGTACAGGGACAATACGCCGCCAGCCCCCAGAAGCTCGGCTTCGATAGCGGTATGCTCATATTTCCAGGTCTTATCGGCTCCGGCTATCCTTAATGTCCTTGCTGCTTTGTCGACCGTGAGCACCGCGCCCTCATTTGCATGTTGATAGAAGTCATCATCAGATATTCGAGCGTTGAACAAGCCCATATTGAGCTGGTTTCGTTCATCTGTCAGGAAGAAGTGTCAGCTTGTGAGACAAGAGCGTCTGGTTCGAGGCTTACAAATAAATGCGAAACTTTTCGCAATAATCATCTGAACTCCTGAACCTTTCAAAGCTCGCACAGCATCCTCCCTGGAGGAGCCACTGCCAAAGCCATGCTCAGCAACAACAACTGTAGCGCCATTTGCAACCTTGTTACGGAAATCTGGTCGGACGTGTTCGAAACAATGACTCCCAAGGTCAGCATCGTTGATGCCTGGCATAAATTGAGCAGGGATTATGGCGTCTGTGTCAACATTGGTTCCAAATCTCTGTACCATTCCTTTGATCAAGTCGTCTCCTAGCCGTACGCTTGTCGTTGCCGGAATGTTCTTTGAATTTGTGGTGGCTAAGGGCGACTGCCGTCGTGAAGCGGGTTCTCGGTATTGCGGGGACAATTTTGGTACTGCTTGAGCTTTCCCGAACAGTGATTGATACCTCTTTGTGTCTATCATGGCTAGGAGAGGCCCAGGATTCCTCACCTCCATATCGAAGCTGGATGCGGCGACAGCCGCTGCACTAGTCACATTTCCGATGCTCCCGGGGCCCATGCGGTTACGGAAATTTCGATTCTGCGAAGACAACCACACCTCGCCAGGTTGAGCGACATCCACGTCGTTGATCCCCACGCAGTACGAACAACTCGGCGCCCCAATCTCAAAACCAGCTTGTTTGTAAACTTCGGTGAGGCCCAATGTCTCAAGTTTTCGAGTTATGGTCAAGGAACCGGGAGTGACTCTCCGTTTTCCTCGTGATGTAGGTCTTAAGCCGGTGGCTAGACCAACTTCCAGAACCAGTCCGGCCAAGATCAGTTCTTCCTCGGTGGTTGTACAGGCGCCGATGAAGCAGCCATCGAGCTTCATGCCTGCCTTTCTGTCGATAGGGACCACATCATCTGGGTTTGGATATAACGCGACTGTTGCCTGTACTTCTGATAGATCTATCGTTCGGGTCTCAGCGTATCGCGCATCGGGATCAGGCTTAAAGTAGAGCGGCCGGTTTTTGTCTTTTGGGAGTCTTCGGCTTGCGAGCCAGGCGGCGGTCCGCTCGTCGCTCTCGAAGCAGGCGCCCATGCCACCAAATTCAGTGGTCATGTTTGCGATAGCGAATCGTGCATCCATGCTCAGCTCGATTAGACCAGGTCCGCCATATTCCACTGCGCGTTGGAAGGCGATTGTGTTGCGCTTAAATTGCCCGAGAATGTATAGGATGACGTCCTTCCCCGAGATGCCATATGGCAACTTCCCTACAAAGTTGATGCGGCACACTTCCGGAACTCGAAACCAAGTTTCCCCCGTGACTAGTGGCATCACCACATCAGCGGCACCGAATCCGACAGCAAATGCGCCCATGCTGCCCGCAGAGCAAGTGTGAGAGTCGCTGCCTATCACTAAATATCCGGGCTGTGCTCGATCTCTCGTGAAGTCTGTGTGCATAATGCTAGTGTTGGCTGGCAGAAAATCAATAATCTTGGCCTCATCGCGAAATCGTTCAGCCTTGTCAATCAACCCTCTTTGGCGGGATTGATGATTGGTTCGTGGGTCCACTGTATGGTCTACAGCTAACCAAACCCGATCGTTCCGATGAAGGCGGGGACGATTCATTGCAGTATATGTCTTGTCCATTCCAGCCCAGAGGAGTTCTGAAGTCAAAGTCCAGTCTACGGAGACGCATATCATGTCTCCAGGACACACTTCTGGCTTTTCCAGACCAACGGCATGATGGGTTAGAATCTTTTCAACCAGAGATAACGGGCGGTGGGGGTATAGCGGTTTAGCAACGGGCTCGGAAGAAATGGCATTCGCTCGCAAGGATGAATTGACGGCTTCCAAAAATCGTGAGTACTGGTCAAGTACTTCGTCGCAGAAAGCATCAATTGATGTCAAACCGCCCCTCGTGATCGGCGTCATATTTGAGCCTATGAGCTCCACTGGATCTGTCGTGCGTCGCAACGCATTTATCAAGGCTTCCCCTTCAGCTTGCAGGTTCAAGACACCGCAAAGGAGTGTGGCAAGCCCTTTGACCCATGTGATTGGGTCTGTTGCGCTAAGATCAACCTCAGAATCCTGTCTTGAGCCTTGGTCGTTGATATGACGCTGTGAAGAAGTTCCCAACACTATCAACGGTTGGTTCTTAATCTCACATGTCTTGCCCGATGTTTCCAAGGTTGCATTTTGGTCAATGACTAGGATCTGGCGGGTGAGCAATTTACTGGAAGCCTGTTGTCGCCCCCCAGTGCTGTTGACGAGCTCTTCCTTCGCTAGAGGAACTTTGGGAGTTTCGAGCGAAATATCAAGATTCCGTATGTGTTTGATTTGCTGGAGGACGCGCTCAGCAAAATGTACAGCCGTGCGGCTGGAATGGCCCTGCACAAGAACAACGCCTCTGAATGTCGGAGCTGCCTGCATTGTGGCCGACCTGTGAAACCGAAAGTGCTGCTTGCTCGTGAGACTCCAAAAGAGAAATGAAAGAAGTCAACATATTCTCAGGCTCGAGGAGAAAAGAAGTGATGGGTGCCATCGTCCACAAAGGTGCGTCGGACGATCCACCGATCTCGGCATATACTGACAATCAGATTTTCGAATGTATGATTGCCTGTGAATCAATCCTCCCTTCCAGTGCTTTTACTAGAGGAATGGTTCACTTTCGTATCACCTCCGTAGTCCCTTCTCGGCTCATCGCCCGAGGTACCGCTTCCATCCGCTTCGGGCACGGGAAGTCGCGGCATCTCCATTATGAGTGTCCGGAGCAGAAAGCGGGGAAGGAAACTCTAAGTCGATGTGCAGATCGCTCGGTTCAGCATATTTGATGCCGCCTCCATCCATCAAACAACCGCATTTCTTTAACGTCCTAGCAACTCTCCACCACAGAAAGCCGGACTCAGGCCAGGCCAAGACATGTCACAGGCCCCAAGAGACAACATTGCAAGGAATAGTCTGCAGGACCCTGTTACTTCGGGTACCCACCAAACTTCAAAGCAAAAGCCCCTGAGACGGGGATATGTTGCATGCATTCCATGCCGGACACGAAAGGTCAGATGTGTGCTGGAAGCTGAGCCACCGTGCGCAAAATGTAGGCGCGAGCATCGGCAATGCATCTTTGAAGATCAACATAAATCTTCGAGACACCGAGACCCTCCACAGTGGGCCAGAAAACCCGGAGCATCTGCACAAGCAACAGGACAGAATGTGTCATCATCCACGGAGGGTCCCCTTTCTGGTGGAGCCTCTTCATCGACCCAACACTACCAACTGTCTCCTACTCAAGCCATGCCAAGTCTCGTCCAGAAGCGGACACCGTCAAATATGAATGATCATAGACTGGAGACGAGTCCGGCCAGTACCAACCAGTCCCTGTCCGAGAGCCTTCTGTCCAGTGTCTTGACTCGACCTGGTAATGCCCTGGATGTACTCTTCGATGCTGCCAATGCCCAGGCAACACAGGTTACTACCAGTAAACCTGATAACGCGGCCCAACTTGGTGCCAATGAAGTGGCCGATACGTCTCCACAGGTGACTTACAGTCCCCCACAGTTCCAAGGCTCTACAATCACTCGACTATCAATACCTAGCAACGAAACCCTTGACCTATGGGACAAGTCACGTTTTGTTCGGCAAGGTCTAGTGACTGCTCAGGAGGTGGTCACTTATCTGGATCTGTAAGCATATGACCTGCTTGTCACGATTACTGAAGCTGAATTGGCAGGTTCTTTGAGCACATTGCGCCAATGACCCCAGTCCTGCCTGACTACTATCGCCATCATACGAGCCATCATAGTTTTGTCCATGAGGAAGCATTGCTATGTTGCACGATACTGATGATTTCGTCTCGCTTTTTCACTCTTCCCGGCGCAGGAGGTATATCACGGAGTCACCATGTTCATCAAAGATTCTGGAATTACTGTGATCACTTAATCCGCAGAGTCATGTTTGGACAAGAGAAGCTTTCCTCAGCCAGAACACGTGTCGTTGGAACTATTGAGAGTTTCATATTGATTAGTGACTGGCATCCACGCTCGATCCATTTTCCGCCCGATGCTGAAGGTTGGGACGTTTTATTGATACAGCCAGAGTACGACCGTGCCAATCGTCTCGCAAACGAGGGTGACGCGCCATTGATTCGTTGGAAAGAAGATGTGTTCGATCCTGCCCGACGAGCCGAGCGCATGTCTTGGATGCTTCTAGGTGCAGCGACAAATTTGGCCTACGAACTCGGGATACTAACGGACGATGGTGATACAGCGTCCCCAAATACTTCAGCAACTTCTCGATATGCTCGTGTCAGGCAGGTCTTATCCGTGTACGTTCAATATCAGGCATTAAGGTTGAGTTGCTCGTCGATACTGCCCCAAAACATATCCCAAGCCGCCGTGAGCACCGGTTTGGAGTCTCCCAACGATCCGATCAATAAATCCTGGCAGGCCTTCATGCAACTCTGGATTGATTTGACTCAGCTGAACAAGACGGCTGCTGCAATGTTCTTCCAGTCCAAGGGACACACCAAGCAGCAATTGCTGAATGGACATTACTTGATCCTACTGCAGCACTTCTCTCCATCCTTGACGGCTTGGTTCGATAGGTTCAATTCTGCATCAGTCGGTCAGTTGCCTTATTAGACCTTATTGTGATGGCTATTCCTCATAACACGCGCGTTTGACTTACTAAGTGGATGGTAAAACTGCTGACAGCCACTTTACAGTTCTTTCTGATGCCTTTAGAGATCTCCTCGTCATTGAGTTCCACCATCTAAAGCTATATACAGGAGCACTTTCGATTCAAGCCGTGGTAGAGCGCGCTCTCGCAAGGGGCATTAGCGCGACAGACAAAAGTCAAGCAGACGTCTTCAAGGCTTGTGTACTTACGCAAGATTGGAAATTCATTCGAGACGTCGTATCAGACAGCTGCAAGATATTGCGAAAAGCGACTGATATGGCACAAGAGGGTCGCCTCCGATACACGCCCATGCGGACACTTGTTTGCATCACAACAGCATCAGTACTCCTCCTCAAGGCTCTTACGTTAGGTCCGCAGCATGGCGACTTGGCCACCTCTCTCAGCATTCTCGATGACAGCATAGCAGCCCTGCGTTCCTCTGCCATTGACGATATGGATTTCTCACCTAGATACGCCACGCTAATGGAAAAGCATGTGGCAAGATTCCGGGCCAGCTACACGGTGCCACATTCTCCTAACCGGTCCGATGGTGCGCCCCAGGTGCCTGTACCGGTGACAGTACAGGACCCTCAGGAGAAGGACCGGGCGGACGAACAGACACTGCAAGAACCCTTAGTAGGGCTGAATGAAGAGGATGGATACGGAGAGGATTTTGCCATGCTTGATGCATATCAGTTTCCGATCAACGAAAATGATTGGGCAACACGTCCTTTCGATCCAAATGTTGCCCCTTTTGGCGCAGCTGGCGATCATTTGTCCTTGGGCTTCGAGCTAGATACATTAGACTTTCTGTGGAACTTACCTGACCCAGCGTAAAGCTTCGGCAATAACAGGGTGTGTACAAGCAATCCCACCTGTGTTTATATTCCCTTCACCAAAATATACCAGTCTCCTGATTGGCGTGCGATATGCGGAGTGGCAAGTCATGTCCTGCCAAGATAAATGCACCGTTCACAAAAGTCTGCCGCCTCCAACCGAGCCGGTGTTCAAAACCCCTGACGCAGCCTCGCATCTATCCAGTCGCACGCCAGCGTCAGGCCGGCTTGGTAGCAGAATACATATAGATTTCAGTTATGTTCAGCCGATATGGACCCGATCTCGGAGGCAGTCCGGCCATGAACCGGCCCGTTATTGATGTTGAGGGAGAATACAAAACAGTCCTCAACCGGGCAATATTCTTCTGAGATTTCACAACTACTCATTCAATTACAACGAGAATACTCACTATCGATATACCATCTCACGGAGAACTCTACACAACTTAACAATGTCGAAGTCAATTGTTAACACAAAACCGTACCCCTGGACATTCGATACAGGGAAGGCGGTTGCCGTCAACAATAAAGGCAAGGCGAGAGATGTCGATGTCAAGATACAGAATGTACGAGGGCGTATACCTTCCTTCCAAGCGTCTCGACTTCGTTCTATGATGCTGGAAGCCCATGAAGACCCCAACAAGATTCTTGCACATGTCGTCAGCTACGATGCACTCAGCTCTCGGCTCTGCGAAGAAGCAGGCTTTCCCATGATCTTTCTGGCAGGCTATGCCATGGCTTCAGCTTTCGGCTTGCCTGATACTGGGTATATTGCCTTCCAGGAAGTTGCGGCTAAGATCCAAGAGGTTGCCCGTGAGACGACTGTACCTATTATGGTCGACGGAGATACTGGTTATGGTAGTCCCATGAATGTGCGAAGGACGGTTTCTGGGTATGTCAATAGTGTGCCAGCACAATGACTAAAAGATGCTAATTTTAAATAGCTTCGCACATGCCGGAGCTGCGGGCATTATGATTGAGGATCAGACATGGCCTAAACGTAAGACTGTCCTAAGCCATTTTGCGAGTAGGATACTGACTTAGGCTGAAATAGGCTGTGGTCACACGTATGGCAAAAATGTTGTATCCAGAGATGAAGCATATGCCAGATGGCAAGCGGCAGTCGACGCTCGAAATGAAGGAGTCGACATTTGGATTCTCGCCCGTACCGACAGCCTGATTCTCGGATACGAAGAGGCTATCACACGTGCCCGTAAGGCAATCGAGATTGGCGTCGACGCTGTCTTTATAGAAGCTCTGCCCGACCGTGCCACGATGGAGAAGGTGCGCCGAGAATTGGACTTCCCATCATTTGCAAATATCATCGAAGGCGGAAAAACGGAAAACCTCTCGGCTAAGGACCTGGGTGAAATCGGGTACTCTGCTGTTGCTTATCCATGGACGCTTGTGGCGGCGAAGCTGAAGTCAATTCGTGAAACGCTGGAGAATATCAAGGGATCATTTACCGTTGGGCGGCCACCCGTGGTGCTATCCTACGACGAAGTTTGTGAGGGCGTTGGATTTAATAAGTATTATGAGACGGAGAAACGATATGAATATGAAGGTATGTTGAACGGTGCCAAAGGATACCAATGGGCGCAAGCGAATGGACACTGAAGATGGCGGAGGCCTTGGTAGGAAAAGGGGGGTTTGTGACTTATTGACTGGTGGATGCATAATGAATAGTTTATCTCATGGGAAAGCAGCTAGCTTGGCTTAACTTAAGGTGCTCATATCTTGAAGCGTGCTTGCAAGGGCCTGTATTCTCCCTTTATACACCTGAATATGTCTCTGCCATCTGTGCATAAAAACCGCGAATTGATTCCTTTACCCCCAATTGATCGCCCCATGGCAGCAGGAAAAGATTGAAGTCCTGTCTCTGCCGCTTCCCTATGCGAACACCACGTACGATCTGGGGCGGTCGCAAATGCGCATCGAATCTGCCAAAAAATCCAGGGATGTCAACCTCAATACGATACGCCCGCATGGTCGGAACCATTCCAACTAGGAACGAGTAGGGTTCTAGAAGATGCCGTTCTCCATCTTGGAGGATCGTGTCTGGACTGCGAGAGGACATGCCAGAACTCCCCAAGAAATCTATCCGTCGACCGCTTTGAACCGCATTTATACCGCGTCGGCCAATCTGGGTATCGGCATCTATGCCAAGGACGTGCCAATCATATTGACAGCTTTACTCAAAGATGCTACCAATCGGGAGTTGGACCCGTCCTTGGCTTCGGAGCCAACTGCAGGTTGTCGTGAATTTCCACTACCGAGGATGGTTCGAAGTCGCTGTCTTTCCTCCACAATCATGCGAAGGTAGTGTGTGATCTTCGGCTCGAAACGGCATACCAAGGAACACACGTATACTAGCTAGCGTTTCCATATCTCCGCGAGCACGGAGTGAATCCACATCGACAATCCTACTGTTCAGGACATAAAAATACATGTTCCCCATCTATGGATACTCCACGATAAATCTCCAGCTTCTCCAGAGCGCTTACCCCAGACCTCCTTCACATTGGCTACTACGTTTGCAAACCCATCTCACACAATGAGTGACCATCTTGGATCCAAAGGCCCCAGGTCTCACGACCTCCAAGTAGACCAAGACACCGAGAAGCCACTCTCTGCCCACAAAGAGCATCTTTTTGACCAGGATCATGTTGCAGTTGACTATGCTGGTGCGCATGCGAAGCTTGATCCGGAGGAAATCAAGCTTGTGAAGAGACTGGACATGTTCATCATGCCAACCTTGTGGATAATGTATGTCTTCAACTACCTCGACAGAAACGCTATCGCCCTTGCGCGATTGGATAACCTCGAGGATGATCTTGGACTTGATTCGACCCAATACCAGACCTGTGTCATGGTCTTGTTTGCTGGTTATCTCTGTGGGCAAATCCCGAGCAGTAGGTTCGGACACAGACCGTGTATGATACGCCACTGACAGAACTAGACATGCTTATGACTAAGGTCCGACCATCGTGGTATATGGCCGGCGCGATGGCTGTTTGGGCAATAGTATCAGCTCTCACTGCTGTGGCCCACGATTTTACAGGTCTGGTACTCGCAAGGTTCTTTCTCGGGCTTGTAGAGGCTCCATTCTATCCAGGTGAGCGCATCGCACTTTCGGAGACTCTGACAGTGCTAATCTATTCTCAAAAGGTGCGCTGTACATGCTTTCTCTTTTCTACACTCGTAAGGAGATCGCCACAAGAATGTCTGTCCTCTACACTGGCGCACTCGCAGCAACGGCCGTCGCCGGTTTGATCGCTATTGGCATATTCGAAATGTCCGGCGTCGGTGGCATAACGGGATGGAGGTGGCTATTTATTATTCAGGGCGCGCTGACCTTCGTAATTGCCGTTGTCTCAGGCTTCATCCTCCCAGACGAACCTCTCAAGACCAAATGGCTGTCGGAAGCACAACGCCAGTTGGCCCACGATCGAATCCATGCCGACACGGTTGAGGTCAGGGAGAATAGCTCTGCCTTGAGGGGACTGTGGGAATCAGTCAAAGACGTGCGATTATGGGTCTTCGTTCTGATGCAGCACATGCATATCGCGGCCGGTGCTTACAAGAATTTCTTTCCTACCGTGATCCAGACCTTGGGTTACGGACGGACCGCTACATTGGCACTGACATGTCCTCCATACTTCATTGCTGGAGTCACATCTATTCTTTGGGCATTGAACTCTGGTAAGTGAACTATTCTCCTCATTCAATATGATGCTAATAATGTTGTAAAGGTCGCATGAATGAAAGGACATGGCACATCACTATTGCAAAGTCCGTGGCAATCATCGGATTCGTCACAGCTTGCTCTACTCTGAATACAGGAGCTCGATACTTTGCCATGTGTCTCTTCTCCATCGGCGTATATGCTTGTCATAGTATTATCCTGGGGTGGGTGGCTGTGACTTGTGCACAAACTAAAGAGAAGAAAGCCGTCTCTTTGGCTGTAGTCAATACGTTCGCCACTCTTTCTCAAATCTGGACGGCGGTAAGTCTCAGTTCATGAAGCTCCCAATTACTCTCAACTGATTAGTCGTTCACAGTATCTATGGCCATCGTCTGACGCACCACGCTACACAATGGCAATGTCTGCTAGCGCCGCAGTCTCGTTTGGTGCCCTAGCGCTCGCCTGGATCATGAAGTTCATGCTTATCTCGGCCAATAAGAAAATCAAACAGAGCAACAATGAGGCGACTTTGCTGTATGCTTACTGAGAAATAGAAGTGTTCTAGAAGTCCCACTAGGCTGGGAAGTCTGTTGCGTAATCGGATGCTCAGATATCCATAGCTTCAAGGCTTTCAACGAAATACTTTATACTAAAGATATAGCCATCAACAACAGAATTAAATGCCAAGCTGTAATCTCAGTAGCTTCCAACCATGTATTTCTGGAAGCGAGCGGTTAACATACAACGGGTCGTGTAAACTGTACTCTGCGTTACCTTTCACCGTGAGGACTTAGATCATGTTCTTCAGACATGGTTGGCCGAAAAGTGCCCAACATCTGGCACTATTCTTTACATTCATAGTCGATTCCTTGAGGTATTCGAACGCCTCGTCTGGTGCTGAACTGCCAGCTTCATTCCGTTTCATCATTCGGGCTTATATAACCGGTTCTCTCTTTTGGAGTATAGTGGTGCATCAACTCCGGCAGAACAGTGATACACTGTAGATTGCCCTTTCGACATTGATTCATGAGCGCAACGTCAAAGGCCTCGTCTTGACCTGCACCAAGGAATTGGAGGATCCTCCTCGCTCCAAGCCGTGTTACACCATGACCAAATGTGCACCCGACGTCTTGCACGTACTGCACCGCACGATGCCCATGGGGCAATTGTTCGATCAGTACGTACTTTTTAGACCAGCCAGTCGAGATCTCAACATCGAGGATGGTCGAATCGGCGTAGGCGAGGCTCTCTTCTGCTAGCTCGTCTCCACAATGGCCCAGCCAAAGAACGTCCCAGCCATGTCCGAAAGGGCTTGAATCAGTCAAGGGCGCCTGCAAGAACTCCCGTGTATGGTCAGAGACCAATCTCATCTGGCTATGAATATTGATGTCCCAATCGACATCATCTTCGACTATGAACGCGCTGGACATGTGGGACGCAATAACATATTTCATAATGTCGAGATGCGCCAGCCATGCACGTGCAGAACCGTGTCCAGGATGAATTCCCTGTTTTCGGTCGGAAGTATCGATACTTTCAAATGCATAGATCAAATCATCAGAGTTGTATGGTTGTTCGGGGATTTCGATTGTTAATCCTGTCAGTGCTGCCGCCATCAAGAGTCCACGAGTACGCCAACTAGGCTTTGGTGATACTGCAATGATCTTCTCAAACTGTACGGTGGTTCTCAAAGATCGGCAAGTGCATCTCAACATAATCTGCAGTGAAGCATTTGGGATCAAGACTATCAAGTCTTGTTCCGCACGAGGGACATCAGATCTCAGACTCACCCCTAAAGTGGAATTTGATGCGATCTCTCGAGGTGACATCTCATGACGGCCCGAGATTGGTGATGGATAGACCATGCCTGTAAGCGATACTCGTGGACGGTAGAGGAACCAAACTGCGATTGCGATCCCCAATAAGATCGTAGTCAGCAGCCTATTGCGCGACATCCTGAGGCTTATCGGTAAGGCATCAGGAGGATGCCAATATCAAATCAGTCCACATGATAAATCAACCGGGTGCTGAGATAGTTTGGGTCATGAGACAAGTGAATAGATATACCGTAGCATCCCAACCAACGTCTTGTGAAAATTAACAGGCGTGCACATGGTAAAGGATATCGATGTGATGGGGTGCAGGGTACGCAATCGATGTGCGGATATGCTTCCCAGCAGTAGATCATACAGGCACATACAAACTGGTCGCTAGATACTCCTTCTAGAAAAAATCCGGGGGCCGCGATTGCCCAGCCGATTCCGGAATGACGCTTCAGATAAAACCGTCATATGCACTTTAATTATCGCAGTGCGCGTGTCAGGCACCTAAAATCGTATCTTGTGCAGGTGTATCAAGCGACAAAATCGGGGGCTAATCATGTCGACTCGAACGATCTCTCGAAAGAGCTGCAGACGCTGATCAATTGATTGCCATTGGGAGGAGTAGCGTCAGGTGGGCACAAGCAACTTCGCTTACTTCCTCAAGTTTCAAAATTCTGGCACTCAATAATGGGTGCGTTAGCCTTCATTGGGGAGTTGGCAAAAGCCCACCGACTTCTTCAGGTGGCAAAATGGCATGTCTGATCAAAGGATCGTCAATAAACGGCTGCGTGATGGATATATATACCAGGGACAGCGAGATGTCTTTGGTTGATGAGTGCTGGATTTATTGGAGATGTTACTCCACAGGGCTGCGCCGAAGCTTCAATCTCAGGCGAGGCTGCAGCCCTGTGGCGGACTTGGATTAACTCCAATTAAAACCATTTCGAGACGGATCTCAAGGAGAAACTATATATGGTGAAATATACACGTCAAAGTTTCTGCGACCGTAGCATATAATCTAAAGTCGGCGGGTTATTTGATCATTCATAGTGGTTCTCGACCTTTAACCCCTTGAACTCAAACTGCGTGCCTGCCCGCTTATCCAACACCGTCTTATGGTGGACGTCCTTGACTCTAGCACGGACATATTCAGTGCCAGTGGGTACTGGCCTCGTGAGATCCTTGTCTTCTTCCTTGATCAGTCCGAGACGGTCAAGGAGTGGTGAGGGCACTGTCCTCATGGGCGTGCTGTCTCCGGGACGGCTGAAGTATAAAAGTCCCAGGCGGTTGATGTTCAGTTGGTCCTTTGGTGGTGTTACAACTCTATGGATGGTGGATTTAATGAAGCCTATAGTTCAAAGTGCATCGTGTCAGCTTAAAGAGCTTTCAATCGACGGGGGGCCTTATGGCGCAAAGGATGACTTACCATTAGTCAAGAATGTTAAAGTATCAGCAGCATTACAGGTAATGCCCCCTTCGACGGGCTTAACATATTTCCATTCGCCTTCAGGCGTTCGAATTTGCAAGCCAGCCACGTGTTGGCTAAAAAGTAGAGTCAGGCTCCCAAAATCGGTATGTCCGCCCTTGGAATATGCTTGGGCCTTGTCCCATTCCTCCTGAGTTCGGACATTGTAGATCATGTATCGGAGATGGTCGTCGGAAAGCTCATCGTACGCATGTGCATTGGTAAGATAGTCCTCCGGTAACTCTAGGATGATGGACATCAACACAAAAAGCTTTCGAGCAACCTTCTCAAACACATCACGGTGGAATGCTCGAATCTCGTCCCAATTATTTTGTACGATTTTGTGCTTTGGAACATTGGCGTGGGCGGGAATGTCTTTATGGATGTTGAGCTGCAGTGATGGTGGTTAGAATAAGGCAATGAAAGAGTTGGACTCACAACTATCAACGTGCTCAAGAAGGTGGGCTTCATTGGACAACGATATTCTGCGACTTACCATTTCAATATTCTCCTTGACACCAGTATCCCCGATCCACCTTTCATTCTCACGATAGCCGAAATACTCGCCCTCGGCAAAGTTACACTTGAAGAACCTCTTCTCCTCCAGAGGTTCTTTAAAGAAAGTGTTTCCAATGCTGAATTGCCGCAGCACACGCTCGTCGTCAATGCCAGTGTTAGTGACAACCCAGAAGCCGACACGAGTCACTGCATCGTACAGCTGGGCGGCGAGTTCCTGCTTTCCACCAGGCTCATCGAAACGTGATAAATCAATTGTCGCCAGCGGTGCCCAGTCAAGTGGTTCTTTGGTCTCTTGTGGACGACTCCATGGCTTAACCAGAACTTGAGGACTTGTAGTCTGGGACTGACTGGTTTCGTCTAGAGCAATTGGTGCCATTGCTTCAGTACTTGCCGTGCGGTGGTCTTATCAGATCCGTGATCTTTTCGTCTAAAGTGGCGCTGTGCAAGGGAGGTGGTAGTGATAAAGTCTGTTGTTCAGGTACTTGCTCTGCTCGATACTTAGCTAGGTAAAGAGATATCTGATTGCAGATATGTCTAGCAATCCTGTTCAGGGTGTTTACCAAGTGCGGGGTTCCCGGTACGAACCCGGGTATGACGGCTTGAAACAGACGAATAGGGTTGAGAGTAGATATCAAGACAATATGTCGCCATTGGATCATCATACACGACGTGTCCCACGTTCTCAAGCTTCGTGGCTTATATATATGGCGTGCTTGTCGTGCCAAAGTACGTGCTTGAGCTCTAAAAAGGTGTTGATACCGTGCAAGCCAATTGCTTGATGGCGAATTAATTGCTTAACTCAAGTATGTCCCACACTACCCCATCTATTCTCCTCGCCTCCAGTGGAGGTGGACACGAAGTGGAACTGATAACGGTCTGGTCTCCAAATCTGTGCAGGAGAAATTCGGAAATGATGTAGATTGATGTCTGATTCCTTTCTTTTTGAGCGCTAGAGAGGGAGAACAGCAGTCTGATACGCATGGTGGTCCGGTGGGAGGCCGTAGCAGTCGTAAGTCTGCCAACTGCATGTACAATTCATGAACAGGGCGAACACAATCCCCTTGTCGTCATTGTAATTGCTCATGTCGTGATAGCCAAAGTGACCCTCCAGCTATGGTTTATCTGGTATGTAGATGCTCGCAATAAATCATAGGATGTTCCTTTGTCGACTTGGATTTCATCAGGTCAACGAAAGTTTCTGCAGACTAGTGCCTTGAATACTTGCGATCACATCAGGTAAACAGACACGTTCTGACCTTCAATTATTTATTCCTCTCCAGGAAAACTCAGAGTCAGCATGGCGGTCGACGAGAACCCTATTGAAAAACTTGCCTATGTATCCAACAAGGCTGCCGAGGCTATCTATTCCTCGGATGATGGTATAGACGCAGCCACTATCCAGCCTGTTGATCCAAACTTCGAAACAAGGGTCTTGCGCAAGATTGATCGGTGGTTGGTCGGCTTTTATAGCATAGTGTACGTGTTTCGCGTCATAGATTCGGCCAACTATTCCAATGCCGCCATCATAAACCTCGAGAATGGTACTGGGATCAAGAAGCAACTTGGTAAGCAAGGTTTAAATGATGAGTTCTCAGCTTTAACGAAATGATAGGTTTCACACCTGAACAGTGGGCATGGACACTTTCCATCTTCTCATGGGGATACATGGTATTTGAGCCCAGTAACACGCTGCTGTTGAAACTGTTCAAGCCATCAAGGTGGATGTTCATCCTCATCTTGGCATGGGGCATCAGCGCGTGCGCTTCTGCTTCGGTCCAGGGGTTCAGAGGAATGATGGGCGTACGATTTGCAATAGGTGCAGCAGAGGCAGGTGAATATTCTCGCACATCTTTTTGGCGGATGCTAGCTCACACAATCTAGGCTTCTATCCTGCAGTGTTGTATCATTGGAGCTTTTGGTATAAGCCATCCGATCTGCCAAGGCGTATGGCGCTGTTCTACTCAGTCGGACAACTTTCAAGTGCATTGAGTGGACTTCTTGCGTTTGCTATAAGTTACATGGACGGTCTCGGTCGCATAGCAGGATGGCGTTGGCTGTTTCTCATAGAAGGACTACCGGCCATATTATTGTCGTTCGTTGCCTTCGGGCTTCCGGATTACCCAGAGACGGCCAAGTTCCTCACCAACGAGGAACGCGAATTCCTCTCGCATCGTCTCGCAAAGACGGCACCGAAAGGTTCCCCAGGCCATTGGGATTGGGCAAGCCTTCTGCAACTGTTCAAGGATCCAACTTTCTACACCTTCACAGTGTATTGGATTTGTCACGGTATTGGTGGATTTGGCGTCAATTTTGCGTTGCCGACTGTTGTCTATCAGCTGGGCTTCACGACAACAACGAAGTCTCAATTGATGAATATTGTGAGTCGGATGGAGCATCCAAACGTCCCATGGTGTTGACATGTTCGCAGCCTCCATATGTCTCGTGCTTCCTGTTCCTCAATACCGTAGGATATTTGATCTCAAAGGGGAAAATTCGACCTTGGGTGGCAGCTGCCTCCAGTAAGTACAAGCTCACGTGCACCAAAATCAAGGCTAACGGTGGTCCAGTCGAGTCCACGATAATCGTCTGCTATATCATCCTCGTTGCCGTCAATAATCCGGTGGTGCGATATCTCGCCTTGATAGTTGCAGTTTCATGCGCCGGTTCTGCGTACCCAGTGATTTGGCCTGAAAGAATCCGAGCCCTTGAAGGGACCGTGGCGGCAGGCATTGGAATTGGATTCACGAATGCGTGTGCCCAGTGGAGCGGAATCGTTGGCCCGCATGTGTATTCGACAATCTATGGTCCAAGATATCGTACTTCGTATGCTGTCTGCTTGTCGGTTCTGGTGGTTGGTATTTCTTCGATCCTGACCACCTGGCATCTGATAAGACGTCGAGACCAAAAGAGAGCGGCATCGGTCGACACCTAAACATCTCAACGTCGTCGCTTGATGCGGAGGGAGAAATGACCAAGTCCAAAATCCAGCACTCTCAAAATGAGAACGTAAGGGGAGTGATATTCAGTCGTAGATTCAAACTAGGGTTAGAGAGATGTTAGACATTTACCAAGCATATACCGAAAGACCTAAAGTAAATCCATCAGCCGTCTAATATTGAGGTCAGTCGTCTTGGTATGTGAAGCGTTGAAGCGGGATCGTTGGTTAGACCTTAAGTTTGCATCGTGGAAGTGCTTGGCAAAATAGAAGTACACCTATGAGGGTGTCGTAATTTCACGAAATGAACATCGAAAGACATGCATAAAGTGGTCAACAGCAGTTGTGTCGATTGATGCTTGCCTGTCCCATAAGTATGTACAACTCCACTCGGCAATTCAAAGCGTCGCAGGCTTCCTTGCTCTAATTTTGTGTTGGAGGATGGATATAATTCATAAAAAGTGCAATCTGAAGCCTAAGCTGCTTAATATCCTTCCTTGCCCCACTTGTTGAATTTATCATGGAGCTCCTGGTATCGAAGATTAGACCATGTGACGAAAGATAAACGCTGAATAGTTACGTACCTTGGGTAGGGTAACGTTGGGTACGATGACTGTGTTCAAAGCACTGGGAGCATTCTTGGGAGTTGAGCTTCGGTCGCCCTTGGGATGATATTGATATTTGAAATGTTTGGTCTCGTCTTCATGCTCATGGTCGACCTCCCAAGGCATGGAGCTATTAGCAACCGAGACATCGGCCTCGGAGGAAGCAGAGGTAGGCTTTCGGCCGAAGTAGAAGCCAGCCAGGCCAAAGGCGCCGGACATGACACCTAACAGGATCTAGACGTTGTTAGTAACTCGCGGTGGATGTTGGAGAGCTTGAAGTTGAGTGGTGTCGTACATAAAGCTCGGGATCTCTTTGAGCGCCCTTCTTGACAAAGGAGGTATCTCTGGCGGACTTCGTGGCGGTAGAAGCTGCCCGGAAAGCGGTTCTTGGGATGAGGGATGCCATTGCGTATTGCTGTTGGGACAGGGAGCAGGGAGGGTGGCTTGAGAAGGAATGTCGTTGAGGGAGGAGAAAAGCGGCTGCGCAGCTTTGAGGATCATGAGTGGGAGTGGTGTGAGGGTCGATACCTCTTGCACGTGATTTAGCTGTCCAAATATACCTTAGTGCACCGTTGAGCAAACATGCCTTATATGCCAAGCCTTCGGAAACAGGATCCGAATTCGCCGAATCTCGACCAGTCCTGCTGGCCCTAGCGTGCTCCCCCTTTCTAAGTATACGAGACATACCAGGACTTCCACCGTTCACTATTGCCTCATCTTGTCCACCTTGCCCTGCCCACCCTGGACTGCGCTCTGGGTTTGCGCTTCATTTCATTTTAATCGCTGCCATTATGATGGCTGGTCCTTCCTTTTCTCAATAACCTCTATGCACTATTTGCGCTGACAACCTTGAACCATCCCCTTCCTTCCGATCGACTTGCGCGTTCTGAACAGCCTACGTGTTTTCCACTTCCCTTTCGCTTCTACATCGTCGTTATCCTACCTCTCGCGAGCTTCTACGCTATGCGCCTTACGTCGTACTCGTGACCCCAACAAATTCCTGACCAAACCAACACTATCGCCCATCCTCACCATGACTGGCCGACCGACCACCGCTCGAAGCGAGATCTCCTCGGCAATTTCCGAGGATGGCTATACCTCAAGACCTCAATCTGGTATCACCAACCTACCTGCTTTACCAAACCCTCCCACATCGCAGCATGGATTTGCTCACTTGAGGGGCATAACACAACCTACAAATCGGTCAATGAGAAGTGGTCCAGGGACGGAGAGCAATGCCGGCTCAAGCCGCCCACAGAGCCCTGTCAGTCAGGCTAGCCGTACACATGTGCCTTCCCTAACGGCCTCCGGCTTCTTTAAGCCCATGAGTTCTCAAAGACTGCAGGCCCAGAGACTTAGAAGGCCTTTGGGAGGGAAACCAGTTCAAGCGCCAACCCCAATTCCAGACGGCGAGGATGAAGAGGAGGACGACACGCGCAGCTTGGCTTCCAGTCGTCAAGGCCCTTTCCATGCCATGCCACGCAGTCACCGTCATATTCCATCTATTGCAACTAGCTACACTCAATCTGAGGCACCTGATGGGCTTGATGTGCACTTCGCAGACTTTGGTTCCCAGAACGAGGGCGATAGCCAGCTGGTTGCAGCAGCCTCTCCACCAGAGTCGCAAAAGCCGCCACGACCTTCTAGGCTCAATATCTCCAGCACGCACAAAGCAGGCGATCCACCTCAAAAGTCACCACTATCATTCAGGTCTGGCTTGAGTCTCGGCAGTAAAAATCGACTAGATACTTCTGGCCATCAACAACTTCCTTCGACCACCACATCACCACGATTCCCTCCAGGCTCCAATACCGAAGTTGCGATCAAGAGCGCTCTTGGTAAGAACTACGAGTACTTTGAGGGCAATACAATCTTCTGGTGGGGCGGCCGACTTCAAAATGCTCGGGATCGGCCTATCAACATAGCCACTGGGGTTGTGCTGGTCGTGCCTGCTGTCTTGTTTTTCGTGTATTCGTAAGCATATGAAGCGCCTACACATGATTGTCAATTTGACTAACTCTCGAATAGTGCGCCATGGTTGTGGCATCATGTGTCACCAGCCATTCCGATTGTTTTTGCATACCTTTTTTTCATATGTTTTTCATCCTTTGTCCACGCTTCTGTTGTTGACCCAGGGGTAAGAATTTCTTGCATAGCTCATCTGTGATATTTCTAACCATATGCAGATCTTCCCACGGAACATCCATCCATTTCCACCGGAGACGAATCCAGATCCTCTAACGCTTGGCCCGCCAACGAATGACTGGGTTATGGTCCGCCTAGCAACGTCGCAAACGGCTGCTATGGATGTTCCAGTCAAATATTGCAAAACATGCAATATCTGGCGGCCCCCTCGATGCTATCATTGTCGAGTCTGTGATAACTGCGTCGAAACCCTCGACCATCATTGTGTTTGGGTGAACAACTGCATTGGAAGGCGCAATTATCGCTACTTTTTCACGTTCGTCAGTACAGCGACTATTATGGGTCTTTTCTTGGCCTTTTCTTCTTTGGGCCATATAATTGCATATCGAAACCAAGAGCTCGTGTCGTTTGGCACTTCAGCCAGTCGGAATCGAGTTGTGTGTGCAATGTTTGTATATGGACTGTTGGCGTTCCTTTATCCATTTTCATTGACAGTGTACCATCTATTGCTTATGGGCAAGGGCGAGACCACGCGAGAATACCTTGCGTCTCGAAGATTTCCCAAGGCTGAGAGACACCGACCTTTCACGCAAGGCAATTTCTTCAAAAATTGGATTACTGTTCTGGGCCGGGCAAGGCCACCAACCTATCTTCACTTCAAAAAGAAATATGAGCAGGGCGACAGGCGTTTTGGGTCAAGGAGAGGCCAACGACAGGCCAAGCTAGATACGGAAGCACAAGGTGGAGGGATGGAGATGAAGCCAGTGCAAGGAGCGACCAAATCATTTGAAGGTCCCACAGGGAAGAAATTCCCCAAGCTAGAGACGAATTGAGTGGAGAAGCTGTACCATAGCTGTAATACTGACATGCACAAACAAGACTTGTATACTGTTCCCCGTGGAAGGATATTCCACATGCATGAACACTACGTCTGCGAGGTTAATCTTGACCTTTGGGAGGGGTTCAGTTACTCCCTGGGACATTAAATTCTCTCTTGGAAGTGAGACAAGGGTCGGGACACACTGATCAAGCAAACGTCTGTGTGCCAGTTGCCCGGAGCAGAATGTTTCGAATGGAGAATGTTGTTGATATTGCAGCCTGTAGGTCACTTCAGACTCTCGAGAGGGTCAACAATTGGTTGAATGAGCAAAGACTGATCCTGGTGGTCCATAAATAATGGTCGATAGTAACCAGGACAGTTGTCTTGTACCCCGTATCCTCGGTAGGGTGTACATGGGAGAGTGGTTCACTGGTGTTGGCCAACCGCTACGACCCGCAGTTTCTTAAAACACCTGCATTCTCACATCTCGGTTTCCCTCTCCCTCACTTCCCAGCCTCTCACCGATCCAAGCAAATCCTCCACTCCACAACACGCGTTGCATAACTCGCCTTCTTCCATAATCTCATATTCTTCTCTTTCTCATCACGACTATACCGTGCATGTATTCATTTTGACGCGTCTTGTGCCAAGGAACTCCTCGGTGAGCCTGGAACAGGGCCACCCTACATCAAGTAGCAAACATGCCTCTCCGCCAATCCATCCTTAACTTTTACAACTCGCGTTCAGCCCGGAAAGACACAACTACCATGGCTACGTCTACCCGAATTCGCCCCTCTATTTCACGAGAAGAGAGTTCCTCTTCCCTAGAAACTGACCCAGACACAATCGTGGTCTCGAATTTACCTCCACGCCAACTGCCCACCCCATCCGAAAGTTCTCTCGACGTGTCGATACTCGACGTGTCGATACTCGACGTGTCGATACTCGACGCGCGGGTCGTCAGCATGAAAGAGGTCTCCAAGGGTCGCGCACGACGCGTAAGTCGGCGATTGACCAAGAGCCAAAGTCAAGACCTGCTCATTGAGACTACTGAAGATGAATCCCTCAAAACTCGAACTGTGAGTGGAGAGACTCTGGTCAACATAGACAATGCCAGCCAATCAACTCTGGTGAAGGAAGGAATTGCTGCCTTGAACCTTCCCTGGAACATGAGCCAAACCTTCGGCAAAGAGGGCAAGCACGACCTACTAGCACTTAGCACTTCTTGTCGGACTTCTACTTCAGGCGCTGCCGAAGGTGATGAATCTGAAGTTGAGGAGCAGGAACGATTGGCAAGAGCTGCGGCCAAAAAGGCTAAAATGGAGGAGAACAACAAAATATGGGAGGCACGACGCAAATCAGCAGAAAAGCAAGCAACCCGAAGATCTTCTCGTATGCCTGTGCTTGAGAAGGCAAGCGAGATGGTCTCCAGCATTGCTAGCAGTGTACTGGGAAAGCGAAAGGACCGCTCCGTGCAGTCCGCAGCAGGTTCAAATGCGCAGGGCCCCAAGGTGGCTGGCGAACCTCAGCAAAAGAAGCAACGTCTCAGCCAGGCGCCTACTCCTTCTGAAGAACCCATCTCTGTTGTGAAAGCACCAGCTCCCCGGCGTGAGAAGAAATGGCTCACTTCAGGACTTTATGCGGGCCAACAAAGAACAGTCAGCAGTCAGAAGTCCCGAAAGAGTGGGGGTACTGTTGAACCACCACCCACAAACTCTGTGCTACCATTGCCCATGTATGCTGGAGAACGACTCTTGAGTCAAGGTCGAGATTTCAAGCTCCCATTCGATATTTTTTCCCCACTTCCAGCTGGCCAGCCCAAACCGGATGAGTGGAAAAAGGTGAACAAGAATGTCTTTGTCGGTGACGCAGCACAGGCATGGCGGAAGTCCAAATACGAGGAAACCTCGCTTTGTATCTGCACGCCGGACACTGGCTGCGATCAGAATTGCATGAACCGATATATGTATTACGAATGTGATAGCCGCAATTGCGGCCTGACAGAAGAACAGTGTGGAAATCGAAACTTTGAGCTTCTCAAACAACGAGTGAAGAAGGGAGGCAAATACAATGTTGGAGTCGAAGTGATCAAGACAGAAGATCGAGGCTATGGTGTTCGCAGCAATCGAACCTTTGACCCAAATCAGATCATCGTGGAATATACGGGCGAAATCATCACCCAAGATGAGTGTGAGCAAAGAATGCGAACCATGTATAAGCATAACGAGGTAAGGGAAGTGATTATGTTTCGTTTCAACTTGACTAACTTGTTCACAGTCTTACTACCTCATGCTTTTTGATCAGAACATGATTATCGATGCAACTCGCGGGTCTATCGCTCGTTTTGTCAATCACTCCTGTGATCCAAACTGCAGAATGGAGAAATGGACTGTCAATGGCAAACCACGAATGGCTCTTTTTGCCGGAAATCGTGGTATTATGACGGGAGATGAGCTTACCTACGACTATAATTTCGATCCATATTCCCAAAAGAATGTCCAAGAATGCCGATGTGGTGCGGTCAACTGCCGTGGGTTCCTTGGACCACGACCCAAGGAGGAGCGAAAACAGAGAAGCCCTGAAGAGGACAACAAGAAGCCTAGCAAACTGGCAGGAGCGAAGAGGAGAATCGCCGAAGCTATTGGAGAGGGCCAGAAGCGAATTGCCAAAAAGGTCAAAACATCTCCGCCAACCGCAAAGGTGTACAAGTCGAAACCACCGAAGAACACCAGCCCTGTCAAGGTTCGCAAGGTCAAATTAATCAAGAAGGCATTCTCTGGTAAGACCAGTGCAGCGACAACGGTCCAGGGTCTCGGGCGCCGTCCTTCCAAGCTGAAGAAATTGGTTGAAGTTGCTAAGGGCAAGACTGTCAACCGCAGCAAGACGACCGGAAGTAAGCGAGTGGTTTCGACATCTTCTTCCACAGCTTTGATCGCAAAGAAGAATCACGCGATATCGAATGGCACTATCGGACGATCCTCCAGTTTCAGAGAGAAGGCATCAAGTGTCAAGAGTAGAGTGGTGAAGACTGTGAAGGGAGGTCAAAGTGGGCGAGCTAGGAGCATTAGGCCTGTAATGGATGATGTGGACGACATGGATGAATCGTAGGAGCAGCTTTGTTGGCTGGGTGACGGTGGTGGGAAGGGATTGAGTACTTTTCGAGCATTGGCGTTATAGCGGTGATGTGCTCGCTTATGCCAGAGCAACCATGTCATACTTCGGTATTGGGAGAGGATTTATTTCTGCCGCTCCAGTTGGTTTGAATCGGTTTGGTGTTTGTCGCTGCGCTCGCCGAGGCTCACTGGAGAGCATTGAACAGAAGAATTGAAGTGGCGGCAAAGGCGGACATCTCCTGTTGATTCAACTTCCATGCGGAGAAGATGATGAAATACAAGACTTCGAGATGATTTCACTTTCGGACCTTGCTTCACAAGTCTTGCCTTGTATCGAAACCATTGCACTTGTTCTTCTACCAGCGTGTGCACAGACCTAACGTTAACTATAAAGTCCATCATGGGAGAAGTACGTGTCGCCAAGTCCTCGTCATTCTCGAGTGTCATCGATAAGTATCGACCGAAGCTCGAGCAGTACGAGGAATTGTATAAACACTACCACGCAAATGGCGAATTGTCAACCCAAGAAAAAGAGACAGCAGCTTCCATCACGGAGCATTTGAAGAAACTGTCATCAGACTTCGACATCAGAACCGGCATCGGAGGCCATGGACAGATTGCCATACTAAAGAACGGCGAGGGGAAGACGATTCTCCTACGCGCAGATATTGACGCCTTACCGGTCGCAGAGAAAACCGGTCTCCCCTATGCAAGCAAGAAGACACAGCTCGATGTCGACGGCGTAGTGAAGCCGGTGATGCACGCCTGCGGCCACGACTTCCACATCACATCACTGCTCGCGGCGGCAGAGACACTCATCGCAGCACAGGCCGAATGGAGTGGCACAATCGTCTTCCTCTTCCAGCCAGCCGAGGAACGAGGCTGCGGTGCACAGGCAATGGTTGACGATGGGCTATACGACGCCAAGAAACACGCATGCCCAATTCCGGATGTAGTGCTGGGCCAGCACGTCTTTCCCTTACAAGCGGGCAAGACGGGCCTGAAGCCTGGGCCTCTGATGTCCGCAGCCGACAGCTTCAAGATCACCATCTACGGCAGCGGCGGGCACGGGTCGATGCCACACATGACGATCGACCCGGTCGTGATTGCGAGCCACGTCGTCGTGCGCCTGCAGACCATCGTGTCACGAGAGGTGCCGCCAGACGAGACTGCCGTTGTCACTGTCGGCGCCCTTAACGCCGGGAGCACCGAGAATGTCATCTCCGACGAGGCCATCATCAAGATCAACATCCGCTCTGTGAGCGCCGAGTGGCGCGAGAAGATCCTCGCTTCGGTGCGTCGCATCGTCAAGGCCGAAACCCTGGCCGGGAACTCGCCTAAGGAGGCGACCATCGAGCCGACTTCGTCGTTCCCACTGACGATCAACGACGCCGAAACCGCAGGGATCATCAATAAATCGTTCACGGAGCACTTTGGCGATCAGCATGATCCGGCGATCAAGAACGTGTTGGGTAGTGAGGATTTCGGGATCCTGGGCTCGTATATCGATAGGCCTTATTGTTTCTGGTTCTTTGGCGGACATGATAGGGCCATTTTCGATGAGAAGACAAAGAGTGGGCAGGGCCATACTATTCCTGTCAACCATAGTCCGTTCTTTGCGCCGGTCATACAGCCTACTTTGACTACAGGTGTGGATGCATTGGTGGTTGCGGCTTTGACCTACCTTGGAAAAGACAGGAAGTGAGTGTTGCTTAGTGAGTCTAGCATCTGGTTGTCAGGATGAAAAGAAGATGAGGTTCTGCAAATGGAGCAGAGACTGCTCCTCTCCTTGAGCCGTCGCTGGCGGAAGGTATCCATGAATAAGGACTCAATGAAAAGTTATCAGATCATCAATCTTTCTTGACGTGGAACATTCACCTTCATCTTCGCACATATCACTTGGTGAGTGATTTGTTTGATTTCGGAGATGCAACAATGTGTACAGTATCATAAAGCAAGACATTCTTATTGATCTGGATATTTGAGCATGCCTGACGGGCGCAAATGAGCTGCACACTCAAGTTGTCTAAAGCTTCAGAATCTAATCGCGATCTGCCAATGCAAGCACTAATTGTCAATTCCAACCACTCTTACCCTAACGCCCTTGGAATCCAACTTGGGCGAGGGGATGAAGAAATCATGCGCCATGCGCACGTCGGACACATCTGTTTCGTACAGCTCAAAGGTGAATCGGCGAAAGATGGTAGCAAGGACCATGTAAAGTTCGGCATGTGCCAGACTTTGACGTTTAAGTTAGCAGACAGGTTTGGTGATGCGGATGACATTCTCTTTTTCGCAAAGTACTTACTTGATCCCAAGGCAAGATCTTGCATCCTTGCCAAATGACACAAAATAGCGATCAAGTGACGAGCCGTTATGTGTCCTCGGATTGTTCAGCCAACGCTCGGGCGTGAAGGATTGGGAATCCGGAAAAACGGCCTCGTCGTTGTGGACATCGACTATTGTGAGGGAGACTGGTGTTCCAGCGGGGATATCCCAAGATTTGTATTTGAACGGCCTGTCCGGCGAAATCCTAGGACTTCGTGAAGTTACGCCATAAGATAACCGAACTGCCTCTTTGATGCATGCGCTAAGGTAAGGCAATTCTTCGAGACGTAGCCAGTCCAGTGGCGCTATCGGATCGGGAATCGCAGCCTTCAGTTCCACCTGCAGTCGCTCCATCGTTGCTGGTTGATTGATGAGGTAAAAGGCGGCGAGAGTGAGTGCCCAGGCAGTGGTTTCTGTGCCAGCACCCAGGATACCAAAGGCCTCGTCCCCTAAACGCTTCAGGTCTTTTTCTCGCTCCGGGAGGTCACTGTTGAGCACTTCGTGGAAAACAGTTAGAGGTTCAGGATTCTTACGTTCGCTCTTCGCTATCTTGCTGATTATCCTCTCGAAGTCTTTCTTGAGTACTAGAAGCATGTGCAATGCAGGATTCATCTTGTCCACCAGACGGTCAGGGAGCGAATTGATTATGGGCGTCACCCAGGGGAACTGGAGGGTTGTGTGGCCAAAGGCGCTCACCGCAATGAACGCATCGTGGAAACTCTCTTCGAAGTTCGGCGACTCCAGATGATTGTAGCAAAGACCAAAGCAGTACTGACAAATGACATCCCCAGCAAACGCACTGAATGCATGATTGAGGGCCAAGATTCGTCCATCCTCTTTATACTGTTCGAATTTTGCGCATAGGCTTTGGATCTTCTCTTTGATGAAAGGCTGGAACTTGGCGATACTCCGTCTGGAGAAGAACGGGTTCAAGACACCTCGGCGAAGCTTGTGAAGGTCGCTGTTGGCAGTCGTGAAAATCATCCCATCACTGCCCATTCGTCCTGACATCCATTCGTACTTGTCAAGTCGAGAAGTGCGAGAATAGAGATACTCCCAATAGTCACTGTCCTCCACGTGAAGTTCATCCGGGGTGATTCGAACAATGGGACCTTGATCGTCAGCGGGCTGTTTCGCTAAAATACTTATGAACTAGATTCTTTACCATATTTTCGGTGAAGGTCGGGAAGATGAAACGTTAAATTGCCCTTACGGACTACCTCATAATAGAATTCGTACCATCTTGAGAGTCCTGCGAGCTTCGGGCCTGGGAAATGCGCCAGAGGATGCCAATAGAGGCGATAGATACCAAGCGCGATAAGGTACAAACAAGATCCAATGCTAAGAATAAGCGGCAACGCAAGCGAGGGTCTCGAGAGGTGGTCCATATTAGAGCTGTTGTATTGATACATAGGTCTCAGCTCGGTACAAATTAGACGATTTCTTGATCACGGCAATCCATTATACTCGCGAGGCGAGGCATATGAGTTCTCAGGCTGAGTAACTGGCGAGTAGGTAGTATTGAAAGTCAACGGCCAACGCATCAAAAGCCCAAGATCGCACTAAGAGATCTTCGGGCCGCAGAGGCCATGACATCCCCGAAAAGGTTTGAAGCTGCGGACTGGAACATGTAGGTAAATGCCAATCATCAGCGTGCTTGGGGCTCAGCAGCTGCATGATAAGATGCAGGGTCGCGCAACATTGACTGGTAAACGGAACTCCGCATGTAAAGGCACCCACATTAGTATTCATACATAACACAATGTCGCTCTTGTGGCGTGGTATATGAAGGTAATATTCAACCTCCGAAACGGCTGATTCGCTCAATTCTCAGGTCCAGAGCACTATGTCGGAGAGCATAGATAACCCAGTGCAAGTCCAGGCCTCCAGTCCCAGCGCTCTAGCCCCGGAGTCAGCCGCCCAAAACCACATACAGCGCTTCAAGTGGACGTTAGTCTGGCATCTTGTAGGACCATCCCATCACTGACAGTTCTTCCCTAGACATTTGCTGAGAGTGACTCTACCCTTGGCGTCGATAACACCTCAGTAACGAGCGCCTCATTCAGTTCGTCCATTCAGAACCACAAGTATGAAAATGGCCGGCGCTACCACGCCTTCCGAGAGGGCACCTACCCGCTACCCAACGATGAGCCTGAGCCTGAGCAAGAACGACAGGATCTTCTCCATCACATTTTTCGTCTGATACTGCGCGGCAAGCTTTTGCGTGCACCCCTGGAGCATGCCCCGCCACGCGTGCTGGATGTCGGTACAGGCACTGGAATCTGGGTCCTCGATTTCGGAGATGAGTTTGCTGAAAGCTCTGTGATCGGGACCGACCTTAGCCCAATCCAGCTAACATGGATTCCGCCGAATTGTAACTTTGTCATCGACGATGCTGAGAGTGACTGATTGTACAAGTCAGAGGAGGTATTTGACTATATCCATTGGAGAGGTCTCGGAAGATCCATCGCGGAATGGCGCGCATACTATCGTCAGTTTTATAAGCACCTCAAACCCGGTGGTTGGTGTGAAGCTCAAGAGTATGAAGCCTGGCTTAGGTCGGACGATAACACAATCAACCAAACAGGTAAAACACTCATACAATGGTGTGAGCTCGTTGGCGAAGCCAGCATGAAGTTCGGCAAGAAGATCAATATAGCTGGACTGCAGAAGCAATTCATGATCGAGGCTGGTTTTGTAGATGTTCGTGAGGACATATCCACAGTATGTGCACTTTACCTGAACACTCTGACAGAGGTAACTTCTGACACACGAGTGTTAGGTGCCCGTTGGAGCATGGCCGAAAGATCCAAAGCTCAAAGAGATAGGGATATTCGAGCGCGAGCACATGTTGGCTGCCATCGAGCCGTTTACCTTGGCCCTTCTCATACTGGTGCTAGGCTGGAGCATTGAGAGCACCCAGGTTCTGATGGCGAAAGTGAGGAATGAATTCCAAGACAAGAAAAACCACGTGTATAGCTATCTCCACTTCGTTTCTGGAAGGAAGCCCAAAGAAGCCAGCACGCCAACTTGAGACGTGGAGACAATAGCACCTCGGAGACGTGCACCCTTCTCTACATCGAGATTTATTTGCTCGACCCCACCATGCACTTACTGGCACTGAGCTGTAGTTTGGGAAGTGTCCCATTGTTCTTGTTTGGAGACCAAATGTAAGATACGAGAGAGAATGGCATAAGCTGGGGCGTCTTCAAGGTTGGCCAGGGCCAAGGAGAGACGAGCCTCTTAATGTGAGAGGTGGTTGAAGGACTTTACGCGTCGAAGGTGGTACACGTGATGAAACGCGTGTGTTGAGCTGAGTCACATGGAACAACGCAATTCCGACATCGGATAGCGCACCCATGCTTCGTACATGACCCCGGAAGCGGCTTGAGGAGATCGTCCAAAGAAAAGCTGGGTTGGAAATCCTCATGCGGAGTCTGGCCGACAGTTGGAGTCATTGACGCTCTTATTCGTATCGAGGACCGGCCAACGGAGAGACTTGCAAACCCAATTCCAGGCTGATCATGGAATGAGCAATCTCCTGTACAAGTCAGAGAAGCGGGTTTGATTTCAAATCCTGAACAGTCCTCTTCCTAGATAGAATCATAAACGATATGACAACCGTGTGGGATTATTGCTGGCAAGTGTAATGAGATCCATGAGCATAGCTACCTCAAGACTTATATCCATCTCAACTGCCTTTCAACCACCATCATTCTCACCAAACCGAATATCAAGTTCCAAAAGTCTTTCCAAAGCTCATATCACAACCACTTCAACAACCATGGCAGGCAAAGAACCCGTCAAGCTCGCCATCCTAGACGACTACGCATCCGTCGCCTCACAGCACTTCTCAGCCCTCCAAGCCGCTCACCCAAACCTCGAAATCCAGTGCTTCCCAGGTACACTCAATGCGAAACTCGAATCCGAGCACGCGGAGCTCATCTCTCGCCTGAAGCCATTCACCATCATCTCATCCATGCGGGAACGCACCCAGTTCCCACGCTCAGTGCTGAGCCAGCTCCCGCAACTCAAACTGCTTGTGACGACGGGAATGCGCAATGCGGCCATTGACGTCGCGGCTGCGACGGAGCTCGGCATCACCGTCGTAGGTACCAAGGGGAAAAGTAATGCCACGCCGGGTTATGATGCGACGAACGAGCAGGCCTGGACGTTGATCCTCGGTCTGGCGAAGGACGTTGTCGGCTCCGCCGCGAACGTCACGTCCAGCGCGGACGGTCGAGGCTGGCAGACGGGCCTGGTGTCGGCATTGGGCGGCAAGACGTTGGGTCTCCTCGGACTGGGGAAACTCGGCACACAAGCCGCTGTGACGGGGAAGCTGGGCTTTGGGATGAATGTACTGGCGTGGAGTACGAGTCTCACTCAGGAGAAGGCTGACGAGGCGGCTGCGTCGCGAGGTCTCGCTCCGGGATCCTTCAAGGTCGCCGCATCTAAGGAAGACCTGTTTCGCCAGGCCGATGTCCTCAGCGTGCATTACGTGTTGTCCCCGCGTTCGCGTGGCATAGTGGCGGCCAAGGATCTCGCGCTGATGAAGTCTAACGCGATACTGATAAATACGTCGCGGGGTCCGTTGATCGACGAGAACGACCTGCTGGAGGCATTGGAAAAGGGGAAGATTCATGGTGTGGGGCTCGACGTCTTTGAGACGGAACCTTTGCCAAAGGAGAGTCCATGGCGAAGAAACCAGTATTGGGGCAAGGAGGGCCGGAGTCTCGTGCTCGTGTCGCCGCATAATGGATACGTGGAGAGCGAGACGATGAATGCTTGGTACAAGCAGCAGGCTGAGACGGTGGGGACTTGGATCACTGGTGGGGAGGTCCAGAATAGGATACAGTGAGATTTGGACATTGATAAACAAATCCGAGGAGCATGAGATTGATACCATAAACTACCTGGTTCCTTTCTCTACCTAAAATGATACCAAACGCAAAAGTGATGCAGACCTGCCTCAGGCTATATATCCTGGATCCGAGCTACTTGCATGAAACCCCCGCCAACTCTATGCCTCTAGCACCAAATTCGTGTTCTATAAGCTGTCATCATTCTTGATCTGGACCTTGATCGCCCCACTCTTGGGGTCGCTAGCTGTCTTGAATGCCTGGACGGCATCGCTCAAGTTATAACGATGAGTGACCAATTTGTCTAGGTTGATCACTCCGCTCTCCACTAGCCGAATAGCCCTTGGCCAGGTATTGCAATAGCGATATTGATACTGCAGGTCGATTTCCTGAGTACTAAGTCGCATAAATGGGACCTTCATCTCGTTCTTTCCGACTCCAATGATGAAGACCTTACCGCCGAATCTCACACTCCAGATGGCACTGGCGACGCTAGATTCGACGCCAGTACATTCAATGGCGACACGAGGTCGAATTCCACCAAGGGCATCAATGATACCATCGGCACTCTCCTCGGCGGATTTACCCATGGGTACGAGGAATGTCTTGACGCGAGGAACCAGAGATTGGGCGAAATTGAGTCGCCCTTGGTCGATATCAGTGATAACAATGGGCGTCGCGCCTGCTGCAGCCGCACACAATAGTGTGACAAGACCGATAGGGCCAGCACCAGCAATCAAGGTTGGATCTCCAAGTTTCAGTCCTGCACGCTCAATACCTGCCAATGCAACGGAAAGAGGTTCTAGTAGACTACCGTCTTCGAAATTCATGTCTCCGATTTTATGGCACCAGACCGCAGGATGTTTGACATATCTTCTCAGCAAACCATCAATGGGAGGTGTACTCAGGAACTCGACACTTTCGCATCCATTGTATCTTCCTGTCAGGCAGGGTTCGCACTTGAAGCAGGGGATATTTGGCTCAATAGCCACGCGGTCACCCACCTTCAACGATTTGACAGAAGGATGGACGGACAAGATGACGCCAGCGGATTCATGCCCTAGGATGTGGTCATCGGTGACTATCATTGGACCGATACATCCTGCATGCCAAAAATGAACATCTGAGCCGCAGATACCAGTGGATTTCACACCGACGTAAACCTCGCCTTCTTTCAAGTCATGTCCCGCGTGGGCTTCTCCTGCAGTAGGAGAAGCCTCTGCGATCCATAGATCATGTTTGGGGTTTGTGAAGACTCCGATATTTGATTTTAGAGAATTGGCATTGGGGCTTTTGACGATGTCGGTGGCCTCGCTAGACTCGACAGGTTCCACGGTTCCGTTGGTCTGCGCTGTCTCAGCAGGCTCGTTAATTTCGTTGGGCTCGATGGTGCCGTTGGTCTGCACGGTATCGACAGGCTCGACAGTTTCAACAGGCTTGGTCTTCTCGACCGATCCGACAGTCTCGATGGCAGTAGGGAGGACTTGGGTGGTGGTGGTTGAAGACATATTGGCGTGGCGCAGGAAAAATGTCGGGGAATTGCTCAGCAGGGAGGTGGGGGCGGGGTAGATAGTAAGCGAGGGCAGTTGCGATGCTTAGGTCAATGGCATCTGCTTGGGAAGGCACGTCAATTGCTGGTTAGTGCTGCCAGTGTGCCGAAAGGAAAGAGGAAACTTGTAGGTAGGCAGGAACGTGAGATGAGTTTGTATCTATACGAGTCCTCCCGCCCAGTCATGAGTTGGACGATTTCATGGTCCGTGGACCATGATATTAGCCAGAGTTGCAAATTGATCTCCCCAAATGTTGCACAAAATTTGCAAGATACCCAGCACCACCGGGCCGTCTGCTTTGCTTTGTTCCCGTGGCCTCGGGTGTCATTAACTACCTACTGCTAAGTGGCGGTGCTAGGTGAGCTACGGAGTAGATGGGATATATTCACCACTTCTCCATACCTACCTCGAGGACGGTTGGCCCACCCCAACGCCCAACCCTCCCCACTTTGACAGTAGACTGGAGTGAACTCCGAGCACTGTAACTCTGTGCCCACCGGAGATTTCCTCCATTTCGGTGCGATGCTCAGCGTGTCGGGCCAACACTCTCCGTGACCAACAAGTCACAGTTTGCGGGGCTTGAATAAGCAATTCTCCGCCTCTCCGGCCTGTGAGTGAACCCTTCATACCTAAGTAAGGCACACATCACTTATGCTATGCTTACGTCCATTCCAAAACAACTCCACAGCACTGCACCTGAAAATATGGCACGTTGGCTTCGTCAAGACTTTGATGCTACCAAACACTGCCTACTCGTAGTAGCTAGTACTTGGGTATTTCTTCTTGAAGTTTTGTGTGTGCCAAGGCTGGTCTTTCTCAGGTCTTGGCATAATGCTCTTCTTCAGTTGCCGTAGGCGTCGCTCAAAACCTCCCTCCTGCATTCCGAATGAGCTCTCAGGTTGAGAACGCTCGAGTTGTTCTCGTGCGAGAACAGTTTCTTGCATAACAGAGTTCAACATCCATAATGTAAGTGATGGCAGGCATGAATTCAGGTATGACTACAGCTGCAGGTTTTGAAGCCTGGCGATTGCACAGCAACGTTCTGGGATGTGCCAATCTACCCCAATAACAACTTAAATGCTACTCTTACGACTCATCTTAAGAGCAAAGTTCAGAAGCGAACGACACAGATCTTGCCTAATCCCCGAGGGTCGGCAATCTTTGGATCTTCCTGACTGAGCGCTCGACGCGACCCATCTTCAACCGTGGAGTGAAAACGTTCTCACTGCAGCCTTGCAGAAACCCGAGACGCTTGAGTATACTGGCTTAATGTTCTTCCAATGCCATGTGTTGCTACGAGCCGTCTATTGGGCGTGGTGGCCTTAACCCTTAAACTTTTGGACCTACCTGGTCTAGACTAAATCGAGAAATTTTCCCGAAGTCGCTGAGATTCTGCTTTTCTGTTGACGTACCTCTATGCATAGTGACTCCTGGGTCTGTTGTACGAAAGTAAATAGGTTATTGACGTCAGCTGGAGTATAACAGGTGGTGAATATCACAACCTACACCAATCATTGATCTAGGCCGAAGTGAGTAGTTTCCACGAACTGAGGACTATCTACGATCTTACTCACAAGGAAGTACGTACGCCGGATCCATATTCTGAGTTCTCTGGTAGGAAATCATCGGAAAAATTTCTTGATCAGTCGACATGGTATGAGGGAAATTGATTCAGGCCTCCTCGAGTTGGATTGAAATTCATCAAGCTCACTGCCCTCTTCGCGGGGTCGCAAGGTACAAAATGCCTGGGAGGATTCATGTTGTCCTTGCAGCCGCCATAGGCTTTACTGCATCTTTCTACCAATCTCTATTTCAATCTTTATTCAATTATGCGTTTCATTCTCTGGACAGCAAGTACGTCTAGCATGGAGCTATCATGTTCATAATCGAGCTGCTAATGTTCAATAGTCTTCGTTTGGAGAGCACACGCTATCGAAACTATTCCTGACACATATGCTCCGCGCTTTGTTGATTGCCCCCCAGATCTAGAGATAGTGCGACAAGTTGCCGGGCTGTCAAAAGCTGAAGCTGATTGGGTTCGTGGTCGGAAAGCTGTAGCTGCTGACGCTTTTGGCGCCTACCTCGAGCGGCTGAACCTCTCTGACTTCGATGTTAAGAACTATACAAAATGGGTTCAGCGCAATACTGCGGAGAACATGCCAACACTGGGATTTGCGAATAGTGGCGGCGGTTCACGTGCTGCCTTCTCAGGGATTGGGGGCCTCAGAACCTTCGACAGTCAGCTCTCTGCTGCCGTCCGTCAGAAAACTGGTGGATTGCTTCAGAGCCTTACGTACTACGCTGGTCTGTCCGGAGGTGCTTGGCCACCTAGCTCTTACGCCTTCCATAACTATCCTGCCATTGACGATCTGGTTGCAAAATGGCACGTTGAGATAAATCGGTTCACAGCGACAAATGATAGCGAGTACGCTGCTACCTCGAAGACCTACTTTGAAGAGATCTATCCCAAATTTGAAGCAGGCTTCAACGTTTCAGCTTCCGACTTTTTCGGTCGAGGCTTCGGTTATTGGATGCTTCCAGGTGAACAGGGCGGTTTGAACCTCACATGGTCTTCCATCACCGAGCTCAGCAAGTTCAAGAACTATTCAGGGCCCTTTCCCATCTTGCAGGCTAATTCGCTCAACAAATCATCCCTTGTAGAAGAGGGTCTTTACGCTCCGCTAGAGACTTCGGATATAGTAGGTTTGGGAAGTTCAGGAGTTTGTGGATGTACTGACAACCACTAGTATGAATGGAATCCGTTCGAATTCGGCTCCTGGGATGTCGGTTTCACACCTACTAAATACGTTGGTACGGTTCCAGATTCCCAGGGGAAGCTGCAGAAGTGTGTCGTCAATCTTGACTCAGCATCGTAAGCCACACCACTCGTATCGCAGACATGGCTAACAAATGTCTAGGTTTGTGATGGGCAGTGCTGCAGCTGCTTGGAACTACTGGTGGATCGCGATTGCTTCGAACGGAACGCTTGGTAACTTTGCGAAACGGGGTGTTTCAGCAGCAACTCTCAACAAACGACAATCGGGCTATAGTCTTGAGACACTAGAAGGGCTCAACGAAGCGTTCAATCAGACCTTCAATCTCAGTCTATCACAGATCGCAAATCCTTCAGTACCCAATCCGTTCGGTGGGGACGAAAACATCACTCTTGCAGATGGCTCAGAGGCAGGCCAGTCTATCCCATTCTGGTCGCTGATACAACGGGAGCGCAAACTCGATCTAATGTGAGGATACAGATCGGGAATGACAAATTGAAAGCTGACTTTTCATAGTATTGCATGGGATGACGATGGAGGAGAAACTAGACCCAATTACTGGACCAACGGAACCAATGTCTGGAACACTTACAATCTCGCCAAGGCAGCGGGACTTGCATTCCCTCAGGCACCCCCTCCAGAAACATTCCTGGCGCGGAATTACGCACTCAAGCCCGTTCTGTTTGGCTGTAACAGCAGCCTAACCACAACTGGGGACTCGACTTCACCCATCGTTCTTCACCTGACCAATGCTCCCTACAGTTGGTATAGCAACTTCAGCTGGCCCACACAGAACATGAGTTGGACTGAGTTCCATGGCGTGATGGTGAATAGCTTCGACTTTGTCACTCAAGGTAATGGGACACTCGACTCTGAATGGGTGCAATGCATCGGTTGTGCGGCCATCGATAGAAGCTTGGAGAGAATGGGTACCAAAAGAACAGAACAGTGTGAACGGTGCTTTGCTAATCACTGCTGGGACGGGACGACTTCAGAACTTTCGAAGGATTTTGTCTTGGACCCGAGCTTACAATTAAACCTGTCTCTTGGATTCGTGGAATGGAATAAGACACATCCATTTTCTGGGGGAGTGATTACTGATTGATTGGGATACTTTGGCTGCCACCAGTCTTTGCAAACGTTGGAGGTCAGTATAACATTATATAGTAAAGTATTAGTTTATTCTACACAATATGCATCTTGTGCACGAATTTCATAATTTACCAGCGAGTACTGTGGCTGCGGCGTGCGCGAAGTAACACAAAGTTGAGTGCCCGAGCGATTTGCCACGAAGGACCGAAAAGCACAGCAAAGCCTCAGAAATTGTCAGAGCAGGGGCTTGTCTGAAATATTGATGCCTTTGTCACCAAAAGCGTGACAGTCTTCTGTGTGACACCATTCTAATACGGCTCAATTGTGACAAACTGAGCAAACAGACACAATCCAAAAGTCATTTCATTGAAATATCCCTAGGCCATGGGAGAACCTAGCTTCCTGTATCCTGAAGAGTTCCCGAAGGCAGCAAAATCATGTCTCGAGCAATTCCCTCGCCCGCGCCGAAGGAGCTGGAAACGACCGCAGACGGGAATAAGCCGACTTCCACCAAAGTCAATATCAAACTTCGATTTCTGTCCGAGTATTGCTCGATCTCCGGAAACCCTCTATGTTTCTTACATTTCACACTCAAAGCCGCGGAAGACGCCAGGATCAGTGTGAATCGAAGACGTCCAATCGTTGAATTCCTCGAGGTCAAGGACGACCATGTCCCTGGTGGATTACCACTCCTTTCATTCTATGACGCTGCCAGTGGTACAACTCAGCCTATATTTTCATATCAGCTGGATGTTTGCTATGAACGAGACAGGCAGAGACTGATGCAACAAGATCCTAGTGGGGTGGAATTTAAGGATTTTATTATCTTATCGCCTAGGGGATACACCGTCTCTCATTGTGTGAATTTGCCATGGAGCTATATTCTTACGTACCATCAGATATCAAAGTTACGCACCCAGTGAAGCTACCGACTGAGAGTAGGGTTGCATGGAGAAAAACGCACGCAGGGACACTGGTACCCGAAGGATGCTATTGAAGAAGTCCAACATGTGCATCTTGAATTAGCTCAATCACCGAAGCCTGTGATACAGCTTATTGATTGATGACAGCAATGATTAGGGACGGTATTCGTCACCATGGCCGAGGCGAAACGTAGGAGCTAGTTGCTCACATCTGGTGATTAGACCCTCGGTGGCAACAATGATCGCGTTCAATCAACAGACCAGATCTGAGTACATCTCTAGTGATAGACTGGCTCACTCCTCTCGTTTCCCAATACACACAGGCACTGCCGAGTTCAAGTTACCTTATAAGTGGTAGCCCCTGCCAAGACATAGCCTTGCCGTGTATTGCCGACAATCCCCCTGCCGATTCAGAGATGACTGAACTTTCACAGCGATAATTCACGTACAGTGTGAATGAACATCAAAAGCAATTCGGACACACACTAGAGGAAACGTTTTAGGTTGTAATTCTTGGTTAGCGCATATATATTCACGACCAACAAAACAACCCGTTTGTTCCGAGGCAGCGGTTAGTCTGTCACGGGTTAGCAGTGACATGTCGCTCAGGATGAACCAACACCTCCTAATAAGGTCTGATGAGACAGAAAAATTTTCTTGGATTTACCATACACGAGTTAAAGAAGCCCAGGAAGACGAAAACCCAAGCAAAGTGAAGCTACTCGTTTAGAAATCAAGCCTTTCCATTCTTTAGAGCTCGGCACGCAAACAGCCCTTGAAAGCTCAAACAAGACTGTAGCCCAAAGATCAACTTCACGCAGTGTCAGCCTCATAGCACACAGTAAACAAAATTCACAGAAACAAGAGCCATCAAACCTTCTCAAAGCAAACAACCCTTCTTGCGCAGCCTTCTCATCATCGGCAAAACACTTCGCCCCTTCATCTCTCCAAGGATCTTTTCTACACCAATCTCTCCTAGTCGCCGTTCGGCGCCTTCATCGCCCTCCCCTCTTCAAACCTTCTCCCTAAAAATATATAAAAAGGTTCCCACAGAGATGGCAGATCGACGAGTCAACCGACTCCCAGTCAATCGGCTTGCAGGGTTCCAGCCTAATCCTCGAGTGCCTCAAGTCGCAACTCCATCACCAACTGTCCGCGCTCAACGAATGGAAGCTCTGCGAAATCAGCTGAGGTTTCCACATGCCATAGCGAATTCGACGTTGAGACGCTACCTTGGGCGCAATGCTTGGGATGTCAACTGATCTGCGCAAGCCTTCTGGGAGGCGGAGCAAGGCGAAAGTCTCGGTCTTGCAGGTCATGCTGAGCTTATCACTCAGCGTCGTGGTGATACCGTCGAACAGGGTCGGATATTTCAGATCACCGACCAGGTGGACATTATGGCAACAGCTCAGCATCGAAGGATGGAAGACCTCCGCCACCAACCCGGAGAAGTACCTGCCCGTGCAATTCCACCTCAGCCTTTCAATCTGTCCAATGCTGAGGGAGCTGTCCTCTTTCATCAGAGACTTTGGGTCTCAGAGACGGCTCAGAGAGACATGGGGCGTATCCTTGATGCGCAGACTGGCGCAGAGCACGACAAGAGGTCTCTCCAAGACGAGATTCTGCTCTCTGTGGCGCGCAACAGACTATTGCCAACCGGTAGAATGGAAGAGGATGAAAGAACGGCACTATTTATGTCCATCACTTCTTCCAACAGTTGGTGGTCCAGTCGGTTCTTGCTGGTGGAACACGATTAAGACCTTGTTGCTGCCATTGACGAATGGATGAAGCTCGGAGGCGTACCACTCGTACCACAACCTAGGAGACGACGCCGTTTGGGGATCCGCTCTTCGTACCTAACGGATGGCGGATATAGAGCTCAGAACGTCAACCAACCTCCTCGTGTATCACATGGCTCTCTAGAGATATTCTCCAATGATCAGCAGCCTATCTCTCTGTCGCGGGAAGACAGAGTAGCTGTCATGAGACAAGCTCGTCCTCCCCTTCAAGACCATGTACGACGAGCAGAGATTCAAGACGCTGGTGCTCGGCGGGAGTACTTCACAGGTAGTCGTCGAGGCTATCTACTCGACGACCGGAGAAAAGACAATCAACCAGCTTCTCCTAACTGTCCTGATCCATCGAAACTCTGGCTCGAATACGTTAGGGGAGGTTTTCTCAAGACTCAATTCTTCCCGTCCGAGATGTGGACTATCTCAGGTCAAGTACGAAAGAGAGCCTTGCCTTTCCGCTGGCATGACGACGAGGAAGAAAACCAGCTTGAGGGACCTCACAGCAGAACCAGACAGGATATAGAATTCGACTGGTCCAACAAAACCCACGTCAGTCGCCTCAACAGATGGCGCTCGCAGCGACAATTCATGATCACTGGCAAGAGCAAGAAAGATCAAAGATCGTACCCTTTCAACAAGTACGAAAACCAGTGGTTGACCGAGCAAGATGCCATGCACATTGAGGAGCAGTTCTACCACGAGGCAGGCCAGAACGCCTTGGACGACGAGATCACCAACCGGCGCAAATGGGACCGGGCAATGGAGAAGTTCTCCGACTTCAAAAAATTCCCGATCCGGCTCACCAAGTCCGAGATGCAGGATCTCACAGAGCGCTTCAACGCCACATTTGCAGGGAAACGGTACTATCAAAAGAAAATCACCCGCGAGTTCAATGGCATGAAGGACTATCCCACCGTGGTGACTAAGGACATGTCACAGGTGGGGTTTGTTCCTCGTCCAGCCCGGAGTGAAATCGTCATCGCAATGCAGCGTCGAAGGCTGAAGGCATCTGCCAAGCGGTACCTCATCACACTCAACATGCCGAAGGAGGCAGACAAGGATAAGTTCTATGATGAGTTGAGCAGCGAGGATGACTCGGACTTTGCGAGTGATCGTTGATGGTCTTGGGGGTTTTGGTTCGGTGGGTCGAGTGCGTTACGAGAGGTTTCGATGTCAACGGTCGGTCAAGCTATAACGGGGGAAAATCCAAAGTATTGGTAGAACATGTCTTTGGGAGTTGGAAATTAAAGCGGAGTATGACGCTGAATCAGTGTTTTCCTAAAAGCGTAAGATTGGCTAATAAAGATTGGAGGTGATACCCTCAAGATCTTGTTAAATTGCGGTTCATAACCAGTGAGAAACATGTCTTCGTACCGACTCAAATATTTGATGAAGATGGATATCAAATGACCTTTAGGTTCTCTCTCATGTGGAAGTGCCACAGACAAGGAATTAAAGTTGTTGTCAGCCGTAATATGCCAAATTATGATCTAGCAACAAACGGTTCTTGAGAGAAAGGAACTTTTCAACACGAGTGAGCCTTTCGTCACATGGATGATTTAGATCTCGGCCGTCGACCATCTCTAGACACGTACTGACACTGTACCGGAGGCTAATCGGAGTCGGAACTTGAACTTGAACTTGGGACCATGCCGGCCCGATCAGGGGCGCTTTGTTGGCCTCGATAAACATCCAGAGTTGCGAGTGCAACGGTCACCATTTCGTCCAAGGCATCCTGATTCTTCAGAGACAAGGCATCGATCTCAATGGTCCCCGAGTAGTGATCGGTCATCACAATGTTGCAGACATCTTCATATGCTTCGTCAACATCAAACAATCTGATCACGAAGCCTCCTTTGTCTTTGTAGCCACCCATAAATTTCCACTCGAGCGAGTGATCTTGCCTGGTCCCCACATCGGATCCCCAATACGTGTTGTTCTCGGCGAACGGCCACAGATCCCATTTCAGCCAAGGGAAGGCAAGCTCTACGTAGTGCTCGTGGTATTTGAGCTTGCAGATGGTTTTCGGCTTCTTGCTTTGGCCATCGTGATATTGAATCTTGGCTTTGGTCGAACTGAAAGTGCCTGATTTGGTGATCTTGCTCGTGTACAAGGGCTGGGTCTTTGGAGCACCAGGGGCCACCACAAAGTCCTTTTTATCGCCTTTGTCCACGATCGTCAAGGCTATGGTGTTCGTTCCTGGTGCACATAGGTGGGGGAAGGCATTAGCTGCGCCACTTTTCACTGACGGGGCATGTTGTTGACTGAGTTGTGGACTGGGTAATGGTGGCGACTGGTGGTTGACGGTTGGAGGAGGATGGTTCTGGCCTTGCTGGTAATACTGTCCAGCATTGTTAGGATCAGCGTAGCCATAGCCACCTGGTCCAGCAGGCTGCTGATATGGCTGAGACTGCGAATACCCTGGTTGCGGTGGCCCGTAATGCTGTTGGTAAGGTTGTTGACAAGGCTGTTGCTGTGGTTGCTGGTATTGTGTTGGAGGATATCCGTATTGATTTTGCATGATTGTGATAAGGGTGCAAAGAGTCCTGAGGCTCGGGTGCCTGATGTCTGTGGGAGATGCCCCTCAATCGGGAGTTAAGTCAGAATATGTAGATCGGATCGGATCTCGACGTCTGCCATCTGAGAGAGCGAGAAGTTGGGTCGGATCTACATGGCCTTTTGAGTCTTCGATCATCTTTCAGCTGATAATCGCGGAGAGCTCTGCCCACCTCGCTCGCTCGCGTTTCGATCACTCTAGATCGAAAAATAACCTTCGCCAAGGGACTTTTGGATGAGGCATAGCTCCTGCTGATACCAAGAGAAGCTTGCTCCCGTGAAGGCTCACTAGTTCGTTGGATGCCTTGAGATTGAGCAAAACAAGACTTGACGGCTAAAATGGGTCATTCTCCTAAGGACAAGACTAATTAAATATGATTTGTCTTCGGCTCCATGAAGTGGGATGTTGGGCACATAATTGACGGAAGGATTGTGCCGGGCTGTGAGTTCTCGTGTTCAGCCTCAAGCCAGTGATTCAGCCCCAAGTTCGGACAAGGGTAATGAGCTGAGAATCTCAATAGCGCATGGACTTCTTGAGTTCCTGGCTGGGCCACTTGACCTCAACAGAAACCTGGTAACACTACGAAATAAAGACTTGAAGTATCATTATCATCAGGGTAGGATGTGTTCCCAAATAATCGCCAAACGATTGAGGTTGCGGGATCTAGGCACATACTCGTAACTAGGAATCGTAGTAGTTGCGTGCCTAAGTACTTACCCAGTCGAGGATTGCCCCATCAGCCCGGCCGAGCCTGTTAGGCCGAAGGGGGCGAGTAGACGGGTACTACCTGAAGTCAGCACCATATTAGGTACCTCCCACCCAGAGATGACAGTTTGGGCAGACTATTTGGAGAGGCTAAAGAACGAACGAGGGCCAGGGTCAGTATAGTACTCATTCATCCAAATGCTTAGCATCATCCGGACTCAGTTCTAGAGTGTAAAGGTTAGCAAAATAGCATATCATAAAACAAAGTCAATCATTAAACGCGCTCAAGTTTTCTAACTCTCGAATGCCCTGGCCCCTGCACCACCATGGTTCTCGGCTGGAGGCAAGATCTTCGTTGGTTTTAAACCTATGGCATTCGCCCAGTGCTGACGCTAGGTGCTCCATGGTAAAGTTCTCGATGTTGTGTTTGGCAAATTGCCTCCTAAAGCTAGGGATTAATCCAAGTCGCTGTTGACCTGTGAATATTCATCCACTCCCAGATCCAAAACAATAAGGTAGAATCTAGTCTGTGCTGTTAGACAGATCATGCTCTTCGAGGCGTCGACTTCCTTCTGGTGGGAAACGAGAGAATAGGAGCACTCCAAACCCGATCAAGGCCACCGCCTGTGAAAGGAGAGTCAGTTTCAACTAAACACATGAAAAGCGATTGTTGTGGATATACTCACAGCATTGCAAGTAAATACCAGTTCTGTCTTCCCAATAGCTGCGAATGCCGCAAATATAACGCCGAATACCAAGGCTATGTGAAGCAAAACCGTCAGTATGATTGTTGCAAAGTTTGATGTACAATCACATCCCAGGAATGCACTCACTGGTAGACATCCTCGCCAGATTCTCAACCAAGCTGAGTCCAGCCAAAGCATCTGTTCGCTCGGCACTTTTCGCGGAACTGCCAACCATTTGGATGATTGTTCCCTTTGATGCAGACCCTGTCCCTGCCGAGAAGGGTAGCGCAGCTGCAACAAGATACATTTGCCAACCTTCTTGCACGAATGAGCAGAGTAGAGTAAGTAGTCCATCGGCGAGCAATGAATATCGGGTATAAGTCAGGTCGAACGTGAATGTTTGCTCCTTCTTCTGGACCTGATCTTTGTCAACATCAATTTCCTCTTCTCCCACACGCGTGCCCAAAGAAGGTAACAAAGGATCGCGCTCGTTTGCACCCATCGCTTCTGCATGCTCGACTGAACCTTTGCGCTCCTGGCTTTTGGTGGTGTATTTTCGTCCCAGGGCGATAAGCTTGGGGAATGCAAATGTTAAGAAAAGACCCCTCAGCATTGAATACATGAAAATTAGGGCACCATTCTGTCGAGTACCAAATCCAAACACGTCAGTAGAATATAACTGCAGCAGTGTTGCCAGATATCCTAGAAATGTTAGGTTGGGGATGAATAGTGTATCATTTCAGAATTCTTACCTGTCGCCAGTATACCAAGATAAACTCCACAAGCAAGTAGGCAAGCCCCGTACTCCGTTCTCACCAAACCATCCTTTCCAATGAATTTACGTGGCGCAAAGACTGTCAAAGGCTTGAAGAATTTCCTGAATATGATTGTACCGCGGTTGGGATTGGTGTGCGCTGCTGCCGAGGCCTTGGCTTCTGCAGGGCGAACGTAAGGCAGCATCAGCGCAACGTAGATGCTGGAACTTAGGAACAGAATGAAGGTCAGTCGGAATGGAGATTTTATGCCGAAATCTTCAGCCAGAACGCCTCCTAAGAGAAATCCCGATGCAGCGCCAAACATCATACTCCCATTGAGCCTGCCCAAAGCTGCCGTACGCCCTTCATGCTCGACAACCTCGGTAATGAAGGTGTTGAGCACAAGTAAATAGCCACTTGGCCCACCAACAATGCTGACGATCTGCGACCATTGAATGATGTTGATACCTGTGCTTCCCCAAACTTCGACGCCAATATTTTGTATCAGTAGACGGACAGCAGGAAAGAATATCTGAATAAGTAGTGTCGCTTTCAGGCCGATTTGTTTGATCAGACTGCCGGTAAGGAAAAGGTTAAGAATGCCGAAAACCGTGGTGCTCGCGCCAAGAAGAGATATTGACAAGGCTGTAGATGTTTCGATTGCATGATTGGAGCATCTGTCGACTGTTGACTGATGGTAATTCGATGTGAGGTATATCTCAGGTGCACTCAAATAGGAGAAGAGGGATGCTGCTGTCGATTGTGCTGGCAGCGGAAGTAGTGAAGGTTCTGGATTGGGATGGTGCTGATAATAGGCATCACATGTCATCAATCTGAACACATAGACTAGTGGCACTTGTGTAACACCAAAGCTCAAGCTGGTGAGGAATGCGCACAGAAAAAGCAGGTAGCGAACATGCCAGCCCCATATGACAGCATCCTCATCAGTACTATCCTGGCTTGACTCAGAGTTTGGATCTTCCACGACAACCTCTTGAACCGCCACGCTCTCAGTAAAGTCGAATTCCTGAGACCTTGTTCGACTCAACGAAAGAGACGCTGCATCGTCAGCATGAGGATGTAGGAGACTTTGTTGATCAGTCGATGATCGGCGGTGGTCATGGTTCGGAGGACTCATCATCGATACAAGCACATTGACATTGTTCTTGGAGCCTCACAAGTTTGGAATGAGTGACTGAGCCCGCTACTTTAATGAGTGTATCGTTGACTGATCCATAGACGTAGGTAATATACGTACAAGTTCCATTGATGTTTGTCGCAAACTGGAAATATACGAAGAACAAAACTCTGCAGTAATCGACCCCGCTGAAGATTGTGATAGGGTTGGCCACCCGGTGTCGCAATTCCTAGCTGTTGCCATTTCCAACTGCTAAGCCAAACACCTCTCCCATACGGAGTTCACCGGTGCCGTCATTACCGAGCCTATCAATTCATCCCTACAAAAATCAGACTGAACTACTGACGACAAATAACTACCTAGGTAGGATGGGCACGGAACAATCTTCATGTTCATCAGTACAACAAAAGGTGCGATGCTCTTGTTACTAATCAAAGGCACCAGTCGTGGCTCGCTATTCGTATTCAAGGAAATGAGCGAATACTATGTCTGAACCTGAACTACGACTAGGCCAATGATCAACCCAATCATCCTGACTGGGGGGCCATAAAATCAGGCATGGGATGGTGCGGCCTCTAAGCAGATGGAAGGCTGTTAATCTGCAATTACAGGCTGCACCTGTGGCATCGTCTCATGTCTGGCAACGGAAGCAACGACAAAACAGAATCACCGCTCAAAATACGTGCTTCCCTGGTTGGACTCGGTGGATGTAGAGGTACTAAGTAGGTAAAAGCCAGAGAAACCGGGGTTGGAACTGTCGAGACGATTACCGACGGCCACTTTGGCCCAGCGATTATGGATGAGCATTTTGCGAACAGCGGCCCTGAAAACCTCCGTGACTCGCCAAGCAGCGACCAATCTATTTGGTTAACAAGCTATCACAGAAGCAGCTGAGGAGAGCGTAGAGGAGAGCGTAGAGGAGCACGTTGGATTACTTGCAGCTAGGATTGGCAGCACTGCTATCTGGATGAATGCCCCTGATATAGATTTGGACGTTAGGCTGAAAAGTGTCTCCAGTTGTCCCATGGTAGCAGTGAGCAAAGGTCAAGCAAATCTAGATGTCGGCGGTATTAGTATTCTAGAGAAGCTCAGGTACTATATTCCACTGCGAAGCACCTCCCGTTTATATGACCCACTGGTCCACTGATATAGACTGGAGAAGAACGGAATTGTATTGTCACCTTGCTCGTCGGGAGTTGGGGGCCCCCTCGGATTGTTGTCACTGGCCGCCCAGGCTTTACCGAAGTTCAATAAGGACTGTGCTATCCATGCAATAGAGAAGCATATTTTTCTTCAAGACATCATCTCGATTTTCCATAACTACTCCGCTCTCTGGCTTTGCATGTTGCCCGATATGGAGTCGAAAGGGAATTACCAGATCGTTAAGTCTCGTATCCTTGGATGCGAGTATCTTCAAAGTCGGGAACTAGCCCAATGGGTTATTTGGCCCGATATTGCCCCGCACTCCGAATTGACGCCCTACTCGGTTGGCACTTGAACAACACTTCACCCCTTAACCATTCCACCAAGATTCGCGTAGCGCTTGACTAATATGAACAAACCTTTTCAGTGTGACCAATGCTCGCGCGGTTTCAGCCGTAAGGAGCATTTACGGAGACATTTTTCCTTACGTATGGCCTCCTTCCAGCATCGCATCAAAAAGCAAAGCCAAAGCTAAACTAATCTCTAAACTCGGGAGAGAAGAGCTACACTTGCCCCTGCGGCGAGGCATTTTCTAGAAGGTATGTATGCTTTTGAGGCAGTGGTGGAGTGGTCATCAGAATCTGAGTATTGTGCCCATCAAGCGATGCGCTCTCCCGCCATATGGCTAGATGCGCTTTCCAAGCTCTGCCGACACAGAGGATAGGCTCGAATCGCCGACAGCGGATCAACAAGGCATGCGACCAATGCGTTCGACTCAAAACCAAATGTGACAGCACAAAGCCCTGTCAAAGATGCGCTAGCAAAAGCTTACGTTGTGAATATACTCGAGGAAGAACTTCGGACGCTCCCCTGTTCAATGACTTCAATTCCTTTTCAGGTCTTGATACTGTAGTTCGGCAAAGTCAAGGTCAACAATACATTATGGCTCAGTCCGAGAATTCTGCCGGCTTACCGTCAATGGACCTGCAGGAAACCCTACCGAATTTCTCACTCATCTCGAATACCGAAGCAGTCTCAGGCCCCAGCAGCGGCTACACCAAGTCTCAGAACATGGCAGCCTCCCCGATTTGGCCTGAATTTTTGGGACTGGGGCTAGGTCTGAACTTTGACAGTGTTCCTCTGCAGTATGAGCCTTTCAACTGGGGCAATACCTCGATTGAAACACCCTCGAATGAGAGTATGGATCGCCAACAGATCAATCATCTAGCCGGTCAGTTATTGTTTGATTTAGTATTCCTTTGTTCGCGACGACATCACTATGTTTGCGCAAAGAGAGCGAAAGAAGGACTTACCATTGCTTTAGTCTCAGAACTTGTCGATAACACGAGCAAGATCACAAACCTTAATCCCAATTGCTTTTCCCTAGCACAGATCGACCCAGTCGAATCCAAATGTGAAGAGCTGAATGCCTTGTTGAGCACCAAGAAAGGGCTGACCTTCGAGGGATCGACCAACGAGCGTATCACCCGTGAGAAGTTAGTATACTCAATCGAGTTGTTCGGTCGACACTTTCAACGCCATCTTCCTATCATACACAGTGCGTCTTTCAGCTTATCTCAAGCGCCGCGTGGGCTTTTGTTGGCCATGTACTGTGTTGGAGCCTGCTATGACAACAATATTATGACTACTGAACATATCCTCAAGGCCGCCGCGCAAGTCTTGATGGACATTGAACATCAACCTGTAAGCAACAGGAAAACCCGTTGGTTACTACTTTACCAGCTCACATGAGTTGATACAGCACGAAGAAAAGATGGATGAGCCCCCTTTGTCAGCGATCCAGGCCGGAATTTTGGCTTCCTCGGTGCTGGCAACCTCTCAGGACGAGTTTTCGCACAAGTCCGTGCCAATTCATTTTGCAAGAAATATATCGGCAAGTTTCATCCTCGTTACTGCATTTGTGGCCTGCTTTTCTGACTTTGCGAAAAGATGGCACACCGGGCCCGAATCTTCCAGTCTGTGGATAGAAAAGACTACAACACCATGACCTTGGAGACTTTCGACTGGGACGCCTGGGTTGACTTGGAGTCACGTATAAGGTAGGCACAATTGGAAACTCTCCGACAAGCTAAGAGAGATCTCTTGACTGACAGTATGCCTCAAGAATCGCCAACGCACTATTTACACAAAATACAGCAGAATGTATCTTTCAAGGGAAACCGCCGACCTTCTCGCCCTTTGATTTGGACTTTTCACTTCCGAGATATGAAGCAAGCTGGGAAGCACAATCAGCTTCCCAGTGTCTGGAAGCTCTCCAGTCTACTCCGCGGTCTGAGCTACTCTCCACCGTCATGCAGAAGCTTCTTGTCTCAAACACCACTAGTGAAGCATCGTCGCCATTCGAGGGCTCTTCATTTGGAATGTTCACATTAATTACCGGCATTCACTGCATCGTATGGAATGCCATCAAGCTTCAGATCCGGGAACCTTGGGATCCGGCGAAGCTAAACGGTGCTTCCAGCTCATACGAAGCAATGGAGGCCTCCAGCATACTAAATAATCTCCGAACAAACTTCTCATCGCACACCATCGAGTCACTTACTGCAGAGATCGAAGCGTTCTCTGGGGCTGGGCGATTCGCCGGTGAGAATAAAGCGCTGGACACATGGATGCATTGGTGGAATGCCCGGCAATACCGAGATCACAAAGACTCAAGTTTCGCTCTAAATCCGATGCCATTTTGGTACTTGGCAAAAGTGTTTTTGTTGTTACGTCTTTGTGGTGACGCCGACCATCTGACTCAAAGCGATTTTGCTTGCGTTATTGCGAAGAGCGACGATGTCAAGGGGAAAATGCAAAGACAGTCTAAGATTCTGGAGCTGATGTCACGTTTGCGACATCCTCGGCAAGTTCAGCTGCAGAGGACGCTACAGGCAAATGTGGCTAGTTTCATGGAGCCGTGATAAAGTTATTTAGCTACGTGTAAACATATGTGGCAAGCACTACAACCCCTAACAATTCTTCGCCAAAATTGCCCTCCGGACTCTGATTCAACTTAAGCGTCTCCCGAGCCCAGCTTATTGTCCTTTAAAGCGCAATGCCACTGCCTCTCCACTGTGGCGCCTACAAAAGCCGATTGGTCATCGCTCTCAGCTTTGGTCCGAAGAAAAACATTGGAAGAGCCAGAGCTGACATTCCCCATACGACACCTGCAAGCACCGAGTATGCGGTGGCAGGACCGACCTTGACCATGTAACTTGGCATAAAGTTTGCAAAACCGAAAGAGAGCAAAGCGCGGATAGTGTTGTTGAAAACCATAACCTCTCCAGAGCGAAGAAGATAGGCGTCAACGGCATAGCTGTAAGTAATGCCAGCTAAGACGGCGAAGCCAAACGAATGCATGACATAACCTACTGCAGGAGCAATCCAAGGCAGCTGTCTCTCGATGGTGAAACCGTACATGACAAGGCCAGTACTGACAGTCACAAACGGGATAATGATCATAACAAGTCTTTCCTCAGGCTTATGCTCCTGGTGGCGTCGGAATCGTCTCTTTTCCATGCGGCTGTTATAGATATCAACCAGCTTCGAGCCCACCGTGCCGCCGAGGATGCCTCCTACGAGACTGGAAACCCCGAACAAACCTTGTGCCCCTGGACCAAAATTGTACGGTGGTCCGGCTGTCAACTGCGGTACACAAACGCCCAGAGCAGTGAAGGCACCAGCCGCCACCGCATATGTCAGGCTCGACCAGGTGACTGGGACCGATATGAAGAAGTGGAACGGCCGGATGAAGCTGAGGAACCAATTCTGTCGATACTGGACATGAGGGTGACGGAAAAACCATAGGTTCTGGGAAAAGGACCTGAGTTGCGGCGCTGTGGCGACGATTGCCAGGTTCACCCCGTCTTGCCCGCGATCAATAATAGTCTCATCATTTCCTGTCTTGCCTTCTTTGACCATCTGGCTTCTTTCCACATCGCCTGCTGTTGTTCCGACTGTAAGACCACGCTGATAGGTAGTTTCAGGCAGCCATAGTAACATAGTCAAGAAGTTTACTCCACAAGCGATGAAGGTAACCCAGAATGCCCACCGCCATCCCGCACCTTGAGTGACGTAGCCAAGGACGAGCTGGCCAAGACCGGCTCCTGCAAGAATACAGAGGACAAAGAAGCCCAACGCGGTGGTCAGACTATGTTCGTACCAGATGTCACCGATGATGACTGGCGCAAAGGACTCGGAGGCACCTGAGGCAAAGCCTGACATAATCCGAGCAGCCAGGAGGCTCTCGTAGCTCTTAGCGGTCGCACCCCATGCAATGCATGGCAACAATAGAAGCATAGTGCCCAGAACGGTCCAACGCTTTCCAAAACTCAGCATGGTAGGTACCCAAATCATGTTGCCCAATCCTTGTGCAAGGACATTGTAGGCCATTAAGTTGGCAGCCACTGTGATGGGAATGCCGAGCTGAGCAGAAATTGGGGACAATGTGGGCACAAGACCCGCAGCACTGACATTATTGAGGAACGCGTTCACACAGATATTGAGAGTGATACCAATCTTGATCCAGAAGGGCCATGTCTAACTCATCCCATATGTCAGCTGTAAATTCTTCGACTTTGAAATTGCCGAAAAATAGACCAACCTGAAGCAGGCGGTGTAAAATCAAGAGTGTGATTGAGGAGTGAACTTACGAATGGATCCTCTGTCACGGTCATTGGGGCAGGGTGCTGGAAGTGCTCGTTTTCGATAGTGTCATGGCCAATGGTTTCGATAGCTTTGGTTGAGCCTTTCTGCTCTACTGGAGAGTTCGCCATGATGGTACAATATTGTTAATGAATAATATTGAGCGGAAGCGATGAAGATCACGAGGCGTGACATTTTGGCCTCCTTTGCAGTCGTCGGCTGTAGTCTTATAACATTTTCAAGTACCGATGAGGTTGCCTCCACGTAAACCTGGGTATGAATCGGGGTAACAGTCGACCAGATAGCGTTTTCCTGTAAAGTTTCGTAGATCCGAAGAAGCCATCTTCGAAGGAGATTCGTTCTCGGGGGGCCCCAACGCTAGCCGGCGGAAGACAATCCGGAAGCTGGTTCACAGCTTTGGACTAAGTTTTCGACTCAGGACTACAGCCAGATTGCTAGAGACCATCCAGAACGGCAATTGGTTGTTGTCTCATTGGATGCTGATCGGGCCCATATTGTTAGACGTTTCTTTGAGAGTCGGAGAATTATCAAAAGAGACCACAAGCGCGCCTCGAATTGGGGAACGAATACTTCCACTGTTGACACTGATTGCGATCGATACTCTATCAGACATGATGGCCACCAACATTCAACCAAATACAGTGGGCGCGGTTTATCAGGCGATAGACGCAGCGGGAATACTGAAAGGTAGCGCCACTGGCAAGGTTGTGGTGGTGACGGGTGCAGGACGCGGTTCGTTCATGGCCATTTCATCAGATGAAGGTAGTTGCTAATAGGATGTGAATTCCTTCTAGGCATCGGCCAATCCATTTCCAAGGCATTTGCGCAGGCTGGCGCGGACGCTCTGATTTTAACAGCACTGGAACATTCCGAACTGGAAGAAACTAAGCAGCAGGTCCAAGCCATTAATCCTGAATGTCGCATCTTTCTGAAAGCACTGGATGTCAGAGATTCCGATGCGGTCGAGAGTTTTGTTGACGATGCCGCCAAATGGTCGGGCTACCGTATGGATATTCTCTGTTGTAATGCAGGCATAAGCCCCCCCTTGCAGCCAATTGCGGAGACCGATCCGCATCGATGGTGGATGGGCTTAGAGGTCAATCTAAAGGGACCCTACCTCTTTACTCGCTTCGTTCTCCCTATAATGCAAAAACAAAAATCAGGCCATATCATCATTACCGCGTCCCGTGCGGCTGTCATGACCGACCCTGAGATGTCCAGTTACGAGATCTCAAAGTTGGCGGTGACACGTTTGGCGGAGCTCATCGATGTCGAAAACAGCAAATATGGCATTAAGTCATTCGCGATCCACCCGGGAGGTATCGTAACGCGACTGTTGACAGATATGGAGGACAAAGAGACGGAACCATGGGCTATTAAGGCATCCAAAGTTATTCGTCCGAACTTACTTGAGGATATCTCCTTGCCCGGCAATTCCTGCGTCTTCCTGGCCTCAGGCCAGGCAGATTTCCTGAGTGGTCGTTATGTCGATACGACCATTAAGTTGGACGATCTTTGCAAGGAACAGGCTACGATTGTGAAGCACGATCTTTTCAAAATAAGAGTGTCTCTGAACTGGGCCCCCGAAGACGGCGTATCATTCTTTCCCAGTAGAATCTGAAGCAGATATCTCACATAGATTCGTCTTCGGACAATGCGAATTAAAGTACAAGTGTACTCTCAGTCGAGGTTGTCGAGGTTCATAGTTGAAATTTCTACGGTATGATACCAACGGCACGCCACTCATCTGTAGATATCAGTGAGGCTCATCATCAGACCTAAGGCTGAATCAATTTGCTAAGCTTAGACCAACCTTGAAGGGTGTATAGGGTACGAGCTGGCACTCGAGTCTCGGAAGCCAATTACTTTCATGATCCAGGACTCTCTTAGCATCCGAGCCTGTCCAGAGCAGTAGAATCAACTCGTATCTACCTTCGCGATCTCCACAATCTCGTCTTCTTCCCCGCTAATCTAGCAGTTTCAAGAGTTCTCGGCACTTCTTGCGGCATTGCTCAACAGTCCAGTGCCGGATCTCTAAAGTGTAATCTTTAATTGAGGCTCACGCCGGGGATATACCCCCACCCCGGAATGTGGGTGCCCCAACGGAACTGTATGTGCACGTAACCTCTCTCCAGCCTTGTTTGCGATCACCACGAAGACCACCCCCTGGGTGGCAAAGTAGAAGCCGAACGGCTAGCCTTCTCGGTTGTCGATTGGATTGTTGTAGTCTAACGCATGAATGCAGCAGTTTTACGATCGCTCCAATAGTGTGAAATGCTATCGGACGACCCACGAGCCATGGAACGACGTAGCTTAGTCGATTTCAATTTCATTTATTGAAGGTGATTTCTTTTGGTGGTCGCTTTCACTGTTTAAGACTCTTGAAGCATTCCCAACTAATGGCTATCCTTGAAACAGCTGGCCCATTTGGAGGAGGACTTGCTATGACGAATGCTGTTGATGACAATGGCGCCGGTATTACGAAATCTCTGATCACTGGGACAGCACATCGTCTCAGAAACCTGAAAATCATTATGCTCGGTGCTGGGTACTGGCCTTTCTCCTCGCGATATCGTCAGGAAAGCAGCTTGTGTTAACAAATGTTTAGTGTGTCCGGCATCCAATTAGCTTATGATGTAGCGACAAAGACGAAAGACATCGAATTGGAGATTTACGAAAAGAATGCCAACCTAGGCGGAACCTGGTATGAGAATCGGTATCCAGGGTAAGTTGCAAAAACAACCTCTAGTCAGGTCCAAACTCCTCTCACAAAAGCCTACCTTCTATAAAGCTGCGCCTGCGATGTCCCTGCCCACACTTACCAGTATTCCTGGGAACCCAATCCCCGGTGGACCAAGTTCTACGCGCCGGCACCTGAAATTTGTGCCTACCTCAATAAAGTGGTCGAAAATCATGACCTACGCAAGTATATGCATTTCAGGCATCGTGCTATCAATGCTGAGTGGCAAGAAAAGTCTGCGACATGGCGAGTGCGGTTCGAGGTGACTAATGAATCCGGGCTGCTTGAGTATTTCGACCGGGAAAGCGATGTTGTTGTCATGGGAGTTGGAACTCTCAACAACTGGAAGTTCCCGGAAGTTGAGGGTTTATCACAGTTCAAAGGGTCTTTGATGCATACAGCCACATGGGATGACTCGGTCGACCTAAAGGGGAAGACAGTCGCCGTGATTGGCAATGGCGCCAGTGCTGTCCAATTAGTGCCAGCCCTTCAACCAGGTAAGAAGATTTGTTAGTCTTTCCTCATCAACTAGGGAAGGTGCTAACAAAAGCCTGGAGTTGCCGGCAAAATCTATAACTATGTTCGTACAGCATCATGGATGCTTCCGCACCTTTTTTCCGACGGTGTAGTTCAAAAAGACTGTAGGGACTGCCCAACCTCGACGAGAAGTACTTCTAACCTAGCAACTCAATCCCTCCAGACCCATTAGAACTCCAACTCCGTTTTGAGAACGATCCTCAATTCTACTATGAATACCGACGACAGCTAGAAAAGAATATGGCTAGCGGTTTCGCGGCCCTGTGGCGAGGCACACAAGCACAGGCCGATCTCCGACAGGGTACAATCCAACACATGCAGAAGATGATCCAAGACCCTCAGACTCTTGACTTCTTGACGCCAGATTTTGAAATTGGGTGCCGTCGCTTCACCCCTGGTGACCATTATCTACATGCATTGCAGCAAGACAATGTACAAATGATAACAGATCATATTACACAGGTCACTGAAAGAGGTGTCTGCGATAACGCAGGCGTCATTCGTGACGTCGATGCTATCATCTGCGCCACAGGATTCGAAACTTCCTACGAACCACGTTTCCCCATTACCGGCCGGAATGGATATTCCCTTGCCGAGAACTGGGGCATCGACAAGACTTCAGAGAGTTATATGGGTGCTATGGTGGCTGGATTCCCCAATTTCTTTGGTGACTATACGTCCGTGAAGCTATTCGGCAGTCGTCAGCTAAGAATTTCTCAATAGTCTTCAACCCTCCTATATGTCCTGTCATAGGATCTGCCTTTCCTGGAATCCAGGCTACAAGTTCGTACATCCTTCGTGTTATAAACCGTCTCCAACACGACTCGATCCGATCTTTGAGCGTAAAAGACGAGTGCCAGTCCGAGTTCAACGAATGGGTGCAGTCACGGATGGTGGAAATGGTATTCTCGGGTAACTGTAAGAGTTGGTGTAAGCATATCTGTTCAACCATTTCCTGTGTACCGATTTGGCTAACACCCGTAATCGTAGACAAAAATTCCAAAGGCAAAGTGTTCATTCCCTGGCCCGGAACTATCGCACATTACGTCCAGTGCACAGAGATGATCCGCTGGGAAGACTTCGATTTCACCTGGGCCGACCCTTCGAACAAGTATTCCAGTTTTGGCAACGGTGTGCCACTGGATGGGATTGCACCAGAGTGCCCTCCATGGTTAACGAATCCGGCGGGACTGGAGACAGAAAGCGCCGGGTGAGCCAGGGGGATTTTTAATATTATAGATGCCTAGAACAAGAGAAAGCGGGTGTTTCATGAGGCCTTTTTGTATTCTGCTTTGTAGACCTGGCTTGCTTTCTGATTATGCATTAACAGTTTGGCAAGAAATCATCTTCAAACCTCACGATTCTCCTTGAGACCCTCAACAGTGATACTTTGTAAAGCCCTATGTTTTACACTATCACCCGCGTCGATAAATTTTGCTCTCTAGTCACAAAGACAAGAGCCTGTCACGTTGCTCCGCGGATCAGGTTTACATTGGCTCCACTACTAACGGTGAGTTAATCGCGAGGTGAGATGTGCTAGCCGTGAACTTGGCTAATTCTGCAATGTACGCATTTATTGCGGCAATACTTCCCAAATGTGTGCTCTCGTACGAATCGAAGCCGTGAACGTCTCTGTGAGGAAGCTTTGCAAAGCCATCCTAAATGTTTGTAGTTTGTGGATCACCACTCGTTCATGGTAAGATTTTATGTTTGCACAATTTCGATATCTGAAGGTCAAAAAGTGCAATATCTAATTTCGACACACGATGGAACGAGCACCAGCTGTTCTTTGGCAGAAGCTCCTGGTTCATTGTCTTGCTAAAATGTTCAATTCAATTGCATTGACATGATATCGATCTACTTAGTATTCAGGGTCGTCTTTCGACCCATTACACAAATGAAACCGCTTCTTTTTGACAACTTGTCACGAGGACGCTTAAGAGAACTGGAAATGTGCCTTTCTGTTCTCGATGCTCACTGAATCCCAGACTATAAGTACTACACCTATCTGAACTTCAATACACCGCCGTCTCGAATCAGGCAAGATGGAGATCACCAAGATGCACACGCCGTTGAGCCTAAGCTTTCTAGCCAATCTGTGATTATGCGTCCCAATCCGGGCCCGTCCTCCTGTCCGACCCAATGTCCGCACGGCATTGTGACCATTTTCCCTTTCAATAACAGAGAGTTTGATGCTTCAGCAATCTCGATGGGCACCGCAGGGTCGTTCTCGGCGAGAATGGTCAAGAACGGAATCTGGATTCGTGGGTCGGCGAGGAATTGTTTTTCGTCATCGAAGTTCAAAAGGAAGGCCCGATACCAGTTCATTGGGGCCTCCCAGCCGCCACGCAGATAGTTCTGTTGGTAGCGAGTGTAGGTATCTTCGTCCCACAGAATTGGGCGAACTCGCCAATGCTCGTGTGCTAGAGCATCGTCTGCGGAAACACGTGCCTCGATCTCAGACATTGGTATGATCAACTCAGAGCCAGTTCGAATGGTCGCATTCCAGAAGATCGGCATGCGAGTCCGAAGCAATTTATGTATCCTGTCGGAAGTGAAAAAATGCCAGTAGGAGAAATTTGGGAATATATCCGTGAATTCTTTCAAGGTGAGTGGCTGTGGCATTGGGGGAATATACGTCCCCGTTATGCTAACACAGGCAGCAAAAAGTGTAGCATGGTGTAAAACGAGGCGCGAGGCTAGCTGTGAGCCCCAGTCATGCCCAACGACAATAACCTATGATCGAAGAACCTCAGCATGGTTTCTTTTGTGAGCGACTTCTCTGAACCTGGAGAGTGACTAACCTTCTCTCCACCCACACCCGCGTGCTCTAGTAATTCGGCCATGTCATTGGACATGGGTTTCAATTTGTAGCACTCAACGTCGAGTGGTTTGCTTGTCTGTCCGAATCCCAGCAAATCAGGCACAACGCAGCGGATGCCACTCGCCAATAACTCAGGGATAACTGTTCTCCAGCCATACGAGAAGTCACCGTGACCATGTAAAAGCAGTAGGGTGTGGTTAAGTGGTCCAGCGGATGGTACGAAGTTATAGTAATTATAAAGAAAGCCTCTCGAGACGATGCACGTCCGCACTGAGCGATCAAAGTCGAGAGGCATGTCCTTATCTTTGAACTGCTCGCTCTGGTACATTATCAATGTGTCGAGGAGATATCTCGTCACCCTTGATAAAGCAGGAAGGACTGTTAACACTAAGATCACTATTGTGGAGACATCGGCACCAGAGAACTAGTATCGACATTTTTGTTCGTTTCCCTCGCACCAGGAATGGGAAGTGCACAATTCCCCACCCCCTGGTGCTCCCGGCACCCCGCAGATGCTCTCCCAGTCGGGTTCAGAATTTACCCCCACCCCCCCGACACTGAGAACAGAACCTGGGTCGGAAGAAGGATCATTGAAGCAATGGGAAAAGGCTTGGAAGGTTGAACCTTGGTAAATCATGGGAAGCAATCTGCATCCCGTTAATGGTTGAGAAACTCACTTCTTGCGATAGGCGATGTTTGGAGCAGTCCCGATACATACCCAGAGCGGCTTCGGCTTGATCTTTGCTCTCGTTTTCCTGTTATCTAGCATCTAACACTCCTCCTAGTAAGCGGCGATCCAGTGCAACAGTCAGCTATCCTTTGTTAGCAAATCCTCAACTAATACAAAGCAAATTAGTCCTGGCGACCCTGTATTTCACATAGTGTCCTCGTTATATCTTTCTGAGAGAAATGCCCAATAGCGAACCGATATCGTTTCATACAATGTCTCCCACGAAGGCCCGCGATCCGATTCCCGTGAAGGAGAGAAATAAAGCTTACTACCAGCTGAAGTTTACTCATGGCCTTCCACCAGGAACGGATAGCTTTGACCAATTTGAGAAAAATCCACGACATCCTCGTGCGCCAGCAACGCCAAAACGGGAGCTTCCTGCCTTGCCTCCCCTTTCCGAGCGTCACGGAAAATGGATTTCCAAATACCTCGATACAGTGCGGCCATTTCCAGACCTGTTGTTGTCTTTCACACGTTAATTGCCGGTTACAGCTCGATCCCGAAACCGAATACGACCAGATCATCCGAACGGCAATGTGGTTCTACGGAGGCGATTTCCAGACTGCTATAGGATACGCTTGTGTCTTTGTGTGGCTAGTGACGACCCCTGCAGGAGCTGCCGCAATACACGGCAGGAAAGTCACGGTTCGAGGCCATCAGAGATACTACGAAACACAGATGTTCAACCTGCATTGGGTCCACTGGGGCTCGGGATCCGCTGAGACACGAGAATACTGCGAGAAGATCAATAGGACACACGCTCAAGTCTGGAAATCCGTGCCAGGTGCTTTCGCCCACCCCTGGGAAGCTCAGGCTGCCATAATTCTTCTGTCCTGGTATGAGCAATTCATGAGACGGACTGTCGGTGCGAGCAACGATATGCATCCTCAGGTACAGATGGCTTGGCCAGCATGGGGTGAGCGCGTGACCGGCTGGTTCAAAGCCGAGCCTGGTGACGGATCCCTTTCCTTTGGTATCAACTACCCTCGCGATTTCAAAGAGGTCGAAGAATTCTGCGAATGGTATTGTAATTTCGACTTTGACGATCAGCGGAACGCAGAAGATATTCAGAAGACTCATGAGACGGCCGAGTCCTTTATACACCAGTTTTGTGAATTGTGGTTTCCAAGGTATGTTGCGTCGCAAGTCCTAGGCCATTTGTCTCTCTCACACCCACACATACACAAACTGTGATCGCTAATCACTGGAACAGACATCTTCAATTCCTCGGCCGAGGCATTATCTTAACCTTGTTGCCAAAGAATATTCGCAGAAAGGCAAGGCTGGAGGATCCACATTTCGTCTTGAAGATTTTTACAAAGTTTGCCTTTCGAGCTATATTTGAATTACAAGACTGGATGAGCGATCCAGTCCAGCCCCCGATCGCCAATTTCTATAAGGATATACAGGAATGGGATCTCAGCAAGATTGACGCTCGTGAGACAGGGTACCGCGATCAACAGGCTCACCGTCTTCAGCTTTTTGGACGGACTGTAGCGTTTTGCGTACTTGGTTTCCTGGTGTTGCTTTACTACATCAGGCGTTGACAAGATGGTTTGTGTACAGGTTTTATTCGCGTGAGCAAGCTGCGTAGCATTAGTCCAAGGATTGACTTTCAAGGCTGTCAAAGCCAGCTGTGGAAGAGATCAACTAGCTCTCTAACCTGCAGCCATCACTCTTAGAACTAACAACTACCTCTTTGCAGTGATCTCATCCCAAGATTTTATTTCGAAATCCCGTTTCAGATGTTCAGGAATATATCGGTTTACTATATATTCGAGCGCTCGCGGAAGCTCCGAATTGAAATGTGGAAGTGACTTGTAACAGCGGGGGCTATCAATGAACCTGCTTTTCTGGGCTGATCAAGCTCTTTGCTCTCCCGGTCGATTTCCATGAGTTCGAACTCTCAACTTATACATGCAAATTCTGTTCTGTCAACCATAATGATCGTTCGGTGTTTAAAACCTCGAGTCGTATTGCAACTCAAGGCGCTCCGTCTGAGGGCGACGCCACAGTTCAACAAAAGTGCCGCTCACAGCCAACGAAGGGGATTCAAAGGTTTGCAAGCAACATGTTCGCCGATAGGAGCTCCAATAGTTAGTATTGATCTGGGGAGAGTGTTGAATGGTGCATCGCAGTGAGTTGGAGGAGTGGGTAGCTTGTCCATTCACCGCGGTGACCAGGACCCAGAAATGGTCCATGCCAACCGCCACCAATTCTAGATGCTGACGTAGGTCAAGGCGCCTGACGACAGAACTGCGAAAAGAACGTAATCTTCAAGACAAAGATAAAGAAAGAATAAACAAAGGTAGGAAGAGTATGGAAGACGGGTCGGAGGCGGGTCAAGGATGGTAAGGGGGGATCTAAACGGTTGCTTACAAAAGCAGGACTACTCGGGTGAGTCCCACGTGAGCTAGGCGTGGCGTTTCTTAACAACGCTCAAGGCCCCATTTTTATGAACAAAACACATGACTTTACGTTGAGAAATGAAATCTAGCTGTCAAATTGGCCTGTACCCCACTCCGACATCATCAAAATCCCAGATCGCAGGTACAATGGGATTCCACTATCTTCTCCTTTATCGACAAGGAATTCGGACAGCCAAATGAAGTATTCAAATCGCAACAGGCAGGGTCAGTGGGACAGCCATGCTGCCTATGAGGTGGCGGCAAGGCTGAAGCATTGCGACGAAATGCTCATTTACATACGCTCGGGGTCGTTCTCCTGGAGCTTTACCTCACTTACTCGACTGCAAATGATACACAAGCTCAGATTGAGACATATGGCTCGGCAGACTACCGGGCGTTGCAATTGATCTCCTCGACGAATAAGCAGACAATATGGCCATGAGGGTTGAGTACATCCGGGCAACTCTCTTCTGTCTATTGCCACATGCAAATTCCTACAGTGGTAGTTTTAGCTTCGAGGATCAAGGTTTCCGAGAGACTTTCTACAACGCAGTGATTGTCAATCTCGAGCATAATCCCCGATCGCGTTTCGAGTTCACAGATCTTGAGATGTATTCCTGAGGATCCATCACGCCCTAACTAGTGATGAAATGGAACTCTATCTCATGAGCCAATCCTGACTTTGTACAGGTAATCGGGTATCGATTCGCCACTGGCTCAGTTAGCGGACACGGGTGATCTGATCCGTCAGAAGACTGACAAACGAGACATCATATGCAGGTACGACTCGAGCTACCGCCTATCAAATACCGATGTGGCAGATCTCAAATGTCAAATCCGTCTAGCGACCTTCTAGAAGGCATGTGTGCCAATGCTGGCAACCCACTGGCACGCATACGTCCAACTCTCGCGCCCATAGCATCGCTAATGCTAAGCGATCAGAAAGGACAGCTACCGATTCTGAGTCGGATACGCGTCTTAGATTGATATGCAAAGAGAATAGATCGCCACATTGTCGTGTGATCCTCTCGTGAGTGTCACTGGCACACGAAGGTGTTGGTGGTGTGGTCAGGAGCGGAAGCCTGATCCGGAATCGGGAGGACGGATCCCGAACTATTATGGTCGCTTTTATGTTGTGCGCACCATAACCCCGTCGCCATTCTTGCACAACCTCAATTGATGGATTATCAGACGGCATTGATACCATTCCATTGCACATTGCCTTTCAGGAACTTGGCGAGGCTTCGTCGATGCCAAACTTCCTTTTTGACTTTAGAAACACGCCAAGGTTCAGATCATTCTCATCTGGGAACCATGACTGTCAAAACTGACGACCGCTTGAAACCTGCATCATTCACGGCATGATTGATCATGCAGGAATCCCAGAACTTTCTCACTCAGCATTAGTACTTTGCGTGAGCGAAAGATACGCGTACACGTGATATGCAATGCCCCCGCTTAGTCCTTTCGGGAGAGCTACAGCAAGGGCATCAATGCAAGAATCAGGTGACGAGCGTCGATGTCGCGTCACTTCAGAACAGGCACTACGGCTCAGCTGCCTCGCTTCAAATGATGGATGGACCCGAGAAATCATGTCCAGGAACACCGGCAGGGTAGGATGTGTTGGCGCATCCGCACTGCCCAGTCTCGAATTCCTACGTCAGAAGTGGACTCGGATGAAATCACCGATTGTCCACCCCTGGAGACACTGGGTTCGAAAAGTTCAATCGTGCTTTATCCGTGGCTACGGTACCACTACCCAACTCTGCTTCAATGCTCCTCGTGATGTAAATCTGCATATTCACCCTACTCTGACTTCGCCACGTCCTTATCATGGCCAGAAGCGGCCGCACGATATCCAGATAATCCGTCTGTCAGGTATTGCTCAGCTGCCTTTGTTTTCCTTTTTCCTCACAGCCCGGTCCCGTCAACTATAAATACTCGAAGTGGTGCTCTAGAGCTGTTGTTCTTCCATGAACACATTTCATCTAATCATGGGTGACGCGAAAGCAAAACACAACACCGAAATCCACCGGGACTTCGTGTGTCAAACTCCCGAATACCACCGTAAAAGATCATTGAGCATCCAGCCTGATCGTACTGACATTGGAACTAGCTTGAGTGTAAGTCCTGAACTTATCAATAGTGCTCTCCAATGTGTTTCCCCAATTCGCTTTACTGCCGCAGGATGAATCAAGTACAATTTGGTTGACGTCGTATACCTCTTGTTAGGAACTATGGGCAGGCATTGCAATCCGAGAAGAGTCCGAAAGAGCCATCAAAGTGGGCATAGCAGTCCATGATGGCACTTACAGTGTGGACTTCGCAGTCCATCGAATCAGTTTAGAGGAGGAACCTGACAAAGAGGGAAATTGGATCGTGGATCACCTAATTCCTTCTCTGTCCGACTACAGAAAGGAGCATGTTTGCAAAATTCTCGGAGTTGGGGTTACAGCAGATCTTCATGAGAAAAGTCCCAACCTATGTTCACGATTGTGGGCTGAGCTCGACATTGTACCAATTGTCGTGAGCTCGAACGAAATACTACCCTCCCGAGCAGAAAAGAATCGCGTGCTGGAAGTGGATGAGCTTGCCGATTCTGCTGCACGAAAGTGTCTTGCGTAAGTCAAACTACGAAATATCAATTCCCAAGTCGAGATTGACAAAACGTGACAGACTTTTTGCACCGACAAAACAGCCTCGCCTTGCAATCAGTTATCGCAATGAAGTAGAAGTCGACTACGGAGGTTTGATCCAGCCCACTACAGTAGAGGACTACAGGCGATCCGTCCGAGAGCCGACTTGGAGAGCTGTTCAGAAGTTCATCAAGGATGCGGTCGAACGCAAGTTGAGAATTGTGTTCTTCAGTGCAACTCCACAAGGTGGCGGCGTTGCGTTGATGCGCCATGCATTGTTGAGATTCTTAACAATGCAAGGTGTGAACGTCGAATGGTTTGCATCACTACTTGCCTTTCAAGAGACACATATCAGCTAACAACATCAGGTTCGTCCCAAAACCTAGACCGGATGTCTTCCGTATCACCAAGACAAATCACAATATTCTCCAAGGTGTTGTGCCTCCAGACGTCCGAGCAACCGATGAACAGCTCGGCAGTATCAAGCAATGGATTGTTGAGAATGCCGAAAGGTACTGGCTTGGAGAGAATGGACCCCTAAGAGCACCAGCAGACGGGGGTGCCGACGTTATCATTATCGACGATCCTCAAATGCCTGAGTTGATACCATTCGCGAAGAGAGAGGCGCCAGATCGTCCAATTATCTTCAGGAGTCATATTGAGGTTCGCGACGATTTGGTCCTCGAAGACGGTAGTGCTGCTCAACATGTGTGGCGTAACATGTGGGCAACTATCCGCCAAGCAGATGTTTTCATCAGCCATCCTGTCAAATCATTCGTCCCAAGTGATGTACGCAGGGACACTCTCGGCTGGCTACCTGCTACCACCGATTGGTATGTGGAACTGGCGAATTCTCGCTGAATCTGCCTGATAATTCATCTGACTAAACCTCCCAGGCTCGATGGACTGAACAAGGATATGGAAGAATGGGATTTGCAGTACTATATCCATGTACTGAGACAAGCCTGTCAAGCTCAGGCACTCCCACAACTAGCCTACCCAAATCGTGGCTTCTTCACCCAGATTGCACGTTTCGACCCCTCTAAGGGCATCCCCGACTTGATTAAGAGTTATGCACGATTCAGAGAGCTCATGAAAGATGAGCCTCTCCGAAATGTCCAACAATTGGTCATTTGTGGTCACAGTTCGATCGACGATCCAGATGGCAGTCTAGTGTACGACCAAACCATGAACGAGATCGACGAGTTCCACTCTGACATCAAAGACGATATCGTGGTGGTTCGACTGGGGCCGAGCGATCAAATCCTCAACGCAATCCTCTCGTTATCTACAGTGGCTCTGCAATTGTCGACGAGGGAAGGATTCGAGGTGAAAGTCTCAGAAGCATTGCACAAGGTAGGCAAGCACAAACCTTTCCTCGAACATTTGCTGATCCTATCTTCTCCAGGGAAAACCTGTCATCGCTACTCTCGCAGGCGGAATTCCACTGCAAGTAGAACACGGCAAGAGTGGATTTCTGGTAAAAAGAGGTGACCACGAAGCCGTCGCACAACACCTCTATGACCTAGTCATCGACTACGATCTCTATGAACGGATGAGTGAATACGCCAAAACTCATGTGAGCGACGAAGTGCATACGGTCGGTAATGCCCTCAGTTGGCTTTATCTCGCCTGCTCACTCGCAGGGGGGAAGGCACTGAAGCCAAACGGGAGGTGGATCAATGATCTGGCGCGTGAGGCTGCGGGTGAACCATACACTGATGAAGAACCGCGTTTGCCTAGGCATCTGTCGACTTGATGGGTTTCGGAGTTGATGTTGCCCTATCTGTTTCACATGGGATACTGAAAGGGAGGTATTTTTGGGTATGGACCTGAATGGTTCGATTATTGGGATAAACGAATGGTGACTCACCAATATGCCATAATGGGACTGTGTAGGAGTTTCGGGATTTCGTTTATTTAGGCACATGGGAATCTTTAGAGAAAGACTGGTGCCTGGAAAGTCTTTACTATCAAGTAGACATGCCTTTAGTATAACTCGCCAGCTCGGGCTGTTCGGGCATTACAGAAAACCCGAAAACTTTGTGGGAAGGCCTTGGATCCCTGTTTGTACACCATACCTCGGACCACCTATTTCTCAGTTCTTTGTTGAATGGTTCTCGGGCGCGAGTTCATAAAGGCCCCGAAATCAATGATTGTTCGTCTGGAGAACTTTTGTGAGCTAATTCATTGTTGTACGCCATGGCTGTGTGACCTCAAACACGTTGGAGCGACGCTGTGACACCCTGGTGTCTGGGAGTAGGACTCTCACCATGCTACCTCTGAGATATATTTAATGAGAGCTGCGCTGCTCTGATAAATTGCCTTTGCCATAAGAAGTCAGCATAAAACAATTCGAGTACAAGTTCCTCACAGCCAAGCCAACACAATCAGCAACATCAAAGCCAAACAGGCCCAATTATTCAACAGCCATAAAATATCGCCAAAAACAACTTGTTCACCCGATACTCATACAATGTCAACCGAAACTGCGGACAAGATCTACGACGTCATAATTGCAGGTGCAGGCCCTATCGGACTATTCCTGGCATGCGAGCTCGGACTGGCAAATATATCAGTATTGATTCTTGAGCGCGACGAGGAAGCCAAGTCACCATGGAAAGCCGAACCACTGGGCCGACGAGGTCTCAACACGATCTCGGTGGAAGCCTTGTATCGACGAGGCCTACTGGACAAACTGTTCGACGATCCCGCGAAGCGAGCATGGCCAGCGCAAAAGCAAGGAGGGTTTCGATTTGGTGGACACTTTGCGGGCATGGCCGTCAATGCTAATCTGCTTGAGCTGGAGCGCTTCAAGTATGTCGTTGCGGGACCGGCGTTGTCACCTTGCCCAATGATCATGGAGCGTCTGGAAGGGGTCCTCGCTCAACATGCGGAAAGTCTGGGGGTTACTATCATTCGAGGTGGCGGTGTCAGTGGAATCACCTCGCAGGACGACAACGGAGTGACGGTTGAGACTGGATCTGGTCGGAAGTTTCGCGGCAAGTGGCTTGCTGGCTGCGATGGTGGACGTAGTTTAGTCCGCAAGGCTGCAGGATTCGATTTCGTCGGTACAGAAGCCAAATTCACTGGGTATGCAACACAATGCGAATTCGAGAATGCAGACAAGGTGAAGCAGGGGTTCAATTTCACTCCGAATGGGATGTACGTCCGAGCTTGGGCAGACGCCCTCCACATGATGGATTTCGACGGTGCGACTTTTGATCGCACGCAGGAGATAACTAAAGAGCATCTCCAAGACGTTGTGCGACGGGTTACAGGCGTTCCTGATGTTGTGGTCAAGAAGATTCATCTGGCTTCCACATTCACGGACCGATCCAAGCAAGTATCAACGTATCGAAAAGGCCGTGTTTTGCTCGCCGGTGACGCTGCACATATCCACTCACCTATCGGTGCACAGGGCCTGAATCTCGGAATCGGAGACGCTATGAACCTGGGCTGGAAGCTAGCTGCAACCATTAGACAGGAGGCCATATCTGGTCGCGCACAAACAAACCTGGCACTGCTTGATTCATACGAGATTGAGCGTCATCCCATCGGAGCTGCTGTGCTGGATTGGACTCGGGCACAAGTCTCGACAATGGAGCCAAACCCGTTTGGTGGGGCGATTCGAGAGCTCGTTCGAGATCTCATCGCGACCACCGACGGGACAAACCTCTTGATCGAGCGGCTTTGGGGGATCTCCCAACGATATGATCTCGCAAAGGGAGATGCAGACAGTCATGCGCTCCTTGGCCGCAGCATGCCGGATTTCGAGCTTTTGGATGGCTCAAGAATGGGCATTAAATTGGAGGAAGGCAGAGGCTTGTTGGTCGATTTCGAAGACGATTCCACCCTCAAGGATCTCATCGCCGGTGGTACCTTTGGAGCAAGAGTTGAATACCTTGCCGTTGATGTGCAAGATAGACTTGACCTCCGGGCTTTATTAGTGCGGCCGGATGGCGTTGTCGCGTGGGTGACCGAGAAGGGACAAACTCCGGAGATTGAGACGCTAAAGGCTGCACTGGATCTATGGTTTAGATGCTAGATGTCAACGCATTGGCAGTTCCCGAGGTCGTCAGTTGTACCATATTATGGAAATTCTTCTCCAAGTATAATCCGAATATAGAATCTCATTTTAAAAATCTGTGACAGTAACTAGTTAACGACTCAACCTGTAAACCGAAAAATGTTCGTTGCAGAAAGCTTAGATCAAACATGATTTGAAGCCGATATTTCATGTTGAAGTCATCCCCAGATCTGTGGAATTCTCTCATACTATTCTGTCCTTGATGGTCTGTGGCGTCGGGACAGTCGTCTTGAAAGACTCCCTCGCCTCAAGCCTATCACTATATTGCTTGAGATTGGGATAGTCCTGCTGCCACGGATGATCTTGAAAACGGACACGAAGATATCCAAGAACAGAGCCCGCTGCAATGTCAGCGAGAGTGAATTTGTCCTCAACAAGGAATTCACGGTCGGCAGCCCAAGCAGCAAGCTGGTTGAGGCCACCATCAACCTTTCGTCGTTGGCGCGAAGTCCATTCCTGACTGGGCGATGAGCGCTGCTTTTCGAAGAACATCAATACACATGCATCGCAGATGCCATCGGCGATGACTTTGAACGTGTCAGCCCCATTACTATTTTTGTGGTCAGTCAATAGTAGGAGGAGGCAGGTCCTTACCCTGGACTTTCTTGGCAAAGAGTTCGTTCTCTTTAGTTTCGGGCATGAGACCTAAATACTCAGGTGACGGATACTTATATTCGATCCAGTCCAGGATGAAATGTGACTCATAGACAGCATTGTCGAGATCTTCGGTGTCAAACAAGACTGGCAGCTTCTCCAGAGGGTTGTGTTGAGGAGTCTCTGTAGTGTTGTCCCAGGGTACTTCGGTCACTAGTTCAAAGGGAATCCCTTTCTCATGTAGCGCAATGCGTACCTTACGAGCGTAAGGTGAACTGGGACAAGATTAGCGAGTCGAACTGCACTAAGTAAGCTGCAGGCGACTTGATGCCGAGAATCGACGACAGTTGTCTGCAAGCGCCACAAGTTGAAGAGGCATTTGAATCTTGGGACTTACGGTGTGGCTGATATTAGCTTGAGAACCATGTTTGCGTAAGACACTGACGATAGCAATTGTTGCTCACACTGATCCTATCAATATACCGATGAAGAGATGTGAGCTTTTGCCATCGTCAAAACGCTGGGATCTATCAACCATGATCAGCCACTGACGAAGGTTGTTTGATTCCAGTGATGTCAGGGTCTCCTAGAAGCTCGTTGCAACTCTGGACTCGCTCCGTGAGTCCGGGAAGGTTTCAGTGGGAAGGCAAACGATCACCAAGGGTCTGGTCGCATCGATATGCTGTAGGAGGTATCAGGAAAGGGGTTCACTTTGAGATCAACTGCATCACCGTAGTAAGCTCAGTAGGATTTGTACTTACGCGCACAGCGCACAATCAGCAACAACTACTCCGCACCCCAAATTCAAGGAGTCCCCCCCAAGCCTAAACTTCCAAGCTTTAAGTACTAGCCTCGGCCGACCAAGCACCTCGGTTGACGACTCAACCTGCAAGCTGTTCCCAGGTCCATCGTACAGTACGATGGACTCCCCCCTCCACCGCTGGGTGGTCGCTACTGCTTACCCTGGCTATGCAAAACACCGAGGTAAGCGTCACAGTTAATGTTTTTATTCTACCTCGATGCCGACAATCGATCAAGCTGCCCTGAGCGGAGATCCACTAGATACTTCTTTTATTATCTCTTCGTGATTCATAGCGACACCATTTTCCCAGGTAATCGTCCCTCAAGCTCAGTTTCCAGTGTGAGACCTCTCCATTCGTTCTCCTCCTTCAAGTCTCCAAACACATACCATGTCTTCCTCCGCACAGATTCCCTTCTCAGAGCCACCATGGCTGGCGGGCATGCCATCACCTTACTACCAGGAAACACACAAAAAGTTCCAGAAAGCATGTCGGGCGTTCCTCGAAGAACACCTGATCCCCCATGCAATGGACTGGGAACGAGAGGAGACCGTACCCGACCATCTATTCGAAACCTTCAAGAAACACAACATGTTGATCCCCAATCTTCCTTCGCCGTTGCCTGTTCAGTGGTTGAAGAAAGTCGGTATCCATGATATCCTGGGTACCCCCGTTGAAGAGTGGGATTATTTCCACACTGCCATATACCTAGATGAGATGTCGAGGACTGGTCTCGGTGGCCCTGGTGGTTCGATGACGGCGGGGCATGCTTTTGGTGCGTTGCAATTCAATTTCAAGTAGTACGATAGGTGGGCTAATTGTTGACAGGTATCCCTCCCATCATCAAGTTTGGAAACGCCGCTCTTCACGAGAAATTCCTCCCAGACCTCCTTACAGGCAGAAAACGAGCCTGCATTGCTATTACCGAACCAAGCGCAGGCAGTGATGTTGCCAATATTGCGACGACTGCTAAAAAGACCGCAGATGGCAAACACTATATCATCAATGGTGAGTGACTACCCGCGAAGGAGTTCATCCTGTGACTACCTGCAAATAAGAACATTCATGACTAAGATAACGTTTAGGCCAAAAGAAATGGATCACAAACGGCTTCTGGTCCGACTACGGAGCCATGGCCGTACGAACTGGTGGACCGGGCGCAGCTGGTCTAAGTATGATCGTATGCCCGCTGAAGGGACATCCAGGCGTTGAAATGCGACGACTCAAAGTCGCCGGACAAGTCAGCGCCGGCACGACGTTCATCGACCTGGACGATGTGAAAGTACCCGTGGAAAACCTGATCGGTGAGGAAGGAATGGGCATGCGATACGTTATGACCAACTTCAACCACGAACGACTCACCATCTGCTGCAGCGTGACACGGCAATCACGCGTCGCCGTAGCCGCGGCATTCGAGTATGTGATGAAGCGCGAAGCCTTTGGGAAAGCCCTGATCGAGCAGCCCGTGGTGCGGCACCGACTGGCCAAGGCTGGAGCCGAGATGGAATCTCTGCAAACCTGGGTCGATTCATTTGTCTACTCGATGACCAAGCTCACCAAGGAGCAAGCCGACGTCAAACTCGGTGGCTTGACTGCCCTGGCTAAGGCCAAGGCCGGCATGGTGTTCAACGAATGCGCCCAGACTGCCGTCCTGCTGTTCGGTGGTAACGGATATACTCGTACCGGACAGGGTGAGATCGCGGAGCGTCTCTACAGAGAGGTTCCTGGTGCTCGTATCCCCGGCGGAAGTGAAGATGTCATGCTGGACCTGGCTATCAGGCAATTGGTCAAGCACTATCGCAATGCTACCAATGCTCTTCAGGCGCCCAGCGGAAGCAGCAAGCTATGAGCTGGAGAGAGCTGTGAGCATTTTATAATATTATATGTCTGGATAGTTAGAGTCTTCAATATCTATTCTCGATCCCAAGATAAATCTATCCACCTGTGAGTAGTTTGCTACCGCTCATAATTCCTCATTCTTGATATGTATGCTAACATCTTGACCTTTGGAAGTTCCAGTCTCCGTGCAGCGAACTGTGCCACCAAAAAAATTAATTCAGCGTCCTGAATGCTTAGACGCAGAGTAAGGAAGACATCAACTATGAGACACAATCTCCTAGCAATCTCACCGTCTGAAGATACAAGATACAACGCGAAATTCGGTCTCAAGCATGTTTGTACCTCGTCCAGACCCGATTTTTTGCGACGAACCAAGCACCCTAGAGGCAATCTTGAGCGAACTGGAAGCCTGGATCAACACTCGGATCCATTTTCATACACATTCAAGGTCCTTCCCTGAAAGACCATCGCTCGAATGTCAAGTCTCACATCTGGATCACGCCATGCCTCAAGGGTGTGCCACGATAGCAATAGTGGAATGGTTCAAGAAAGAAAGGAAGAACGAGTTAGACGATGATCAATCCAGATCATATGAAGGATTGGCAAAAAGAAAAGGGAACGTGCAAGTTTTGAAAAGTCCTCCCCATGAAATGACAGGGGGAATGAATAGTTGATAAATAATTAAGACGCTAACTCTAATGCTGCTGTTGGTTCTCATTAAAACAATGCAATGCACATTTGCTTTCATCTTCCGTCTCAGAGAGGTGAGCGGGGACCCGGTTCTTTTTTTTTTCGTATATCCTTCCTGGAAGCCCGCGACACCCGATTTGCCTCGTGGACATGCACCCGGTAACAAAACTCATCGCGACATGGGGTGGAGAGGAGCTGGAATCCCGAGACTCCAGCCCAATCCAATCCAGACGTAAAGCCTGGACTCAAGAGCCCATTTAAGAGCTTGGGGGTGGGGGAGGAAGAGTGACGGTGCCGCCGATATCAGTGACCCAGGCGGCGGAGTTGAACTCGCTGAAGAGGGTCTCGAGCTGGTAGCCGCCGGGGCCGACAATGGTTGGGTCCGGGCCAGATTGGGTGGCGTACAGGACGGAGATGCCGTTGGCGGGGATCAGCTCGAGGCCGACGGCGGCGGTCCAGCGGAAGACGATGACGCCGTCGGAGGTGATGGCGTCGATGGCGAGGATGTCGAGCCCGATGGGTGGTTGAGCGCCCTGGCCCGCGATGTAGGCCTGCGGGCTGGGGAAGGTCGGCGACCCGGCTGGCGCGCCGATCAGGAAGTTGATGCTGTCCGAGTAGTCGACGAAGCTGGGTGCCAGGAGGTTGGTGGCCACGTTGACGTCGAAGGCCGTCAGCGTCGACACGAAGTCGTTGACGATCTTGACTGCTGTGTCATATGGGATGCCCTTTCCTTGGCGGGGCTTTCCGGCGACGGCGAGGCCGATTATGCTGAGAGGAGCGAAGATGCTTGAGAAACGCATGGTTGCTTTTGTGGTTTGGTGTGGGGGTTGATTAGATGTTGGATATAAGTGGTGTAAGTAAAGTACTGATTAGATTTGGACAGTAAAGATTGTATAAATTGCTTGCAGACAACGAAAGGCTGTAAGAGATGATGAGCGATTGGAATGCTGGTTTGATGGAGAGAAGAAAATCTGGAGAATTCGAGCGGGATCATGGCATGCTTTAATAGATGCCTGAAATGATACGTTGATCACCCATGCACCCACTGCATGGCGACGAACGGACAAGCCGATTTGTGATCAATGAGAAGCCTTGCTCACTCACTTACCATGAGGCCGGAGAGGAGCTCACCATGCTCCTGATGCTGCGCCCTGGTCCGTAGCGCGGTCTTACCTTGGCTGTCATCGAGCTTGTATGGGCTATTGCATTGAAGCTAACGCGAGACACCCGATATAGGTCCGTAGGGCAGGGCGGAGCTTTGCTGGGTTGAGGGGATGCATCAAGGCCACAGCGCCACTGAGAAATAGACATCAGGTCGAGACAGGCCGATTTGATTCAGGAACAAGGCAATGAGACCCGTCTGATGTCAGATCTCGATTGGTGAGCAAACGAGGCCACAAAGCTGTGAGTGGAAAGAAAACCTTGGAAGGTGGTTGAAAGGAAAGATAGACAGCTAGCGACAACGGACTAGTGGTTAGTGTCAGTCAGACGCACTGGCAGGACAAAAAAGATACCTAAATACTTGACTAGTTAGTACTAGCTTCATTCTGACCAGCATAACGGTTGCTATACTTGGCTGAGATGTGCCTCGCTAGCGACACACTAGATGATATTTGGTCTAGCCTGCCGGCCTGAGCCTGCTTCGATGGAACTCAAAATGTGGAGGCTCAGCACCAGTGCCCTTTTATGTCCTTTTTTTGGAGATCCCAGATGCACGGTCGTCAGCAAGCCAGACGAGGCGGGCAGATGTCATCAGGTTAGTGAACGAGCCTCCCAGATGTTCTTTCTCCATCAAGATGGCGTCTTATGATGGGGAGTGGAGACCTCGTACGGGCACTCGATATGGAGTACGAGGTACAATGAGGCCCTACGAGTACGTCCATTGTCGAACATGACACGACAGACAGACGTCGCTCAAGCTCAGTCTGGGCAAATGATGCAAGATGGATTTGAATTGACACCACTGAGAATCTGATCTTCACCTTAGTCCTTTCTAGGCCGTGTCTGATATTCTCATCAGTGCAGCAAAACATTGGTGTAGTGTAGACGACTCCGAGCTCGTTTAGGCGCCTATATCAACCATGTCTAAGGTAACCGGAGGAAGATCCCAGAAGGATGGGCCGCCTCAAATTCGACTATGGAATTGTAAGGTACCGCTTCTCTACTGCGGTCTCTGAAGAGCCTGCCAGTGGTTAGCAAACACTCGTGAGATGTATGTGCACGAAATTACGTATGAGCCTTGCTCGTAGCACTCCGAGCAGTCGTCACCACTTGGCTTTTCACAGCCTGACGGTTCCCCATGGGCGCCTGTGGGTCACTATTCGGGGGGCGAGAGTAGAGCCTAGTGACGGCTCTAGTTAATTGACACACACTCGGACCAAGAGTTGACAACAAGCCTTTGCTAAGCTTGGAAGAGTCCCCGTGCACCAAAATCTATTCCCAACTGTCAATGAATAATCCATCAAAAAACTTGAAGGTGTGAGTTGGTCCGTAAGCGCTACGAGTATCCTCAGCCTGCCTGACCGCAAGCTGATTGACGCACGAGGGCGGCAGGTTGGGTTGATGTCCGCGATAGTCCGGCCTTGGCCGTATCCATGAGCCCTTCCTGTTTGTTCACCGTGCAAAGCTTTTTTTACCTTGCAGGTTTACGAATCATCCAGTTATTTTCTGACCGCCAGCGTGGTGCTCAGCTGAGGCTTTGCGAGCGGACGAATGAATCATGCAATCATGGGATTGTAAGGGCTTTGAGTCTACTTGCGAGCGGTTTGAAACAGAATACTAAGCATTGTCGATATCTGTAATGAGAGGTACTCGAGTTCCCTGCTGCTGCTGTGTAGCCCAGTCTGTGGCACTTCATAATGTGCTCCCAGAGGTACATGGTGGCTTCGTGCCATGCTCACTTTTGGCAGGTGGCAGCGGACAAGTGCAGTCTTGCCAGATACCTTGGAGCAGGCGAGTCAGGTATCAATGCTCAAGCGAACCCTCTGAGATGTGACTGGTATCCATTTCGCATATCCCTCATTCAAGTCCATCAAACCCAAGAAGACAGAAAAAAAAGCCACCTGCAACTCATGATGATCCAAAAGTCCGTCCGTGGCCTGCAACCTGAAAGAACCCTCACCTAGCTATGTATTTCCGTCCACTGGTGAGTTAGACTCGCTTCGTATTATTATTGTCATTAAAGCACTTCGGACTTAAGACGCTCAATTGGCATGCAGTGAGCATCGTGTCATTCATTATTCAAATAGTTTGGGTCCATTTCCATTTCCCCTCACAACCTCGTGTCATGGTATGTTCTTCTTATGTTGTTGTCTGCGTATCCGGCCCTCCCTCAGCCTGTTCACCGCTCAGCCTTGTTATTTGTACTGTTAAGTTCACTGTCAGACCTGGCTCCCTCGAAATCCTTTCGGACACTGCGCTGTAATATTTCTTCTTGGTCGGTTACTACTGTGAGGGGTAGTTTCTAAAATCTAAATTTGGAGGCGTCGTGATCCTCCAAAGGACGAATTTCATCTCAATCATTATTACTCGTGTTCCAGATCCGCCTCATGCTTCGGCTTGTTCTGTCAAGGGCAGATACGAGAAATCGGAAATCCGAGTCCTCATCAAGATCTCGAATGAGACTGTTCTTGCCCACCACCTTCCTCTTCCCCGGGTGTGACTAACCGTACACTTTTCCGAGAGTTGCTAAATCCCTGCAGACGGCTGCGACTTGTCACTCTCTTACCGGCTAGACTCCGTTCGTCACCGCTTTGTGTAGCCCGCTCTCCTCCTGCCATTGCAATACCCTTTCTCAGCGCTGCTCGTGCCTTGTCCACAGCCGGACTTCCACCTGCACGAAGAGCATCTCGCTTGGTTGTTGATCCAGCTCCTGTTCCATTATTTCCATTCAACCCACGAATGAGGCGGACTTCCTCTTCCTGTTGGATTTGTTGGAGGATCCGTGATTCTCGTGCTGGGCCAGGTCCACAATCGCAGCCACATCCCTGGGTTGGACAAGTTCCATTGCTCGATGGTTCAGCAAACCATTCTTTCATACAACTCACATGTCCTGAGTGCCCACACGCATGGCAGAAAGACCACATGGTACCACTACTTCCCCAGTTCGAATTCTTCATCGAATCCGATAAAGTTGAGTGGCCTCGCTCCACATCATGCAATGATAGGCATACCGGGCACACAGATCGAACACTTCGACATCGTTCACAGATATTCTTGCCCAGCGGCATTTGGCCGTGACATTTACTGCACACGATTGAAAGGCTTGCAGAATCACCATCAATGAGACTACTTCCGGCCTTTTTGTCACCTCCAGCACAAGCATACAATCTTGGATATTCCAGCTCCACACACATTTTCCTAATCAATGCAGCAGACGATACTAGCCCAGTCTGTCTCAAAAAAGACATGTGAGTGTCCAAAATGCTTTCGATAATTCTGTACCCGAGGTGCGGTGTCATAAGCCGGTCTGCCAGATTGTTTGTCCCGCTTGGCTCGACTCCTTTGACATTTCGGAACCTTGCATCAAAAAAGTAGGGATGGACATGCATGATAAGATGTGCTGCAAATTGTGAATGCCCGATACCATTCTCGACATCGTATGCAATGCTCTGACAGATCAATGGTAGAGCGGACCAGGCAAACGGCGACTTCGGCTCATAATTGAACAAGTCAATTGGTCGAAAGTCAGAGATCAGGTAACTCTGATAATCAAGCTCTTCCATTGACATCAAATTCGAGGAACCTAGCTGGTGTTCTCGGTGTGACTCCCCTTCCACTCCATAATTTATTGCTCGTAAAGGGTTCGTGTTGTGTATTCGAGGCTTGTCAAGCGAGCTGCCCTCGAACTGGAAGATGTCAGGCGTTGTCGATAACCCGGTATGGAATTCGGAAGGAGTGGTCGATTGAGGGTCCTGGTCGGCGTCCCAGTTGACTTTCTCGCCCGGCGTTGGGATCACCTGTTGTGCATTCGTGTGTCCATCACTACCAAAGCTCATATCTGGTGGAGTTTCAACAGTTACACTATCAGACACTTGCGACGCTTGTATGATTGAGCGGGTATGCCCGCTTGGCTTCTGCAGTTGCAATTCACCAAAGGAAAGGTCTCTTTCCTCGTCATCGTCATCTTGTTCCGTGTCGTTGAGAGTATCAGTACTTTGTTTGCGTGATTTGCTGGTAGCATCAATTGACCCAAATGATTGCCCAAGTGACCTCGCGCGTTGAGAACTGTCTCCAGAAACCGAAAACATCTGAAAGCTGTCTCCTGAATCATGTCGAGGCTGAAGAAGAGGAGGGTTGGTTGATTGTTCCAGAGTAAATATCGGCCTGGTTTGAATGCGATAGTCGCGCAAGGCAGCTCGCCGATCCTCTTGTGTTGTCCTTTGTTCTGAAGATCCTTTCCCATGTGTTGTGGCATTGACAATCCGACCGGCATTCGCGCCCGTGGGCGACTTGAGGTCCTGAGTCTTGTTTGTAGATGATTGATTCGAAGAAGGCCTCGCACTTCGACTGACATCTGGAGAAGATGAAGCCGAGACTGGTGTTCGGCTAGGACTGTCAACCAAGGCTCGGGCCGCGGCAGCTGCAGTTGAATGGGAGCTAAGAACAGAAGGAGGAAGTGTCAACACATCATCAATTTCATCTTCTTCAGAAGTCAATTTGCTCCATCCGCGACTGCGAGAGGAACGCGGCGAGTTTCGAAATGGTTTGGCCAGTGGTGTGGTCACGTTGGAAGTGCTATCCCCTTGGATGTTCTTGTCTGAATCCACGGTGGACTTCAGTAGGGTGCTCATCAAGTTCTGGGATTTCCCATCGATTTTCAGTTTGCTACCTCGGCCACGCAGACCAGGAAGTGGTGAGAGTATGGAACGTTGAGACCCGGAGCGAAACTGCTCCAATACCTCGCGCCTCTTATCGGCCTCTGCTCGTCGTTGCGAGCGATTTGTATCGGCCCAGTCCCTCAACTCTGATACCAAGACAGCGCTCAATATTCTCCACGACTGGGCCATACGGTGAAGGGAGACTGCATCACAAGCTGTAGCGTTTTGATGGAAAGCTGCTTCAAGCCGGTCAAGTATGCTCTGGGGGGACTGCAATCTTTCTTCAGCCGTCGCTGGAGGTGCGTAATTTGATGCAAGATATTCCACTATTTCAGGTTCTGTAGCCACTCCCGGCACAAAGCTGGAAGCACCAACCTGGCCATTGTTGAACAGATCTTCTCGCTGAAAAACAGCTCTATCTAAAGATAAGATAGGAGGCTTCTCCTCCAGCGATGGAGGACTGTTAGCTTGCGACTTGCTGGATTTCGACGATGGCATTGGTCTTTCCACACGCCTGTGGACTGATGAAACATGGCTTTCCAAGTCCTTCTCATCATCCGTGAAACTCCGGCTATGTGTAGGATCGTCTCCACCACTTGATTTGTCTCGTGGGATACTCAGAAATCCAAGCGCGGGATCCTCGGTACCCGAGCCACGGAGCGATCCTCGTTGTTCAGAGAACATGTAATACTCACCATCGGGAGTGAAGATGGAAGTACAAGGTGAAATCTCATTATAGAAGGGAGCGCCATGCTGCAGATCCCATTGTGTGAATACCCCTTCGTCACCTACCGACCATAGTTTGTCTTTGGTAGCCCATAGCAGGTCATTGGATGCTGAGCTATACCTGTCTAGTTCGCGAAAAGGTAGCCATGGGCGTCTTAGATCCCAGACGTGTATTCTGGGGTCATCATGATTATACGACACTGCGATTTGAGTGCTCTGCCAGTGACCAGAGTCATCGGCCTCAGAAGCTCTGCATGGAGGCCTCCATCTGATGTTTCGAATCCCGCTTGGGGCTCTGAGCTGGAAGACCGGTTTTTGCCGCTTGTTGTCATTCTGAAAATCCCAGACTCGAATGTATTTGTCGAAGCCGCCAGATATGACATGACGTCCGTCCGGGTGCCAGTCCAATGAGTAGCATGCTTTTTCATGACCATTGATGCTCAACTTTGGGCCTGATGGAGAACGGGCGTCCCACTTTTGTATGACACCACTGTCTGTACAGATGGCAAAGTCCAAGGGCTCCAACGGCGACCAGCGCACATCTCGGACGGGCATCCGGGGCTCAAACCTCAAGCGAGATCTTTCCCTTTTACCATCCCGAAGATCCCATAGTCTGACCGACTTGTCTTGGCTTGCGGATAGCAAAAGATAGCCGGCGAACGGGTCAAAGTCCAACTTGTTGATCTGGTTGGTATGCTCATGGAGCCAAGCCAGTTCAAGCTTTGGGCCACCCACGTTCACATCGTAGAGAGAAATACGCCCACTGGTAGCTGCGGTAGCTATGATATGGCTGTAAGTCCCGGTAGACCATTTGACATCTCTTGCCGGAAGATAGTCTCTTCTTTTGCTAGGACCGCCCAATTGAGGAGAGGTTTGGGAGGATGTGGCAGAGCCCACGGCAGCGCGGATGTTGAACACGTCACTGACCTTTCCATCCTCGACCCGTACAGTCTTCAGGATCTCTTTTCCCGCGAGAACGGCGTGGGTGCCGGAAGCATTGACGTCGAGGGCAGCGATGGGTATCCCCGTCCTATGGCTCGTGTTGTAGGATGACGCGGAAGTGCTGTGGGTGGTCAGTTGAAGGTACGGGATGTCAAAGCAAGCATTCCTCTCGCACCTGTACGTGTGTACGGCGGTGATTCGACCAGTGACATGATCATGGTCGCCCTGCGCTGGGCCGCCATGGTATTTTGAACCAGTGTGAGAACCCCAAGGAGCTATGATCTTTTGCAATTGGCCTAGGCGGCCCGGTAGTAATGGTGGCGCTGGAGGAGGGAGAGTTTGGTACTCAGCGAGGACGGGGTCGGCCATGACTCGAGATCCATCAGATGAATGCGTGTCGGCTCAAATGCCAGAGACGGATTGGAGATTGGCCGAGGCTGGACAGGTCGAGGCAATGGACAAGGATAGGCGCATGGCTGGTGGCTTTGGCCATGCTTGAAGTGGTAAAGCAAGCGAGTTCGAAGTCTGTCCCGAGGAATTGTAAAGAGACCGTTGACAGGTGAGCAAAGGCCAGTGTGAATGTGATGCAACTTGCAGAAAAGAATGGAGACTGGCCGGGTATGATGAATCAGGACGTTCGATGTTGACAATGGTGAGGCTACAAATGTGGCAAGGTTAGATGGAAGTTACTGGCCGCGGATGCAGGTGGTGGTTGACCATGCTCAAGTGCAGATCGGGGATGCGAGTTCTGGGATGCGGGGCCCAGGTACTTCGTCCTTGGCTTCTCGACGACAATAGGGATGATTGGGCTTAGCGTCTAGGCCGGATGCAAGGACAGAATTCGGCTCCCAGGCACTAGGCATGCCTATATGTAGCCAGAAGACGTCTTGTTCCAGGCTAGACCACCCCCAGACCAACCGGGGGAACCTGGGCCAGGAGCACTAATTGGTAGTGCCTCGTCCATGACTCTGGGAGTTTAGGTACACGGTAGCCGGCCAACTGCCAGTGCATGGTGCATGGTGCATTGGACCACGAGGGTGCATGACATGACATACCAATCGACATTTGAATTTCCAGGATCCGAGCAAATGAAGGGCATTTGGGCACGACTTTGAGAAGAGTGAGGTACGGCGGTGAGGGAAATAGTGACCTTTGTAGATTGCGAGGATAGACATTGGAACTGACTTTAGGTGGTCAAGTCCACCCATTCAAGCCGTGCCGATTCTCTGAAGTTTAGTATTGCTCGATGGACGGACCCTGACCTAACAGTGTCTGGTGTCCTGTCCTCATCTCCAGCACAATCATGGTCGAGAGGGTACAGTTGATATACTTTACTGGATGCCCTGGCTGCCCTTCTTTTCTAGTTCTGTCAGTAATTCTTCTACGACCTAGGTATCAAACGCAAACTTGAACAGCAATCGTTGTCCTGCCACTTGGCGTGTACAAACCCCGGGAACTGTGCGTACCACTACCTATATACCTTGTCCCTCCAGCTTTTGAAATTCGGTGCATCTCCGACTTTCAGCTACGGGTAGAGAGGTACTACTTACAAGAGGAGTCCGTAGTCCATGGTCTACAGTCTACAGTCCACGGTCCCCTCGCTTCCCGTTACCGCTACCGCTACCGCTCACTCACGAGTCACGACTTCGCCTCAATCATCCTTTGGCAATTTGACATCTGACAATTTGTGTGTTGCTCCAGTCGCTTTGAGTCTTGCCCAATTCCTAGCGAGCAGACTAGCCAAGTGATCCGGGAGCCTCTGCCTCGTTCCGCCACCACCCACCAAACAAAAGGCCACAAGCGAAAGCCAGGCCATCTCCACCGTGCCTGATCGAGACTCAGCTCACCACCGTCCACGGCTCGCCCTCTCGAGTTCTCGTCACGCGATCCAAGCAGCAGCAAAGCCTCCCCAGCTGGATCACTGGATCGTTGGATCGTCCATCCAGAAACTCAAAAGACATTCCATTCTGCCCGTTAGTGATCCTGGTGACCACTTAGCCCGGCTTGGGGCTTGCACTCGCTCTCGAGAGTCTCGAGTCTATTTGCCTCTGCCACTGATCCCCCAATTGCCACAAAGGCTCCCTCCTCACGTCGTCATTTATCACGTACAGCCTACAGGTGCTTTTCCAACACCACACCACCATCATTGCTCCTACCTCTACAACCACCACCTCCTCCATCACCACCAACAACACCACTTACCTCCCACCACAATCGCTTTTTTCTTTCTGTGTACCTCTCCTTTCCTTTCTTTGTAATAATCACTCTTGTCCTTCGCTCACTGCATCTTTTATCGACACTCTCAATCGGCAGTCTTTTTCACAGACAGGCCCAGATCCTGCTGATCTCAGCTTCTTCCGGCCACCGAGTGCAGGCCAGTCGACCTTCCTGTCCTCCTGCTTTCCAAATAGCCAAGGGACCTATTTCACACCACGGCTGGACGCTGCTTCTGACAAAGCCAACTGCCACACGCTTTTTTCTTCATCTTTGGGTGGTTTTCTCGATTTCGGTTTTCTCTTCTCTTGCAATTCGCTCTCCAACACGCGGCCGGTGGCAATCTTCCCAGGACTATGCATGAACCTCGACCAGATTTTGATACCATTCAGACTTCTCTTCGAATTCTCAATGTAGCAAAATCCTCCTATCCCGCCATCACTCTCCTGGTCTTTGTTCTGGCCTTTGTCATATATGGCATTAGAACATCTCCCAACAATGGAGACAAGGTTCAAATACATGCCATGCTAGGTCCAGGCGGCCGACCATTACCAACTCGCCGAAAATCCGCCAATCAAATCAAAGCCGCCGCCGCCATCAAGGATTTCCCTCACGGAACAAAAACATTTCTCAGGCTCCTTCAAGCAGGCGTCGTCCTCACCTTCCTTGTCAATGCTGGCATTGCTATTTTCCAGGTTTTGTTGAATCGGAAGGATGACTGGTGGCCCGGTGAAAGCGCTGTGGTGGGTCTCTTTGACCCCTGCTCACACAGTTCAATCCTTGCTGACTACATCTCTTAGATTTTCATTGTCGCCTCCAGCTTCGTATGGTCCATCGTGTTGATATCTATGATTGATCAGAAACCGTCACCGACTCCGGCTCATTTCGTCACGTGGTTGGTGGCCCTTCCGCTTGAGGTGCTCATCGTCGTCACAAGCCTTGAGGTCTACACTGTGCCCCACAATGAGCCACGTGTTGGCGATCAGCAAGGTGGACGATACCGAGGTGCAATTACTGGGTGGGAGACTATCGAGGTAATCATTAATTTGATTCGCATCGTCCTGCTACTCGGCCTCTCGATTATCTTCATCACGGTCAAAATCAATTTACGACGACCCAAGGATTCTGAGGGTAACGTTGACGATGAGAGAACTCCACTGCTCAATGGTAATGCCGAAAATGGATCCGGCGCAAACGGTCACGCCGCCGCTGGTACGCATCCTACCCCGGCACCAGAGTCGAAAGAAAACGTGGATGCTTGGGCGAAGCCGACAGAGGCCCCCAATATCACTTGGTATGCGTACATCCGAGGCTTTGTGCTACTGATCCCGTATCTGTGGCCCAAGAAATCAGCCAAGCTGCAGCTGTTGGCTGGAAGTTGTTTCCTCATCATGGTTGGCCAACGAGTTATCAACGTCTTCGTCCCCATCATGGTCGGAAGGATCACCAATGCCTTGTCAGGTGACGACAGCAAAGGTGTCAGGGCCCCCTGGCTCGACATTTCCTTGTATATCCTGTTTAGGTGGCTCCAAGGTTCACAAGGAATTCTCACGGCTCTTCGGTCGATCCTGTGGATCCCAGTCGAACAGTACTCGTACCGTGCGATCTCCACAGCAGCATTCGAACACGTTCATGGTCTCAGTGCGGAATTCCATACCGGAAAACGGACTGGCGAATTGATATCTGCCTTAAACAAAGGTAGCTCCATCAACTCTTTTCTCGAAATGGTCACTTTCCAGGTCGGCCCCATGGTATTCGACCTTGTCATCGCCATCGTTTTCCTTACCATCAACTTCGACATCTATCTAGGTCTGGTCGTTGCGATCGTTACCTTTCTTTATATCTACGTTACAATTCGCCTTGCATCATGGCGAGTCACTCTACGGCGCAATTTTGTTGCGGCTGATCGAGAAATGGAAGCCGTCAAAAACGATTCCCTCCATTCGTGGGATACCGTCAAATACTTCAATGCCGAGGAATATGAATTTGGTCGTTACAAGAATGCTATCAAGACGATGCAGAAGTTTGAGTACTGGGTTGATGTAACACTCTCTTACATGAACACCGTTCAAGGTGCTCTGTTCATGGTTGCACTGCTGGTTGCATGCTTCATCGAAGCTTTCGAGGTTGCACAAGGTCAACAATCCGTCGGCAAATTTGTTATGCTCATCACATACATGGCTCAACTCCAAGGTCCTCTCAACTATTTTGGTACTTTCTATCGCGCCATTCAGAACAATCTCATCAACGCTGAAAGGATGCTGGAACTGTTCAAAGAACAACCTCATGTGATTGACCGCGAAACTGCCGAGGTCATGGATGACTGCGATGGTGATATAGTATTTGACAACGTGTCCTTCAGCTATGATAAACGCAGACCAGCATTGAATCACCTCAGCTTCCGATGTCCACCAGGAACGACTACAGCACTTGTTGGTGAGTCTGGTGGTGGAAAGAGCACTGTCATGAGGCTCATCTTCCGCTATTACAACCCTGAAGCAGGTCAAATCAGAGTTGATGGAAAGGATGTTCAAGACATCACAATCGACTCACTTCGCAAGTTCATTGGAGTGGTCCCCCAAGACTGCAACATGTTCAATGAGTCCATCATGTACAATTTGCGTTACGCGAACCAAAACGCGACAGATGAAGACATCTTCAACGCATGCAGGGCAGCCTCGATCCATGACCGAATTATGGAATTCTCTGATGGTTATGACACCAAAGTTGGGGAACGAGGCGTGCGACTCTCTGGAGGAGAACGTCAGCGAGTGGCGATTGCGAGGACTATTCTCAAAAACCCTCGGATTACCATGCTTGATGAAGCAACCGCGGCTCTCGATACCGAAACTGAAGAGAAGATTCAGAAATCCTTCCAAACCCTTGCAGAAGGACGCACCATGGTCATCATCGCCCATCGCCTTAGCACTATCGTCGGTGCCGATCAGATCCTCGTGCTGAATCACGGCACTGTGGTGGAAAGTGGTACTCATGATGAACTAATCGCCCTGGGTCAAAAGTATGCGAGCATGTGGCGCAAGCAATCGAGGGCCCAAAAAGCCGCAGCCGAGGCCGCAGAATTGCGCACTCGAGCCAAAAAGGCGCTGGAAGAAGCTGAGGCTGATAGTGCCAGCGTCAGCGAAGAGGAGATTGAACAGGCCAAGCGGCGAGAGCAGAGCTTGGGTTTCACCAAAAGCCATAAACGGGTGAATTTCTCTCAGAGCAGTAATTTGAGAACCTGGTTGGCCGATGACCATGACCATGATGACTCGAGATCCGAGACCTCTCAGGCTGGCGGTGCCCCTGGTGCTGGTGTCGGTCCACATGGTCATTCGAGCAAGCCACCTGGACACCCTTGACGATGATGCTAATGAGATTGATCGTGTACGAATGTATGTCGCAACGCTGCGATGCTGTCATGTGCCGCTCCGCCGATATGAGACTATTACGTTGAGTGGAGCCGTTTTCTGGTTACTATGCAACTAATGCATAATGTTCAATTTTTGGTTATTTTTCACTTTGTCTTTCATGCACATTATTTTTATCCTGTTGGATCAAGTCAGGCAAACACCACAATCTTGTGTTTTTGCGAGACTTCAAAAAATCGAAAACCACTTCTCATGGTCTCTTTGAGACCCTTCTTCCCAGTAGGGAGGCCGAACACAGACACCAAGATAGAAGAAAAATGGAAGGGCCTCACGGCCGAGAGAATGTCTTGCCTATGGGATTTTCGGGGATCTTCTTTCGCATTTTGTATGTATGAAAGTGTGTATTGACTGCATGATGATGAGGTGCCGGGGAGCGAGCGAGCGAAGAAATCGGCGTGATGCAATACATTGAGGTTGGATCTGATGGACTGCATGAAGTGTGTCGAGCGTAGTAATAAGCAGGCAAAAGAAATGAGAGCCAGGCAGAGTTTGGCCTACCCCGAGACACTGAAGAATGATAGAATAAAATAGCTGTTGCTTGACCACCACTTCAAACATCACAACCATTAATCCCTGTATCATCATTCGTGCTCACTCCGGCTAACAAGAACGCCAGATACAATACGCCAGCCGAGGGTTTCGTCAAGGTCCATCACATCCCATCACTCATGTAGACTCAAGCATCGTATCTACCCTCTCTGATACGTGACAGAGTTACCGGGCACGAACTGTGTACCGTTCCGTGCAGTGTACATATAAGTAGGACGTCGTAAGATATTCTACACGAAACCGAACCCCCCTCCCTCTTTCTTCCTTGAACACCCGATCCCGCCGTCGACCTTCATATGCCCGATGTTCAGAAGCGGCGCTTTTTCCTGACGCCCGCGCCCGACGCGATACTGCGCTTCAGCTCTTCGCGGCGCCGGTTCGCTTTCGCCTCGTCGGTCTCTTCTTGCTCGGGAGGTTGCTCTTCTGCTTCTGTTTCTTGCTGCTTCGCGGTGGATTTCGCTTTGCTTGTTGAGGGGCTTGATTTCTTCGTACTGGGGCTTGATGAAGTGTGATTTGTGTGCTGTCGCGTTGTGGGTTTCGAAGATGGGGACGGGGAAGGGGATGGTGAGGGCGTATCCTCGTCGGTCATCTCGACATCGGGGGTGGGTTTTCCTGAGGCTTTCTTTCTAGACGAGGAGGGTTGAGGGGATGATGATGATGATGCTGCTGACGGTTTGCCTTTGCGTCCGCCCCCGAGTCCTCCGAGCCGTCCAAGTCGGCGCGGCGCTGGTGGTGATTGAGCTTTGGGAGGAGGCTGTCGTTTCTGACTCCCTCTCGTTTGCGGTGGAGAGGATCCCTCGAGATCGTCTGCCTCTGGCGTGCTGCTGGGGCTTCTGCTTGGAGGTGGCTCTTTTGTCTTGTTCACCTGGCCTGGCCGTCGGTGGTTTGAGGACGGAGCAGGTGGGCTGTCAGGGTCGGACGTTTCTCTGACTTGACTTGATTTCTGCTGCTCGTTGGTCTTTGGCGGAGCATACCCTTCATCCTCGGATGGAGATGAAGGAGATGACTTTTTGTCGCTTGGTTTCTTGAGCCCACCGAGCCTAGATTTCTGCTTCGGCGGGCCTTTCAAGGGGCGTCTGTACCCCTTTCTATGCGGATGACTGCCAACTTCCGAATCAGATTCTGTCGCGGTTCCGGAGGCTTCTCTGGATGGAAGAGGTGGCGAAGCAGATCTTCTCAGAATGACTGGGGAAGATCTGGGGTTTGCTTTTGAATCACCATATGCTTTGGTAGCATTTCGCCGACCTAGAATCCCAAGCTTAGTCGTCGTCTTCTTCTTAGGTATATCATCATCGCTCTCGGCTTCAGTATCGCCGCTTTGGGCAGAAGACCTCGTCCCCTGTTTGTTGGCATCTTTGGGATGTAGCTTAGGTGGGGTTGGTTGTCGCTGACAGAAAATTAGGACTGTACTCTTTTGTGGCCGGATCTAAAAGACCTACCTCGAAATCATCGTCGTCATTATCAGACTCTGTCGGTGTCTCTTCCCACTTGGAAGAAAGTGTGACGACGCCTCCCCTGTCGAGCCCAGATTCTGCGTTGATGCCGCCAACCAGAATGGCTCTTTTGTTATCAGAGGTAGTAAGTCCACTGAGCCAGTCTTCATGCTGCTCTCGTGTATGCACGAAACATTTTTCACACCCTTTGACCAGATTCTTTAGTCCCGTTCGGTCGGCGCCTTCATACCCGTCGTCATTGGAGAATTGCTTGATCCAAGACTTGTGATCGAACTCTGCCATCCCTGGCACGTGCCTTTTAGCGTCTGCGACCGAGAGTTGGCCACCTTTTCGAGACGAGGCGATTGCAAAACTTGGAAAGTCTAATCCTAGGTCAATGCCAGAGGTCTTTATCCTATCGAGTAGGCGTGAAATGACATGGTCCTTCTCCTTGATAGTGTGTAGAAGTGAGGTGATTTTGTCCTCAGAAACGGAGACCTCATGGAGGCTGGGGCGCAATAATTGCTCGGCTAATTGAGACGCATTTTTCTGTTCCAAACGGAATATCCAGGTCAGCGGCTTCAATGGACGGGGGAGGTCAATCTTTGTGCGCAATAAAAGATTTCGTGATAAGTGATTGCTGTCACGGGCTAATACATTCTGGCCCTTCTCATGTTGCAGACTTTCGCGCAATTTGGATAACAGTAGACCAAATTGACGCGCCGACTCAGAAGGATCAATGCTCGCATCTTGACGCGCTGCTTCTGCAAGAATATCATACTTATCCAATGAGCAGTCCCAAATAGCTATTAGGTCGGTCAGTAATAGCGAAAAGGCGTCCTTGCTTGTGTGGAACGAGTAAAATAGCTTGGGGCACTCCTCCCGTGATGGAAGCCGAAGTTCTTGCCACCCTTCCTCATTTGTCGTGCCCATTGCAGTGTGAGCAACGACAGACGCGCGCTCTTACCGAACCAAGCAAAGAGCTTTGAATTCTCTTGATAGTGGTTTTGGGCATCAACAATCGTGAGCATGGGAGTGTATGTGATGGCCAGAAGGCCATGTTCTATGCCTCTGTAGGTTGTCGCCCCCATATGTCTCCTCCACCAACAGGTGAGGCTTCCTTGAGAACGCGTCCGGCAGGTGGCCATGGAGCTAATACGATTCGGGCGGCGTGTATGCACTTCAAGCGAAGCCTTGGCAATGTTGGAGTCTCCCATCCACGTGGAACTTCAACGTTGAAACCATCAAACATATCTGCTTGACGACCTTGTTGCACGGAGTTCATTAGCTGCTGAGGTGCTGGCTCTAATTAATTGCACATCTGAACATCAGCTCCCCATGTAGAGGGACGCGCCTTCGAACTCGGAATTCCTGAGCCTGGGACCGACCGAGTTTCTGGTGGATGGTCCCGAAAAAAGACACTGCAGGTCTCGTTTCAACCAATCGAAACATGGGTTACAGCTTCATCACACTATACACAGGGCGTCCTTGAAAGATGTGATGTCGATCAGACATGCATATTCACACAAGGATCCATGGTGAACCTACAAGGTAATGCCAGGATTACCTATTCTGAGCCCAGGACAGCGATACTTGCTAAAAATGTGGCTGCGGGAGCTGCCGCGTTTCGGGCGTCTGGCGGTTTGAGAATGCCCACCATTGAGGAATTGCGATAGGCCAACATGCCTCCCAATCACTTTCACATTCTGACCTCCTACAGAAGGTCTAAGAACTAAGGTGATCCCTCTATCTGGTCAGGGTACTGTCAGCCTTTCCAGCGTCTCCTTGACCTATGATTGGTCTAAGACAGTTCCATTTTCGGGGCATCATGGCTGAAACCATGCTTTCGAATCCGTTCTCAGTCCTCCACAGTTGACACCGCGCTTATTGTATTGTTCGCGAGGCTTGCTGGAACACGGGTTGACTGCAAGGTCCACTCCTATACCTATTGGGTAGACTCATAGCTGGTCCGGATACGAGCTTGAGACCAGCAACACCTTGGACTCTGCACAATATTCGGCGCTTATGCTTCTCGTGGACGCTGGACAATGTATAAAGCACCGGCTTTTGCTCTACGATTTGGTTCATCTGCATACAAGTCTGAACTTTCATATAAATTATCCATTACCCTTTCCGCAACTCACCAAGAAGTATCCAGCCACTCCGTTGTTCACATTTCTATAACCATAACCATAACCATAACCATAACCATAACCATAACCATGCAACTCAAGTTCTTCTCCATCGCAATTCTGATTTGCCAGATCGGTACGGTCATTTCAGCACCAGTCGCAATCCCAGTCTCAGTCCCAGTCGATGGGGACATACTCAAAGCCAGAATAGACGAGCCGATCCTCAGCACTCGACAGATCGTCGGCGGCGGCAAATACCACGGCGTCATTCAAAGTCGCGATCTCGTTGGTAACAGTAAATATCATGGTGTTGTCCAGAGTGGAGGTGGCCACTGAAGGCTGAGAATGTGTCGGCCAGCACGACTTCATACACATCTACACCGAATTGATCGTCGACTTCCATCTGTCTCCACCCTATTGAACAAGCAATCTCCGTTCGAGATGTCACACATTCCTTTGGTTGAATGGATCACAGATACGGGCGGACTGACTTAGTTCAGCTCTTCGTGTTCCAATTATACTTGTTTTGAAAGAGGATAGCAATTTGGAGGTCGCGAATATTGTTTCAAACACGTTAACGATCTCCACGTATGCTTGTACATTATAGCCTGGAAGATAGCATCTTGATGTTATGACGAGTATTATGTGGGATATTCAGATACAAAAACACGTTTCTTTCGCTTGGTCTCCATTGCTTCTGCATTATAGCAAACCAAATGCCTGCACTTACCCAAGATGAAGCAAATCCAGACAGGAGGCAAGTTAAGGTTGCGTTAATGCGCATGCCGCTTTGTAATTTGCCGTAGCTAATGCGGTGGGGTCTTTGCGCAAATGCGCCATTAACTATTTGCCTGCAACTCAACTCTGAGGCTCCCATTTAACATTATTGGTGAGGCATTCACAACATTTTATATTCAAGATGAGTGACTACTACCGCCATACGAAACGAAGGCGATCTCAGTCGCCCTCAAATTCTGGAGGCCAGAATGCCAATAGACAATACCGAGAGCGAGGTGGAGGACAAGACCGTGAGAATGGATCTCAACAGCGGTGGTCTCACAAGGAGCAGATGAGGATCAATCAGCTGCAGGAAGACGAGCGCATGAGAGAGTGGGTGGCTCAAGAGGATGATTTCGTTCTCAAACAGGCTAAAAAGAAGGCAGCAATACGGGTTAAGGAAGGCCGCGCAAAACCTATAGACTGGCTCGCAGTCACTCTCCGTGTGGTCGATCCTACGAGAGATCCTCTGAATGATGAAGTCGAAGAGAAGGATCTAGACTTCATGGACCCCGATAGTGTCTTCGATGGGCTTTCCGAAAATGAATTCCCCGCCCTGCGCAAGGACATCGATACCTACCTGAATTTGGAAACCAACAGAAATAACAGAGAATATTGGCGCACTATGCAGATCATCTGTAAAGACAGGCAGAGGAAGTCGCGAAACTCAGGGCCAGAAGGTAGGGCAGTCAGCTCTGTGGCTGCTGATATTGATAAACTTCTGGGTCCCAAGACATTTGAGCAGTTGGAGGTTCTGGAGAAGCAAATTCGAACGAAGCTCGACTCCAATGAGCCTATTGACACTGACTACTGGCAACAACTACTGGACAGCTTACTTGTCTGGAAAGCAAAAGCAAAGATCAAGAGAGTCTATCAAGATGTCCTTGATTCGAGACTCGATCAATTGAGGGAACAGAATAAACGAAAGGCACAGCAGGTCAAATCTCGACTTGCCCAGTCCGAGGTGAAGACCCAGGACGGCGTCCAGTACTCTACGGAACTAGATCCTGAACCGCTTTTGGAACTTTCGACAAAGGACAAAACCCTCGAGATGATGGACGAGTCCACGTTTCTACGACAAGTTGCCGCGAGCAGGCGGAAGATCTTGAAGATGGGATATGTACCGGAACCCAAACACATAACAGCCACTGTCTCGAGTCAACCGCGGGCCTCTGGCCAGGGCCACGCATCCGACCCGACAGCACGCTTCGACAGGACAGCAGACGACACATCATCAACAACCAAAGCCCTGTTCGACCGCGAAGTAGCCAAAGGTGTCAACGAAGATGAAGAAGTTTTCGCAGGTGAAGAAGAAGTCACCACGTCCGACACTCAAGCCCTCTGGATGGGAAAATACCGCCCTCGAAAGCCTCGATACTTCAATCGCGTCCAGATGGGCTATGAATGGAACAAATACAATCAAACACACTACGACCACGACAACCCGCCGCCGAAAGTTGTCCAAGGCTATAAATTCCACATTTTCTATCCAGATCTCATCGATATTACGAAAGCGCCGACCTACAAGATCATCCGAGAAGGAGGTCGCAAGAAAGGCCAAACGATGGCGCCGGCCGGGGAGGAAGATACTTGCATCATCCGCTTTATGTCCGGTCCGCCGTATGAGGACGTCGCGTTCCGCATCGTGGATCGCGACTGGGACTACTCGGCCAAGCATGATCGAGGGTTCAAGAGTAGCTTCGAGCGGGGAATTCTCACGCTGCATTTCAGTTTCAAACGCATCATGTATCGCAAGTGAGCTGTGATCCCATGGGTTCTCACGCCTGCCATGGCATGTTCGGGATGTTTCTGGGGCGATGCCCAAAAAGCACTTGTTAGTGACGATTTACGGAAATAATGATATCAGTATGAAACCAATATTCGCATCAAGTACAATAATATTCATCCCTCGCCACTCAGTCCCCGGCCCCCTTTTTCCCACTGCCAAATCCATGCGCCTTTTCACTCGCTATCAAACGGGCACGACTTTCTCCGTACTCTATTCGAAGTCTTCCGGTAGAATGTCCCCAGTACGCCCCTCTTCTCTCAGACCAAGATAAATCATGCTACTCGCGTCACCGAAGCCGCTCTATGTACCACCTAACCCACCCACCCACCAACCAACCAGGGCAGCACCTCAAGGAGCATCGCCGGACCAATCGGAAACACGCGCAGACATAGACAGACCTGAAGAGTCTTACGTGCATCTCATGCTCGTGGGTGTGAGCTCAGGTCTCGGCGACCGTTTCCTTTCCTCAATACCTAGGTACTTAATCATCACCAGTCATGGCTCTCAGGGCCTTCGGCGCCCAGAACTCTTCTTCGGGGTCCTACCCAGGGAATGACATAGTCAGATGTTGCTCGACTTTCGAGGCCCCCTAGCTGAGCCGTATTTGCTTACCTCTGTTCGCGAACGAGCTGATGATGATGGGCTGGGCTCGTGGATTTACTTGTTCACGAGTGCACGGAGGGCAGTTGTTATGTCTCTAACGAAGAATGATAGTGATATTGTGAAATAAAAATGGCCTGCATCGCTGGGGGTATATATAACATATGTATCCTTGTCCTACTTCGTTCACATTATATAGGCACGCCGGCCTCACTGTTGGCATTTCGCTTCTATTGCCTGTATGTTCCCTCGCTTCCCAAACCCGGGATGGATAATGAAATGATGATGCTGTGTTTGTCAATCTTGCCAAGTTGAGCACTTGGATCCACAATGAATTATGCGACATATATTCCAACGCCTGATGTTGACAATTGCAGATAGCGCTCCCGTGCTGAATATCATTCAACTGAAAGTCGTAAATGAGTAGACAAAGTATTGCAACGAAGTTAATACTCATCCCGATTCTTAAGGTTCTGGCTGACGCTCAGGCTCAGACTCAGACTCAGGAACAGGCAATTTGGGTTTTGTAGCATCTCCGTTGGTGGAACTGTCAGTAGCAGCCCTCTTGAGTGCTTTCTCTTCAGCAGGAGATACCCCACAGTCCAGCTCCCAAGTTTCTTTCTCCTTGTGCATTTCCCTCCGTATCCATGGGATGGAAATGGCAGCCCAGATACCGGCCCATACAAATGGAACACCCCATCCTAGAAAACAGGTCAGCCTATCAGTGGAAAATGATCCAGAACCAGGGAACTTACCAATTCCATAGGCAACTGCTTTGTGGATGGGATGGATGACGATGAGTACAGTACAAGCAATTGCTACAACAAGAGCCGGCACAGACCAAAACCAGGATTGAACTCTGAGCATCCTCCTAAATCGAGGGCTTGCTTGATATCTGGATGCCAAAGCCTCGCGAAAAGGTCTTCCTGCACCAGCGTTGACGGCCACAACATCCTCCATGAGATAATATACACCCGGATGTACCTTGCCACCTTTGGGAGTAGAACTAATCCGAAAGGGCGCTGGTCTCTTCAGCTCGCTCCAGACGGTAATAATTAGGATAGATCCGCCTAAGCAGTAGAGAATTGCAGGTCCGGGCATCGAAAGAACGCGTAACCAGACTATATGCGGGGCGCTGCCGATGATTAGAAAAGCGGTGATGGCAAAAATAGTCAAGGAGAAAATCCAGTGTGAAATGTCGAATGCCCAACGGCTATTTGTGTCCAAGGGTCGGAAGAAATTTTCCTTCTTGATGAGTCTCCATGAGCGGACAGCAAATTCGACGTAAGCAGGACCACCCCAGATGGTGGCGACGACTGCGAAGACTAGAAGTCCTGGGTCAGCTGTGCAGCAAAAGGCCATTGACAAAACTCACCTATGAAGCCCTGTACATTTCCAGCAAATGTCATGGTGTAGTACAGAACGATAGGAACCACACATGCGTCCACCACCATCAGGGCGATGGTTAGAAATAACTTCCACCGCTTCCAGCCACGTTTCCACGTGAACGGTAGTTGTGGAAGTAATTCTGGATTCTGAGCATAGTAATCCTGTAAAGTGCTTGCGCGTCTTTTGAACTCTCTCTTGGTCGCAGCACGGCTGTCATAATAAACATCTTGATCTGGTCTCACATCACTGCTCTTCCTGCGTTTGGACTGAAAGCTTTTTCTCTGTCCGGAGCCAATGCTGAGCCCACTATCGGTTCGATGTGTACCAAGGGGAGGTGGTGACTCTAGAGGTGAATTCGGCGTTTCGGGAGAGAAATGAACGTTTCTCCCCTCTCTTGTAGGGCTGGTGGGAGTTGCAGGCGCGTCGTCGTGTTCAACGGGAACGTCGGGTCGTTCTATTTGAACGCTCGCACGACTACCTCGAACGACTTCGGGCATGATGAGAAAGAGAAGAGCCTATGGACGCCGGTTGCTGTTAGGTAGAAGGAATGTTGAATGGGAGAGAGAACAAAGCGACCATCTCAGGACTGAGGGCTCGAGGAATCGAAAGAGTACCGGGAGCAAGGTCACTGTCAGGAATAGGAAGACAGCGGAAGGGCAGTGGAATAGAGAAGGCTTGTGAGTGGAGTGGGTGACGGGAAATCAGATAGTGTTCTGTTATTGGTAGTAGTGAGAAATGCTCGGTGCTTGAAACAGGCAATCCGGTTCACGCCTGAAGTGTGTAATCATTGTCAGCAGTGAGCGATGACGTAGGGTCTGAACAGCCCATTGATCATTGGTTGGGGGTCGATCTTCCGGTAGGAGCCTCAAATATTCCGGCTTGGCGCCACATTAAGCCTCTCCAACGCGTTCTTATGCCTTTTATGCCATCTTGATCTTGCTTGTGTGGCTTGTGAGTCTTGGTTGCCCTTGGATGCCTTTGCCGTCTATTCTCCCTCAGGCTGTCCACGTGTTTGAACATCTGTACTGCGGTTAAAATGTATACATGCAGAGTTTCCTGCCCTAGGAGGCCTTCCAAATCCGTGTCCACAGACGACGTTGTCTTGTCCACTCCTTCTGCTCTCTTCTTTCCTTTGTTACAAAACTCCAGGTAACTAGTGCCCGATTAAGAACGCTCATGCCGTTGCGACATCAAGCCCACAGCCTCTCAAAACACTAATTAGATCTGATTGCATGCAATTGTCCTGATGGGAAACGGGCACAGATCACTAACGACGTAGCTTGTTGTGTCTTGCAGTTGCTGGTTCGGAATCATGCTGTCAACCATGTTTCCTGGACAAGAAAGGGGCAGCCTTGACTTGGCCGTTCCACGCTCGCCCATCCTCATCTGCAGAGCAAAGGAAAAACGAGAACCTCGTGCCTGTCTTTCTGCTAAGCAGCCAATCTCTAGGCAACACACTCCTCTGAGAACAGGGCTAAGCGTCTTTGACCTTTTCCGACCAACAAGCCCACACTATCAACAACGCACAAGACTAATAAACTTAGTCACTGAGCGTGCAGATTAGGAGGCAGCACGGGATGGCGTTTGAGCACAAATCCATGTGGTCTTCCGTACTGACAGCCGTTGATCATGTAGTCGGTCACACAACGCCGGCTACAGCAACCATTGGGCCAGGAGGTATCAGCATGCGGAGAATGCAGCTAACAGGCGTGTTACCGTACTTTACAGCACTAGATCACTTCTGATGAATCTGGGTCTCTTCATAGCCGTGGTGGGTGCTCAAGGAATTCGACCTCAGGAACTATTTGTTTGTCCTCTTGCTCCTGAGCATCAACCCACCAGCCTGTTTGCATGAGTCCCCATTAACCCAGGTACTATACCTCTCGTTCCAAACCAACCAGCTTGATCCAAATAGTGCAGTTTTAGCCTGACCACTCCAAGCCCTGATGTTCTGGCCTTTTAAAGACACTTTCCTGACTTGCTTCTTTTTACATTCACAGCCCTTGTCCTTACACAGCAATCCATCCTCTTTGTACCTCCCTATGACAAACTTCTACATTTATATCATCCAAGCAGATCTGTCCGAGGCAAGCAATTGTATCTGTTCGATCGTCTCATAACACCAGTCACTCAGTGAGCAGTGACAGATTGTGGCTACCTCCACAGCCGTTTACTCAGGATGGCATCGACGAGCATGGAGGCAGAAGAAGACTTTACATCTTACTATTATTCCATGCATGGGTTGGGACACGCATCAACAATGAAGAACTTCAGTCAACGCCATTCCCATCTCTTACATTCCACCTTATCTCACTCAGAGTTTCAACACCCTAGTCCACTCCCCAGCTTCAAACCACTCTTCAAGTTGGAGGAAAATCAGGGTACCAGCAGCTTCGATCAAACTGACGTGGACAACGATTATTTACATAACCCGGCAACACAACTCCAATTGGCAGACCTTGAGCTTGGCCTATCCTGGCCGGCAGGGACCGGTGGTTATCCTCAAATGCTTCAATACAGCCATCTCCGATTACCAATCCCAAATGTCAGGACTGGAGTCGCTTTCGTGCAACAACTTGGAAACCCCATCTCACCACTCCAGCCAGCCTACCACTTCTTTGACGATGCTATCCTCCGGACTCCGTGGTCTTCTCCTGAATTTTCGTCATGCAGACCGGTGCCAACGGGTGATGATGAAGAGGACATGATCGACGACAAACCATATGCCAGGCTGATATATGACGCTTTGATGCAGGCTCCTGACCATCGAATGATGTTGAGGGATATATATGAATGGTTTCGCAAGAACACCACAAAGGCTCAAGACAACGCCACCAATGGATGGCAGAATAGCATTAGGCACAACTTGTCCATGAACAAGGTTAGCAAGATGATGTGCCATGATCCCCAGAGACTAACAATTGTCAGGCTTTTGAGAATGACAGAGAGCAGGGGCGTGGTAGTGCAAGAAAAGCCAACAGTGTCTGGGCTCTGACTGGAGATGCAATTCTACATGGAGTACAGTCGACTACCAGGTACCGGAAGTCAGGTGGTGGCAGGCGGACACTGATCAGCCGCACACCTGCACTACAAAGACAAAAATCTGGAGCAAGAGGTGGCCGAGCTGCTCGTCGATCTGCGCGATACAGGCACCAAGATCAAGTTTATTTGGACCATCCGACGCCTTCTTCGTGCAGCCCTGATACTCCGTCATATTCTGATGTCAGTGACTCCGGCTTCGATAATCCTGACTTCCATCCTGGTTTCAGAAGTTGCCCTCTGACTCCGTTGGAAGGACAATCTCAGCTTACGGGCGATACCATACAGCAGGTCTTCATGTCACCATGGGATCCTTCAGCCTTTGATTCGCATCGCTCTGGATATGATCTTGAGAGCACTTCACAAGTGCGGGACCTACTTCTGCAGCCAAGTGACAACCAGTACATGGGCTGCATAGGAGACCTGCATACCAGTGCGATTTGAGGGTCTTTCACGTAAAAAGCCCATTTCTCAATCGCTTGGTGTATGGCCGCCGTTCAGGCAGCGGGGTTGATTCTGAACACAGTGACATTGAATGGCCAGTCCCTAGTCTGGCTAATGTTTTGGTATGAATCTGTTTGATAGATGTATTGAATATTTCATGGAAGTCGATCCACATTGTTTCGTCCAGTGGTCAGTGGCTTGCGGCATGACACGGATGGGGGAAGAGGGAAGCGTTTTCGTTTGGTGAAACAATTACATGTTTGAAGGGCTAATAACAATACCTATGTACTAGGGTTTTCCATAATTAGCATACTACTGCTTTATATCTTTGAGGCCGAACTTGCACTTTCCTACGAGGCGTATAGTCCAAGCACTTCCTTCCTGACTGAGAGCATCACTCACAGCACCTGCTTCAGCTACTTGAAGCACTACATATACTACGAAGTCGTGATTTTGTTTGATTTCTTCGCCCATTTTGACCACAAATTGATGGAGATGACACTTCTTTCCCAGCAACTAGCACGATGCAGCCACCAGTATCATATGTTGGGTACTTGGACGAACAGCGTTACAATCACAACCCCACGAATATGCGCTGGCAGCGCCATGCTTATCCAAACACTCGCACGCAGGTATGAGTCTCGGCTCTCTGCGATCTGATCAAACAACTCAGATTATACCAACCTCGTTGATGGGGTGAGAGCCTGCAGTCTCAACTACTAACCGGGGTTGTCAATCCGACTGGGGGTCCAATGATCTGTGAGGCCAGACTCGTGAAATTTGCTGGATCAACAACCCGGGGATGGCGCTTTCGATAAAGGAGAGCGAATGTCCATAATAAAGGCTTTGTTGTGACAATTCTTCGCATCCACGCATTATCCTAGATTCTGGATGAACATTGTCCAACCGGGAGGGCAGATTTACTTCCGCGGACGCCTCCCATGAGCATTCAGATGCTGCCACCCTTCCTGAAGAGAACGTTAAGTGGCGTAAACGGTCCGGTCCGACCACAAAGTCTCAGAAACGCGATGCTGGTGCTTGTCATCGAGCAAAGGACCATGGATCAACTCTAAAATGAGCAGCCGAGTAAACACGACAATATCGTTTACTGAAGTTCGCGTGGCCAACGCCACCGGAACTCCTATTGAACACTGTCTCGACACGAATACGAAGACAACCAGTATTTCGCCGTTCAGACAACCTGAGATAACCTGGCGAAGAGTAGCCCGAACTAGGATAATGGTAGCAAGGGCTTTCTCTTGATTTTTGGTACTTCCAATGCCATCGTGGCTACTCGGAATTCTCTCCATTAATAGGCGAATTTGGCCATGCATGCTGAAGCACTTCCCTCGTTCTTCGGTTTTTAAATTCAAAAGTTCATCCACCTCATTGGGCGCCACCAACACGAAATCCGAAACTTCAGACCAAACTTCGGATCTCCAGAAAATGTCGCCATGCTTTGAATCGTTCGAATTGCCTCGCCTATCGTGATATCGGGCTTACGAGGATTTCATCTCGGATTTCCGATCTCGATGGCGGGGCCAATTGGATGGCAGCCTTTTGATACTTTTGTAAGGTTCTATCCGAACCGAAATTCCTGCCAACCTTGTCAGCCGTAACCTGGTCACATCTCCATTGCATATCGGGTGGAGTTTACCTCTGGACTACAAGGAGGAATAGCCGTTGAGGCAGAGTGGCTCTGATACTTCAGCTACGCACAGCCAAAGGTCCTCCCAGTCTTGACGGATCCGCCATGTGTCACACATCATCTCAGGTGTATCTGGGGACACCCTTGTATGTGATCCCGCACTACCAAAAGTAGGCATTGCTGGAGGCTTTTAACGAGAGACTTCCATGAGCATCTAGAACAAGACAAATTATGCGTTCGAATCCCTCCACTCGCCTTCGCATGAATATGCGGCTCATCCGTTTTCCGGATTATAGGGGACAGTTGCCGAGTTCCTCTCACGTATCATTGTACTAGCAACGACATGCCATCTTCGAGGACTCAGAGACGTCTGCCGCCGAGCTGTGGCGCTCCTCAATCCCGCTACAAGGATGATCAACACGAGTCGCAAACCGAATCACGGTTAATTAGTGCTCAAATTCGTCGACTCCAAATTTCTACCAAATCTGTGTAAATCAAGTATTGACGGTGATCCTGCTATGCACTTTTTAAGCAGGCCTACTCCCTGTCAGGAATAGTGGAGTGTGCTTGACACATGCCGGAGAAACGGCTGTGCAACGTGTAACAAAGTCACATTACAACCTGAAAAAGACCCAAAGGGGGAAAGCGAAGTGGAAGGAGGCATAGTCGCCTGTCAACGACAGCGATTTTGTACCACACCGCTGCTACAATGTCGACTAAGCGGGCGTTCCATGCATCAGCAAGAGTGTGTGGCTAGGCCATCCTGGACAAATAATCTGAGAGATCTTGTATCGCCCATTAAAACCAGGTGACCAGAGATTTAATTGACCCTAGACAGCTTTCGCATCGTTCGCGCCGTTTCGGGCAGTCCAATTTTTCAATCGACCATGAGTTGAAGAAAACCATAGAACTGAGCGAAAATTTATCACCGCTTCAAGGCGCAGGGGAAGTGATATCATATTTTCTGAGATGGTGTTCTCTTCGAAGCATGCTTCCAAGCCCTGTTGACACAGGCTAGATATTGCTTCTGTTGGAAATTACAGCGCTGATCCTTAGATGGAAAGAGGATACGTTCGGTCAGCCTGAACAAACAGTGCAGTGGCTGTATGGGGCAATCTGTCACCGGTAAAGTCTCGGGCTGTTCACTTTAACAAGGAGATGGAGCATGAAAGTCTCATGCATTGGATGTAGGCACAAGGCTTTCTTACAGGATCAACTTAGGAAATGAGCGGCACCAGTGTTATGCAACTCAGATCGTTGAAACGAAAAAAATTCACCACGAGAGCACAAGTTGAATTCATGCAGACCCTGTGCGACGCTGAAAGGCCCACTGAACAACCCCAGTGCCCACAGGATCCAGTTGGAAAGCTGTCTTCATCAGCCCCCGAGCGTAAGGCCAGCCAGGGGCACCGTCACCTCGAACGAATGTGCTGAAGCGGGCGGACAAGGAGATTTTGTGCCTGAAAAGTAAATTCGGCGGGAGCAGCTCAGGTGCGGTCGGCCGTTTCCGCCAAAAGACTCATTGTCCCTCACTGGACTTGGGGCCCTAACTCGAAAGCGCGCCTTGAGCTCTTCAAGGCTCACAAGGCACGTAAACTTTCCTGAATTCAAGCTCTCACGTGGGACATTGTGTGCCCTCAATGATACCCGTAAATCCCCCGAAGCCGTCGTCTGCCTGCTGAGCGACAGATATGACAGTTTTAACAGCGGCTCATGGTGTCACATCGTCTGGCTCTCAGATTTTAGAGTTTGAATGTGTAAAAGCTACGAGTAAGTAAAGTGACCAAAGAAGAGATCTTGAACAACTTCACTATCGAGCGACCTCTTTTCACCTGTTCTCTGAGCTGGAATAACCTCCCGGAAGTGTAGCATAGCTAGGTCTTGGTGCGTTGCCTCGTTGACCGGAGACAGGCTGGACTAGAAAGACAGCATAAGTACTCAGTGATTACCTAGGTAGGCTTGCTCCCTCCCACGACGACTTGCGCACATACCTGATAAGTTGCTCGATGCCCATCACATCCTAAGCCTTGTCTAACCGCCTAATCCACGAAAGGTAGGCAGGACATTCTTGAGAGAGTCGGCATCCACCAATAAAAGCTGCCCATTAGTCTTTTCGAGCTTGGTGTAATGTCACTCTAGTCACCCGTCTCACAGATAGACACGCTCGTCAGGTCGTCTTCTTTCGTCATGCTTTTGGGCAGGTGACTGTTTAGGTAACTGGATAAATGCGCTTCCATCGAGCCATCCCACTAATACTCCGCGGCCACCGAATCGCACTTCATTACATGGGCAGTGGGGGTGGGTAGAGGTGCTTCCAGCCACATGCGCGCTCTCTGATCACTCCAATCACTCACCTACAAGACTCATCTCTGTCCTTTGGCCCCCTATGCCTTCATTCGTGGCAGTGTGGCCCGATGGTCAGAGCAGAGTAGAGCAGAGCAGAGCAGAACAGAGAACACAACGAAATGGGGGGCAGCAGTGTCACGAGCCCACGAAACGACGCGAGACGGAAAGACAGGAAACGAAAAGAGTAAAAAAAGAACGGGTGAGCGTCGTAGATGCCAGCAGTGGGCGAGAATGATCATTCGCACGATTCGAGTATAGCTGTCAAACACGTGGTGTGCCTAGCTTGCCTTCCCGTGGTAACATGGGTCGTGTCCTTTGTGCCGTTGACTCTTGTGGTAGGGGCCGTCGACCATCTAATTTTTTTCCCCCGCCGGTTGGCTCAGAAGGTGTTGTGTTCCGGTTTCAGATATCCGCGGGATGGGATGTTTCGTGGCATGTGAACTGAACGGTGGTTTATTAGGTCATGTGCGGAGGGGATTGGGCATCGGTTGATATGGAATTGGGCTTTGTGAGATCAGTGTTTTGGATATAACAGGCCCCGGAGCTGGGGTGTGTTGTGATGTGGCTTGGGGCTGTATTGGTCAATAATTAGATTGGGTAGGGAGACAGTGATGAAATAGTGGGTTTGTAAGAAGAACGCGTGTGAGAGAACAGGCAGGAATGGTAGAACATCGTCATGAGGCTGGTACGGCGGGTACCGCGTGCAGCTTGAATCTCGAGAACCTCATCCCCATGGGCTTGAGTCATGATCGGTACACCTGTTTGAAGTTTTGGAATTGTTGATGTATTGTCGTTTCTATCCCATGAGACTGACATATCTCGTAGCATGGAGAGACGCTTGGAAAATTTATCGAGACTCCATAAAGGTGGGGTGCTTGTTCTTCACCATGCCCAGTAGCTCCGCCCACTTATGGACCATGACAGCCGCAGAAGTACCAGAACCTCATCTCAACCAACGAACCGTGGCTCGAGCACTCCTTTTGGATTTGTAGATACCACGGTGATTTGGCCCTTTGGATCCATCGTTCCCACCAGTGGTCATACGCATCGTACACCGATCTGAACCCCAGAAAGAAAACAGAAACAAGTAACGCTTTTTACTTCTTGCCAGTCTTCTTCTCCTGGGTCTCCTTGAGCACCTTCTTGACGATCTTCTGCTCTTCAATCAAGAAAGCTCGGACGATCCGGTCTCGTACGCAGTTGGCGCATCTCGATCCACCGTAGGCACGTTGCACTGTCTTTTGGGGTCTTGAAGTGGTGGCGTATTGTCGGGGTCGGAGGGCTGGGATCTATTAGGGTAAAAACATGATTAGCCAAACTCTTGCTATTTCAACTCCTTTTGCCATTATTCTGTGACTCTCATTTCTCCTGTAACAAGAAACCGATGTATCGTTGATGAACCGGAATGAATCGTTCTGCAAGGAGAGGGAAGCCTTACGCCTGGCAGCTTGACGCCGCAGTCACCGCATTTAGGGGCAGTTCCTCGCTTCTTGATGTGTAGCAGTCGGAGCTTTCCACCGGGAGTCTTGATCACTCGGACATTGTTCGAGGTGGTGTTGTAACTGTGAGATTAGAGATTGTTTGTTAGCACAATCTGGTCCGTTTTGAGATGTCGTGATGCGCTGCAATCGGCGCGATGAACAGCCAGGTAGGTGACAAGCGGAGAACGTACGGGTTGCGTCTGCGATATTGAAGTCTAACGCCTGCCATTGCGACGGTATTGGACGAGTTGCAATGGATGAAGTGAGAGTGTTGAGGTCGTTGTCGTGAGGATTCGTCGCTAGGACTCAATTCTATGTGAGGTGGTGCGTTCCCCCAAAAATCAAACAAAGTGTGGTGTGAATCTTGGCGGGCAAATATGATTTGTCGATTCACTTTGATCACGGGAATCCGGAAAATCTTCGGATCTTCGGAATAACTCCTACAACCTTCCTCTCCCTTCATTCAACTTGACCTTCTTCATCCTCTCAATCCACCTGCCCGGGTAGGGAGGCCTGTGGTTACCGGGGAGTGGTATATATCACACCTGTATACCCATTCACTATTCTGCTCAATGAATGGACTTTTCAGCCCTCGTGGATCTAAGGGTTGCTTGCACCTGATGCCGTCTCTGGATCTATGGTTGAGAGCCAGGGGTTTTGACACTCAAAGGCATTGATAGGTTTGCATTGGGAAAGGCAGGACCTCAACCGTATGTGGGCGTCAAGCTATCAATGGTGACATCGTCCGAGAAAGACCTCTCCCACACCCCTGGCGCTCAGACATCTTGTGCTCTTGTGTCGGGAGACGAAGCCTTGCAGTCAAGGACAATAACAAGGCTCCAGATCTGTGGCAATAGACTATGTGGAGAGCCTTCCGTCAGTGCACAGTGCCTTGCTTATGAGCTGGAAGCCTTGTTAGGCCTCAAATCTGACATTGTTGGAAGGAGATATATTGTGATGCCAAGGTGAACCGGAAACGTTGCCACAATGGGCCATCGTATTGTGATGCTTGTGAGGTATCCCGCGTCCTCACAGACCTTCGATGGCCTCAGCGTCCGCCTGCATCTAGACGCTCTCCCCCTTAAGTGAGGGAAGGCTTGCTCAGCTTGCTTTACGGTGGACCATGCCACAGGGGGCGCTGTTCTGGTATATCCTCGTCACGACAAGTGAAGTGAGTTGTCGATTTTGTTGTTTTGTGCATTCTACATCATCTCAAACCGCCAAAGTCCTCCGCCAACCTGGACAGAACATATTGTCAACTTTAGTCCAACCCTTATCATGTCTTCCAACAGAGCTACCGAGAACGCCAGTTCTGAAGAAACAAGACAGGGCGAATTCAAAGGCGTCGGTTACGTGGTGGAAGAAGAGATCTACCAAGCAAATTTGCCCCTTGAGGAGCTTGTTTTGGACCCACGCCTGCGATCCCCGAAGTACAGAGCCTATCAGCGTCCCGGTGACCACGCGAGCAAGGCAGATACATGAGAAAAACCCCAGTAAGTCCGCTTTAGACATTGCACTGATTTCATCTCAGCTAACAAATTGACAGGAGCAAACAACTGATGAATACCCCGCCCCTGGTCACCATCCATGTTGGGCGTGAGGCCAAGATGTTTTCTGTCCACAACGCCATCCTGGAACAGAGTCCATTCTTTGCTGCATGCCTGCATGCCAACTGATCTCAAGAAGGAACTACCAATGTCAACAATCCGGCAGAGGACGACCCACAAGCAATGTGGTGTCTCATCCGATTCCTCTACACCAACAGTCTCCCCTACAAGGACGTGGGCGAAGCCAGCTGTGACGGGCCCTTCTGGATCAGGTCTTCTTCCTGCATTATCGCACTGTGGATGCTGGCAGACAAATATCACGTCCAGTGGCTGCGCCATGAAATGGTCGACGTCTGCCTCGCGGCAGCGCCGAACACAACCGATGTGAAGGAACGCCATTTCGAGGAATTGAGGGAGCTAGGACTGTACGATACTGCAATCTGGGACCTTTTTGCGGATATCCGCCAGCCTCGTCAACTCCGATGTATTGGACAAGCCGTGGTGCCGCACCAGACAGCAGCACGCCAGTATGATTACATGAAATGGAGTCGAAATTCTGTCGTCGAACCAAGCAACCGATACGGCAGTCAGATCATATCAAATCCACGAAAATTATTCCTTGAGGAGTTTCTTCATCAATCGTCTTACTTGACGTGAACAAGTGGAATATCAGCATGAGCGGGCATCAGTTGAGCAAAGAGCCATAGATATGAGAAGCCTTGCGCATAGCGAATGGATTAGTCTTGAGACACTATCGAAGATGCTCTCTCAATACACGAACAGCAGAAACAATTGAAAACTACTCTCCATCATCCATTCAAATCTTTGCCCCTAATAATACAGCCTGGCCAAGACGCCGGATCGTAAATCATACAAGAAGAAGATTCCTAACCATTCGCAGCAGAAACAGACATGCCCTTTGCCCTCGGTAATTTCAGACACAGGAAATGCGTCCCCTCCATGGGCGTCTCGTAATACGCGTCGATCTCCAAGAATCCAATGGCACGATACATATTCCGTGCGGCGACCATTTGCGGCAGGGTATCGAGCCTGACCTCTGCATAGCCCAAATCCTCAGCGACGTTGATAATCTGCGAAACTAGCGCCTTGCCAACACCTGACCCGCGCCCCTCCGGCGTGACATATAAACGCTTCATCTCGCAGCACCTCCGCAAGTTCGACGACCCGCCAGCCAACGTAGATGGTAATGAAGTAAGTGACCGCAATCCAGCGCATCCAATTGCCTTCCCACTGGCGACGTCACGTGCAATCAGTAATTCGCCGCCAGCCTCCGGGGAGTATTTCCCAGGCATACCGGCCATCTCGACGGAGAAATTCTGAAAGGCCAGGTCGAAACCTAATGATGCGGCGTATGCATGGAAGAGGGTGATGGTGTCGGCGAGATCGGTGGCGTTGCGGACTGGTGTTATGTCAAATTGCTGATGGGCCAGCATCGTCGTGTGCGCCATTTTGGCGGTGGATCGTCAAGGCTGTTACGCAGGCGGTAGTAGTTAGTTGAGCCGTTAGGCGGTCGGGTAATCAGCCGGGAGGTGGATGTTGATGGCCCGGGCTGTCAACCCGAGTCCTGGAAGCTGGAAGTCGTGAGTGCACGTAGTGGTGGTGGTCGGATGTTTACGGAGGAGGCGACTGCGGAGAGAGGAATATTGCTTTTCACTGTCGCTGGATTCCATGATCAATAGATTGCTTTTTTGTTGGTAAGGAGTAGTCGTAGCCTTGTTGTCTCATGGAATAATTAATGAGTCAGTCACGAAGGGCGCGGATGGCACAGGGCGAGAGAGCCGGATGTCACATTCCCATCCAAAGTTCGGACTGGACGGAGTCTATCGACTGACTCCGAGAACAGTCTGAGCCCTGACTTACCCTCTTCGGGGAATTCTCCAGACGGAGAGTCGACCCGTTTCTCGAGATGTGACTTGAACCTCAAAATAGTGGACCAGGCTTCCCTTTTCCAAGTAGGTGGTCTTCTGTCAGGGTCAGGTAATAATGGCAGCTCACGTATTTGGTCCATCAGGCTGGTGACTCGTGAGCTGGCGGGAAGACCGCTGCTGAACCCCCCGTAGCCGACGACCGTGCTTCGTAGGTACAGGTGGATACACCTTGACTCTGTTGCAGTCTTTTGCGTGGTTGAACAGCAACGTGATACGTAAAGGATTTTCATTTTCTTTTAAGCGAAGATATTTCCTTTGGAGGGCGCATTGCTTTTTGCGGCGACTTTGGGATCCAAATCCCGCCCGGAGGCTGATCAGAGTTTTGGCCAGACGGATGGGCTGTGGAGACTCCAAGAGCAACCCATCTTGACCTGCATAACGCTGCATGATGTGGACCATGCGACATCGGATTGGGGCAAAATTCAGAAGCAATCATTCGTTTCCGAGGAGCTCAATTAGCTTCCCCATCATATCCATCATATCCATCAACAATCAAAGGGGAATGATTCGATATTGGTCCAAGATAGGCGTTGCTTGATATTCTCCATGCCAGGACAATCTAAGCTCCATGGCTTTGTCCCTTATCGAACCAATGACACCTTTGCTTCGGCCTTTCTATCGATAATTGTATTGTCGCTACGCCCTCAAAAAAGAATGTTTGGTGGCAGGGTTCCTGGTAGCCGATGGCCTTTGCGGCGTGTTATCGCAGTCATTCCATGACACAATCTGGATCATGATGGATGCACATGCGATGCCTACACTCTCCGATGTCGTCACCTGCTGTTGTCTGTAGCTGATAGAAATAAGTAATTTGTGTTGAAATCGACCCATCGTGAACAAAAAGCAAGCCACTCCTCAGCTGCTCAAAACCCAGTGGTTCCTTTCATCCTTTCCTCTCGCCTTCCAGTCCATAAATTCTCTCAACCCTCCCGTGTCGACACTTTACCGGACCACCAGAGAAACTCTTCCTCCGCCGAATCTATCCCTCACACAATATGTCCAACCTTCCATCAGAGCCCGAGTTCGAGCAGGCATACAAGGAGCTGGTCTCCACGCTTGAGAACTCCTCACTCTTTGAGAAGAACCCCGAATACAAGAAAGCCCTGAAGATTGCCTCCATACCTGAGCGGATTATCCAGTTCAGAGTCGTGTGGGAGGACGATAAGGGCGAGGTCCAGGTCAACCGTGGATACCGAGTTCAATTCAACTCTGCTCTTGGTCCATACAAGGGTGGCCTCCGATTCCATCCAACTGTAAATCTGTCCGTCTTGAAATTCTTGGGTTTTGAGCAAATTTTCAAGAATGCTTTGACCGGCTTGAACATGGGTGGTGGTAAGGGTGGCGCAGATTTCGACCCCAAGGGGAAGTCAGACAACGAGATCAGAAAGTTCTGCTGCGCGTTCATGAGCGAACTTGGAAAACACATCGGCGCAGACACTGATGTTCCTGGTAAGTCGAGCTGCGCAGGATACTGTTGAGAATGCAGGGCTAACCCGCATCAATAGCTGGTGATATTGGTGTTTCCGGGCGCGAGATTGGCTGGCTGTTCGGGCAATACAAGAAGCAGACCAAACTCTGGGAAGGTGTCCTGACGGGCAAAGGAGGCACCTGGGGAGGATCTCTCATCCGCCCAGAAGCCACAGGTTATGGCGTTGTATATGTGAGTTTTACGCATGGTGACCGCCTCCTGGGCAGGATCGTGCTAATCTCTTTATAGTACGTTGAACACATGATCAAGTACGCCAGTGGTGGCAAAGAGTCTTTCTCTGGCAAGAAAGTCGCCATCTCTGGATCTGGAAACGTCGCACAGTACGCTGCATTGAAAGTCATCGAGCTTGGTGGTACCGTCGTTTCCCTAAGCGACAGCAAGGGAGCCATTATCGCCACCACCGACAAAGGCATTGAAGCAGAACTAATCGAGGTCATCGCTAAACTGAAGGTGGAGAGAAAGCAACTGTCAGAAGTGGCCAGCACATCAGACTTCAGCAGCAAAGTCAAGTATGTTGATGGAGCCCGCCCATGGCTGCACGTTGGTGAGGTTGATGTCGTCCTACCCTCGGCAACCCAGAACGAAGTGTCAAAAGAAGAAGCCGAGGGTTTGATCAAGGCAGGTGCCAAATTCATTGCGGAAGGAAGCAACATGGGATGCACACAAGAGGCAATTGACGTTTTCGAAGCCGATAGAAAGTCCAAGAAGGACCAGGCAATCTGGTACGCTCCTGGCAAAGCCGCCAACGCCGGAGGTGTTGCAGTCTCTGGCTTAGAGATGGCTCAGAACTCTGCACGCATCAAGTGGACTTCAGAGGAGGTCGACGAGAAACTCAAGGACATCATGAAGAACTGCTTTGAGAATGGTTTACAAACAGCAAAGACATATGTGACCCCTGCTGAGGGCGAGTACCCCAGTCTGGTGGCTGGTAGCAATATTGCAGGTTTCAGCAAGGTTGCTGCTGCCATGAAGGACCAGGGTGATTGGTGGTGATTACGGCGATATCATGAATAAGTAATGACTAGATAAAGAAGTAAATATACCATATGTTTGGGAGGCCGGGAGTTGAGTCAAATCGGAACATTTCAAACCGCGATTTACAGGCATACTCAAGTGGAGTAGTAACAGTTCTACATTCCCAACCCAACCAAGACTCTCACTCACCTGGGATTCCTTGATTGCTTGCGCAAAGTCGGCCTTGAGGGTCTTGATGAAAGAAATGTGCAATGGGTATCGCGTGGAACTAGTATCAGATATTCACTAGCGAACTTAGCGCCACTATGTACCTCCAGCCGATCCAATCACAGGCGGCAGAACGCAAAAGCTTGGCGGCCGATGCGCGAGTTCCTTTTCTGAGGCGCGTCGCCCGTCTACAAACATAATCTGGCTAGTCAAAATCCCAGGGCCGAACACTGACACTCGCAAGTGATGTTGGCAATATCTGTCTACCGAACCTGCAGATGATTGAGACCGCGTGGGTCACAATTTGATCAGCAAATGGGAACCCATCGAACCCATCGAACCCAGCAAACATGCTCAATCTCTACACAGAAACCGGCTTTGAGGTAGTGCCTGCGACATCTGCTTCAACGATCGAATTCCAGATCCCCCGAAGCAATGGCTCCTTCGAACGGTCACGAAGCCTACCGAAACAACAGTCTCGACGCAAAGAGTTTCCCCATGACGAACAGACCTTTGCCGCACAGCATCTAGCCTCCGACAGCTCCATCTACTGCAGACAATCCAAGTCTTATCCAAGGACCTTTCTCTGGACCGTCCTAGAAGACGCAACCGTCTTGCAAATACAATGCGCTGATTTGTCGAGAAGTGAAAATGACACCAAGGAAGCCTACTTGACTCTTCGTTTCGAATTCCAAGATCCTATCATCCACCGCGGCGTGACGTTGGCAGATCTCGAGAAGGGAGACATTCTACATGTATTCGTCTGTACCAACAAGAACGAAATCTTCAACCTCCAAATCCCTACAGACGCATTTCGCGACTCTGCAAACCTCAAGAGTAGGAATGTGCAATCCTGGTGTAAGGCGCTAGATAGTTCATCCCTCAAGCTGCACACGGCTCATCGTCTATACGCCGCAACACCCCTTGAGATCTTCATCTCATTCACCAATGGAAAGCTTCAGAGATTAAAGAGGAGGACTGGCGATGACACCTGGGTTGAAGATAATTATGACGATCGCTCATGGGGTGCCTCATTGCGGGGGATGGTATCATGGCGGGGGCCGCAAGCGATCGAATATGATTCCGGCCATCTCGACCTGCGCACTGTTCAATCCATGGTAGCTTCCTCGGATGGTGTTCATCTTTTCACTGTCTGTCTCAACCATACCCTGCGAGTGTGGCATTTACCTTCTGGTACCCTTGTGGCATCAAAAGATCTTCTTGACAAGAAGCGAGATCCCAATGACCGAACACACCTAAACCCGACTGAGCATGCACATTTGCAAGTGTTCAAGCTGCCTCTCCAGAGGTTTCCCGTACTTCTCACATATAGCCCACAAGATGGCGGGCAGTTCAAGTTCTGGGATGTCAAAGGGAGCTTAACCGACACGATAACTCTCGAGGATAAATATCCAGGCATTAAACTCTCTGCGCCAGATCCGGATCCCTCAGGCAACACCGTCTGGACCTTGGTTGGAGTCAAACTCAATCCTGGCAATGATGTTCAACCTGGCCGTCTGTGGGTTTTGTGGCGCAATCACAACTATCACCAACTCTACAACTGTCAGTTCGAATACGCTAACATTGCGTCTTCTTGGAAGTCAAACTGGGTTAAGTGTGCCACAAAATCATCACAAAAAAGACTCGCTCCAGAACTGGTCCGATCGGACGATCAAGATGCTGTGTCCCAATGGCTCGATTTTCTGCTGGCACCCGGTCACTACTCCGAAACAGTCCTGCGGACGGCATTAGCGATTTACGAAGGTGCGACTCACAAATCTACAAAAGCCTCGCAAACTGAAATTCAACTGAGGCAACGAATGTGCACCGTGATCGCAGCAAAGGTGCCTCTTCGAAAATACGGCGAAGCTGACTTGGATTTCGATCGCTTCATTGTGGACACAGACACACAATGGCGTAATTTCCACCGCATCGTCGACATGGTCAACGATGCTCGAATTGCGCCGTTGTCACTGGTTTATGATTCATTTAGTGAAATGATATGGATTCCTATGTCCGGCAAGCTTTGTGGTGTCAGGGAATGCAGCAAACTGGAGCTCTTGGAACAAAATAATATCCAGGACGTTGGGGATCTTGAAGATGTTTGTGCCAAAACCTGGCCGCACCGCAAGGTTAGCTCGGACGATGGAGACAGTTTTGTCGATCTTGCCACACTTGTCTCAGCAGCAAAATCGTTCCGAGAGTCTTTCCCTCCTGAACTATCCCATAACTTCATCGCAGCGATCGAAGAGGACATTTCTACCACACCCCAGTATGTCGTTCCCACACGCATCAATGACATCTGCGATAATATTGGTCTTAGCGAGGGAGTTTCAGACGACATTTTCAACCAGCTAGAGACGAATCTCGAGTCATTAGGTGGATGCACGGGCGTTAACAATGAGCTCTTCCTTGCACTACTCGAATTATTGCCAAACAAAACAAAAACAGTGAAGAGTGCTTTACGAAATACTCTCTTCGGCAGTTTACTCCTATCGAAGGGAATCGCGGACCAATTTGAGGCTATACAGGAGCTTCTCCTAGACCTTGTTGCACTGGCACTCTTTGTCGAGGGGGAGTTTAATCAAGAGGACACAAAGATACCATCATTTGATGCTTCAGAGCTTTTTGAGCATATTACTTCTATGCTCAAAACCTGTCAGAGAAATCTGTGGCTCTCGAAACACTCCCGTCGCGTTCCGTTAGAGTTTCCTGGCTCAGCAGGTCAACCAAATACTACTCGCCGAAATTCAGAGGTCCATACCCAGCAGACCAGAGTTGTAAGCATCCTTGAGGACACGCTCGGTAAGGCAGTTCGACCACAGCCTGCAGTTGAGAGGCCGCAGTTATTCTTGATCACAGATCAATTGGCAGAAATTCAATGTTGGGCTTCAGGAGAAGACAGCATCCCCGCGGAAAATGGCGCCGTCTATCTTCAGTGCGATCTACTCAAGCAAGAAGAGTTCGATCTTGCAAGCGATTTTCTACGCTTTCAGCCGTCAACATCTTGGTCCAGCTACGTCAAGGGCCGTCTAGGTGTCGGTATTGGCCAGTACGACATGGCTGCAGAATATTTCCGCAAAGCATCGTATGGCTTAGCACATGGGAAGGCTGTTGGGAATCTTGTGGAGCTTTCAGCGGGTTTACTCTCCGTCATAGAGGCAGGGTCATTCTACAACGGACTTCCTCTCTACCTACATCATGTCACTACAATATTCGAGGCATCTAAGGCATACAACGAAGCAAGCCGATTTGCACACCTCACATTGGAAGCCCTTGAAGCAGGACGAGAGGCACCAAGGTTGAATTTTCGCACGGAGGTGCTCTCAAGATTGTTCAACTCGGAACTCAAATTATCAAGATATCAAAATGCCTACGATGCATTGGTGCAACTATCTGACCGTGCATTGCAGCGGTCTTCAGTATCAGCATTGGTCAATGCTGTACTGAACTCCCAATCATCCATAAGCGGCTCGAAAAGTGCTGTCCTGCTTCTACAGTCCCTACCGTGGGCAATGCATCCTCATCTGGCTCACCAACTTGACCAACACCTTATCTCGCTAGCTAAGAATCAGACAACTGCCGGTTCTCGAAATCCAGGGTGGTCGTCCGCAGCTAGCGCCATTGATTATCTGGACATTGTTCATGCCATAAGAGTGTCACACAAAGACTACCGCGGTGCAGTCACCATTCTCTTTGATCGATTGCGACTCGTCCAACGATCAGCTCGTGCTCGTCATGATCCCCAGGCCACTGCGCTTCGACAGGTTCTGCTTGCGCTAATCAACGCAATGGCCTGCGTTGCGCCCGAGGAGGCTTACATTCTGGTCGATGAAGACACGAAGCCACAAACCAAATATGGGCACAATGATGGCAACGACACTACAATGACTGGAGCTGATGACCATAATGACGAGGAAGGTCGACCCAAGAAGAGACGACGTATCATTGTCACACTGGAGGACCTGCGCAAAGAATACCAGCAGGTGCTGGACAAGTGTAGCCGTATTGAGCGTGGCGATTTCGACTTCGATGTCGACGGTGATAGCGATGAAGATGGTGAGGACACCTTGCAGGTGGATCAATCTCGGCTTAATCTCTCGTCGCGAAACGGGGATACGATGGTTTTCTGAGTCAACGCAAAGTCGTGCCATCAAACAAGACTTGTCGTCAAGAGGAATCTTCGCTCGCTAGGTTGAGCGAGTCAAACCGGGCCGACAAGAGAAATGAGGCACATTCCTCGTCCAATGGAGAGGAGATACGGATGCCAGGAAACATGAGTGTGTAACAAAAGTCCTTCAGAAAGGCAAGGCAAGGCAAGCATTCTTTACGGGAAGATAGCGATGGAGCTCGGGTTCATCGGCGTGCTACTTAGTTACCCAGCTTAAGCAGGTTCATCTACGACGTCACATTGGCGTCGATCGAATCGCAATGAGATCATCAATTTTCTCCATCTTCGGCAGGTAGATACTACAATCCGTCTAATGTTCAGAAGTGATGCAGGCAATAAGTTCATGTTCATTGCTGTAGGCCGAATGTTACGAGAGAAAGTTACATCGCAGAGCAGTGAAGCGACATGTTAATACAAGCCAAGCCGCATGAATACTTAATAGTGATACGCACCTTGCACAAATTAGGACATAGATATAGGTGTTTCCTCGTACAAAAGCACATTCGTAAACAGTAGATAGTAAACAGTATTATGTTGTGGATTGATGTTTAGATTAGACGGTCGTGGAATGGAGACTACATACCGAAAACGGGTCCAGTTCCAAGTGCCAAGGAGAGGGCAAAAAACCCTCGCTGGATACCTTGGTAGAATTGGATATAGTCAGGGATGGCTATCGATCGAGCGCTTTCCGAAGTACAGTAGTAATAGTAGCATGCTCAAAAAGTTGATCTATCCTGAGCTCAAGGCAGCCGACAGTTTCAAGATAAGGTAATTGGGGCCGAAGGGCCACAAGTAAGACTGACTGACCTGGTGATGCGGCGTCGCGGATGAAATAGATTAATCCTCCTCAATCTCGCCCTCTTCGCTGCCTGAGTGGACACCCGCCGGCTCTGGAACGGGTTCTTTCTTAGTGGGTTCAGGGGTCTTGCTCTTACGTTTGTCCCTTGAACTACCCCGTCTCTCCCTTCGATAGCGCTTCGCGCTTCTCCGGCCACTTTCAACGCTTTCAGCATCGCTCCCTTCGCCGCGTCTCTTTCTCCGCTCGCTTCCAGCGACGCTGCGTGATTCCTCGCCGTAGTTCAATTCGTCACGGCTGCTCCGGGGATCGGCCCGGGTGCGGTAGAGGCGTTCTCTTTCTTCCTCTCGGTCTCGACGTTCCCGATCATATGGAGCGAGATGTCGTGACGGCGGCGATCGATCTCGATCGAGTCGACCATGTCTTTCGTCCCTGTCTCGTCGTTCACGGTCGCGATATGAGGCTGGAGGAGGACTCAGGCCAAGTGTGTTCGTTTTGCGATATTGCTTCTCACGTGCAGCCATGGCTTTGCGACGATCAGCTTCGTACGCATCGACTTCAGGACTCTTCGAGACACGGCTATGCCTGGCTTCTGTGCGATGGCCATTGCGGTAGTCTCTGTCGTCGTTACGGCGAGCGTGCCTTCTCTCTCTGTCCTTTTCGGCGTCTTCGTCCTTTTCTTTCAGCCTCTTGATAACTTTGTCAAATGCAGATTTGCGTGATTCTTCAGATTCAATGGCGAGATACTCATCCATTCGTTCCACACGCGATTTGACATTGTCCCAAGTATCATTCAGACGAACAGGGGGTTCGAGATGTTTGATACGTGACCGCAAGGAGTCTATCGCTCGGCGCTGCTGTCGATCTGCCGCATGCTTCTCATCCTCCGTTCTTCGAAGAACTTTGTCGTGAAGTCGTTGGAAGATGAGTTGCAGAGCGTCGCGGTCGATATTGGCTGTCCGTCGATCAGTCAGCATGACATCAAAGAACTCATCAAAGGAAGTTCTTGTTGTAATTTCATAACGTTTGTCCTATTGACAATGGTGTTAGCATTTTGCGAGCAATCAAGAGTGGGTACCCTCACCTCAAGCACATCGTAGACATCATTTCGGCGTCCTCGAAGAGCACGCTCTTCTTCTTCTGCAACATCCCAGAACAGATCGAGTGGCGTTGAGCCTGCTTGTCCCAGCATTGCAACATACCTGGGGTCATTTTCGATTTCAGGCAAGATGGTCACCCATTTAGTTCCAGCTCTGATTTTGCCCTGGCTGCGCAGAGATTGCAATAATTCAATGAATCTATCACGGTTTTGCCGCTCGCGTCTGGCTTTGCTTGACTTCTGCTGCTGACGTGCATCATTGAAGGATCTCTCAAGGGATTTGATATGGTTTTCAAAAGCCGTCAGAACGTCTGACTTACTCAGAAGCTTGAATTTGTCATCACTCTGAATCCGCTCATTGGATTGAATCACCTCCTGTGCTTGAGACCACCTCGTGTAAGGCTCCAACTCGAGAGCATTCAAAATGGCACCGAGATCATCAAGTGCTGACTTGCGTGAGGCGGCTTCCTGTTCAATATTTTGTTTCTTAAGTTCGACAATGTATTCTTCGAACAGTTGCTTACGCTCATCTTCCTTATCTGTGGATCTGAAGACGGTCTCACCCTCTAGGATTGGTCTGATGGTTTTCCATCGACTGTAGTGTTTGATCTCGGGGTGTGTTCTTAGCATGTTACCAAAATCTGTTCGTAACTTAGCCAGTCTTTCTTTGGCTTTTTCTCGTTCTTGTTGGCGAACCTGTACCGCATATTTTTCAAAGGCTGATTTACGATCCTTAGGATCTTTGAGTGCCCTATACTGGGGATCTTTAATGGTTGCGCGCATGGTTTGCTCCCATGACCAATCAGGTTGTACATTGGATCTTCGGAGCAGCTTCATAAATGCGGCCTCGGCTTCCTCGAAACTGGAATAATCAGGCACAACTTCTTTGGTAATAGCGGGAAGGGCAATTCCATTTGTACCGGCATCATTACGAGACCTTGATTCGTATGGATTGTGTTCGCCGAGATCGCGGGAGGAATAGGTAGAAAGGGCAGTTGAGCCTCCAGCCACAAATGCGGGAGCTGGTTGCACGGGTTTCGGAGGCGATTGTACTGAATCAATGGCTTCTCGATATTGTGTCGGCATTTCCCAGACCGTCTGTTTTGTCTCGCTGTTGGAATAGTATTTGCGGCCATCCGGAGCCGTATACTCCTTCCATGGTTGAGCAGCAAGTGCCTTTTCGATGGGCGTCAATAGCTCGGCCGGTTTGGACCATGATGTCTCCTTGGTGATGGAATTGTAATAATAGGCACGTCCATCGGGGGCGCGTGCCTCTAGCCACTGCGATGGCGTTTGGGGTAAACCGTTCATGGTGTTGAGAACAGGTTGGTGCCGGGAATGTAATGGAGAGGAGCGACCAGGATGAGTGGCCTATTGTCGACTTGGAAACATGTTGACAGGCGACGAGGTTGGATGGAAGGGAGAAAAGTCGACTGGTGCACCTTTTGCATGAGCCGAAGGCCGATCGAGGCCCGGATTATCTAACTGCCGAGGCCGGGTCTTGGCAAGTCAATCTGATAGCAGTCCACGACAGGCTTAGCCTAGTGATGTTCTCCGGAAACTCATAGCGTACACTGTTCCATTTATTATGTTATTATGGTATTATCCCGGGAGCATCATTGATAGTACACAAGTCTCATCCTTTCTCTCCTCGGTCAAGCGGTGGGCTTATTGAGCTAGGCGACGCCACACCGCCGTCTCATCTTGATTTACTTACAAGATGTTGTTCATTTCTTGGTCAATTGCTGGGTTTGGGCTCTAGCTCGCGCGACTGCTTCGCTTCTTCCTTCCTTGCTACAAGTATCTCTTGCATGGCCGTGCTATGTTCAACCGACGATCAGTCAGTTGGAGCTAGTGTGTTGTCAACGAGATACTAGCACTAGGATTCTTTTATAGTTCGCTCTTCATGAGGGAAGAAGACATTACCAGCGCGAGTACAATATCAATTTTCTGTTATATCTCGTCTCGAAAGCAGGGGATGGTTTTCATCTGTGCCGTGTTTTCGACAAACCCTCTGAGGTATGGTTTGAGTGTCTGTAGTGATCATATGCCTGCATTGACGAAATCTGGATTGAATTCCTTGTTATGCAACTCAATGTCTTCGAAGGTATCAGCGATGCACCTGAGTTCAAATCCGTATTTATGCAGGGGAGCTGTCATGCCAGTTGAGCTGCTAGCCAAGACTCTAGGATCTTTCCTGTCATTCTCGTCATGGAACATAGAGTAGCTAGTCTCAATAGTCCGTTTGAAAGTTATACTTATACCACAGATAATCCACTCAAAAGGGTGGGCATTTCCCAGCATTTAACAGTACATCTCCCTCTACTATTTTCCGACTCCTGCGGGTCGTGAGAAATACAGATATACATCTAGATGTGTGTATCAGATGGAATTAGCCGGCAGACTTATTAGATTCAGGGGATTCCTTCTGAGACAGTAAAGTCACTCCTGGCGGCATCGGGGATATTGACAGGGATTGTGAGTTAAAGGGGCCACTCTTGTCGTGATACCAAGCCATCTCACACTCCGGTGCGTCGGCGGTGAAGGTCAAGTCGAAGTTCACAGTCCGTCGAATTAGCTGGCGAGGGCTGTCAGGTTTTTCGTCACATGATAAGCGATTGGGACATTGTGCTTACTTGAACAAGTGCATGGGAGACGGCAGCGTCACCGTCAAACTCCGATCCCACAAGAGGATATTGGAAAGTGGTGTAGGCTTTTGCATCGGGTTGTTTCCTCTTTAAGGTCAGCACGATGGTCGAATCGTCAGAGATGTCAGCGCCCAGAATGACCACCCGGCTCCCGTGGGGAATATCCTCGCATGTTATGACTTCGCTTAAACCCTGCCCCTCGATGCTTGAGATTTGCTTGACTATTGTGGCCAGTCTGCGACCCTCCCATGCGCAATTGTGTAAGGCGGTGATGGCTTGGTGACGCAGCGCGGGATCTCGACAGCGGGTGGCGGCGAAAAAGAACGATGGGACCAGGTCATAAACGGATGGGGAGGTCATCTGACCGGCTGTAAGCAAGATGTATTCGAAGTTGGGCAGATATTTGTCGAAGAGTGATTCGTCGTCAAACGGGACGCAGCGTGACATGACGGTCAAGCAGCGATGGATGACATCCAGGTATTTGATGATCTCCTGGTAATGAGAAACTTCGTCCCCCATCCGCTGCAGCAGACCATCCCAATCCGTGGCCCACGTGTTCAGGCTGGATGTCACAATGGGAACAACATGAAACCTGGTGGACGGCGGGGAGCAGTATGGTTGAGCTTGCAAGCATTGAGGGATCAGGCATTTGAGGTCATGTAGGGCTTCACCTATGGATTTGAATCCTGCTTTCACAGGGTGTCTTCGAGTCTTGTGGTCGAGCACCTTGGGTGTTCCTGGGGACAAGTTTTCCGCTGCCCGTCGATGCTGAGAGTAAGGGCGGCACTGTCCGGGATAAGGGGCGAGGCTGGAAAAGATGGGTACAACCTGCTGGACAGTCGGGCGGCAGAATCTTAAGGTACCGGGTCTGTAGGCGTTGAGGATCTTCTGCCCAGCGATGATATGTTGCACGGCTGCGTAAGGATTGTTCCTCATCTCATCGCAGATAATGAGGAGAAGAGCACCGATGAGGAGGATTTCTACACTCACATCTGAGCGATGGAGGAGGGTGAGGCCTTGAACATAGTGTCGAGCAAAAGATACATTGTCAAAGGGGACGGAATGCTTAGTGCGGTCGTGATAGTCCAGACAGGCGATGGCGAGGACGAGATGGTGAACACTCTGTTCAGCATGGCTTGCCTGTGCCACCAGTTGATTCCAGAAACGCTGGCTATCATAGTTGGCCAATGAAGGGCATGAGATCTGGTAAAAGTACTGCAATTTGAATCCAATATCGCCATCCCCTCCGGAGGAGTTGAGTAAAGTACCAGAATCGAGGTCCATGTCATGATTGACAGCGACCAAGTAAATAGCTGGAGTTCTGCTCCTGCGGATAACATAACCCGCGCATATTCGACCAGCCAAGTCACATGTCTGGCAATTCGGTCGCCTTTCGTCGCATTTGACCTTGCGTTGTCTAGAGCATATAAGGTGTCAGCTATTTTAGCCCTCAGTGCGTAGTACAGGATGCCAGATGATATCATCGATTCTGAACACGCGGGGTGTGAGATACCTGCAAGTCGTGCAGCCCATTCGACTACGCTTCTTCATTGGGTGCTGATGATGGACTGTCGGCCTAGGACTGACTGAAGAACGACTGAGGGATTTGATCATGGACTCCATTGACGTCGTACTGACACATGGCAACGGAGCGTGGAGCTGATCGAATTCGGGTCCTTACATAAGGTATCCGTATGTGGATTGCCTGAAGTGTTGAATACACCATGTGCCATCCAGCTTAGTTTGGAGATTCACTGACTGTCTGGTCACGAGGTACCAGGTAGGTTGAATTGGTCCCGTGGTGCCGATGCTGCTCACGGCTCCGCACTCCGCCATTTTTATGCCAAGCCTCGGATCAGGTGGATACCCACCTAGTATAGGAGGTACCCTGTTTACCGGAGCACGGCATCCGCCAGGAGAAGTTCTCATACTTGAGTTAACAAGCTCGGGTAGATCACAATCAGGAAGACCCAAGTATTACTCCGTAGGTACCTTCGGAGAGACAACCTTTTCATTTTTGGACTAGGACCCCGGTTCCGGCTTGGGGTAGCTAAGTCGCCCAGGCTTCGCCGCTCGGGCGAATCGGTCATGGTCGCAGAGCGAGTTATCAGACTACCAGAGCTCGTACAACAGATCAAGGGCAAATATCGTTGTACCATGAAAGCCACTCTCACCCATCTCAAATGCACAACTATTCTTCGCACCTAGGAACCCAAAATCACGACTCATCATGTCTTCCACCATTCTTCTCAAAGGTGGCACCATCTTGACGCACAATGAGGATGGGAAAGTCGTTTCCAAGGTGGCAGATCTTTTGATTCAAGACTCCATCATCCAAGACATAGCAGAGGGGCTTTCCATCACCGGCGGCACCACAATCGACTGTGCGGGAAAGATTGTGTCACCAGGATTCATCGACACCCATCATCATACATGGCAGACCCAGTTACGTGGGGTCCACGCCAACGATACTCTTTTGGACTACTTCCATGCGGGTACGTCAATCAGAAACAAGCTCTATGGCCACAGAATTCTGAGTTGATCGTCGATAGGAAATTTCATGAGCACTTTTTATACTTCTGATGACGCTTTCTGGGGTCAGTTGGGAGGCTGCCTGGAGATGATCGATGGTGGAACCACAACCGTGGTTGACCATGCGACAATCACGCTCTCACCCCAGCACCGTAAGGCGCTATAATATCTCTTCTGGGTCGTCTGACTCGTCGCTAACTATTCTTCAGCCGATGAAGCCATCAAAGCAACCATTGCTTCCGGCATCCGATCCATTTTTGCTTATACGCCAACCACGCGAGTTGCAACATGGAAACCGGAGTTCCAACTCGACCATAACTCTCTAGCTCCTTGGGTCATGGAAACGTGGGACCGCTTGGCCGCGTCGAACCCCTTCGGTCCCAATGGACGAGTGCAACTGGGCTTCGCCTTTGACGGCATGTATCTTCCAGACAAGCTTCTGCAAGATCTCTTTGGCAAGGTGCGGGCTCAAGGATCACACTTGATCACCACCCACGCGGTGAACTGCTCCATGTTCAACAGTAAGTGCCATCGAAGGGATAAATGGGGAGGGGGCTAGACGGCCAGCTGACCGTGTGCAACCAGCTCATACCATCGCAAAATTATCGAGCTGTGACCTTTTGGGGCCTGACATTCTTCTTTCGCATGCCAACAATATGAGCTCTGAGGAGTTGAACTTACTGAGGAAGGTAGGCGCGCACATCTCGGCCACTCCATCCACCGAGCTTCAGATGGGACATGGAGACCCTGTCTGCATGGATGCACTGGACTGCTCGTCGCTTGGGGTCGATTGTCATTCGGCATGTTCATCCTTCATGCCCACTCAGATGATGCTTGCATTGCAGACAGGACGGGCTGAGAGACATCGCAAATTCCATGGCGCAGGCAAGTGGCCCAACAGTATCGGCCACAAAGTCGAGGACGCCTTCAACCTGGGGACGATCCTCGGAGCTAAAGCGATAGGCTTGGACAAACAAATTGGTAGTCTCCAAAAGGGTAAAAAGGCCGACATTGTTATCTTCGAAGGCACCACCTCTAACATGGTGGCGGTCAGCGAACGTGATCCTGTCGCCGCGATCGTCTTGCACAGTTCGGTGAGAGACGTCAGTACTGTGATTGTGGACGGCGTCGTCCGCAAACGGGATGGTCAACTGCTGAAAGTAAATGTCCCTCAAAACATTGGTCCAGACGCGGAAGCTGGGCCAAGTTACTCATGGAGTGACATAGCTAGAGAGATCACGAAGGGTATGCGTGTTTTGGAAGACTCGAAATCACACTCTTACGATCCAGAAGTTGCGAGAGAAGGTATCATTGCGGCTTTTCACATGGATCGAAGCTCAGCTGCAGATCACGTATAATAAAATCCGGTCGTAATTGAGATCAACTGGTGACTTGACGAAACCGCAAATGATAGAAAGTCAGCCCTGCCTCTTGTTACTTGACCATAGCGTCTTTCCACATTAAGGACACATTTGGTTTGCGCTAATGTTTCTCCGTTCCACTTCCTCTTCCATCTTTTCATGATGGATAGTTGGTGACCGACGCCGTCCTCTCTACGCCTGAGAAATACTCGGTCCCGATGATCGTCCAATTTCCCACACAACAGGTGTCCTTCCTAGTGTGTATAGCCTCTTTTCCCTCTCGACAGCCCAGCTCCGTAATTGCCGAAGATCTCAACCCAGCCACGAACCCTTCAGTCTGGGGTACTCATATACTCGGCTCCAACGGACTGAACATGAGGTACCTCCCCCATGACAAAACGACCTTCATTCTCCATCCGGCCCCGTTGAACTCATAAAAGCTCGATTCCGTCATTCTCCAGATTACAATTTTACTACCACACAACAATCTTGGTATCAAAAGCTCGAGTAACCATGAAGTTCCTACTCTTACTCGTCACTGCGGCCTCGGCAGTCGCGGCCTGGCCATTCCACTACAGATCAAACTGCCTGACCGACGACAAAGCGAGCGCCATCATCGACACCTTCACCCAAGCGCTGCGCACTCCCAAAGACAGCTTCGACACATACGTCAGCCTCGTGCAGTCCATCGCCAACCCCGACTACTCAGAGCACAGCGACAGCGTCAATTTCTTCAGCGGCGCACCCATTGGCTCGGTGACCGTGAGCAGCTTCGACGACCTGGTGACAAGCCATCGCGCACAGGGCGGTCCCGCGTATTTTCAAATCGACACCCTCAACATCTGGCACTCGTGCGACGTCATCACATGGAGGTACAGGGCCATCCAGACGGAGGGGACGAAACCCGTCACGAGCATCATGGCGCTGACCCTGGGCAAGAATGGTAAGATCGATGCCATCTTCTTCGAGTTCAACAATGCCATCTCGGCTGAAAACTTTGGCTATACCATCACGCCGCCAGCAGTCAGTGGCTGAAGTGGGAGCCAGTACTCTCCTTCTAGTTAGTGATGATTTGAATTGCTCACGATGAATGGAGGCAAGTTTATTTGTTCGCCTGAAGCTTTCCGTTTGGGAACAAAAGGGCTGGAGGGGCTATTTTTGGTACGGTTCCGACTAGACCTTCGCATCCTCGGTTCATAGTCAATTCCATAAACCACAATACAAGGAATCGTTGAATTGGGTACTCTGGATCGTACAATATAGACTCAAAGTCACAGTACTTGAACGCACATAGGTACCTAGGTACAAAAAGAGCATTGTACAATTTCGTACGGAAAAGTCATCAGGCCGAACCGCGAAGAGCGAGAACTGAAATTTGAGTTCAATGACTCCACAGAGGCCGCGAAACTCAAATTGGTGGGTGGGGCAATTCAGCGTTCGGATAGAGATCGCTAGCTGCATATGCGGAGTTTTGGTCCAGCTGTGACAAAAGTCCGGGGCGGACCTCTAATGAGTGAATTTTGGATTCGTGGTGCGGAGATATGTGTACAGTATAGTGAAACCTGGGAATTTGATCGGACCCGAGGTCCAGCTTGGTCGCGAGTCCTTGTCGTCGATTGTAAGGAATCGACTTGTGCTAACTCTTGTTCGGATCTAGCTATCCACACACTAAAAATAGGTATAAAGATAACCCCATTGTTCTTTTGACGAAATAACGCTATTATTCGTTTTTTACCTAGTTACAAGCACTTAGGTAGTGTATGCAGTACGGCGACCCTATAACCAACTTTTCATGAAAATTTATTGGCTGCCCTAATTAAAAAAGTTGGTATTTCCTAGTTTATTATACTTTGTAGAATGCAGAGGTGGGCGTAATAGTACGCGTCGAGATTGAGATCAGCATTTCAGTCTATGCGAGATACGTACTCTATCAATGAGATCACGTAGCCGAATTGTCACGGTGTATCGCTGGTCAACTAGACGGCTTTCTCAACATGTAGAACCCTCTGCTCGAATCCTGCGAATCGCCCACCATTCTTACACGTTGACCTTGACTTCTCGAGGGGCTTTGTCCATGGGAGCATCGATAGTGGCGCTGAATTCGGACTTGGGGTCGATAAGAAAATAGGATGCTATGCGAACATGATCAGCGATAGTTCGATATGTGAAACAAGCGCGAACGACTTACCAGTCAGACCACAGACGGAGGCAACCAGAGCGGCGATCCACACATATCGGAAAGCGAATGAGAAAGCTTGGTTGATCGCTAGACTCGCGGCACTCTGGATCTCAGGAGTGAGGCCGGGAACCTGCTGCAATAGCTGTGGGCTATGCGACAACGAGGCTCCGATGAGTTCTCCTAGGTATTGCAAGTTAAAACCGAGAGGTGCAACTGCCTGGATGATCTGAGGTGCAAGCTCCTTATGCAGCACACCATTGAAGATAGCGAAGTAGCTCGACAGGCCCACTGTGCCACCAAGACTTCGCGTCGTGATCATAAGCGCGGTCGATGCTGAGATCAACTCTGGAGGAATAGAAAGCTGTGCGACTACCACTAGGGCATTGAGAGCGGTGCCCAGTCCGATGCCGACGAATGGGGCAAATCCGATCATACTGTTGAGCTTGGATGGGTTCAGACTTGCCATCAATCCACCGAAGAGGCAAAAGGAGAAGAATGCCACCATAGTCGGTAGGCGAACAGTCCGTGACCAGGAGCAGTACGTGCCTGCGACCCACGCGGCGACAATCAAAGCAAACCAGGCTACTGAATAGTATAATCCTGCACGGAAGGAGCTCTTGTTGTACACCAAGACCACTTCTGCGGCATAATAAGAGTTGGAGGAGAAAAATACCATGCCCTCGGTGAAGATGCAGAGCTGTGCTACGGCGAAATTTCGACCTCGAGAGAATAATTGGTGGTGCACAAGACCATCCTTTCTGAATCTCCATTCATAGACGCCGAATAACCCCAGGACGAAAGCACCGATTAGCAGTGGAGCCAGCACTTCGGCACTCGTCCAGGAGGATTGACCGGCGGAGGATGTCAGGCCGTAGCACAGCAGAACTGAGCCAACCACGAGCAAGACATAGCCGACAAAATCTAGACGATCCAATTTCTGTCGGAGCGTCAAGTCTACCTGGAGATCTCGTTTGGGTGGGTTATATAATAAGGCGAAGGCGAGAGTGGCCAAGCCATATATGGCGGCCGCAATGTAGAAGTAGATGCGAAATCCAAAGGGATCACTGGACGTCAGAGCTCCGGCGGCCAGTAGGCCACCAACGCCTCCGAGACCGGCGGCGGTGTTGATAGCGGCCTGTGCGATCGGACGATGTCTGCGAGGAATGATCTCGGATGCCACGGCGTGGATGACGGGCTGCGAGGCGTGCGCGAAACCCGAAATGACTTGTCCTCCAATCGCCATTCCAATAGTGTTGGACCTTGATAGAACGAGAGTGCCTACACAGCCAGCACAGTTGAGAACGACAACGAGCCATTTGCGACCCCAGAGATCAGCGCCCTGGCAAACGCATGGACCCAGGGCCGTGAGTATGATGGTCAACGACGAGGTCAACCAGGTGCCCAGGTCAGCACCTCCGATTGCTCCCGTGATCGTGTTGGTGAGAAATCCTGTGCCGACTATGTGGAAAACCTGGGCAAAGTATGCGCCAACGACAGCCTGCGATGGTCAGTTCATGTTCTTTGGTCGCAAAAGGATGACTCGTAGTGCAACATACAGTCATCAAGATGATACGCGCCGCTCGACTTCGTGGAGCACCGTAGGTCGGTTCACGATCGACAGTCTCCAATGCTGAGGCAGCCTCGTCTACTTTTTCGACCTCGGCGGCGTGCTGACTGGATTCTACCTTCATCATGGTTGCAAATTTGCCTTGAGATTTCGGTTGGAATGTTCAATGGATGTAGCAAGGCTCAACGTGAGCATGCACAGATTATATCCGTAGACACTGTATCGCGATAGCATAATACCCTGGCCTTGTGAATCTACCCCGTCCCCATTCACTATTGATACTACGGAAGTTGGAGTCACCACTTGACTCTCGCCAGGGTCTCGGATCCGAGCTTTGCAATCGAGGAATGGTTGACCAGGTCACTTGGGTGTGTATCTGGCGCTGGAGATGCACATGAAGTTCTTAACTCATGGGACCATTCCATGGGCGGAGAACACGAGGCCCCACGCGGGTCTCTGGGGTAGATTGAATGCCAGAGAATGTTGGCGTTCCGGCATGGAGAATCCAGGGGAACGATCTGAAAAGACTGTTGAACCGAATATCGCTGGCTGAAGATGCTAAGATGGAGATCCAACCCCGTGGGTCTGGGCGTATCTGCACAATTCGCCACTCGGGTATCCACCGCGATCCGGCCTACGGCCAAAGATGTGGCCGGGACGGATGTACGATGGTGTATCATTTATGGCCGGGTCATTGTGGGCGCGTCGAAACACTTAATAAGATGCCGTTGAGGGTTTCCCCAGACGAATCAGTGAACACCATTGACTCAATTTGAGACTTGCCGTCATGCCGTTGGAAATCAAGACTCTTCATGCTGTTGACGCGGAAAGTTTTGACTACATTTTCGAAAGAGATGTAGACATTCCTTTGCGGACGGCGAAGCCCAATATTGCCAATGATCCTCTTCTTGTTAGAGCGAACGTCTATCGACCTAAAGCAGAAGGGAAATACCCCGTTATTTGCACATATGGACCCTGTAGGTGTTCACCAAATTGCCAGAGAATTTCAAGCCTTCAATGAAGAAATACTGACACAAAACAGACGGTAAAGACATCCATTATGAAGTGTATGTTCTATTTCGTATTAATGATAGACGTGCTGACGTTCTGTGAGTTTCCATTCCGCGTCCTTCGGAGACGTTAATCCAAAGCACAAGTCTGCTCACTCGGCCTGGGAGACCCCTGACCCGGGGTTCTGGACTGCCAACGGCTATGTGGTAGTCAGAGCCGACGAACGTGGTGCGGGCAACAGTCCCGGCAAGCTCGATTCTATGAGCCAGGCCACTGGTGACGGATTCTTTGATGTCGTGGAGTGGGCCGCGGAACAACCTTGGAGCTCTGGAAAGGTTGGCTTGCTTGGTATCAGCTACTATGCTGGAACACAATGGCGAGTTGCCGCGAGGAAGCCAAAAGGACTGGCGGCGATCATTCCATGGGAAGGTTTGTGATTCTTAAGGGATGGAAAACATTGCAACTCGCTTGCTGACATGAACGATCAGGAATGAGCGACTACTACCGTGATCGCGTGAGACAGGGTGGTATTCTATCCAATCGTTTCATCAAATGGTGAGTCTAGTTGAAATATCTTTGATCCTGTACGCTCACAACGCTCGCAGGTGGTACGAGAGGCAAGTCGGTAGCAACCAGTACGGTCTGGGTGGCCGCACCGAGCGTAACTGGGGTACAGAAAGTCTTGAAGGTGTGCTTAATGAAGATGAGTTGAAAGCCAACCGGGCAGACCAGGCTGAAGACACGGCCAAGTGGAAGTTTCGCGATGAAGACTACTATCTCAGCAAGGACTTTGATCTTGCCGATATCGAGATCCCTGTCCTGAGCGCTGCGAATTGGGTACTTCATTCTAGTCTGTGATAGATGAGACTCCCGAATGCTGACATTTCTAGGGTGGAATTCACTTACACCTAAGAGGTAATGTCCTTGGCTACATGGGCGTATCGTCCAAGTTCAAGTATCTTCGCTTCTTAACCGGGCGACACGACATTCCATTTTACTACGACGAGGAGGTGGCAGAACAAAAGTCCTTCCTCGATGCTTTCCTTAAAGGCCAAGACGACCGCGGCTGGAGCGTGCCAGGCAAGGTACCTCCGGTGAGCTTATGTCTTCGCAAAGGCAATCCAGGCTACAATGATGCTGCGGCTGAACTTCGTGCGTTCCCCAGGCGCGCAGAACTCGAGTGGCCGATTGCAAGGACCAACAAACAGAAATACCACCTCAGTGCTGAAAAGACTCTGACGATAGCGGCTTCTGACATCGGCCAAGGAACGCTGTCCTACACGGCTCTGAAAGGCAATATCGTCTTTAAGACTGCGTCATTCACAGAGGAGACTGAGATTACAGGCCACCCAGTGCTGCGATTGAGCGTCAGCCTTAGAGAGCTAGACGGCTCGACACCCTCGGAGCTAGATATCTTTGTCACGCTGCGTCATTACGACACCAACGGACAAGAAAGTGAGTCTAGACCCAGGCTAAAATCCATTGACTTAGTATTGACCAAAATCTCAGTTTTTTACACGGGCGCCGTCGGTGATCCTTGTCCGGTGGTTCGAGGTTGGTTGCGACTATCGCTCCGTAAATTGAGCCAAGTTGAGAGCACTTTGAGCAAAATCATTCCTGTTCGGGACTACCTCTCTACAGACGTGCAGCCAGTCGAGGTCGGTAAAGTCTACACAGAAGATATCGAGCTTTGGCCCACAAATGTTGTCGTATTACCAGGAGAGACGCTTGCTTTGGAGATTTCAAGCGGCGATTCCGAAGGGGTCAGCCTGTTTGAACACAATCATCCAGATGACAGAAACGAGGCACGGTTGAAGGGACTCAATGACATCCACATTGGGCCAGACTTTGAGAATTATCTCGAGTTACCTATCATACCGCCCGAGTGAGGATTGTGGCTGGACGTTGAGATGGAGACTCAGCAAGATAGGTAGGGGTAATCGCAGGTATTAAAGGTACTAGAATATATTCTCCGAGCTTTCAATCACGGATTCACAACATGGCCCGGTGATCACGTCGGGTCCATAAGTGAAGATGGCGAAGGAAATTTCCGACACTTGCGATTTCAACTGACTTCGGAGCAGGAATACCTAATTCCTGGCCCGCACTGTTGCTCAGTTCATGTATGATTTTATTGATCGTCTATATAAAAAATAGTCACGAGGCGTCGTTATTCGACGTGATTTTTTGCGTTAACCACACTCAATTCCGATGCTGTTCCCCATACCTGGGTTGCGATCAGCATTCCATTCCATGGTCACTAAGATGCTCTTTTGGGCAATTGAGTCATACCGTAAGAACCATGTTTCGATTGCGTAAAGAAGCATATCTATCGGTAGACTATGCATTCAGTACTATTCACACAATCATATATTCATGTGCGATTCAGTCTTTGACAACGCGCTTGAACCCTTGATCGCCGGCTTGTTTCTTAATACGAGCGGTCAACCAGCTATTGTCACCGTTATGCCTCTTGTCTGCCTCGTCGGACTCTTTGACGTGGTCTTCAGCTGCCGCTCGAGATTTCAAAACGCCTCCAGATCCACGGATCAGCATTTCACTCTCGTAGCGCTTAAGAAGCTCAGGGATCGTCTCTCCATTCTTTCTCTCGGCCAAATATTGACCTAGACTCAGGCCGTCCTTCATGGCAAAATTTGCACCCTCTCCACGAACTTCATATAACATGTCAGTGATATGACTCCATACGAAGAAGGAGATAACTCACACGGGGACATAGGATGGATGCCGTCTCCCAAGAGTGTCACCCTTCCAGTTGGAAGGGGAATGGGTAGCATGTCCCAGAAGGTCAGGGACGGAACAACTACTCCAGACGGTGGCGTCGCCCTGAGAGTTTCTGTCAACAGAGGAAAGAAGTCCTTAGTCTTTTCCCGTGCGTATTCCATCAACTCTTCTGGAGAGGCTGTGGCTGTCCAATAAGGCTCATTCTGGGTCTCCTTATCGTACCATGAAAGACGCCAGTAAAAGGACGCGGTTTCTTCGTCCTTGGAGAAATGGCGGAATCCAACAAAGAGTCGATGGTTTGGAGAGTGGGCGAGAAAGAATGAACGTCCGAGCTCGAGTTGCTTCGTGTACTTTTCCTTTGGAAGTTCGACGAGGGAGGTGATATTTCCCAGCGGAATGATTCGAGGCTTAAGCCCGGAGCCTACCATGAGCTGGTCACGAACTAAGACCGTTGGGTTAGAAAAGTCCAGCAACGAGGCGCAACGACGGGATGCTTACCCTTGCTGTTGACTCCATCAGCACCGACTAACAGACTACCTTTGGCGGACGTGCCATCTTCAAAGTAGGCAGTAACGCCATCAGAGTCTTCGGTATATCGGATGAAGTGCTTGTTCCACTGAATGTCCAGTTTGTGCATCAGCCAAAGGCGGACCTTGCTTCGGTCACTACGTAGAAACGGCTTCTCCTTGCTATGCGACAAGCGCATTTGTTCCTCACCTGTGAAGGCGTTGAAATAGGCAAACTCTGCCTCCATTCCGTGCTCGTAACCAAGACTGACATGGTCAAATGAAGGCATGTCGTCCGGAGTTTGCCCCAATAGATCTTCCAAGATCCTGTACAGCGCGGTCAGTTACTCTGGCGACAATCTCGACACTTGCCATCGTGCCAGATCAGCACGATCGGGAGGAAAGCTACCAATGTAAAGAGAGTGCCCAGCCCTGGTTACGCGAATCCCAGGCTAGATCTCTCTCAAAAATCTCATAGGCAATACCATGTTTTCGCAGTGCCTGTGCTAGGGCCAAACCACCTAAGCCGCCCCCAATAATCAATACTTTGAAGTCGTCAGACATCGTTGCTTTGCTAGATGGTCGAAGTCTTCTTTGCCTCGCGCAAATTTGCACAAGCGGAGGTTGGAGTGCAACACACCAGAACCTAATACTTCGGGATGCCAACTGAGGACATCACTTGAAACGCAATCGCCACCCCAAGAAGACCTATAGGCAAAATGCCGAACTCAAGGTTACGGCTCTCGCGCTTCGCATCTTACGACTACCGCATTTCATCGCCCATCTATGTCTTCCGGAGTCTTGGTAACAAATCCCCCGGTGGAATTCATAGCGGTCGTACATCGAAGCCGTGTGATGGAATCTTGGCGAACCTCAACGGATACTTACTTACTTTGTGCTCCACTCTCAGGCCTTTCAAAGGGTCCGACCAGACACGGACTTACGCACACTAGAATCTCAACGGACATTTTCAGAACTTGATTCCGACTTACCTAACCTGTTAATCCTATACGTGTCGAGGGGGACGACCCTCCGCGTGTTTACTCCCGGAATACCCCATCGTAAGCCATTGTGTGATCATTACACCACGGCTGCTCGCGGACCATTCTATGTCCGAGGCTTTCCCCAGTGTGATTAATGGGTGTCACACGATTCTGGCTATTTCCTATCGGAATGGCTGGACCGCATTTTCTACAATGAGCCACCCTCTGGTTCACCCCGTGGTCTCCCCCTCCGCAAGTTGTATGATCAATATTGGACTTAATAGCGGACTTGTGCCCGATCTATTGGTTGATTTGGGGAACAAGTTACGAATAAACTGCCAAGTGTAAGATCAGCCTTTGCTAATTGTAGCTGGTAAATCACACCAATTCTGTTATCCTAGGTATTGAACATTCGCGAACGCTCGTGAGCAATTATGGAGAACATATTTTCTGGAAGGACTTTTGCGGTCACGGTACGTCTCTCTACTCTAGGCTGTCGCGAGAAAAGAGCCTCTTCACTGACTATGAGACCCCTGTGACAACAGGGTGGCTTTGCGGGCATTGGACTAGCTGTGGTGCAAAGCTTGATACGACTGGGAGCCAAAGTCCACGCCATCGACATCGCTCCAAGCGCTCCAGCCGAACTCGAAAATCACTCCAGCGTATTTTGCACGCCCAATGGCAATGTTTCCGACATAGCTGTCTGCAAAGCCTTTGTCGACAGCATTCCCGGAGATATTCATGGGCTGGTCAACTGTGCTGGAGTGTCTCCATTCGAGGACAAGCTTGCTTCCTACGACTTATATCGACAAATCATGGAAATAAACGTCACTGGTACGTGGGCCATGGCCACTGAGGTGATACGCCGCATGCTTGAGCAAGAGCAGCTTCAATGCGCGGCAGGGTGTGGCATATTCACCACGGCGGAGAAGTCACTCGGTCAAGGTTCGATCATCAACGTCTCGAGCGGTGGAGGCTTCAGAGGCATACCGACCAAGGCAGTCTATTGCGCCAGTAAGCATGCAGTGATAGGTCTGGTGAGAACTTGGGCTCGAGACATGCCATCCATTCGATTCAATGCCGTTTGTCCAGGTCAGGATTGTCCGAGTCGCCCGACATGAGAGTGCTCGATCTGCTGACATGATTCTCACAGGCATGACCAACACAACTCTACTAAACAATGTTGCTCAAGGAGAGGAAGCTCGTGAAAAGTTCATCAACACGGCCAAGGGTAGGATCCCTATGGGCAGGTTGGCGGAGCCGACAGACATTGCCGATTGTATAGTTTTCCTCCTCTCTGACGCCGCGAGCTTTATAACCGGTCAGGTATTACCAGTCAATGGTGGAACTGACTGAACGATGGATAGCTTCATCTTCGAAAGACCAAGGCGTGGCAGGTGTGTTTGAATGAAAAGAGCATGATACCACGATTTCGGATACTATCAAGCTTGCCCTGGGGTGCCTACGTCAGGGTAGCATACTTTGACATTGGTAACAGTGTATTTAAGACCAGATGTGTAGTCCGTGGCTCTCTGTCTAGGCATTTCATAATGGTTGAGAGTAGAAGTCAGCCCGACATTCGGCCGGTCCGATTTTGTTGGCTCATCAGCAGTGAATATAGGTTCTTGACATGGGCGAAAACGTCTCTAGCCGGTCTTCGCGAGCTTGTATCGTGCAATGTTAAAACACACTTTTAACTTTCCCAGTGAAGTATCGCGGACAGACAACGTCTCTGGATGACGCGATGCTCCAATCACCAACGTTTAATTGGTCTAGAAGAAGCCATATCGACATCGGTCTGACTATCAGCGACGTCACAATTTCTTTGACGCAGAAATCCCGAAAGACCACCAATGGGGAATGGAAGTTGTCTTCTCCATGCCGTCGGGCCCGAAGGCTTTCTGGGGTCCGACGAAGTGTCGGAAAACCTGACCGTTGAGCGAGGATAGGCATTCCTCTTAGAGTTCAGCTTAACGGAGAGGTTTTCATTTCGGCACCTGGGGTATGCAATCGGTTACTTTGCACTCCGACTTCATTGAGGGTTCATCAACGACCCCGGGTGGAACCGATGATCGTGGTCAAAGTCAGGTTTGAGTTTCGCGTATAGATCGCTAGCTGCATATTCGGAAATAGCTAATCGGCGATCCTTGTACGGGCATGGACGTCCGAACGCGTTGGCGTGAATGGGGCCCACCGTCAAACCCCACCCAAGTACCTTGTACGACATTTTCCCCAAGAGCATGGTCCTGAACATCGTCATGTCGCCTTCTTGATCTATCGACCTCCCAAATCAGCAACGGGACAGCCTTTGCGCAGGAGAGGTGGCCAGGGTACTCCGTTGTTATCAGCTCCCCATTGATGCTTGAGACATGTCGATGTAGGAGGCCAGGAGAGTGACGTAGTCCCACCCTTGGTGTTGAATGTAGGGGTTCAAACCCCACCATTTTGACATGATCGATCCTACTGATCTCTAGAACTGTCCAAACATAGTGAACAGGGTCAGACCGGGAAGTGCCACGTGGCGCAAGGCTTTGAAGACCTAGTATAAGGCAACAATTATCCTCGAGACAGCCACCGAGGTGGTATCTGATCAAAATTCGAGTACAATCAGCCTAATTCCATAAAACATTATTATCATGCCACCACGCGTCGCACTTGTCACAGGTACGTGATTCTGATCTCACAGGCCGCCAACCACGGGTTCTGGAATTCTGGAAGTACGATCACTGATTGATATGTCACTTCCACAGGAGCCAACTCCGGCATCGGTTTCGCCATTTCCAAAGCCCTCACAGCTGTCAAAGATGAATTCACGGTCATCATGACTGGCCGAACGCTGGCCAAGGTCGAAAGTGCGCGCAAGGAGATCGAGGTCGGTGATTTGGCCGTTGCACAGCTCGACACCACCGATGAGCTGTCCATTGCGAACTGTGTATCATTTGTGCAGGAAGAGTTTGGCAGATTGGATGTTCTCATCAACAACGCTGGCGTCGCTCCAGAGGGCCCAGATCTAGGCAATATCTATCGGACCACACTCACCACCAATGTCATTGGCCCGGCCTTGGTCTCGGCCGCCTTTCGACCACTGTTGCTGAAGTCGTCCAATCCTTACTCCGTCTACATCAGCAGTATGACAGGTTCGCTCGGTCTGATCTCGGATCCAAAATCCTACATGCGCATCACCGGAGCTGGCTCGCCTGCATATCGCGCGAGCAAGGCCGCATTGAACATGGTCATCTTGCACGAGCAGCTCGAAGTGGCCTCGACGAATTTGAAGATCTTCGCATTGTGTCCGGGATTCGTGGTGTCCAATTTGCGAGGGACCAGCAAAGAAGCTCGTGAAGCGGGCGGCCGGGCGGGCGACCCCGCAGAGTCGGCATCGGCGGTGCTCTCAATCCTCCACGGCGAGCGAGATGCGGACGCTCAGAAGATGATCCACAAGGATGGTACACATCCCTGGTAAAATCAAATTCGTCGAGTCGTCCTCGTCGGCATGCTGTGGACGATATCAAGCATCGAATAGAGCTGTGTTGAGTGGTTTGATCTAGATTGAATACGGGAAGTACGAGACAGCACTAGACTTTGTAAGTTATTGACAGTCATTTAAATTCCTTAGTGGACCATACTATCTCCATCGTCAAAAGTCTTGTCTATTTGTTGCAGATTTAGCTATGTCAAAGTAAATCAACTGAAAGCCCTACCTAGAAGCACAGAAATCTCCCATCGTATTCGAATGACAGGCTGGGAATCCACACATAGCACAGTATATTTGCCGCCGCTGGAGTACAGGCACTACCTGTCGAACAGCAAATTGAGTACTCAAAGTTGAGGTTGAAAAAGCAAACATTGTTCCCTACAATGTTAGGTTTGTTCACCGAGCAAGTATCAGCTTCCTGACCAGAAAAAAACTGCAGATGTCGGACATTTGCAAATAAACTCGCATCGAGCAGCTATCTACACGCCAGAGTCACCGTCTCGATGCAATGAGGAGGACTTTTGGCCTGAGCCGCAAGCTGACTGGCGATGCAATGTTGCACACTGGCTGTGCTTCATTTATCATGGAAGGGTTGGTCTTGTGGATGCGTAGCCAGAATACGTACACTCAGCCCTAGCTGACAATTCCGAGCAGCTAGGTCAACGTAAGGGATCCGCTAGGCAACCACGACAGATTGATAGATTTTCGAGAACTCTACCAAGCCATAGAATGTGGCCGATGCAAGATTCTCCTGCGCCAGGCTCCTTACTAGAGGTTCAATCGCATGACTGTTGAGTGACAAGTAGTGTACCACTCCCGCCACTTTGCAAAGTCCGTCATCACCCACCCGCACTCAGGGATCTAGTCCTGCAAGTAGGCATGCAAAAAACTCAGACAATGCGAAATCGGTTGCGCGTTTGGTTGACGAAGGGCGAAATGCACTTTCCTCCCAAAAATTATTTCACTTCTCTAAAAAACCTCAACTGTAAGCCAGCACAGTCGCTGCACTCACCAGAAAAAGGGGGTGGCTACGGCGGATTATAGAGTCGATATAATAGTACAGTGAGGCGTAGAGCTTTTAACAACACCTAATATCTGGCGCCAGATTTGACAAAACTTGGCATCAGATTCTAGAGAGTTGCTGATCTACTTGTGCCTACCTGGTGAATCTGGAATCGAGAATCTAACAGGCAATAATCAAAGTTAAAACCTACTGCATCAGACAATAAACTTCGAAAAACACACCGGGCCTTCTAGGAATTCCTCTATGGCGCCGGGCTTGAACTACGCGCCATGAGTCTGTCAACAGAGCGAGTCATCAAATCAACACCATTAACAGAGGCTAAGTCTGAAGCGGACTACTTCAAGAATGCAGTCCTCGATGCGATTATTCCATTGAACACAACTGCACAACTCGCAGAGCTGTTACAAGATGACGAAGAGGGCCTTGACGATGCGTCCACTCGGCTTCTTCCCGTCAAGGAGCGGGACTTTCTACTTTTCGGTGAGCCATAGTTTCGAATCGCTAGGTTTTTATCTCTCACTCATCTCTAGAGCAGATGAGAAACTAAGAGCTTTGGCGGTGTTGCAACTACCATATTGTGATGAGGATTCGCTGAAAGGATATCTCTCACGCTTGAATCTGAAGATTGATGTATGGGCCTTCGATGACTCCCCTAGTGTGGATCCGAGCACACCATTAGCATCTCCAGCCAGAGAACTTGTCACCACTGTGGATGCGATTCAGAAAACGGAACCCGTTGTGCTTGCCAGTCAATCACCAGAGCTTGGCCAGATCTTAACCCTTGTATGGGCTGTAGAGATACTGCTGGCCAGGCCAAGAGCTCGAGTTTCTCATCCCGTCGTCGTCTTGAATCCATCGGCGACAGTAAGCTCTGCGACTCAGGAGGATGATGGTCAGCCTCAAGATCTTTCCCCAGGACAACCATTGGAGACCAATGTTCTCGAGCCCATGCGATTTATTCCCGGGTTGCAGAATAACCCTCCATACTTGGCTGCCTCACGGCTTCAGCGCGTACTCCCTATCCCGACGTCGCAACGACACCGCTTTCACATTGGACATGTTCCCCCGCGACGGCATAAGGCCGTACCTGCCACCATTGCTCGGTTACGATATAATAAATTTCATACGAATTCTCCGTCGCCTACCAACGTCGGTCTGTTAGACATGGAGATAATTCCATTCGTGCAAATTGAGGCGACAATCGAGCAGGTTGATCTTGCCTTGACCAATGGCGAAGTTGAACCATTAATGCCTAGTTTCCTTCCGATGCAATGCCAGTCTGGGGATTGTATAACATTCATGTACAAACTTCATCAGGCATCCAACGTTGGTTCAAATTCGGCGCTTGGCGTGATGAATCCAAACATTGATGTTCTACTTGTCAAGATCTTACTATATGTACACATCTCCGCCAAATGTCGTCCCGTGGTCATGATGGAGTGGACCACGCACGTCGACTTCACCCAGGCCCTAAATCCATCATACGGCCCACCATCACAACCAATCCAAAGGCCAAATCGACCAACCAGTCTGCCCGTTAGCAACGGCAACGGGTCCTCTGCAGCCGTGACATCGATAGTCACGAGCTTACAACCCGTATACGATACGATACCACACAGTGGGCTTTCCATCTCATTCAGCGCATCCAATGAGCCCGTCGAAATAGGTAAACCATTCACGTGGAAGATCTTGGTTGTCAACCAGTCATCCAAAATAGCACGCATAGCCATCATCCCACTCCCGCGGATCCAGAGACAAACGACACAAGCACAAAGTTTCGCCAAGCGACACGCCCCGAAATCGTCCACTGCATCCTTCCACCCAAGTGAACGCAGACACACGAAGAATGGGGAGGATGCCGACATGGGCCAGGCCATCGTGGAGGAGAACGTATTGTATGCAATGCAGCATTCTGGCGGTGTGCCACCTGAGACGGACTTGCTCGCGTTGACGGCCGAGCTGAGGATCGGGCCTCTGGCACCTGACCAGTGCTATGAGAGCGAGATTCAGATGATTGCATTTCAGGTCGGCACCCTCCAAGTCGACGTCATGCGAGTTGTTGATCTCGTCAAGGAGGCTGGAGACGGGGTCGGCGCTCCAGGTGTGGTTGCCGACATTCGAGATCTTCCAGATGTGGTTGTGGTCGAAGCCGGCCAGTAACGAAATGTCTCAATAATCATCTGCAGACGCTTGTTCGATGTATATACTATGTTTAGAAACACCCAAGACAAAGAATCACCTCACGGTCCAGTCGCCTGGTGTACATAGAACCCTAAGCGCAGCGTCATGTACATAGTGTTGCCGGCAGAGCTGCATCGAAACACCCAGGCAGCATGATAAAACACACCCGAACAGTCTTACCGTCTTCCGCGACCCACCTCCGCTCAACGGCTTACTACTCCGTACTGCTCGTTCACTCGAGAAAATCCAGCATTTCACTAAATTACTAGGACTCTTGGTACGGAGGCTATGCTGCGGATTTTGGCGGCCGAACGAAACTGGGGTACTCTGAATCCACTCTCAGCCAGTTAAATGCTCGGTGCCTAGAGGCAGCTCCAAGGCCCCGGGGCACCCTCCAATCAGCATTCAGTGGCACACTATCTAATACGGATACGATACTAAGGTAAGGCTGGACGTCAAGGGTCCTTCGCATTTACCATGACGGGGTTGATAGGGTCAAGCAATGTGGATATATAAAGTACAAAGAGAGGTGAGTGGATTTGAACACCATTCAAAGACTCTTTAGGCACATGAGATAGAGCAACATTCCACGGACCACATTCAATCAACAACACGACAAGTTTCCTACCATGACACTCAAAACCGTTGAATCCAAACATGAGATCTCCGAGAAGGAGATCCAAGTCGAGAGTCGATCGATCTCGGCCTCCATGCTCTCGGACAATTCGGCTTCCAGCACGCTTCTAGACGATACGTCCTTCCAACCGGGCCCAACCCTGTACATAGCAGCGCAAGGTATCAGAGTCTTCCGCTTCCCATTGCCATCCTCGGAGCTCGAAATTGCGATTTATCGCAATGATGGAAGTTTGGCATACACATCCACACGGGCCAAGAAGTCATCCGGCAACAGCGTGCTTCGAGATCCCAACATTGGCAACCTAGTCAGCACGACATACTTCTTCGGTCCTAGCCGTGAACCTGTCTTGAGCCTGTTACAGGCGTCTGAGAAATCCAACGAGGAAGCCAACACCATCAAGATCCAAGGGAAATGGACTTCAAGATCAACAGCATTCATCATGGGTGATGGGAAGGTCTTCGAATGGAGTTACGCCCACACCAAGGATAAACAAGGAAAGAAAGTGAACTTGGTTGTCCTGCGGGAACAAGCGCCTGATGCAAAAACGAAGGGTAGGATAGTTGCGCAGTTGGTGCGCGGCGAAGAAACCCGTACTCCTGGGACAAAAAGCTGTACTGCTGGGAATGGAGGACAGCTCGTACTGGACCAAGATGCCACAAGTGTTCTCGATGAAGCCGTCATTGTGGCGACTTGTCTAATGATGATGAAGAAGGAGATTGATCGAAGGAGGTTGATTCAGATCATGGTACTTGCTGGCGCTGCCAGTGGTGGCCCTTGAGATAGCCTCGCGAGTCTAGGTTTGGGTGATGGGCGTTGATTGTTGTCTTCATACCTGGTTCATTTATCTTTATCTAATTAGTATACCATAATATCTACTGTTCATCCGAACGGCATGTGAACTGATGAGAGACTTGAACACTTCAACGTAGTGACATGTAGCCTGAACATTGAACTCAGGGTACTCACTCGCCTATGATGGCTTCCCTCATACATGTGTTGGGAGAAATGTGACTGCTCTGGCTGTGCTACCACGACACGACTGCCGCCGCCATTCGGGTAGCTGCATCTCTGTACGTGACATGCGTGTTGCTTCATTCTGTCAAACTTGAAGCCGAGGTGGCCTTCAGAGACAAACGACTCGGACGAGGCAGTTGCAAGTCACTTACAGCGCGGCGCAGGTGACTTTCTTTCCACCATTTCTGGCTCATCACTCGAACTTCATCCATCCTCCTTCAAAGCCATCGACATCTCTTAATTGTTTCTTACTCGTACAATCTTTTTCAGTTCGATAGAATATACCATCACAATGTCTGACTACGATCCAGATATTTCCAACGGCACCTGCTACTACAAAGATGGTGGCCGCTTACCCTCTCGTTACATACCATGCGGTAACAAAGCCCTGGGCCATAAGGTCTGTTGCGAAAGTCTTGACATGTGTCTGTCCTCCAGGGCATGCTACAATGGCCAATACGGCGTCACCTACCTCGCCGGTTGTACCGATCCTGACTACCAAGATGAGTCTTGCCCGGACAAAAGCCCATACCAAGGTACGATGAGTACCACTGTCATCTTGACTTCTGTGCTAATCCATGTCATAGACCAGAGCTGGGTAGGTTTAGTCCTTTGTCATCCAACGTACAACGATGATAGCAACGAGTGGATCGCATGCGAGGATGAAGGACTCACTGTCAGCAGTCCCGCGGCCTGCTCATGCCCGAGCACCTCACGAACCGTTGCCTTTACCGATTTTACTGCTCTCAATAACATCATGTCATTACCTGCTTCCCATGGGGGATCGGTCACCTGGAAGGATTCGGCCGCATATTCCTCCGCACACACAGGTGCACCCACACCATCACAAGGAATTGAGAGCTCTGATTCAACCACAACGACCTCAACATTCAAGTCCGTCAGTTCCACGCCCACTTCTTCCTTCATTGCCACCACGACTGTTGTCCTACCCTCACAAGATGAGCCATCCACACAATCTTCCGGACCTGGTAAGGGAGCGATCATCGGTATTTCGTTTGGTGTGTTTGCCCTCATCATCATCACGATCATTATCGCATGGCTCGCTTGGAGATGCTTGCGGCGTCGAAAGAATGCCGAAAAAGAACCAGCCATTGCGTCAGCAGGTGGTGGTCCTCCATTGATAGTACCCGAGATGACGAGTCCCACGGCTTCCGAATTGCCTGCCAACGAAAGCGCCGCAATGTCGAGGATGGGGAGCTACCGGATTAACAGTGCTGAGATGGAAGGTGACTCGATATACACCATGTCTCCAACCCGACTCACAGCGGATAGTGGACTACAGCGACCAGGACATCGGAGCGCCTGTTACGAGTTGCCGGCTTGATATTTGGTACATTGAGGGGCTCATTGGGAGGTCGATCTTTGTCAGAACAATAGCCAGTTGACCACAGCGTCAAGGCTAGTGCATGGTGGGCGGTAAACTCGAATGGCGATAGTGACTGCATCCATAGCGAATCGTAATTCAAATCGGAATCTTCTTTTCTTGCCATTTTCTCCTGGATTCGAGTAGATCTCTTTGGCCATAGACTTCTCCTACCACTGTAATGACCATGTCAAGCGTCACGGCCACTAGTTGATCTCGATCCGCAGTCGATCCAACATCCACTCCAGCACTACCGTCATCATCAAATAGCAGCTCGCCCTCCTCTTCCACTTCCACTTCCACCATCTTCTCGCTCTTAGTCACCCCATCTTGACTACCACCGTCAACATCATCGGCATCGGCATCGGCATCCAACAAAGCCACATCACCCTCCACTCCACCGTCTCGTATCAGGAGATAAACAGCCCTCTGCGCAAGCAACCTCAACTCACCGACCTCCTCACTCGCCAACTCGCCCCGATCGCGACACTTGCCCAGCACGCTCCAAAGCCACGCGCCAACGCGTCTGACACGCCTGACATCCCCACCGTGCAGCAGGTGGATCAGCTTCGTGCGCAGCAGCTTGACCAGCTCGAGCACGGATGCCGCGTCCATGACGGCCAGCTGTGCGGGATGCGGGTCGTGCGTGCACACGAGCGCTTCCCAACGCGTGCGCGCTTTGCGAGAGTCTTCGGGCAGCGAGATCAGTGATGATGCCGGCAGCGACGAGATGGTCTCCAGGGGCGGTGTGCAGCGGAGGGTTTTCTGTAGGACGTGGAATTGCGATAGCAGTGCCGCATGGTAGTGTTCTTGTGCAGGTGGTAGGGCGTGCGAGGCTGGGCTGTCGTCGTCGGTCCGTTTGTCGGAGGCGCGGGTTAGCGCTGTGTAGGTGCCGTCGTGGTAGTAGCCTCCTCCGTCTTCGATGTGGTTGTGGTTTGAGGTTCCATGCTGTCTTCCGTTGGAGGCGATGTTCTGCGTCGTCGTCGCGGGAACGACGCTCAGGATCTGCGGCACGCCTTTCGCTTCGGACCTAGGCAGGAGTGGTTAGCTCAAGTTCGAGTTCTGATCACAGCTCTCTCTTTCTCTGCTAGCATATCTCAATATCTCGGGGAAGTAAAAGGAGAGCAAAAGGCACGTACCGGACCATGCGCAAATACTCGAGGCCATCTGACGCAGGCCCGTAGAACAGCTCATCGCTGTCCTTCCCAAGGCCCGGGAACGCACCCGCCTGCCCCGTGTATTCATTGAACTGCGGCTTCTCTTTGCTTTCCTCGTCGTCTGAGCTGTCGTACTCTGATGCGGTAGCGTTGTGCGCCGTCACCGCCGCCGGGTTGTGTCTCTTCGGCGCGGGTGGGGAGTCGGCTTCGGGCGACGAGGTGTTGCGCCGTTTGCGGGACATTGGTCCGTTGTGTGCTGGGCGTGGTAACTGCGATGTTATTGTTTTTCAAGTCATGGTGATGAGAGATGGTGCTCCTGCTCTTTCTTGATCTGGAGAGAGTGGTGTCAAGGAGATCTCGTGTCTTGTCCTTCGGGGTTCTCGTGGTATTCGCAGCCTGAATGCGGCCCATGGATTTATTTCGAGAATGATTGTTGATAGCATGCCGCTTTTGTAGGGGGTTTCTCGTGCGGGGAGAATTTCGAAAAGCAGCGAGGAGTTCAATTCTCTCCAATTTCATCATCAGATAATTTTGTTATTGAAACTCCTCCTTTCCTCTGCCCCGCACCCGATCCCCTCGGTCAAACCCGATGGGTGCAACACCCGACAGCAAGTCGAGTTTGTGATGCACATAAGAAGGGATAATCGTTGTTATAACTTGACGGGAGAGCATGTTGAAACTGTTTCTTGTAATCTGTAAATCCATTCCTATCATCTAATTGAATCCCGAGACAGGCTTTCTCAATTTCCCCACAAGACACTGCTCGAGCGTCACCCACGACTTGACAGCCATAATAAACACACCACATATCAGATCGCCTCATTCTACCAATACCCGGCAAACCCAAATACAAGACATTTCAGAATGGCATACAAAGGCGCGACCCCCAGCACGACATCCCTCCCGGTGTCCCCGCGCATCGTCGCGTTCTACGAGCGCTTCTACGCCGTCTCCGACAACCCGGACCTCCATGAAGAATACGCCAGATCGCTCACGCCGACGGCGACGCTGACGATGGGGACACGCACGGCCAAGGGCTACGACGAGATCCTTGCAGTGCGCAAGGCGATCTGGGCCGGGCCCATCATCAGCCGCAAGCACGTGCTCGAGAAGATCTTCCCGTTCAGCGAGAACGAGGTCATGGTCTATGGGACCGTCACGTACGGGTTGAAGAATGGCAAGGAGGTCGTCGTTGAGTGGGCCGGGAGAACGGTTTTCGAGGACCAGGGCGGTGACGATGGTTTGAAAATGAAGTTTTATCAGGTTTATCTTGATAGTGCACCTGTCGCGAATGCTGCAAAGGAATAGACCTGTGTTGGAAGGAGTGATGGATGGGGCAAAAGGAGAACTCTAGGGATCAGGGGATGAAGAGTGTACTTTTGCAAAGATGTCTCTGGGCCCCGTCTTCGACTTCGTTTGCACATACATAAACCTATCTAAGGTATCTATCACTCCTGAGCACCAGCACATTCCGAGAAATGGCGCCGAAAGCCTTTCATTGCATGCCGCTTAGTTTACTGTGATTTGAGTAGTTGGTTTTCCATCTGCAATCACGCAGATCTTCTAAGGACGCAATCTCTGGGGATCACGGGGGAACGGTGTCGCCTGCCTGACGTTGTCCAAGCCAAGGAAGAATTGAACAATTCTGTTCAATCCCAGACCACCTCCGGCATGAGGCTTGCAGCCTTGTCTGAATGCATCGACGTAGTCAGAGAAACCTGGTGAAGCTGGATCCACTCCTTTTGCCCTCATTGATGCTTCTAACTCAGCAGCATCGTTGATACGTTGTGCACCCGACATGATTTCCTCTCCACGCATGAAGAAATCATACGAGTTCGAGAGGTTGGCATCGGTCGGATGAGGTTTGGTATAGAAGGGTCGAACAACCATTGGGAATTCGTCAAGAACGTAGAAATCGGTGTCGTACTTTTCGCGAATCAGCTGCCCCAGCTTCTTCTCTTGTGCAGTCGTCAGATCGGTCACGTAGTTGTCTTGTTCTGTTGTATCAACGCCAGCATCACGTAATATTTTGATGCCATCGAAGTATTTCAGTCGGAGAGCTTTGTTGTCTTTGATACGGAAATCTCCTGCTCGTGGGAAGAACTTCTTGATGACGGCAATCTCATCTGTGTAGCGGGTGTTGAGTTCGTTGACAATGAAGACGATGAGCTTCTCGGCAAAGTCGAGCACCTCGTGATAGTGGCGTTTGAAGACCATCTCAAAATCAAGGCCGGTGAACTAGCGAAGATTCTGTCAGATATATCGAGCAGAAAACGGACGGAACGACTTACCTCTGTCAAATGACGATGAGAGTTGCTGTTCTCAGCGCGAAAGACTGGACCAACTTCAAATACGCTTTTGCAGTCGGCCGCAATTAACATTTGCTTGTATAGCTGAGGACTCTGGGCCAAGTATGCGCTCTTTCCAAAGTAATTGCTGACTTCAAAGACACCAGAACCGCCTTCAGTCGCGGCACCCAAGAGTTTTGGGGTATTCATTTTCCTTGATCCACTATTCCACATGTATTCGCAAAACAGTTTCTCGACACCACTTGAGATTGTCAAGATCGCTTGGTTGCATTCGGTCTGTAGATCAATCACTCGGTTGTCAAGTCTTGTCTTCAACGTAACTATCGGTGCTCCCTCAGCGTCAACGGAGCCTTCCTCCGCGGCGGCTGGTGGAGGTCTCTCAGCATCCTTAACCTGCATGGGGATGACCTCCGAAGCGGGCGAGACCAAAAAGATCTTGGTGACATGTAGTTCAAGACCGCTGACGGTTGCCGATGCGACTGGAGGATTGGGCTTTTTGACAATACCGGACACTTCGACATAGGAGTTGACATTGATGCTCATGGCCCATTTGATCATCTGTCTGGAGACGGTGTCGTCGTTGGCAGCTAGGACAGCCTGGATTGTCTTCCCCTGTTCTCTCAACATCAGGAAAGCGAGTTTGGCACTTTGTCCTCTGCTATTGTGTACGCGTACACTGACGGTGACTTCTTTATCGATATGCTCATCATTCAGACTCGTCAACTCGGTGAACTCGACGTCCGGGGGTAACGTTGTTCCGTAATTATCTTTGGCAGTATCCTCCGCTGCTTGGGATTGTTGTGCTGCTCTCTTCTCTTCATCGGCCTTCTTTGCAGCAGCTTTCTTGGCCGCCTTTTCGGCTTCCTTTTGAGCCTTTTTCAGGGCATTCTTGGAGGGTGCGCCATCGGCTGCAACATTGGGATTGTCCTTGGCGTGAACGGGTAGGGATGCTTCAGACATGTTGAAGGTGGTGATCTAGAGGGAATAGAAGAACGGGTGATTCCAGGACTGTCAATGTCTGGTCGTGAGAGACTTTTTTTGGAATGAGAACCATTGAGTCACTCGCAGTCAGGTGAGAGTCGCAGGTGAAAGTGGGCTGCAAAAAAGGTGGGTGCGGGGTGTCGTTCTCGCTCCCACTGCAATGCAAAGTCCACTCACACTGGCAGGGGCTTGGCTGTCGTTGCAGGGATTGGAAGTAGGCGAAGAGGTGCCGGTAATTAGGTGCCCCGGGTGCTGCCGCCTAGTGGATTCCTCAGGCTTTAGGGGAGAGATTCAGCCTGAGCTACCTAGGTAGTTAAAGGCAAGGCTATATATGCAAGGAGGGGCCAGGCTTTGCTCAAGAAGAGAAGCGATGGCCAGTTCGCGATGTCTACTAAGAATATGAAATACCGTAGTATAATCGTCTGTGTTTCTCTTGATCATGCGTTTCGTTATCGGGTATATTCCAGTCGTTCATTAATCATTGGTTCAGGGGTGCACCGCTGTGTTGCATCTCAGCAAGCAACAGTCGTTTCGTTGCATCGTCGGCGACCCATCTCTCTATCCTCTCAGCAGTATCGCCCACCATCTTCACGTACGTCTCGCTCATCTTGAACATAGACGTGTGAGCTACCACTTCATCGATCCCTTCCATATACACTCTGATCCATGTAGGATCCCTCTGGCCGGTTCGTGAGTCCTTGACTGGAAGAGCGCAAAACTTTCGATCCTTTTGTTTCTTAGGCCTTTGCGGACTATTCTGTTCTACTTCGGTTTGAAGTCTCAAATGTTTGTCGTAGTCTTCGGGGTTGAGCGTTGATGATCGCTTGAGCTGTTCTTTTTGTACCCGGAGCTCCTCTTGTCTCAGGCGCTTTGCTTCCTTTTCTTCCTGCTTGATGACTTCTCGCTGCCTTTTCTGAATGACCTTTTCCCGATCCTTTGCTGATTTAGCTCTATCTTTCAATGCTCTCTCGTATGCCTTGACTTGACGCTCGTGATCTTTCCGAGCAATTTTAAGGTTGTCCTCGTTGTCATATGAGGACTCATCAAAGTGAGGGGGCGGAATAGGTGGTGGTGGCAGTGGCGGTAGACCATCGTCAAACGAGCGAGATGTTGTTTGCAATGAGCTCGAAGCCATCGGAGAGAGCGGCGACTGCGTTTCAGTTGTGACAAGTTCTGATTCATCCCCACTCGCATTTGACGTAGTGCCAGAACCCATTGCCATCGGCTCCAGTTCATTCAGTGGGGGCGCTGGGTCAATATTGAGTTCAGCGATGTCTTTAGTGATAACCTCGCCGTCTCGATGCTCTTCAAGAGAGAGACGTGGGCTAGGTGATGGTGGGACGGTCAGACTATGGTCGGTACCATCTGCAGAAGAGCGTCTGGAAGACAATGTTTGCATCTCAGTGGTCCGATTCGGTGGTTCCAACAATGCCGGTGATGCCGGCGGGGAAGGCGATCTCTCCTTAATTCTTCCACTACTTGCAGAATAATAATTGACAAATCGGACACGCCTTATCAGACGACCGTTTGGGGCTCTCGGTCTCGCAAGCTCATCAACATCTTCGAGAGCGCGGAGTGCAAAGTAGCGTCTTCTCAGCCCTGGGTAATCTGCAAGGACACCTCCAAACTCGAGATGTGAGGACACATATCGTGTTGTTGCATTCATCAATTCCCCGGCATGCTTGTTCCAGAAATACCATGCACGCTCGAGCTTGCCTTGTCTGTTGGCAAGATGGACATCGTTGGGATATGCCGGGTTGAAATTTGAATCTAACGGAGAGAGTGATCCGGCAAATTCGGTCGCAGTGCTAAGCGGACTCTCTGGGAGTTCAGGAGGGGAACGAAAGAGACTAGCTATCCCAGTGCCAACAACACCTGGATGCATTCCAAGATAAGGCACATCAAACGCGATCAGACCAAGTAAGCGATGTTGGGAGAGTTCATTGCTCCCCGGGACATGTGACGGAATTAGGACGACTTCAGCTGCGAGTATACCGCCCAGGCTGTGCCCGACCAATATAACATCTGTAGTATCAGATTCATGAGGTGCAAGCCTGTGAAACGACATTAGTTGACCATGAGATGGTTTGGTGAAGGGATGAGACCAACCAATTGCTGAAATCGTCTTTGGCGAATGAAACATTCTTTCGGGATTTATATCGCGGATAGACCTTTGTGTAAACGACATGAGTCTCGGCTAGGGAGCTAGTTATCAATGAATGAACATGGGCAGGGAAACTTCCGAAGCTGGTTTCATCGCCAAGAAAGCCGTGTATATAGATGATGAGCAATGTTCGTCGCCCTGTGTTTGTAGCGGATTCGATCGGACGAAGAGACTGAGTTGAAGAGGCTCGCGGGTCATGTAGTCCGCCTGAATATGGACTAAAGTTCTTGTCTGCCGGTGGGATACTGGGAGACAAAGGAGCCGTTGGAGAAAGATATTGGGTGCTTTCTCCCACTGACATGACGGACTGAGACTGGGGTTCACTGGGAGCATGTGAATACCTCCTGGGTGGTAGAGGAGGCTTCCGCTCTGCCATGGTGGTCGTGATGGTGGAACAGACGAGATTGATATCTCATTATCATTGAAAAGAACTTTGGAATACGCGTAAGTTTTTACGAGTTTTCCAACAGATCAAACCAGAGTTCCAAGATTGCTAGTCGAAGATGTCCGCCAAGGGTGCATCAAACGTAACGTAAGTGAATGATTCGTGGAAGGTATCCACGAGCGAGGACTAAGACTTCCAGGGATTCGTTTCGTATTGTTGTCTCTATCAAGCTGCCTGAAGCTTGTTTACACAGCCCGAGTCGGGGAATAGTGGGAAGTTCCCTTGTGAGGGGCAGTGGGAAGAGAAATCATGGATATTGGCTGGGCAAGCTACGTCATCACATAACGTGTTTCTCGTGGGTGCTCGGTCTTTGCCTTTCAAGTCCCCGCTATGCTAAATAAATGCAGGCCTAGGTATGCAGGTGGCGAGCTATCAGAAATGTTTCAGTACAGCCCAGACTCCGTTGTGCTGAAGGGATCACGACAGGTCTCAAGGCCAACTCCCCCATGGTATGATTTTGGATGTCTCCAACCCATCACGTAATATGGACTGCGTCAGACCTAAGAATTGGTCCATAATGCCACAAGAGTGTGCGTTGACAATATATTCCACAGCGCTGACAGAGATCTGGCGAGGATCACACATGTCCGGGATGCAAATGCAATTATTGGCCCTTGCCAAACATTTGCCAAACGCTCTTAGGGGGTTCATATGCTCCCGTGCCGACAGGAGTATATTTCATGTCGAGCCTGTTTGTTGATTTCTTAGCCTCAAGCGGTTTGAAAGGAGAGCACAAATGACTGCATAGAACATACCCAAACGCCGATGGCCCACCCATTTCTAGTCCCCTCTCGGTGGTCCATACAGGCGGCGCTGTCAGTGCCACTACACTGACCCTCAAGCCATACTTATAATCCGAGATACCCAACGGCGCGCCATTTGCCAGGTCCAGGAAACAAATGAGGTCCGGACAGATTGCCAGGACTTTGTCTTCTTCACCCTCCTGCTTCAGGACAGCGCAAAGGTTCTCATTTTCGAACTCGACGGCGAGCGTGGTAAGTGATGAGTTGTTTTCGCCGCTGGATCGTGAGGTCGGTTCTTCGGAGAATGCAGAGAGAAGGACACTGCCTCTGGTAAAGCCCTTTGCGACTTGTCTTACAACAGAGATGATTTTCCCGCGAAAGAGAAGGGCACCGTTTTGCTCTTTTAGCAATGCCGTGACAGGGTCTATTTTCTTGCTTCGAGAAAGTGCGATTGAACGGCCAATGCACCATGCTATGTAAGTGTCAACTGAATTCTCAACACAACAGTGCAAACCGCAGAAGGTTATAGGGTCATATACCTAGAGAATAGCTGTTTCGAGGTAGGGTGCGAGCCTCACTGCCGTTAAGGGGGTTGAGACAGATACCGGCCAATGAACCTAGATCGGTGCAGGCATCTCGCATCAACTCCTCGGCCCGAAAGTTGTCCGTTTCGGCGGTGAAAACCTAGACGAATGTCAGTCAATCCTAGATCAAGAGGGAAATTGATGTTGTGACGGTACCTCTCGTTTGCCTGCTCCATCTGCGACGGCCGCAGGGACAACCGGGACGTCCCTGAGACAGCGCACCGTTTGCCATAGGTAAGGGTAGGCTCGTGCTACACAATCAGCATCCAGGGTACTTTTGCCGAAATGGTACGCCGCCAGGAGTGCTTCAAAAGCATTCATCCCTCCTATCTCATTAGGGATGACAGCATCAAACGAAGTGATGTTGGTTGTCTCTAGGACTGCGTTCATGGCATCGATAACCCTATTGTAGATGTTCAGTACAGGTCGAACGGGCGGGTTACAGGCTTCCTACTCATGCATGCCTGGAACTCGCTCGAGATAGACCGTTGGAGATCCCTGTTCATCAAGTAAGCCACATTAATCGGAAGGCAGAGGGGCGCTCACCATGAAACCAGCAGCCAGGACCACAGCACTATCGGGTAGTGTTTCCTGTCGTCTGATGGTGATAGCCTCGCCCTTAGCTAACGCGTGCAAGCAGGCAACATAGCTGGGGTAGGCATCACCACAGCTTCCGACTCCCAGAACTCCTGTGCCGTCTTGCAGGAATTGCAAGTCTGTTTCTGACAAATACCACAGGTCCCCTTCTATCCTCGGTTTGTATGACTCAACGTCAAGTTGGTGGATGATATCGTAAGATGATGCTTTGGAATCGAACCCATTTATATAATTCTCGGTAGCGGCGACTTTACCAAAATCGTCAAGTATGGGCAATTGGCTTTCTTCTGGATCATCATGGCCTTCCGATAGGTCCGCAACAACCCGAACAATCAGTCTCGTAGCTCCGTTGGTGGCGTAAGAGACCGGTATCAGTTCGATCTCCACGACTTCTAGTGTGGCCCTGTTTCCTCCTGCAGCAACACAGCGGTCCATTGCAAGACCTTTGGCTTCCTCGATCTGCTCTTCCATTGAGGTATTATCAGCCTTTGGTGCAACGATCGTATCTACCGAACCGCTGATCTTCCCGATCTGTGCCAGCGTTAGTGATTCAAGACGAAGATTGTGCAGAATTTCTTACCGCAGCACCAACGGCATTGGCCACTTCAAAATGTTTGGGGCGGGTAAGCTCTCCCACTCCTGCAATCTCATCACCAATGATGATACTCCCTCCACCAACGAGGATTACTCTCGCATCGCCCTGCTTCGTCTTGACAAGGTCAATCGCTTCCTCTACTGCTCTCTTGACCTCTATCAGTCCAGAGGCCCTGAGATGTGATGGGACAAGTCTTTCTGTAAGATCGTTGGACAAGATCAAGTCTGTTGCCTACATGGAGCTTTAGCATAGAGAATGCGAGAGTGTATGGATTACTGACAGTGAGAGTCTGCCCTCCAAAATAGATTCCATCTTGGACCAGGCGTGACCCTACCGAGTCTGGACCAATACAAGTTCGATCATGTTCTGTTCTGACAAGAGAGCCGCCACCTAAGGGGATGCTGTGTACATCAGGGATAGTGAAATTAGTTCTTACGCCAGCAACCTTGACGAAAGCAGCGGATTGTCTCGGAAAACCAGTCTTCAACAAGGCGCAGATATCAGTCGTGGTCCTGTTAGGTGTCAGTATGTTGACTTCAGTCTCCGGAGACAATCTCACCCTCCCACGTCTACCACGAGGACTTCTCTGTCGTCTGCCTCATCTGGTGAAAGTGACCCCGCCAGCAGGGCCGCTCCTCTTGCACTATTCGTAGGTCCTGATGAGAAGCAACCTATTGGATACTCGGCGGCTTCCGACGCTTTACTCAAGGTCCCGTCATTGAGTGTGATGTATAAACTGCATTTGCCCAATCTCTGGACGGCAAACTTGAAACCTGCGATGACATGACGAGCAAAGCGTCGTAAACTTGCGTTGAGGATGCTAGCATTCTCTCGTTCAAGGAAGCCTAGTCTGCCAATCTTGTGGGAGCAAGAGATATCGTATCCCGGTCCAAGTTCCGAAACGAGAACAGATTCCGCTTCCAACTCCTGCTTTGGATTCGATGGAGAGTTTATGCCGATCACGACTATGCTTTTGATCGACGTCGACTTGATTATGGCAGCTTGTTCCTTGAGTTGTTCATGTCTTAACGCACGAATGAGTCTGCCGTCGACTAGTTCAATCAGATGATGTTCTACTCGGTAGCATGGGTCAGTTGCCACACGATGCCACTCACCTTGATAGCCACCATCTACATAACCACAATGCCCTTCCATCAAGGTACGAAGACCTGCTGGGAAATGCACTAAGAAGATCACTTGTCAGTCGTTGCAGATTCGGTAGATTTATCAAGTTGCGCACTGAATGGCGGAGACCGCTGAGTATAAGGTCCACATAGCCGAATAACCGCGACCTTGTCAAGCTTGCTTCGATCCTGCTCGAGAACTGCGTTGATAAGTTGCTGTATTTCGTCGTGAGCACAGTCCTGAGACGAGAATGCGATTCAAGGGACTTACAGTCGTGCCAATCTTGACCGATTTAATTTGACCTGAAGTGATGTGCCCCTTTCTCACAACCTCTCGAATGGCGAGCTCGACACCTGCTTGTATGTCAGAGGTCGTAGGAGTCTTGTGCCAGGCCACGACCTCCTCATTTTGAAGTATGACGGCCTGGAAACGTGTCAGTACTGTTCCCTTCGAGCGGGAGAGCTCTCACGTCTGTATTTGTTCCGCCGACGTCAATGCCGATCAGGTACGAAGGTGTTTTACCCGGCATTCTCAGAGCTAACATGCCAATGGGATGAGAGAAGTAACTGCTGGCAAGGTACTGCAGAGTACAAATTCTTTTTGCAGCCGCGGGAAATCCTTGGCTCCGCTACCTGTCGCCCAAGGGCCTGAATCTGTCCTTGGAATGAAGACAAGTCGGTCTCACACGCTGTATGTAAGCTTTAGTATTCTAGGCATGTGGATCTAGCATGGATACAGTCGCGGCTCCTCCGCAGGTCATCTCCGGCATGCAATCCAGATCTTCGGACATAGCTAAGACTCCATGGCCATGTGCCTGACAAGGGAATAATTTTGAGATTCCGTTCCCTGTAACCGAGAGTATGGTTCCACAATGTCTGTCAATTGACTGAAAAAGACGGTTTGGAGGACGTTACAGACATGGTTTCGTGAACAGCTGGGGGGTTTTTCGTCATTCATAGTATGTAATCTTCTCATTGCCGTAGTCGCACCCTAGGTACCTGTGAGGGACTGAAGGCGTGTCGAAGAGCGGCTTGGCCAGAAGACCCTTTCTTTGGGTCATTGATCGGCTAGATAGAAGGTCTGCCCCGCTTCTTGGTCACTGACCACGGAGTAGTAGTACCTGGTACGTCGTGCTAGCGCTGAGATTTAATAATTGATTCACACATACCAAGTACAGCGGGTGTCTCTGCTGAACTTGAAGATTCTGAGTGTGGGGAACTCAATCAGGAACAAGCCCACCCCAGACTACAAGCGTGCCAATGACGGCCTGCCATCGGCTAGATAGCAGATATGGCCGTCGCGGGGCAACACGCCGTTGTACTAGAAGGTCCTTAGTTGGAGGAGATAAGCGACAAATCTTCCCAAGTGGGCCATGGACAACTCCAACTCCAACTTCATCTCGAAGGTGGATTGCCTATTACTCTAGACGCCGTACTCGTAAACACACGAGGAGCCGCCCAGCAAGGAATCAATTGATACGGCTTGGTTCCGGAGGTGAGGCTTGATCATGAGATCAGCCGTACAAGACGAGTCCTGATAACGAGGCCAGAGACGTGGAAATAAAGTCAGAGCCAGAGCCAGTTCTCCTCTGAGCGCAATCACGTCTTTGTCAATTCTTATACTCACAGACTGAGCCATGGACGACCACATCACCGCAAGGCAAGAGGAGAACCATCCCACAAAGCTGGCATTCACTTCCATCGCCGCGCCTGCTCCCGATACCAGCGGCGAGTCAGCATCAGCTCCCTCCGATCTGCAATATTATGGCCACGACACGAACGGACCTCCTGCCACCAAAAAAGAGGTTTTCTCATATTACGCTTACTACGCTGGCAACAATGGAATAGGATCGTTCCAATAGTCAGTCAGGTCCGAGCCCGCCTCTCGATGATACATGCTGACCTTATTCTAGCTCGAATCTCCTGTTCCAGAACTTGATCTACCAGGCAGGCTTCAATCCGAATGTTCTGCCGCTGGGTAGCTCCAGCTGTGATTTCGATCCCGATGCACCATGCCATGTCTTCTGGAATGGGGGCACGAAACCCTACAGCTCGGTCGTCTTGATCGCCTCGGGTCTGACTTTCCTGTCCCAGGCCTTGGTCTTCATTGGAGTGGGAAGCTTGGCCGACTATGGCAATTGGAATCCGTGGGTCGTTCGAACTTTCTCCGTGATATGCTGGGCATTCGAATTTGGGTTTCTCGGTGTTAGAAGGGCAGACCAATGGAGAACGTCGATGGCTCTCTACATCTTGAGTGGTAGGGCTACCACATATCTTATGTCCTCTCCCAAACTGATCATGCTTTAGCCATCACTTTCTGGGCCTCATATGTCTTCTTCAACGCCATCTTTCCCAAGCTCTCTCATGATCTGCCCGAAGTCCGTACTGCCCATGACGAATTATTGGAGGGCAAGATCAGCGAAGAGGTGTATGAACATCGGTGTTCCATGGCCCGCTCAAAGATCATGAACATGAGTTATGGCTGGAACAACGTCGGATTCACAGCTTGTGGTGCGCTCTCACTAGCCGCACTGGCAGGAATTGGGGCAAATGACTCTACTGCTCAAAATAACTGGGGCTATTCGGTATCCGTGGCTGTGTGCACCGGATTCTGGATGGTCCTCGCCATCCCTTGGTTTCTGTGGGAAAAGAAACGTCCTGGCCCACCGTTACCAGCCGGCGACAACTATCTGACCTTCGGCTTCAAGCAGACCTGGTTCGCAGCGAAACAGGTCTGGACTTTGAAACAGACTTTCTTCTACCTGATTGCATTCTTCCTGCTGGCAGACGGTATCGGCACTATTATTACTCTTGTTGCGATTGCACAGACTAAAGTGGTTGCCTTCTCTGCAACCCAAAACACTTATCTGATCATGGTCCAGGGTGGATCTTGTGTTGTTGGTGTTTTCGGCGCCTATTACATCCAACGACTCTTCAACTTACGAACCAAAACCATGCTCCAGGCCTGTAATATTGGATGCGTTCTCGTCGGTCTGTGGGGCATGCTTGGAATTTGGACGACCAAGATCGGCTATCACAATCTGTGGGAATTTTGGTTTTTCAACGCGCAGTACGGCTTCACCATGGGCGCCCAATTTTCATATGGACAGGCTTTCATGGCGGAACTAGTGCCTCGTGGGAGAGAGTATATGTTCTTCAGCTTGCTAGGAATTGTTTCCAAGGGCTCTGCTTGGATCGGGCCCATTGTTTCCAGCGCCATCGTCGACGTGAACGGCAATGCATGGACCCCATTCCCATTCGTGGTTGCACTGGTTCTTGTCCCTACCATTGGTATCTTCTTCATCAGCGAGTCCAAGAGTCGGGTCGAGTGCGCCGAGTACCTTGCACGGGAAGCTACCGGACTGCGGAAGTTGGACATAAATGCCGAGGGCATAAAGAAATGAGACTCTAGCTCATATGTAGAATACAGATAGGACCCCAATAACTGGCGATTATTCTCCTGGTGTCGCGTGTGATGTTGCTTTAATTTTCATCCGCCTCGCTCTCTAAGGGGTGGTGGTCGGTTCTAAAAGCGGCGGGCGGCTTGAGGATAAAGCTTGGCAGAGACGACGAGAAGCAATTGAGGAACTCGTCCTAAGCAGCATGTCCCTTCGTCAACAACAATAGACATCATTCGTCATCAGCGAACATCATCTACTGGCCCTAAAGTCTCTGGTAATTGTTCGACGAGTAGTGCAGCGAGGTACTATGTGAGCCTTCGATGAATGGACAAAGATGGCGCCTGGAATAGGCGTCAAACCTCCCGTTCCGAGAAAGAGGACCGGTCAGCATTGATACTTGTCGCTACGTTGTAGTGAAACTCTCACTGACTAGAGATCTGTGCACAGGCTGTTTGACTTGCAGACAGGGTAAAGTCAGATGTGACGAAGAGAAACCGATATGTCATCGCTGTCGAAGATTACAAATTAAATGCACCTGGACTGAGCAACCACGGCACTCCCAAGGCTCTGTGCATCTGGCGCAAGAAGGGAGAGTCGTATTGGCCAACAGAGCAGCCATAGTCCCGTCGGGCGGACCACTGATACAACCATTTGTCGTTGAATTTCCGAATGCAGATCGAGCGTCTCTTCCCTATCTCAAGCATTTCATTACCTTCTGTTCTCGGTTTCTTGCCTATGTCAATGATGGACAGGGTAATCCGTTTCAGCAAGAGCTGGTCCCTCTTGCCGCTTCCTCTCCCGCTTTACTTCATTCAATGCTCGCTATTTCTGCCGGCCACATGGCTAGAGGGCAACCACGGCACGCTCTCCCCGCGGTAAAGTACTATTCAACAGCACTCCGAGAATTAAACCTTGCCCTGTCCGAGCCTACTCAACTGGCCTCAAATTCCACGCTCGGAGCGTGCCTTTTGCTATGTGTTTATGAGGTGAGTACAACATCTGATCATCGAGATCCACTTATAAAACAACCCATAGATATCCCATTCAGACAAAAGTCTTTGGTTGCAGCATCTTCGAGGAGCCCGGGATCTGATCATGCATCGAGGGGGGCCACGAACATCCGATTTCCTTTGCCGATTTTTCTCGTTGCTGGACATATCTGGATCCTTGTCTTCCGGTAGAGGTCCGTTAATACCTGGCAATTACTGGCTTGAAGTTGATAAGCCGACCACCGATTCCTTGACACCGAACGATATAAAATGGCCATATTACGATGATGGGTCAGTCATGGTAGACAACTTCCACGAATTAATGGTCCACATGGCGAAGCTCTCAAAACTCTCTGCCCAATCAATGACCGAGTTAGGTCGACAAAATCCGGGTCTCATCCGCGATACAGCGATGTCAATCCGACAAGGATTGCGTAAATGGTGGAGTTTACGACCTCCAGAGTTGCGAGACCAGATTAACGACTGGCGAAGCCTTCCCCGGGCGAAACCACTAGCAGAGCCGGAGTTACTGGAACAAGAGTCGTTCGCGAGTATCCGATCCTGCAAGGATGCGTGTATCATCTACCTACACCACATCATCAACCCAACTCGCATATATAGCGAAGGATCAGAAGTTTCCGTCGCAGCTGAAGACATTCTGGATATTGCTAGGAAGACGCCAGAGGGATATGGGTTGGAAATGGGTCTACTTTGGGGCATGTTCATGGCTGGAGTTGCCATCTTCAATGATACCGAAGCAGAGGCTCTAATCCGCCGAAAGTTAAGTTCAGATGCAAGCATCAGTATCTACGTGAGTACCAGATGGAGAGCAACTTGGGAAACTGGGCTGACAACGGGTCCATTTAGCATGCCGATCGAGGGCTAGAGTTATTGGAGATTCTCTGGGAGAGGCAACACCGACTCAATTTGAAACTTGATTGGAGGGAACTCCAGAATGAAATGGGCGTCCAGGTGTACGTTGTAACTTTTACCCCCTCAAATGTTGGTCCAGTTCTGATCAATTGTTCTTCTAGGTTTATTCTCGCCTAGAACCAGCCCACCTTTTGTGTTTGTGCGCAACATCTGCAAGTGGCAGCTCTCAGCGGCAGACAACTGTTTTTCCAAGTTAACGAGATAGAGAAAAGTAATCAAATTTATGGAAAAGTTGAAGAGCATCATGGCGACGAAGAAGATGACTGTCATGAGTTACATGCATACTTTCAACCGTAGGTATGATCAAACAAAGCAAGAGGGAAGAAGTCCTATATGCTGGTAAAACATTGTGTAGCCAGTACATATAGATACCAATACTAACAAGCGTATTCGATGGGGGACCGCGGTACAACAATGAGCTGGGTGGTGGTGAAGCTACGTCACCAGCAGGCTCCAGATCGTCGCGTGCTCCCGCTCCCTTACTCTTTTTCCTTCCCAAATTCCCGCTGCCAGTCTCCTGTCAAACCTTCATCTGTTTAGATTCCGTCATCCATCGACTCCCCCACCTTTTGTATCTGTCATTTATAGTTTAGCACTCACATACGTGTCCAACATCTCTACTTTCCTCGATTCCGGTCGTTGGACTTTCGGTACAATGTCTCCATCGGTTGAAATCTCCATCCCAAACACCACCGTTTCGGGCGGTGACTCGAAACCCTACACCGTCTACAATATAAGCCTACGCTTCCAATTACGTTCTTTTACTGTCCAGAAGCGCTACTCGGATTTCCTGACTCTCCACTCCAGCCTGAGCGACCAGGTCGGCACCGCTCCGCCAGCGACCCTCCCTGCCAAATCGTGGTTCTCCAAATCCGTCTCCAATCCCGAACTCACCGAAGAGCGACGGCGCGCGTTGGAAGTATATCTACAGACGATCAACACCATCGAAGACTCGAGATGGCGCACCGCTAGTGCCTGGCGAGCCTTCCTCAACCTGCCGACCTCCCTTACCAACACCACCTCCTCCAAAGCCGGCGCCTTGCACTCGGTGATCTCCGGGCCGGGCGGGGGCGGCGCACCTATCACCGACGCCGTCGTCTGGCTGGACTGCCATCGCGAGCTCAAGACGCAGCTGCAAGATGCACGGCTGAACCTGACGAACCGCGACCAGGCCTCGACGCCCCAGAAGCAACACGAGGCCAGCGCAGCGGCCAAGTCCTCGCTCGTCAAAGCGGGCGGCATGATCGCCGCGCTCGAAGAAGGCCTCACCAACATCCAGAAAGCCAACGAGGGCGACAGTGGGGGCTGGGGCGGACAGAAGCTCGGGGACGGCGAGATGCGGCGGCGCAAGGACCTGATCGCCACGGCCAAGAAGGACAAAGAGGGTCTCGAGAACCTGCTGACCGCCATGGTCACCAAATCCAAGCTGGACACCGCCGTCGCGTCGTTCCAAGACACCCAGAATCTCATGGGGACGCCGAGCGGCAGACCCAAAGCCGGCGGGCGCGTGCTGGGCAAGGAGACCGCGGAGACGAGGGAGCTGGACAACCAGGGCGTGGTGCAGTTGCAGAAGCAGAAGATGGCCGAGCAGGATCTCGACGTCGAGGAACTGCGCAAGATCGTTCACAGGCAGAAAGAGCTGGGCATCGCCATCAATCAAGAGTTGGAGGTGCAGAATGACATGCTCCGGATGGTGGACGAGGATGTCGACCGCGTCCAGGGCAAGATCAATATTGCGAAGCGCAGGATTGGAAAGATATCGTGATCGATCGCCTGCCTAACTTTTCCTTGGGCTGGGTTGGATTCATCATATTTCATTATCGAGGGTATCGTCTATACTGGTACAAAACTTTTCACCTCACATTTTCACCGCATCAAGCTTCCACGGTCAAACATTGGATCAACGCACGCGGAAACCCCCATCGGTCATGATTTCGACCTCATGAAAGCGTCCGCGTCCTCAGGGCTCACCTTCGAATGGTCCGTCGCATCTGTGGTGATCAACCCGAGCTTGGTGACGCGAATCTTATACCACAATTCCGACCTATCACCACCGAGCTCTTTGGCCATGATCTTCTTTTTAAGCTGGCGGAGAGCATCATTATACACCTCGGGCTCTTCCATCTGATACATTCCCTCCCGCACTGTACCGAGCAGCTCGAGAACTCGATCATAGTTCTTATCTCCGAAACTGGTCTTGATCTGGTCCTCCACAATCCGCGATATCTGACTGACCCCATCTGTGATCGCGTCCATGGCTTGAGTGGAGTCGAGCAATTGTTTGAATTCGGGGACTGCATTATTGGGTGAGATGCGAGACCGGTTTCCCTTCTCCTTGCGAAATAGATCCTCGACATTGAGTCCGGACAACGGCTTCTCGACATCGCGATATCTCCGACGGCCTTTGACCTTGGCGGGGACTTTCTTCACATCGGCGGCCTTGACCAATCTGTCAAGTGCCTTCTTGCTCCTCTCTTGCAGCTCCTCCGATTGTTGTGAGTAAGCCATGAGAGCCGCGGGTTTTGGTGGCACGCTGTCATCTGGATGCACAGCACGGTGTTTGACAGCTCCTTCAATGGTATGGAGAATCGGAGAGAATGTGTCTTCCATGGCCATGAGCTCCTCGCCATCATCATTGATCAGGCTCATACTGTCAACAAAATCGCTCATGCTGTTCAGAAGATCGTCACTTGGGAGGTTACGGTGTTCTGTCAATTCTTTACCAGAGATTGTGACGATCTTGTCGAGTGGTGGAAACCGATAGGAACGAATGTCTTCGGCGAATGGAAGGACATTTTCCACCAGACATTCTATTTCCTGGTTTGCAAGAGGTGAGAGTATTGTCAAGATGGGTTCGGCTCCGTCTTTCTTGACCAGTCTCGCAACTGCCACCGAGTTGAGTTCATGTAGAGCGTGGATCAGAGACGACAGAGCAAGCCCGGCTTTGTCATTCCCCTTCTGCCCCACCACCATGTTTGCGCTGTCTAATAGCATATATCGCTCGACATTTTCCGCAGGGATGAACCCAATAATATCATAATTCGCAAAAGTCTCCAGTTGCGTAATGTTGGACTCCGACTCGGAGATTGCCACGGCCGTTCTTCCATACTCATAGCCCTTGGAGAGGTCTTCTCGTGCGATTTCCCGGGTTCCATCTGCGCCATTCTCGTCTTTGATCTTGTAGGTGTATTTGGTATGCACAGTTCCCAGTCCATCCTCCTCTTCCTCTTCCGGGTTGCCCTCTCGAACAACGAATGCCGTCGCGGTCGGAGGTCGTCGTACCGCAGTCTTGAAATATCTCTCGACATCTATCGTCAGCGCGGTGTCGTATTTCTCAGGATCCCCCAAGCACAATCTTCCTCTGTATGTCGGCGTTGGTCTGACGGGTTTGACCTGCGGCCGTGCCAGTCCGTCGATGGCCTCTTGCATTGTCCCAAGCTCCCCTCCACTGAGTTCCACCAGTTTCCGTAAAGTCTCTTCATTCCTGGCTTTCTGCGGCGATTTGTTCTCCTCCTTGACGCCATATTCCGCATCATCGAAATCGATTCCTAGCACCACCAACTCAATCCCGTTGTCTCTGAACTGCGTGGCCGTGTCCTGGATGCCGTCGTCATCGATCTGTCCCGTTGCATTTGTCACAACGACGATCCTCTTCTTGTACTTCAGATGTCTGCAGTGCTTCATGATCATGTCCACCGCAATGATGATCCCAGAGAGAACGTCTCGCGTCTCAGTCTTGCTGGGCTTGAGGAGTCGCGGTAACTGCTGGAGCTGGGGCATGAGGACCTGAGCGATGGGCTGGATCTCACTGATGTGCTCGTAGCTCTCGTCTGTCTGCATGGCATTAGAAGTCTTGTCAGTCCCAAGGCCTACAACGCCGATTTGTAGGGTTTTGCGGCCTGTGAAGACGGTGTTGCTGATTTTGTCCCAAACATATTGTAGTGCCCAATCCAGATCGCTTTGACTTCGACCTGAGTGCTTCTTGCCCATCGACTGAGCGACGTCGATGACGTACACGGTGGCTTCCTTGTCGGCCATAGCTGTAGAAGGTGTTTGATATGGCTCGTTATGGTGATGACTGCGGGGTGTGGAGGAGGTAGACTTGCTCGGACCGCAGTCTGCTCCAAGGCTACTTTGTGGTCCAGATGAGAGGTTGAAAGAGAAGACCAAGGCAGTCCAATGGCAGTCTCAGTTTTAAAATCATATTTATGCCATTGAGGCAGTGAGGTACAAGTTTAGAGGTGGAGCAAGTCTAGATGGCCGCAGGCATCAGCACGCGCTTTCTCACTGAGCGATGACGCGCGGTCACATGACAGTCGCGTCCACGAAATCCATTTGATAAGATTAGATCGTGCTTTTCGAAATGAGATCATCAGCATGGCCCAATCAAACACATGTTGCCTGATACAAATTGCCAGCATCATCGATGTTTCAAAAGGCATATTGACAGCCATTCTTCCTCTCACGTCCTCTTCTTACGATTATTATCAAGAACTCAGCTAGTAGATACTTCAAAAACAGTCAATATGTCTGAAAACTCCATTTTCTATTCCGCCGCCCCGTACCATATCATCAGGTAGGTTTGAATCCCACTCCCGAACAATCCCGCCCTCCACCAACACGAGTTCTGACATAAGCACAGCTACGGCACGCTACTGGGAGCAGAGATATTCCAATCCTTCATTGGCGGGATCGTGGCATTTCGCTCTTTGCCACGCGCACAATTCGCAACGCTTCAATCGGCGCTGTTCCCGATCTATTTTGGTCTACAGACGGCTCTCCCCGTCGTGCTGGCATTGACGTTCCCCGCCGAGCGGAGGGCCATCGGGACCAGCGCATCCAGCTTCGCCGGTGTATTAGAGCCGGTGAATAGACTGCATGTGCTGACGCCAATATCTATCATTTTCGTAGCGGGGCTCGTCAATGCCGCCTATGTCGGCCCGCTCACTACCAAGACGATGCGGGAGCGGAAACACCAGGAGACCAAGGATGGGAAGAAGAGTTACGATGCGGGCCCGCACAGCCCCGAGATGCAGGCTTTGAATCGCAAGTTTGGTCAGTTACATGGTGCTTCGACGTTGGTGAATCTTGCAGGTGTGATTGCCACGCTGTGGTATGGGTTTTATTTGGGAGATCGGCTATTGTAGACATTTTTCTTTGGTCCGATATTGCTTGATAGAGGTCAAGTCCACGGTTATAAACTCACGATATCCAGAGCTACGATAGACCAAATAATACTCCCTGTTCCACCTCAGCATTCACAGTTCCTTTCAACCTTCTGACAACGAGTTCAACCCTGCCGGATACCGATCACCCTTGGTCTGCGTCCTCTTCAAGATCTCAGTGATCTCGTCATAGTCCTCATCAGTCAGCACGACCTCTCCACTCTTCGTATTCTCGACGACACGCTCCGACTTCGTCGCGCCAGGGATAGGAATGATGGTGCCGAACGTGACATTCTCGCCATCAACACCCAACGGGACAGTCCTGCCGCTCAGACCACGCACCCAAGCAATAGCGACCTGCGCAGCCGTGACCCCCTTCCTCTCCGCCAGCTTAAGCACTTCATCGGTGATCTGGTTATTGTGATCGAGCACATCGTCCTGGAACTTGGGCAGGTGCTTGCGGAAGTCGTCGTCCGGGATGTCGGCGTTCTTGCGGATGTCGCCGAAGATGCCGCCGCGTGCGAGCGGGCTGTACGCCGCGATGGGAATGTTGAGCTTCGCACACGTCGCGGCCACGCCGTTGCGCAGGATGTCGAGCGCCCAGAGCGAGAGTTCGACTTCGACGGCGGCGATCGGGTGGATCGCCGCCGCTTTCTCGATCGTACTGGCTTTCACTTCCGAGAGGCCGATGCCGCCGATCTTTCCTTCTTGGACCAGCTCGGCCAATGCCTTGACCGTGGTTTCCACAGGCGTCTTGGGGTCGACGCGCGCACATTCGAAGATGTCGATGCTCTTCTTCCCGTCCAGGATCGCCAGGCAGTCCTCGACGCTGCGGCGGACGTTGGTGCGTGAGCCGTCCGGCATGAGTCCGCCTCGCTCCGCTCCTCCTTTGATGCTCAGAACGACTTTGTCGGCGTCACCGGGGTTCTTGGTGAAGTACTCGTTCAGGAGATGGCACGAGTTTCTCTCAACCGTGCCGTAGAATTCGCCGCCGTTCCAGAAGTTTGCACCTTGTGCGAGCGCTGTCGACATGGCTTTGTAGCTTTCCTCGGCTGGTTGAGGGTTAGGCCGCCAGGTCAGGCCCATGAGGCCGAAGCCAATGGGACCGACTGGCTTGGATAGTAGTGTTGGCGATGACATGGTGTTGCTCGAGTTTGGCGTATGATATATTCTACTGGGGAGGATGTGATGAGATCAAATTGATCTTGGAGCAAATCCGAAGTTATGAGAGGCGAAAGCTTGCTAAGATAGATGATTTGTTTGATAGTGTGTTGTCAGAGGATGACTGAGGGAATCGTGGGATATATATTATGTTTTCAGAAAAGGATGACCAGGTGGATTCTAGATTGGTTATATCCTTGGTCAAGAACGATGCTGTCCGAAACCAATGGATCAGTACCTTGTACTGGGGGTTCACATCGATGCTCAAAGGAAGATGATTCGCGCGAGCTGCACTCCGCACTTGAAACGATGAAGTCATTGTCGTCTTTCACTTACAAATGGAGGGTTTTTGGTCCAAATCTCTGTATCAGATTTTGCCGTCAAATCCTCTTTTCAACGAGGATTTTCCTGATCAGGTCATTGTTGAGACATCCTCCTTGAATTCGTGATCTCCACAGGTCTGTAGGTATCTGTAGGTCTCGGCTTCAAAGAGCCTCTAAAATCCGGAAATCGGAGGAACTCGCCTCCATGCCTCGTAACAGATGGTATGCAGGCTTCGTCTATCTCCGCCCATGCGTCAACTCTAAATCCGAAGGCGTCGGGACAATGATATTACTGTATCTGGATCACCAATACTGCAATTTGCCTTCATGGGGCGGTTGTTTGTTACCTTTTCAAACGCAGATGTGACCGAATTGAATCCCTCTCTGAATGATCCCCGTTACGCATATGAATACGGACGTCGTAAAAGAGACAAGGCCCTCCTTGAAATAAGCAGTCGCCAAGTTTAAGATTGTGGGCCTCTACAGTGACCAGAGAAGGCCAAGGGGCTTACTCAAAGCTCAAGTTGGTGATCGTTGCTGGCCTCATCGATTCCTTGCATGATTCCCGAATATTGCACTTCTCTGGTGTCGAAAAGTCCGAGTACATGAGGCGTTATGCTATGCTTCGATTTCAAGTGCATGACTGTTATGTTAGCGATTCTAATTTGTCAACTCCCTGATCCATCAATTCAAGAAAATGATTAATGCTATACATTCGCTTGCGTTTATACTGCTCCAGCGTACTTAAAGTGGCTAGTGGGCTTTGATCCTCTTGATGTTTTGTGCCCGACAGTGCTATATATGTTACCAAGTGCCTTATTGCATTCCAAAGGCTCACGTATTCAGCCTCTTTGAACCCTCCAAGTTAGATTTCAATGTAAACAAGACTGAAATCTGTGATTTCCTCTCCGATGCGTGAGCGAAAGAAGTTGATAGCAAGCGCCGTTTCTGCCGAGAATAGGTTCGGCGAAGCTAACAACACCGACTGAGCTCAAGCAGCGTCAGTCACGATCCCGATCCGAAAACAGAATAACAGCCACCAATTGGGAACGTTGGAAAAAGAATGTATGGAGACTTTTCCTCTCTTCCAAACCCCTCGCTAAACGTGAAACTTCCATCACCGACGATTCCTTCTGCTCTGTGTCATGATACATTTTCTGATGTTGTAAAGAAACTTCTCCATGTGGCCGCTCGTAGTTTGGACAGACCATAAGGTCGAAATGGGTGGTACATTCAAGACATCATTTGTCCAGTGCCTGAATTCCTTTGGGTATAATGTCTATGTTGGTGAAGGTCAGACGTCCAGGGCCGTCCGGAAAGGAGAAATAAGTAAAGCAGAATCCACCGAATTTCAAATACTCCAGATTTACCTGCTTCGTTTTATGACCTCCCTTGTCGTTAATCGCCAATCGCAATGCTTGAAAAGAAATCGTTACTCTGAGGAAGGGTATCAGTTCGTCCAGTGTCCTAGTATAACAAATGAGTATCAATCTTGGTGGTTGCTTGCGCCACCCTCAGTCTCCAAATTGATCGTTTTGAGTATCACTGACAGTGTCGCTCAAGTTGATCAAGAGTTGTGCCAGGCACCGCTTCGTGGCCGCATCGTCGCGCAGCACATTTGAAAACGTGGCGTCGCGAAGTGGTTCCGGAAGGCACTGCCTGAGAGCTTGGCGGGCACGGTTATTATCACTGAGCCTAAGAGAACTGTTAGTTGATCTTCTTCGACAGGAGAAAGAGACGACCAACCTCAAAAAGCAGCGAACGACATGCTTCAAGAGTCGCACTGTCTGTGTCTCGACCAAACCAATTACCATGTTGCTCAAGACAGTTCCAACTGCATAGAAGCGTTCGTATGTTGCGCAGATGTAGCCAAGGCCGGTATCATCGAGAAGAATTTTCTGCACAATGAAAATAGCCACGGTCTTGGAAAGTTCACTACCAGTCTCCATGATACGGAGACACAGAGGAATAATTTCGGTGGTCAAGAGAAAAGTGATTGTTGGTGAGGAGTTGTTGTTGCTACCATGAGCACCTGCAGTACCGTTGGGATTCATCGCGACACTGGACGAGGGTTCGTTCTTGACCAGGGCACCAATGACGCCCAAGGAGGTAAGTCTCAGATATTCGAAGGGTCGAGATTTGGATGTTGTGTTGAGGAAGGGGTACAGAAAGAGTGGGATGTGAGCTAGATTCGCGTTAGTGGGATTCATGACCAACGCCTGAAGATCGGACGTACCGTTCAGAAAGAGGCCACGGGTCTCGTTGTGGCTTGCAACACATTGTAGGAGCGCCAGAGCATTGCAAACTCGGTTGCTCGCAGCCGCAGTGAGTTGACTGGGATTCAAAAGAGGATAGACCGAAATAATCTCCTGCAGCAAACTGGTCATGACACCAAAGCTGTGCCAAAGAACAAGGGCCAGCTCAGGGACTTGCTCTCTTTTTTTACTCAATTCCATCAAAGCTCCCTCTCTTCTTGCAGGATCCATCAATTCTGCAACCCATTGCAAGACCTTGCGGTTTTCCTCCGAAAGCTGTTGCTCCATGCCTGGCGAACCTTGCTCGTTCATGGAGGTGAGGGAGGCGCCTAAAGTAGCAGGAGCGTTATCGCCGGAGGACTGTCGGTTGTTGTTGTTGTTGTTGTTGTTGTTGTTTTGCGAATGGGACTGGTTGATAGCTATACGATTGTAGTGTTGTTGTTGGGCGGCAGCAGCAGCGGCCTGTGCTTGAGAATGCGGTTGACCATGGTTCAAACCCTGCAAGTTGGACTGGGGACCGGCATGTTGCCAGGAGGGTTGATCGTGTTGATTATACTGCTGCTGATGCGAGTAGAGATGTTGAGCCTGAAGCATTGTGCTGGATTCGGACTCGAGAATGACGCGCTGAGCGGTGATTGGGGACGGGTTCGGTCGGTTGGTTGCAGTCACAGCGCAGTCATTCTCAAGTGGGAAAAAAGGCTGAGGGAAGGGCGTGTGCACAGAGCGACGGCGAGAGATTTGGTGACGAGGAGGTTGGATAGAATGCAGGTGAGTGAGGCTGGAGTTATTTGCTATAGACTCGACAACGATGAGGGTGGAGGGATGAGAGGATGAATAAAGAGAACAAGAAGGGGACAGCACGGAACTGAATCGGGATAGAAAAGCAGCCTGAGGACGCAGTGAATTAGGGCGGGGAGTGGTCTGACACGTGACTGGGATTTTCAGTCACTAGGACCGAGGTAGTTAAGACCAGTGCTGGGTGGAGATGGCTGAAAACCTATCAACAATGGCAGAGACTCGAGTCGCTAAACTCTCCTTCACCGTCAGATCACTGGTCGTGAAGGGCCCTTAGGACGAGGTATGAACTGGAGCTAGCTGGTGTTTCCATTTGATCATCAAAAATTACCTATCATTACTTGGAGTCTATGACGGACCCTTGAACCATGGACAAGCCAACGCGCTCGTCCTCTGAGGACTGCCCATTGATCTATCTCGATGCTTCACAAAACCATCTTGAATTCAGGATCCCTATCATCACCATAGCCAATATACTTGTCGTACTTTCCACTGGCCTTATCTCGGTTGATCTTTGCACAGTACAAAACATTCAGCAGTACCCTAGAGGAGAGGTTAGATACATGCTCAAAGAATCCATGGAACATGACTTACGCAAACCATGCATATACCAATAGCCCTAGGACGATGGTATGTGACTTGTGATATTGCGGTGCCTGTGACTTGGGATAGATAAAGGCCGAAACAAACCCTCCACAATTGGCAATGGCCAGCTGAAGTCTGCGCAAGAAGTCAGTAATTTCGACTAATTAATCGTTCGAGGAGACGCACCCTGAAGTGGTCGCACGCTTGTAGTGACCAGCAGAATTGTTCGAATTCCAGACAAGTACAGGAGGCACGCTCGCATACAAGCCAGTTGCCATCAAGAATGTCATACCATATTTGGTATGATTGTCATGCTGGTTGATATTGGCGATGACAGCATAACCAACTATAGCCAAAGGAAGCACGACCAGCATAAGCGTGCCTCGAAGCTTCAACCTATCTGAAGCTAACGCCACTCCGACAGTGACAACGGCAGCCACTGCGTACGGAATGACCGACCATAGTTGCGCTTCATTGGCGGTATATCCCAACCCATTGATGATTGTGGGGAGGAACAATCCAAATGAATATAGTCCAGAAAGAATGGCGAAATACGCCGAAGCGCTCAGCCACAGTTGAATGTTGAGTACTCCTCGCTTGACTTCTGACCAACGGAACTTCTCGACTCCTTCAGCCTCACCACTGTCGGGGAGATGTGCAGAAGTGTCATTGTACAGCCTCTTCCTCGCGAGCTCTCTTTCTTCGGCGTTCAAAAACCATGCTGTTGAAACATCATTCGGAAGCAGGAAGTATGCTGCGACGCCAGCAACGAATGTGAGGAGCCCTTCGATGATCATTATCCATCTCCATCCTTCGTCCACGACCCCAACGGGACCGATGGATGAGAGTCCTCGTGCAAGGAGACCACCAAACGCGCCTGCCAGCGAAGCACTTGTGTAGAACAGGCCAATCCTGAGTGCCATCTCTCCTCGAGTATAAAGTGAGGAGAGATAAAGTACCATACCCGGGAGTAGACCTCCTTCAGCAAGACCGAGGAAGGCTCTGACCGTGAGGAAGCCGCCATAGTTTCGGATGAAACCTAAACACATCCCAATGATTCCCCAAGCAGCTGTGAGTACGGCCAGCCATAGTCTGGGTTGAAACTTCTTCAAGACTAGGTTGGAAGGTAGTTCTGCGGCGATATAGAAGGCGAAGAAGATTGCTAGACCATTGGCATATTGATCATTGGTGACACCAATATTCTTCTCGAGTCCGAGAATTTTTGCATTGCCAACATTCGTCCTGTCGAGGAAAGAACAGAGAAAAAGAACAGCGAGGACCGGGAGAATTCTATGGGTAGGTCCTCATGAGCATGGAGATCAATGTGAAGATGGCAATCCCCTGTGCAGCTTGCTTACCTTGTATCGAGCTTGAAGAGTAGTTTTCTCGTGACGGCTTGAATATGGGCATCATTCTCAGACGATGGTCCAGTTCCAGCCTTGCCAGTTCCATATTCATTTTGAGTTTGCTCAACCTTCTCGGCATCCGGGTCCGTATGGACGTTGTCCTCGAAGTTCGTGGTCGGGTGGGTTGCCATGTCTTGGAGAAAGCGTGGCAGGTCTGGGCACACGAAATCAATGGACAGTTGGTGGGCACGAAGCAAGCTGCCAAGTGCACCTAGATGGTTATAGCCGGGGAGCCTGGCAGATTCCAAGACGATGAATTGCCGAATATGACTATGTCCTGAGAAGACCTAGTATCATGCTAAGACTTCCAAACCACGAATAACACTGTTTGAGGAGAAAAGAATAGAACATGTCACAAAAGAAAAGGACTCCCGGACGACATTTTGTAGAGATTTCACCACTCCAGACTACCCCGGGTTACACGGCCCAGCGTACTGACTCGGTTTGCGTATTCGCACTGGTTCAATAATCATCACAGTCTCAAAGGGTTGCAATCGGCGGTTGAAATATTGAGGGGACTCCAGAATCCCAGGCTTACAGCCAGTAATAGGTGGGGAAAGATGACCTGGAGAAGACCCTTTGGCTCCTAGCCATCGGTCATCCACCGAGCGGGCCTAGAGAAGACCATCCTAGTTGGATGGAGGATGGTTAGAATCGTAGCATGACCAGGATGACGCTAGAGGCGTATCTCACATACAAGGATAAGATCAATGGGAATAGAAGAATCGCCGTCGGTGCAAAACCCCGACCACGAGAAACCACATCGGCCTACAATTCCGGCTTTTGATTTTGCCGAGGCGCCTGGAGCTCGAAGGTCGTTTTTAATGTCCTGATTCAACGTCTCGGAACATATTGATATCACCGTTGAATTTGTAAATGCACATCAGCTTGCCGTAACACACCAGACACAATCTAGCCTTGTGAGTTCTGCCTTTTGGGGCCTCATTAATGACCTTCGACAACCGAGGCAAGCCAGACGAGGAAGTTAGTCGATCAAAGACTTCCAACCAACGACTGGTGGCATATCAGAAAGGTACCGTGTGCCCAATTTTTGAGTATCATTTTATATTTTATATCGAGCCTTAAGCTGCTAAATGGCCGAATGGAATACTCATACGTCTCAATAGACCAAATTCCAAAGGAGATTCGATTCCATCCACAACGAGCACCGACATTCAAAAACAAGACACCAGCCAACATGTCGAAACTCTCACCAACGCTCAAGGCGCTCATCAATGCCACACACGCGAAGCCCGACATGCTACGGGCACCACCCAACATCCGCAAGACATACGCGCGGATCGCGGAATCGGCACAGGCCAAGAACATCGGCGTCCCAGCGTGGCTGACGATCTCGACGGCCACGACCATGACGCTCAACTCGCCGTCGTCGCTGGTCGAACTCTACAACTTCACGCAATCCCTCCCGAAACCCCCACCGGGCCCACAAGCCATCGAGCTGATGCGCGAAGTCGGGCTCAAATGCATTTCCTTCAACGGCATCCCACGGAGCATCAACTGCCTGGGCGCGTTCCGCGAAGGCCTGCCCCAGGACGTGTTCAACCAGATCCCCGCGCCGCCCTCGCGACAGCTGACGCCCGACAACGTCCAAGACCGCCTGAAGAACGGCTGGAACCTGTGGGCGTCCGTCTATTACCCGTTCGAGCACAAGCTGTACGACAAGCTGGCCGGGTCGCACCCAAATCTGCCCGTCCACATCCTCAACGCCCACTACGGCACCCTGCTTGCGAACCCGCCGACGCCCGAGGGCTCCGTGAATGTCGGCCGCGTGTTGACGTCTCTGATCGCCATTGCGTGTCTGCGCTCGCAGACCGGCGTGGGTCCCCAAGTCGTCAGCCACTGTTTCGGCCTGCGGAAGGCGTTTGACGACGGCTCCGCTGAGAAGGACGTCGAGGGCGCAGAGTGGCTTGCCACTGACGAGGGGAACCAGTGGATCTTGAATGCTGTCGACGAGATCGTACAGGCTCTGAGCGAGGGTGCCGGAACAACTTTCGCTCCGGGCTATGCCGCTGATAGGCCTAAGGCGAAGTTGTAGTTATGCATTGTTTTGGAAGATAAATCCCCCAGGTTACGTTGTACATAGAGCATCTAGGTAGATGTGTTGGAGTTGGAATATATATTTACCAGAGAATATGCATTGCAAGCAATTCGAATCCTGATTGATGCGAAAAACTTGTCGAGTGCGTGGGTCCCATCTGCACTAAGACTCTTGTCCCAATCACCGGGATGCAAAAAGCTGAAGGAGGAAAGATTGAGGAATACTATAGTGGCCCAACATCATGATTCCCATTGTTCTGTGTAACCTTAGCTATGCAATACATGTAAAACATGACAGAGCGCGTAAACAGATATCCACCCCACTCCTCCATCCAATTGTCAAGTCGCCGTGTCCAGCTAAATACATCCTAAGATAACAGAAGATTTCATTTTATCTATTCCTCCATCTGGCCAATTTTCTCCGCCACAGCGAAGCCCGCGTCTGTAGCCGCTTTGATGTCCTCAACAGTGACACCAGGCGCAAGTTCCGTCAATGTCAACCCGCCTCCGACACGGTCGACCTCGAAGACACAAAGATCAGTAATGATCGTGCTGACAACGTTTGCGCCTGTCAAGGGCAGGCTACACTTCTCGACGATCTTACTCTTGCCGTATTTATCCACATGGTCTGTTGTAACCACGATCTTGGTCTGGTTGGGATTCGAGACCAAGTCCATCGCGCCGCCCATACCCTTGAACACTTTTCCGGGGATCATGTAGTTTGCCAAGTCACCGGTGGCGGAGACTTGTAGAGCACCTAGAATGGACACATCGACGTGCCCACCACGAATCATGCCGAAGGATTCCGCTGAATCAAATGTGGAGGCGCCAGGGAGGAGGGTGACGGTCTCTTTACCGGCATTGACGATGTCGGGGTCGACTTCTTCTTCTGTAGGATAGGGACCCATGCCGAGAATGCCGTTTTCAGATTGGATCCAGACCTTAACATCATCCGGGAGGAAGGAAGGCGCTAGAGTGGGCATGCCAACTCCCAAGTTGACGTACATGCCGTGCTTGAGCTCCTTAGCAGCACGGCGGGCAATTCGGTCCCTTCGAATGAGCGCCTCAGACTTGGTGGACGATGTGGTGGAGCTAGACGCGGCTGATGAGTCAGACTCGAACCCGCTATCTACTGACCGAGTTTTCTTGAGTTCAAGCTTCTTCTCCACGGTAGCTGGAACAATGCGATCAACGTAAATTCCTGGCAGGTGAACATCGTTGGCGTCAATGGAGCCCACAGGGACTATGTTCTCAGCCTCCACGATTGTCAAGCGTGCGGCCTTGGCCATGATAGTTCCAAAAGCCTTTGTGGTATACCGGAATTGGCAATTACCTGCCTCGTCGACTTTCCATGCTCGGAGGATGGCCACGTCGCCGGTGAGAGCTGTTTCCATTACATATGTCTTGCCGTTGAAGATCCTCGTTTCGCGGGGCGTTCCGGATTCCAGAACCACGGATTTCTTGGTCTTGGGATCAACTGGACCCAATCTCGTGGGAATGCCTCCCGTCTGGATAAAAGTAGAGACTCCTGTCGGAGTGTAGAATGCAGGAATGCCTGCACCTCCTGCACGAATGCGCTCCGCCAGAGAGCCTTGGGGGCATAACTCGATAGCAATATTTCCAGACAGATATTTCTGTTCCAGAGTTTTATTGTTGCCCAGATACGATAAGATGCATCGATCTACTTGCCCTGATCGTGTCAGCGGGGAAAGACCGCCAGCGCCTGACGCGCCAGCATTGTTCGACACCGCTGTCAGATTGGTGAGGGAATCTCCTCGGTTGTGGAGAGCCGTGATGATAGTCTCAGCTGTACCGCAGAGACCAAAACCGGCACTAAAAATTGTAGAGCCTGACTTCAAATCTGCCACAGCTTCATCTGCATCGTGGAACACCTTTGACCGTTGCCGATCAATGACTGGTTGGCTTCTCTTGCTTTCATGCTCAACAGCCTCTCCCCACCGACACCGAGAGGAAGAAAACCATCGTGTTTCCTGTCGTTTTAAAGAATTGGTCTTTGATATTGATTGAATGGGACGTCTTTTCAAAGCCACAAAATTGCTAACGTTGGTCAGAGCTCCAGCCCTAGCATCTTTAACGCAAAGGAGTACTGCGCGCCTGGAAGTCATGTTGCAGAAGATAGGAATTCAAGTTCAGAATAGGAAACAAAGTTGCGCAACAAAGCAAGAGTGAGCTTGAAACTTGAAAGCTTTCGTGTTTGACATGAGCATCAAATACCCAAATGTTGAGCCACTATCGTGAAGCATAATTGACGTACTAGAGGCGAGATCGGAGCCAATTTTCGGTGGCGTCCGGAAAAATGCTGGTCAAATCTGCGTTGCTTGAGTGGCCATCCCACAACAACGCCCGTTCCTTGCCGAGCTCCCGGCGTGTTTGACCTAGCCAAAATCGCCCGGCCCTGCGGTGATTTTTCTACCACCGAAGGGTTTGCGCAAGCCTGCTGGGACGTCGATTGTGATAATGCCGAATGTGGAGGGCTATTTGGTGTCACCGATTAGAATCAACAATGGGGGAATGTAGAGGGCTTATCTATCGGAAACCGTGCTATTTGTGCACACCTCTGTGTATACCTTATTTTGGGCAGGTGTAAACACCAGTGCCTTCCTGGAATTATTGGTGTACATGGTTGTTGATGACCATCGAGACATCACCAGACATAACAAACGAGCCTTGCGAAAGTAGGGGACGTCGATCACTTCATTTCAGCCTCTACCCATTAGTGATTTTGCATATCAACCACTGCTGGATCAACCAAGTCCGTAAAGGATCATGACAGGATCTAAGAAGGAAGGCCAGCCGTTTTGGCTAGGGTGAGCTACAACTCGTAACAAACATCGAATTCCATTCTCATTTCCAACAGTGGTGCTGCGGCATCCATGGCTGCTTGTTTCAGTAAGTAATGACCATGTTTTTTCAATAAAACATTCAGACTCACAAATCCGGTAGCGCATCCTCTTGATCAAACAAAATAGTAGGTTATGTGGCTGGTATCTGCCGCAAGTATGTTGAGGAGAAAATAGTCGAATGCAGGTTATGCAGAAGCCACCGAATATGTTGAGAACACTGGTCGCATTTGCAAGTCGTGATGGTATGTCTCATTCGGTCACTGACCACGTGAAAGCTGCTAATTAGATTGTAGGCATATCATCCTTGTGGTGGGGAATATCAGCTTCCATGCTTCGGCAATCGACTTATTCAACTTCACGTTTCGCATTGTATAACTATTTCGCGCAAGAAATGCGCCGAAGAAATGGTCAATCAAAGCTATCAAGCTCTTGGGAGATTGCATGTGCGGCATTGGCTGGTGGTATGGCAGGTTTCGTAGGAAATCCTACTGAGGTTCGTTGATCATACTCGGAGACCTCACTTGCTGATGTATTTTTAGGTCGCCTTGGTGAGAATGTGTGCGGATGGAGCGAAAGCTCCAGCCTCAAGATTTGGCTACAGTCATGCCTTCGACGCGTTGATCAGAATAGGTCGCGAAGAAGGTGTGCGAACGTTCACTAGAGGGTTGGGCCCCAATGTAGTGCGTAGTGTCATTATGAGTGAGGTCTCTATCTTGTTGAAAGCCGCAGCTTGCTGACTCCTCTCAGACGTATCTCAAATAGCAACGTAAGCTGGTGTTCTCTTCGCTATCTGAGATTAGACTGATGATTCATTTAGCTATTCTGCTGCGAAACGCGAATTGCTAGCGAACCAGTCCCTGGGCCTAAAGGACGGTGTGCTGACTCATTTCCTTGCATCCTTTGTGGCTGGGACTGTCGCAACCACTGCGTGCGCACCTGCAGATGTTCTGAAAAGCAGGGTCCAGAATGCTGTTACCGTCGATGGTGTTCGTCCTGTAAGCAAATCGGACGAGTAAGTTGTGAAAATCTGCTAACGATTTGCTTAGAGCGTAGTTAAGATCATATCCGAATCCCTTCGAAATGAAGGACCTCGGTTTCTCATGCGAGGCTGGACTCCGGCCTGGCTCAGATTGACGTATGTTCCATGTTACTTGCCGTTACCGATGCTAACTAAGACCAGGCCTAACACTATCCTGACATTCATTTTCATAGAGCAGTTGCAAAGACTCGTCAATATGTCGAGAGAGGTCAACCCCATAGACCCACTTGTACCAGCGGTCAACGCTCCTAAAGTTTGACACCTCAGAGCGACAGGTTTTGGGTTTCAGCTAAGCGAGAACCTACCCAGCAGGTGCGAGAACCATGCGGAATTGTATGCAAGCATGCAAGCATGGAAGGAGTTCATGGGAGGCTCGTAAGGCTTGATGGCACCCTCACGTCACATTGGGCCAGTCCAACCAATCCATGAACATGGTTTCATCAAGCTGGAACAACTCTTGTGACGCACTTGCATTGTTGATGGCTTCTAATATTTGATCATCGGTCATATCAAATACATAAGGATCAGCGGTCACGCCGGTCGGGTCTGTATTGCCATGCGGAGAGGCATACTGAGGGTTTCTCTCACGCTGGAGCATAGTTGAGTGATTGTGAGCCGATTGAAGGTTGGTCAGTTGGTCATCAGTCGATTGAAGGAGAGAATTCTGCATGATTCGGCGAATGTGTTTAGCAAATAGTACTGAGAGTCCGTTTCGATGCTTTGGTGTGTTGCCAATTCGCTCAAGCACCATAGTGGTATCTTCTATCAGTGTGCGAGCGCTAGGTGCAAGGATCGCCCTATTCCCTAGTGTTGTTGTGCCAAGAGCAAGCGCGAAGCACGCCGCGAATGAGACCATTATCACAGTATTGTTAGGCATTGATTTCAGCCGGTTCTCCCCTTGCACTGCTGCTCGCATAACATTCATCGCGGATGCGAGTCCGGCTGCCCGAAAAAATTGCTTCGCATCCGTTGAGGCGGTGGGATGATTTACCACGTTACAGTACGTGGAAAGTTTTGTGTGCGAGACGAGGATCTCAACGTAAGGCGGAAGCTGTCCATCTCCTTGAGTAATCTGCAACGACCATACCGCATACCACTGCTCAAAAAATCGATCGATTTTGTCTTTCAAAAATCTTACAGTGGCGGAGCCCCCACTTCCTCCTTGGCTGCCATCACAGATTTCACGGAGATTGCTGATCAGGGGCACCAGATCCCGTCGTAGTACGGCAGCAGAGATAATGCTACCATCCCATCTATCTGCAATATCAGATATGTGCCACGTGTCGCAACTATCCACTAACGGACCAATTGGAACTGCGTAAGGTCGTCCACGAGCAAGGCAGATGCCCCGGTCTAGCACAAAGAGGGCCAGCCAAACGCGTTCGCGAAGTCTTAGTAGACGGCGACCCCATCCTGACGTTGGGTCGACTTGGGGAAATCCGTCCATTTGAAGAGCTTTTGTGCTGTCTATGCATTCGGCCTTGGCAACTCGGTCCAAGAATCCGGCCGGGCGGATAGTTGGCGATGGCACCACAATTTTGTTGAGTTGAAGATCTAGAGCGATTGTAAGAGCCATGGACAGGTAGGCACAAGTCTCGTCAGCCGCCCAGTGCTTCGCTGGAACCATCCATGGTATATTGACGAGGAATGCTAGCACGATCTCGACTGATCTGTTCTTGTTTTGTGCAACTTTCTGGGCAAGTATGTTTCTGTGATTTGCAAGTCGTTTCGACAAAGCTTCTGTTTTGGGTAAGAACAATGCTGAAGCGGCGAGGACCGAAGTGAAGAGAAAGGCAGATCGCGAACGGACAAAAGGCGCGGTATGAAGAATCGGATCTAATCCCCACCGAGTATGGGATAGACGGTCGTTGAAGTAGTTGAACAGGGTTTCAGCCTCCTCATCAGTGACCAACCCTAGATCAATAGGATCAAGCTCTGGAGAGTTATCAAGACTGGGCTGTAGAGAACCAAAGAATTGTGTTAACTCGTCATCAGTTGCATTAACGTCGGGTGCCTGTGGAACGACAAATGCAGCACCAGCAGGTGAAGTAGACATATTTGTAGATGGCGATTGTCCTGGTAATCCAGACGCCATGGCTAATAGTTGGAGAGGGTTATCGGCATGGTTTAAAGCGAGCTCGTCTGCTTTCTCCGTGCCATCTGCTGGTGACTCGTTAGCCACGGCTCCTGCTTCGCTTGGCACCAAGCTCGCTCGATGATGAGGGAAGGCTATTTGATTAGGTGCAGTGTTTGGTGTGGTGGAAGCAGACTCCCGACGACGTTGTGGGCTATTCTCAGATGGTGCGGCCATTAATTGCCGGAGGTCTGCCTCGATCTCATGATTTAGCCCTGAGGCTCCATCCTTTGATCTCTTGAGCGCTTGCTCGACTTGATATATAGCCTTCTCGAGTCCAGTACGTTTACTGAGAAGCCAATAAGTATTCATGAGCAGTTCACTAGCCGCAGATGACTCACTTTTTGACACCCTTGTACCTGCCAACATGATACTCGGGTGTTACGCACTGTAACCCGGCCTGTTGGCATTTACGGCACACGCTGGCTTTTGGTTCTCGAGTACATTTGACCTTACTCCGGCGGCATTCTAGACATGCGGCCTGCTTCGAACTGGAAGCACTCGATGCAGCCAATTCCTGCTCGGAGGAATCTCTGGAAGTCATGCCTGGTTCAAATTGGCCGCCAGGCATTAGCAATATTTACAGCATGGCTGATATTGACAACTAGAGCCTTGGAGGATTCGACAGAGGGTTGAGTAACAATTGACTATCCCAGGTCTCGGCTACTTGGTGATGGGGAGGTTGCTGTTGGGAAGAAATGTTGATCGACAATCGAAAGGGCGAGATTCCTCGACAAAGCTGTAACTAATATGGTTGAGAGTTCGGCAGGGTTACCAGTAATGAGTGGGCCAGGCGAAAAGGACCAACACAAATAATGACTTGAGTTTAGGTAAATCTTCTCGAGGCAGACCTCCGACGTCAACCTATGCGAGTATGTTCTGGAGAGAGACGTACAGTAGCTTCCCCGCGAACTGCTCCGTCCACCTTCCCGAAATTTGGCTGGACACGTGACTATAGGTTAGCACGAGAGCACTCACGGAAGAATATACGGCCGTCTCCTTGAGCGATAGTGCCAATTGGTCCTAGCTTCGGATTTTAGGAGTAACCTGAAAAGCTTGGCCAACCCCTGACAGGATCTCAGCTTGACACGCCGCACCACGCGGCCGCCATCCTCTCCAGATTAGTGACACCTAAACAAACAAGCTCGTTCCTCCCAAGGGCCAAACCAAAACCAAAACTTGATCTGAAACGTCAGGCACTGGATCACTTTACCCGAGACAACGAATAAGGGCCCCTTAATCACAAAATGAATGAGACTCTCCATTCTTTTTATCTCTGCTTTGTCTGCATCTGATGAGATTTACTGCATCTTCCACTTTTCCGATTCGCAATTGAGGGGAATCTGGGGAAGAAAGCAACGACTCTCCTTCAACTTTGGCATCTCGCATACACTCTCTTGGATTTCATTCCATTCACTCCTTTCACTTTATATTTTCGATTGTTTACTTGGATCAACAACCAAACAGTGCTGGGCACCCTCTCACGTTTCGACCATTATAATCGTGAAGTAGATTGCTACTTTTCATTCTTCAGCACGCATTTAGCAAAGCTCTATAGAGTGTTACCGGCCAATCTTATTGTCCAACACAACCTCCCCGAGACCGAGACGCATTAACCATGTCGACTTATTTCACTACTCTTCTTAAGCGAGCCGAATGCAAGAACGATGATCCGAGGTTTGATGCTTGCGAAACATATGTTAGCGACTTTACGAAAACAGGTATTCCTTTAATCATTGGTTTATCGTAAGTTCACCGAAATTCATCCGACGTAGCGCTCAGGCTTGACGAGCCATCCGCTGTTATCTTTATATCGTCCAATTACCATTCCATTCACTAACATATCTAAATCTAGCCTTCTCCTTTGCGCTGGCACAGTCATGTTCTTCATCGTGCGGCGACAGCGTCAGCGACAGAGAGCAGCAGAGGCCGCAAAGGATCGCATGATTGACGACAATATGGAGCTTACTTGGGTCCCGATTCCGAAATCAAATGATGGCAGTATGCCTCGCGATCAAGGGCGGGATAATTACCAGCAACCTTCGATGCCACCACCAAGCTATAATCAGACTCATCCTCCGAGATCTGATCAGAAGTATCATGGCCGAAGAGCTTCACGAGATTCCGACTATGCTTAAACATGATGCACTCTGCTCTTTTTTACCGCATTTTCGACTTGCGAGGCATTCTGCTTTTCATATTCGTCGTCTGGCTTATGCATGGCGCCGCTGGGCATTTGTAAAGGGTTTTACAAGGCGGTGCTTTGCAAACAAGGAGCTCTCATATCCAACCTACCTCAACGTAAATCTTTTTATAGTCAGTGCACGTCCTGCGCATGGCCGTTTATCAAGCGTCGATGCAATGGGTGGAAACGGCAGAGATACATGATTTTTCACGCTCTTGACGAGATATTGCAAGAGACGAGGATGTTTCACAGCTACAAGTTGTTCGACGAACTCACGATGCAGCAATCTTCGTTTGTCCAGCACTCAGGGCTACGCTAAACGATGCATTCAAAGTCGAGATCGGACTTTGACCCCCAAAAATATAAAAACTTGTGCTCTTGACCAGTATCCCTCCCGGCAAGGCTGATGCGTAGCGTGATACTGCTTCAGCCAACCCAGGCGTGACTGTCTCTCTCCTGGCGAAGAAAGCACACTGTCGTAAAGCAGAAGCAGGAAAATGCAATAGCAACGCCGACACCAACCTCGCCCTGCTGCAGATCATACCTGAGTACCTAATACATGCTTGACCGGCTTTAAGCTCTCGGCATCCATGCGCAGTAAAATAAAAACCCAACAATAAGCACAAAGTCGGTGCGATGCCAACAACCTACGTCAGAAAAATATATTCGAACCCCAGGTTCACACAAACGATACAGCGCAGGTCCTGTACCGAGTACGCCTGCAAGCAAGCAAGCATGCATGGCCCATCCACACGGCCACCCACCGCTCTCTCTCTCGGCAGTTCCCCGGTTAGCATGCGGTCAACCCGAATCCGCAGGCTTATGTCATTGCGTGCCCTGAAGAGGGAGGTCGTTTAGTCATTCTCACCCACGACAGGTGTCCATGATGACTGTCCATCTCGGGTTACACAAAAGACCCCTCGTTGACTCGTCATGCATGAAAAGCGCATGCTCTAAACCTGCGCGGTCGGCGGCCGGCGACCCACTTGTGGGGGGGGCGGAGGGGGGGTGTCAGTCTACAAATTCACACGGTGGTGTGGGCCTACGAAGTACGATGTAGGTACTTATCTCACGTCCACACTTGAAGCCTGCTTGCAAAGTGTCGGTGCTGGTGCTGGTGCCGCCATTTTGAGTCCTCTGTGCGCCGCCCACCGCCCGCCGCCCATCACCCGCTGGTGAAGAAGCGACTGCCCGATCGAGTCCCGTCTCGCGATCCACGGGCTACAGTCTACGTGGCCCTGTAGGCTGATTCAAGGTACGAGGTACGGGCCTGCAGGACATGCGAGACTCATGCTAAATAGCCTGAGGGAAATTATTGTATCGGCTAATTGCGCTGAGTGACCGCTCTCTAGAGCCACTTAGTTGCATCTGTGTCAGGTTTAAAAGGCCTCTCGTCATGTACACCCGGTTTGAGATAGTGACCGGAGGGAGAAACCCAATGCGATTTTAGTCCAATGCTTGTTCGATCCAAGCATTGTACGATGGGAGGACTCCGGGTAATCAAAATCCTTCCAGAAGGAATTTCTTCCTCATGCCCCCATGGTGGACCTAGAGGGGCAGGTTGTCAAGGTACAAGAATGGACATGTATGCACATACATACAACACTTACTGTTACATCCGAGGATTCGTTGTTTCATGTAACCGTGGTGCTTCGGGGGAGTTCTCTTTCATCAAAGACCCAAGGCTCTTGACAGTTCCGTTTATGCAAGGCGAGGGATCACTCGCGATTGAGCCGAGACACTAGGTGACTCGACTTCTTGGATGATAAACATGTCGATCACTCGTTTAGTAGCTGTAGAAAACCATGATTTCTCGGCCACTGTTTTGACAGCAGTCAATAATGTATGTTGTACTATGGTTAACGTACGTGTACTCGTTAGTCGGTATTGAGTTGGCCCGAAAAAAACTTCCAAAACCAGGAATGATCTGCACTCCCAGTCCGACGTGGGAAGGCTGTGACCTTCCAGTGTAGGGAAAGGGTCTGTTTCATCATGGACAGACTTGATCGACAGATGCTCTTGCAGCATTGTGATCCATTGACAAACATTGGAATTTGGGATCGTCGTGGGGGTAGGTTTTCTTGACTATATCAAGCCTTCGAGTAGATGAGTGCGAAGTCCAAATCACCCGAGTAGTGCCACAAGCTGGATATCGGACCGGAGAGTCCGTGGCCTCAGTGATATTAGTGCTGTTGATGTCAAAGTCCAAGAAAGTTTCATGACTAAGAAAGCAGTCCGAGGAATGCCCTTCTCCTCTTTCGGAAGGCTGACTTACTTAACCACACCTCTCAAGCCTCATTGAATATCAATTGGAGGGGTGACAACGAACAAACATCCCGCTATCGTTGTTTTCCCATGTACTTGCTGCTATGGTTGCTATTCTGCACTGACGGTTAAGATGCTTCGCCTGCTGGTCGATCGATGAAGCCGGTCTCTGGTGAAAATGTGGCCGGACAGACTGAGGCGGTTGATCTTTCATGCACTGTGAGTGGAAGGATTATGAGGCCTTCCATTAGCTAAGAAGAAGACTGAAATAGCTTCGATCAATCTAATAAGCGCGTTTACGGCCATGGCAGTCTTGTTTGGCTGTAAAACGGAAGAAAAGATGGCGTTCTAGCAACATCCGTAGCGTTCGCAACAATATTCTCAACCCAATGACGTCGGAGACGTTCTTGGTACCATTGATGGAGTCGGTGGTATTGCCTGAACATGTGCAGATTTTGCTTCGCTCACTGACGAATATCTGTAACCGGGTTGTTCCAAAACAGGTTTAGAGACTTTTCATCGTCCCCAGCTTCATCCTGAGGTGAATTTCTAGTTCATTGATAGAAGGATCGTGCGCCGTGATATGCAAAGCCTTGTCAATAGAGCGATGCATTGGCAATGCCAAGCCCTAACATCTCACATATGGATGAATCCTTTGCTGTTCGTAAATGTATTATGCTTAGAGAAACATTCAACCTACCGTTTCCTTGGCGCAGGGAAGTAAAAGCAGGAAAGGTATTTGCGGCTGTGTTCAAACCCTCCGAAGTCGTGGCACGCGGCTTCTTTGATACATGCTCTGGACAGCAGGAGCAGGAGCACGCATGATATTCCATCAGCTCCTGATTGGGAGTCACGATGGAGCCAGCGGCTCACCGGATGACAGAAAAAAGGGATGCTTCGAAAGAATCATTATTCCCTGAAGACCCGTTTGCTGGCAGCTAAGTATCTTGATACGAGCCTTGACTCTCGTCTTGGCAGATCGAAGATCGACCATCTCCAGAGTCCAACGTGGTTGATCACCACACTGAGGGAGAAAAAGTGGCTGTCAGCGGCTGTGCTGACCTAAGGTTGGGTGGTGATTTCCTGTGTCAGCCGCCCAAAGTTGAGTGAGCCGTTAGCTGTGTCCGCCCTGACTCAACATGCCCGAAACCCCTCCCGGCGAGTGCATATTGGTGCTGGAGGTGTTGAGGAGATGTAGCCTGGTGTCAGTTGGTCCCAATACGAAAAGAGCTCGTGTAGCAGGCGGAATTACAGAGAATGATTGATTGCTGATAGGCGCGAAAAGAAGAAACACCATGCTTCAATCGGACAAGTGCACATGTCATATTGGGAATAGTGCAGTCACTAACAATCGACTTGCATTGTGGCTTGCTTCTCTTTTTTGGTGTTCGTATCGATAATAACAGGATCCAGATTGTGGTCGGACATGCAGACTCGTATCATGTATGCAGATTCTGTGTTCCTCTTGATATTTGTTGCGAGATTGGAGGGGTATGCAGTTTGAGTTGTCGACTCCTTCTTATTGACACTAAAACACAATAGTACTTCGCAGTTTTATACTTGTTCCGAGTTTTCCCAAGCACATCGCAATATGAGCACCTGCTGGCAAGAATGATGCCACACCGACAGAAGCGAAAAGTGACGTGACTCCGTGTCCAGTTCACATCTTCTGAGAAAGATGATTCAGCGCTGAAACCAACAGCTGACTTCCAAGTTCGAAGATACTAGGTATCACTGGCGTGTAAATTGACCAGTAGTCCCCACCCGGTCCTGTTTTCCAATATTCATGGTCTACGAACATCCAAACTCCATGGCGCGAGCATCCAGGTCACGTCACTTCGATACTGTAATGCGACCCTCTACTCCAAGCTTTCCAGCAGCCCAAAGCCAAGGCAAATATCTCCACCTTAGTCAGTAGCCTTCTCGGGAGACTCTCAACAACAAGGCCACCACAAGCATCTCCGAGTGCCCCTCACAATTAGGTTATCCGTCTGAGATTCCAATAGTAAATGCCTATCTGGGACAGTGATGGCTTTAGACCGATTGGTCAGTGACGTCTTCCTATCCCTCGCTGATTACCTAGTACAGATCTACCAAGACACATGGCCTGGCTAGAACTTTCAGAGAAGGAAAGTCGGTGGACCGTTGCCCTCGTCTGTGTCTCTCACTGTGTCACAACGAAACTATTCTTCACGGAGGACGGAGGGAGGTGGTAATGCAGGAAAAATCACATATGCTCCTGGGGGCGATAGAACCCTCACAAACCCCGTCCTGCCCTGCTTCTCGTCACGCCTTGTTTGTTCATCACGGGAAGGTCGAGGCTCATTGGGACAGGTCGCAAATCATAATGCAAAGAAGCGTTGATGATTTTCGGAGCCAACACCAAATTGGTAGTGGGCTTTAGCAGAGTCTCATTCGTTGATATACCAGAAATCCTGAGAGCACTTTCTTGGCTTCCTTCCCGCGGCCCATTTCGAGTTTTCTTCGCACGTGGACGTGGGCACGAAATAATTAACCCCCCCCCCCGGTCAATAATACCTGGGTCGGGTAACGCCTGGTATCAATCAGGCCCGGGCGACCACCTGGGCACCTGGACAGCCAAGGGTAATAAGTTAGGTCGATATCCATCCGGGCTCAAAGCTGACTGAGGTATCGTTCAGGGGTCCAAGGGCCGAGGGCTGGTGGATAGCCTAGGTTTTTTCGGACAAGGGCTGCCCCCCCACTTCCATCTGTAGTTTAGGGACGAATCCTCGGGGAAACACGACGCGGCCTCCTTCAGAGTCAACCACTTTTGTCGCTCAGCCATGCGTAGATGACGCCGTGGGTCACGACGACTTTTACATTGTCGAAACATCAGACGTCGAGATATCGAATGGAGGTGGCAAAGAGGAACAGTGAAAGCGCCATATGATAGTAAAATGGGCTTGCGCCCAATGATTCTTTTTCATTCTGATCGTGATATTAAATTTTCAAAAACCTCTTTCCCTTCAAGGTTTAAAGGTTGTGATATGGTATTCGTTACAATGGCAATTCCATGCTTTCCGGATGCAAATCTGCTACAACACGCAGCCCGGGTCTCCCGTAGATCGCGATTATCATCCATCGATCGGTGGCTTCAAGAAAGATTTCGCCAACGCCCACAAATATGCCTCTTCGCTATGCATAAGTGATCCAAAGATTGCTATCAGTCAGTCCACCCGCGGGTCATGTTGTAGACCTATGACCCTCGACGTGGAGGGTATGCATGTGATAGGCGAGGCGTGCTCTGAGCGCTTGGGATGTCGTTTCCGAAGAATGGAACCAAGTCGAACTCTTGAGGTGACTGACAGAGGGAGCCGCAGAGGTTTGGGAGACCATTGTGGAGGTTGGAGATTTCGTTGTTGAGTTGTTCGATCTGGGTCTTGAGCCTAGCCACCTCGCTTGACTGCTCTGAATAGGAACGAGTCAATAGCTGATGCTTTTGTTGCCATTGGGTGATCTGCTCCTCAAGCTCCTTCTGGTGTCGGTCTTTGCGTTCGCGGTATGCTCGCTGAGATGAACGGTTTTGTTCTCGTCGTCTCTGCAATGCCAAGTCAGTATGAGTGAACTTGTGTTGGGACAAGTACAAGACGTACCTCAATCTTGTCTGGGATGGAGCTTTTCACTTGGGCCACCACGTTGCTGGCAGAAGAAACGCGACGATCGGGACTTGATCGGTAAGATCTGTCGGATCCTGACGAAGACATTGATTCGAACGAGTTATCAAGGCTGGCATAGAAGTCTGCCGCCCGTTGCAGGAGCTAGTTGCAAGTCAATATCACAAACTTCCGCTACCATTTGCCATTCAAGTGACTTACGTCGTTGTAGTGATTGACCATGTTCTTGGGTGACTGCACAGTCGAATAGTCCCATTGGAATGAGGGGTCCATGGGCGAGAAAGCCGCCTGTTGTTGGTTACCCCAGCTGTTCTGATGGAAGTCGGTCATGGTTGATGTGAGGAGAAGATATTGTCGAAGTGGATTTGTATTTGATTTGATTTGGCGGAGTCGATAAACGTGTTTTGTGTGATGTTTCTTTCTCGATGATCTGGTAGAATGAAGATTTCATTTCAAGCGAGGTGGTGGGGGACAGCCACTATCTTATACAACTCCCATTCAAAGCAAGGCTACCACGGGGCAGAGCATACATTGACCTGGTGTTCCATCTGGGATTGAGATAAATTACCCATTACTCACCGAATCTGGTTAGTAGGCCGTAAACGCTTTGGCGAGTTTGACCCATGGTGGTTCGAAGCATGCGACCAGGGGAGTGTGGACCAGGGTATCTGACAGAGACCACCATGGACAACGGATGAAGCGAGTGCCCCTAAACCCTTTCCAGGAGGCGCACTAGTAGAGCTTCAACACCCCTGTCGCAAGCTGATTTGCTCCTTGCCTGACTCAAGCTGCGTCCCCACGAGCCGGCAACTTCTGCATCAGTCAGCCAGCGTTTTCCCATGCGTCCTTACTCAGGTTCGAACACTATTCCATATAGGGCTCTAAGTGGCTGGAAGTCCTTTCTGCGTCAGAGCAGGAATGAAATTGGGACAACCCATCGAGATCTTGGCGCTCTGCTGTTGCAATTCGCAAGCGGGTTTCGACTCGGCTGCCACTGGTCTTTGCTTGTCACGGAAAGCCCCAAGCGCCGCGATCCGATGTCCTACACTCGTGGGGGAGCATGACTTTGCACCAATGTCGTCATCGGGCCTGCAAGCATTCCTCCACCAGCTGCTGTGTATACACCACATCTTGTCGTCGATACCCAGTATAGGCGCCGCCCGTGGCCATAGCCGTGACAGATATAAAGAATCACAAGGCGGCTACGGGTCGAGTCGAGACGGCTACCGTTAGGATCGTCCCAGTATACAAGACGGCACTGTTCTCAAGAACATTCGTGGACACTCTTTCGCAGATCTTTGGACCCCGAGTTTGATGCATCACACAGATCGAACGGACTTTGGGACAACTCAGAAAATACTCCAATAGTATAGGAGGATTTTCTCGCAATCCAGCCAGAGATCCACTACACATCGCGTTCGTGACAGCTAAACCGATGCTGGGGTGACTGTTCTTCGGTATCGATACGTCCACTGGGATACTTTCCTCCAGTATTGATGCGCCACATTACATCAGAGTTGCTAGGAGAGCACGTAAAGGGCACCAGTTAAGAAAAGTGCAATTGGCCAGGAAATAGTCCAGTGCCAAGCAGTACTTTATCTTTATTGTACAGTGGTTAATGGCTAGGATAGGAGGTCTGGTACCAACGACGAAAGTGCTGGAGCATGATATCATTCATTTCCAGCCCATGTACGTGGTGGACGTCCACCATTGACGATTTGAGGCAGAGGTATAGGGCCAGCGTTCCAAAAAGACTCAAGCAGGGGCTCGGAGAATCATGTCCTTTCTAGGAAAAGGCTCGAAACAATGGACGACTTCCAAACTTCTAGAAGCTCTTGCGCCTAGCCTTGCAAGCTGTCATTCGCTCGATGTCAACAAATGGCTTACCAGAGCTGCGATGATCCTTCTATGCATGGAACTCGTGCAATTTACGGGGCAGTTCGACACGTAGACATTCTGGAATAGTTGGACGTCAATACATCCGCCATGATCCGAACACAAACCACTGCGAATCGCAACCAGGTGTTTGAACATTTCGTCACATACAAACGTGCCGTTGGGTCCAGGTTGCAAAGCAATCAGGATATGATTGTGACGTTGCAGTAGAATGAAGCCTCCTGGGATGGCTATGGATTAAACGTGGGTGGGAGGGGCGGCGGAGGTCCCGTGCTGTCGGCGCTTGAGAGGTATCCTGGCGAGGGCTCCGAGATATTCGACAATCCCGACTGGCGAAACACGCGAGAATAAAATCCTTATCAAGTGGCCCTTTCCACTATAAATGTGGACCGTCTTTGTCTTGGTGCTGGCGTGGCTCACCGCTTGGGTTCAATAAAGGAGCACTTTCTCGAAAGACAAAAGTCAAATGGCCGGTTGGCCCTCGTTGATCTCAATCAGTGGACATGCCGGATCCTTTTCAAAGAGACCTAGACCGAGTTCTGCGATGTCGAACCAAGGGTAGCTATGTTCAAGCGTCGCATGTCAACACGCATGCACGAAAACATGAAACAAACATGCCAATATCATTGACAGGCGTTGGAGACTTACCAGCCGGCGCAAGCCACAGTACGTGGACCGGGAAAACTCAATTCGCGAAACCCGATTGGATCAGAGGCTAATTTCAGGCTGATATTGCTCAATCACTTGCGGACCATACCGTTATCGATAACACCTGGGAGAGTGACAATTGATGACTGATGAGACACCCGTTTGGTGGTTGTGGCTGACGTTATCAGAACCCATCACGTCAGCGAGGCTTGATCCAGGAATCGCTAGCTCATTCGACAACCGAATGAAAGCTTCGAATAAAAGCTTCGGATGTGCTTGTATATCTCTTGCAGGCGCCTCATCGTGGAATCGAGCTCCTATCGACGTCAAACCTTGTGGTGGGATTGTCGCGCTATAGGCAGAGCATGATAGGCATCCGCCGGCTGAAGATCAAGCCATCAAGCAGAACCGTCGTGCAACGACCAAAGAAAGAAAGGCCTGTCACGCCACTGAGACTGGCGACCAACCTATATCTATCACTATAGTAGCAGAATAAGATGAGGTCAGCAGCGTGCTGCAATGATAGAACTGTGTTACCCTGATGTACCACGTGGTAGTTAAGCTCCAAGCTTGAGAGCAGAATCTTGGAGTGATCTGCTGCTAAGAACCAGGTAGAGTACTTACTCATAGCTTATCCTTGACAAGACATGTCCATATACGGAGTCTGTGGAAACCTTGTCGGGTCAAGCCGCCGCATCTCCATGGGCCTGGTTAGGTACAGCGCGTATGGATAACCTGATGGATCACGCCACAATTGTCAAGTTCTGGAGCTGTCTCTCACTCTTGGTATACGAGGTATACCGAGTACAAGATACTCTGTATGATCACATGCGGGGCTTCCCCGGATATACTCATGTAGGTGGAACGCGAGTCATGTAATTGGCGATAGGTAGTACCGAGTGAATCTTCTCGTATAGACCGGCATGCTTGATGGATGCGCTTGTAGTCAGTATCATGACCTTGACTACCGGAAACATCCAGAGGGCTTCGGCAGATTTTGTCACCGTTCAATTGACATGGCACTCGCTCACAATCATTCATGTGACATCTCTTGTCGAACATACCCAGCTTATTTCGAGGGACAATCTGGTGTTCAATCATCCAGAACGTATATCACTGACGATAAAGTGACTTTGGGACGTCATACTGCAGCACAGGCAAAATCTCACTTTTGCCGCTAGTGTCATCAAGGACTAGTGTGATGTATCTCGGCTTGGCACTGGAGAAAGGTCAAGCCGTGGCCGAAAGTATTGCCGGGGCCGGGGTCGGTTAAACCTGACGATCTCCCGGGAGACCGGTGGACCCGGACTCGAAAAGAGGCGGGGCTGGGATCTCCATCCTCTTCAGAGCGGTGACAATGCAATGGATCAACGTTGATTTGTGAGGCTCAGTTATATTGGAAGATTGATGCACATCTGTTGTTGTTGACTGATGTTGTTCCATTCCAAAATTACCTTAGGATTGATAGATTTGAACCCTATAATCGAGTGTGTGCGCCGAGGTCACAGCCAGTGCTATGCTGTGCTGGGCTGGCAGATTTTGAATTGTCCCGCACTCTCGTTGAGCGACACGCAGCGAGGAGGACTCCGTCCACCGCTACTTCGCAGTGTGAATCTATGATCATTAGAAAAGAAATCTCTCAAATCCTTAACACTGCCTGACACTTCCAGCCACCTTGTGAAGTGTTCGAGTAATTTTACGAAGTGATTTCATTGTAACTTGTCTCAAAAATTTAGTGGCAGGGAACTCTGGGGAGGTTGGGATCTGCCCACCCGCCGACACCAAAAGCCCAGATCTTTCTACAACCACGCCTCTGGGATTCTTGCACTGTTCATCCCTCTTCTACTACATTTCTCACTCACCAAAAGCATTAATTGACGTCGCAATCATAACAATTTGGACGTCGAAATATTCGCCCAAGCTTCTTGCGGTTCTCCCGTCCACCTGGGATTCACCACCAAAAATCCAAGAGCTTGGATACAACAATCACCCACTGGAGAACAGACACCTCGACGCTTTGACTGCTCTGCGGTTATTGCATGAGCCATGCTTTTGCATCGGATGCCCTCGTCTTTGTCCGCCTTTGTCACCACCCTCCTCCTCGCACAACCTTTGACTGCCACGTTCATACCCAACCTTCTGCACAGCCTCGAAGACCTTCAGGACGTCCGAAAAAGATGCGACAATCCTTGCGGATATTACGGTCAACTTTGCTGTAAAGATGGCGAGTCGTGCTACACCGACTCAAACAACCAGGCACAATGTGGCGCTGGACAAGTCGTTCAAGCGACCACAGCGGCCGCAGCTGGAGACTGGGAATACTACACCACAACATATGTTCAAACAGATCTCAAGACTGTCACCGCGACATTCAGTTCTTTCATTCCATCCAACACCAATTTGAACTGCGCATATTCGTTGGGCGAGTCTGCATGCGATTCGGTGTGCTGCTTGTCAGGACAATTTTGTCAGTCGTCTGGAATGTGTGTTGCTGTTGGTGGTGGTAGCTCAGGATATTACAGCAACCTTTACACTGTAACGACCGTCATCACCAACACTGCCAGTGTTCCACTACGACCGACCAGCAATACTCTCGTGACAGTGACCACGGGCACGACCACACGACCATTCGAGACACCAGTCGGAACAAATGGCGCCATAATCTACGGTCCAACGGCAAGTAGCAGTGGTGGCTTGAGTGGAGGAGCCATTGCTGGAATTGTGATTGGAGTCATCGCAGGTATCATTCTACTACTACTTCTCTGCGCCTGCCTTTGCTTCAAGGGCTTGTTGGATGGCATTCTCGCAATTTTCGGCCTGGGGAAGAAACGAAGGAGGACTGAAGAGGAAGTCTATGTGGAGAGACATTCCCATCATAGCGGACGCAGTGGTGTGAAAAACACTCGCAGGACTTGGTTCGGCACACGCCCCGGCAGAACAGATAGAGTTGAAGAAAAGAAATCGAGTGGCATTGGAAGAGCTGGATGGGTGGCAGCAACCTTGGGAGGACTAGCACTCATCTTGGGAATGAAGAGGAGAAACCGAAAAGATGACAAGAGCAGTACTGGCTATGGAAGCTCGTACTACTCAGACTACACTGTGTCAAGTAGTGAGAGCTCTTCGGACCGGAGGACGAGAAGAAGCAGTCGCTCAAGGTCGAGGAGATGATGGGGGACAATGAATCGATTGACTGACTTTGTTTTTTTTAAGCGAGCATGAATTGCATGGGACCAACGGGCAAGAACGGTTGGATAATGGACATGATGGGGGATTCGATTAGCGACTGCATTTCAGGAAAGTGAATGAGCTGTACGATGAGGAATGCACCTAGGCTCGGTAGATAGCACCATAGTACGGCTATGGAGAACATACTGTACAGAAATTGATCATCCCAAAAGTATGGGACCTTGAAGATGATACAGGCGTTTTCAACTGCGGCTTCACATCGCAGACACATCCTAAACTATTTGGGACCACTTTTTGTCCCCCTGTTGGCTAGCTTGGGCTATGATAGAGGGTTAAGCGTTCTCTCGTTATATCTCTAATCAAGTAAAAGTATGCTTCCATTCTATGTACGGTTCTACGATATCTAATTAATAATAATACTTACTTGAAGTGGTGGTAGAAAATATTAATACCGGCAATACTAATGTTTTTGATATCCCGACGAAAATCCCCCATGCCCCATGCCAACATATTGGTTTTTACCAAAGCCTTGTCCGCAGGCTGATTCAGATAGTCTTTAGTTTAGTCAGGCTGAGAGTGACTGGTATTTCTGCACGCGGGAAGTCAAGGCTCTTGCTCTTCAGTGATTCATTCGGTCGACACTGTTGGCCAGTGACTTGCTGCTGAGCCTCTCCGTTCTCGGCTGCACTCTCGACGACGCGATCGTCCATACCCTCCTTGAGTTCGTAGATTGTGAAAGCCTTCGCTTCGTTCGGCCCTCTGTCGAACCAGCCCATCTTGTAAATCACCCTGAAGCTGTCTTGTTCTTTTGGACTGTCCGGAAACCTATGAATTTCACTCTTGCCTGAGCCAGACCCAGGCGCAAGCATATTCGAGTCTGCCAATAGACTTGTCATTGCGGCAATGCTACATGGATTCTTAGGCAGAATTTCCCTGGTACTCATGAGCAGAGACGCAAGCCCTGCAAAGAGCAACATTGCCATCAAGAGTCCACTCAGAATATGCGTTGAGACCGCGTCCACCACCAGGCGATAGCGATTCGGGTTTACCAGCGTGCCCGTCGATGTGTCTGAGGTGGCTCTTTTCTGGAGCCCTGCCGCTGCTGTCATATCACTTGTGCGAAGTACCGCGTGGTATTGTTGAGCTCGGGCGATCTTATGAGCCTCTTCGATCGCCGCAGCAATAGTGTCGACCTTGTCTGGGTTTCCATAGTCTGCAGTCGTAATATTGTTCTTCAAAGTAACCCATTTGTAGAAGAAATCGCCTTGGGTTCCGGTTTGGCCTGCGTCACCAATCATCTGGTCGTAGGGCACATGGACAGTAGCAGAGGAAAAGGGCGTCACACTCTCTTCGTCTACGAGTGGAGGGTTCTGCTCGTCGATGGAGAATGCAGGCATGGAAAATGTGGTTTGAACATCAACCTGAGATATAGTCTCGTAACAGCTCAGGACGCGTGCCCAAGTGACACTCAGACTCATCCCAATCTGATGGTCAAATGGTGCTAGAGCGCCCCAAATGAAGTTAAGCGATGGACAATCCTCCTGCTTTCCGCTAGCAAACCCGATAAACGGGTGAGACCTCTCGTTTGAATTATAGACCCCGTTAGCGAGCCGTGCAACTTGGACAGCGTCACTGGCATTGCCAGCACAATGCGCTGGGCCAGGCATGTTCATATAAATACCCTGCGTGATGATGTTATTCGTATCTTGAGGGTCGATTCTGTCATCAGGGTAGAATATCAGTCCTGGTATCTGGCTCTCCTCATAAATTGAGCAATTCAATGTAGGTCGTATTGCTTTGATCATTGACTGTAGGATTGTCCCTTCCTGTGATATAGATTCTTTAGAGTCCTGAAGTAACGTTATCGAGCTAAGCGCAAGATCGTGATATGTCCACGTGGGATATGAGAGGCTTCCCTCGACGATCAACGATGAAATGATACCATTATTCCCATGGGAGCCATCGTCACCGGAACCATTACTTAAAAACCAGGAGGTTTGGCTGAGTGTTGTCGTTGTATTAAATGGAATGGATGTAGGTACGAAAACACCGCTGACAATAGTCGTTAGATAGATGGACAAAATGGCTGAGAAAGCGCTGAATGCGGCACCAGGCAGCCGGTCACGGATTGCAAGCCAAATTACTTCGAAGGCGGTAGATGACAGGTAATTAGCAGCAATCGAAGATTGCGCTGAGGATCCCTTTTTAAGCTGACAGTATGGTATAAATGTCCTGTACGAACTGTCGAGGGATTGGAAGTATAAGGCGATGACAACTACAATACCAGAAGATGTCCATGACCATGCCAGATGTTGATTCCCTTCAATGCTGACGTTGCCGAGACCTTGGTTCTTTTTTGATAGAGATAGTAGGACTTCTAGGACGATCACTATTGCTACTACAAATGTGAAAATGAAGAGCCTCAGTCGTTTGCAGATGGTAATTGGCCGCCACCAGGTGATCAATGGAGTCTTTCTGGTCAGTTCGGGAGCAAATATCTTCGACAGATCTTCTCCTGTCGTTTCCTGAAGTGTGAATCGAAGAGGATCACTTCCGCAACGAGGTCCAAGTTTGCTTGTGAAGGAAACCATCTCCAAGGATTTGGACAAGTCCTCTGTCGTGACAGAGCCTGCGCCGACGAATATGTTTGCAAAGGGAGTGTTAGCCTGAAGGATACTCAGTAGCCCGGCTAAATTCGCAGGGTCGACAGGAACGATTGCCTGCCTTGGGAGAATAATGAGGCATATCGCGAGAAAGACAATCAGAACGCTGAGAATACTTTGCATCGCTCGTAGTGGCACCTCCCTGGCCATCAAACGATCTTCGTGGAAAGTAGCGGTCCCGTTGATAGGACTGTCATCGGAAAGTATCAGGCCCGCATGTGCAACTTGAACAAAAAACTCTTTGTAATATTTTTTGAACAGATCCAAGAACAGGTCAGAGTCGAGGAAATCTTCGACTGTGGCGCCAGAGGCGGGTCGTAGTACTGCTTCTAGAATAGAGGGACTATTCGTGTTCCTGATAGATTTGGATTGAATGGAGGTTACAGGGTCCCATTGGAAAGAGGTATATTCTCCCTGTGAGTAGAGAGCGTCGACAATACCATAGAATGTACCGTCCAGGCTTATGTTTTGTGTACCCGCATGAGGATCAGTCCTAATATCAGGGATGTTGCCCAAACCATTAACACTCGAGTTGAATGTCACAATCCCCTTGTTTATTTGGATGTTTGGGGTACAAATCCATTGCTTGCTTCTTGTTATCGTTATGGTGGCCTCCGGGTAGTTGGTATAGTCACAGGCTTCTGTGGATGGCTTCGGTCCTACATTGCCAGACTGACGACCTTCGCCTACCATCAGGATGACCTTGGTGTTAAGAGCCGCTGCATCGTTGTTGCATGCAAGGCTCTCCAGTACAGCAAAGCTACCGACCTCACCATCATTGCCAGCTGTGTAAGAGACAGAAGGAGATATTTGACAATCAAAAGCAGAAATATTCAGGTTAGAGTTGATAAATGCGGCAGGATAGTTTGGTGACCAGCAACCCAAGTTAAGCCAAGAAATGGTCCAGCTATTCCCTTGGAGCTTTGCTGGGGTACAGTCCAAGCCTGATGCCATAGTATCGACGATAACCTGCTGGATGGCCTGCACAGGTAGTGCCGGGTCAAGGGAAGTAAACTCTTGGTAGACCACATCCGGCGTCGTCCCAGCTGGATATGACAAGTTTAACGCATGTATAGCGTTGTATGTATATGATGGTAGCTGTGAGAGACTGAACACGCCATTACTGTCACTAGCCAACTTTGTAGTCGTCTTATAGGCCACATTGTTCATTGTGGTTGGTACAGGAGTGAGCGAAAACAAGCCGGTCGAAATGACCATGAGTGCGGTCTGAAGTATGCCGACTATGCTGCTTATAGAAACAAGCCAATCGCGGTTCTGGACCGAGCGCCATATTATCTCTGGCTTTGAAGGGGAGATGTAGTCAACAAGGACGCCTCGACATGCAGGGGTCCGTGATTCTCTGAACAGAGTTGCCCAAGGGGCCATCTGGCGTATGCGATAGTCAACCCGATTCCAAAAAGCCAGAACGGCGGTGAGAACTTGCTCGATCAGCGGAATGATACTACAGCCCCCGTGTACACTTACTAGCTGTTGGCCCATACGTCCATAAATAATACCTGCTCATATTGGTTGTTGTAATGCCTTTGTTTTTGGATGATAAACGGTTGATGATTTCGAGTGTAGCCAGCATCCCAACAAATATTAGCACAAAAATCATCACCACGAAGCGTCGAGACCAAAAGGGTCTCCATCCCATGGCTCTGGCAGATGCTTCCTCAGCCGTAGGACGATTAGCACCTTGCATGTATATTGATTGAGGCGATTTGGAGAGTAGCTTGACTACCGTCCAGTATAAGGCTCTGGTAAGGTGGAGATCGTGCGAACGCAGCCTATGTTTCTCCGCTGCTACGCTTGAGAGACCTAAATATGCTGGTCAGGTATCCAATGGACTGAGAAACAGGCTGCCAATAGCTAGGGAGCCGCCAAATCATGCGGACTTGATATTAACATGAGCGGCGAGTTAAGGTGCATGAGAGAAGACATGACAGTCTGAACATTGCCTCAGGCCCGAGGCTGCAGCTGTTTATCAAACATGGGCATATCAGGTGAGGCAATCGTAGTTCAGGGGCATCCTGGTTCAAGAGATATGGCCCCCAGATTTCTGCTAATTACTTCGTATACAGTAGCCGTTAAAGCGCCAGCCCGTCCAGCCTGCAACCATACCTGAAATGGCATGGCCGCCCTCACTGGAGGCAGATTTCTCGGCAACAACTGTATATCTCAAAGACGATAGATAATACTTGAAATAAACTCGTATTCGTCTGATGGCCGATTATTGGTCCTCGTACTACCTCGTACTATCGTTCACGATAGTGTCTGCGATGCGAAGTCGCAATTAAAAAGGCCTGTACTCGATTTTTATTTAACTTCCGATCATCCCGTGTGACATGTTTTACTTGTACATCGATAGTGCCAAGTCTGAGAAGTTGGTGGGGTATTAGGTGGGATACTACCTACTCCCCAGAAGAAAACATCGGATCCGAGGTCTATTTGTTACACAACTTCGACCTCCAAGACTCCCGATCTATTGCTGTGTCTGTGGATTTATATTCGTACAAGCACTGGGAAAGGTGGTCCAAACTCTCGGTTACTCTCGTACAACAATTAGCCATATGAAAAGTGATATATATTCAGCATTTCTCCTGTTGGCAAGGTCATTTCTTTGACTTCCAAGGTTCTGATCCTTAACAGAACGAACCCCTCTCGAATAAATAAAACCGACTTCTTACCATGTCTTCAGAAAACCGTGCTCCAAACCCAGGGCAGCTCGCGACCAGCCTTCCTGGACTAACGGCCCATATCGTGGGCCACGACAAGGAAGGCAAAGCCATCGTACAGGAAAGCCGCCCCGCCAAATGGACGGTCTACGACGGGGACCAGATGGCATTCAACGTGGTGTACACGACCTCCGAGTTCCCCACCGATCTCAATGAAGACAAGGACCTTAAAGCCCACGACAAGCTCATGTCCACGGGCGGGCTGGGACTGGTCAACGCCAACGGCACAGTCTGCCGCGTGGTGGACTTCGCACCGGACTACGAGTGTATCATGCACCGGACTCAGAGTATTGACTACGGCATTGTGCTGGAGGGAAGTATTGAGTTGGTGCTGGACAGTGGAGAGCGGAAGCTGATGCAGAGGGGAGATGTGGCGGTGCAGAGGGCGACGATGCACTCGTGGAACAATCCCAGTAAGACCGAGTGGGCACGCATGATCTTTGTACTTCAGGACTCGCAGAAGTTGGAGATCGGTGGTCAGGCTCTCAAAGAAGATTTGGGTCGAGGTATTGAAGGGTTGCCGTCGAGTGGGAATGATGCTTAAAACTATGGCAATGATGGGTTATGATGATTACCTAAGTACCTAGGTATACAATGGTACTCTGGGGTAAGGATAAGACCGAGGGCTGTCGTGGGCTGTCCAGACTCCAGAGCAACACGAGTAAAAAACAATGCATACAGGGTACCTCGTACCTAGTACCTAGAATTATCCGTAAGGCAAGACGCGGTCCGTGGGTTCCTCGAGAGACGTCATTGTTTCTGTTTCACAGACCACTGGCACTGCATGTGCCCTTTTGACTAAGGAATAATATTCAAGTTCAATGCCGTGTTGAACAATAATTATTAGAAGTGTCCATGGCAGCCCCTTTTCGAGAAGGAAGGAGCAACTCGCCAGGAGCGTGCCTTGCAAGGATCCATCAACTGCCAAGCGGGAAGGTGGGAAGATGAGAAGGAACGAACGCGTCGGCTGGCTGCAACCAAGAAAGCACTCGGTAGAGAACCACGAGTTACCAAGTACGAATAAGCGGCGCCTCTTCTCCACCCGCTGCACTTTTTTGTTGATTCCCAGATTTCTGCTGCGCAACTCCTCGTTCTCATCCTCGCCTCGCTTAGTCCATTCCTCCATTCCTGGGGACTTTTGGGACAACTCTCTCCTCTGTAATACTTCTCTCCACCTGCACATATTATCTTGTATTCTTATCTTGTGTATATCAACGGTTCTGTCCATATTCGCCAAGTCCATATCTCCTAAACCATCGACCATTGAGTCCTGACCCTTATCCGAGGCAACTCACCCTCTACCAGAAAAACCAACCGTCCCCTGCTCGCTCACTTCGATCAAACAATTCTTGGAACATTTAAAGAGCCCTATTCACACCACTGTCGCTCTCCACGCTCACAACAGTCCTGCGAATACGACCACTGTCCCAGACTGCGCTCACAATCATCCTGCGCAACATCTCCAGTGGTCGCATGAGCAACTCTTTGTAAATTGGCTTGGAGGAGAACGAACATGCACCAGCCTTGTTGCCATCCCTCAAACGAAAACAATGGTCTGGCAGCGGAGTTCTTCGCTCGGACTCGACACAACTACTTCTACCTCAAGGATACGCGGTCGAGGAGAATCCGACGTGGAGAAAGAAGCCTTTTTTCGACCTCCTCCCAATATTAATGATGACTACGATCACGACCACGCTATTGAACATGATTCCCCTTCAGTTGCCTCCTCTCGCTCAACCTCCGATATGTATAAATCCATGTTGGGTAACAAAGCTCACCACTCTAATCGATCCTCCCCTTCTAATTTCGCCAGCAACCTACCTCGATCCATTATGCGATGGCTTTGTTTAGGAGTGGCTGCGACGCTACTCATTTTCATATTTTCCCTGGTCCGGCTCAGCTGGAACGCAGATAAAGAGGTCAAGGTCGCGATCGAACAAGAGAAAATCAAGCCTAAGCCACCGCCATGGGAGACTTTCCCTTTCCTGGAGAGGTACTATGGTGGAGTACGAACTTTGGTACCTTCGTCCTTGAACGTTCCAGAATATCCAAGAAACGATGATGAAATGCCACCAGACAGCTTCAACATCTCGGAAGAACTGCGTGAAAGCGAGGCAGCGAGAGCGAACCAGAAGCGGGAATTACAATCAAGCAAACTCTTCGACCCATATCCAAATTATACCTCACCGGAGTACATGACCCAATATGGTTCCAAGGTTGATTGTTACCTTGACGCTGAAAATACCATCTCGATTCCCAACGTCCGGATTTATGAGGGTGTGCCTCGAGGATTCCCTGATGTGGTTATGGGCTCGGCTCAGATGCTGGGTCTTCGAAATGACATTTGCTATGATCGCTTTGGTCGACTCGGACCCTACGGACTCGGTTATAGCTTGAATAGAGGTGGAAGTGGTGCTCAATTGGAGGGTGAGAGGGAAGGAGTGGATTTGGTCTGGTCTGAAAGTCCTGAAGTCGATTGGAGACGTGTGCAGTGGCTCGAAGTTCAAAAGCGATGTCTGGCGTCGAACACTCATCGCTTCAAGGAATTGCCGGTCCCAAAGTCTAGGCCTTTCGCTAGGAGGGATGAAAGGACAAATGATACAGAACCGTCTGAGAAACCATCAGAAGCACCATCAGATCCTGAGTCTGTGCCACTAAAGAAACCAATTCAATCCCAGCCTAAACCAACATCTGGAAATGAAAAGCTGCCACGGACTGCTCTCATTATTCGAACGTGGTGGGATTATCCATATACCCCTGAAGATAAAATCTACCTTCGATCACTGATTTCAGAATTGGTTATGATGTCAGGAGGGGAATATGAAGTTCATTTTCTGATTCAAGTCAAAGACAACGAATTGAATATCTTCTCCGACGAGGAGACCTACGATCGTGTTCTTCAGGATGCGCTACCTGAAGAGTTCCGTGGCATGGGAACCCTATGGAATGAGCGTCAGATGCACCTAATGTACGGTGGTCTGGAAGAAACAAACATGCGCAACCTTCCTGTGCATGGTGTTTATCGAAGCACATTCATGCCAATGCAATATTTTGCATATCGGCATCCCGAATATGACTTCTTCTGGAATTGGGAAATGGACATCCGTACCACACACCATTGGTACCACTTGTTTGATAGTGTCACCAGATGGGCCAAAGCCCAGCCGAGAAAATTGCTGTGGGAAAGGAATAGCCGATTCTATATTCCTTCCGAGCATGGCAACTGGGAGGACTTCAGTCAAATGGTTCGAATTCAGACGGAGCATGGCACCAATAGTGTCAACAACCTCTGGAGCTCTCTAAACCGAGACAAGGACACTTCTATTCCTGGCGGGGTGAAACAACAAGGCGATCGTCCTATCTGGGGACCTGAACGTCCTCTTGATGACGATGTTGCATTTGAAGGTGACCCAGAACCACCCACATCCTTTGATAAGGATAAGTATACTTGGGGTGTCGGTGAAGACGCAGATCTCATCACCTTTAATCCCCTATTTGACCCTGATGGCACGACTTGGCTCCTTACCGATGATACTACGGGCTATAACAAAACCAGAGGTCAGCCACCACGACGCACTGCTATCATCACTGCGAGTCGGCTTTCCAAGAAATTACTCTTCACCATGCATCGTGAGACGGCGGTCAAAAGACACACAATGTTTTCCGAAATGTGGCCTGCATCTTGCGCACTTCATCATGGGTTGAAGGTTGTCTATGCGCCTCACCCTGAGTATGTGGATCGCAAATGGCCGACAAACTACCTGCAATCCGTCCTCAATGCTGGACGCAATGGAGCGACGGGAGGCTCGAGGACAAGTGTGTTCGGAGATCGAGAACACAATTTCCGTGGGATGACATGGTATTATAATGCCGGTTTCCCCGAGGTGTTATGGCACCGATGGCTTGGGATAAAATTCCACAATGCCGGTGGTGAGCAAGAGGAGATGGCGGGTGAGGGTAGAATGTGCCTTCCAGGAATGTTATTACATCCTGTCAAAAGAGTGGATTTGGTCCTCGAGTCCCGACGAGCTGATCAGTCTGGTTGATCTCGGAGGTCGTTTGTATATTTTGAATTGTACAGCGGAGCTGTTGTTTTGATGTGAACACTGTACTGCACATATCTACAAATCATCTTGGAGTTTGAATCCATGAGATGATACCTGGTTTAGATGGACATGTCGAGGATATAACACCAGTGTCTTGAATGCATATGCATGTATACATACCTTATCACATAATCATACAACCACGGACATATTTTATATTTCATCATGCCGTCTCCGACGGGGGCTGCCTCGGTCCACTGAGCAGAGCATAGCATAGCATAGCGTTGCGTAGCATACATACTCAGCACTTAATCCCGCAAATCTCTGGATGGTACCATTCGATCCCCTCAGAGCCATTCTATGCTACGCTGGCTTGTTTTGAGCCGGACCAAGGCCCAGGGCAGGCACGTCCAGGTCGTGTCTACCTACGTATTCTCCATTGTGGTCAGCTGGCCACGGTGATTGATTGATTTTCCCTGTGGTTCAGTAGCGCACGGATCAAAGACCTGCGATGTGAATAATGGCATTGGCAATGGCAATGGCACAAGCACGCATGCAGACGAGAGAACATTGGAGCGATTTTTTGGCTTGGGGTTGGTTTCTGCTATTGTTTTCTTATCTTGCAGAGACTATCTTAAGACTAGCTAGGTGCTTTGCACACGCGATTTTTTGTTATCCCTCAAGGTGGAATTGAGTCTCGAAGACGATTGCTGCTCGAATGACAGAGAAGCTGTTTTCAATATCAACTCTGCGGTACGGGTTTGAGAACCTCAAGGTATCCCGCTCAATATCCCTGGACGCCAGGCCCAGAAAAATACCCGGAGCATCTCATGAAGCGAACTCAGTCTCTTTGAGCGGGGTCTTCTCAATCATCTGATGAATGCCATTTTTCTGCTGGGTGCTCTGTTTCTATCCCCGGCACGTCATTCAGATGAGAAAGACCGGTCCAATCGGATGGATGTCAAGACGTATGCGGAAACCAAGCGGCAATCCTTGGTTTGCCCAAAACTTTTGGCCAAAAAATAAATACATTCGAAAAGGGAGGCGGCATGCAAAATTCCAATAAGGGTATCATTATCTCAGCTCGAGATGAGACGAATTAGGGTGTAGTGTATTTGCCGCTATGCATTTCCCATTTGTGAAACAGAGGAAAGCCATAAAGTCGTTGAAAGCTTGCGCCTCTTTCTGACGGGACATCTGGGTTGTCTGCCGGCCGGTCTTTGAAGAATATGTGCAAATGCTGCGCAGCCCGTTCAGGCGTATTGCGATTGCATTCCAAGATTTGGGCGATGACAAAGGCGAAAATTGAAAACGAAAATCGTGTGCATTCGTGAAAAGCTGTGTTTGAAGGTGACCATGAACGCCGTGCTATTAAAAATCAAGAAAATTGCGCCGTTTTGGATGCATTGTTGGAGATGCTCAAAGGCGATGCAGGAAGTTGGTAGTATCATAGGTTTTGGCCAGAATAGTAGTTGGGATCGTATGCGGCACCAGCAACATTTGCAAGAGTATCGAGGTCCGAGAAACCCCTTAGCAACGGAGGTGCCGATGGCATGTTTCCAGCCAAGGTGAAGTCATCGGCTTTGTCGAGCATAAGCTGTGGGAGTGGAAGGATCGAAGATTGCTGTTGCATCAAGAGCTCATTTGAGTAGAAAGTGTTGGGTGACAATGTCTCAGGAATCGTTTGGATTGGCATGAGCATCTGTTGAGTGTCGGGGTAGAAGTTGGTGGCCAAGGAGCTTTCCGTGCTTAGGGAGGTGTCTGTGGCTGGAGGAGCCAATGATGTGACCTCGGACAAAGGCGATCGCATCAAACTCGAACGTCGACTGCGATCGGGAAGGGTTGTGTCATCCTTTTGAGCCTGTCTGGCTTTTTGAGCGACCTTTGTAATGGACGCTTTGCTGCGGCGCACGCTGGAGTTGTCACTATTGCTTCCCGACATGGAGCCCTTGTGAGTTCGCTCATGCTGTTTCATGTTGTCTTTGCGGGTGAATGCCTTGTTGCAGACAGGACAGTGAACGCCCTTCTCGCCAGTATGCTTTTTGCCATGGCGAGCTGCATGACCCGAGGTAGTGAAGGTAGCGGTGCAGCTCTGTGACTGTGCATAGGGGCATGGGTACTTGTTTTTCTTGCCAGGAGTAGGACCAGATGTTGTTTGAGGAGAAGTCTTGGATTGGATCTTGACTGGAGTTGTAACAGAGGAGGTTGCTGGTGCTGTGGAGGCAGGTAGGACAGAAGAGTTGGCAGATGTGGGGTTGTTGATAGGAAAGACCGGAGGGATAGGAGCATGGATGGGATACTGAGCAAGGGGAAGTGTAGATTGGAATTGCTTCCCGACAAAGTGGTCTGGCATCATGTTTGGCGCGATCAAGAGTTGTTGTTCGAGGAATGGAGTAATAGTGGTGGGAGAAGGCTGAGGAAGGTAGGTGGCCAGGTCTTGGCGGGTCAATTGGTCGAAGGGAGGAAGAGTGCTGTCATTGTAGGTATATGCAGGGGTGATGGGAGACGGGGAAGAATCCATGCTCGAGTTGGAAGAGAGTCTTGACAATGGCGGAGCGCCTCCAGAGGAGAAGGACGAAGCTCGAGTGTAATGATCCTGGCGTGGCAAGTATGGGCGGACTTGTCTATCGGGCCGTGGGGATGGAGAGGTAGAGGCTGAGATGAAGCCAGAACCTGAGGCGGAGGTGGAGCGAGCGACTGAAGCAGCGACAGAGGCGGGAGACAAGGACTGACGCAATTGCCTGGGACGTATAGCAAAAGAAGGCGAGTCGTTGTCGTTGAGGATTGAGAAGGAAGTGGCTTCTCGCAGTTGTGTATGCACATCCATCATTGGACGAACAAAATCACATCCAGCGTAGAAAGTCGCCGGAGTACAAAATGGTGGATTGTGATCAACTGAAGAAGACATTAGATCGGCTGGAGGTGGAAGCATATTGGAAAGAGGTATCAGCACGTACACCTGGCTGGAGGCTTCCTGATGAGCAAAACTCAAAGGAGTGATGTTCGTGTTGGTGGTAAAGGAAGTTGATGACAATAGCGAGTTGAGTTCGGCTCAAATAGTGGACGCGAGGATCGTCACCTTGTGAAGTGACGCGTTTGAGTTGGTGATAGAGCGCGGAATAGGCAGAGCGCGTGAAGTAGAGGATGAACAGTGAAGGAGTGGTGTTTAGATTCAGTAGAAGTGAAGATCGGCGACAGTTGCATACAGGGTCTAGAGAGACAGTCTTGAACTGCTTGGGAGGTTTATTCCGTGAAGCAGGCTGAACAAGGGGCAAGTTCAACGTGCAGAAGAGACCCTGATGCAAGCTACAACAAGTGAAGATGTAGAAATGCAGAAGAAAAGGGCGAAAGAAGGGTCTAAGAGGAGCAGACGGGAAAGAGAAAGATGTGGATTGGAAACTTGATTGTGGAATGAAGGGTTGAGACACGAGGGATGGAGAAATCGAGAATCGAGAAACGAGGCGTAAGGCATGAGGCGTGGAATGAAATCGGGAATCGTCGATGGCAGCAAAGTGTGGCACTCTTGCTGGCTCCGACCATGGATATGGTTTCGAGGGTGGGGATGCAAATGTTCACAATTGCATTGAACACGGTCCACTAACGGCAGGGCGACAGGCATGAAATGGGCGTGGACGGGCATGGACGGGCGCTGGACAGCCCGTGGTTCGAGCATGGGTAGCTCCCATTTTCTTACCGGAAACTTGTGATTAGCGCCTGTCAAACCACCCAACAGTGGCTAACCACCCCCTTACGGGCCCCTCGCTTACCCGCTGTCCAGCAAATTAATGCTCCTCTTGATGGCTGGGCCGACATCATCATCGTCAGCAGCCAACTTGAATTCAAAAGTGCGAATAATAATGAACGATCGGATCGCCGATCGTAGATCTTGATAAAACACAACTCGTTACTTTGAACTTAGGGTTGAGCTATCTACCTAGATACTCGGTCGTGCAGTGGGAGAGTTTGTTGGTGATTGGCGTCCCAAACCTTCGAGTATCGAGTTCCCGGAAAAATCAACCGGCCTCTTCAATCTTTCAATTTTGCGAACATCGCAAGAGCTATATGACTGACTACTATTGAACAAGCCCATGGTCAGTAACCCGATATATGGACTTAGTTCCCAGATCAACACTCCACATGCGCAATGATCTTTTCGCGAGTCGGTGTTGTACTTGGTATCCATCAAACTACTCGAGGAGAGTCGCGATCAGACGATACACACAGAGTTCACGATTTCCAGGGCTTGAAGTAATATCCGGAGGCCCCAGACGGCAGGGCGCTAGTTAAGCAAAGGCTGTCAGGGTCCTCCCTGGGAGAGCCACCCGCGTCACACGGCAGTGCGAGTGGGATAGACTTTGGATGCGGGGTCTTGACATCATCAGCTTCTGCTTTCTTTTCCGATCCAGCCTTATTCGCCGATTGCCCGGGCCAGTCTTTGAGCTTGTCAAGGTTTGATCTCGCTCCATTGGACGGCCATGACTCCCGCCCGCATTTCCATGGGTTTTGTTCAATACCGATATCTTGCACCCCTCGGGGAAATTATGACTGCCCTGCCTGGCCCATGTCAGTAGCTTCCGAAGGACACGTGAGGTGAAGATGATAGGGGCCACTGATTTTAAAACCACCAGATCACGTCTACAACAACAAGTGCTCTACCAACAACGTGGTTGTTGACATTTGATGGGTAGGTACGCTGTCAAGTCCTCTTCCGTTGGATTTCCGACGAGAGGCTTCCAGGCCGCTCGAGACTGAGCACAGTCCGGGTCATTCGAGGACGTGCTTTGCAGTTCATCCCAACACAATGCATCAGTGACATGAACTATAGATTCTACTAGTATCATTGATTAGTTTGGGGGAGAACAAGATGTGCAACACTGGGAAGGAGTAAGTGGCAGCGCGAGGCTTGAGGATGTTTGCGATTATATAATAAATAATTATGTGAATGAGTTCCATCGTGGTGATCTTCCTACCTTAACCTAAACACTTTGCTTCCACGTGCTTTGATCTGCATCCAATTCCATCTGGAAAAGGAGCTGTAAACTCAGCTGGATTATCCGGACCCCTGAAGAAGATTGCATCAAGGACCAACTGACAAGTTCTGCAGGGTCCCTCCGCTAGCAACCTTGAGTCTCAGGGTCATTGCCCTGCCAAGAACCCGTTCGTAGAGCCAACAAGGCTGACCGCTCATGACTGGGCGACATCATGCCTGTGGTGCTATCGAGTAGATACGATATGCAAGTAACTGGTCGAGGAGATGGTCGAACAGCATCAATGGAATGGGCCTTGCTCGAGTTACTTTGTCGGTTGTTTCGGAGCACAGTTTATCCGCCTGATCATCAGCTGAGTCTCGTGGTCTATGACGTGGCAGTCGCCTTTGCACAGAATCCCACGAAGGATTCACCAATAGCCACGTTCGATTGGTGTTGCCAGTGGTTGCTGTCCAAGCCACTCTTAGCCCTGTAACATAGCCACATTCTGCCTTCAAGCCCGCCCTGCACAACGTTGCCTTTGCCTTTGCATTCCGATGCTCTCAGCCACGGATCACTCCCAAAAGACGGTGTACTATACTATCGCTTCTCTATATTGCTCTCAGTTCCAAACAATTTCAAGGTGCTTGCTTTGCTGCCCAAATCACCAGCATTCTCTAGAGTCAGCAAGCTTGTTCCTGGTCCAGGACCTCCTAGGTAGGTAACACCAACTTGAACTCTTGTGCCCAATACCCCACCTCTAACAAGTGCACCTAAGAGAGTCCCAGAGAATTGCGCTTCAGGCTATTACGTCGCCCCCAAGATTAGAGAATCGCCGGGCATTGCCCCTCCAAACCTCTTCCTAGTTGCCTTCCTTCCCCCCACTAAACCCTCTTCTAAACCACTCATCCCTACCACCAGCCTCCAACATTCAACAAAAGTCACCACTTCCAGCGCCCGAAGCGTCCTTCCCTGCTTCAAACCTCTCCAAACAATCTTCAAGCCTTGCCTTTGCAAACCACGCCAAGTCGCTTCAACCCAAGGAATTGGGGCCTACAATTCCCTCAAAACATCGCCTTCTCGCTACTCGTCCTTTCATCACATCTTGACTTCTTTTCGACCTCACCCGCTGTTCTCGATACTTTCTAGACAACAGGTGTTCACATTGTGCGACTTCCGTTCGCTTCGACCCGTCCCTTGATCGTGGTTCCGGTTTTCCACTGGGCTACTTAGCACCTCATATCCCCTTGTTCCAGCAAGTCCCTTTTATCTAGCCTCACCTGCCCCGCATCATCGCCCCATCATTGTCATGTCACACTACGACGACGACAGACCACGTCGCCAACGCAGTACCAAAGAGCGTTCTCGGAGAGACGATTATGAAGATACCGTCTATGATGAGAACTCTCGAGACACCCGTGTAGTCCGACGGCGGGACGACAGTGTCTCATCTGTCGAGGAGGTTTCCAGAGATTTCGCCCCGGGTGATCGCGGTGGTGCCTACTATCGCGAGACTACCGTGCGCAAAAGTGGTCACCGACCAATCCGTGCCCGGTCCAGTGATGATTTTTACGATGATCGCTATGATGATCGTTCTTATGCAACTTCTCGCAGGAGGGATGACGATTATACCGTGGTCTCCAAATACAAACGCCGTGATGACGATGAACGAAGTCAGCGAAGTCGTGAGTTTCCCATCAATATCTGCACTCTTAACCGGGTTTCTAACAATTGCCAGGCCACCACAGAAGACGAAGCTCTTACTCCGACTACTCCTCGCGGAGCCGCAGTCGCAGCCGCACTCCACCTAAAAAGGACCGGAGGAAGTCCACCACTGAAGAACTCCTGGGGACCCTTGGCTTGGGTGGCCTGGCTGCCACTGTATTGGGCAAGAAGTCAGACAAGGACAAGAACAGGTCCAGATCTCGCTCTAGTGAACGCAGTAAACGAAGTCGGAGTCGTGGGGGTCGGCGCAGATCATCCTCTGATACCTCTCGTGCTCGAAACAAGAGCCGAGGACCAAGCAAAGCTCAAGTCTCCCAAGCAATCAAAGCTGCAGTTCTAGCTGGAGCTGGAGAGGCCTTCCGCGCCCGTGGAGATAAAGGCGGCTGGGGTGGTGAAAAAGGCAAGCGAATTTTGACTGCTGCCTTCGCCGCTGGTGGTGTCGATGGATTGATCTCCAGCAATCGCGAGCGAGATGATCACAAGAAACGTGACATTGTCGGTTCTGCCTTGGCTGGTTTGGCGGCTACTCGTGTCATCAATGGCCCTCGCGACAAATCTCGAGGTCGCGAGGCCAGTCCAGATTCACGTGGCAGAAGCCAGTCCCGGGGTGGCGGTCTTCGTGATCTTGCTGCTGGTGGTGTTCTGGCAACTACTGCAAAGAAAGTCTACGACTCGGTGCGCTCCAGGTCTCGTGGACCCGCGAAAGATGAGAGACGTGGTCGCTCTCGCTCTCGAAGCTCCTCATATGATAGCCGTTATGATCGCAGCCCCCCCAAGCGCTCGCGCAGTCAAAGCGTGGGAGCCTTTGCGGCCAAAGGTCTGGCAGCAATAGGTCTGAAAGATGCCGCGGACAAGGTTGATCCTGAACGTCGCAAGTCAAAGCAAAATTATGACGACTACTATGACGATCGCTCCAGTCGGAACGGAGGATATGGATACAATGATTCTGGAAATGTAGGTACCATTCAATCCCATCATCACGATCAGCCCTATGGCGGTCCACGTGCTATGAGCTTGCCCCGAGCGCCGCCTCCTGGCTACGAGCTTGATTTTGGACCCCGTCATACCGGTGATCCGGAAACAGACTCCGATTCTGACCTTGGATCCAGTACCGACGATGAAAAACAAATAAAAAAGAGTCGCAAGAAGCTCTTGCTCACGGGTGGTCTCGCAACCGTGGCAACTATTCATGCGGCCCACAGCGTATATGGGAGTATGGAGAAGAGGGAAGAAAGGAAGAAGGCGCTCAGAGAAGGAGATATCAGTCCGGAACAAGCTAGGAAGGAAAAGAATAAAAACCGCATGCAAGACGTTGCAAGCATCGGTATTGCTGCCCTTGGTCTCAAAGGGGCCTACAGCGAACTGAAAGAGACTCGCAACACGTCGAAAGAAGTTGACGAGGAGAAAGAGAAGCGAAAAAGGCATGCGGAAAAACGAGAGGCTCGACGACGGAAGGCTAGTATGGTCGGTTCACACAGCTATGCCGACTCGTCGTACATGAATTCAATGCCCAACCTCAGCACTCTGCCACCCGAACCCTACCACCCAGGGCCGCCCTACGGACAACAACCCTACAGCACAGGTGGTTCATTCTTGTACTCGGACGACAATCCGTACGGAGCTTTGACACAAAATCACCAGTATGCCCCTTCTCCGCCACCGCCACCCCCGGGGTCAGGCTATTACCCGACACCGGGCGTCCCTCGAGCGGAAACACGTTAATACCCCATTTCAATTTATTTTCCATTTGATCCACGACGTACGATCTTTTTCTGTAACGACACGAAACATTCACGAAAGCCATTATTATCCGCATCAATTAATAGATTGGTTTTCTGCACAGCCCAACATGACCACGAAACCATGACGATGATATTCCCCCCAATCACGAACGAAACCTAACGACAATACAATCTTGATGATGTGGAAATGATATGCCTAGCGGAGACTTGATTCAAATTATTTACCGACTTATGACGAGGCTTTGATTGTCCACTTTTATACTAGGGAAATTTTATACCACTTTTTTTCAGTCTTCGCTTAAAACAAAGTCCTTTTTAGATCACTGGCGTGCACGCTTTTCATTGAAGCTACTTCGCCACAACTTTTGACGTGTTTACTAAGAGCGAAAACGATAGGTTTTTGGTCTTTCCTTACTCATCTACTAAAGCAATAGAAATCCCAGGCAATCAATACTATGGTTAGCACAGCTTGACAACGTGGTAGTACTGATGCTGGTTACCTGGACACCATTCTAGTGTGACTTCAGGTTGCAGAATTGAAGCCTCGACGAACGTCAGACCCTACTGGCTGATTGGTATAAGCTCCTTCCTGTGATCGCTCGGGGAACATTCTTGCTCGTGTTTACCAAAGCGAAACCCTGCTGGTGATAAGACTAGTTACATATAATGTAGCCAGCACCGAGGACATTGATTATCTCGTCGGAATAGCGTGTGCCTCGAGGCTACCGGGTAAAACAGCAATGATTCATTACCGTCTTCACACTATCCCATCCTTTTGGACATCCTCCAGCACCATCATCAGAAAGTTGTGAAAATGCTGCTTCCTCCATCCCTCCTCCCTCCATCCCTCCGTGACTTCTCACCGTTCCACTTCTCATCTGCCACTGACTGACTCAGTCGCTATCACTGAGCTCCCCCGTGATCCTCCCGCGAGGAAACTCACCGCGCAGACGATTTCGGCCATCTCCCGCGAGCGGGCCATACCGGTCTGAACTCTCCTCGGGCTCGCTGTACGTGTACGGATCGTATTCTTCGTCTCTGTCTCTGTCTCTGTCTCTGTCTCTGTCTCTGTCTCTGTCTCTGTCTCTGTCTCTGTCTCTG